TTTCTGATGGAAACAATCTAATCGAAAAAATTCAAAAATTCAGAATTCAGGACGTAAACTGTTTTTTTCTGCAAATTTAAAAAAATATGACGGAATTTTTTTGTTCAGGTGTTTGTCACCTTGTACACTCAAAGAAAAAAATTTTTTTTACAATCAGGACACTTTTTTATTGGCATTTTCATGAATTTTTTGTGTAATTATTTGAAAAATGTCTTAAAAATATGAAAATGATGAAGTTATAAGTCGGCAAAAATTATATCCGCCAAAAGGATTCGAACCCTGGTCACAATATTGACAAGCTGCGGGAGACCACTACCACTACACTACGCCGCCAGTTGCTGCCCGAAGGCTCCGAGCGCGGGCATGTACGCGCTGGGAAAATTTCGACGAGCTTTTCCTCGGTTGCCTGACGGGTTTGGCAGAATTTTATTTTTGATTCCGAGAACTCTTACCCAGGCCTATCAAACCCACACAATCTCAATTCTCAACTCGATGTTCAGGGGAGACCATACCCTAGTCAGACAGTAGAAAAGATCTCACTTTCGGAGAGTCAAAGATAAATATTAATTTCGCGGAAATTACTTTGAACAGGGCGTTATCTTCTTTTGTCATCTCAAATTTCTTTATGATTTGTTATGCTATGTCTACTGTAGAATCTGCAAAGATGATCTTAGATGATCGATTCTAGTCCACTGGGTTTTTTTTTACACTCCAGATATGTTTCTTTTAACGCAAAGTTTCAAATTTTTTTTGACAGTAGTTTTTCAGTGACGCCTTTGATACGTAAACAAAATTAATTTAGGTTAACAGAAACGAGGTTTTCTTTGAAACTGAAAAAGTTGATGAACAAGCTGAGCGCCGTACTGCTCCTACATAGAGAAGCAGTGACTGTCGGAACGACCCAAAATAAAAAAAAAACAATTGATTTTTTTTTTAACTTTTTGAGCTTTAATATACATGGATTGATGACTTCGTGATAATTGGATAGCTCAGCGAAATCAGCACTCACTAATCAAAAAGCAAAATGTTATGACTTAAAATGATGAAAATTCACAGTTCTCACTAGGGCTGTGTGCGCGGTGAACATCGAGTTAGGAATTGAGGCTTTTATGGTAGATAGACCTAGGGGAGAGTGCTCCAAAACGAAAGAGAAAATCTGCTAAGCGCCATAGGGTACCGAGAAAAAGCTCTTCAAAGTTTTTCCGCCATGTATATGCCCGCGCTCGGAGTGCTCGGCCAGCAACTGGGAGCGTGGTGAAGTGACAGTGTTCTTGAATGGCGCTGACGCTATGTTAGGTTCGATTCCTTTTGGCGTAAAACTTTTTTCGCCCTTTTTTATTCAATTCTTCTACACTCTAATATCAAACAAAAACAGCAAACGACGTTTGAATTAAAGGAGAGGATTGAAAACTAGGGAAAAATAAAGAACAAAGCACAAAAAAAAGCTTTTTTTGCGTCATATTTAGTTTTTCCATCGAAATCTTCTAAAAAATAGTTCAAATAATTAATGCTTGGGCACCTTCTCGAGATGACAGCACAAAAAAATACAATAAAAGTTTTTATACCTCCTGTAATAAATTTATACTTGTAAATAATATCACACCTGGCTCCTCTGGTCTCATTCAACCTTTTATATGTTGTTTTACTTTTTACTTTTTGGAAATATTTCATCGCAAAAACTCCACCGACTTCTTTATTTTCTCTTTTCCGAATCCGCTCTCATACCAGCAGTTCTGTTTTATTGCTCACCGAAATTTCTGAAATTTCATGGAAAAATGCGAAAATATATTGACAGGACTCCCTCTGCTCTTTGGGCTCGAACTCATACTTGGTTTCTTTTTTTAACAGAATTATGAGTGATTTTCCCTTTATGTTTTTTTGCTTCTATTCCATCGTGTTGTGATCTAAAAAAACCATAAACCAATTATCAGAACTTTTTTTTTTCAATGTTGTCAATGGAAAAACTGAATATGACACCAAAAAGTTTTTTTGTGCTTTCTCCCTCCTTTTTTCCAACTATCAAATATCTCCTTTGATTCAAACATTTTTTGCTGTTTTTTTTAATAATAGAGTGTAGAAGAACTGGAAAAACAAGAGAGCAAAAAAAGTTTCACGTCAAAAAGGAATCGAACCTAGCATAGCGTCAGCGCCATTCAAGCCACTTCACCACGCTCCCAGTTGCTCGCTGAGCATTCCGAGCGCGGGCATATATGTGGCGGCAAAACTTTGACGAGCTTTTTCTCGGTACCCTATGGCGCTTAGCAGATTTTCTCTTTCGTTTTGGAGCACTCTCCCCTAGGTCTATCTACCATAAAAGCCTCAGTTCCTAACTCGATGTTCACCGCGCACACAGCCCTTGTCAGGCACTGGTGCGCGCACGCGCGGGGGTACTGATTCTTTTTTCGCCTTTTCCACTGAAATAAGGTTTTGAAATATGTTTTTCATATTTTTGTGATACTACCCAGTGCCCCTGCTCACGTTTTAAAGTTGTTCCGAGCACTTTCGAACAAATTTATGAAAAAAAAATTGCCAAGTGAAACTTAGATATTTCAAATTTTTGTGCAATCTAATTGTTATAAACTGGTGCAGAGCAATGTTAAGAGATGAACAGACATGAAAAAAATATTAAATTTATAACTTTTCAATTAGTTAAAAAAAGCTAAAAACAAAAAGACACCCCGCGCGTGCGCGCAGCAGGCGGCGCGCATGCGCACTCAACAAACGCACTCAAAAAACGCCGTCAGTGCCTGAGTAATGTCGTGTTGAAAGTAATTTCCGCGAAATGCAAAATGATCTCTGACTCTCCAAAATTTAGTGATCTTTTCCTTTCTCTAACGGGTATTTTGCATTTCGCGGAAATTACTTTGAATTCATGCCGGCATAATGCCGTGTTCAAAGTGATTCCGCGAAATTCAAAATAGCCGTCAGAGAAAGAAAAAGACAACTGAATTTTGGAGGGTCAGAGACCATTTCGCATTTCGCGGAAATTACTTTGAACACGGCATAAGAAAAAAAAAATGAACTTACGGATGGGAGCTAGCGCGCCCTAATGATAAATCTCTTGTCAATTTTCGTGAGGCAAGCTAGCAGCTAGCTAGCTAGCTATAGCTGTACCCAAGCTTGTGCGTCAGGCCGGCCGGCCTGGCCCGGGCTTTGGGCCTCATTTTCAGGAAAAAGCCCGCGTGGACTCGGGCCGGGCCAGGCTTCAAAAAAAAAAAATCAAAGTTTCATTTAAAAAATATTCACCGAATAGTTACTTTTACTTTTTGAAATCATAGTTTTTGTTAAACTTTAAGTTAAAAAGTGAGCAAAAAAACGTAATTTTTGTCGGAAAAGAACTTGATATCCGACTAGAAAAAAATTGCGCGTTTTATGCCGGGCGGGCCATTTTTTTCTTGAGGCCCCGCTAAGGCCGGGCCGGGTTGGGCTTACGAAATGGTCGGGGGGCCGGGAGGTGACGGGCCGGCCCTCGCACAACCAATATCGGGACTAGGATATTCTGTAAGATTTGAATCTTTTAATAATGGAAAGTTTTTTTACAAAAAAATATCTAGCCGACATTTTTTTCTTGGAATTTTTTTTCTATGAAATCTCAAATTTGAAATTCAAAAAAATGATAATTAACTCTCGTCTGAGCCAATGAACGAGCTCTAACAAAAGTTCCTGTGCATTCCGCAGTGTAACCAGGGTGTACCCCGTTTCGATATTATTAATTCCTATTAATGGACTTATTCCATATGCGATGTCGAAGTGACTTGTTTCGGAATATCACCACTGTGTAGCGTTTCATCCTAAGCCCAGGCTGTTACGGTAGCTAAAAAATACTTTCTATTTCCGACCGGTTGCCCCAGGGGTGCACCATCCAGGCCCGAAGCGGGGTGCACCAAAAACATTAACGAAAAATTTACTTTTTTCGGGGTTCACTGCGGGGAAACTTTTTTTAGAGTAAGTTTGATAAATCTGTGCATCGAGGATCCCATTTTGGATCGATTTAGGCGTCAAAATAAGCATCGCGATGCTTGAATTTCATTCGAACTTGATCATTCCCTTTACGCTTCAAATGCAAAAAAAGATACATTCGAGAAAGAAAAAAATTTTTCGTCAATGTACAAAAACACAAAACGAGAACGACAAAAAATTTAATCTTGTAAAAGGAAAGTAAGGCAAATAATAAATAAATTTAATCAGTATTACCGAACGCGTTGTTTTTTAAATGTAATCAGTATTTCCGAAAGCGTTGTTTTTTGGAATTACGCACAAGTTACAGTAAAAATTTATATGTATATATATATAATGAATGTGAGAGAGTTACTGACACATTTATGATGGAGATTATTGAGAAGCATAACAACTGTTTTTTCGACTTACAAATAGATAGATTGTTAGGAAATCTTGGAAGCTTCCAAGATTTCCTAACAATCTATTTGAAACTTCCGGAAGTTAAAAAAAAAAAACTTTTGAAAAGATTTTCAAGCAAGGAAGCAAATCTTCCCAGATAGTTTATACGAAGCGCGTTTTACACAAAACCTATAAAAGTTTGAAAACGATGAAAATTTTCAAAACAAATTTTAAAAAAACCAGAGTGAACACAAATTGAGAATGCTGGTTTCCAAGTTTATTTACAGCGGCTTTTTTCAGATGTTTGATCTAAGAAATCGGTGGGATATAAAGAGTGGCATCGAACTGATATGAAGAAACAAGAATAAGGTATCAAATTGAAAAAAAAATGTAATAATTTGAAAGTTCACAAAAATTTTAAAAAATTACCACAATCATGCATTAAAAATAAAATTTAAAATTCTCAATACATAGTAGTAAGCTAAGAAACTCTCGACAATTGCTTGGAAAAAAATGCAGAAAAACCCGTCAAGCTCGATTCGTCACAAAATTTATTTTTATTCAATTTTTAATCCAACATATTAGTATTTAGTTCAAAAAAAGAGAAGAACCTAGGAAATGATTCAAAAAAATAAAAAAATAACAGGAAAAAGATATTGTACTCATCCTTCACTCTCCACAATCTTCTTAACTATATCTTCTCGAGGGGAATCAGTATTTATTTCTTCTTCGATACGTTGCAACTCTTCCGTAGAAACCTGAAAAACCCGTCTTGTTTCAAACTAATCGACTGAGTTCAACCAACTTTTTTCAATCCTGTCTGAACGTTTTCATCGATCTCGCCAGCTAATTCAACGTTCTCTCCGCGGATCAAGAGAAAGCCTTGATTTGTTTCGCAATAAAACTTGTCTACAAAGGTCCTCTCGACGACGTCTTCCAAAATTAAATTTGCGAACTGATCTATGGATCGAAGATATCCAACGAGCTTTCTGCCATCTCTTAATACGACCATTAGCTTTTTATCGAGCTGTTCAAAAAGACTGATAGATCCGGGCAAATAAGGATCCTCTATCTCCATAATCTGAAAATAAATAACCTTTACTCTCAAAACAATCGCATTATATAGACAAAAAAAGCAGTATAAAAAAATAAATGTTGATTTTTTCGCATTTAGTCCCAGAAAAAAAGTCTGACAAATAGTGAAAACCAAGTTTCAAGTAGAATAAAATTTAAAAAAAGGCTTGAGATAAGTTCATTGTGCGAAAAAAATTGTGGAAACTTTTAAAAAAAAACTATAAATATGCGTTAACAAAATAATTTCGCAATATGCAGGTCAGAGCATTGAAAAAAGTTGATATCCAGTTACAATTTCTATTCAAGCGAAATCATGTTGAACACGGGATTTTAGTTTTGTTTTCTCGATTGTTTCAGTTTCAAATAAAAGTCCACTATTAAAGGCGCAAGCCTCTACGCTCTTACGAGAATCGCAGTGCCGTCCTACCGTACGCCTCCCCAGTGTTTTGGGACGGGCGTTTGAATAAAAAGTTATTTTCTTTTTTTAACTTTTTAAATAATTATTTTCCCGCAGTAATAGCGCCATTCCACAATACATAAGTTTTTATGTATTTTTTAAATATTTTTTGAAATTTTTTTACTCTAAATTAGAAGTGATAAATTTATTTTTTCTGGTTTTGTCTATTTTTGTGCATTTCTTCCATGTAGAACCGTGTTCTAAGTGATTTCGCGCAAATAAAATTTATCACCATCCGTCCAAAATCTTGTTATTCTTTACAATTTCTGAGTTTTATTAGCATTTTAAAGAATTGATTTTGATACGACATAAAAAAGCTTTCCAACACCTGATGCCGTGTTCAAAGTAATTTCCGCGAAATGCAAAATGGTCTCTGACCCTCCAAAATTTAGTTATCTTTCTCTTTCTCTGACGGCTAATTTGAATTTCGCGGAATCACTTTGAACACGGCATGAAGCTTTTTTGCCATGTTCAAAAATTTGAACTGGGTATTTGAACTCCAATAAATTTTATTCAAGCATATATACAACACAATACAGTTTAATACATAGGTTTTTTTTTCCGTCGTAATCGGCTGAACGGTGAAGAAGTGATTTTATTGCTCCTCATCAGATTCAAATTTTTATTATGCTCTGCAGAAAGTTTTTTGTAGTCCTCCATATATTTTCTCGCGCTTGTTGAATTATTTCTAGATTTTATTTTTTCTAATTTATATTCTCAGGGTTCCCCATGCCGCGCATAAAGACGGTGCAATCAAAAGTCGCTAAGACTCCTCGACGTCCTTTCGAAAAAGAACGTCTCGATCAGGTCCGTCTTTTTTTTTCTTGCTTTTGCACATTCCGCGCCAACTTGTAAGATTTCTTTTCCTGCTAAACAAAAACAGCATACTAAATTAGATAAAATTTGACCCCACTTTGCTTTAAGATTTTTTTGTCGTGTTCAAAGTAGTTTCTAAAAATCCAAGATTGTCTTTAACTCTCCAAATTTAGTTGTCTTTTCTGCTCTCTGACTGCTATTTTTAATTTTGCAGAATCACTTTGAACGCCGCATTTGCTTTTTTGCTGGCTTTCTAACAGTTTTATAAAGCAAACGTATAATTACGGTAACTTTTTTTTTGCTGTTCTTTATAAAACGTGAACGTATCACGCATGTTTGAGACAGTACTACGGTGGCCGGTCAATCAGTTTCACTCAGTTTCGGAGCCAGGAAATTTTTTTAAATTTTCTTTCTTTTTTGCAATTTGTTAAAGACCTATTTGTCGAGGTTACAATGTAAGTTACACATAATTTCATTTTATTATTGAAAAACTATCCAAACTACCGTAATACGACCGGTCATCGTAAACAGGTGTGGTCTCGTTCGGAGCGTTATGCCGTTTTCAATTTGATTCCGCGAAATGCAAAATACCCGTTAGAGAAAGGGAAAGATCGCTAAATTTTGGATAGTAAGATAATTTTGCGTTTCGCGGAATCAAATTCAACACGGCATAATATAACTGATCGAGTACCAAGAAATTGACACCTTTCATCGAAAAATTATCTTAATATACCAAATTTATGGAAGAAAGAATCTCATGCCGCGTTCAAAGCTAATTGCAGCAAAACCATTTTTCTAGAAAGAAGCTCGAGCCGAAACGCAGCGTGATTGGACGGCTTCTTTTTGGCAAGTGTCCAACTCATTCATCGGCTGGATTCCACCCCAGCGTTTTGCGCGCGGAAAAAAAATTTGAAAATATACTGAAATAGGCCGCATCCCGGGGTTGGGTCCAGCCGACGTATGTTCCATTTTGAATCTTTTTTTTTCGTACCAAGTGAGGGGAGCCAACCAATCACATTTCAAAAATGTTTCACGTTTTCTCCGATAGCGCTCTCATATTGGTGGGGTGAACCCGCTGTGCTAAATCGGGTGAAACTCGGATGAACGTGTAGTTCACCCGATTTAAGACTACGCGTTAAACCGCTTTTGCCGTACCGTTCATCCACTGGCCTTCTTAGCTCCGCCGTTCACCCAATAAAGCCGGACCGTTCAATGGCTAGCTTTTTTATTTATTTATTTTGGTTTTCGGGTGAACGGCGCGGCTAAAGCGGTTCAACGCGCCGTGCAAAGCCGGGTGAACACAGGTTCATCCGAGTTTCACCCGGTTTAGCACAGCGGGTTTACCCCACCAATATGAGAGGCCCTCAGAGAAAGAAAAGGACAACTAAATTTGGGAGAGTTGAAGATAGTGTTTTGCATTTGGCAAAAATTTCTTTCAACACTGCACATTATAGTTCTCTTTCGAAGCGAATTCGGCGCCGAAGAACATTTTTTCGGGGTTTGAAACATATTTCGATGAACTCAAAACACAATTTTAAGCCCCGTATAAGATTGTGAAGTTATGACTTATTAACCTAAGCGGTGCTAATGACCAGCCTTAGAGCTAGTGCATTGATTTTATCTCAGCAAACGTAATTAAAATTGAAAAAAAAATAATGAGTATGAAAGCGGTAGAAAGCCTGTTTAAAATAAATAAAGAAAAGAAAAATTTTTGGGAGTCGGGGATAATTCACGCTCTTTTTATAATTTGTATTTTTTTGCATTTCGCGAAAATCACATTTTTCTGACTCTCCAAACGTTTTGTTATCGTTTTCACTCTGACGGTTTTAAAAAGGCTGGAGAGGGTGGCTAGTGGGCGCGGCTTAGCGCAACTGTCGCGCAGTTTTAGGAGACGTTTCTCCGCGTAGATTTACTTTCGCGTGTAAATGTTTTTGACTGTTAAACTCTGTAAAACTGTTCTTTCCTGAGAATATCGTACGTGGAAATGTTTATCTCATGACGGGGAACGAGAGGAAAACCAAAAAATTTATAGAAGCTTATGAAGAGTGAAAAATTAGCGATTTTTCGAAAAATCTGTTTTTCGCTCCAAAATCTTGAAAACTCGCTTTTTTCTGAAAAATTACTACGGTGAACTGTTGATCAAACAATGGAGAATACGATAAAATCAAAGAGATTTTTTCGAATAAAGATTGACATAAAGAAATTAGAGCTTTTCTCGAAAAACCTGTTTTTCGTCATTAAATCACTAAAAAGTAGTCTTTTTTTGAAAATGTTTCACGGTGAACTATCAATCAAACGATGGAGAACAAGTTAAAAACGCAAAACAAGTTGCATTAAAAGGCTAAGGTCCAAATTTTAGACGATTTGCGAAAACTGAAAAACTTCGCGAAATCGGGAACAAGAAAAATCGTGTTCATCGAAAAATGTTCGTCTCAGTTATTAACAACTGTGGAGAAAAAATGGAGCAAAAAGATTTAAAAACAACGAAATTAAGTGAAAAAGTGAATTGAAAAATTAATAATTATCTGATAAGAAGTGTACGCTGGCGCGAACTTGCTTCCTTCTACCGTACTCCGCCGTTAGAACTTTTTCATCAGGGCACATTTTTTCGCCTGCCAGTTTTTCTCTTCACGTCCACCCTTTTCAAAACGCCGTGGCTTCATAATTTGACTTTTGTCACGAAAGTATTGGAAAAGGGTTTTTTTTCAGGAGTTGAAGCTCATTGGTGAGTTCGGCCTCAAGAACAAGCGTGAAGTATGGCGCGTTAAGTACACGCTTGCCAAAGTCCGAAAGGCTGCTCGTGATCTTCTCACCCTTGAGGACAAAGATCCGAAGCGCCTTTTCGAAGGAAATGCTCTTCTTCGCCGATTGGTCCGAATTGGAGTGCTCGACGAGGGAAAAATGAAACTCGATTACGTTCTTGGTCTTAAAGTCGAAGATTTCTTGGAGAGACGTCTGCAAACCCAAGTTTTCAAGCTAGGGCTTGCAAAGTCCATCCATCATGCTCGCGTCCTCATCAAGCACCACCACATTCGGTCAGTTCGTAGGAAGAAAATACTTCAATTTATTTGAATCCGGAAAAAGGCGTTTTTGTTCATTAATTCGGTTTCAGTGTTCGCAGACAAGTCGTTGACGTTCCATCCTTCATTGTCCGCCTCGACTCCAAGAAGCACATCGACTTCTCCCCACAATCTCCATTCGGAGGCGGCCGTCCTGGACGTGTGAAGCGACGCAACGCCAAGAAGGCTGACGGCGGAGAGGGCTCCGGAGATGAGGAGTAACTTTATTTGTTATACCAATAAATTGTTATTTGATTAATGAATGTATTCACAGCAACCTACTTACGCACAGTACGTGGATTCATCAAAAACTTTAGATTTCACAGGTTTTCTTGAAGAACGCCGTGATGTCGGTACTATTGGACTTTTTTGGCATTCCTCGCTGTCGGTCGTGATTGTTGAATCGGTTTTCTTGGCTTGCGTTGGTACAGAAGTTGTTGACTGGAATTAGGTAAATCAGGAAACGGTGAAAAAGCCACAGTAGAACCTTTTTAGGGGGTCCCATAATTTTGGTGTCAGCTACACGTTTAATAGCGGGCGTTGATCCCTGAAATGTAATTTTCTTATTTCTATAATTTTTTGCTTGCACAAACTTCTGTAGGAGCAACTGTTCTTGGTTTCGATGTTTCTCGCTTCTGGGAAATCGAAACATTTCCGTCAGGTCTTGCTTCGCTCCTTTTGGTTCGAGCCTCTTTCAGTTTCGATTGATAAATGCTGTACATTGTTTCCAATCGCTGAAAGGGGAATAAAAATATTTGAATGCATCTCAAAATACTTGGTAAGAGTCGTCGAAAACGGGATACAGGGAGTGGTAGTAACACTGCTTTCCTCCAAACATCTCGCAGCAAACTCTTGACATTCGGTTATCGCAGAAAGTGTTGCGGAAGAGTTCACAAGGTGCTCTCGCCTTTTCACCATGATCTCCCCTTGCTTGGTCACACGAGCAGAGCAAACTCCGCATGATTTCTTGTCTTTCTGAAACAGTTCAAATTAACATTTCGAAAGCCGTAAAAATTTTTGAGTGGTCATTAAAACGCACGCTAGCAGCCACAAGAAAAAATTCTTGAGCGAGTCTGAAAAATTTCATATAAATTGGCTAATGCCCTGAACATGCTTTCAAATGGAAATTTCACCTTTTTCGTTTATGGCCTTGACGCTGTGTGTGGTTGGCAAAATGTCATACGAACTTGCCCAAGCGTAAACGTTTGCTGAAAAAAAGTTTTCAGTAAGTAGATTAATTATATTTGATCGGTGATAATTCGAGATGAATATTTTTTTTTTCAATAGGCCGGTGCGAAACCTTCACTAGGCCACGGATCTTCGCTTTGCGAATGGTGAACTTTATAGGGATAGTGCGGCGAGTGCCGATCAACTTCGGCAATGTAGCCGTAGATGAAGGGAAGGTTGTTACCGCGACCAGGCTTTTTGGTGCCCTGCCTCAGCTGTAAAAGAGAGAAAAAGATAGATCATGAAGTCGTGTTTTACATATACACGTTCGCCGACTGAATAGCCAAGCTCCGCTCCCAAATCTTCAGGATCTAAGAATCCGACATTCTTTCTCGATTTCTCTTGGTCAACGGCGCCCCGTGGACTCGGCTCCTTCTCTTCTGACACTCCCAGCGGCTTGCGATTGAACATTCTCTGCGAATCGAGTCATCATGGTGAAAATCGATAGTGGAAGAAACCTCAAAAGGGCTCTTCCCATTGATGGCGCGGTGGTTGATTTCCATGATAGAGAATGGAAGCATCTATAAAATGATAGTCGGTTGATCACAGAAAATCTTTGAAAAATCTATGAAAAAATCGTCATATTAGTTCTAAAGGCCTTTTGAATGTCGGTGCAAAAGTGCGTACAATAAATGAATGTATTCCTCCAAGAAAAAAAAGGCAGAAAGTTTTTTTGATAAAGAAAAACGTACCTCGACCCAACGATGAGGGCTTCCTAGTTCGGAACTGGCGGATTGTAGAAGACCTTGCTCGATTTCGTCATATTTTGGCGGCTTCAAGATAACTGTACATTCTCATAAATAACTTTGAACTGACTTCGTTCCAAACTTCGCGAATTTCCACAGAGAAAACAGTTTCGATGGCCCTCATGGCTTCTCGGATCAGAGTCGTCGACATCGAACACGAAAATCCTTCTGAAGTAATGTCTATGCTGTGAACCCCCTCAGAAAAAGCAACGTGGAACGCCAAACTGGAAGAAAATCTCGGAGAGCAGTCGGATCAAGACGGTCCTACTGGGATCCGTCAGAGCTCGACCCCACAGAAACTTTGTCTGTAAAGAAGGAAACAACTACTCGATCGAAAAAGTAGATCAAGAGTGAGTATATATTTCATAAAAAGTTTCCAGGCGCTATGTAACGCCGTTTCTGAGCCGTGCCTTGATTTTATCCTTTGTGTGATAAGATAAGAAAAACTTCAACGGAGGGTTCTATACTAGATCTACTAGCTGTGGTGAACTGAAATTGAGCGGCTATTTCCAAGAAAGTTCGAGACACAGAAGGCACATTTCTACAACCTTTCACTCTGATTCATCTCCACACCGCCTAGCAGTGAATAACCTTACCAACCATGCCTTCGCAGAAAAATAGAACGAACCTTCAAGTCAACGACCATCAGAAAGTTCTCATAAACAGCGTTTCCATAGACAGTTGCCTCGATGCCAACAATGTCGATCTGGAAACAATAGCTGAATTCGAAAAAAAGATAAGGAAAACCTGTATAAACTGCAAGGCGCGGTCTCCGTAAAACTCCGGTTTCATCGGAAAATGCGCTCCAATCGGTCGGCAAATCTGATTTTTTCCGGTCGATAGAGTAAGATTATCAGAAGAGAAAAAAAGAATAGATTATAAAAATAAAAATTAAAAATTTTTCTGAAATTTCGCTAGTGAAATAGGCTCATTTTTTTTACAAATGAAAAAAACATCTTCACCTAGTCAATTTTGAATCAGAGGCAAGATCTGAAAAAAACTGAAGGCTTTGAAATAATTTCCTCAGTGCATTTTTTTTTTTTGCAACCGTTCGGCTCGAAAAACCGTTAAAAACTCTTTTTTTCAGTTTCACACGCCGATCGACGATATCTAAATACTTTGATAATCAAACGTACAAATATCCGATAAATCCAAACGTCATTAAAAGAGGATCGTTCGAAATCACAGCAAAAAAATAAAACAAACCATATGAGAGTAACGATCAGTTTTCTCCGATTTCGTCTCATTATTCTCAATATGGCCGATATGGTAGAGTTGACAGAAGCATTGAACTTGGCTGTGGAAATTGAAATTTGATAAAACAGCCGAGGAAGAAAAAAAAACCCAGTTTTGGCCTCGATGCGAAAAGAGATCTGCGCAGGGCAACAGGCGCCTTCTTTCTGCATCCGGAGACGGGGCAACCGATGTCTGGAAAAGAAAAATATCCCAAAAAGATGGTAAATTCTCCAACTTCGAAGATTGCAGGACGAGCTTGTGTTCGCTGCACGCGCAGTGCATCACCTGTCAAGTTTTTTTAAAATTTTTTTTAAACGAAATAATTTCAAAAACTTTCCAGACCTAACATCATAAACAATTCAAACCAAACCAAATCATTTACTTTTTTTTTGTTTTCGTAAGTTATAATCAACTAGGCGGTGAACAAGAACTTTTAAAGCTATAACGAACAACCGCCTTCGGCGATCCAGAAGTCCTAGCGTGTAGTCGAAAGATTTGAAAGCATGGCTTTCCGGTCCTTCGCCTCGTTCTTCTGCGCGTAGTCTATTCAGTTGCGCCTTGACGAGCTCAGAATACAGCGGATCTTGTAGCTGAAACCCGGAGACCGTGCTCTAGGCCTCGGACTGAGAGCGACCACTTCGAGTGAAGATATTACACCAAATTACACGGAACGGAAGCTCTCTTTCTTCTTTGGTTGTTGAACTGAAAAACCTGACGCCGATGTTTGGGTTGCTTGGAGTGAAGCATGAAGCGCGACTGCGAAGACATTTCCACAAGATGGCGCCATTTCTCGAACTCCCCGATATTGGCGAACATTTTCTGATGAACTTCGATTGGCGCGTTATGATTCATCTGCAAGAAAAAGTCGTTCTTTTCTAAAAATCGGGGCTCTTCTCATCCTAAACCGAAACGAAAACAAAAAACAAACCGTCAGATGGCGTCTCAAGGAAGCCATGGCGGCAAAAGTCTCGCGGCAGTCCTGCACGGGACATAGGATTGTGTTCTGAAGTCATTAACAACGGTTCAAGTTATGAATCTCCAGTTCATTTTATGAGCTGGAAGTAAATATAAAATGAGAAGGATTACCAGAGAAGTTTATTCACGATTATTCCAAGTCTGACTCAAGAACAGGACTTGCTATATCACTAAGAATAACTGACGAGATAAACGCGAGGTCGGTTGCGGTACATTGACGAACTCGCAAACATGTCGCTTTTTTCTGGGCGCGAGCTCGCATTCTTCTCGGCGCGACCTCGCATTTATCTTGCATTTCGGAAATTTTCAAAATGCGAGAGAAATGCGAGCTCGCGCCTAGAAAAGTGCGAGCTCGCGCCCAGAAAAATGCGAGACCGGCGCGAGAAAAAATGCGAGATGTTTGCGAGCTCGTCAATGTACCGCCAGTGTCTCGCGTTTATCTCGGCAGTTATTCTTAGTGATCAGAATAGTTCATAAAAACCGCCAGAGAGTAGTCAAGATAACTAAACATTTTGAAAAGTCCAAGATGTAAAAAGTTGATTTTTTTTTTATTCAACGCTAAAAGAGTATTCATTTCTCCCTAAATACGGAAGGTTCCATTTTATGACCGAAAATTCTCAAATAATCGTATTGCGCCCGGCCACTTCAAAAAGTCAATTGAACTGGAAAAAATGGACCTCTCCGCTAAATTTCATAATTGGTTTAAGTCAGAGCTAGTGATTCTGATCGAAAATCTTTCATTTTTTCTCAAAAAACTGGACCTGAATATGAAGATATTCCAAAGGTCTGTGTGCAGGAGTTTTTGCCCAGCGTAAACTTTTTTGAAAATAAAAACATTCCTATCTCTTCTTTATATAAAACTAACAGCTTACAAGGTTCGAGAAGTCTCGAACTCATTGACGTTCAAAATTCGCGCTGCGTAAACTTTCATGCACATCATTGAAAACAATTACTTCATAACATCAAAAGGAAATAAATCTGGGCTTTTGATTTCTTTCATAAGTCTGTATCGTGATTACAGTGTTTGTCGGGAACATAAAAATCTCTTTCTCAACAGCTCATCTTTTTGAAAGTATATTCACAAGAAATTCTTCACTAAAACCAACATTGAAGGATCCATGGGACTTATAGCGATGGGTTGTGAACGCGACCCTGTCAGGAAACTCGTTTTCCTGAATCTCGTCGTCAGCAAGGAAAACGGCATGAAGTATACCCTTCCAAGGCGCAAACAAATTCGGCACAGAAACGTCCCTTGCGGTGTTTCCTCAGGCTGGTAAAGCTACGAAATTCGAAGTGATTATTATTTTTCACCAAAGTAACTTTATTCCGTTGAGCGACATTCATTAAAACTAACCGATAAATAAAACCTTCATTTAGAAGGACATACCTATACTTCTTATACTCTATCCTATACCATAATTTTTCAATATTACCTCGTACAACATATTCTGTTCCTGCATCACGTGAAACGAGCTATCGTACTCGAATCCAAACCCTTCGTTCTGAAAAATAGGAGTGGAGGAGTCAGGAATATATTGAGCCGCACCTCTTCGAGAACGACTTCTCCGTCGACCTCATCTACTTGCAACTCTTCCTCGTTTTCCACTGTCAGTTCTGGTTCAGATTTTGATGGAGCTTCAGAAGTTGTTGCGGAAGATGTAGACGCATTTTTCTCTTCCATTTCAACACTTTGAACGCTTGAGCGACATTAACCAAACAAAATCAAACTGAAAAACAGAACTGCTTATTGTTTTCTTCTACAAAAAGGCTGTTTGCAAATTATCGCGTTCAACCAACAATGGAGCTCATTTAAGAATGTAGTTGGAAGTATCCTAAGAATATGCCAGAACTACCCTTCATCTACCAAAAAAATCTCAACCTGCCCAACTTTTTAGTTTTTGAGAAACTGAGCCCGAAAATGGCCTAGTTTAACGAATTTTTAGAGTTTTCTTTTTGACCTCAAAAATTCCTTTTTCAAAAACTAGACAGATGTGCAGGTTTGAAATTGGTCTTTATCACATCGAGGAGTTTTCTGGCCAATTTTCAGGAAATTCTCAACCGCAAAGAAAAATGAACTTTCCTTGTAAGATGAGACGCTATACGATGACCGTGAGGTAGTCAGATCAGGTCAGCCTCTTCGTTTTTCATTTATTACGTCACTTGAAATCTTTCCTTCTCCAAAATGTTTTGCCAAAATAATCTTGAAAAACAAAAAAAAAACGAAGAAAAAAATTTCGAAATCCGATTTCTCACAAGGTCGTGCAGAAACAAAAAAATGGCGAGAATTTAGAAACAAAGATTAAAAATTAATATGTGAGACAGATATACTTCTTGCTATAAAACAATACTCCGTGTAAATATTGAGAAAAAAACCCAAAAAAATTAAAAAAATATTTATTAACAGAAACCCGTCGGTCGATATCATTGTAAACAGTGTCCGTGAAGATTAAAAATTATAAAACTCGTAAAAATTAAAAAATGGACGCATTCCTGAAATGTTTGGAGAGCTGTGATACCTGGAACGAGAGTGGATATTCGCCCTCCCAGCTGAAATTTATTTACAAGGTCAGTTCTTTTGACGTCCAAACTTTTTGACAACTTCAGCGGTGAGTTCCAGTCCGCGTGCTTCAACTCCAATTAGAGATTGGGAACTATTAGTGATTTCCTGAAAACAAAAACAAAAAAAAGTTTGTATTGTTATAAAAAAAATTAACCTCTTTCAAACAATTAAAGTTCTGTTGCAATAAAGGGTAATTCTGCGAGTTGCTCATCAACAAAGAGCCCAAGTCCAACTGAAAAGATAATGATGAGGGAATAAGTACTTAAGAGATAGAGATAGAGAGAGACCTCGTTGACAACGTCATTGAAACTCCTGTCAGTGAATCTGAACCGCTGTTCTCTGGGATGAGTCACGCCGAAGATAACTTTGTCGAGATCCAACTTCAACTCTGGAGACAAAACCCGTCCTTCTTTTTCGAACTCTCCCCTGAAAAGATGGTCGGATTGACGGAAAAATAAAGATGGAGAATACAGAATCGTGTCGAAGCGACGGAGCTCCACTCGACCGTAGCCTACTGACAAAATCTTTTCGAAGGTCTTCAAATCTTCTGGCGTGTTCAACTCGATACGTTTCATTTCGTACTTTCCTCCTGTAAAAAGAAAGAAAATTGAACGATTCCGTCTTATTTCACAATTTCTCAGACAGACCTCCGATCTCAATCGAAGCTATTTTGTGAAGAGGCGGCAGCAGACATGGGGCTGTTTTGACGTACTTTTTATACTTGGAATTTGAAATCTATGCGAGAATTTTCATTTCTTGTTTCCGGTTGTCAAACACCTTGATGTTGATAATGATGTCGCACTGGACGACCTCTCCATTCAAACTCTGCACAGGAACGATCAAACGCGGTTCGACGGCCAAAACCCAAAGGAACCTCAGCGGCTGGTGATAGTGGCTAGAAAGGACGAAAAGTGAAATATCGGTGTCTCAAAAGTGAGACTCACACATTGTCTGCAATATTTTGTGCCAGAACAGGGAAGAAAGAGACGACGAGCAGAGCAACAGAAAGCGGATCGTCTTTGAAGCAATATCTGGAGTATTTTTTTTTTCAGAACCCAAGTTTCTCAAGCATTCTTTTATCCTACAATCTTTTTCAACGTTCGAAACCCGCAGTACATTTGGAGTCCTTATATTTCCGTTTAATGAAGTCAAATTTCAGAGGAACGTCGTTCTTTGAAGTATTGTTGGATTTTTCTCATTTCTTGGCAAAAAATAGAAAAGAATAATAAAATATGTAGCATTGCCAGAAAAATCTACCCACCGTTTTTAAGCTCAACGTTTTTGCATTTCTTTCCCGATTTGTCTTGCCCATTCACCTTCCCTTGCCCATGAAAAGCATCCCGATAGCCTGATGGACGGCAAGTTGTTCGTGGTGCTTCCTGGTGCTCTCGAGCCACTGGTCGATCCTGTCGTGCATCCGAAGGAATCGCGCGTGACGCAGTGTTTCGCTGTCGCCACTTCCCGCCATTACCTACAGAGCCGTTTCAGATTCGCGATGGAGCGCAAAAACCATGGCCATCGAGCAGAGCAGCGACGAAGACACGACCGAAACGACGCTCTCGCCTGCGAAACGAGACACTCGCTCGAGGTTCCTATGCTTGTCGGAGTTGTGAGGCAACACGATCTTGATGTATTTCTCCTTCAAATGAAAATTGACAAGAGTTTGAGGAGGGGCCAACCAGAAGAAGAATGAGGTCCTTCTGTTCGTCAGAATCAGATCCCTGCGAGCAGAACTTCAATGCAGCAGCAAATAGAGCGCCACAAATCGAGTAGAGGTAGACCTGAGGGAAGGTAGCAATGATTGAGAAGAAGCCCCTTGAAGGGGAGAAAACCTGGGAAAGAGTCTGGCGGTCGACGATTTCGTCCCACAGCGGGTCGTCCTCGTCGTGCATGATTCCGTTTTCCGAGTTCCAATCCATCGTTGACTCCATGTATCGTAAAACTGCATTTGGGACCTGAGTTCAACATTTTTTTTCCCAGAAATTAGACAAACAATTCAATATAATAAAAGATGTGCAATAAAAGATTGGTATTGAAGGCTGTAGAAATTAGGATACTACCAATGAATTATTATTTTTTTGACTGAAACCTTCTTCTTCCGACTAAATGTTCAGAAAGTTTTTCATCAAATTTATTAGAATTTTGACGTTCCTCGTCAGTTTGAACTGATTTCCGTGCATAAACTGTGGAAAAGTTTAATGACCAAGACAGGTCCATTGTTAGTAGAATCTAAACAATTTTTTTTCTTCGAAACCATATTTTTCTATTTTATAGCATGCATTGGATGAAATTCGCAATCAGTCAATCTTTTTTAAATGATCCTGAGAACGAGAACGGCACCTGCTTGATGAGCCAACTCTCGGTGGGCTGAATGTCGTTCCACATGATGAGGGCGTGGCTCAGAACGCGCGAGAAGACCTGAGAAGGTTCGAGTAATGAAAGAGGAAGAGCCAAGTTACAAAATCAGGGCGAATCTGTTCGAGAGCCGTGATGGAGTCTGGGAGACCGACTCGTTCGGCGACGTACTCGTTGCCTGTCCGCATGAAGGTCAGACCCAAGGCGATGGTCGCCGGCTGGGAAACGAGGTGCACGTTCATTTTGTTGCCTTCCTGCAGACGGCAGATGTATAACAAAACTCCATCTTTGTATTCTGTTTATTGAAATTTCTTCCAATTTTACAATGTTTTGATTGGGGCGCATAAAAAACCCGAGCCGCAAAAACACTATCGTCAAATTTGATTTTGGAAAAGTCAGCGCGACGCTTTGGGTTTCCGAAAACTCGATATACTTCAAAATTTAATGATCTTGATTGAAGCTTTCTGCCTTTTTTTTCGATTGAGTTTTGCAAATAAGAATGATGAGCGTTAAGTTTTTCTCTACCTTCACATGATTTGAACGAGGAGGTGGAGGTACAGTACTCAAGTCTGCTGTCAGAACGGGCGTCGGTTGGGACAGAAAGACGCATTGATCCTTCAACTCAGTTGTGCAGATTAGGTAATGAATCGAAACTAAAGCCAAGAACCTTTCTCATGAAAATTTACGATTTCTGCATCCAAACGAATTCCAAAAATTGAAACCTTTCCTATCTGTTTTAAAATTTTTCAAGGTTTCGAATTTCAAAGCGATTTTTCATCTGGATCCAACGTTCTTTTTCAATGACTATTTCACCGGAAGCAAAAGAACTTTCAAGAAATACCCTCGGACCACCTTGCATCATGGTCAGAAGCCGTTCGGTGAGTGATGGAATGGGCTGTTTGAAAGGCAATCGAGACGACATTATTTCGTTCCCTGGAAAGGTGGATAATCCTTGGGAGAAAAGAAAAGAAAACCTTTTCCCAGCATTATCAGACCGATAGAAAACCCAGCACTGAGTTTGTACGACGCCCGATCATAAGCTGGTTCTTCTTCTGCTGTTGGCGACCTACCAATCTGAGAGCCAATATCGAAAAAATGACGAGTAGCGATTTTGGATTTACCTCATTTATCAGCTTGTTCGCCAAAGTTGTATTACCCGAGTTGGCAAAGAGTAGACCTAGAGCAGAGATACTCGCAGTCTGAAACAGAAGAAACTAGTCACAACACTTGCTGAGAGCGTTTTGAAAAATGACGGCTTTCGAACGCTTATTTTTTTTCTCCAGAATTTCAGTTGTTGAGCTTTTCTGACGGACTAGATAAATAGGAGGCTTGAAATATTATTTCAGCTAACTTTTTTCAAGAACTATTGGCTCAAGGAATCTTTTAAAGATTATGGGGTTTTCAATTCAATCAGCTTTTATTCTTCTTTCATCCGAATAGTTCAGCATCTTCGTTTTCTGAGACTTCGGGACGTTTAATACGTATAGGTCCTGTTCGTCGATTTCTCAAAAATCTTGGAACTTCTCAAATTTCCTAAAACCATTTTATTCTGCCGAGGAAGACTCAACTGATCGTTTCAACAAAGGACATTCCAAAATTAGAAAATCAAATTGAAATTAGAATCTACCGTCAGTAGTGCTCAACAGAAAACAAATTCGATAGAAAACAAAGAAAAAACTCCGAACCCTGAAAACATCAAAAAAATCATTTCAAAATCTTCGGTTTCACTTCCTTATTTTCTTAGTCGTGAGCCAATTAATTTTTGTGCATCAAAAGCAAAGACTCAACGAAACTCACTCTCAATGAAAGTTTTTTTCTCGTCATCTTCAAAAATGTCTTCTCTTTTTGGAAGATAAATTTCATGGATTTACCTGAACAAGACGATCGACCTTCACTTCCAACATTGTTGCGCCCATCAGGAACGGCAAATGTGAAACCAGGATTTTGTGAATTTGAGCATCACAAGAGGCGAATTTCGAAGCGGCCAATCCCAGCAGAAGTCCAACGGATCTCATCCTGTCCAAAGAGCACAGAAGCTCATGAGCTCCGTAGAGGTTGATGTTGGCCAGATGTCCGTTGAGTCCGAAACCGAGCGCCATTCCACAAGGCGCCGACGGAAGACTCTGCAGAGCAGTCGGCATTCAGAGACGGTCCGACGGATCTTACGCTTTGGAGATGGAGCGACATGGTCATCCACTCGCTGTCCAACTTCAGGACGTCCACCGATCCGACTTTTAGGGCCACCGCTACGCCGTTGTAGAACTCGGCCCAGTCCTGGTGAAGGCGGAACGTCTGAAAATCGAATCGTATGCTCCAAAATGATTAAAATATTTGGCGGTTTTTTTTCAATTTTCATAGAAACGGTAAAAGGCTTAGAGCTACTTTGAATCTCGTGAAATCAGAATGCAAAAACCCAAATTTACATAAATCTATATCATTTTCAAAAGCTTGCACAGTCTGGTCTGTCTATCTGCTTCTGATCTCTCTCTTCGTGTTTTTAAATCCTTATTTTGTCAATAAACGCATCGGTTAGGAAAAAAGCGCAAAAGATGCAAAATTTTTAATGCTGTGATGAAATGAAAAGCTCCAAGACACGGCGTTCCTAATGGGGGTGGGGGAAGGTGAGCGAGGCGTCAAAGTTTCTGAATTTACAGAAAAAGTTTAGTGCGCGCTACGGATAAAATTACGTCACGTGACGTCACAATTACACTGAATATTCAACGTTAATAACTTGTTTGTTCGATGGCCTTCGGCTGAAGTACTGTAGATTTCAAATTTCGCGCCAAAATTTTTTTGACGTCTTGCCACCCCGTTTGGGAACGTCGTGAAGAGCAAGAATCAATTATTGTAGAATCGATGACAAAAGGAATATGAAAATTTTCAAGCGACCTCTGTGTTGACGGAGTCACACGTGACGCGGGTGGGATAGACCTTGCCGCCAAGGGCCAACGGCGGGACTTCCAAGGGCTTCAGCAACGACGGGACTTCAGTCCGGAGCTCGAAGAAGGCTCGCCCAAAAGACTGCGTGAAGTAGCGAAGAGAGGTGCACAGGAGAAAGTTGTCCTGGTGCTCCTTCTGGTTGGCTTCGTCGTTGGGAGCACTGTGCAGAGTTGATTTTCAGTCAGAAGATATCTGCCCACATGATGTTCATGGCAATGAGAACGGGTTTGAAGGAGTCGAGCATGGCTTCTGCGTTTTTCATTCGCGAGTCTTTCGGCCACCGGAGACGTGCGATTCGAGCAACCTCTGCCTCACTCGGAAAACCACTGAAACCAACTGAAATACGTTCGAAGCTTCGCCAAAACCAACCAATCAGCCAGGGTGAACTCTCTCATCTCTGTCGCGGCATCCGTCTTGAGCCTGAATCTTCAAATTTCGTTTTCATCCTACTTTTGTACAACACTTCAGCAAAATGAGACGAATCGAGGCTGGATAGTTATTTATTTCGTTGCTAGTGATGCCGAACAAGTTCAGCAGATCGTTTGCTCTGTAAATGAAGGTTCTGAAATAATCGTCTTCCCAACAACTTTTGACAGGATGGCGCGTCCGTGCCGATGATCGCCGAAACTTTTTTGCTCTGCGAAATGTCCAAGGCGAGTCTTTTGCGCCAAGCTCCGCTCAACCAGCGAATCAACTCAGTTCCCGTCTTCAAAGTCCCGACCAACACAGCGGTCACTAAACATTCTCCATTGTTTCTACTTTTGAAAAGACAAGATCAGAACAACAAAGTGGCGATTAAAAAGAGATGCTCGCCTGCACGTAGCTTCCCTATTTTCGAAACTCAAAAAGTCCTAGTTTCACTTTCTTCAAAGAAGACAGAGATAAGCGGTGAAATATGAAATCAGACATCCTTGTTGGAAACCAAGACTTCCGGAGAAATATAAAAAAGGAAAAACGATAGATAGACTTGTAATAATCGTGAAGATATTTTTGCTTTTTGCTAAACATAAATTTGAAAGAACGAATCTCATGCCCCCAATCAAGTCGGACAAGGTATTTATCAAAATTAGAAATTTCCTTCTCGGGAATACACGGCGTTCTTGTCAGTGAAAGAAAATGCAGAAAAAAAATACTAGGGGCGGGCCTCTCTAAATCGTACGACTACAGTAGATTTGATCTGTTCAGGATCCGTTTTTGGATTACAAGACCCACCCTTTAAAAGCTCTCGCAAGATTTACGGAAAGAGTTAACTGAAAAAAAGCATAATTTTTTTGCTTTTTTTACTTTTTTTAATATTTTTGTTTGACGTTTTTTTCTATAAGCAAAAGATATTACCCAGTTCCTTAGACGTATTTTTGAAACCGGTTTCGTGTAAATTAGAGCCAAATTGAATTTGCTGATGCAGTTTGAAGATTTTTGTTATATGAATCATCTAAATTATATATTTTTTTCTAGTTTTTTTGATGGTTTTTTTGGATCAAAAAATTTCGCCATACGAGGTTTTTTTCTAAAATTTCTGCTTTCTATCCATTATTTGTTTTTCTAAAGCTAGGTTTTCAAGGTATATAAAATGTTTCTTTTTTTCATTTGCTCCTCGAATTTCCCTCATTTCAATATTTTTCGTATTTATAATTGCTTATTCAATGGGAGCTAATTTACCTTCATAATAATTTTTGTTTTAATTTTGTAATCAGTAATTTAGAGTTTTCCCCCTCCGAAATCGTTCCTAATTTTTTTTAAACGTAAGTGAATGTTTTTTTCACATAATACTCTTCAAACTGACAAGATTTCGAACATTTCAGGAGTTATTATCCTAAAATTGCGAATTCTAAAATTGAAAAAAACAATTTTGAGTATGAGATAGTGCGTCTCGGTGTGCTTACACCCTAAGCATCATAATTTACGAGAAGTCTTGACCTTGCGTAATAAAAAAAACGCCGTGAATAGTATTCAGACAACTTTGATTGAAATGAGATAAAAATGGAAGGTTTACAGGGGCCTTGCAAAAAATTGTATATTTGATAACGTAAAAATTGTAGTCATCAGTTTTGTTGTATATTTGGTAATGATTATGAATATTGTCATTCCTCTTCGATTTTAAACAAAGTTTGAAACTGGTGAATCGAATCTCCTTCATATTTTTGAAGTATTCCGCGTTTAACCGCCACCTTTTTGAAAAATTGAAAGCGCCTTACCTACAAGGACCTTCAAAGCTTTCGATGAAGCGTTACCCAATGGAATATTGTGTAAACAACACTTTCGAACAACTTTTTTCAGGGACTCCAGTACACAGAACGGAGGAATGCTGCCTTCGCCAAAGACTGAACATCCAGATTACTCCCAAAAGGCATCAATTCCCCGCCTTCTTCTGGAATTCCCTCATTTACAGTGACTGACGTGATGGCGGAGGAAAACTCCTCCTCGTACAACTTGACGTATTCCTTCTCGCCTATAGTCCTGCAAATATGCTTTCCAAGATGAAGATTTTTTGTCTGTTTTCAACTTTGCCAATGCGTAGATGTAGGGTATAGAGACAGAAATAGTCCGATGTTGCGACGTGTGCAAAATACATTCCTAAAATCAATCGTTGCAAAAAATAAAAAAAAAAGGTTTAAGAAATTAGTTTTCAGTACTGTAGATCTCCTAAACATCTGATTTCAATCATTTCCCTCAGTTTTCAGAAAAATCTATTCACGATAATAATGGAAACCATCAACTAAAAAGGTTTCCACTGAACTATTTAGCAAGATTTGATTGACCATGAGGTGATCATGTAGAGCGTAGAATAGCTGCCGCGCCAATCCGACAGAAGGCGCGGCGACGTCGACGACCGTCCGAATAGACTTCGGACGAGAAGATCCAACAGGCGAATGTCGCATTTTGACGTCGGTCTTCGAACCAAGAAACTCAGACATACGGTCCCACACCTAAAACTTTTGAATTGGTTTCTTTTTTTCCCGAAAGAAACACTTTGCACTGTACGTAGGAACTTTAGGCGAAACGTATAATTTTTGAAATCTTTTTTGTTTGTGCTTTTTCTACATTCATTGAGATACTATTGAATATTGGTGCTTTGAAAGTTATATTTTTGAATCATGTTTCTCTCAGTTATAGTGGAGGTCATGGACCCAAAAAATTAAAAAATCGACTTTTTCCCTTCTTATTCATGCAAGCATCTATTTAAATTTCTTCTTTCAGTAAACAAAAATAAACTTTCTTCTTTCGAGTCAATGCGAGAGGAAAAATTGCTGATGATAGTTCTCCTCAGAATGAAAGATTTGGAAAATCGACTTCTAACATGTTTTTTGAATTAACTTTGAAGCGAATTTTTGCTCCGGGACTTTTCTTGAGTTAACAACATTGCGACAGCGAGCCGTCCGGGTTACAAGAAACAATTTTTCTATTTAGAAAATCTCCAGTTCAAGTGGAACCTCTTTAGGTGCTCGTCGCGGTCTTCTTTGCTTCCCACCAACTTCAGGAGAGTCTTCTTCAACTTTTTCCCTCTCATCGTTCACCGAAATTCCGACCTGCGCGACTAAGAACTTTAGAGCGTTTTGGAGCGCCTGAACAAAAGTTATTCTGGAGGTTGACCCATCATCTTCACATTTTCCATAGAAGAGCCCTGAAGTCGGACATCGTTCTGAAGTCTTGTTGGCGCCGTTTTCGAAGACAAGGGACTCGCTCGCCATTCGCCGTAAACATGTTGCGAAAAGGGCAACGGAAGAAGACGCAGAACGCCGCGCATCAGATTTCCAACTGTGAAAAAAAGCTCACACTCGAGGTTATATTTTTAATATAACTCCCGATTTTCATAACCCGGAAGTTTTTTTTTCAAGTTTGTCCAAAAAGTTTTTTGAGCTTTAGAAAACCAACCGGAAGGCCATTCGAAGGCAGGTGGCAGCTGAATTTGATACAGACTTTTATCTTTGAGCATCGTGAACGAGTCATCAATGCATGGGAACAGGCGAAAATACGACGGGGTCGGCAAAGGCTGAAAAATGAGAACCCTTGTCAGTTTTAAGTCGAAAGATAACTACCATAATCCCACAAAGAACAGCTACTTTGTTTTTTCCAGCGTACAGCGAGATTGATGAATCGAATTCGTGGACGACGGTCATTCCATCTGACTGAACAAAAAGTTGGAATAATCAAATGGGTGTTGAAATTAGAAACTTTAAATACATTTAGGTAATATTTCAAGAGAGTAGAGGAAAACAGTTTCCCACGTTCATAGCCTTAACATATTTCAAGTCAAAACACTTTCAACAAAAAATAGTAGTATCTTTCACATTAAAAAGCATTTTTTCTGGTTTTCTTGTCTAACCTGAAGGAAGGTGGCATCCGCACAAGGGATTTTATACACCTCCGAGGACATGAGAGAACAGTCGGAAGAGGGATTTCCTCGTGAAATCGCGTCGACACTTCCGATGTCGACGACACGGAGTTCTTGCGAAGCGGAGATCATGTAGTTGAGGTAGACTTGCGACAAACTGCGCGACAGGAAAATCTGCAAACCCCTGTCTGTTCAGAATCCATCAAGGAACTTTTTGAAAGAATCCTTAATGAGTCGAGAAGGCGAGAAAAAGTCTCAGATTACTTTGTTGGCGACGGAAGTCTGCTCGCTGGCTGGCTCGACGAATACGCATTCGAGACAGAGTTTGGACAGAAGAAGGTCGACGTCAGGATCCTGTTCCAGTATGCCCATCCGATTGACGCCACTTCTTTTGACGACGTGCAACCTCGGGGTCTCGCGGATCATTCTGGTGAACTCTTTCAGCAAGTTGGTGTTGCCCAACGCTCTTCCACATCTTCGCCAAAAACTCATTTTATCTCCAACATATAAACCTACAGTTGCTTTTTGGGCAGTGTCGGTGTCCGGAACTGAGCGCTATTGGCGACGTGGGTCAATGAGGAATGTATTGTGCTGGTCGAAGGCCGACCGGTGACGAAATCATCGCTATGAGCGACGTCATCAAAGAACGGCGGCGGTGCGCGGGTCAAAACTCTTCAAGAATGTGATGATTGTATCGAAATAAGGTACGAAGAACCTCTCGTGGAGGTTTCGTTGCAAGTTTTGTCGGTTGCTCAAGCCAATTGCCGATCTCGGAGTTGCGGCGCCAACTGGCGTCGATGTCCAGTTTCTTGGCTCTGCTGCTCTTAATGACGCTGAAAAAAGTAAGGCTGATCACTCTCCTTTTGAGCGTATCACATATTTTTATTGTATTTTCATCTCTCAATATCGTTTTTTGTGCCTATTGTCACAGGCTCAATTTTTTTTTTTGAAATTGCTTTTCTGGATCTCTACTGGGAAATTGAACAATTTTTTGGCAAAACGGCTCCGAGTCTTCTTTCCCACGCAGACTATTAAGGACGACGATTCAGGACGCGAGGAACTGAGAAATGCAAATGTGATTTGTGCCCGCAGGCGATACATCGCAACTTTGACACATTCACCCTCATCAAAACGCCCGTAGAAATAAGTTTGAAGTTTTGAAAAGGTGCAATTTGTGCAATTCAAAAGGTGCGAATCGGCGGAGTCGCAGCCCTTATTCAGCAAACGCAATTTAGCCGTAAGGACGCACGGCAGCGAAAACATGTGCGAACATATAAACAATCACCAAAGGCTATTCCTATTCCACTTTTGAGAAATATCTTTGTTTTTGGAGTTTGTTTCGTTTAGAAAGCAGTGACGAAGGCAGGCGATAAATAACCCAATCAGAGAAACATGCGGCGCATCCGTGAGGTGCCGCCTCTTTCTGGCACACCCTGCCTTTCAGTCATCTTTCAAGACCTCAATTGTTTTTCGCTCGCTCGCGAGGGTATTCCCCAACACACTTTGGTCGCCGTCTGAACATTATTGTAGGACGCAGTAGGATTACCTTTTCATAATCAAGAAGCATTTCGCAAGAAGCCGAAAAACTCGAGAAAATGCTTGAGAAGAGAAAAAGAGGCTAGCGTCGGACACGATCATCTTCCGAACTTTTCCCCGAGTCATCGCTCCAGTCAACATACTTAACGTACAGAGGCACTTCAGGACTCACTTTAGGAAAACTAAATTATCTTTGTAAAATGTACACACACGTTCATCATTTAATTCTCTTATTTCTTCAATATAATTCTCAGAAAATTTTTTTGAGCTCATTTCCCTCATTTTCAGCTTTGAACATTTTCTCCGAAAATATTTTTTGCTGTTTTCTTTTAAACTTTCAAAATGGAAATTGTTATTTAGATTACTATACAAGGTATGCCTTTTGATTTTTTCAAAAAGATGGCAAGGTAGCGGGGAAAAAAAACTCGAATTAAAAAGTACATTCACTGGTTACAAAAAAATGCATCCAGGTCTTTTTTTTTTTAATATTGAAGAGAGAACTTTTTTTTTGAAGTATCATTCAGTTTCTCTGCCAACTGTTCGTTAAACCGCTGTTTGTTTGTTAAACAAGGAATTTAAGGTTGAAATTCCAAATTCATTCATCTTTTCAGTGAATAAAATTAGTACGACAGTAATAAGCAGGAAATGTGAACGAGCGGCGAAGAATGGGCAATCAAACGGCGCGAGAATTATCCGCGCACAAAAAACACGTTATCCACACCTGGGCTACGATCTACAGTCATGAGCCGCAACTGCTCAACGAAGCCATCAGGTAATTGATTGCAATCCACTCTCAAAAGAATTTCCACCTAGTAGTGCGTATTCTCAGCCAAAGGAATTCTAATATCGTCCCAAAACTTATTTTTCTACTCACTCCCATCTATTTATGTAAAAGTAGATTGATTGATTGTTGACGTGTGGAGTAGGAAGCTTGTCATCGTACGTCATTCTTTCCTAACGACTTCAGGGAAGATTCCCATAGAAATCTTTTTCTTCTCACGAAACGTATATTGCTGATAAATCAAAGAATGAAAATTATTATACAAAAAGATTTTGAAAATTTTTTTTCCCCTACTGAAAAAAACAGAATTTATAATTGGAAGGTCTTAAGTAGCGCAGGGTATTGCCTTACCTAATAGGCCGATGTCAACAAGTGAAAATGACATTGCATTTAAAAACAACTTTGAAATTCAATGACTTCGTAAATAACGTTTAAAAAATAAAAAGTACTTTCCATATTTCTTATCCTGAAAAAAATCGGAATCAAATTTCCACCGGAATCATCTCACTTTGTTACGTAAATACTTGAAATTCAACGATATGGGATACGACCAGAATAATTTTGCAGCGAAGCATGGCTTAAGTCTGCAGAGCTAACACCAACATGGGTTTGGGCATTGGTAGATCTACCAGAAACGATGCACTCAATCCACAAGGAAAACGCACAATTTGTCAAAATTATCAGCCAGGTTTGTACTTTCCTCATGCGTACTTTTTAAGACAAAATAAGAAAGAAAAAAAAAATACTTCGGCTTTGGAAGATGATTTAGTCACCATTTATTCTTGAAGCTGTATTTCTAACGAAAAAAATAATAAGAACAAGTTTATATAGGTTCGCGACTTCCTACACATTCTGATAAAAGTGCACAAGTGTGATCCGGAGATGATTAAAACGCTTGCCTTCCGTTTGGGAGCTCGACATCGGTAAGGGTGTGAATTAGTTCGCACAAAAACAGATATTCAAGAGTAGAAATGAAAGACTGTAACTCAAAGGTTACAGTCACTATATGAACGAAGGCAACGACAACTCCTATTGGGCGCCGTTTGCCCAACAGCTTCCACTTTCGATCACCAAGACCTACATGAACGTCGTTAACAACGATAATAGGTGGGTAAGGAAAATGATGAAATTGAGGTGAGGCAAACAGTGAAAAGAAGGTTGTAGGCTCCGAAAGATTCTGCGGATTCGTTCACGAACAGATAAAACTGAAGAAGAAGAGGTGTGCGAGTCATGGCGGCAGTTCATGTGCATGATAATCGAGTCCATGAAGCGTGGTTACGAAGGTTGCGCGTCTGAGAAAACTCCGCTCCGGTTGAGTATAACCAAGTGAGGTCTTTTCACGTTGAATTCGTTCCAAATGGGCAATCTTTTCTGTTTTCTCGAAAAAAAGGATTCTTAAAAAAACTACTTTCTTTGCGCTTTCCGAAAGACAGGATAAACTTGGCAGCTCGATAATCTCAATGGCATCGCTTCGATCCACAAGAAGCAGATCTGCGTCGCACTTCCTGGAGCCCCACGTCTCGCCGGCCATCGGTTTGTCCCCAGATAGACACTCCACCAACAGGCTCGCTGCACGTAGAAGCATTAGATGAATCACAAGCACTGCATATTCACTCGCACCATTGTACCGTTCACTCGTAATAAATTTTTTACACATTTTATCGCTTTTTTGTTTGTTTTGCTTTTGCTTTTTTTTCAAAGTCATGCACCCAGTCGCACACAGCCTTAACCAAACCAACTGCAGCGCCAGTTTGTGCCGCCACGAGTCCTTCCTCCCCAATGACGCCCTACCGCGACCGCAACATTTTCCGCACATCCTTTCACAGACATAATCAAGACAGAACGACCATGAGGTAAGAAGCATAAAAGAAAACTTTCACTTCAAATATTAGAAATCTATCAAAGTCCATGTTTTCGAACTACCTGAGCAATACCATTTTTTGAGACTTTTAATAAAATTATCATAATCATCTAAAAAAAAATCAACAACTTTTTCTATATCCGGTGTACCGTAACAAAACCTGAGGTTTCGTAACCTTTATACGAACTAGTTAATGGGACATGGGCTTTTCTATAGATAATGGAATAAGAATATTTGTCGACTCTTTTTTTTTTAATGTCCATTATGTTTCCTCTCGTTCCATTATACTGTCTTTTCAGAAAAAGAAAGCTATAAAAATGAATACATTGAAACGTTTTTTTGTCTAATGAGAAAGGCAAAGTAAAAAAAAGGTACAGCGAAATCTCATTATTTTTCGACTTTTCTGATATTATTCTCAAACAGGAAAAATAATGAAACAAGAAAAATTCACAGTAAAAAAAGATGGAAACAATTTGTTAGAAAACATTTTTTTCGCGAAAGTCCCACGTCTGGTGAAAAGCAAATTATGATTTTCCTTATTGATAATCAATCTTTTTTTCGTGGACCTTTTTTTAAGATCCTTTAAGACACCGCGTCATCCACTCAGTTTCGAAAAGCTATTATACTGAGCATCCAAAAAAAAACCATTTTAAAATAAGTCTAACAACTAAAAAGTTCGTGATTCAGAAGACAATCGACCCCAAACCACCCCTCATCGCTGCTCAACAACTCGGATCGTCAGCTGCTGCGACTGACGCAGATCAACGAACGCGCCATGGCCAACCGCGGAGCACAAGATCAGCGGCGCTCCCTCACTCTTCTACCGTTTCATACATAACACCAAAAAACCCCTCAATAAACCAAATTTCGCATCAAAGAGAGTGGCTGACCTCCAGGAAAAGAAGTGTCAAATACCGAAGAAGCGAGAGGCGTCGAGTGTCCGAACGAAGAGGCGTTAAAGCTCTCCGGCGAGCGATTCTCCATGTCGGCGTCTACAGCTTCAGCCAAGGCGAGCACTGCAACGCGACATCACGAACAGGAGAGAAAACGACAAAAACCGGCCGGAGAACGGTGGTTCCGCAGCGCCGAGAACTCGGTCGCTTCGAGCAGTTGTCGCGGCGTCGGCATAGTCGCGTCGGTCACGTCGTGATGTCGCTGTCGCGCTCCTTCGATCAGACGGATCGCAGCACGAACCTCCTCCTCTTCTGTCTCGCGAATTTTGTAAATTCGATGAACCTTCAAACCGTATCAAATGTGTGTGTGTGTGTGTGTGTGTGTGTGTGTGAGAGAGAGAGAGAGGACAGTAGAAAGAACTCTAAGAAGTTCTTCGAAAATTTAAGAACGATACAAAAGTTATAAGACAGATAAAAATTGCTATTTTGAACCCTAGTTCGTTTTTTTTTTCGTGTAACTTCAGATCAAGCTTTAGGATTGAGCTAAATCTAAACGAAAAAGTGAAATGATCCGCACAAAAGAGCCCGTTCTATGAAAAAAAAAACCAAAATATAGCGATAGGGCCATAGAAGTTTGAATAAATGTAGCTTTGAATCTATTCCTGAACCAGAATTATCTTTTCAAGTTCTTTTTAAGCGATTTTCACCCACTGATAAAAAGTTTATGAAAATTCGACTAAGAAATGTAAACGAACTCCCGAGAGAACGTCAAAAGTCAAGACGTGGTTCTTTTCGGCGCCCACAACTATCGCGTCGTCTTGAAGTGCCTGCCAGCAGAACTTCCATTGTGCAGAAATACCTTTAAATATTATTACCCAGACAAATGTAGAAAATAAGAACCTCCAGAAGACTTGTAAATGACTGGCAAAAGTTCGCCGAACAGAAAGGATAAGGAGTAAAGATGAAACGCGTCGGTATGTCGACATTTGACGTCACTCTGAAATTCCAAACTATGGCTCTCTAACAAAAGAAAATTTTTCTGCTCTCTCTCTATATATATATATATATTGCTATGAGAACGAAAAAACTATGAAATCATCTTGATCAAATCAATCAAATCATTTATTTTGTTGGTTTAGTCATAGATGTATCGACTAGGCGGTGAACAAGAACTTTGAAAGCTATAACGAACAACCGCCTTTGGCGAGCTAGAAGTCCAAACGTGTAGTCGAAAGAGTTGAAAGCATGGTCTTACGGTCCTTCGTCTCGTCCTTCTGCGCGTAGTGTATCCAGTTGCGCCTTGACGAGCTCAGAATGTAGCGGATGTTGTGCTGGAGCCCGGAGACCGTGCTCTAGATGGAAGCCTCAGAATGAGAGCTACCACTTCGAGTGAAGATTTTACACGGAATGTTAAAAAAAGCAAGTGATAAGTTAAAAACAGCAAGTGTCTTGTTTAAATTAAAATGTACGTTCAAGCCTTTTTTTCTTATTCATTAATAATAATAATTTATTCACAGATCAGTCATTCATTGGAGTGGCTCCCAAAAGCAACGGGGAACCGATTTCGCTGAACACCCACCTCAGTGTCGTAAAATCGTTCAATCAAAAGGCCAAAGTTTGTGGGATGAACTTCGCGAACCTGAAGAAGTTTTAAATAACGAAAATAATGCGATATTGTACAAAGTGAAAGATAGAACGTTGTGAAACAACCGAACACATGAAGTTTCATCTCCAGATCTGGCGTAACTTTAAAGTCAGTACTGATTATGAAATTATTTCAAAAGCAATAGTAATGAAACTGTAACCTGGAAGGGGACTTCGTAGTGGTAGAGGTGGAAATCTTCGACGGCAATGAAAACCAAACGGTGTTCTCCGCAAACGACGAGATAGTCTTTGAGAACGCGTTTTTCGCTCGACTTTACTCTGTTTTTTGATTCGAAAGAATGAAAGAAGATCTGAACCAGTTCCGAATTGAATCAAATCGCATGAGATCAGAAACTTTGACTATGGGAAACTGAACATCAATTCTGTGGGAGACCTCGCCGTTTGTTCCGAAACCGTTGATCATCATCAGTTGCCGCCCCTTGGCCAGCGCCATTAGAAGACCCCCTTCTGACCGTTTCCATGAATCTACGAGGGTCTGAATCATTCAAACGATCTTTTTTTCACAGAATTCATAGAAAACTTCTTTTAAATAAGCCCGATTATGCAAAATTATTTTTGATACGCGCTTCACCGAAAAAGAGATCTCCGACATAACTTCATATACTTCGTACTTGAGAAATTTTTACAATGCGACCAAAAATGAAACACTTTTTGAAATTATATAATATTGCAAGATCCCTTTCGTTACGATAATTATGAAAATTCATCCAAAATAAAAACTACAACTTGTCTAAGTAAATACAAATGTTTACTCTAAAAAAACTGCTGAAAAGGCTATATAGAATTAGGAAAACAATGGACAAAAAAAAACCTGGGTGCCGTCATCCTCACCGCCTATCAAAATCTCGAGATGACGTTTGGCTGTTATCATAACCGTCTTACAAGGATCACTCATACAATTGTTGCCACCTCCCTGACATTTCTCGGAATTGGAAAATTTCTCGCTCACACGAACGTATTAACTGCCGACGGATCACAGCTATGAATAAAAAAAAGCTCTATAGGTGTTGAGATCAATCGTTTACTTGACAAAAGTAAGAAATTATATCAAATGCAATTATTCTATCATATAGACCAAAACCGGTGAATTGACAACCAGATCAATAATAATCAAAGGGTGAATAGTGTATATGTTATGTTAGTTCAAATGATACATGGTGTGAGATTTATTATTGAGCTTCTGCCGCTGGAGTCTCCGGGGTGAGCTCGACGACGTCGCTCTTCTCAGTCGTTTCCATCTGCTCTTCCCTAGGAGGGACGATCGGAATGTTTTCCTTCTTGTTCTCCTCCACCTCCACATCCTCTCTGGCTTTCTTCGCGGGTTCTTCAGTTTTTTCTTCTGGGGCGGCTCTTTTCACCGGCTTGCGCAACTGAAGTTATAATTTTAAAAATGCTCGTGCACCATTGAAGTGAAAAACTTTTTCTATACATATTGCTATTAAGGGTCCCTAGTAACTCAAACAAAAAAATTAAATAATTTGACGAAACAAAATTAAAGTGAGCAAAAATTGAAATATTCTACTAATTTTTGTTGGGATATTTAAATTTACCACCAGGGGTTTTTTTAAAATTCAAGTTCTATGAATAGTTAATACAGTGTTTCAGTCATGTTTTAAAAGCAAAGCACAAAGAAAGCTACCGTTAACAAAAAAAAAAATCGTCGCACTTCCATTTTACACAAATTCAAAAAAGGACGCGAACAAAAAAAGTCTTGAAGCGAAGTTTGGTCAAGTTTAGTACATGGTATTTTTTGAAACAAAAAAACGGGAGAGGCTGGCGCGTAATAAGCTAAACGGACCATAGACGTGATGTCGTTGGCGGTCTCGTCCGTGGGAGCATTCACTTTTGTAACAACGTTCACCAGACTTCCGAAAGCTTCTTTGAGCACAGATTTAGCCTGAATGAATGTTATTTTGAAAACCTTTTCTTGAAAAAACCTTAGCCACTTGTTTAGCGCTTTCCTCTGCGTCCGTGATGAGAGTTTCGATTTCAGGAATAATCTCCTTGAGGTCCTTAATCTCCTCTTCCACCTCTTCTTTGTTGGTTCCTTCCTTATATAGACTAGCCGTCAAACAAGCTGCAAGAAAAACCCAAAATTGTCCGAAAAAGTGAGTGAACACCAACCGATACGAGATTTAAGAGTGTTCGAAGACTTGGTGAAAAACTCAGAGGCCTTGTCGAAGTTATCGTTAGAGCGATGAGCTTTGCCCACTATTAGGAAACTGAAAGGAAAGTTATTTTATCCACACATTAATAATGAAGTACGATTCGGCCAGAACACGCGAAGTTGGGTCCAGAATGCGCTCATTCAGCTCCAAGGCCTTATCGAGTTCATTGAAACACTGCAAAGAATTGTTCCGTAATTATTTTAAAGAAAATTTTTTTTACCAGGTCGAACTTGTTTTCATCAGCGGCATGCTGTCCGAGGTAAAGGTGACAATCGGCTTTACGCGTCTGCCACTTTTCCTTTTCCTCCTTCTCAGAATCAGAAATCCTTTCAAGATGTTTGTCGCAGATGGATCTCGCGACCTGGAACGTTTTCGTGATCAGACAAGAGGTTAAATTAAAACTACAAATATCAACGTTGTGTTGGCAAACCTCGAAAGCGTTCCATGCAAGTTCCATGTCGCTGGGATCATCTTCTTCGTCCTCCAGCTCCTCTTCGTCGCCAGCTTCTTCTGCTTCTTCGCCTGTTTCCGCGGTTTCCTCAGCACTTTCCTTCTCTTCCTCCACGTTCACGTCGTCATTTTTTTTTTCTTCCTCCAGTTTAACTTCGTCAGTTTTCTCTTCTTCCTTTGGTTCAACTTCGTCAGTTTTCTCATCTTCCTTTGGTTCAACTTCGTCAGTTTTTTCAACTTCCGCTGAAGTTTCTTTCTCCGTAGAGTCCATCACGACTTCAGAAGATTCCATTGAATCATCAACAGTTTCTTTCTTATTAATTCCACCAGATTCCGAAGTTTTCTTATCGTTAGCCGACGTGGAATCCTTTTTTTCTAAAAAATGAAATCTAAATTATTTGTAGCCTTCTTATTTTTTGAATACCTGATGACTTTTTTTTTTCTGCTTCAGAATCTTCTTCCGCATCCACGCGTGTTTTCGCAGTTGTCGGATTCTCAAACATCAGAGCCTTCGATTTTCCCATCCCGTACAAAGCTTGTCCATACAAGAAGTGCGGTTCGAAAGATTTTTCATCAAAATTCCCAAACAGTTCCACGCTAAAAAAAAAACTACAGATATTCTAAAAACATTCTTCAAATGTACGCAAGTTCAACAGCTCTGCTGAGAGTCTCCGACGCTGAAGAAAACTCGTCTGTCTTCAAAAAACGACGCCCAGCTTGGAAATTGGTTTCGAACTCTTCCGTCGACTTCGTATTGTCTTCAGCGCTCATTCTCAATCTGTAATATAACCTCTTTTCAAACTATAGCCTGTTCAGATTTTGAATGTCAAGCAGCTAACTCCACCCCCAAGGCTACAATATCTTTCGCGTCAATGTTTTATCTACATATGCCAATGGCCCTTTAATAAGGCTGCTTTTTGACCTCTTTTTCTATCTTTTAGATCGAAAAAGATCAAAATTAGTCCCGCGCGATGAAACATCGACGCGAAAAGTTACCGTCTCAGCAGGGGCGGAGTTAGCTGGTTGACATTCAAAATCTGAACAGACTATATGATTGAAACAAAAACGGTGCCACGGATCCGGAAAGAAAAACATATTGTTAGAGGCTAAAAATTACACATGAGATATTTCCAGCGCAGGTATTAGAATTTCGGAAAACAGGTTCTTAAAGCGAAGTAAAATTCATCTTCGCGGAGCATTTAATTTTTAAAACTTCAGAAACGTGATAATTATTGTCTTTCATCATATTGTCTTTTGAAAATTTTCATGAGAAATTGAAAAAAAAAGTCTACGCGGTTTTAAGTTTGATTATCAGAGGGGGAGAAACTGATTATTCAGACTTGACCAAATTAGAATAAAAGATTAGTATTAAATCTATAATTGAGCGGTTACTATACCGCTGGGAGAGTAAAACTTAATGCCGTGTTCAACGTAATTTTCTCGGAATGCAAAATTACCTTTGACTCTCCAAAATTTAGTTATATTTTTCTTTCTCTGACGGCTGTTTTGGGATTCGCGAAATCTATTTGAAAACGACATGAAAGAGATTAATGAAAACATAGAAAGAATTACTGCAAGTAAAAAAGAAAAACCGATGAATGCGGCGATTTGGGCGCGAAAATTTTTGAGTTAAAAAAAGACCTCCGTAGAGCAGTTTTTCCTCCTAATATCACTTCCCTCAGCGCGAGTCTGAAATGCATCCAAATTGGTATATGCTCGGACATTGGTAGCGCGAAACGGACGTGCTCCGGACGTTTCTGGGCGATTCTAGGGATTCCTTAAGAGTTCTGAGGCTACTAAAGTGGTCACTAGAAATGCCCCGACACGTCCGTTTCGCGTCCCGTTCGCGTTACCAAGGTCTGAGTGATTCCTCCTCCCTTGTACCCGATATTAGGAGAGGCTGAATTTTCGAATTGATGAGTAAAAACTTGCTAGTGCGACTTGGAGAAGTTCTACCTTAAACATTGTGTACGAAACTTTCGTGGCTTCAGTCTTAAGCTTAAAACATTCAAAGATTCGTTTTTTAATTTTCTAATTTTAGTAAATTGTTCTTGGAAATTTTTTGTCTTTCATGTAAGAAGTTTTGCCATCATCAAACAGCTTCTCTACTCTGCACCCATAGTTTGAAAGAAACGCTTAAAAAGCGCCAGACTTCAGGCTGACCGCAGCAGACGACGAAAGCGGTCAATTATTCAGGACCTGTGATGAGACGGGCCTGTTGAGCCCCGAGGCGCATTACACTTATGAGCCGCATATTATAACTGTGTAAAACGCGTCTTCAGCCAGGCGAAATTGCACTCACCACTTTACTCGTTTCAACATCATTCGTTTCAAGAATAGAAAAAAAAAATTTGCAACTCTTCCTTATTTTTCAAAATTATACCTGATTATCAAAACTTTTTGTATCGGATATGAATTCAAGAACAGTTGATCTTGAAAGATATGAATAAAATCGAAAACGCCCATAGTCTGAAGAGAACTTATTCTGAAAAATTTTTTTGTCAATCTTATTCAACAACTCTCCAAGAACTTTCTTGACACTGTAATTAATATTTCATGAGTATGCGAGTTCTTCGAGAAATAGGTTATGAATTTGATGAGGAACATCAACTGTGGTTGTCCTTCTTGATAGGCCAAAGAGGAAGAGGACCCCGTTGGAGGCGTGGAAAAAGTCTTTGTACCTTCATTTGGGTGGCCCTTTGAAGTTTTCTTCTTTCTATTTCCTAGCTTGTTTAGGCACTTTGCGGCGCCGCAGGAAATATGCTGAAAGACTTCTCTCGCGGCTCAATTCGCCAAAGTGCCATCCTCAGCAGAAACGCGCTGCTCCCTTATATAGGCGGTTCAAGCCGATTCCTCTGGGTGTAATTTGCTCGCGAAACAAAAGAGCCGCCTTAATATCGTTCTTTCCTTCCAGTATATTGCAGAAATACAGTACGTGTAAAGTTAGATTTGAAAAATAAAAAACAGATGACGTGTTCAAAGTAGTTCGGTGATTTCAAAATTGACCCGTTATTCGTTTTAAATAGTTTCGGGAAATAGGCAGAATAGGTATTCCGGAAAGGCGCAGAAATAATGAGTACCACAACGATATATCGCTTGACATGCATTTTTACTGTAACTTTTACGCGCGAACTCAAAATTTTGCACTTAGTTGGGCATTTTCTACAAAAATTGAAATTCGCGCGTAAAACTCACCGTAAAATGGCCTATCAAATGATATATCGTTGTGATACTCAATTTTTTTTGTGCCCTCCTTCCTATTTCTCAGAATCATTTTAAACGAATAAAGCGGCTATTTTGAAAAAGCTGATATTATTTTGAACCCGGCAAGATAGCTGTTAATTGCAATTTCAGAATTTTATTTAAAGTCCATTGAAGTACATATATGTCTCGTTCAAAGTTATCTTTTTATCGACCTCACTTTCTTTTCTTTTTTTTCTGATTTTTTGAGACCATTTTCGAGAGATTTCCGGCTGAAAGAGATCCAGAGAAAAAAGCAACGAAGCGATCGCAAATATAGGATGTTACAGTGAAATATGACGTCACTTTGAACCAGATTATTTTTTCATTATTTTTTAATCTAAAGTTTTCGAACGCAGCATTATTTTTTGCAGGAACGGTATTTGAAATGAAAATATCATTCTCTGCAAAAGTGCGGTTTTTCGCAATATCAAGCATGCTGACTTTCGAAAATTAGAAGAAAATCTATTTGAGACGATATTATTATCTCAAACTTTTTTCACTGATGATATACTTCCAAGTTCCCTGGAAATGCAATACCGCTATATTTTGGATAAGCTTCTCTGTTATCTGATAACTTAACTGGTTGAATTCTCCTGATCGCATTTAAAAAAAAAGATGCTGTCCTATTTTCTTCTGTTTTCCATAGGGTGTATCATCGCGCTTTTGGCTCTGCCTCGATCTTCTGCCATTGCGACAACAACTCCTTTCTGGACGGCGTCTTCGCCCTAATGCATTTCCAAAACCGCGCCAAAATAGTTCCTTTATTCTAGATAAAGCTGAAAAATAATTTAAAATCGGAATTATAGTAGAAAAATTTTTTAAAAATGATTTGTCGTACACACATCCACGAATTAGAATGAGCTCAAGATTATGAATAAAAAGCACCTGGATAAAGCCTTAATTCTCCTCAAAGCGAATGATTCTCCGGATTTCGCTTCGTATTGAATATTTGTTATGCGAATTTCTCTTTTTCTTTTCGAAATACTGGGATCGAAAAAAAAACTTTGAAAAGAGGCTGGGAGGCCTGTCTTAAGTGTTTCGAAGTTCTTTTCGAGCGGCAAGTGGTCGCGGCGTCGTGCATAAACGATTCTCGCCTCATCAATTTTTTCCGAACCTTTGAGTTTCTCTTTGCACCTCTGAGAATCTTCCCTTCTTCAAATCTGATTGTAGTCCATGTTGGCATAGCTTTTCATAAAAAAAAAACGAAGACCAGCGTTTAAATTCTTTCAACGAGCTCTACAGAAGAATTTTTAAAGATGAAAGTTTTTTAGATTTTATAATAACTGAAAGCAGTAATACGACGACAGACTCATTTGTCGTGCGCCGCAGGTGTGCCATTACCTACGTTTTATCGACTCTTGCATTTGTTGAGTGAAGCCCCGCTGTGTTGCTCGATTATCTCGCCGCCAAAGCCCTCAGCACATCTTATTCTTTGTTTTTTTTTCTCATTCGTTTATCCAATCCAAACTCGCGGTTTTGTTCTCATTTCATTTGTTTTCATTTATTTTAATAAGTTAGCTTCTGTTCTTGGAGACCATGATGAATAATAACCGCATATAAAAATATTTATTTGACGATATTTCACGTTTTATGTCTGGAGAAGCCTAACAAGGGCTGTGTGCGCGGTGAACATCGAGTTAGGAATTGAGACTTATATGGTAGATGGACCTAGGGGAGAGTGCTCCAAAACGAAAGAAAAAATCTGCTAAACGCCATAGGGTACCGAGAAAAAGCTCGTCAAAGTTTTGCCGCCACGTATATCCCCGCGCTCGGAGCCAGCAACTGGGAGCGTGGTGAAGTGGCAGTGTTCTTGAATGGCGCTGACGCGATGCTAGGTTCGATTCCTTTTGACGTCAAACTTTTTGCTCTTGTTTATTCAATTCTTCTGCAATCTATCATCAAACAAAAACAGCAAAAAAAAAAGTTTGAAAAAGTTCTAATAATTGGTTCATGGCTTTCGAGATCACAACACGATGGGATCGAAACAATATAAGTGAAAAATCACTCGTGAAAAAAAAAGAAAAAAGCTTTCTCCTTTCTTCTTTCCCAAATTTCAATCAACTCCTTCAATTCAAACTTTTTTTTTGCTGTTTTTGTTTGATGATAGATTGCAGAAGAATTGAATAAACAAGAGCAAAAAGTTTGACGTCAAAAGGAATCGAACCTAGCATAGCGTCAGCGCCATTCAAGAACACTGCCACTTCACCACGCTCCCAGTTGCTGGCTCAGCACTCCGAGCGCGGGGATATACGTGGCGGCAAAACGTTGACGAGCTTTTTCTCGGTACCCTATGGCGCTTAGCAGATTTTCTCTTTCGTTTTGGAGCACTCTTCCCTAGGTCCATCTACCATATAAGCCTCAATTCCTAACTCGATGTTCACCGCGCACACAGCCCTTGTAAGGGGTCTTTGAGTACAAGCGATGACTAGTCTCTGAGCGCTCTTTGGACTTTTTGGCGATTGGCAAGCTTCCTTTCTTATTAGTTTATTATTGGGTTCTTCTAGGCAACCGAGGAAGTTTTTCGGGAAAGTGCAGCTTCAAGAGAAGCTGAAAAAGAAGATGCTTTTGAGAGCCTCGAAAAGTTGTATATTTCAACACGCAAGACGAATAATTAGAGCAATCTGCGATCTTTCGCTATTTCAAATTAATTCTCCTATTTTGCCACAGGCTCATATTGCTAGCTTGTTTTCTTATAAGATCCAACTTTGCCACCTTTTTTGCTCTAAAATCTCACCAAAGAAAAATCTCTTTTCGAACTTTTTTAGTTTATTTTTCCATTATTTCTCAAGATTTGCAGGAATATATTATATAAAATTTTCATTTTTCGAGTCTTTGTCGTTGAATCGGAGCCCGCTAAATACATCTTCTCACGTTTTTCTTCCCGCCAAATATACCGTATACCCAATTAGATCAAAAATGGGCATCTTCGCTTCAAGACCTCTGTATTTTGCTGCCTTTTAGCAGTTTTGTAGAGAAAAAGCCGGTATTTTTTCTGTCCTTTTAAAACGTGACCGGAATGCACTATAAGATTTTTTACCTATGTGCTCCTGGATCTCTCCTGTGAGAGATTTACTCAGCAACAATGAAAGGATAAACTGTTGATTTTCTTACGCAATAAACCTAATTTAGCTGCAGTTTTCAAAAACTACTTTCAAAAAAATTTTACGGAAACTTCTCTATTCCAGTATATTCTTGTTTTTTTGGTTTTCGCTAAGATTTTCTCGATGAACGCTCTTCGAACGTCGTTAAAAAACAGAAAGCTTAAAGCGCATTTTCTTTTTAAAGACTACCTAAAATTATATTGTGTAAATAAAAAAAAACTAATTTTTAGATCTATCTGAATAGCTATTTTTCTTGTCGAAAGTATTTATGTCAACTCGAAAGCATTCAACTTGGTGAAAAAAGGATGATAGACTTGCAGCCGAGCCGCCGTGGGAGCCACCGGCGTTTTTTACCGGGGATGCGCAGGAGAGCGCGTTGGTCGTGCGTCTCCTCATGATTCTCCGTGCAGCACTTTTCGTCGTCCTCTGCGTTTCTTTCGCAGCCGCTGCCAAAAAACCCAAAGCTAAGCCTTGGTCAGTTATCATGTCTTTTAAAAGAATCTCAGTAATAGCTGAATTTTTGTGGATTTTTCCCGAGTGTCGTTTTTCATCAAGAGTTGTGGTTTCCGAGAAATCTGAGCTCCATGAAATAGGATCCAGAAACTCTCCGTTTCTGAACTCATTTCCTCCAGCTCCAACATAAGAAATTGAATCGCAATTGTTATTAGTCGCTTGAATTCGAACGGAGAAATGAGTTTTGCGTCGGAACTGCTTGAAAAAAGCAATATAGAAAAGTTTCCTTTTTTTGTTTTCTTTTCTCAAAAAAAAGGCGAGTCTCTTCATGGAATCATAATATAATGAACTTCAAAGAATTATCATAGCAGGGACATTGGAAAAGTCCTTGGATTTTTTTTTCAACAAATATAAAGCTTGTTAACAGTTATCCTATATAAGTTTTCTAATTTTCAAGGCAGCACGAAAAACTGAGTTTAGTGATACAACGTTTCAAAGTGTTATAACTTATAAGACGAGAAAAGAAGTTTCCTGATAAGGAACCTCTAGGTTGTAATCGTTGAGATTTACTTATTTTTGCAAATTTCTGTACATCGATCTAAAGCATGTTTCAAAATTAAACAGTGGGAAAAATAATCGCGTTTTTCTTCCAAGATTATCATATTTTTGATTTTTTGAGTACCCCGTTCGATTCGCGATGAAAAACTCTACAAGGTACTGCTTTCACCTGAAACCCCGTTTTTTACTGCCTTTAACTGAAATAAGTCAACATAGTTATAAATTATTGGAAGTTTTATGAAGAGAGAATATATTAAGAGGGATCAATTCAATAAAAAAAAAGATGAACATGTCTATGAGAGTGAAATGTTTTTTTTTTCCGAGAGAAGATGAACTTTGCAGCAAACGGACGGCGTTCAGCCGACACACGACCAACTACCAGGCATGGCGGGAGCAGATGACCGTCTGCGACCTTCTGCAGGACTACGACGCTGCCGTCCGACCCTCCGGCCGCACTCCTTACAACGATTCCAGTTTTTCAACCGAAAAAACAAATGAATATCTTTTTTGGCAGAGGGCGCAGTGATGGTGACCACAAGCCTCGACATCCGTTCCATCTCAGCCGTTTCCGAGAAAAACATGGTGATTCATCAAATTCTTTCGAAAAGCTCCAATCAACCAAACTCTCAATAAAACTCGTCATGCATCTTTTTTAAAGTCTCAAGCTGTCCGATTTATAGGAATTTGTTGCCCAATTCCGTTTCCGCCAGGAATGGTACGACGATAGACTGCGGTTCATCGAGCACCAGGTAAAAGACTCGTTTTTCCTTCTCAAATTCTGCGAAAAGACTAGAACGGCGGTTCGTTAAAATATTTTTTCTCTGCATTCGATGTAGGAATTTTAACGTTCTTTATTACTCATTTCTCAAATTCTAAGCATCCTTCAGTAGTTGTTCTTTTAATATTTTCATGACCTCAGTGGCGATTGAAAACGCAAATACAGTTGTTTCACGGCTGGCTTGAGCCATCGAAAAAAAGGTCCTGCCAAGAAAAAATAAGAGAGTAAGAGAGTCCTAGAGCGCAGGCAGAACAAACCCTTTAGCAAGCTAGCCGTGATTCGGCTTCAAAAAAACATTTCTCAAGAAGTGACGAGTTTCTCAAGAAGTAGGCCGCAATTCGCGTCGGAGTGGGATCCAGCCGACTTATGATTTCCATTTAGAAAAATCGTATAGACCGAGATATTTTCGTTTTTCCAAACGTCAGAGCTTTTTTGTCAGTATATCTTTTACCAATTTTTTTCGACCCTGAACTCAAATTTTGGCCAGAACCGCGGTTCACACAGAAATAAATAGAAATTGGAGTGGTTTTTCGTGGATTGTAGACTATTCAAGTACGCTTCAGCAGTCTGGGTCTCTGATCAGCTAGTCATTGAGCCAATCAACGAAGTTGAGCGACCGCGCGCCCTTTTAGAGACCTTTCAAGCCTAATATTTCCAAGTCTTACTACAGGGGCTTCTCTCACCTGACTATCGCAACTTCGAATACATCCACGTGGCGCGGGACCAGCGTCTTTGGATCCCCGACACTTTCTTTCAGAATGAGCGCAACGGGTGGTATCACATGCTCGACCAGGAAAATCGTTTCCTGAAAATTCGATCTGATGGAAAGCTTATATACGACAGGAGGTAGTGACATGTGTTTTTTCAATTGTCCACAAGAAGTTTCTTCAGGTTAACACTAATCTTAGCGTGTTCAATGCATTTGTCGCGGTATCCTATGGACCATCAGAACTGCGAAATCGCTTTTGCTTCTTGTAAGTAACAAGAGAACATTTAGCGCGGTGCATTTTCTTGGTTTCTTAGTGCCGAAAGCTTCGAGATATGAAATGTAAAATGGGACTGGTGATTTGGAAGATAAATTGCGATGGTTTTGTTATTTATTCGAGTTGCTATCTCCCTTGGTTTCCATAAAGGCTTCAGATGCGTACACGACGGCTGATATCGAGTACATCTGGGACACGCCGCCTATAATCCTTCACGAGGGCGCGAATGGAGCTCTGCCCAACTTCGAGATTGCCAAGCTCATCAACGGATCTTGCACTTCCACCACCAACACTGGTTCGTGAGTCGATGTCTTCTGTTATCCAGATTATTGTGAACCAGTTCATTTCTGAATATTTCTGATGACAAAAAAAGTTCCAAAGTTTTTACAATGTAAAAATACTCTTTATTGGTGCGGCTGTCATGTTCAGCCCTGAAGTTTTATCATCACGATCACATCCAAACGTTGAAAAGTTCGGACTCACTTATCGTTTATTGTATCACTGAATTTGTTTCTATGATTACAGGAACGTACTCTTGTCTGAAAGTGCAGATCCGGCTCAACCGGGTCTTCTCATTCTTTTTGCTCCAGCTGTACATTCCTTCGACGATGCTCGTCGGCGTCGCTTGGGTCTCCTACTGGATCGACTGGAAGTCGACCGCTGCCCGTGTTCCTCTCGCTATCATCACTCTCCTTTCGATGATCACCACCTCTCATGGTTTCCAAACTTCTTCTTATTCTGTCTTGGAATTCCAGATACTCATCCACACTACTGTAGACAAATTTCTCAGGAAACTTGTTGATTTCGCTTATCAAAATCATCAATTAAAAAAGAAAAAAGTTTTCCATCCAAAAAATCCATTTTCCAGCAATAAACTCGAATCTGCCGCCTGTCAGCTACGCTAAGTCAATTGATATCTGGGTTGGCGCCTGCGTAGGTAAACTCTCATCAGAAAGATCTCTGATCCACAGATTCCGTTTCCAGTTTTCATCTTCTTCTCGTTGATAGAGTACGCCGTTGTCAATTACATGGGGATCTTGGATGAGCACAGGTAGAATATGTTTGCGTGAATGAGGAAAAGGAATTTTTGGGGTTTCATTCATTTTTTTGTTTTCACACCATTTTCTAATTTGAAAAAGTAGATTTATCGTACTCATTCATCATCATGTGGGCAATAGATAGCTCAGGCAAATGCGGAAGGCGGCTTGTAATCGGTCACGTCTCTCCAATGTAATGGACAACGACGTGTTCGAGGCTACTTCTCCGCAATCTGTGACGTTTAGTCCACAAGAAAAGAAGGTTCTCCACTCAAATCTGGAAGAAAAACGAATTGAATACACAGAGACTCCTTCGCCGCCGACAGAAGAAGTCGTTCGAATTGAGAGAAGACGGCGGCGACTTCGAGGCGTTTGAAATGGCAGAACGCCGGCCGCCGCGCACAGCCGGGGTCGTCGAGGAAGGCTGGACCTTTCACGTACTCCCTGATTCCACGATAAGTTAATAACTTATTTTTTAGGACACGACAGACCTCGTCTACATCGGACAACGGAAGCGGGTCGAGCTCGTCAGATGGTGCAGCGTTCTTTCGTCCAGAGGCCGTGCTGAACGCATCGACATCATTGCCAGGTTCGTTTCTCTATCTGCATAATCATGATAGTTGATAATAATGATAATGATAATGATAATAATAATAATAGTTCATTCATTTTCCCAAAAATGAATTACAAAGAAAGACTTCAACGTCTCGGACTAAACACTCTTTGGCAAAGACGTTTAAAAAAAGACATAACTGCTGCTCACAATTTCATTTACGGATACTATTGGTTCCCATCTCCAATCCCTTTACAAGGTACAACAAGTAGATTGAATCAACTGCGAGGAAATGGTCTCAAAATAGAGCGGCCTCTACTTTCTGACATACACTACCGGTTCACTAATCAAAGAGTATTCAATCATTGGAATCATATGGATAGAAACATAGTATTTGAGTATGAAAAAAATAAGTTCAGATCTAAACTTGAGAAATGGTTTGAAAACAACATTACAGAACTAAACACTCTTTATCCAACAAAAAAATATGAAAGCTACATAATCGACATTTAAAAAGAATAACTTCAAGGTTATTCCAATTTACTCAAGTGGGGGGTTAACAGGACCGCGAGTCCTCTTTCCTCCATCACCACAAGTTCCGACACATATGATCCCAAATTCTCCCTACATCTATTTCGTGATATTTAGTACTTGTGTGTGAGAAATAAAATATTTTGATTTGATTGATGTGACCCACAACATCTTATCTTACAGTATTCCATGAGTAACTAAAATACATATTGAGAAACGAGTTTTTTTTTGTTGATTTTTTTCCCCGAAAGACCTTTATATTTTTTATTTTTTCAGAATAATATTCCCTATTGCCTTCATGTTGTTCAACTTTGCTTATTGGAGCATCTACCTGGAAGAACAGCCTTCGTGATAAATGAAATCGTGTAAACATTTTTTATCTTGCTTTCGTACTATAAAATATATTTTTTTCTTACACAGTGTTGCATTGCAAACATTAAAAGTAGGGCTTCAAGCCTAAATAACGAGAAGCCGTAAATTCGGCGACAAGAAGCTTAGAGCTCATTCTCCATATCTTTCACCTCCAGTGCCATGCGATCGATGCCCAGAAGAGTTCGATCAAATGATCAATCGGTTGGTTTTTTTATCCAGTATGTATTCAACATGAGTTTTTTGTGACTTTTATCTTCTGAATTCAAAAAAAGTTCCAAGAAAAACACAAAAAACAACAAAAAAGCGAGTCGCTTTATGTACTCTATTTTGACTTGACACATTTTTACGAAAGTTTCCCTGGATAATCAATGTCACTGAGTTGATTTTGAGTTATGTAGGACGACGAGTGTTCTACTTTCCGGGCTCTTTTTTCCAGAGGAGAGCTTCATGTTCGAATTCAACACACGAGAGCGCCTGAGTCGAAGTCATGAGTTTATGGATTGCGCAGGAATGTCTGATTTGCAGACCTCGAGATATTCAGTGGTCCAAGGATCCAACCCAAATGAAACAGGAAACGGTGAAGACATTGATCGGCAAGTTCTCGATGGGCCTTCCGATTCTCGACCACGTTTGATCGTTTGCCAGTCGATAGTTGGTAATGTTGAGAAGTTCAGCCGTATCGCTTTGTGGTTGAGACTGGAATCATGGATCTCGTGTTGGCCGTGCGCGAGTCATCGACAATCGTTCCAGTGCTTCCCCAGTTGGTTCGCCTTTTTCCTCTTGTTTCTCCAACTGAATTTTCCGCTTCATTTCCCAGACTCGAGGAATAAGAGCTGCACTTTATTCTTTTGACAGCGAGAAGAAAAAGTTTTGCTTGCGACTGCTATCAAGAGTCACGGCGATGGAAGAGGTCGGACCAGCCTTAGTTCCTTACTACCGACAGCTTCTGCCGCCACTGAGTAAGTCTTCTAGAATGGCTCGAGTTTTCTTCTCAGAGACAATCCGCCAGGCGAGAAACGACCGCAGCCACAAGAGCCAGAACGAGAAGGCACGGCAGCTGGAGGAGCTCGTTCAGGCTACACTCAACGACCTAGAAAGGACCGGCGGTCCGAGCGCCACTATCAACCTTAAATACATGATGCCGAGCTACGAATCCTGCTTACACGGATTGCTTTGAGATTTTTTCGTCCGAAATTGGACAAATAATTCGAAAGTTATTGTTAAATTTAAGACTTGCAAGTGTCCAGATGAAATGCTTTATCTGACGTTCTTTCCCATAAAAATTTTTGTTTATGACACATTTCTTGCCTATGACAAAACAGCGCTTAAAAAATCAAACCGCGCAGTGAGTGCAAATAAAATTAGGTAAAACGGCGAGTTTTTTGTGGCAAGCCGTCCTCGCTGCGCTTTTTATGGACACGGTTAACGGCATTCCTCAGCGCTTATTTTCGGCGACCTTTAACTTCAGCAATTTCGAAAGCGTGAGGAGTCAACACAAATGACAGGCATTTGACCCTCGAATTTTGCTTTGGAGGAGTCAAAAGTCAAACTGACGAATTTCTAACTTTTCTGGAAGAAGTTCTTTGGTTTGAAAATTGTCTTCTCTCCTCATACATTTTTCAAATTAAAAAAAAGGAGGAAGGGTAAAAATGGCTCACGGGAAAGTCGCCCTTTTGAGATTGCCATCTACCCGACGGAAAATGTTTCTTTCTCACCCATTGGCAGGATAAAAAAGCAAGTTCATCTCGCAACATCAGCTGACTCGATGGGAAATGCTTCAGTAACAGAGTTCAGTAGAATTTACTTATCTTTACAAGAGATCCGCGAGAATTTTTTTTAAAGTAATGGGCTTGATAGAAAAGATAAATCGCTCATTACTAGTCTGACGTAAAAATAAATTCAAATATGTATTAAAAAAACTTGAAACTTGAAACTGAATTTGTTCTTGAATTTGAAAAAAAAAATGAGGAAAAAAGAAAGCATGGTTTCGAAAAACATCTTCAGAAAAGTTAGCAGGAGCTTAATTCACTTCAGCCGATTTATCCTTTTTTTCAAAGGTTTATGATCAAGTTCTAACTCAAAAACGAAGAAACGTATACTTTTTGCGTAATAAAAATTTAAGAAATGAAAAAAGTAAATCAGTTACGATGTCTCATAAAAATGCTACCGACCTCGATCTGACCTGGCTTTCGAACTCAAAAAGAAATCATAAATGGAAATTGGTTAGCCGCATCATCTCGACTTTTTGCTTCTGTTGGTGGTACAGCACAGCGCTCAATTTCGGTTTGCGTTAAACAAACTCGGCCGGTCAAGGTCCTTTTTCGGCGAGAAAAAGCCTTTCGCGGCCCATCGCGTTTCTGTTATGCAACCGCTGCAAGGTGAGAACGCGATGTTGAACTGAAGAAAAAGTCAGAAAAGGAGGCTAGCTGCCACCAACTCATTTTCTGGCCCCTCCCAACCGTTTCCGGTGGCCTTCTTCTTCTCGATATTTAACAAAACAAACGATAGTGCAAATAATTTCTACCAGGGGATCGAAGAAACTTTCAAATTATTTGAAAAAAGGCTTGTTTCAAACGACCGGCGAAGAGGAACTGTTGCGAAAGTTCAAGGCCCTATGGATGAACTAGTTTTAATTATCGGAAAAAAGCAACATACTTTTATCTTTATTTCAATCTCAACTTTCCCGAAATTGACCAAGTTTTCGTACTCGTTTGATTTTAATTTGTACTCTTCGCCACATTACCAACTACTTTTTCGACTTGAGATAAAATCTCGACTACTACGAATGTTTCTTGAAAAAATTTCAACGACAAAGAGGTGGCAGATTCATGACTACTACCCTTTCAGAAAAGACTTTTTGGCGCCAAAATAATCTTTTCAATGACCGTCGATGCGGTTATTTGATTTGATGCGAGAGGAAGAAAAAGAGTTGTGAATAAGCTTACGAAAATCTGGCGGACGATTGTCATGTTGGTCAGAAGAGACGAATCGTCAAGGTTTTGGAAAAACTCAAGCACCTGGTTAAGCAGGAAACTTTTCGCCGCCGTACGCTTCGTTAAGCTGCATCACATTTCCGCCTTTTATCGTCAATGAGGGCAAAAATCGTTTCGTACTACAAAATGTTTCATTTGGTGTTTGATTTTGTTATCCTGTCTTTTGAAAGAAAAGGGACTCATAAAAAAAAAATCAGAAATCAGAGAGAAATTTATTTGTTGTATGTTTGAAAAATATCAGAGCCTCTCAAGTTCACAAAGATTGCGAAGCCAAGGTTTTAAAATTTCTAATGCTTTCAATTGTTCTATTGATTATCTCAATCTATTTTTCACAAGTTTATTTCGATTATATAAGATCTATAAAATTTTATTTTTTTAAATTATATAAGATCTATACTATGAGCAACGTAGAAAGTATCATTAACAATAATGGTTGCCACTTTAAAGGACTATCTTCATAGGTAAGAAATTTTCACGCGCTCAGTTGAGGAATGTGAGTTCGCCGACACTATATTTGCAAAAAAAAGAAACTTCCTTGTTGGAAACAAACATTCTGACTTCTTCAAACGGTCAAAGGTTTTTTTCTCGTATCAATCATACTTCTCCGAAATCAAGCGCTTGTCGTCTTGGAGTTTCTGAAAAGCTTACAGCTCTAACAAAGTATCTTCTCCAAGAGTAGACGTAGAAGAAAAAGATGAGGTGTCGCGTCAGAAGCAAAAAATCCGGTCTTCTGATATCAGAGGCGGACACGCAACACTTGGCAATCACCTAGCTTCTATTTGTCTGTTCTGGGCCATTTTTATCCTCTTTTTCAAACATTTGGATAGCTCTGTAAAATCTGACTCACTGAGTATCACGCCCTTTTCAAATTTTCCGTTTTTACTTCCTTTCTTGTTAATTTTTTTTTTCTGAAACTAACTTTCCTGGTTTTTCTTTAACAGTAACAAACAATGTTTTTCAGATTCATGGAAGTAAGCTCAACACTTATTTTTCAAGGTAGTGAAAGTCTTGTCAAACGTTTTTTTGCTGTGATTTGTGAAAGCTTCATAAAGTATGGTTAGTTCGGAACGCGTTTGGACTGGTTACTGCTTTTGCCTTCGATAACTTCTCCCCCTGGTCAGTTTCACCTACCTCGACGATGAGAAGACCCGATAAAGAGAGAAGATATGGCGTTCCAACAGATGTTTACAAAACGGTTCCAGCTGCTATCAATTCTTCGTTGATCTCGGCTGATGAAAGTGATGGGGTATCAAAAGCGCCGTTCCACCTGTCATCGAAAAAAACCAAAGAATGCGTGGAAAGAAATCAGACGTTCCTGTGGATCAGACAAAAAAGATGGGCCGTCGTGATTCTCGCCAGATACAAATCGAACAAAATTTCAACCTTGCTGGAGGATTGTTGAAAATGCCGCAGACCGTGTCGAGGCCGTGGCATTGGGTTCCAATGGAGGTTAGATTACTTATCGCCTTTCTTCTAGCTACGTCGTCTTCATGACCTCATTTAAATTCTGTCTTTGAACATATAAATAAGTCCAGCCGATCTGAATCATTGAAGAAGTTATCCGATCCCACAGAAATTCCCGCTCATATACTTTTCTTCTTAAAAATTAAGGGTTTTTTTTTTAAAAAATGATCCTACGATCAGAAAGAAATCGTTTGATTTGCCAAATGTTATTGAAAATTTAAACTTCTGAACTCAAGACCTAAAAAGATATCGGCCGAGGACACCTGAAAAAAACGCGCGAAGCACGAAAAAGGGGCGGCGCAAGAGGCGGAGCAAACGCTGCCAAATTCGGCCTACAACTTTTTCGCACGTCTTCTGGTACATTCAGAGTTACAGTTGTTCGGTCGCCTCACCAAGGTAAAGTCTTCCTTCAGAAAAGCAAGATGATCCCATCAGCTCACCTGCAAAGTTTATTTATGCTTTTTGAACATTTGGCGCGGCTCCTCCCCCTTTTTTTTTTACCTTCTTTCAGTTCAGCTTCACATCCTATTCTTCCTATTCAACCACCATGAACTTTATGAGAAGCTCTTTCAGTGAGTTATTCCATGCTGAGGTCATGATGCTGACTGAGCATGTAAGGCTGTCAGTTTTAGTGCCGGCTTTCAATGGGTTGAGTTTTTTGATGAGCTAGGGTTTTCCCAACACGGGTAGAGTAAAAATAAACCGTTATTAAAAATATATTGATAAAATGAAGTAGATTATAAAGTCTCTGCGTTCAAGTAACCTTCTAGCTTGTTGTAGATGATAATAGCCACAAAACAACTTTGATACTAATTTATTTAATTGAAAAAAATTTTATTTTCTTCTTAAATGTAGGCTCAATTGGGGGATAACCTCTTATAAACTGCAGACAAATTTCGAAAATTTCTTTTGAAATTTAGGTCCTATATAATATTTAGTAGAGCTTTTTGAAGCTACTATTCATATAGAAAAATATTGGCATCTCATGAATTTTGACTAGTCGTAACCGTTTCATACTTACAATGTGCGATTCAAAAACTTAGCGAGCGTCGAACAAGGCGTTTAGCCAGTTTTTTTTGTCGCCGCGACCTTGCTTCCGAAGTCCATTCGAGGCGAGAACTGCCGATGATACAGCAATTGTCAAATTGGCAGAAAAGACAGGCGACAGAGCTGTAGAGAAGAACAACAGAGAAGAAGAAAAAAAATGAGACGTCGCCTGGGGGGGAATTCTGCTTCCTCTTTTTTCGATGCTGTAAAAAAGAATCGTCCGATATTATGACGGCGTGTTCGATCGTCGACCCACAGTAGGAGGAAAGCAGTTTTTGTCTCAGAAACTAGGTTAAGAGCTCGAGAGAAGCTGCGTGGAAAAAAAAACTCAAAGCTACTATCACATCAGACGTCAACTAGATTTAAGATTTACACACTAATATCTCGACCGAAGATGTTACTTAAGGCCCGAAGCTAATTCTGTTTTCAGCTTTACATGATTAGAACTTGGAACGATGGAACAAGAGTTATTTGGAAGCAATGAGCTCAGTTGCCTGCCAAAGGACACTTGTTATTTTTCTCGCGATTCTCGACGAAGGTTTCATTTACTGTGCCACCACTGAAAGTTGTATTGTTTCGTGTCAAAAAAGGGCCACTCTGTCTTCCGCCGTCTCCACTCGCGAATCGAGTTTTTTCGCTTTCCGTTCATTTACGTTGTGCCTTTTCCCTTGTTCAATGATGGTGCCACCGTCGCCGCTTCTCCTAAAAAAAAAGGACTTGGCCATTTTTTTCCTCATCGTCGTACCGCCTTCCTTCCCTTGTTGACAGCGTTCTATGTTTTAATGTCAGCTCTATTTTTTTTTTCTCGTGAGAGTCGTTCCTGGTACATTATTTAACCGGACTATTTCATCAATCGGTTACTTCAAAGCTTTTTTCTCAGGAAGTTTCTTGAACTGTTGGAGTTGTCTATTCGAATTTTCCATTATTCCAGAGAGAGAGACAGAAAACATCTTCCCAAAGACTCATCAGAAATTGATTTTACTGGTTTTCCACTCATTTTTTTTTACAAAGAGTGTGTCATGTATCTTCGCTGCAGTAATGGAAAATGTTTTGAAGTATTTGCCTGTGACGTTCCTCCCTTTTTCAGACAATTTTTCGAAACCAAAAATCCTACTTTCATTACCTCATGTTACATTGTCCCACCTTTCAAAACTAACTTTAATCTACCTTTTCTACGAAATCCCTCCATCGTCTTTTCTGATCTGTTGGAAATTGGCAATCTGACGTTTCAGGCGAACGGCGACTCAAAGGCCAACACGGCTTCAGGAACGAGCAAGTCGCACCGAAGGAGGCCTGAGCAAGAGCGTCGAGCCGCGGCTTGAGAGCTGATGCGCGGCCACGCAGTCCTCCTGGCGGCTCTTCTGGCGGCATTAGCCTACGCCAAGCCTCTCAATTTGCCTCAAACCATTAGTCAGTTTTTGAAACTTTTTTTATTCCTTTACTGTGGTGTTTGCGCGAAAGCCTTGTATCAAAGTAATTCTTTTCAAAGGTCATTATCACTTGAAAATGATATCATTTCTCAATGAGAAATTTTGAAGCTTTTTATCTATCAAAGAAATTCTTCGTGAGCGGCTCCAGAGCTTTTTTTTTTGAAATGGATTGAAAGTTACAACAACCTTGTGAATCATATTGGTTTTCCGTTCGCTCCTACCAAAAAAGGTACAATTGTCGGCATTTTCCTCACTCGTGCCACTATAATTGCTCATGCAAAACTGTGGTCCTCAATCCTTCCTCCCAAAGAAAATGAACGAAGTTATTTTAAAAAGAAGTACTTTCAACACGTTCAGAAATATGCAAGATTTAGGAGTTTCAAATCTTGGGTATTTTATTAAATTCTGTTTTTTTTTTTCAATTTTTACTCGTAGGTCGCTTGCTATCCCTTCACAAAAAATCTAAGTAGTAAGAAGAAAGGCAAAGTGTGAAAAGTTAAAATCGAGAGGAAAAAAAAAACTATCATCGGCAATTTATAGATTGATCAAATGGCTGGATTAATGGATTAAACTTCGATAGCTTTCATGAATTTAGCAGCGACCAACAGAAAAATAAAACCCTGATTTTTTTTTCTATGAATTTCCTTTAAAACTGTGAGGGTAAGTTTATTCTGATCGCATGATTAGACATTCTATAGAGAAGAGATTCCTTCGATGAACTTTACCTTTTGACTTCTTGCACCTGAGTCGACGTCAAGTGTGTTCCACTCGAACTTCTTTCCAAATCTCCAAGAATGCGCGCGACTCTTCTTACTCATCATCGTCTCCTTTGTCGCTGGAATTTTGTTTGCAATCATTTCGCCGAAAACGCGCAGAACTCTACTGCCATTTGTCAGAGAAAAAGGCCTCTTATAGGCACTTACCGCCAAAATAGCAAAAACACCGAATTATTGAATATTAAAGATTTTTTGTTCAAAACTTTTATGCTCCAGCGATTATTGATTCATTTTTTTTTTAAATTCAATCAGGCTAGTGTGACCTTCCCAAACTATTCAAAAATCCTTATTGCTTCAACAAGATCTATTGAATATTTAAGGGGAACATAGCAGATAGACCTTAGTACAATTTTAAACTAGCCCTCTTCGAACAAATGTTTTCTGATGAAATGAAACCTCAATTTTTCTGATGAAAAGTCCAGACTCAAGTTGAAAATATTTTTTGTTTTATTTGAACAAGCTTCCTCTAGAAGTTCCTTGTTTTTTAGCTTCTCTCTAAAGTTTTAACTCACAGCCAAAAAAAAAACTAGGACATCTGGTTTTGTTTTTGCAATATTGCCAAAAAAAACTGATTAAAAAAAAATTTTTTTGAATTTCAACTTTTAACCGAAATCTTGATGGTTGACCAAACGCCCTAGATATTAAAAAAATTTCGATTGTTTTTTATTCTCATGATCGCTGATGTCCGAATCCATTAGAAACAAAAAACAAAAAAAGAACTTGTGAAATTTTTTTCCTTCAAGGTCACTTTTGGTTGAGTCGGACCTATCCGTTTTTTTCTCAGCATATTTCTTTTTGGCAAATAAATGTCGAGGCCAAAAAAAGCAATTTCGTGTTTGATTGATCCTTCAACTTTCGTTGAAAAATCAACGAAAAATAGTTTCATTTTAGTTCAAACCAAGAAAAATTGAACACTCCCTTCAATTTTTTTTTTGACATTTGTTGATTTCAAGAACAGAAACTCATATGCCAGGTAAATAAACAATCAAGCAAGAAAAATAAGCCTTAGAGGCCGGTTTCGCCGACGCCTCCTGGGGTCGTCTCGTTTCTTATCTCCAAAGCAATTTATCATTCGGAAAAAAAACTTTCCTCTGCTTTCCCTAGTAAAAACTAAGAAAAAAAGACCATAAAAAAAGAGAAAACCATAAAACCCAGCTTTTTCAGAAAAATAAACAGTGAACTTGAAGAAATAAGTTTCAAGCAAACATAATTATGCAAAACCTGCAAAAACGTTTGCTGTCGTAGGTGTCCATATTTGTTCTGCCAATGGCAATTCGTTTTTCGGGACGATTAACCTTACTTTTCCTCTTAAAAGCCACGCAAAAAACCTGTTTTGATTGTTTGAAACGTTGTGTTTATTCAAAAGTTATACTGCTTGTGGTTTCAAACTCTGAATAAAAATTCGAAAGAAATAAAAAAAAGCGAAAAATTCCCTATGAACTGATGTTTCTAAAAACTTATTTTCAGGATGCTCGGGAGATGTTTACGTCTACAGAAACGAGACGACGGCCGACAGATCTCCTTACGTCTTCGTCGAGCTCAGATCGGCCGGTCTTCACGACTGCATTAACAAGTGTTTCGGCAACCAGGTTCCTCTTTTAAAAAAATGTCACCCTAACTAAAAAAAAAGACCTCTTGAAAGTATGATTCATCTATTATCGTGCACATAACATTCAATTTTTTTCGGCGACCTCTTTTTAATTTTTTTATATACTAGCAAATGCGGAGCCTAAGGTTTGCACTCTGTCGAAAAAAAAATTTGCATTTTATTCAAAAAGCGTCTTTTCTACTAAATTCTCTTTTAAAAATATTTTTTTCTATCGGAAGGAAATGAACTCCTTCAGTTTTGCTACTCGGCGTCGTATGATGAATCTCGCAAAGATTCTTGTTCACTATATTATTTTGCGGCGTACAACTGCACAGGACAGACGCTTATTCCTGCCAGCCAGATACAGTACACCGGAGGCACAGTAACTCTTGACTGCCTACGGTGCCCTACAAATGGTGACTTTGGTGAGCGAGTTTCTCTAAAGATTTTATAAAACTACCTTCACTGAAAAAATGTCAATAACGGATAAAAACTCAGTAACAGCACCGCCCTTCTCAAGTCTCAGCGAGCAGAAAATAACAGCTACTGGCGATGACGGTTCCAAACTCGTTGAAAAGCCTCTAGTCGCAGATATCACGAAAAACATAGACTCCAAACTGAGTATGACTCCAAGGTAATAAAAAAAACTCCTCTGTGAAATTAACAGACCAAAAAAGCACGACAGCGTCGGCTCCAACTGTCACAGTCGATCTGCATGTGGACAACACTACTCCCAGCTCACCTTCGCCAACAACAAACCAACCCGAAGAAGGTTTGTTTTCTTCCTTCTTTTTTTTTGTTTTTATGAGCAATCAACACATAATAATCCCAAAAAATCACAATAGTGACGTAGTTGTTGTGTGATCACGATCAATTGACCATTGGAAGTTCTACGCTGTCTTCTGATGAGAAGCATTTGAAAACTGCGTTTTTCTGAGAGAAAAGAAATTGACACATGCACACACGAATTCTTCACGACCGATTAACCGCGAACAGCTCGAGTCAAGGACATTTTGGGCCGTCAGGCTCGTCATTTTTCGCCACGAAACTAAGGCAAAATATGGTCGACAAGGACAATTTTTTTGAATTTTATAAAGTGCATTCCAATTGAATCAAAGTTCAATGGGCGAGGGACCATAAAATTCCAATGTGTATGCAACGTTCTTGATAGACTCTCACACTGATGAGAAGGAAGAAAATCTATCGGAAGCTTGGAAAGGAGACGTTGAACAACGAGGTTCGCCCTCGACTGCCGTTCCTTCGCCCAAGCTCAAATTCCAGAGTGCAACGGGAGCCTCAAGTTCATCGCAAAAACGGACATCGACTATGACACAGTTGACCTGCTGATCAATGAAACGACAGTGGAATCCGCTGTTGCCTGTGCCAGACTTTGCTTTCAAATGCAATGCGGAGTGAGGCGAAGAAAAGGCGTTAAAAGACTGAATTGAAATGCTCTCAGTTCGCCTTCTTCGCGCCGGTAACCCAAATATGCAAGTACACTGTCGACACCGAAAAGCTTGTGGACCGCGAATTCTGCGACGAAGATTTGGAGGAGCTTGTCAACAGCTTCAATCTTACACAACCCGTTCAAATGACTTGTCATCGATGTATTCAGAATGGTAGGAATCGAATCGCATTTTTTCGAAAGTGATCCCAGTGTCAAAGACCATCATTTAATCTTTTTTGTCATGCTAAAAAATTCATCTCTGAAAATGGCAAGGGGCATAAATTTTAAACTTATGAAAAAGCTCTTTTTATGTTTTTGAAAGCAACCGAAACTTGATTGAGTTTCATCTAGGCATTCCTGTGAAATAGAAAGAAAAACGAACCCTTTGCTTTTCCTTGTTTCATTTGAAGATTTAAATCTCTATTGCTCAAAAACCTTTTTTTTTAAATCTTCAGTACCTTTGCGGAACATAAAATTCCGATTTATTTTGGTTAACCGCTTCTGGAGTGCAAAACTTTTGTGGTGTAAACGTACAAAAAAGACTTCGATGTTTCACAACACTCCGTTGCCCATACGTCTATTTATTGATTGGTACAAACAAACAGTATACAGTAATCCTAATTCCAGAAGCTTCCGAGAAAAGTTCGCCACATCAACAAGCGCAAGATGAAGCTGAGCAATCTGGAATCACGACGACTCAGGCCACTACAGCTTCAGGTATTTTCTACCCAGGTGAATGTTCGCTTCAGCTTCAGTTCTTGCATGCCCGACGCTCTAAGTCGTCACCGCTAACTCAAACGCAAGATAAACGAATTTTTGTTGTATTGCCTTAGTTGAACTTGTCGTTACAGCATGTTATATAAACTTCCAAGTCGAAGAGGTTTCTCCGGACACCAACTACGAATATTACACTGTGAAGAAAGTGAAAAGGTAAGGAAGCAATTTTTTTTTTCATTGAAACTGCATTCAATAATCTTTTTTTACAAGCTTCAACTTTTTATTTTGCATGAAATTTTTCTTGTTTTTCGTTCCGTTTATTTTATTTTTTTAGTTGAAAGTGAAGTTTATGAAAAGGGAGCATAGAAAAAGTTTTTTTAGAGGATTTTCTGCTTTATGGTCAGAGAGGGCAGAAGTTCTATTTACAAAAAAATGAATTTGTATGCCTTCTTTTTTTCACTCTCTTCACTTTTTTTACTGTGAAAAATCCAAAAAAAGTTCTAGTAGAAATCAATTTTTTTGAAGTTCGCAAAGTCTTCCTTTCAAGTATTCATAAATTAGAGCCGGCATTTACTCCTTGAATTTAAAAGACGATTTTTTAACTATCAAACAACTAACTCGAAGAAAAAGATTCGATTTAAGAATTTCAGTTTTCTTTGTGTTTTATTTTTTTGATGTACCAGGAGAAGATTCTAGAAGTCTCAACCTGCACAACTTCCCCGTTTTTGAGAAACGACGCCTCAAAGTAAAAAAAAAACTCTAAAAATCCATAAAAATACGCCATTTTTGAGCTTTAAGCCCTTATTTCTCGAAAACTGGGAAATTTTGCAGATTGAGACTTCTAGAATCTTTTGAACCCTCAGAGCTCAATAAGTGACTAGAGTATTGAGTTTATTACTGCAAACCTGAGTTTTGCTCGATTGTTTGACGGAGAAATGCAGCGCGAACGGCTGTGCGCGACTCTGCTTCGTGGGACTGTGCACGACAGCGGTTTATTCGCCATCTACCGGGGAGTGTCGTCTAGGAAAGGACCGTCGGGAACGATGCTCCGAGGCGGCCTCAGTCTTTGTCTACACCGGAACTTCGGATGTTCGGCTGCAATGTTTCCGTTGTAGTGAGTCTAGAAGGATTCGTTCTTTATTTGTTAACCAGCATGGAAAATGGCTGAAACGTATTATCAATGTTCAGTTATGATTGCTTTTGTTTGTGTTCGATAATTTAGTATTTGTTTGATTTTCGTTCAATTTGGTTCACTTTCGTACGTGAGAATGGGAAATATTCTGAAGACAGTTCAGTAATTTTCAAATTTCTCAGTTTATCTTATCTTGACGAAAATTGACTTAGCGTTCAAGGTTTTTGAGTTATTCCATCAATAATCGAACTGTTTTTTCTTCTTATACATGCATACTGCATTTTGACTTCTATTACAACAATTGGGCGTTAAGAATAGCCATAAAGCCTAAAGATAAAGGTAAATGGATATCAGAAGTGAAAAATTAATTGAACTTTCGTTTCCGTTACTCAAATTGCTTCCCACAGTTCTTGAAACTTTTTCCAACTCTTTCAGGCAAAAAAGGAAACACTGAGACGTTGGCAACTACCACTTCGCTTGCGTTTCAAGAAGAAGAGAATGTGACAAAAGCTCTCATCGATACGACGCCACCGCCGAAGCCTTCAGAGGAAAGCGCTACTGCGTCTACAAACGATGGAAATACTTCAACAACAACTACGAAAGCCGAGACAAAATCGAATGCGGACGTTCCAGGAAATATGCCACAGCCACAAGTCGCAACAAAGGTTGAGGTTCAAGACGTCAACGGCGTCAAAACGACCCTCAGAAAAAGTAAGAAAAATTTTTTTTTGAAGAATGAATGGGAAAAAAACAAACAACGAAATGTTTAGATTGCGTCATAAAGTTCCAAGCAAGACCTTTATCCGAACGACCAGCCCACCTGAAAGCCACTTTTGAGCTTGATGTACCTGTGGACTCAATCGAATTATGCGCGACAAGATGTTACCAGGTACTGTCCAGATTATCCTTGTCTGCTACAGAAATCGTTTGAGCAACAGAAAAGATCAAAAAAAAGCTGAAACTTCAAAAAAAAAAAAATAAGATTTATATTAAAGATAAACTCATATAGTCAATCTATCCCGACTTCAAGGCGAGGGAGGCGGAGAAGTGGGCGAGACGCATATGCGATCCAAACAGCCACTGACGCTTGAATTGAACTCGTGCCAAGAACCGCGAACGCACCTTTCCCGAATACCTAGCCTTTCAAGTCGGGAAAAATTGACTATAAAATTTCAATTCAGACTTTGAGAACCTTCAGTAGCGAAAATTTTTCAGCTTAAAGGCATAGGGGCAGTGAAAAATGGGGTTTCAGGTGTAAGCAGTATCTTATACAGTTTTTCTTTGCGATTCGAATTGTGTACTCAAAAAAATTACAGATGTGACAACTTTAGAAGAAAAAGGCGGTTTTACTTTCCCGCCTTTAATTTTGAAAAATGCTTTGGATCGGTCCACGGACAAATGTTTACAGTAGCCGTGCACGCGATGTTGCGGACGTCTCATTAGACTCACATTTTGTGAGAAATAACCGGATATCTGCTTCAAGTTAAGGGTTTCTTCTCTGAAAGATCGATTAAGAAAACAGAAAACACACCGATAATAAAGAGAACACAAATAATCGCTATCCCAATCGAAACCTGTGTAAAGTCATCATTTTTCACCAGAAACGCTTTTTTGCGATCAAAGTTTGCAAATTATACATGAATAGAAAGCTTTTGTGACGAAAAGAACTTTGGTGAAAACAGAAAAAATTAAAAATTGAAAGAAACGGAGAAAAAGCGAAAATCCGGAAGATAGTGAAGCCTGTTGTCCATAGAGCAACTTTACTGCAAAGCGCCTTTTTCGCGGGAACTCAAGCTTTCATTTCTCCGACTTTGAATAATTTTTTCTCCAAAACTAGGAAGTTTGGTACTTTCCAAGTTCACCGTTCGATTCGCAATGAAAAGTTCTACAAAGTACTGCTTTGAACTGAAACACCTTTTTTTTTTACTGCCCCTATGCCTTTAAGAAATCTAGGCACACAGAAAAATCAGCCCGAAGGAAAAATATCTTAAAAATTTTAGCCTGAAATTTTAAGCTCATGCTAAGAAATTTTAAGACAATTTTCCATGAATGATGTTTGCAAAAAAGAAGATTTTACTTCTTTTCTTTTTTAACTATAGTCTTTATTTTTTCCCTCAATGTTTCGCTTTTTTTTTGGAATAATTCTTGAAAAAAAGTATTTTTCTAGATTAGATTTGTTAGTTCCAAATACGAAATACTGACAAAAAAACCAGCTTACCATGACAGAAAAAAACCTTTCGAGAAAAAAATAAATATCTGTCATGTGTTAATTCTTGCCAAACAAAAAAATTAATGAACTATTGTATACAAAAACGATTTATTGGCTTGCTCATAAAAATTTTTTTTAAAAAAATAAAAAGGAAAGTTTTTTTAGGAGATTGTCCATGGATCGCTTTTTTTCTTAAGATTTCAAAACACCCTAATCTCGAAGTTCTGAGCTGAAGCTCTCGAGCTGTATTTTCTGCAAACTTCGATTTTTTTGATCGAAATTTTCAAACTTAATATTCATTACTGAATCAGCACGGACTCAAAAAGATGCCACGAACATTTATATTCAGGACGGCTGTGTTGGAGCCCGATTTGAGCCGAAAAAGTTGTTGTGCACCTTGTCTTACGATGATCCGTCATACTGTGCCCGCGGGAACGTCTTCTTGCATTATGAAGCAACCGAACCAACCTGGATTCACTGCGTCAACTGCTGTCAGCCATTTAAAAAAGCTCTCTGATCGAAGTAAATCTTTCAGACGCGCTAAAACCGTCGGATTCGACGTCTTCAAACACCCAGGCGACTGAAACTACGACAGCTCACTCGTTGAGAAACAAAACAGTTAGCGAGAAAACCCAACAGCCTTCGGAAACGACTTCCACGGAAATCGCGAGAACAAAAACAACTACGACTGATGTTGATAATAGCTTTGTTCAAAAAGGTGAAATCATTTTTCGCTCAGAGAATAAGCACCAGCGTTCAGGATGCCTCATCAAGTTCCAAGCACGCCCATTCATCGAACGTCCAGCTCAATTTTCTGCCAAATTTGAATTGGATCTGAGAGTTGATTCTGCTGAAATCTGCGCAACCAGATGTTATCAGGTAAACTTATCAAAAACCTCGCAAAATGAAGGAAATTTTGTAGGACGGCTGTTCCGGAGCAAAGTACGATCCAACCTCGCTAACCTGCTCTTTATCATACAACGACAAGCAGTACTGTGCACCAGGAGACGTTTTCCTTCGCTATGAAACGAAAGAAGTAACTTGGATCCACTGCGTCAATTGCTGTACTTGCTTTCTTGTGACACAAATTATTGATAATACCTAGATTCCATGAGAGCTTTGGCTAAGAACGCGTCGAGTATGCCTACGAAAACTCAGACAACACTGGAACCCGCCGAAAGAATGAACAAAAGTGGAGATCTCAGGAAAAACTCATCTGACTTCCTCAGCGCTCCTTTCCTTCTTCCATCAAAGCATCGCAGTTCTTCGAACACCCAGGACGACGACACATCCCTTCTCAAAGGTAACAACTAGCCATTATATTTTTCTGAATCGGAAATGTTATCTAGGATGCGTGGTAAACTTCCAGTCGATTCCTTTGGATGAAAGACCAGTTGATAACACGGCTCCTTTCGAACTAAACTTGATAACAAACACGGCAGAAGTTTGCGCCCATCGCTGTTACCAAGTTGGTTGAAATATTTGGATATACACAGACAAAATACAGGATGGTTGCACTGCCGCGAAGTACGATCCAAAGAGTCAGCAATGCTCTCTCTCTTACGAAGACAAGCCATTCTGCTCGAGAGGGAAGCTGATTTCCACGGCCACACCAACCAGTCCTGTACTGATTCACTGCCTATCATGTGGTTGGTCGGAAGATGAAATTTTTCTGAACCGCTACCAGTTTACAGTGCCTATTGACAACAAAATCGTTTCCTCGGAAAGCAATGACGGATCCAACGCGAGATTAGACACCACGGATGGATCAGAAGAACAAAAATCTAAATCTACAGAAACAGCGGAAAGTCCAGAAGAAAGAAATATCACTGAAGCCAGCGGAGAAGAGCCGAGCCCCAAGATTGTAGTTGTCGAACAGACTAGTTCCTCTGCAAGTCCAGTTGTAGAATCAACGACTGGATCTATCGTTGCGAATGGAAGTGGCATCGAAGCTTCTGATTCTACTACAGCAGGATCTGAAGCCACGTCAACAGCGAAAACTCTGACGGCTGATCTTTCTCTTGATGACAAGCCAACAACACAAAATCCTGAAGAAAGCACAATCACCGAAGCCAGCGGAGAAGAGCCAAGCTCCAAGATTGTAGTTGTCGAACAAACTAGTTCCTCTGCAAGTCCAGTTGTTGAATCAACGACTGGATCTACCGTTGCGGAAGGAAGTGGCATCGAAGCTTCTGATTCTACTACAGCAGGATCTGAAGCGACGTCAACAGTGAAAACTCTCACGGCTGATCTTTCTCTTGATGACAAGCCAACAACACAAAATCCTGAAGAAAGCACAATCACCGAAGCCAGCGGAGAAGAGCCAAGCTCCAAGATTGTAGTTGTCGAACAAACTAGTTCCTCTGCAAGTCCAGTTGTTGAATCAACGACTGGATCAATCGTTGCGGATGGAAGTGGCATCGAAGCTTCTGATTCTACTACAGCAGGATCTGAAGCCACGTCAACAGCGAAAACTCTGACGGCTGATCTTTCTCTTGATGACAAGCCAACAACACAAAATCCTGAAGAAAGCACAATCACCGAAGCCAGCGGAGAAGAGCCAAGCTCCAAGATTGTAGTTGTCGAACAAACTAGTTCCTCTGCAAGTCCAGTTGTTGAATCAACGACTGGATCTATCGTTGCGGATGGAAGTGGCATCGAAGCTTCTGATTCTACTACAGCAGGATCTGAAGCCACGTCAACAGTGAAAACTCTGACGGCTGATCTTTCTCTTGATGACAAGCCAACAACACAAAATCCTGAAGATAGCACAATCACCGAAGCCAGCGGAGAAGACCCAAGCTCCAAGATTGTAGTTGTCGAACAAACTAGTTCCTCTGCAAGTCCAGTTGTTGAATCAACGACTGGATCTATCGTTGCGGATGGAAGTGGCATCGAAGCTTCTGATTCTACTACAGCAGGATCTGAAGCCACGTCAACAGTGAAAACACTGACGGCTGATCTTTCTCTTGATGACAAGCCAACAACACAAAATCCTGAAGAAAGCACAATCACCGAAGCCAGCGGAGAAGAGCCAAGCTCCAAGATTGTAGTTGTCGAACAAACTAGTTCCTCTGCAAGTCCAGTTGTTGAATCAACGACTGGATCTACCGTTGCGGAAGGAAGTGGCATCGAAGCTTCTGATTCTACTACAGCAGGATCTGAAGCCACGTCAACAGCGAAAACTCTGACGGCTGATCTTTCTCTTGATGACAAGCCAACAACACAAAATCCTGAAGAAAGCACAATCACCGAAGCCAGCGGAGAAGAGCCAAGCTCCAAAATTGTAGTTGTCGAACAAACTAGTTCCTCTGCAAGTCCAGTTGTTGAATCAACGACTGGATCTACCGTTGCGGAAGGAAGTGGCATCGAAGCTTCTGATTCTACTACAGCAGGATCTGAAGCCACGTCAACAGTGAAAACTCTGACGGCTGATCTTTCTCTTGATGACAAGCCAACAACACAAAATCCTGAAGAAAGCACAAATCACCGAAGCCAGCGGAGAAGAGCCAAGCTCCAAGATTGTAGTTGTCGAACAAACTAGTTCCTCTGCAAGTCCAGTTGTTGAATCAACGACTGGATCTACCGTTGCGGAAGGAAGTGGCATCGAAGCTTCTGATTCTACTACAGCAGGATCTGAAGCGACGTCAACAGTGAAAACTCTCACGGCTGATCTTTCTCTTGATGACAAGCCAACAACACAAAATCCTGAAGAAAGCACAATCACCGAAGCCAGCGGAGAAGACCCAAGCTCCAAAATTGTAGTTGTCGAACAAACTAGTTCCTCTGCAAGTCCAGTTGTTGAATCAACGACTGGATCTATCGTTGCGGATGGAAGTGGCATCGAAGCTTCTGATTCTACTACAGCAGGATCTGAAGCCACGTCAACAGTGAAAACTCTGACGGCTGATCTTTCTCTTGATGACAAGCCAACAACACAAAATCCTGAAGATAGCACAATCACCGAAGCCAGCGGAGAAGAGCCAAGTTCCAAGATTGTAGTTGTCGAACAGACTAGTTCCTCTACAAGTCCAGCTGAAGAATCAACGACTGGATCTACAACGCCAGCAGAAAGTTCAGAAAAAAGCACAATCCCCGAAGCCAGCGGAGAAGAGCCAAATTCCAAGATTGTAGTTGTCGAACAGACTAGTTCCTCTGCAAGTCCAGTTGTTGAATCAACGACTGGATCTACAACGCCAGCAGAAAGTTCAGAAAAAAGCACAATCACCGAAGCCAGCGGAGAAGAGCCAAGCTCCAAGATTGTAGTTGTCGAACAAACTAGTTCCTCTGCAAGTCCAGTTGTTGAATCAACGACTGGATCTACCGTTGCGGAAGGAAGTGGCATCGAAGCTTCTGATTCTACTACAGCAGGATCTGAAGCGACGTCAACAGTGAAAACTATCACGGCTGATCTTTCTCTTGATGACAAGCCAACAACACAAAATCCTGAAGAAAGCACAATCACCGAAGCCAGCGGAGAAGAGCCAAGCTCCAAGATTGTAGTTGTCGAACAGACTAGTTCCTCTGCAAGTCCAGTTGTTGAATCAACGACTGGATCTACCGTTGCGGAAGGAAGTGGCATCGAAGCTTCTGATTCTACTACAGCAGGATCTGAAGCGACGTCAACAGTGAAAACTCTCACGGCTGATCTTTCTCTTGATGACAAGCCAACAACACAAAATCCTGAAGAAAGCACAATCACCGAAGCCAGCGGAGAAGACCCAAGCTCCAAGATTGTAGTTGTCGAACAAACTAGTTCCTCTGCAAGTCCAGTTGTTGAATCAACGACTGGATCTACCGTTGCGGAAGGAAGTGGCATCGAAGGTTCGGATTCTACTACAGCAGGATCTGAAGCGACGTCGACAGTGAAAACTCTCACGGCTGATCTTTCTCTCGATGACAAGCCAACAACACAAATTCCTGAAGAAAGCACAATCACCGAAGCCAGCGGAGAAGAGCCAAGCTCCAAGATTGTAGTTGTCGAACAAACTAGTTCCTCTGCAAGTCCAGTTGTTGAATCAACGACTGGATCTACTGTTGCGGAAGGAAGTGGCATCGAAGGTTCTGATTCTACTACAGCAGGATCTGAAGCGACGTCAACAGTCACAACTCTTACGGCTGATCTTTCTCTTGATGACAAGCCAACAACACAAAATCCTGAAGAAAGCACAATCACCGAAGCCAGCGGAGAAGACCCAAGCTCCAAGATTGTAGTTGTCGAACAAACTAGTTCCTCTGCAAGTCCAGTTGTTGAATCAACGACTGGATCTACTGTTGCGGAAGGAAGTGGCATTGAAGGTTCGGATTCTACTACAGCAGGATCTGAAGCGACCTCAACAGTGAAAACTCTCACGGCTCATCTTTCTCTTGATGACAAGCCAACAACACAAAATCCTGAAGAAAGCACAATCACCGAAGCCAGCGGAGAAGAGCCAAGCTCCAAGATTGTAGTTGTCGAACAGACTAGTTCCTCTGCAAGTCCAGCTGTAGAATCAACGACTGGATCTACCGTTGCGGAAGGAAGTGGCATCGAAGGTTCTGATTCTACTACAGCAGGATCTGAAGCGACGTCAACAGTCACAACTCTTACGGCTGATCTTTCTTTTGATGACAAGCCAACAACACAAAATCCTGAAGAAAGCACAATCACCGAAGCCAGCGGAGAAGAGCCAAGCTCCAAGATTGTAGTTGTCGAACAAACTAGTTCCTCTGCAAGTCCAGTTGTTGAATCAACGACTGGATCTACTGTTGCGGAAGGAAGTGGCATTGAAGGTTCGGATTCTACTACAGCAGGATCTGAAGCGACCTCAACAGTGAAAACTATCACGGCTCATCTTTCTCTTGATGACAAGCCAACAACACAAAATCCTGAAGAAAGCACAATCACCGAAGCCAGCGGAGAAGAGCCAAGCTCCAAGATTGTAGTTGTCGAACAGACTAGTTCCTCTGCAAGTCCAGCTGTAGAATCAACGACTGGATCTACCGTTGCGGAAGGAAGTGGCATCGAAGGTTCTGATTCTACTACAGCAGGATCTGAAGCGACGTCAACAGTGAAAACTCTCACGGCTGATCTTTCTCTCGATGACAAGCCAACAACACAAAATCCTGAAGAAAGCACAATCACCGAAGCCAGCGGAGAAGACCCAAGCTCCAAGATTGTAGTTGTCGAACAAACTAGTTCCTCTGCAAGTCCAGTTGTTGAATCAACGACTGGATCTACCGTTGCGGAAGGAAGTGGCATCGAAGCTTCTGATTCTACTACAGCAGGATCTGAAGCGACGTCAACAGTGAAAACTATCACGGCTGATCTTTCTCTTGATGACAAGCCAACAACACAAAATCCTGAAGAAAGCACAATCACCGAAGCCAGCGGAGAAGAGCCAAGCTCCAAGATTGTAGTTGTCGAACAGACTAGTTCCTCTGCAAGTCCAGCTGTAGAATCAACGACTGGATCTACCGTTGCGGAAGGAAGTGGCATCGAAGGTTCTGATTCTACTACAGCAGGATCTGAAGCGACCTCAACAGTGGAAACTCTCACGGCTCATATTTCTCTTGCTGACAAGCCAACAACACAAAATCCTGAAGAAAGCACAATCACCGAAGCCAGCGGAGAAGAGCCAAGCTCCAAGATTGTAGTTGTCGAACAGACTAGTTCCTCTGCAAGTCCAGTTGTTGAATCAACGACTGGATCTACCGTTGCGGAAGGAAGTGGCATCGAAGGTTCGGATTCTACTACAGCAGGATCTGAAGCGACGTCAACAGTGAAAACTCTCACGGCTGATCTTTCTCTTGATGACAAGCCAACAACACAAAATCCTGAAGAAAGCACAATCACCGAAGCCAGCGGAGAAGACCCAAGCTCCAAGATTGTAGTTGTCGAACAAACTAGTTCCTCTGCAAGTCCAGTTGTTGAATCAACGACTGGATCTACCGTTGCGGAAGGAAGTGGCATCGAAGGTTCGGATTCTACTACAGCAGGATCTGAAGCGACGTCGACAGTGAAAACTCTCACGGCTGATCTTTCTCTCGATGACAAGCCAACAACACAAATTCCTGAAGAAAGCACAATCACCGAAGCCAGCGGAGAAGAGCCAAGCTCCAAGATTGTAGTTGTCGAACAGACTAGTTCCTCTGCAAGTCCAGCTGTAGAATCAACGACTGGATCTACCGTTGCGGAAGGAAGTGGCATCGAAGATTCTGATTCTACTACAGCTGGATCTGAAGCGACGTCAACAGTCACAACTCTTACGGCTGATCTTTCTCTTGATGACAAGCCAACAACACAAAATCCTGAAGATAGCACAATCACCGAAGCCAGCGGAGAAGAGCCAAGTTCCAAGATTGTAGTTGTCGAACAGACTAGTTCCTCTACAAGTCCAGCTGAAGAATCAACGACTGGATCTACAACGCCAGCAGATAGTTCAGAAAAAAGCACAATCACGGAAGCCAGCGGAGAAGAGCCAAATTCCAAGATTGTAGTTGTCGAACAGACTAGTTCCTCTGCAAGTCCAGCTGAAGAATCAACGACTGGATCTACAACGCCAGCAGAAAGTTCAGAAAAAAGCACAATCACCGAAGCCAGCGGAGAAAAGCCAAGCTTCAAAATTGTAGTTGTCGAACAAACTAGTTCCTCTGCAAGTCCAGTTGTTGAATCAACGACTGGATCTACAACGCCAGCAGAAAGTTCAGAAAAAAGCACAATCACGGAAGCCAGCGGAGAAGAGCCAAATTCCAAGATTGTAGTTGTCGAACAGACTAGTTCCTCTGCAAGTCCAGCTGAAGAATCAACGACTGGATCTACAACGCCAGCAGAAAGTTCAGAAAAAAGCACAATCACCGAAGCCAGCGGAGAAAAGCCAAGCTTCAAAATTGTAGTTGTCGAACAAACTAGTTCCTCTGCAAGTCCAGTTGTTGAATCAACGACTGGATCTACAACGCCAGCAGAAAGTTCAGAAAAAAGCACAATCACCGAAGCCAGCGGAGAAGAGCCAAGCTCCAAGATTGTAGTTGTCGAACAAACTAGTTCCTCTGCAAGTCCAGTTGTTGAATCAACGACTGGATCTACCGTTGCGGAAGGAAGTGGCATCGAAGCTTCTGATTCTACTACAGCAGGATCTGAAGCGACGTCAACAGTGAAAACTATCACGGCTGATCTTTCTCTTGATGACAAGCCAACAACACAAAATCCTGAAGAAAGCACAATCACCGAAGCCAGCGGAGAAGAGCCAAGCTCCAAGATTGTAGTTGTCGAACAGACTAGTTCCTCTGCAAGTCCAGCTGTAGAATCAACGACTGGATCTACCGTTGCGGAAGGAAGTGGCATCGAAGGTTCTGATTCTACTACAGCAGGATCTGAAGCGACGTCAACAGTCACAACTCTTACGGCTGATCTTTCTCTTGATGACAAGCCAACAACACAAAATCCTGAAGAAAGCACAATCACCGAAGCCAGCGGAGAAGACCCAAGCTCCAAGATTGTAGTTGTCGAACAGACTAGTTCCTCTGCAAGTCCAGCTGTAGAATCAACGACTGGATCTACCGTTGCGGAAGGAAGTGGCATCGAAGCTTCTGATTCTACTACAGCAGGATCTGAAGCGACGTCAACAGTCACAACTCTTACGGCTGATCTTTCTCTTGATGACAAGCCAACAACACAAAATCCTGAAGAAAGCACAATCACCGAAGCCAGCGGAGAAGACCCAAGCTCCAAGATTGTTGTTGTCGAACAGACTAGTTCCTCTGCAAATCCAGTTGTTGAATCAACGACTGGATCTACAACGCCAGCAGAAAGTTCAGAAAAAAGCTCAATCACCGAAGCCAGCGGAGAAGAGCCAAGCTCCAAGATTGTTGTTGTCGAACAGACTAGTTCCTCTGCAAATCCAGTTGTTGAATCAACGACTGGATCTACAACGCCAGCAGAAAGTTCAGAAAAAAGCTCAATCACCGAAGCCAGCGGAGAAGAGTCAAGCTCCAAGATTGTTGTTGTCGAACAGACTAGTTCCTCTGCAAGTCCAGTTGTTGAATCAACGACTGGATCTACAACGCCAGCAGAAAGTTCAGAAAAAAGCTCAATCACCGAAGCCAGCGGAGAAGACCCAAGCTCCAAGATTGTAGTTGTCGAACAAACTAGTTCCTCTGCAAGTCCAGCTGTAGAATCAACGACTGGATCTACCGTTGCGGAAGGAAGTGGCATCGAAGGTTCTGATTCTACTACAGCAGGATCTGAAGCGACGTCAACAGTGAAAACTCTCACGGCTGATCTTTCTCTCGATGACAAGCCAACAACACAAATTCCTGAAGAAAGCACAATCACCGAAGCCAGCGGAGAAGACCCAAGCTCCAAGATTGTAGTTGTCGAACAGACTAGTTCCTCTGCAAGTCCAGCTGTAGAATCAACGACTGGATCTACCGTTGCGGAAGGAAGTGGCATCGAAGATTCTGATTCTACTACAGCTGGATCTGAAGCGACGTCAACATTCACAACTCTTACGGCTGATCTTTCTCTTGATGACAAGCCAACAACACAAAATCCTGAAGAAAGCACAATCACCGAAGCCAGCGGAGAAGACCCAAGCTCCAAGATTGTAGTTGTCGAACAGACTAGTTCCTCTGCAAGTCCAGCTGTAGAATCAACGACTGGATCTACCGTTGCGGAAGGAAGTGGCATCGAAGGTTCTGATTCTACTACAGCTGGATCTGAAGCGACGTCAACAGTGAAAACTCTCACGGCTGATCTTTCTCTCGATGACAAGCCAACAACACAAATTCCTGAAGAAAGCACAATCACCGAAGCCAGCGGAGAAGACCCAAGCTCCAAGATTGTAGTTGTCGAACAAACTAGTTCCTCTGCAAGTCCAGCTGTAGAATCAACGACTGGATCTACCGTTGCGGAAGGAAGTGGCATCGAAGATTCTGATTCTACTACAGCTGGATCTGAAGCGACGTCAACATTCACAACTCTTACGGCTGATCTTTCTCTTGATGACAAGCCAACAACACAAAATCCTGAAGAAAGCACAATCACCGAAGCCAGCGGAGAAGACCCAAGCTCCAAGATTGTAGTTGTCGAACAGACTAGTTCCTCTGCAAGTCCAGCTGTAGAATCAACGACTGGATCTACCGTTGCGGAAGGAAGTGGCATCGAAGGTTCTGATTCTACTACAGCAGGATCTGAAGCGACGTCAACAGTGAAAACTCTCACGGCTGATCTTTCTCTCGATGACAAGCCAACAACACAAATTCCTGAAGAAAGCACAATCACCGAAGCCAGCGGAGAAGAGCCAAGCTCCAAAATTGTAGTTGTCGAACAAACTAGTTCCTCTGCAAGTCCAGTTGTTGAATCAACGACTGGATCCACAACGCCAGCAGAAAGTTCAGAAAAAAGCTCAATCACCGAAGCCAGCGGAGAAGAGCCAAGCTCCAAGATTGTTGTTGTCGAACAGACTAGTTCCTCTGCAAGTCCAGTTGTTGAATCAACGACTGGATCTACAACGCCAGCAGAAAGTTCAAAAAAAAGCTCAATCACCGAAGCCAGCGGAGAAGACCCAAGCTCCAAAATTGTAGTTGTCGAACAAACTAGTTCCTCTGCAAGTCCAGTTGTTGAATCAACGACTGGATCTACCGTTGCGGAAGGAAGTGGCATCGAAGCTTCTGATTCTACTACAGCAGGAACTGAAGCGACGTCAACAATCACAACTCTTACGGCTGATCTTTCTCTTGATGACAAGCCAACAACACAAAATCCTGAAGCAAGTACAGTCACTGAAGCCAGCGGAGAAGAGCCTAACATGACTCCGGTTTCAGAGCAAACATTAACGACAACTTCAGGAGAAGCTTCAAATATTCTTGAATCTAGCGGCAAAGAAGCATCTAGCAACATAGTTTTCGTAGGAAAAACGACAATCGCTTCAAGCCAAGAAGGAGAAAAAAGCACAGAAGTACCTGCGTTTGTCACCGCTGCACCAGAGACCATCGGTGAAGGATTCATTTCTAGTCAAACTAAGGCTACTGAAAACGCAAATCTAACGAGTTTTGAGCAAAAACATGCGAATGAAAAAGAAAATTCAGAAAGCGTTTCGACAAGTGAGGAGCGTGATCATACAGCTGAAAATGTCTCCGCTATAGTGACTGATGAGTCGTCTACAAGAATTCGGCCGTCTCTGAGCCCGGATAAAACAGAAGCCCCAGCTTTCGTTACGACGAAAGATTCTTCTGGTACCCCTGAAGCAACAACTTCGCTAGTGTTAGAAACAACGTCAAGTTTACCAAATGAAAGTGTTCGCTCTTCTGTGAATTCTTCAGTAGATGACTCTACTGAAAGTTCTGGAGAGGATGCCATGTTCAATAAGTCTTTGGTAGATGTTGCTCACAACCAAAACTTGCCAACTAGCGTCGGTTTTGTTCCTGCATCGGAACCAAAACTAAAGACGAAAGGTTCCGAAGAAGATGAAGAAGACGGATCTGGAGACAATAGCCAAGATTATGAAGAAACTATGACCACAAAAATCAGCAAAAATAAAACAACGACAGCTGCGATTCCTCCTACAATCACAACGACAACTGAGCCGCCTGTACAGTTGGTCAAGGATCTGATCGACGCTCTAACCGCTGGTGGACTCGACTTCATCCTGGGTCCGTCGAAGAAAACCGCCTCAGCTCCAGCACAGGACCTTATCAATCGCCGATTGAGTAAGTTCTCACACAGAGAGATCCTATATGCCGCGTTCAGATTCCGCAAAATCCAAAATAGCCGTCAGAGAAAGGAATAAATAACTACATTTCGGATAGTCAGAAATAATTTTGCATTTCGCGGAAATTACTTTGAACACAGCAATAGAAAAAAAAACTGTACAAGGAATTTATTTTAAAAAGAAATTGAATCTTATCAAAACTTTTCTAATGATATTTCATATCCTTTTTTTATTGAAACTTCCTCATCATATTGAATTTTTTTCATTTCGCATGAAACATTATTGAATTGAACGTTTCCTGGAGTAATATAAAACATATTCAAACTTTGGAACACGATTATAAATAATCTGAGAAAACACAGGACTTTTTTTTGACTACGCTATTGGCTAATATTTTTTTGAACCAAAAAAATAGATTGACAGATGTCTCAAGATAATTCAAAACAACTATGAACAAAAAAACGAATACCTTCAATCAATTAGGGACAAAAAAATTAACAAAAAAATTAAAAAAATTAACGAATACCTTCAATCAATTAGGAACACAAATTTACCAATTCAAAGGGGATAACGAAACGGACGTGCTCCGGACGTTCCTGGGCATTTCTAGTGACTCCTTTAGTAGCGTCAGCAGTCTTAGGTGATCCCTAGATTCTCTCAGGAACGTCCGGGACGCGTCCGGTTTTCGTTACAGAGGTCCGAGTGAGGACGAATTGTGCAATGGAGCGAATTTAACTAGACGGGCCTTAACTCTTTTTTGTTTTCTTTCTTTTGTGTTGTGTAAATTTAGCAACTTAACGTTTGAAATCTCAACTCATAAACCACTAGAAATTATATTCATTCATCTTATAATACCAACCACTTCGTGTGAATAATCTTAGATATTGTATATATATACAAAAAACATATGATTTTAAAAGTAATAAGAACTTTTCGGTGAACATTTTTTAAATGAAATTTTAAATTTTTTTTTTGAAGGACGGCCCAAGCCAGCGCAGGCTTTTTTTCCAAAAATAAGGCCCGAATTGACGCACAAGCCTGGATACAAGTAGTTAACCGGGTAGCAACTTCAAAGTCAATCGGCGTATGGTAGTCGGTGGTCGTTTGTAATACAAAACAAACTTTGTATGCGACCAAGTACTATCTCTATAGTACCTGGATACTACCGGAGGGTATCGCAATGCTACCGGGGATGACTTTCATGGGATCGAAAAAGCGTATGTTTTCCGATCCTATGAAAGTAGCTATCCAGTAGCTACCTCACGAGCAGTCGCTACGCGGTACCTACTTGCATCGACATTCCGATTCACCTTTGTTAAATCATTACGCTTCTAAAATTAAATTTAGAAGTAAAAAAAAAATACTCTTTAACACACGTTCTCCGAGATTTTCGAATAACCGTTGGTACAAAAATTTCATCTTTGTTCCTGAGAGCTCTCCTTTCTATCATAGATAGTGAACAACCTCTTAAATATTTAGAACCAGGTTTTATTGGGCTCCGCCCACTTTCAGGCTTACTGTAGGAAAAAAACACCGTAGAAACCAAACTTTTTTTCCTAGTGGAGCAAATTGGTCCAAACCAATTTTTTTAAAACAAAAATATGTTCCCATATGAACATTTATAGTTATAGAACTGACCCGAAAAAAATTTTTCTTTCAAAAAGAAAAAAATTAAAGTTTTTTTTGAAAAAAACGACGATTTTCGCAGTCTCTGAGCCATAACTAGTACTAGAACCCCCGAATGCCTGGATTTTTATTTTTTTTAATCGACGCATTATGGTCTTGTGAGAAGAGGAAAAATGTCTAGAAACTCTGGATCCGGGTGATCCAGTTGACCTCCATCTCGAAGAACGCGGCCAACTTGAAAATCGCAAAACCTTTGAAAATTTCTATTTTTTGTGAAAGCCGGATTCTGTCTTGTTTCTTATTTTTGTTCAACATACGACAGCTTGCTGCAAAATTACAGCTCAAAAGTAGCGAGCTGGAACCCCTTAAAAAAAATTTTCTGACGTTTTTCCAATTAGAATCCGGCTTTCACAAAAAATAGAAATTTTCAAAGGTTTTGCGATTTTCAAGTTGGCCGCGTTCTTCGAGATGGAGGTCAACTGGATCACCCGGATCCAGAGTTTCTAGACTCCATACTGACGTTAACAAATTTTCAGGTGGCGTTCGACGACTGTTCCCTGGAGAGCTTTCTCAAAAATAACGGTAAATCGAAACAAGTTCATCTAACCCCCCGCTCTCATTCTAATACTAAATATGTTCCTTTTGAAATCCTGAAGATATTCAACTTGACACTTTTTCAAGTTTTCAAATTTTTTGTCATCAAGAATCATTAGATTTTTCCTAAAGCAAGTGAAGGTCTTTCGAAAAGAAAAAGCGACAACTTTTCAAAAAGTGACACTAACTATTTCCTAATATTTAGCTACCAACTTTAACATCATTAACTCTTTAACATTGCACATCTTCAGACTGCACCAATGGACAAATAAGGTTCGCGGCGAGCGAATTGGAAGACCTTTCGGAACACTTTGAACGCGATGCCGTCGCCTTTTCGATCCAACACTGTGCTAGGATGTGCTTTGAAACGTCGTGCTCCAGAGCGGCCTTTACCAGATTCCCACGTCCAGTCTGCCTCATGCACTATCGGTCTGATGCGACGTCACCTGCACCGTGTGATGCTAACCAAACCATTACAACTTCTTGGCGCTTCACCAAAATCAACCAAGTCGTCTCTATTGACTGCGTCGAGTGTGGTATGTGTCAAGTAACAAACTAAACAATGAAAAACGGTTTGAAAGTTTTTAATATCGGAGGATCAAAGTTTAGTGATTGCGTTCAAACGGTTTCGATCCTGCCTATAGTCTGTTTTTAATGTCCCTTTCATTGAAATCGAAAACCGGAAAACTGGATCAAAAAAAAAATTTCGATTGAAAAAAATTTCCAAAAATAAGTAACACAACAAGAATGACGAACTACCCTTTTTCAAATAATGGCTAAATCATCATAAAAATATTTTTAAATTTTTTAAAAAAAAACTATAATTGTTTATTCAAACATCAATATTATTATCCACTTATCTGCAGCTGCTCACAATGAGTCTGACAAAACGCACGATATCACAATGCTTCATAAATCATTGTCAATCGATGAGAAGCCGTTGACCGTCGGAGCGGTAGTTCACGAAGGTGAAAGAAACTCTGAGAAGATTGAGGAAGAAATTGTTTGAAGGCGTTTCTTCAAAATGTGACGGACGAGTTGAGTTCCAAGTAATTCCTGTCGCCAGTCTTCCGAAACTCAACATCACCAACGACGTTCCGGCTAGGACACCGGCCGATTGTGCAAAGAAATGCTTCGAAACGGTAGGAAGCACATACATAATTCTTCTTTTGAAAAAAGACTTTGTTCAGCCAAAATGCAAAACTGCGGGCTTCATACCGTCGCCTTCGACTTCTATCTCCGAAGGAGTGTGTCTGCTGACTTCGGACGAGCCTGTCTGCGGCAACCTCGCCGACTTCGTTCCTCAGCACGCCGCTCTTCATCCCTTCGTCGTTTCTTGCATTCAATGCACCTGTTTGTTCGTCATTCAAGTTCTGGTGTTTGACGTTTTTATTTCAGCTTGTACCTACGATTTACGACCAATCACACCAGAAATGCCCATTCCTGAGCTGAAGACTCATGAAAAAGCCGAGACGGTTCAGGAATGCGCCAAGCAATGCGCCTCCATCGGATGTACAATGGCCAAATTCCAAGTCGCGGCTAAATTGGTTTGAACCAGTTTTGTTAAAGTTTTTATAGAAGTTCGGTGTAGATATCATATGAACCGTTTAAAAAATATACACTTAAAACAGTTTGTAATTTGGACGAGCAGTATACTAGAATCTGATGATTTCAAGTTTTATTGATGTTCGATTGTAGGAATGAATCGAAACACGATCTTCTAATGAAAGTACCACATTTTTCGGAAGAGTTGATGTTGGTTTGCAGTGCTCGATGACGCGAGACGTGCTGTCGCAGGACACGTGTCCGCGGGAACAGGCCACGCAGATCATCGACGGCCTTCTGCCAGTGGCCCTCGAATGCGTCAAGTGCGTCGAGGCCTAGAAGACGTCGTCCAACGACACTTCCCATGACTTTTTCCCTTAAATTTTCGCTCATTTCTCTGACATATCTTTTGCTCGATTTGAATATTACGCGATAAATCTCAAAATGATCATTCCACTCCGCAACCTTTGGTCCACTGCCTAGTAATTCTACATCCTTTATTTCATTTCTTCTTGAACGTAGCTCCGCTAGTGACTGTAAGTACCATATTTCTTCGAGCAATGTGTCCTCCACAAGTTCCGCCCGGCCAGATAATCCCAGTACTTTTGCCCTTAAAAAAACTTACCGGTGTTTATTGTTCTGTTGCATGTTGTTGCGAGTATATTTTGGTAATTTTTGTATATTTTCATAAATATATAAATTTCACGAGGTTTTTTTTCACTCTCTTCAAATTTATTCAAAGAAGCCTGTGACGGTGGAAGAACTATTTATTTTGGACTTTAAGATGGAAACCGCTAAGTCTAGCGAGAAATTTGAAACGCTCTCACTACATTTTTCGTTAACTTTTTTTATTTTTCTTTAAAAAAAGTTGTACTAGATTGGTGGTACATGTAAGGAACTCAAAAAAACGTCCTTCAAGCTTTTTGAAAAAAGTTTTGATGCGCTTCTAACAAACGGAACACGGTTTCGCTATAAAAGAAAACTGAAACATTCTGAACTATTTTCTTCGTCTCGTGAAAAAAATTAGAATCAGTTTTTTTGTATGTTTATTTATTTATACAGGTTGCCAAATATAGTCATTGACTAGTCAATGTTTCCCGACTTGAAAGGCGAGGGAGGCGGGGCAAAAGCGGGACGCGTCGCGTGTGCGTTCGCGGTTCTTGGCACGAGTTCAATTCAACTGTCGCCGACTTTTTAAAAAGCTCGGCAACCGCTCTTTTTCAATGTTTTCTACTATTTTTTGATGAAAACATGAACATAATCAATAAATAATTGAAAAAGGAATGAAAGGAGCGAAAAACGGGATTTCCAAAGAGTCGATGGCGGTTGAATTGAACACGTGCCAAGGACCGCGAATGCACACGCTACGCGTCCCGCCCCTGCCCCGCCTTCCTCGCCTTTCAAGTCGGGGAAAATTGACTATAACAAGCTTTGAAAGTGGCTCACATTATACACTTTTGTCTATCTATTCAATTTAGTTAGGCGCATTCAGTCTTCAGAGAAAGATGTAGATCTAACCAAATAATGATTCAATTAGTTAGAAACGGGACTCAATCAAAAAAGCGCGGGAAATCGTGAAAACGAATTTATCTTAATTTTAAGTTTCACGGAAGTTTTTCAGAAAGTGTAAAAATTATCTCAAATGTAAATGAATAAAATATTCCCTTTTTTTAAAGCCCAATACAATCGTGAAATCTACCTGAAGCGTGTAAGTTCTTTTGTTCTGTTGTGGCACTAAAAAGGGGAAGAGATTCGGACGTCTCCTGACGAAGGACGCCGTTGCTAGGATGGCATGTCTGCAGCAAGTTTCTATTCCCCCTATGGAACTATACACTTTTTTCGAACAATCTTTCACGTCATTATAAAACTGGCTCTTGAGATCAAAATGCCGTTGGACTTCGTGGTATCTTCAGTGGAGGGAGTTCCGAACCAAGACCGGTCTCTTCTCGTTTCAACTCCATGGGTTTCGCAAAAGCGAGTTTTTAAAAACATATTCAAAAACATATACCAAGTTCTCTGAAAACTATATTTTCATTAGCCTTTTTCTTATCTTATACACGCTTCGCAGTATAATCTGACTGTAATCTCCAAACTTCTCCAGCGGCTCAGAATATCCGATCGACGTGGAATTGGTCCTTCGCAGGAAGGCCGAGGTTGAGAAGATTGAGCTCATTGCCCACAACATCTACATACGTAGCCGAAAACTTTCACTACTTATATTTGATTTATTTTTTCTTTCAGCGCGGAAGGTGGAAATTCTTACAAAAACATCGAACGCTGAACATCTCATTGGGTAGATTTTATAAAAACTAAAAAGCCCATTCCTTTTTTCAGAGAAGTAGAGTTTCGCAAAAACAAATCTTCTCCTGACAAATTTGAAATGAAAAATATTTTTTTGGAAGAAAAGTGCTCAAAGATATTGTTCCGAATCGCCGAGGCTCACATAAACGTCAATGACAATCCTCAAGTTCTGGTGAGAAATTTCCGATAGTATGACTACATTGAATGCTTTCAGGTCGGCTTGGAAAGTGTCAAGTTGTACGGAAAATTTCTGGCAGACTCTGGCTTGGATCTTTTTGACGAGAAGCCTCATATCGAGTCGGCGTCGAAATCTTTTTCTGCAGAGATAGAAACATTTATCCAAGGAGTCAAAAAGAACAAGACGAGATACGTGGCGAACGAAGACTTCAAAATGGCAAAAGAGGCTCAAGTCGCGTTTGGACAACTGGTCAAGGCGAAAAAAGAAATGGAAGAATTGGAACGTGACAAACGGGAGGCCGTCGACGAGGAAGACTTTGAGAGAGCCGAAGAGTTGCAGCAAGAAATCAAGGCTCTTCGATCTAATGTCTTGGCCGTCATAGATCCCCAACTGCTCGATAACGCCCTGGTAAGTCTCAAAATTGAAAACGAGCTCGAGATTATTTGTGCGATTTTCAGGAAACCTCGGAGCCATCACGACCAAAAAATTTGTTCTCCACTGAAGAAAAAACGTTTCCGCCGCAGAAACCAAAACTGTTCACCCCATTAGGTATTCTAGAACTGACTCATGTAGAAGATATCCAGAAAAGACCTCTCACCAACGCAAGTTCCTGCTGATCCGGACCATTCCTTCTTTTTCACTCCTCCTAGAAAGGCCGAAAGCTCGCAGGTAGGTCTTCGTCCTCACACGCACGAATCACATACTATATCACCCAAAGGTTAGTTATAATTCTTTTCAAAACTCCTTTCAATTTTTTTCCATATTTTCTTGGTGGGGACATGAGACCAAGAAGAGCATCTGCTTGGGATGTTGGCAGCCGTTCTTCGACGCCAACTTCGAGAAATAACTCGATGAGCCGCCGTCCTAGTGGCCGTTCAGTTGATCCTCCAAGAGAAAGACCTCTTTCTACCTCAACTCAGCGTTCCACGTCTTCCAGAAGAGTTACCAATAAATTTTTGGAGAAGGAAAATATGATTGTTCCTGCCGCTCTGAGGAGGTTCTCCACTGCTTTTTATTAGTCAGAGGCTGATATATTTGAAGAAGAAGCACAGCAGAAAAACCTCCAACCCCTTCAAAAACGTTTCTGAGAACAGACATGACAGAAGACGAACTTCTTGCTTCGATTCCTCCAAAAGATCGTCCCAATGTTCATTCATCGATTGCGTCTTTTGGAATTTCTACCGTAAAACACAAGAAGCTCCAATTTAAATGAAGCTTGCAAATGTCAGATGCGCAAAATCTACTCGAAGAGTTGGGAATCAAGAAAAGACGGCATCTCGGAAGTCTACGAACGCCTTCAGAGAATGACGACTTCTGAAGCTTCTGGAAATTTTGAATGCATCAACTTTCTCATGTCTCATCTTCTGAAAGATCCGCTCCTCAGTGTATATTATCTGCTTCTTTCTATTCGACTTTTTCGGTTTTGAGGTCTTCAAAGACGCCCTATCGCTTCTCGCGTACGTGTGTGACGACTGGATGCCGAGAGCCCAATTGGAGAAGTTTTATGGTAGACTTGCAACGGAAACCTACGACATCCTCGCCCAGCGTGTGGCTCAGTCTTCCAATGTCAGAGCAAATCAGGAGATTCTTGAACATTCATAATTCAGGATAAAAGAGCCATCAAAAAAACCGTCGAGATATTCGAGCACATTTGCAGACAGGAAGCTGTCATTCTTTCAAAAGTACTCTTCAATTAAAAACAACTTTCAGATTTCGAAAGCGTATTCGCAACGCCTTCTCAGTGGGAGCTCCGGTAAGAAAAATATGAATTAATGTGGATGGTATGAAAAAAACACCAGCGAAAATTAAAACGGCGGCTTTTCCGATTTTTTCATATCGCTAGGGAACTTTCCGACGGCCACCTTTCCGCCGAAATCCTTTCCGACTTTTTGCCTTTATATTTTTCGATTTATAAAAACATCTATTAACATTTTTTTCCTATTTCGTTGTGTTTTAATCATGAATAAACTGCCTACTTTATATAGGAAGATTCAAAACGAAGATTTTACCGAGAAAAAAAGTCGGAAAAAAAGATTCGGCGGAAAGGTGGCCGTCGGAAAGTTCTCTAGCGATATGAAAAAATCGGAAAAGTCGCCGTTTGAATTTTCGCTGGTCTTTTTTTCATACCACCTTAATGTGATTAATTCATATGATTCAATTTTTTTTTGGTTTAGGAAAAAATGAGCGTGGACGTGCCCTTCTGATCGAAACTCTCGCACAAAATTACTCAATACCGAACAACTCAGCGTAAATTTCATCTAGAATCTCGTTAAAATGATTTTATCAGAGGTCTCCAAGAAAAACCACTAGCGAGCTTCGCGGCAAGATGCATCCGAAACCCCGACCAACAGGTGGAAATAATGTCATTCAGCAGCTGGGAATTTTAGAGATGAGACGCTAGTTCTTTCATTGAATCTTCAAGATTTGAAGTTACCCAAAAACGACTTTGCGGTTTAAACTAAAAAGAAAGTCTTTTTAACCACTTCTGGAAGCATTCGTGGCAGATAGCAAGTATTATCTCTAGTGAGATCTCAAAACAAGATCCAAACGACCTATACTCAGGTTCGCATGATCGGGAAGCAACTTCTGCTGCGACTCTACGACGCAGGCTCCACAGACGCAGTCCGGCACGAGCTGCAGAAATTCTCGAACGAAGACTCGAACAATCCGACGTACCGACGTCTACTCGATGAAATTCACACGGCCAACGTCAGAAGCGGAAAGATTAAGAAGAAAATATCTTTTAAGTTTTAAAACGAACGAATCATGTCTAAAAGTACTCTTTTTTGCAAAACATTTTTATGAAGAGCATCTTCCCAGAGCGTTGCACGTGAACTCCCTCTGAGGCGTGCAATAGGCCCATTGGTACTCCTTAGTGAAGTCGTTTTTGCGCTCCATCACACAAGAACGGATCTTCTTGTCACAGTGGCAGCCACCGAAACTGATAGAAAACTGAGATGAGAAGCTTTTTGGGGGGGTGACTCTACCTCCAGTGGAAAAACTCGGGCAAATGACACCAATCGTTAGGTTCTCTGTTACGATAACAGTCACTGTGGTCGTCGCATCGCATGTAACTGAAATCTGGAATATTCACTCTGCTAACTTCGTTTCCATTCTTGAACCGAGTGAAGAAACTCACAAGCCGGCGGAACGAACGAATCGCGCCCCGTGGCAGTTGAACCGGGGATCGTCGGCGGCGGCTCCTTGAGCACATGTCGGGTCCTTGGAGATGAGGTAGGAAGGCGGATAATCGCACGTCGAGTACAAGGCTGTGCTCCACACAGTTTCTTTACTTTTGAGGATTCTTTCAACTCACGAGCTGGCGGCAGAGCCAAAACAAAAGTAGCAAGCGCACCAAGGATGAAAGAAAATCCAATCATTTGTTCATAACCGATCAGGAAAAACTTTTTTTTATTCTTTCTGCCGTCATTGTTTATATTAGTCATTCAGAAAATGCATTCATTTTTGAAATTGCATGCCGTGATTCAGAGAATTCCTTCGTCATTGCTTTTTTTCAAGGCTGAATCATTTGGCAGTTTTTAGAAGACATAGGCAGAATTTAAACTCTTGCCACAACGGTCTAGGCCAGAAGTGATTTGTCCATTCAAAATGGACCCACCCTTCTCAGTTTGCAACGGTACCAAAGTTTTCAATTCTTTATTGTTACTTTTCCCAGGTTTGCAATAGACCCCACTCTTCAAAGCTTTTTCAGTGGCAATAGTTGAATTCTAACGACAAAGCTTTAATATTTTTTCGCTACTCCTAGATATACTCGATAATCGGGGCAGTACTCTACAAGAAGCGTGCACGGTGCGAGCACTGATTTTGCACTTTTTTGTTGCACGGTGCATGTTGTCGTTTTGCACCTCGCAGTTTTGGGTCTTTTTCAGTGCGCATGAGGTGCAATACCGCACGGTGCTGACACTCCGAATCGGAAAATTGGGTGTTCGAAATCCTGTCGATTCAGTCCATTTCTATCAGTTCTACATGTTATTTATACTTTTTTTTTCGTTTTAGTGATGATTTTTTTCGTAAGAAAAGTCGGATGATGAAGAAAGAAAAGGCCTAAATTGAGTAGCAAAGCATGTTTAGTTTTGTGGTCCAGATTTTCACCACCGTGCGGTGTTGCACCTCATGCGCACTGAAAAAGACCCAAAATTGCGAGGTGCAAAACGACAACATGCACCGTGCAACAAAAAAGTGCAAAATCAGTGCTCGCACCGTGCACGCTTCTTGTAGAGTAAGTAATTGCAATAACCCCAATGTGACGTCTTTCCTGTTTAAAAATATTTGAGGTTTTTCTTTGTAGAAATCGATGATTTTTCATTCACTGGTAAACATTTCGAGACATCTTTTTTTGTTTCATCTTCACCAAAAAGAACTTTTTTTACTCAGAGAAACATCTGAAAAATTGAAAGAATAGATTATTTATTCAAAAAAACGAGGTTTCCATTCCTAAAAAAACAAACAGTGTCGAGAAACAGGATTAACTTTCTTGCCAGGAGTTCTTTTTTTGATGTGGAACAACTTGAGTGAATGATCAGAGACGTAGGCCGTGTCGGGTTCGATTCCCAGTGACACTTGGTACCTTAAAATGGCTATCATTATGATTTTGTGTTTTCACCCGTTCACAATAACCTCAACGTGCGAAATTTTCTAATATTTGAGAAAAAAAAAATCCTCAAATGTTTAGTCTAAAGAACAACTTCACTTCACGGGAAAGCTTTTTGACGTTTTTCCTTCTCAAATTTCTGCGAACTAATTTGAACACATTTTTTTAGGTTGGAATCTCCAGGTCTCCATTAGGTACATCAAAAAACCTTCTGATAAGTGTTGAAAAAACTTTTCAACCAGAGAACAAATTGAACTTTTTTGTCATTTGCATTGAGTACATATATATATATATATATACAGAAAACTCATTGAATCCTTTTTTTTGATTATCCTAAAGTATAGATGTTCTCAAAACTTTGCACTTGTACTTTTGCAACGCGTAGATAGAAGAACCTCATGAGAGAACGCTGCATAAAGTCGGAAATCTGGAGAGGGGGCCGCATGGACTTTAGTTTCTGGGTAACGCGTCCGGAGGCCTTCCACCGCGGAACTCTTTCCTGTGCCATCAAATGCGCGACGGCGAAAGTCGGAGCTCTGAAACGTCTTCAGCGTCAGAAATCACGTTCGAGAAGTTCCGCAGCTACTCAAAAAACTCGCCTGTTTTGGCCAGTTGTGCTGCACACGAGCACACATTTGCCAGCTTTCCGAGCATTCGCCACCCACTCGTTGAACTGCTCGAAGAGCGGCACCATGTTGAACTTGGCCTGTAGGAACGATTTTGCCAAGTCGCAGTTTACAGGAAAGCAATTTCTCTGCAATCCAGTCAGATTCTTCCTTGATGCACCAGATGACAATCTTGAAACTCTCAATCTGCACAACTTCATACTTTCCCAAAAAAGTGACCCATAAAACCCGTTAAAAGCTGCCATGTTGAGACTTTAAGCTTTTATTTCTCGAAAATTTGGAAATTGTGTAGATTGAGGCTTTCAAAATCTTCATATGAGGCAGAAAGGAGTATTCCGACCAAATTCCAAAAAACTCCGAACCGCGAAGTATATGACCTTCCTTCTTAGTGAAAGGCATCATGACATGTGAAGTGTTTCTATCGCCAAGTTCATCATTACAATTTTTATTCACCCTGAGCCTGATTCCCTGTGTGAAAAACGAAAAAAATTGAAGATTTTTCTCGCTGCTCTATTTCTCAACTCACCAGCGTCGGACGCACAGAAACAAGGAGAGCCTGACCGATTTTCAGCCGTTTCACGTAATTCTATTCCCCTGCGACCAAGGATTTAGAATCTAGGCTAATTAACAATAGAAGTCAAAGATTTCGAGATGAAACATCCTCTGATGTTAATTGATAGAGCGACTATTTTAGAAACTGAAGAACTAATTAATTTGCAGTTGTCCAGACAAAACATGTCCACGTAACGAATTTTATTATAACAGTGATCATAGAACTTTCTTCTATTTTCATCCTTATCATTATTAATATCACAGGTTTTTTGAATCGGAAAAAATTTGCAAGCCGTCTTCTTCCGCGTTGAAATGCCAAGGATGTTTTTGTAGACATGAAAATTCTGCTTATTGCTCGAGAAAAGGTTGAAGCGTTAGTCACCTTCATTTTGTCCAAACAAAAACCATTCTACCGGCTTGATTGAAATTTTGAAATGCTAAAACCCACGCAAAAGCACGCTTTCCTGAACATATTAGACGGAATCTCACCTCAATACACTTATCCTCGCTTTCTGGCACATCGATGGTGAGGAAATGGCGGAAGTGATTATTGGGACGTGAACAGAGGCAAGGACAGTCGAAGCTTCGGACCGGCCTGAAGAAATTCTCAAAAGTTAGATATTATTCAGTGTGTGAACTACGTAAAGGTTTGGAAAAAAAGTTCGGAGACTGTCAGAAAACCCGTTTTGATGTTTCAATTTGTGCGAAAAGTTAGCATTTTGAGATAAAACCGGAGAATATAAACTCGCTTCGATTGAACGTGCCGCTCGCTGGATTCGTCAGTGATCTCGCAGATGTACTCTATTTTGAACCGACACAACAGGCTCATGTTCACAGAAGCTTCTATCGAGGCCACGTAGACGAAGTCGTCGATCTGAAAATCAGAAAAGATTAGAGCAGTTACTGCAAACAAGGGACATTGAAGGCTAGACCATTTGTCCGATGAAATTGAATGCAGGGAATGTTGAAAGATGTTTCTGGGAAAGGAAATGACCAGGAAGACTGAATAAAACGACACACACTGTTCGATAGACTGACAGTTGATCGCGTATAATTTATACTTACACAAGCTTTTTTGGAAACTTCAGCGTTCAAAAGGGGAGAGGTCCGCTAGTCAATATTACAAAAAATTCGAACCTCTGAGAATAAACTTTGGCCTAAATACCGGCTATGCAGATTCGATTTCCAGTTCATCAAACAATACTTGTAGAAAATTTCAAATTCTACTTCAGAATACTTTCTTCTTTTAAGATTCCCGCTAAATAACTGATTATATAGCCATTTTGATCAGATCGAGTTAAAGTTTTCAAACAATTTCGAAAAAATCCCTTATCGCCCTGATCTGCTTTTTTTTTCAACCCCCACTGGATTTGTTGAACAGACTTATTATTCTCCAAACCTGCCAGACAGTTTCGCCGAGGTAAAGGATGCGCTGTGGCGGCATCTTAGATGCTTGCTCGACATCGACGATCGCCGTTTCGGAAGGCGTCGACTCGGAGGAGTTCTCCGACTTCGTTTCCTGCTCCCGATATCGTTCAGATCCGAATTGGCGCAACTCACAGGGGCAGGAGCTACAAGGATACTTCGCGGGCCTTGATTCTCAGATTGAACAGAAGACGTCGGCGAGACAACTGACGTCATCGACACTTGGCTGATGCTTCTTGTGGTAATCGCTGAGAAAGAGTCCCCTGAGTCAACGATTGTTTGCGCTTTCAGGATCCAGGCAGAAATACCGTGGACGTCGATATTCGGCGGTGTGGCGCTGCCGAAAGAGAACTTCTTGTTGATGAAAACGTGCAGCTGATTGCTGTCCAGGCCGCCAGTGCTGCTGGTCCGCGAGCGAACTGTTCTTCTGAATGGAAAAACTCGTTTGACTTGCGCTTAATGAGCGATGAACTTAAGATTGAAAACAAAAACAAAAACTCACGGACGAATCGAAGATGACGGAGTTGAGCGTGTTGTCATCATTAGTGGGATAAAAAATGAAACGATCAAATCAAAATATTCTGGGCGCTGTTGGTGCGAGCATACGTTCTTTTCAGATCAGCAACAAAATTAGCGTGGATTTTCTGAAAATATATAGGATATTTGCTTGAAAATTTTCGATTTTTTCTTAATATAAACGTGTCAAAAAAGGAAAGAGCCTTCTGCGAAGCAAGAAGCTCTGAAAGTCTCGTTGGGTGTTCCAGGGCCTTAATGCTTGTTGCAGAGAAAGGAAGAGCCTAGAAGAGTGGAGAGCGACGGGAAGAAAGATTTTTTAATTGAGAATGATAAGAGCGCCTTGGCGGCAAGCGGCTTCTCCCCAAGGACGGCGCCGCCCTAAGCGCGTACTCATCTCTGCACGCCTTACTTGTTGTTTTTCTTCATTATGTGCCTCGCTTGATGACGTTAAGTAAGAAGCTATATTTAGCTGTTCTCAACAAGGTGGGGACGATTTTAGCTGAATTAGCTACGCAAAAGTTCACATGAACAATAAAGAAACGCTTCTTAATAAAACAAGTAAATTCTAATCAGAACTGATGAGATGCATCTGATAAAAACTATTCCAAGCCATGAAAAGCCGACAATCAAAACGAGAGCATGAGAAACCTTCCCCATAATTACCGGACGTGCTCATTTTCTCGAACTGAGTGAGCTCAGAGGTTTCCGTGGACACTAGAAGGAAGTCTGAAACTGAATTGAAACCCCTTGGAACAAACCTCAATTAGTATCACCTAATCTTTTCAAAATCAACCACTTTTAAAGCCTGGGAAGTATTTTGAACATTGTAGCCTGAAATTGTATTTTGCGGGTTGTTTTTGCACGGCCACCCTCGCATCTTTTGCAACCACGAGAAATTAAGCCAGCTTTACGGGGCAACCTAAAACGGGAGCGAATTTGCCAGTCGCGCAGGTGAAAATTTTCTGATTATCAAGAATTTTCCCTTCGGAACTAATTTAAATAAAGTTTTCACAAACTCAAGTTCAGGATTTCATACTTTGTGGTAGTCTTGAAACAGTGAGAAAAATCAACATCGGAAGCCAGAGGTTTCAAAAAAAAAAAAGAAGCATTTATCTGTAGGAAAATTCATTGCAAGTTTTACCGATGAAAATTTTAACGTTTTATTTTTTCTTTCTCTGTGAACAGGCGTATATTTGGGAAATGAATGATTATTTTGAAACCGAACAGTCAAATGGAACAGTAAACGACGGGCCAAGGAAAGTTCCGCTACGCTGCCAGATCAACGACTCAAACTATCCTTTTTATGGTCTCAATGTGCGATTTTTTTCGAAATTCCAAAATCTCGACATGAGAACGAGAATGATCACGCATCAGAGACCTACCATAATCGGTCAACTTGCGGAAGGATGTTAGAAGCACGGCGAGAAATAAAGAGAGCGGGGGAGGCTTTTCCAGCTCACGCTGGCGCTTTGGCACAACTTTTACTTGTGCTTACTTGTTCAGGTGCTGGGTCGCCATGGGAACTCTTGACAATTTTTCGCGATTTCAATCTTTTCAAAATCTTTCAGGAACTGTTAGTTCAGAAAGACAGCGTCTGAAGACTATCAATTGTTCATTCACATGGTCAGAGCTTTCTTGGCGTTCACCCTACTCATTTTTCTTGAGTTCGCAGCGTCCTTTCTACTTTGTGGAGAGGTTGTGTTCGAATAAAGAAAATTGCAAAAAACTTCAAAAATTCCTTTGACAAGCAAAATATATTATCTAAAAAAATATTTAAAAAACTGTCCTTATTCCACGTTCAATATTTTTTCCATCCATGTGAGTCCCCGACTTTTTCATATTTATTGATAAACACCGTTCAGACTTCTAGATTCAGGGCTGATTCATAATCTTCCATTGTAAAGAAAAACAGTTGAACAAAAAAGAAACATTTTAAGACATTGATGAAACTTTTCTAAGATGTTCTCTACAGTGATCTGATAAAAAATCAGAGAAAAATTTCACGTCATTCTCCTTTTAGGGGAGCTATAGTGCCTTAAAGATGCCAAAAACAGTTTTTTCCCTTGGAATGAAAAATAAAAAAAGTTCAAAACGTGTTCTACAGAATTCTTGCAAAGTGCAGTGCCTATGGCGGCATTCTGCAAAAAAGCTTCCAGCATTTTGCAAATCCGTGCTTTGCATTTTGCACAGAAGTACCTCGCATTTTGCTCTTTTTTCGTCTGTACAAAAGTGAGCCCAAAAAGAAATGCAAAATGCGAAGTTCTTCCGGGCAAAATGCAAAGCTCTGATCTGCACAATGCATGCAACTTTTTTTGCAGAATGCCAGCATAGGCACTGCACTTTGCACGGTTTCAGTAGAGTAATGTTTCAAAAAGATAACATTCGTGAAAGTTCTTTCTGGAGTAGTGATGAGGGTGCACTCAAGCACATTTCAGCGAAGCTCCATCAAACTCTCCTAGTCGGTCCTTTTGCACCTTTTTGTCAATAAAATTCAACAAGAAATATCTTACATTTCATACAAGTTTCAAGCTGAGAACTAAAATGGCGACAACTTTTTTCAATAAATTATCAAAAACGGTGAGTATTATGAGAACTATGAGAAAACGAACAGTTGTTTCTTGTCGAACTTGGAAGAGGCGTCATCGAGAGCGGCGCGGAAGTCGCCGATGTCTCTTCGTTCGTACTCCGAGTGCTGGATCTCGCCCGACTTCATCCATTCTCCGAGCTCCTTGTACATATGTTTCCGTTCCTTGAAAAACAACCATTGCTATTTAAATCTCCCTGAAATCGTAAAAAGTAAGCTTTGGTTTAATTCTTATCAGATTTTGGAAAGTGTTACTGAATCTTGATACGGCAGGATCTAAATTCTCCTATCAATAACAAACCATATAGACACGCTTCCAACCAAAAAGAACTTTTTTCATATTTTTTTTCAATGGGCGACTAAATTCGATAAAATCTTTCTTTTCAATGCTGAGTACAACAAACGAGTTTTTCAAACGCATATCCGACCGAAAGGCAAATTGGAGCTGAAAAAATGAATCTGAATTCGGTTTCCGATGAAAAAAAGACAAATTTCGTTCATAAAAAAAAAAATCAAGTTAGTGAGTTTTTGGTTAGACAGTGATTGTGAAGAGCTCTAGTGTTCGAACCCATTCAAACATTCCGAAAATCCCAACTGATGTTGGAAGAAACTTTTTCTGATCTCAGGGATGTTTTCTCTTTTTAAAAGCGAACGAGTTTTTGATTCTGGAAACGAACCTCAACATTTTTCTCGAGACCGTACCACCGCGACATCCAAAATCCTTGCAGTCGGATATCCTTAAAGATGAGAGGACCCGTCGGACACTTTAACTCTTCCATTCCACTAAGAGAGTTCCTTCTCCACAGAAACCTGGACTGGCTGCTTGCTCATGCCTCCGTAGGTCACCATGCAGCCGCCGTCGTCCAGAAGACTCGCCAGGAACAGCGAAGATCGGCCTCCGACGCAGTTCAGCGCCAGCCGCACTCCAGAGAACTTCCTCTTCCGACTGTAAAAAAATAAACATCTGAGAGACCATTTGATGAACCAAATCTAAGCGGCAGGCCATGCTCCAAGCTCAAATTACTCCAGAAAAAAGCTTTGTCGTAAAATAGCGAACTTTCATGAAGCTCGGCAAAAAAAAAAACTTTTATGGTCTCTGATAGAACTATATGGCCTAATACAACCAAAAAGGCATAAAAACGATATAATCATCTGGTTGCAGACAGACTGAGCAGGTGTTTGGTTTTCAAAAATTGGAAGAACGGAATGAATGCCTTTTTCCAAAACTTTCTTATAATTCTAATTACGACGTCTCATTTTCAGTATACTGCTCAAGTATAGCCGTTTTTTTTTAAAGTTTCAACATAATGTTGTATAAAAATCGAGCAAAAAAAGCATCACATTGAAAAAGGATATTTTAGACTCGGCTAATGCCAAACCGATCCCGCTCTAGATATAAACGATGCCGAAACTGTTGAAAAACACTATCCTATGATGTATGAGTGAAGTGAATAATTTCCATAGAAAAGAGATATAGATTGAAAATTCAGCGATTCTGAACTTTTGCGAGATACCGACCCACGCACAGGCCTGGGAAAGAAACAGAAAAAAAGTAACGAGAAGAGGTCGTCTTCGGTAATGACTTCGTCGGCGCCCAACTTCTTCAAGTCGTCGACCAGCGCATCGAAGTTTTCCCTTTTGCGGACAACGCTGACCGATTTGAGACCGCGGACACGACAAATCTCAAAATAGGACTATAAAGGCTCGGAGGGCCGAAGACGGACCTGGATGACCTGCCGTCCTACGGCCGAGTTCCCGCCGTTTTGGATGACAGTGTCGCCGGCTTTCAGATCGACAAAGTCCTTGAGCATACGATACGCGGTAGGCGGGTTCACCTGGTGAAAAAAATAAAAACAATTCCTATTCCGTGTGAAGTCTTGACTCGAAATGACAGCCCTCCTTTCGAAAACTCTACCTAGAGCACGGTCTCCGGGTTTCGGCTACAACATCCGCTAAATTCTGAGCTATTCAGACGCAACTGGGTGAACTACGCGCAGAATAACAAGGCAAAGGACCGCAGTTCCTTGCTCTCAACTACTGTATTTGTGATGAAAGTATAGTCTTTTGAAGAAAAAAATTTAATAAGTTTTTTTAAATTTTTTTCATTCATATTGCACAATTAAAAATCGGTCTAAAAAGGTTACTGTCTTCTCGAGGTTGATATCGAAAAAGTTTCGGAAACTGTCTTATGAAATAATGATTTTTTTTTGATGATTTTTCTAAGTGAGACTTGGTTAGTCGCTTTTTAAAAATATTGATAACTAGAAAAAAACGAAAAAAATTTCAGAATTTAAAACCCCCAAAATTTTAACTGACTCAGATCCAATAATGATTTTCGAAAAACTCGTAGGTATAAATAAAACGATATCCGCGAGTTGACTAAGAGAAAAGCTCTTGACAGTCTCGAAAACTTTTTTCAAGACGAAACTGAAATTTAAAAAAACTATTTGGATAAGTCCATTCAATAATTTCCAAACTGATTCGATTCAAGAAGTAAAAAAAAAGAACTACGAACTTGCAAAGTGGCCGCGAACTCCACAGGAATCGAATTGTCGATGGGAAAAACGTCGTCGATTGTATGGAGGCCCAACTCGCGCCAAGTTCCAAGTCCCGAGCACGAAGGAATGACGTGGTCGCCAATGTTCAGACTCTTTATACTGCTGCCCACCTGTCGTTATTTCCGACTTTCCATGGGTCTAAAAGATTCAAAGGGAGACCTTCTCAACTCTGCCGACGCCCTCGTTCCCACCGATCGCAGGAAGCTTCGGCTTGACCGGATAGACACCTCGATTTAAGGACGTGAAATCAAAATCAGAGCACCGCGAAACCTTGTATCTGATTCAAATCTGCCGGATTGATAGGAGCCGCGATCCAATTGACGAGAACTTCATTCTCGCAGAGTTGACTAGGCAGAGTGACCGACTTGATGGAGATGGCCTATGAAATTTTCTGCGCTCGCTTCAACTTCTCAATTTGTCCCACTTTGGCCGGATCGTCGTAGCCTTCGTACACTAGCTGTCTTGTAGACCAAAACCGAGTTCCCAGCCGGCGAAGAGAAGTCAGTCGTAACATCTGGACAATGGATTCGCAGAAAGAATTTTACATTCCTTAGGTAGTCTTGTAGAAATTGGTATCTCACCAAAAACAAAAAGCGCATGTTTATCATGAATGAAGCGCACGATTCATCAGTTATTTATTTAAAAAGGAGTAGAAAAAAAAAATAAATTAACAAATGGACCCACTGAGGTTAAAAATTTAATTGGGAAAGTGAACGAAAAAAAGTAACCATTAACCGGCAAAAACTAACATGATAAAAAGCTCAACAAGAAACGAGGTAAATTTGATATAAGGAAATTTTCGAGCTTTAAATAAAACAGATCAATCATCGTCCGAAACCGAATGCCGGCGCTTCCTTTCATTCTTGATTTTGCTTTTTTCTTTTGACGTCCCGTTCGAGCCTTTTTGTTCAGATTTCGCTTCCTCCCATTCGCTATCCGAAGAATCCTGCAACGATTTAAATTTATATGAAATAAACAGCAATATTCTCTGAAAAAAAAAATTGAAAATTGTTTCGTTTTGTTTACAAGATATCTTTAGGCTTGTGCCTGATACTATCCCGATTAATTTTCTTCAAATATATGTTCTGAAAATACTACGAAAATGGTCAATTAGGTTATATATATCCCATGTGAATGAAGAGCACTCTCATAAACATAAAAAGCATCTCAATAAATCTCTTTCTCCAACTTTTAGAAGAAAATCCAATACTACAGCGCCGACTTTCAAAGAAATCTCTTTGCCAAACTCACTTTTACTTTCTTTCTAGCAGCAGCCTTTTCCAGCAATTTCTCTCTCAACAAAATTTCGTCCTCACTATCGTCATCTTTCTTAAAACAAACCCATTAGTATTATTTTTTTTTAAAGTAATCCTACGAATTATGGAATGAAAGAATTTCTCAAAAATTTGAAAATAGAGATATAAATTAACCTTTTCTTTCTTGACGTCTTTCTTCACCTCCTTCTCTTTCTTCCTATCCCGGCTCTTGCTGCGGCTTCTTTTCCTTTCCTTCTCTCGTTTTCTGTCTTTTGAGCGAGAACGGTCGCGATCGGGACGTTTCTTATCCCGAGAACGTGACCTGCGACGGCGGTCACTGAAATTTTTTTTTTCACGGCGGAGCACACTTGAGTAACTTATGGTTTCAATATTTTATTCATGCAGAACCTATTGACAAAGAAAAATAAGCTCACCGACTCTTCGACCTTCTTTTAGAATCTCGATCACGATCCCGACTTCGACTTCTCTTACGATCTTTATCACGACTGCGACTTCGACGGCTCACTTTATCCTTGCTCCTACTTCGAGATCGTTTTCGGTCGCGACTTCTTCTGCGTTCGCGCTCGCGACTACGAGAGCGGCGACGCGGAGACCTTTTCTTCGGTGACGGCGACCTGCGACGGCGAGGAGAACGACTTCTTGCGCGTTCTGAACACTTCAAAATACTTCAAAAAAGAATACTTTCATCTACCAGCTCCAGTTTTCCCCATGCGGATAGCTTCCTCGACTTCTTCTAAGGCTTGATCCGCCGTTTTCTGTTGCGGCTTGATTATGGCGACTCGAGAATGTTGAATTCTGAAGATTCATCTTCATTTTCCGTTCTACTTCTTTCTTCGTACCTGAGTGGTCTCCCGTCGAATTCTATTCCATTATTTTGAAGAGCTATCGGTATCGATGACTGTTGAGAAAATTCAACGTAAGCGTAAGCGCATGGCAATGTTTCTGGGCCACCAGTGAACCGAATGTACATCACCTGTAATAAAAAGGAATTACGTGAGATGCAATTCATTATCGAAATTGAACGGCGGAATGGAATTAGGATTCGTGAGTTTTTTTTTCTCAGGGTAAATATTGCTATTGCTTAAAACAGCGCAAGTTCGAAGAGCCAGGAAGCGATCCGAAAATTAAATATTCGCTTGTTGGAACTCCTGATCGCCTTATCTGTAGAATCTGCTTAGATGATGAGCAGGTTGGTGAAAGGTTCATAAGAGAATTATTTGAGATATCAGGAAATTTCGCGCCTAATAAAACCATGCGAATGTCGGGGGACGGTTGCCGTAGTTCATACTCATTGTCTAGAGAAATGGGTTGAAACAACGCTCAACACGGTGACACATATGGATTTAGAATAATATTTTGATCAGGTCTGCACAATTTGTCACAGTTCTTATGAGCTCCAAACAATTGGTTTGAAGAAATGGACGGAATGGAGTGTGCCTCATGCTCTTTCAGATTCATGGGAGGTAAAACAGAAAAAAAAAATTCAATAATTCATTTCACACCGAGAGAGAAAAACTTTTTAATGGAATATTTTAAGGACGTCATCGACTTTCGTTGTACTCTTGCATGGCTAGTTTATATGGGAAGAATTTTCTACCTTATCGCAAGGTTTGTAAAACGAAAACTGTTGAACTTTTCTATGATGATAGATATGGAAGTCATGAGGTGGCGCTAACGATAGAAAAAGCTTTTGGCGACGGGTATTTTTATAAACTTTGGTGGATTTCTTTTTGGATGAATTTCGCCTATTACGGCTCAATGGCTTTATTGACGTATGAGCAATGGGTGGCAGAAAACACAAAGTATGAATTCAAGGACAGGTCAGTTTCATAACAAAAAAAATCTTTTCTCTTTTTATCTGATATTAAAATCGATTGAAAAAATCAAACACATAAAGCCAATTTCGCTCAATTTTCTCTTCTTTTCTTTTTAATATTGTTGAATTTTAAGCTTCATAAACGTCCGCCGCTTCTTTGAGAAAACATTTTTCAGGGCCCAAAATCAACTACAGCAACAAGGCTCTATTAATAAACTTCAAAGCAAACCAGAAACCAAATAGCAATTATCGAAATAAAAATAACCTCGCCCATGTAATTGTTGAAAAAATCCAAGACAGTTTTTCCGTCGACGCCTTTGGGAAGATTACCGACGTAGATAGTCCGCCGAATTTCTTCCACTTTTCCAAGGTCGGTATCTCCAGGAAGCGAAGGATATGAAGGCACTCCGAGTTGTTCCAGTGTCGGGTCGACTGTAAGCAACTGAAACAGTCAAAGATTTAAATTGTGTTTGTTTTTTTCTTCAATTATCAAGCTCATTCATTCTTATATACTCATATTCTCATATCCTATTTTCACATTTTACAAAGGGAGTCGTAGCGCCACCGCTTCTCGCAGTCAGTGGTTCTCCGGGGTAGCCCGACAGTCTGCAATCAGTACACACCTCTCCAAATTCATAAAAATTTTCTTCTTAACCACATCATAAAAATAAAGAAGACTCCCGGGTGTAGCGGTAGACAGGTGGCTGAAAAATCAAAACGAGCACCTTTTCTTTTTTTTTCAGTAGATATCATTTAGGTAATATTAAAATGTTTACCACTGTTGTTCCATCTCCGACGTCTTGAATCTTATTGACTACATGAGGCGGCAGTTGTCTCTGTCCAGCCGAAATCGATCCACCACTGTTAAGGAAAGCTTCTTCATTCGGAATGGTGGCTAAAACAAGTTTTGAAAAACACATACAATTACTTTCCTCGGAGGTTCAAGTATAATTAATTTCTGTACAATTGAGATTTTCAGAAAAAGATTCTACAACTTCCAATACTAATAAACGAACGAATAAACGAAAAATTTTTGGAAAAAATATCATTAAAAAAAATTTATTAAAATCTATATATCTTGATTTTTAAACGAGGAAATAAACGTTCAAGCTCATAAAGATTTATTACCTGCTATTAAAATTTTTTTTTAAAATATTTGAAATTTTTCACACATGACTTTGGTGTCGTCTTCAAAGTACAAAAGTACAAAAAAATCAAAAGCTCCAATTTCATGATAAGAAAGATTATATTCTGTGTTTTTTTGTTTCATTCGATACTAATATTCTAGACGTTTGAAAGTGAAGCTCACCACAGTAAAAGCTGAAAATATTCATACCCCTCCCCCCCTTTTTCACTTATAAATGAAAAAAGAAGAACACTCAAATCAAAAAGCTCTATTGCTTAGAAGTCTAAACCTAATTTTAATTGTTCACAGAAACGTCTAAATAGAACTCACAAACTAAAAAAACACTCACGCTGCAAGTATGGTACGCAAACCAGTGCTTGGTCAATCAAAACGGTGCTCGTTAGATGTTGCCCAACTTCTACTGATCTTTCATCGTCAAACTTGATGAAGGCTACTTTCGACGTAGTTGCAGAAGTGATGTGATGTTCAGATGGAAATACCTGGAATTCGAAAGTATAAATTAACAAGCTGGTTATTCTAATTTTCAACAAACCTTCATCTCTTCTATTCTACCTAAATAGCCAAACATGGTATGGATTTGATCCTTTGTCGCTGTTACAGAAATGTTCGCAACATGTAAAATTTTTATTTTCTCTCGTTTTTCTTCTGCCGCCATGCTGAAATTTGAATCATTATACAAGTAATAATGATAATCAGGTAAGATTTACATTATTTTCATAAAAATTACTATTACAAACGTGAACAGCATTTGCTAACTTGTTTTATTTCGCCATTCCGCATAAACAAAATGTTCAATGGCATCAGCTAAACTATTTGCTCAGTTTTTTTTAATTGCACTCTAACAGTTGCCAAAAAAAACCCCCAAAGTAGAAAATAAAGACAGCTTCAAATTTGAGTTCTGGTTTTTCTCAAATTCTTGTTTCGAAGCATCTAAAATCGGTGGTAGCTACCGGTAGGAAACGAGCGCGTTTTCTATTTTCGCCTTCTTTCTATTTTATTTCGAACTTTATCGACATTACGACAGGGAGCGGTTAAAATGCATAAAATATCGACTCTGATTTATAAAAAGAAATTGGAAATTAAAAATATAAAAACTTTAAAAAAACCTAATTTCCACATGACTTTTTTTGCTTTTTTTCGTGAGCAATCAGAAAAAAAGCCAAATTATTGAAAAAAATTCATGTGAAAGGTAGAAAAACAACAACCAACAAACAATTTAAAAAGAATTTTGAAAACGCCTGGCATCCGCGAAAGCGTCTTTTTCGCTGCAAAGCCATTTTTTTCGAGCGTGTGTTATGCGCCTTCGAGTTTTGGGACTTTCGAAATTGCGCGTCTTTTTGTCGCGAGCAAGGCGCGCTTTTTTTTGTCGCTTTACATTTTTTTCATGCCGTGTTTAATTGAGTGTTCATCGGAGAAACGAAATATGCTTTAAAACGAAAAATCGTGTCCATCGGCACGCCAAACTTACTCCAAAACAGTACTACATTTTTTGAAGCAATTTTTTGCGTTTCGAAGAAATTTTCGTTTTGTCGGATGAATACGCCATAAAGAAATTTTTATTTTTTGGTTGATAATTATGCCGTGTAAAAAAAAATTCCGCGAAATTCAAATTAGCCGTCAGAAAATGAAAACGAATTATATCATAGTTTGAAAAAAAATTACCAGGCAAAAGCTTAATCAAAAAATATCAATAAACTTTTGGACCTCTCGCTTTATTATATTCCTCAACTCTATTCAACTGTTGTGATTGAATAATTTTTCAAATTTTCATCTTCATTCAGTTTGTCTAAGTAACGAAATTCATTAAAGTCCCCCGATTTTTTATGGAAAGCCATGAAAAAATTACTTTCAAAAATAATTTTCCGATGGCTTTGCTTACTTGGGCTGAACCCTTATGTTTTATTTCATTCCGTGGACTCGTTCCGATACGTCCATATACAATTGAAAAAAAAAATAGAAACGTTATTATTTAGAAGATAAGAAAAAATGGCCGATGATGGAGTTAATCCGAAGGCCTATCCACTCGCAGATACTGGACTTTCGCAGAAGCTCATGGATCTCGTTCAACAGGCCATGAACTACAAGCAGTTGAAGAAAGGAGCGAACGAAGCAACAAAAACACTCAATCGAGGCATAGCAGAGGTAGAATAGTTATGAATCGGTTAATTTGGAATTGGAAAGTTTATTAAGCCTTGAGAAAGTTTTTAGTTGATATGGTACAGTTAATACAAGGACCGGTCCGGTTTGCACTGCGCCGTGGCCGCTGGCTATACTAGACCATTTTCGATCAAGTTTTCTATTAAATAAAATAAAAAAGGCTATTTCCAACATTAATAGATAAAAAGTTACAGAAAAAAAAACTTTTTACTTATTATAGACGCTTTTGCCAAATCAGTACATTTTTAAGGCTTGCTGGCATTTGCAAAAACTTCATTGATGACACTTAATCTGGATCATCAAATGTTCTAATTGTGTTTTTTTTTCAAATTCGTTCATTTTGCGTACATAAACTCGTTATTAACGAAGATATCGCCCAAAACCGCGATTGGTGTATGCACATTTTAAACCTACAGTGTGCCAAACCGGACGGGCTGAAAAGATGTGATGAGAGAACTCAAAAGTTTGATTTTCAGGTCATTGTTATGGCTGCCGATGCGGAACCTCTAGAAATCCTGCTGCATCTCCCTCTTCTCTGTGAAGATAAAAATGTTCCCTACGTGTTCGTTAGAGTATGTTTTTTTTCTTCACTTTTTTTTCTGTTCTGTCTAATCACATAAAACTTTTAGAGTAAAGCTGCTCTTGGACGTGCATGCGGTGTCACCCGACCAGTGATTGCTGCCTCTATCACTCAGAATGAAGGATCTCAGCTGAAGTCGCAGATTCAAAAAATCAAAGAAGATGTCGAGAAGCTTCTCATTTGATTTACCCGAATCTTAATTGTTGTTGATGTACTTTTGTTATTTTGTGTTGTTATCTTTTTTTTTTCTTACTACGGAATAAAATTTGTTACTGAATTGTCATAGCATCTCAAAAATGGAATTCGAATACCTCCTCTAAAGTATCTGAAGTTATGTCTTCACGCCTGCTCGAGGCGGCCGATCGTATTACGGTATTTTGAAAAGATTTTCGGCTTTAAAATGGACAGTTTTGTACTTATTGAGACTTTAGTTATCTTGTTAGACCGAGAGTTGGTTCTCAGGGTGTTTCCAGAGCTACGACCCGCCCGTCAGATATGATGTTTTTGTGCATGGCCCCCCGACGAAAATTAACATGCTTCCGAAGTTTTTCGAAGAACAAAATTTCATAGAACATGTATCAGGTTACCGACTTCCGTTAATATATGAAAAACATTCACAGTACTTTGAAAAATGCATAGAAAAAAATAAGCAAAAAGGCAAAAATATTGTAAAAAAAATTGTCAATTGTTTTGAAGTTTTAAATTGCAAGAAGTTGCTGAATTTAAAAAAAAAAAGAAAAATTCAAAAATTACTTAAAAAACGGAATTAATGATAAAAAAATTTTTTTAGTCACTTTTTATTCCCGTCTAAAATGTGATTTTTTTTTTCCACGCAGACTACTGATAAGATTCGAATATTGTTTCTCTGTTTTATTTCCTCCGCCACTATCAGGTTGAAGGAAAAGGTAGTGAAAAAGGCGGACTCGATTGTTGAAATTGTGACGTAGCTGATAACAATTTCATACAGGTGCAGTGTTAGATTGATTTTTGACTTCTTTTTTCTAAAAAAGTCATTTTTTTCTGGTAGTGCCATTTTGCGTTTCAGGCAGATGGGAGCTTGGACTAAAAGCGGAGTCGTTTTTTTATTTGTAGTCCTTGCTTATAACTACGTTTGCGATCAGCTCTACACGAAACATGAAATCCATATCAGCGGTCACGTAGAGTCTATGTTTCAAAACGTGCGAACAGCCTTTCTGTAAGTTGTCACCATTTTTTTTTCGAAACTGAATTAATTGTTTGAAGAAATAACTTCGACGACGGATGGGAAGGCGAAGGCGCCGCTTTTGCTGTTTTCATAGACGGCAGAAAAGTGGTAGATTTGTGGGGAGGATATGCCGACAAACAGGCCGCCCGAAAGTGGTCGGAAGTAAGGATCAAGGGCTGATGGCTCTCTTAATATTCTGAATTGACAGGATACTTAGATTTTCAGAACACGATTACTGTAACATTTTCCACAACCAAAGCCGTTGCCGCCCTTTCCATTGCAGTTCTCGTTGAGCGGGGCCGTTTACGGTAAATATTTTTGTTTTGATTCTAGGAAGTCTGAATTCTCCTTTTATTTTATATATTTTCACACGATAAGGTTAGGTTGATTAACCGAAAAATCCTGGACTATTTGATAAATTTTTTTCATTTTCTCCTTCGCGTATTTAATGTAACGTATAGTCCTTGAAAAATAAATATTAAGATAATTCAAGGATTTTCATTTTGACCTTTTCGTTTGTGCCCTTGATGTTGATTGTGTTTTTGGTGTAGAATTTTCACACGCAACTCCGCAGAAAACTGTGACTTCAGTGAAAGATTGGTTTGAAAAAAAATTTGAACAAATAGTGATATTTTGGCAATTACTTTCTTTTACAGGTATGAAGATCCGGTTGCAAAATATTGGCCAGGTTTTGGAAGCCACGGACGCGAAAACGTAACAGTTCAAATGGCTTTGTCTCACATGGTCAGTTAAACATTTTTTTTTTCTTTTTTTTCTCAGTTTTCCTCTTCCTAGAATAGCAGTTCAAGAAAGTTTGACGATTAGTTCACATAACCTTGTCCTTTAGTTTTTATTCTCGCAATTAAGTCTGGTATGGCATATCTTGACACGCCTATAACCGAAGAGATCGCCGCAGATCACGAGAAAATACGCAAAATTTTCGAAGAGGAGCCGCCGAAGTGGATTCCGGGAACGAAAACTGGGTGAGATTTTCAATTTTCTTCAGTGTCATTTTCTAAACTTACAGGTATCATGCCTACACGTACGGCTGGATTGTGGACCAGTTGGTCCGACATGCAGACGAGAAAAAACGGGGAATAGGTCAATTCTTCAGAGAAGAAATAGCCAAAAAACACGGTTTTGTTGAGAAAAAATCACTCTGTCAAATAATTCTTTTCAGATATCGATTTTCACATTGGATTGCCACGGTCCGAGCAGTTTCGCGTCGCACGAATCTCGACCCCTTCAACTTCGCAGCGACTCAGCGAAATGTGGAACGATTTCCGCGTCACGCGCTATCTCGCCAATGTATTCAAACTCATAACTGTTCGTCACACGGAAATGAAGAGACGAATAAAGAGGGCCTCTTCCAGGACACGCCGCTATCTCGCAGCGTTAACAATCCCTCGTGGCTGCAGGCCGTTCAGAAATGTACCGTCAACAACCCGGATTACCACAGGTTTGTCTTATCAGTTGCACTCGGTGCGTGCGACGTGGTTTTCTTTTCTTAAGAAGGAAGAATTTACCGAGATGACCAAAGATGGGAAGTCTCATATGTCGGATCAACCTAGAAAATCTTTAGAAATTTAATGAACGCACAAAATCTTATAAATTGGAAAGGGAAGATAAAAAAGAGCAAGCCGTTCGCTTATCAGGGAAAAGTTCGAACGATAGATCATGCGAGCGCATTGAGAAAAAATTAAAATGTTCCTCTTTTTTTCAGTTTTTGAATGAATCAATTGGAATATTTTTCATTAAGAATGGAACAAGCCGGAGCCCTTGGAATTGGAAACGCGCGATCATTGGCGACGCTTTTCGATCTATTCCAGAGAGGGAAAATTGTTGGCCCGAACGTCGTGGAAAAACTCGCGCAGTTTTACACTAATGAGACGGACTTCATTTTCGAAGATACCGTCGCTAAAGGCCACGGATTCCTTTATTTGCCAATAGATCGAGCTGGGGTCAGTTTTTTTTTTTGCCAAGTTCGTCTTCATCAAGTCGGGATATGTTAATCTTGTTGAAAATGTCGGAGAAAACCTGAAAACCCGAGTTTTTTTTAGGCCAATTATGGTTTCGGTCACACAGGCCACGGCTGTCAACAGGTCATCACCGACCTCAGTAATCGCGTCACTATTGCCTACGTCACCAATGGCCTAAAAACTGGACTCTACGATCTTTGCCGAACTTACAGGCGACTACAATCCGCTGTTTACGATGTTTTAGAAAATGCCACACTAATCGACTAATAATTCGACTAACTTTGGCTTTTATACGTTCTTGATGATGATACCGGTGCATTTACAGAATGTAAATAACGAAATGTTATTCAAAATATAATAAATAGTTTTATCCTATCAGTGCGAAAGGAATGAAATGTTTTTGTTGAATCTTTAAAGAGGTTTTTGCATCGTATTGGAGGCAGATGTTCTGGCGCAAGGCCAAAGAGTGGTTCCTATGGCAACTGACGAGGTTATTCTGGTCTGCTCCGGGTAAATTGGGCATATTTTTGTATCTGTACCGTTCAGATCAAATCAAAAATGAGTGTATTTGGGAGAATACTTACTGTTTCGGATGCTATTGGACGTCTTCCTCAATTGGAGGCCCAGGTTATTATTATTTTTTTTTTGGATCTATTTTTATTTATTTGTAAAAATCTAGCTTTTGTCTCTTTTTTTGTCAAGAATTTTTTCAAAAATTCTCAAGATGGAATAGCCGGTTAATGCTGATTGAATTAATTTTTCTAAAGGATTTCAATGAAATTAGGTTTTGAAACTCGAGAAAGAAGAACCTCTGTCGAGAAAGCAGGCGAACCTGCGTGGGAGTTTTATCAGGAGATGTCACGATCTTCAGAAACAGGTGAGATCCGACTTTCTCTGTGAAATCTTGCCTCATATAAGAAAGTGTTTCGGAGAGTAGTTTTATCAGATCGAAGAACATCGGAAAAAGGTGGAGGGGATCAGGACCAACGACGACTCCAGCATCTACAAGAAGCGATCGATTCTGGAAAAAATCGAAGGATTGCAGGTATTATTTTTCATGTTTTACATATTTCTAAAGTCCACTTCCTGGTTGAATTGTTGTATTCATAACTCTTTTCACCATTCTCAAAAAAAAAAAAAAGTGAAAATATCTTGAAAGATGTCAAACTCTCTCGACTTCTTCTTTCGAATTTTCTTTCCAAATTAGGGGCAGTTATTTAGCCAATTTAGAATGGTTTTTTTTTAAAGGAACGACTAATCGAAATCGCGCCTGAGCGAGATCGACCTTCCACTTCCGCGGTGGCCGAACCACTCGTTTATCAGTCCAAGTTTTTTTTTGACATAAGTTTTTATTTAAAAAAAATTAAGCTTTATTCAAAGCTCTTCTGGCTCTCTATTTGTAACTTTGAATAATAAGCATTGCTAACCAGTTTCAGTCCTGAAACCACGAAAGAAGATTCGGCTAAAGACAATATTTCGATTCAACGTCGGCCAAGCATAATGTACGAAGGCGATTCGGAGTCTTCCGATGAGGTTGCCAGTTTTCTCGATAAATTGAAGATTTGATTAAGGAACCATCCAAAATGAACCAGATCGCAGAAGAAGAAGAGGAAGAGGTAAAAGAAGAAACGAGCAAACCAGAAACACCGATAGAATCCCCTGAAGTGGTCCCCAAGCAGCGGAGCATTTTCTCAGTTGGAGAGACTTCTCTGGTATCTTTTGGACGCCCTTCCTACTTTCTTTTTCTTTAGAAGCCAGATCCGGACCGAAAAATCGAGAATGAAGTAACCGGCAATGACTTCGTGGCTATCGCCGACTTCACTCCTGAGTCTGCTGACGTCACCACTGACCTCCCGATTCGTCAAGGCGAGAACTTGACGATTTTAGAAACAAGGTATAGATTGGAAACAGATAAAAGCCCAAGAAAGCTATTTTTCCTCAGACCGGATGGATGGTGGACAGCTAGAAACGCTGCTGGAGAGACTGGTCTTGTCCCGAAAACTTTCCTTCGTCACTTGAGGCGCGACATCTTCGGCGGTCCTACAAACGTTCCTTTGAAAAACTTTTCCTTGGAACTTTTTTTCCCATCCAGATAGACAACAGTTTCGTCGATCAATCGGAGGCACAAACGTCCCAACAGAGAACTCACGACAACTATTCGGGAATACAAACATCCGAAATACCGAGTCTACCGGCTACTGTAGGCTATGCACATCGAGGAAAAGAAAAGACAGAAAATTTCAGCGGAATCGGCCTGCTCAGACGAAAGTCAAATGTCTTGGTGACGCTTTACGATGCGACCCACATCTGACTTACGCCTGTCACTTGGCACCCCGGCTCAGTCACTCGAACCTTGGCTTCCACGATCTCTACTGGAACCACTCTACTGATTTACTGCGTAAACGAAACGTTCGCGTGTCGCGGCTGCTGAGAATCGTGCGACTGGAAGGGATGCCTCAGGAAGGGGCCGTCGCCTGTTTGGTCCGAGTCGCGCTGCTCGACGAGAGCCGAACTCGCGGTCGTCAAATCGTCAGCAACGTCCACACCGTCAAGGCTATCCCCAAAGGCGCGACGTGGCAGTTTATCTCAAGAGTTAGCAATTTTTGCATTTATTTCGTTCATAGTATTTCTCGGGTGGAACATATTGAACACCCAGTGAAGATCAAGAAGAAACGTTTTTTTTCTCAAAAGCAAATTGGGCTCACATTCGACTTTTCTTGGCAAACATTCAACAATTTTCAAACAAATGCATGAAGAAAAAAATTTGCAAAAAAAAAGTTAAGGAAAAACCTACTTTTTTCTCAAAAAGAAACTTTGCTTTCTAGACCGACAACACAGGAACGAGCGTAGAGTTCAGCGATTTTTTCCTGAGATCAAATTACGTGCAGAATCAAGTGGTTTTGTTGATGGAAGCGAGCCAAGTTTTCCGAAATGACGTATTTTGAATTCTGTTTTCATCACATGACGAAGATTTTCAGGACAGGGTTGAAGAAAAGAGTCTGGGCGTTCTTCGAATACCCTTGATCAACGAGAAATCCGAGCCGAGAATCGTCAACAAGTTAGCGTTGATTTATTTTTCAAAAAAAGGAATATGTGCAGATCGTACGTGGAATTTCTTTCAACTGAGAATATCTTTGACCCGAACCGAGGGAAAGGCTCTCTAACTACCAGACAAATTGTCTTCAAAGTCATGGAAGTTCCCAAGGAAAAAGTTCATTCAGTAGAGTAAGCTTTAGTCGTCATATTGAAGTTAGTTTCTGATTTCTAGCACGATGCCTGATGTCTTCATATTCAATTCTATGTTTTTGCGGCTTTTTTATTTCTACCGCCGTCGAGCTGGAACAATGCTCATTCGAGATCGGAAAAATCTCCTCAGCTCTGGTACAACAACTCAAAAAATGACTTTCTCGAAACAATCATGCAGAAATGGTGTCGGATCCACTTTTGGCAGTTTTTCCCGCCGTTTGCGACGAGCCGGACGTCCTCGACGTCCTACGCGAGCTATGGCAGTCCAAGTACAAGCAGTTCAAGAATGTAAGCTACGACTCCGGTTTTATTGAAAGTCTATGATTTAACTTTAGAAATCAGAAGTTGAACAGGCGAAAGAGTTCTTCCAAGTTTTTCTTCACACAGCGTTCTGTATCCACGGAACTGCTTGTATGCCTTCCTATGACGTCACGGACGAGCTTAGCCTTGCAGGCCGACGAAAGGTTGGCTAACTTTTTTGTCGAGGGAAAAAACCTTTCTAGGTTCTTTCAAACTGTGTCAAAATGTACAAACAACAGCAAACTCCGGAATTCTTGCTCACTCAGAAGGCGAGGCCCATCAACATTTACGACTACTCTCTAGACTTGCTCGCCTCACACGCAATAGATTGAAAACACGTGTAGAGCTTTCTTGCGAAACTGCCCCAACAAAGTTCACTTCAAACATTTATGATCTACCGTATGATAAAAGTTGCCAAAGTGTGAGTACCGACGACAAACTTGTAGTGATTGATGCTCAACTGAGCATCGTGCAGGACAATCGTGTGGGAATTGATCTGAACACTTCATTGGAGGTCTTTTCTTCCAATTTGGTCTCACCGCGCCGGTATTTAGGACGACGACAACTTTTGAGCCATCGGGATTGAGAAAAGCAGCTGATTTCACATTCAGTTCGATGAGATCAAAGCTGTGGTCGATGCAGAAAGCTCCTGGTTGGATGAACCGGCTAAATATCTTTCTTTTTTTTGGCTTCACCTATCGAAGATACCTGATGTGCGCCATGGCGTACCAGGTAGGTTGCTTCAGGTATTCGGAAGCGCTGGCCATAGCGATAATCGGTGCGTCCGCGTAGTTCCCAGCCCAACTAGGGCCGCCTTGACCGTCTAGGACCATGTTGTAGTCAATCCAGCCAGTCGCCCAGTTGTTCAAGTCCTTATCGGATATTTCATGAGTAAGCCAAAAAAGAATCTAACATCTAGTATGTCAGAAGCGTAGTCGACAGCACGATCCCAAGAGCCAAGGAGAGGCTTTGTATCCTTTGGTTTCCATCCAGCGCTAGCCTCAACCATTATTCTACAATTTGTTCTTGGAAAGGAACTACTTGTGTGCCAAGAAGGAAGAGCTGTCCATGTTTTTTGTTGGTTTCTTCGAGATGCTTGTCCGAGTCGCCGTCGTACCAATGGAAGCCGACGCCAGACACGTACTGCGCTGCTTCCGCGTCTTTCATCACCTTCAATCGGTTTCTGTCCCCATGTACAAGTTCTGATGGAGGTCAGGTTTAATTTTTAAAAAAACAAACGACGTCGGCCCATTTTGGCAAATTTCCGCGGTTGTCATCCATGATTATCAACTTGACATTTTTCGCCACATCGGAAGCCTTCAGCGCTGGTCCAAGATCTTTTTTCACGAAGTCCCTAAGTTCTTGATGAAAAACTTTCAGTTTGAAAGGAAAAACCTCTGCATTTCGGGAGTGAAGTACATGGTCTGCCACTTGATCGACTTCTCGTTACCAGAAGAAGGTTCATTCTGGGGAGTGATGCCCCAAAACTGAATGCTTTGTTTATTGTACTCTTCTAGAAACCTGAAAGCGTCTAATGAAGAGAATTAGATGGAAAGCCTGACCGAACGAAGTAATCGGCATATGTTTTGTGGTTCTCATCTCCAGCAGATCCCTGAAGTATTCCCGGTCCTTGCATCTGTTTCGTCGATTTGAGCCAGCCTAAAAATTGAATTTTCATCGAAAACTATTGATATTATTACCTGGAGCACTCCACGGTGTGCCAATAAGTTTTAATTGGTTGTTAGAAAACTGCTGAGCCAATTTAATGAAGGGAATCTGGAGGTAACGTTTGGATAGTTCATCGAGAAAAAAACCTACTTTCCACTGAAAATCTTCTTTCGTAAGATTGAAATTTTGTAGTGAAAAGTCTTTGTCCACGTCGCTGTAGCTGTAGACTCTCGTCGAGAAGTCGTTGCTGGCCATTGGAACGCGTCCAAAAGTATAAGAAAGGCCTGAAACTTCATACTGACAAGAGGAAAAGGAAATGTAAAGGAAAACCATCAGGAGAAAAGTACTGCTGGATGATCTGTTGGGCCAAAGCGTCGGGCAAGCTCTTCAGATTCGCTCCTAAGTGAGACAAACATGGAAGTTTTAAACAAGTAACAGATGAAATTATCTTGTACGGAAGAAAAGCAAAAAAATATCAAATGTAAAAACTCTCAAGTTATTCTTTACAATTCCTTATAAAAGATGCAAAATCATTAAACCGAGTTGGAAAATTACCTCTTTTGAAATAAACAATTTTTCGGACGGATTTAGGTTAAGTAAGTCACTTAGCTTTTCAAATTGAATATATACTCAGTTATACAAAGTTTCTGAGATTGGAAAAAAAAACATGAAATTAATTTGAAAAGTACCAACGGCGTCGGTGAAAGCAGCTCCAAATCCTTGTATCTGCTGATATTTTTTGTTAGAGTCGATAGTCATGTGCAAAGTTGCTACTGCAAATAATTTTTTGCGGTTGAAACTCAAGCAAGAAAAAGTCCATACATGGGGTGTCGTCAGAAGGATAAACGACCTCTCGTTGAAGTCGTTTTCCGGACTTGGAAGTCGTGTAAAGGGCGCCTTGACCCATGGTTATGTCCAAGGCGGGTACCTAGACCAACCTTTTCTCCATTGCGACCGTTCAAAAATATAAACTCCTTTCTCAAAGCAACATTACTGACTTCATCACAAAAAGAAGGGTTGCAAACGCAGACGGTTCCCGATTTGTACTCTCGCGCTTGACATGCTTCTGAACATCCAGAAAACGTCGACTCTGAGCTTCTGAAGACATACCGGCAGAAGACGTCAAAGCCAAAGCGAAAAAAGCGACGACTCCGGGAGCGAAAATCATCAATACACTAGCCAAAAGCTTTTATCAGGAACTTTTTGATTTTCTTATCGCCCAATGGCGTAGTTTCTCCATCAAAGAATAAAGTGCAGGGCAAACTCTTCTAGACAAGTTCAAACAAATTACAAAGCACATTGCAAAATTTAAAGACTTCATTCAGAAACAAAAACATGAGAATGTCTTATCGCGTTTAAAACCTCAACCTAATAATTGAGTTTGTATGAATGGCCACATAAGAAAAACTGTTAAGTTTTGATATTCTTCAACTTTTTGTCCTTTTTCGCTGCTTTCTGCTCCTGCTGTCCACCAATCGGCGTCGACTTCAACTCTGCGATCTTTGGTTGCTTGAATTTCGACTGCGTCGGATTCGGTTGCGGCGGTTTCAAGTTCGCAGACGTCGACTCAGTTCTGCGGCAATTCATAATGCGTCAGCAGACCCAAATACCTAACAGTAGTTGTACATTTGTCAGTCCACACCATCACGAGTTCTCCTTTAGGAGCACCGCTTTTCGGAGCTTCTGAAAGTTTCAGGCCATTCTCTACAAGTTTTTTGGAAAACTACCGTCGCCTATAGCTTTACAATCAGTAGTCATCGTCATATTTTCAATCTGAAACTTTTTAAATTATCATTTTTATTTTCCTTACTTCGGCCCAAAAACATCAACGAGAACGTGCAGTTGCATTTGTAAAATTTAATTTGTAACATAACTCCGATGAGCCGATTACCTTTCTCATCATTTCATATAGTGTGAGAGGGGTTTGATCTTTTTTTTGGCTTTTTTATTTTAAATAACTTCAACTTGCTTGCGGTGTCCCATAAGGAAAATAAAAAGAGAATCAGGAAAAAAATCTAAAAGTTTTCATTTTGGTTAAAAATTCTGAGCTTTCGAAGTGATTATTGTTCTAGAACCCAAAAATTTTCCATTAACTTTGGAGAAACCTGTTGATTTCTGAATTGCTCGAATCGAATGCTTTTAACCAGCTGTGGATCGTTTTGCTCGACGGTCGACAGCTGTAGCTGATGCGAATTCTCGGCTTTCCAAAACTCGACAGTCTGAAAAGAAAAGCCAGGTTGGTGGCAGACGGTGAGTCGCGCCTTCTGCGGCGCGACACGATATAGCGTTGAGGCGGCGATCTTCACAGAGAGCTGCTTGTCGGCCTTCTCGACGGTGGCGTCGCGTTTCCTGGCTCCGACAACGCGGAACTTGACGGCCACGTGCTTGCCAAGAGCCAGTGTGAAGGTCACCGCCTGCCACGTCGGCAGCATTCTTTTCGCGGACATCGGACCTTGAGGTCGTGCCAGAAACTGCACCAATTCGCCCTCCTGTTCGATGAATCCGCGCTGAAAAACTGAGTGAGCTCTCTCGAGATCAAGAAAAAAGAAGCGGACCTTGATTGGCAGGACGGTCGGCAGTACACAGTGTTCTACCGTCTGGACACCAGGACGGCAAACCAAAACTTGAGAGGCTCGATAGGCCATGTTGGCGGCCAGAGCACGACTACAGAACGTCGCCGAATTGAGGCTCTCTACCAAAAGACAGCTCGCCGTTTCTTTCTGTCCCGAAATGAGATATCAGATGAAAATCTTATTAAACTTTCTCTTCTTCAAATTCAAACAAATTGAAAGGCAGTTAGAAGAAATCCGTAATCACCTGATTTTTGTGCCAAATGTCAGCTTGTAGCACAACCGTCACAGGCTGACTCAATCGCGCTAAAACTTTAATTATTTTTTCCGATTGTTTTATTTGAGAACTTTGTTCAGCCACATGTTTTTGACAAACGCGTAGAAACAATGGCGTGCGGATGGGATTCACAGCGTTGAGTTTCTGGTCGAGAAGAAAATCCTCTGTGAGACTGCAGGACCCACCTTGGAGACGGCGACTCGAGGCATCCGGATGACGTCGTCGGCCGTGACTTCGGAAGAGTAAGACGTCCTCCTGAAGAAGGAGGATTTCGAAGCCCGTTTTGAGAGGTCCTCACGCGCTTGTTTCCGATGAATTTTCTGTGAAATACTCGCTGGCATCTTCATAATCTTCTTCTGAAAGAAGACGTGTCCAAAAATTATTGTTACAGAAACCTGATGAAAAATCTGTTTCTGAAGTCTGCGACATAACCTGTTTCGAACTTCTGCAGAAAAGAAAGCTTGGTCATAAAAAAGGCTCTTACTTGGAAATTACGGTAACCTGCGATCGCTCCCTCGGAGAAGGCATTATTTTTAAATGACCATCTTCTGGCTCACGTTCACACGCGTTTTTCATAAAAAGTCCATTCTTCGCTAGTTCCTCGGCTCAATTTATCTCTCTCAATATGTCGTTTCAGATGAAAAACCACAGGTCTTTCTATTTCCAGTCCCCATGCGGCATGGGCCATGCCATCATCATAAATTATTAACAAAGTGCAGGGCGCAATAATGAAAAAACGACATGGTAACTCTGCCAAAAATTGTTGCCAAATTTTATGGACCTCAAACTCTACCCGGAAGCTACTAAAAAGACATCTGGGCGCAGAGAACAGCAAGAAAATAACTTAAAATCTCTTTTTTCTAAAAACGAACAGCATCATTGGAAAGTCTTTTTTCGAAGTTATCTGACGAGTGAAGAGCTTGATTTAATCATGGCAAACAAACTTTTTCGGTTAGTTTCAACGATTGCGTTTCCAGTTGACTGTGTTATTCTGAATCAACACTTCAAGATTGATGTCTTATCTAATCTTCTAGTTTTCGATGACTTGCCAACGATTCAATGAACACATTTGGGCTGGCAAGGATCTTTGAAGTTCTATATTATTAATTCATTCAACTATTTTACATTCCTGAAACCCGCTCGATCCTTCAAATCCTCAAGCCGCAATAGAGAGGTCCTATCAAGTTCGAAATTGTTTCCAATTTTGCTCAAATCTGTCTGAAGACGTAGATAATTATCTCTCACAGTCTTATCCTTCGATAACGTCATGGATAAACATTTTCAAACTTTTGTTCATCTCAGACCTTCTAGATGTGTTTGAAATTTCGAAAAAATTTATTTCCAAAAATGAAGCTCTCACAAGTAAAACTATATTAGGGGATTATCTGTATCGTCACAAGTTTTTGAACGACGAATCTTGGAAAATTTGAAAATTCACGCCAAGATTACCTTCATTGATAGTTGATGAAGAAATGAGACTATTTATTCGGATTAAATCCACCGTTTTCCCCCCTTTTGGTCGTCTCGTTAGTCCAATCGGTGTACTTTTCTTTATTCGGAAAGTGATAGGGAGAGGCTCTCATTCCACTATCCCTTGCTCTCCAAGTATTTCTCTACTTTTCATACTTCTTTTTCAATTATTGAATCATTTAAAATGAAAAAAGAAGTTTTCGAATTTTGGAAAGAGAGGTACTACATAGAACGAGAGAAAACCTTTCGTTTTAACCTTTCAGATGGAATTAAGTACTTGAGAGCGTGAAGATGGATGGATGGCTGTTCGGTTCCGAAAGTATCCTTTTTTGCTGGATTGCCAAGTGGCCTATAGTTTCTGCCGAAATTCTGAAAATGCAGTTTCAAATAAAAGACCGCTTTTTGCTCGTCGTTTTCCATGTGTCGGCTCGAATTTTTACGCTTGCTTTTGCTTTTGCTTCCGATTTCTCATTCATATTTCATATCAAACGCTTCGTTCTTGATTCTTGGACTCACTTTTATTCACTGGTTCGAATAAATTTTTTTTCAATTTTTTAATGGAAATTGAGATTTCAAGTTACCCGCCATTTTCGACATATTTCAACTTTAAGTTTTAATCTCGAAAAGGCCTTTTTGGGAAGAAAAAAACCCGACCCAGAAATGAAAAGCTCATGAGAGCACAACAGAACTCATCCATGCGTCTCGAACTCGTGCAAGATTTTTTTGGTTTTTTTTTGATAGATATTGAATTTCAATCGATTTTTATTTTGTTAGTGGAAGGAACATATTTTTTTCGAACTGGTTCACTTTCCGAAATGAAAAGTTTCAACGCTTGGCATGTTTTTGCAGACCCAGGCGAGCGTCCTCATAACTCTTTCTTGTTTTGGTAAAACCTGAACCTCTCAACGATATATTTTGCTAAAAACGTTTTTTCCGAAGAAAAATGATGTCTTAGCCAGCTCGTTTCTCATCTGACTTGAAGAAAAAAAAAAAGTTGAAGAGAGCCTCACTGGTTTCAGTCTGACGGCCGAAGTTCGTTCTGTACTCTTTTTCCTTGGATTCGTGCTGTTCGGTCTTCGAGTAGTTTGGGAGTTCGACGAGAAACAATCTTATTTGAGTAGCATCAGTCTCTCCGAAAATCTCTCTGAGAAACGATACCTTGTGGTTTTTTTTGCGTTTCCCTACTTAGAAAGAGTAGAGAGACAACGGCGAATCTCGAGATTTGAATCGTTGTTTAAGAACGCGGAAAATATTCGTGGTTTCGCTGAGACGACAGGCGATGGATCAAAGTGATTAGCCATCCATCACAGCCGTTGGCAACATTTACGAAAAAGTGTAAGCTGGACCCAAGACTTTTTAATCCACAAAAACCCTGATCTTTTTTTTTCTAACCTATGAAGAAGAAAAAAGTCCTTCTTCGATAATCTCCTCGATTTCACTTCCTTTGCTGGTGATACCAAGATTGAGGCCGTAGAAGAACGGAAACTTCTAGCAAGTGATGGAGTACTAATTGAATTTGCGAGTTCCCTCTTATTGCTGTAGAAAATATAGCCATCAACTCGGACCCCATCTGTTCTCTTACCTTTTTTCTTCAACCACTTTTCAGGTGTTCCAGTTTAGTATAGAGTCTAACGGTTTAGAAATCATTTGATCAAGAAAATTTTATATCATCTGAAAACGCCTTGGCCTTTTGCTCAAAAGAAAGAGAAAGAAATCAAGATAGCACAAACCTCCAACTTTTACAGCTTTTCTTTATGTGAATTGGAGTTGGATGGCTTCAAAACTTGATTCGAATTAGGAACGGCTTCATAAGAGGTCGTCTGAAATTACCTACGGTGACTTCAAACTAAACAACGCTCTTTTCAAGTGCAGACACAAATTTTTGTGTGTAGAACTCTGGGATTCCTTTTATACTTGCGGCTCTTTTTCTTTCTTTCGAGTTACTTCTATATTAGTTTGTTTCCAAGTTGTTTTGGCAGGAAAGCTATTATTTGACCCAGCAGACATCAGCGCGGAAAATTCTTCCGCTTTTCTTTGGTCTCCTGCAACTCCAATTATGTAGTTGAGAATGCTGTCGAGCAAAAGACGAAACAAACGAGGCGAATCCATCTCATTTTTCCGCGGGTTGTGCTTACCCAACACGCCATCCAATCTGCACCTTAACTTTTTTTTTGGTGGTCCGCGCAATGCAGCGAGATTTCTAAGCTTGGTTCTAAATGGAATTTGGATTATTGAATTTCTATCTTTAGATAAATGAGATGATTAAACATCCAATTCCAACTTAAGTCTTTTGAAAAGGTTCAGTTTGACTAGAGTTACGACGCTTTACAAAAGTTGAGTGAAGCGGCAGCAAACGAGTCAGCTAATCCGTCGGCTGGACTAACTTCATGTTAAGTATTACAAATTTTAGTGGATGTTTTGGAAAAGCCTTTCCACAAAATTTCAGTTAAAAATGGTTGAATCTAAGCGGAAGTCTATAGGGGAAAACGAACGCGAGCACAAGATTTCTAACGCGCAACGCGTCGCTTACATAGCTTATCCATTTTTTGATTTCGGTTTGAATGTTCTTTCCGCTGTTGAAAATCTGTTTCCTTTATTATTCTTCCTTCATTAAGTATGAAACCTCTTTTGATATAAAAATTGAATATATATTTCGTTTTATAGACAGTTTTTTTACAGTGTTAACAGAAAGCCTGTTCCCGCTAGATTTTTTGTAATAATCTTTTTCCAGAAATGTTTATTGCCTTTTTTCAACTTCAAAATTCTCTCTACTATTTTCTTCATCGAAATTCGCCTATTTCAATTAGAAAAAAAGTTCGCTTATCTGTTGAAGCTAAAATTAATTTATTATGAGTGCGGCAGATAAAGATCCATTTATGTGATACTGTTAAGAAAGAGGTTTTTTGTTTTTTTTTTTTTCTATCACTCTGAGAACGTTTTTTAGAATTTTTTGAGCACATGAGAAGGCACAAAAAAGGAGGATTAAACTGAATAGGTTCAGTTGGAGTATTTACAAGAGTAATGAATATTAATCCTACGAAAAACCAGCTCATACAACTGCGCACTTATTGCATGTAGCCGCGCCCACTGATTTATACTACAGTTTTTACAACACCATACGCGATCTTTATGCCGTGTTCAAAATAATTTCCGCTAAATGAAAAATTATCTCTGACTCTCCAAAATTTAGTTATCTCTTTCTTTCTCTGACGGCTCTTTTCGATTTCGCGGAATCACTTTGAACACGGTATTATATAGCTATCTACATAGTGTTTTCGTGCGCGTTCCGCGCGAGACGGTCACGTTTCAAAAGAACAGAAGAAAAAAATACACCGTAAATACAAACTTTCGCTCTATAAAACTGCTAAAAAGTCAGCAAAATACGGAGGTCTTGAAGCGAAGATGCTCATCTTTGATCTAATTGGGTATACGGTATTTTTGGCGGAAAAAAAAACGTGACAAGCCCGGAAAAGGCTATGTTCTTGAATTTCACCCGTTTCTATACCAGTATACCGGCACTCGAACTTTTCAGACTAGAGTATAGTCTGTTTAGATTTTGAATGTCAAGCAGCTAACTCCACCCCCAAGGCTACAATATCTTTCGCGTCAATGTTTTATCTACATATGCCAATGGCCCTTCAATAAGGCTGCTTTTTTGACCTCTTTTTCTATCTTTTAGATCGAAAAAGATCAAAATTAGTCCCGCGCGATGAAACATCGACGCGAAAAGGTACCGTCTCAGCAGGGGCGGAGTCAGCTGGTTGACATTCAAAATCTGAACAGACTATACTCTAGTTTGAAAAGTCTGGATTTTTTTCAAAATGAAAGTTTTCACTTATCAAAATTTTCTCTGCTTCTCTGCGACGTTTTTCTGTTGTTCTTTTTTTCTCTGAAAAAAAAGTTTAGGAAACTGGTTAACAATGGGAGGAAATAGTTCGACGAATCACTGGGAAAAAGAACCTGAACAGAGTTTGGATTCTACAGCTAAACATCTGTGTCGTGAGTAATTTTTCTGAATATATTTTTTTTCTTTTCCCGAAAAACCTCTTTCATCTGTACCAGATTTCTAATAGACGTTGTGATGTTCAAACGGGAAAATAGTTGAGAAAAGTCTTCAGATTTGTTGTTTTCAGGTTTTCGTGCTATCAAAAATCTGAAAAAAGTTAAACTTGATGAGCGAAACAATAGAAAATAAATTTCCAGAAAAATTAGTTTGCAGTATACTCAAATAGATAGTTAAAAAGTTAACAACTTACATAGACTTTTATAGAAAACCTTTTCTAAATAAATTTCAAATAGTCTAGTGCCCCTGAAAGTAAGAGTTATTTTTTTCCAGTTGTTTTGCACCTTTTTTTAAAAATACGATTCATGTCCTATTTCTTATTAACATTGTAGAGCAAGTTGTAGGACTACTCGAGTTTTTGTTCTAATTTGAACGCGACGGCCCACGTTTTGACCCCGCCCTTACTCATGGACTTTCGTTTCTCGCCGTTGCTTCAAATGCCGTGATCAGTGACGGCCTTTGCGCACTATCTTCTAATTGGATTGTTTCAGAGCCCGAAAATAGTTCTCTCACGAGATTTCGTCGCCTTTTCTCATTTTTTTCTGTTTTCTTTTTCTTGGAAAGTGTAGATTCTAATAGAGTTTGTAGAGATTTCCCACCATGATTCGTTTTCCAGAGGCTGACGATTTCCCTCACTTTGTTCTTTTTTTTCTTCGTTGGGACAATTGGCTTTCGCTCACCCAAGTTTTTTTTTCAGAAAACGTGTGTCAAGGCTTTAATGAAACTCCAATCGGACTTAGAGCGAAATTTAGAGTATGGCGAGTCCAAATAATTTGAATAGTTCAAGGCTAGTCCTAAAGAGAAGTCGTGAAAAAAAAAAATTCAAATTATAAAGACCACTTGAGACTCCAATTTAGCTCTGTTCTCTGTTTCCTCTTCTCATACAATGTTTATTGAAGTGTCTTCAAAATCCAATTAGTGGGAAAAAGTTGCTCGATGCGAAAATCTAAACGAAGTGCCGCTCGTTCCTCCCATAAACCTCCTTTTAACTTCGCGCGCAATTCAGTTCTTCGCATTCTGTTTCCAAAGGATTTTCGAAGAACGTGTAATTTTTCAGTTGTTTGAAACAGACAACACCCTCGAGCTACGCGAAAATAGACACTACCTGCTTTTTTCCTTTAATTGCTGCTCGTACCTAACTCTTTACCTAGTCGATAGAGTCTCTGTTTTGAGTGTGAGCAAAGACCACCGTAAAAGTGTGGAAATAAAAAATTGTACTCGATTGGCCGAAAAAGTTCCCACGACTCTACTTCTAAATCACATTGATTTTTTTTTTAAAGAATCTACGTGGTTTCAGAATTATTGAAGCTGTGATAACTTTATATATTCGGTTATCAAAATTTCAGACTACCATACCTCGTTTTTCTAAAAATTATCTGGTATGAAAAGTCTTATAAAAGAATAAATAAGTTCTTTGAAAAAAAGAGAAAATCTTGCGAGCACCCGGAAGAAGAGGGCCCTTTTTAATTGAGATAACTCAATTAGGCCGAGGAGACAATGGAGCCGACCTTTCGAGTTTCTTCATTTCTTTATCCTCGCTCTTCTGCTTTTGCTACTAGGATGTATTTTTAAAGTAGGAAAAGTTTCCTGAGAATCATATGAAGTTCCTTGAATGAATTTTTACCCTTCCAAATCTAACATATCAAGTGAAAAGGTCAGAAAAGAAGCCACTAAATCATAGAACCGTAGATTAGCGTTTTCTCACTTTATTTCCTATTGAGCAAAATTTTTTCCGCTGACTTTACCTCTCCTGAAGCCTACAAATTTTGGTTGTTTTCTGCTTATAATCTGGAAGCCATTTATCGTAAATTTTCGTCAATGGGTACGTTTAGAAGCCTTTCAACATCCGAAGTTTTTCTTTGTTCATAATATTTTGCAAAGTTTTGGTCTTGTTTCCAAGAATTTACTTTGGGGTGTCTATAAAAGAGATTAGCTCTTCCGATATTTTACTTCTTTCCTGTTTCCTTCTTCTGGTGTCGTTGAAATGATATAAAACGTTCAAAGTTATAAAGAGTTTTGAAAAGTGTTTTAGAGCCAATATCAGTAATTTTAGCTTCAAAAGATTCTGATGTGCTTGAAAATTTTGGAAAGAAACTTTTGATAATTGTCTAATACCTTGTTCATTTCAGACTTTTGAAAAGGTTCAGAACACATTATTTCTTTTTTTTGGAGAGAACTCTCTTTGGAGTGTCTTTTTCTTCCAATACTTTTATTATCTCCTAACTTCTAACCAGTTCGAAAAAAAGGATGCGGACGAATTTGAAAGAAAAAAGCCCCGAAATCATATATTTGTTCCTCGAGAGCCAATTGTTTTCTGCATTTTGAATGTCTCTGCTTTTCGTTTTTCACATCACCTTGCCGGAGAAAATGAAAACGACTTTACTCTGAAAGTTCAATTCTCAATTGTTTTTCGTTCTGAATTCTTTGCGAATTCAACAAATCGTAAAAGAAAATGGTTGCGTAGAAGCCGTGAAAACGTCTTCCAGTCATAAATCGGGTCCGTGAATGGCTTACGTTCGTCATGCTGCATCCGCTAATTCTTTGATAATTGCAGAAAACTTAATTATTCACTAATTACAGCTTAGAGTAAAGGAGAATGACAAATCTGGAAGTGACTCAATCCAGTTACGATTAGTACCTGAAAAAAAATTATTTAATTGTTTGTTGAGATAAGCAGTAAAACTACAAATGATTCGGAAATCTAAGAGAAATACAATTTATCGGAGGATTTATTTTTTTGGACTTCAAAGACAAAATGGCTAGGCAGCAAAATCTATTTCGACATCTATTGTGACGAGAAAAAGCTTTCAAATCTTCTGCGTCTGTTTGCCTAAGTGATCCATTTTTAAGAGTTTCAGATAGCATCATTATTTTTTATGTCGAAAAAATCATAAAAGTTATTTGCAACCCTTTTTATTATTTTTCCATCGAACGGCAAGGCCATTTGTCCTTGGTTTCCACTCGCAGTTCTCTTCATTTTCGTACTTGTCCTTCTCAAAAGCTTTCTCAGCAAATCTAGGAAAAAACTAGATTCTGATAGAGTCGTGAGTTTTAGCTTACTTTTTTGAGAATGACATTTTTTTAATGAGAAGAGTGTACGTAGATCGAAAATTAATCCTAAAACGATCTTTCTTCGGCTTCCGGTGTCGATTCCCAAATTGCGAGGGAGCAGAAGCGTTTCTCATTCCGGAGGCCTTTCTTATTTTGGCCACCCAACCCGTAAGTGTCTGTCAATTTTTACTCGCGAGCAATAAAAGCGACGGGGTCGACATAAACATATGAGAAAAAAAGAAGAAGATCGAATAGGCTTCGAAAGGGTCGTTTTCCCTTCCCAAAAGTTTATCAAATGTATACGGTTGTTCAAAAAAATTTTTCAAATACATTTATCTTTTTTTATAATATTTGAAAAAAATATCTTTTTCTCTATTCGTTCTGTTGGTTTTACAACATTTCATTTTTTTAAATGTTTTATTTTTCTATCTAATACTAGATGATTTATAATTTTCCGTATAACATCTGACCCACCAAGTTATCTTCTCATACAGGCAAGGTCCAAATGACCTCAATAAGGCCTGAAAAAGAAAAACCTAAAACTCCTTTTTGAGTTTCTAAAAAGGTATCAAAAGTTTCTCGGAACCTCCTTTTTTCACCTTTTTTCCGCCTCCTTTTTTTTGTCTTCTTGAGAGGTTGTTTTTTAGTAAAAGGTCCAGAAAAAAACCCTCTGAGGCCTTTTTTCCAAAAGTCCTTTTTGAGACCTTTTGGGTTTTGCCCGTGTACCTTGAAACACTCTAGGCGCAATCAACCCACAGAAAAAACAAATTCATCTCGTTTCACCTTCCTGTCACCCGAGAGATTTTTTGTTGTTAATTAATTTTTGGCCCTCACAATGGATGGATCAATCTTGGAAAAGGGATTGCAGGATAAGAAGAGAATACGCAGGACATCTGAGAAGGCGTCTGGGAGGCGCGATGCTCCATGACGTGCTTTTCCTTCTGGTTCTGTCCGCCGACGCCGTCCGCCGCTCCGATTCTTCGCCGGTCGTCGTCCCTGCCGCAGACTCTTGCGAGTACAACTCCAACCACCGCAAAAGCATTCTTGCCGTCAGTTCTTTTTGATTCTATCACAGAAAGGTTAAAATGCCCTTCTGAAATACCGTTACAACGGAATTGAAAATCGTTACATGATGAGACATTTTTCAAAATAGTATATTGAGGTTCCGAAGACGAACATAGACTTCATAGAACATATTTAATAAGACATGAAGTTTTTTTCAAAGTAAAAATCTCTTACGCGATTAAAATTTGTTCGTAACTCTTTTTTTCATATAATCTTCCTTTTTTTCAACTTACCTTCTTTTTTTCAATTAAGTAAATATTTGGTTCCAAATTATTTTAGTTTTGTAAGATTCCTCAACTCTCAGAGAAAATGAAAGCTAAGCCTCAAAGACCGTTTGTCTTTGAATAAATTACGCTGTGAAATAATGGAGAGTGAAAGTTTGTTTAGTTACCAGATTGAATTTTCGAATAATTGTATTCAAATGGATACTATCATAAGAAAAAAATATACTGATTTTCTTTTTTGTCTTACTTTCTATTTATTTAATCAACTTCTATGTTCAATTGTCGGTAGTTCAAAAGATTCCTACTTAGTTTTACATTTTTAGATGCGCGTGTAGTCGTAGTTATTAAGAATTGATTGAAAAAAGATGAATAAGTGAACGTCAAAAATCTCTTCGAAAACCGATGTCGTGGAATTAGAAATCATTTTGAAGCGAAACATCAAACATTGTGAAACATGATGCTAGAATCTCAAGAAAGTAAATATAACCTATGAATCTCAGAAAAAGAAATCTGGGAATTTCAGGACTTGTTGAAAGATTATGACAAGACAATGGTGCCTTCAAATAATTCAGTACAAGTTGGCGTCGAGCTGACTGTTCAGGTGAGTCTTTCATTTATTTCGGAGTTCCGAAAAAGGGAAAAGTTTGAAAAGTTGTTAATTAAAACGAACGGAGTCTCGAGAAGGAAGCACTTTTTTTGAACTTAAATTCCGCGTCCTTCTCCATCTCGTTTGATAACTAGCTACTCCTAGGAGTCTGTCATAGCTCAAAAATCGAGAAATTGAATATGATGGCGTCTGGAAAAAGAAAAGATGGAATTTCAGGACATTTCTTCCATTTCGGAGATCACTGGCTCTTTCATAGCCGACGTGTGGTTCAGTCAGGTCTGGGAGGATCCGAGGCTCGAGTACAGGTTCCAGGAAAATGAAGAATTTGGAAAGGTATCCATTTGTAGGAACATTTCGTGCAAATCCAACCTCTCACTCGACAGTTACGTCAGCGAAAGGCTCTGGACCCCCAACGTGTGCTTCGTTAACAGCAAAAGCACCCAGGTACCCAAAACACGACATTTTTTTATTGCACCAACGGCTCCACGTTTTGGCAGGTCTCTTAAAAACTGTTGAGTAGAGGTTAAATCATTCAGTTGATAACCGAGTTCAAAATTTCAAAATTCTTTTCCAAAAACAAACTTTATTTACTTCGTTCATTTTCTTGTTAGAAAAGCAAAAACTTAAGGCCATTTTTTAACTTGACGAGAATTTCCGCGATTTGGTCAAAAAATTCTTCGAAGTACTAGATAAAAAAATAAAGTTCTTTTTTTACTTTGCGTCGGGCGTTTTTTTAAAGAACTAAAAATTTTTTTGCAGGTTTTTGCAAAATTTCCGGAGTGATTTATCTGGTTTTACAAAAAAAGTTTTTCTGGCTTATTTTTTTAATAGCTAAACGGAAATTTCAAATGATCAATGTACTTACTGCTCAATAAGTTTATAGAATTCACAGTGTTCCCAAACAGGCGGAAGACGTGGGCATTGGGCGTGGCCGTTTGCAATGGGGGCGCGGGTTATTGCTATAGTTGCGCGACATTGAGAGCCGATTTTTGTGCATTTACTGGATCAAAACATAGCGTTAAATAGTGTTTTTCAAGGCCTCCTTCTACTTTTATAGTAATTTTAATATAGTCCAGCGCACAATGAACCTATTGAAAATGGAATATGAACGAAATCGCTTTTTCCAAAAGATTTATCACACGAAATGACTTTTTTCAGGACAATTCGTCGCGTGAAGTCCTAAAAATTTTTTAAAGGAAAAAACCCATGACGGTTCCCTCAAAAAACGCATTCTGAATATTTTAAAACGAAAAAAGAATCAATTCCGTGTATTTTCTTCACTCGAAGTGGTAGCTCTCTCAGTCGGCCGAGGCTACCCTAGAGTATACACGGAGTCCGTGCCCGAGCCCCACCATCCCCGCCGTGCCCGTACATGCGAAACTGAGGGATCAACTTGTGGAAGAACGAGGCGAAGGAATCGTAAGACCATGCTTTCAATTCAATCAACTACACGTTTTGACTTCTTTTTCGCCAAAGGCGGTGTTAGTGCCGCTCAAAAGAGCAATTTTTTCACCGCCTAGTCGATACCATCTGACTAAAACAACCAATAAATATTGTATTGTATTGTTTAATTGGCTTCGGCACAAAAATTTATAACTCAAAAAGTCATTTTAGACAACATATGTTTTGTGAAACGTCGAAAAAAAAATTTTGAAAAAAAAAGGTCTGGGCGTTTATCTTAAGAAACTCATACTGAGCATTTTAAAACAAAAACATGAACCAAGTAGCTTCTGCAAAAAAAGTTACTCTTCAAAATGTCATTTTTGTCGAAATTTCGGGACCATCTAGATCAAAAATTTACTCAAGTACCTCTCAAACGCATCCAACACGGTTATATTACACAACAGAAAGTAAAACTATTCAAAAATCTAAAAAAATACGCGAGAAAAAGAGAAAAAACTTTATTTAAATTGAATAAAATTTTGAGAGGTTGACACGCGCCGCACCGCGTTGCGTTAGAAGGAACTCGCGTTTTCGCTCTATTGAGACGACCATTGTTTTCGCCTGCGCTCGCCCGTTTTGAAACACTGTGAATTTTGAACCGACAGTTTTGAAATAAAAAAGAGTTTCATCGACTTTTTCCAAGCTTCCCTGGTATAGAACTGTGGACGGATACTCTTTCAGGTGCACCGATCCCCGGCCTCCAACATCCTGCTCATCATCTACCCCAACGGCACTGTCTGGCTCAACTACCGAGTTCAGGCGCGTTCTCAGGCCTTTCACAGTAACCTATATGTTTCTTCCAGGTCTCGGCACCGTGCATTTTTGAGCTCTCGCGGTTCCCGATCGACGCCCAAGAGTGCACCCTCGTTTTCGAATCTTATTCTTATAATATAGCTGAGGTGAGCATCAAAAATACTGTTCCAAAACTTCTGAATAGTTCTGTACAACCTGATAGAAATAATCCAAAATACGGAAACGACTATGAACTATATAAATTTTTCATTTTTCATTTTATTGGTATCTGCAGTACCGCGCTAATTCAATACAAATAATGTTATCTGCGAAAACGGTTCAAAAAATGTTCAAACAATCTGAGTCTTCAAGGAAATGTTCAAATACTCACACAGTTATTATAGTTTACTTGGACACCTGGTTCAAATGAAAATGAAAATGCTCAAACATTAATATCTGAAGATTTTTGATCAAATCAAAAACTTTTTTGTTTTCAATTTTCGATGATATGCTATATATATATATAACCATTCCGAGGAAAGAGTCTAGATCCAACAAAAATTATTCCTCTAAATTTCAAGTGGAGGTCTTGTACTTCAAAAGATGATTAGAAAGACGAGGTTTATTGGCCAGTCTTTTCACTGAGATGCTCTTTTTTTTTAGGTTAGGCTGAACTGGCAAGACTGGGCGCCTGTGACGATGCCGCCTTCGGAAGACTTCCGGTTACCAGACTTCCAGTTCTACGATGTCACGTGGAACAAGTCCGTCAACGAGTACACAGCAGGCATGTGGGACCAGCTCAAAGTCACCTTCAAGTCAGTTTTGGTCGGTCGCAGCCTTGGAGTCTCCCTAATTGAGGTTCAAACGGCTCTATGGCTACTACGTGCTGCAGATGTACCTGCCGACCTATCTGTCGGTCTTCATCTCCTGGATCGCTTTCTGGATCGACACCCGCGCCTTGCCTGCACGGATCACGCTGGGCGTTTCGTCTCTCATGGCGCTGACCTTTCAGTTCGGCAACATCGTCAAGAATTTGCCGAGGGTCTCTTTCGTCAAGGTTCTCCGTTTTTCCTTCGAAGAATATAATCTTGATATTTTTAGGCTATCGATCTCTGGTTTTTCGTCTGCGTTGCCTTCATTTTCTTTTCGCTGGTCGAACTTGCCGTTGTTGGATTCGTTGACAAAATAACAGAGATCAAACGAAGGTCAAGAAGAATACGATTCCAAAAAGCGTTGGCTGGAAATTCAGGCAAAAAGTGAGCTTTTTTTTTTTTTTTTAACATTTTCGCGCACTCAAAACGTACGTCGGCAGGATCCTACCTCAAACTGCGGACTACCTCCGAAAAAAGCCTATCTCAGTATCCTTTTTCGGGTTCCAATAAAGCTGCTTGTAAAAATTCGAAAAACTGTCTTCCTGTAAATCAAGTGCTGAAAATTATCACGCATGTTTAAGACAGTGTTACTGCGGCCGGTGGCCGGTCAATATTGCGCTGTCCGTTTCGGAGCCAGGAAATTTTTTAATTTTTTTTTCTTTTTTTGCAATTTTTCAAGGACCTATTTCTCGAAGTTACAAGACAAGTTACTCCATAAAAAGTACACAAATTTTCATTGTATTACTCAAAAACCTAGCTGGATTACCGTAATACGACTGCCCGCCTTGAACATGCGTGTTATGGTTAACAATTTTCTCTAACCAAAACAAAAGTTTTCCAATCTTCTTTTCAATTGAATGTGAACCGATTCGGTCGCAAAAACTTCTTGGTTCTAATTTCCCACTCTAACTGCTTTCCCAAATTGTGATCTGCAAGAAGATACCTCGTTTCTATTGGTGGAATTTCATTGAGCGGCCTTACCAGCTTTTATCTGAAACCACGCTTGAGGATTGCAGAAAACACTCGTGCAGCAACGGAGTTCGCTGCTCGTTGCGGTACAGCATGGGGACCAACAACAACGACGACGACGACCTGTACAACATCGCGGGAGAACAGACCGGCGGCACGAACGGCATCGGGATTTCGATGGGAGGTGGCAGGGCTTTCGGGCCTGGCGGATGGCAGAACAACGCCTCGCGGGAGGTCTCCGCCGACATGGGCGCTCGCGTCGATTCCTTCGCCGCCAAGACCTTTCCCGCCATGTTTGCCGCTTTTAATGGTTCGTTCTTGGTATCCCAAAAATATTAACTTTTTAGATAAAAGGGGTTCTGAAAGTATGACTTCTCGATAAATATGAAAAACTTAGTTTCGCCAAAAACGAACAATTTTAAAATTAAATTTTGGTCTGAAACTAATTATCCAAGTATCTGGAAAGGAAGTTGATTTTATTCGAAATTTTCTCACAATATTGGCTTGAAGGTTCTTTGGTGTATCAGAGAAATGTTCTCAGAATTTCGATCTGCAAATGCGCCTGTTTTCCAAAATAAAAGCTCCGAAATGCCAGTTTTTTAAAAATAATTCAGAAGAGCAACAATTTAGGCGTTCACTTTAAAAAAAAAAGGGGATTATAGGTTGAGACTCTCATGAAACTTCTTGATGTACAGAAAAATCATTTTAGTCGATTATAAGAAATTCTTAAATGTTTACTGAACTGTTCTCCCTCGCAACTCCCTGTTTCGGCTACTAAATGTACGCACTTTTAGAGTGAGTGTGAGTAATAAAAGTCGAGAGAAAATTTCCGCACACGAAAATTTACTTCGGATTTTCGTGTGCGGAAATTTCGGAAAATTGATTACATTCGAGTTCGGCTAAATCTCGAGCTGTACTCCGAAATAGACTTTTTTTCGTGAGAAAACGACTAACTTATGGGGCAAATTTTTGACATTTTCCTCTTTCTCAGTTTGTCGGTTACACTGATGTTTCATTTTCAGTTTTCTACTGGTGGTACTATTTGAGCCGGGAACGCCACTAGTTTCGTTTCTGCAACGCTTCATCTTTCCACGGGTCTCCGCCGAGTGATCTTCATGCCTCTTTTAAACGATATTCAAAATAAAATCATTATTTACTCTATTCAATGAACGAAGACGAAGTAGCTCACGACGCACCTATCACTTGGCATGAGTCTTTGTGAAGTTGGTCGGCTTTTTATATGCGGGACCTTTGGCTCCAGTTGCCGCGGCCTTCGTCGCCGGGGGTGGAGGCGTCACAGCCGCTGAAGGTTTCCCGGCCTTTGCTGGAGGCGCAGCTTTCACGTCCGGTTGAGAAGTCGGTGGCTTGACCGGAGGCTTGGCTTCCGCTGATAGCTTCACGGCAGGTGGTGCTGGCGGAGGCTTCACGGCCGGAGAAGGCTTCGCAGCCGCTGCAGGAGGTGCAGCCGCTGCAGGACGTGCAGCCGTTGCAGGAGGTGCAGCCGTTGCAGGAGGTGCAGCCGCTGCAGGATGTGCAGCCGCTACTGGAGGTGCAGCCGCTACTGGAGGTGCAGCCGCTACTGGCGGTGCAGCCGCTACTGGCGGTGCAGCCGCTACTGGAGGTGCAGCCGCTACTGCCGGTGGAGTCGTCACGGCCACTGGTGTCGGCGGGAGCTTCACCTCCGGTTGGGCCGGAGGAGCGGCCACTGGTTGTGGTGGCGGTACCTCCTGTTCGGTAGGAGCCGCCGGCTGAAAATAATACTAATTTTAGCTGTGAGAAAGCGAGTCACTAACAACTGAGAGCGAATTCGGCTTTTTACTACCAATTTTAGATTTAAGGATGTCTCGAACTGATTCTGATATATTTTATGGGTCTTTTATTACTTAATTCCTTTCAATTTATTTTCAGTTTCTAATCGATCTTAGAGCTCTTTTAGAACTCGGATTTCTGCGAATCGGGTCTTTGGGTGCTAAGACTATCGCCATTTTCAAGGCATGTTCGTACGAAATTTTGAAAATTCATAAGACAAAGTGAAAAGGAACCTTTTTGCCGAAAAGCTCATCGTCAATGTCGACGTCAAGTTCCGTGTTCTTGTGGTTTCCAACTGCATCGACGGGAACAAAAGCTGATTTGTCAGCCATCTCTTGAATCGCCCTTCTTGCCAAATGACCATCCACGCTTGCCTTTTATTTTCGTCAAACTTTGATAAAATCACGGCGTGGTTAATTTCATTTAAAGAAGGAAGGATTTTTTTTTCAGGCCCACTAATGTTATGAGGCTAGCATTTGTCATCCGTGTTTTTTTCAAGAATTTAATTTTTTAAAGTAATTCGGTGTATATCTTTCGTTTAAACTTCCTTAATCAATTCTTACCTACCTATAAGACAACTTTTATTCAGTGTTCGAACTCCCTTTCTGACTATTATTTGGAAGTGGTCCAAGGCTTCCAGTTTCTGAAAAAAATTTTTGAAAAAACTGAAAAGTTCCATCGATTTCCTCATTTTTTTAAGGTTGAATTTTTGAAGTAACTTGATCCGAGTAGTCAGAAAAAAATTTCATATTTTTTTCTAAATACTTTATCATTGCCCTTTTTAGTCACCTAAGTTTGTATGAATATGTGTGGAAACAAAAAAACGTGAGAAGCCATTTTACGCGCCTGATTTTGTCAAAAGCTGAGGGTTGCCTGGGCGACGATTGCCTCGGGCAATTCTCTCCCAATTTCACATTTCAATTCTTTACTCGGCTCTGTCGACCCCCGCCAATTATGTGGTTTAATAATTTTTTTTTCAGCGTCTGTTAGCTCCGCGAGTAACCTTTTTTCAAAACCATTGACAACATGATACTTGTTATCCGAGGTTCAATTATAAAATTTTTCCTTTTCCGAGATTACCAATCTTTTTCTCTTCCTGATGTTTGTATTTTCTGAAAATGTTGCTCCCCGAAACACTTCCTTCCTTATTTATGTTGAGTTCAAATACATCTCTTTGAAATTTGTTCGAAGTTCGAAGTTTTTCATCACCCGAAATTTTGAACGCATGTTTCAATTCAATTTTAATTGGATTGACGAGTTTCCTGCTCAAAAGTTCGAAACTTTTGACAGAATAAACTGAAAGGAACAGCTTTTTCGGTCAATGGCCGTATTGATGGAATTCCTCTCTGAGAAGTTTTTTTGGGCCACGAAGAAGCCTTGGAGTGACTTGGTCCCCGGATATTAATCCCATCAAAAACGTCATGTTCAACTCAAAATTTTTTTTTCTTTTACTTCGACGACGTCCTTTATAATCTGTAAGAAGTTAACCGATAAGCTTTGACTCAGTCTGGTCGCTTATGAAAAAGTTCACATTTTTGCCTCTTTATTAGCGGAAAAGACTTGCGTCAGAGACGCCGTTCCTTTTGTTTCTTCTGCCTTCAAACTTCTGTTTTCCTCATAAGACCACTTTTTTTTTGCAAAAAAAAGTGAATAATATTGACACATAGTAAGAGATGATTCATCTCTTTGATTTGTAAAATAGTAGAGCCCTTTGTTTTTTTTTTCTTTTAGGAACAACTTAGAAGAAACGTTGGTGTTTTGAAGAAGGTTTTCACGAAGAAGTTTCACACTGATTTCAGGTTTTCCCACTGAAAAGTGTATACAATTTGAGGGAAAAAGCCAACTCATCTGATTGCCATTCATTTCGGCGAATGCTCTCTCAAGTTGCAATTTGCTTTTCGTTCTTTTTCGATACGAAATTTCTAGCGTTTTCGTGATTTTTGGAAAACTTGGGAGATGTGCAGGATGAAACTCTCGACGATCTCCATCGTATGCATAAAAGGAACAGAAAAAAATCGAGAGCTCTGAGTAGATCTTTCCAGTCAATGATCAAACTTTCCGTATCTTTGTAATTTGCGATCAAAAAATTTTTCCTGACTTCGAATTTCTCAAAATAATGTAATTTCTTTCGAACCCCTCTCACTGAGACATTCTCTTGTTTGACAACGACGAGCTGCTGTTTTAAGGGTACAACGACGTGTTTGGGGGCAGCGGGTAGTGGGAACGTGAATGGAGTACAACGAAGAGAACGAAAACTTCAAGCTACTCGGCTGCCTGCACATCAAACACGCCACTTTCGCCTGCGGGCTCATCGGTTATTTTTTTGTTACTTTCGAAATAACGTGTTTTCAAGACCCCGCGTCTTCACTATCTTCAACCTGAACTTGATTACAGGAATCATAGCAACTTTGAGTGTTTTCGCTTTTGGAATCGCTGTTTTTCCATGGAAACTGTACGAGCAAATAGTGAACATTACAGGTCCGTTGAAATGTTATTTGATAAGGAAAGTTTACTGTAATTCATAACATTTCTAAACAGCTAATTTTGAAAGCTAGTAATTTGCGACAGCTGAAAAGGTTGTCCCGTTATTAAGTTTCGCAGCTGTTTTGAAAGACGAGAATGAGAAGAGATTTTTGATCTTTTGTATGGAAGAAACTTGGAGAGTTCGAAAATTTAAGCGATGGCCGCATTTGCCTGTTTTCTCGTCGGAGGCGTCGGCGTCCACGTCCTCGTCCTCTACGGACTCCACACCACCAGGGTAACCAAAGATTTCCCTCGATTCTTGGAAATCCCGACGTTTTAGTTTCGTTTCATGGCGCCTTCCGTGTTGTACCAGGCCTTTCTGATGGTCCTCAACGGCATAACTTCTCTGATTGCCGTCGGCGAACTCGCCTCGGAGGTAGCTTCAGTTTCTCCGACAATTCAGTAACATGAGCAAGTAGAATGTCCTGTCGCCGCGAGACCGACAGATGGCCCACATCGTGCTCTGTACCTGTCCGCCGATCTTTGTCTGCCAGGCGGTTATGATAACCGTCGTCCTTCGTAGTCGGTACTACATCCAGTGCAAGCGACGGTACATCCGAAACGGACTTCCACCGGTAGGAATCTCGTTTTTTCGAATCGAGAAGTTTTCACAAGAAGAAGAGAAAGTATGAAATTGCCACGACATTCAAACTATGGAAAAGTTCATGAGTCAGAGGAATAGACTTCCTCTTGTAAGTTTTTGCACTTCGGCGTGAGTTACATCAGAAAAACCTTTTCTCACACTCTTAGAACAATTTTTAAAGGTACATAATTATTTCTCGGAAACTGATTACCTTCTAGGAAATCCATTTTGTAAAGTAGAAAACTATGCGTTTTTGCAGCCTGTGCGAGAGGTCATTCATTTGTCGGCGGCAAACAAAGTTGGCAGCATTGATATATCGGAAACCCGAGAGGTTTGATCGTTCCTCTCTGATGGAAATGATATTTCGGATTATTTGCAGGTTTCTCCGACGTTAATGCCGACGACTGCATAAAATGACGCGTCGTTGATGGCTCCATAGCTCAACACAAAACATTGCTCAATTTTTCTAGACTCTTTTATTTGTCACTATTCAACACATAACAACTCGGGATTTTTTCACATATCAAATTGAGAACTTTTTCAAATTAAAGCTTGTATTTCAAAGAAAGACGGACGGGAAAATAGATCAATTAAAATAAAAATGATAAATTTTTAGACGTAACAGTTGTCGAATAAATATTATGAAAGTATGGAGGATAAAAATTAACAAATAATGAAATGCTGTAAATAGGCTCCTAAAGTGGCATACAAAGAATGATCAAAAGTTGCGTCCCGGCGAAGATACGGTAGCAGAAACTCCGTCGGTTTCGTTTCTAAACCTTTCAATGACGTCATTTTGAATCCCCAAGAGTGCTCCATCGTCGTCAAAACGTACATCTTTATCAACTGAAAACAAACCGTTATTTAAATTAAAAGACGATAAAAAGTGTACCGTATGAGTATTCGAATGCAAGGATTACGTCATTTTCGTGTGAAAAAACCGTTAAAGGCACCAAATTGGTTTTTGAGAGCAGTCGTCTTCTTGACGAAGTCCGACAGCAAAATCTGAAGTCCTTTTCAATTATTTTTCGCAGAATGTTTCCCGATTAATCTTTTTGAGCTGTGTAAACTTGCCTGTAGCCGACTGGACGGGAGTCTTCGGTCATTTTGAACTCGACCCCGTCTTTCCAGCAGCCCTCTATGCATTTGGCGTTTATTTTCAACAAGTTCACAAGAATTCGTTTGCCTGGAGGCGCCTTGAATGTATTTTTCAAACAAGTTCGAAGGCTCGACTCACTTTCAGGTGATAGAAGCAGTCTTTTGAACGGATCTCAGACTTCTGGGAAATGGAGATATCAAACTTTCTCGTTGTCTGTGGGAATTTCTCACATTACTTCAGCTTCTGGTTAACTAACAAAAGCTCAATTCAAAAAAAACCTGTTCGACGTTTATGACTCCTCCACAGGACCGAGAGAAAGACGAAGGAACCTGATCGCAAAATTTTCCTCCGAAGCCGGATGGACACCTGAAAGATCTAGATAGGGCTTTGGTTCTCGAACAAAACGTCAACTTGCATGTTCTGCAGTTCCGAGAGTTTACAAAGCCACCATTTTGGCAGGGAACTTTTTTGGCACATCGCTCTGAACAAAAATAATTAAAAAAGGACCCTTTAAAAAATTTAAAATCCTTTCTTCTTCCCTTGTTTTTGATAAAACCTGCACATTTATAATGTTGATTGATAATGAGGACGTCGAGAAACGAGGGGCCTTCGAGTTGTCCCATCGATTGTTGGAGATTCGGGTCGACTGTCGTCAACGCTGGCACTGACTTCACAACGGAGAACCTATAACAGTTCCAAAGAAAATTGCAATTTCAAATAAATGTTCGTTAGGAAGGTGGGAACGAACTCAGTGGGGGTGTAGTGCATGACGCTCCCGACGTCGTAAGGCAAATCATAAGTGGAGAGCTCAGTCGGAGAAATTTTCGCGAAGTTGTAGAGCAGCGACTTCTCGACGACATTTGGGTTGAAAATGACGGCGTTGTCGCGGTCGTAGCGCGACTGTTCGTGGAAAACTCCCAGAGCATGAGCCAGCTCGTGTGACGTCACGCCAAACTGAAAAAAAACGCTCGGGAAAAGCGTCAAAAAGAGTGGCATCCATAGACGAATTCTCCGATTTTTAATTTTTAATACTGGATTTTGAACCAATAAATGAAAATTACCGGCGCTCATGACGTTTATAAAAACCCATTGTTGTAAACTAGTTCAGAACAATCAAAGATTGAGTAGAGGCGTCAAAAAAGCTTTTTGGCCCCTCAAGATTCTTAGATTTCTTTTTTGCGAAAATAATTCTTTTCTTTTCTTTTTTTCAAAAGTCGTTACGCAGAATAAGGTACGAACATGTATTCCGATGTTTTGTTATGTGAAATGGTTTGACGTGAGTGTAAATCCAAAAATTTAAGCCTAGGTCTGACCGACAAAGTTCTCGTTGCCCCAGGTCTCATAGATATTGTGAGATAAACGTTACTCAATAATCTGAATAATGATGAAATTTTTAAAAAATTCGATCAAGTTTGAAAAGTATCAAAAGGATTTGCATGGCTGAGAATCTTTGATTGAGAATCTCTTTGGTTGGGAGGAAACTGACGTGTTCGCAGCCTTGGCCGATGCTCACGACCTGTCTCCCTTGGGAAGCATCTCTGCCCACCGTGCTCCAGCAGCCGTCGTCGTTTCCGATGAAAGACAAGTACTGAAATATAGTGGACCTAGAGAATGTTTTCGAACGGAATATTCACTTCCTCCTCTGTGGTCCGCGGCTTAAAGTCAATACAAGTCTCCCGGTACCAAAAATGTATTGCCCTCAGAATTGTGTCCCGCGCCTTGGGATCTGGAATTTCAGCAATTGAAACGGTTTTCCATATTTAGAAACTATTAAAACTGCTGGATTCAAGCCTTTATTGGGATTTATGTTAGAGCAAATGACCAGACAAAGTGTTTTGAGCGTCAAGGTCGGCGGAAGAAAAATCAGACGTTCGTCTAGGTGTTCGGAATGAAATACGAGCGTAACCTTGAGGAGGAGAAATCAGAAGATGGTCGGAAGAGAAAACGACGCGATTTCACTTATTCCTCTGAAGGTCAACTAACTCAAAGAAGAATGAAGAACGAAGGGAACGCCTTTCTCCCAGATGGTCGTCGGGTAGTTGGCGTCCAGATTTGCCTGACGTCGACCTCTAGAATCGCGTCTTCGACGGTTCTCGCCTTCGACACTGCCTTTCACGATTCTTTGCATTTGTGCTTGTGGAATCGCCATGTCTCCCTCAAAAAGGACGTCTCTGAAATCATCGAAATTATTATTGCTTGGCAGGAAATTAAGGTTGGAACTGGATTGAAAACCTTTTTTCACGCCTCAAAAGGTTTTTTTTCGTGTCAAGTCTTCAACCTAGTATAATTAGCTTGAAACTGATATAAAGAGCCGCGAAAAAATGAGAAGTTTTTGAAAGAAAATTTTTTTTGGAACTTTTGAAAATCGAAATATTTATTTGCCTGACTGAAAGAAGTAGTTTTTGTAGAAAAAATTACTCGAATGACTAAGAATGAAAATGTTTTTTAGCTCACTTGTATTTCTTGTTCAGATTCCTTATGGAAACCGGTGGGTCATCGTAATTATGCAATGCAGAGACGTCCTAAAAATATCTAGGTTTTTCCTGCTAATTCTTCTTCAAATAGTAACAATTTGCGAAGAAGTTGTATCTATTTCCTCGAAAATTATGGTACTTGGGAAATTTCGGAACGTCTACAAAACCACAATTTTCATTGTAAAAATATAAAAAGGATAACAAAAAAATGAGAGCCAAATATAGCTTACAAAACTGTAAGGACGACCGCTGTATTGTAGTTGAACCGACGACTGGAGCGTGTCGAAAAGTCTCTGCGTGTCCGCCGACGTTACGATATCCGAGAGCTGAATATCTGCGTTTTCCAGCTCTTCCATTTAAGAAAACCGTGATTTGCTGGGATGAATGAACGAGTAAGAACAGTAGAAAGACGCTCGAATCCATCCGTTGCACCAACAACCCTTTGGGCGAGCCTCGCAGAGAAAAAAAAAACTATTTTTTTTTCGAGGACTTCGAATTGAATCAGAGTACTCCAGGACCTGTGGTTGATCGGCCGTCAAAAAAGGTTGTCCAAACTTGGCGAGGGATCAGTCCGCCCCTTGTGAACAAAAAAACAAGTTTCTTGGCTTTTTCGACTCGGTCAGTTTTCGCAGAGGTGGGATGAAAGCAAAACTAGTAGAAGGTGATCCTCTGTGTAGAAGAATTGGGGCGACTAGCTGATGCGATTAAACCAGGCCGTTTCTACACTTTTATAGTCTGTTTTGTTGCCGTTTTATTCCAATACTTTGACGGCGTCTGAGAAGATTTCTTTTCAGTATAATCTTATAACGATCGTAAGGAAAATTGAAATCCCCGCAAAATCTTTCTAGGAAACTAGGGATTTTAAGGTTTTGGGAAAGTAGTTAACTGATGAATCGAAAAGTTTTTCAATCTAGATTTCTTAATGTACAGTTAATTTCGGTTCCTTGTGAGAGTCGAAATTCTCGAATCAAGTCTGTTTGATAGGCACCTAATAATTCGATCAACGTTAAAAATTGCGCCACATTGTTGAAGGGAAAACTTTCTACGGCAGCCTAATCTAATTAGAAGAATCGAAATTGCAGAGATTGCATGTTCGAAGAAATGCATCCGACGCAATAAACAGTATCTGAATTGCCAAGGGTAATAAATCTTTGGTCAACGATTCACTGACTTTCAGCCATCTCTTTTTATCCAGAATAAGTGCGGAAGAACTTCTCGTAGATCAAACATTCATTGAACAAGCCATAAAGCTTTTGATAAGGACTGATATTTACAAGTGAAATAGAGTTAGTTAGTAAAGCGTGCAATATTTTTTGGCAACCGGTCGATTCAATATTAGCTAAAAGATTGCAAAAGTGAATTTCAGGGAACAAGGCGTGAAAATTGGAGCAAAAGGTATAGACACATTTTTTGATAACTTAGATGCTCAGATGACTTTTTCATGAACGACAGTTTGAATCAGCGAAGTTCGACGTAGTTGGCGGGGAAAAGGCCGTGTTGTCCGTTGCAAGTGCCGCGCCACCAGCCGGCGTCGATCTGTAATTGATGTTTGAATACCATGGAGAAAGCCATTTCAATTTTTCCTTACTGTGATGTCTTTCGAATCCGAAAATTTTAAACCGACACGAAAACAGTTAGTTTCGCGAAGAAAAGGAATACCGCTAACCTGTTCAATATTAGTGATGACGTCATCCGGCTCAAAGCTTATTTCGTCATCGTCCTGCTTCTGATAGTCGTACAACGCGACTGCGCTCAATCCTCCTACAGAACAAATATAAAATGAAGAACTATTAAATTTTATCAAATCCTGAGAACTGGTCTATATATTTTCATTCAAATGAGAAAAGAAAATCCAACCAGCTGCAAGAGGATGAGGTGGCGGGCTTAGAGGATCCTGAACGGCCTTTTGCGATTGGACAATTTCCTAGAAGTTTCACGCGATAATTTTTTTATGAAGTTGAGTCGAAATAGTTAATGGGAAACTCGAAGCACACGTTCAACACAAAACTAAAAATAGAGCCTTGTTCAAGGATTCACCATACGTTCATAAGTTATTGACTGATCGTTTCCAAACTCATCCCTCACGTTACAAGAATAGAAAGAGACTGATTTCTCTGTAGCGCTATTTTCAATACCCCATGTGTAGTCGATTTTTCCCGACTTGAAAGGCGAGATTGGTATGGGTGAAGTATTGCGTGGGACGCGGGTATTGGCGGGCAACTCGAGGTCAAACTTAATCATGGTAAAATGTAGGAAAAAAAAATTTATTATCATTTTTAAACTTTATTCGTTCAAACCCATACAAATCACAATCTATATACGAAAAGCTGTCGAAAGAAGGAGAAAAAAAAAAAAACGGTGGCTCGCGTTTGAAATCGAGATTCCAAGCCGCGTAGCACACGCAGCGCTTCACTATTGCCAATAAACCCATCTAGCCTTTCAATTCGGGAAGGATTGACTATATATTCAGCAGCTGCGAGATAAAACAAAGAACGCAGACTGGCAACACTGATTAAAACCGTAGCAAACTAGATATACGGCAAAAGGGCCTAAAAACAGAAATTGGATTGACTTTTGAGCACTAAATTCGTTCCCTTAGCAGGCTCACTCATTAAGAAAGAATTCATGCGAAGAAGCTCATGCCAACAGCGAAAGCTTTCCGAATACTGTTTCTATTAACCCGTGCATGGAAAGAAACAGAAAAAAACGGGATGTTGATACGGACCTCGGAAGGAACGAAGTCATACAAAGTGCTTGGAGGCGACAAATTGGGTGTTTTCGATCCGAGAAACTCGTAATCCGGCACGAGATCGTACTGATCGATGTGATGCGCAGAATTTTTGGCGTTTCGAAGTTCATAAGAAGGCTGGAATGTTATAAGACATGCAATCAAGCAGTTAGTTCGAACGCAGGCAAAGACGTGAAATGAATGGAAAACCAACTTCTTCTGGGACGAAGTCGTAGCGGTCGGCCACGGCTACCGGAGCAGCTGGAGAAGGCGATGGCGCCGTTTTTTTCGGTTCTTCGATCGGCTGAGAGAGGGCGGAAGACTGGAAAATTGCACAGATTTCAGAGAAAAGGATGTTGAAAAGACTTTGTGATTATTTTGCTCCTCAGCCCAGTCGTCGTCGTTGTTCACTTCGTCGTCGCTCGACTCCTGTCGACGTAATCCCGACTTCAGAACGTTGCTCATATTACCTGTAAATAGCTCGTTAAGGAAGTTGATCTTGTAATTTTTGAAAACTTTTTCTCTGATTTTTGTTTTTCTGCTTCATATAGTCCTTCGTTTCATTTCTATTTTACAATCGTTCACGCTTCCATTCAATGTCTTATTCGAAATTTATTCCCAAAAAGTTGAATAATGCGTTAAATTGAGTCTCAATGGACGAACTCACGGAAAATTTTCAAAAATAGAAAAGAAATAGCCTGCAAAAAAAACGCAACGGATTATTTTTTCTATTTGGGGGAAACAAGTAAAAAAAAACTAGTAATCAAAAGTTTGAATCAATTACAATAACATTCGAATGAGCCGTGGTAGACTTGTTTTTTTTAAAAATTAAATTCATTCCTTTTTTCTAGTTTTGTAAACTGTCGTATCATCTTCATTCTTATCCGTGCTTTTCTTGAACCATTTTGCTTTGATAGAACTCGATTCTCTCTCAAAATATAAAAATTGAAAGACCTCCTGTAGGCAAAACAGCCACCGGGGCTGGTACCGGAACTGGAGCCGCATGAACTTCCGGTTCGACCTGGAAATCGAGGTATGTCGGTTTTTTATTGCTCCAATATATCCCATAAACTATTGAGTAACAAAAAAAAACATTTTTTTTTCGCATGGGATAGATATTTAAAAGAGCATCCCCAAAAGTCTCAATTACCACTTGATATTTTCACAGAAAAAAAAAAACAAACGGGCGGTTCCTCGTAGAGCGACTGAGAGGACGGCGGCGGAGCTCGTACCACTCCGGGCATAATTGCGACGGCGCCAGGAGCAGGGCCGCTGCGTCTCTGGGTCGACTGCGCTTGCTGAATAATTTTCAATCTTCGAAACTTTCCAGCACACGCAATAACTATTTAAAAAATGTCTTTTTTTTCTGAAATCCTATCGAAAATATAAAAATGAACTTCTCAAGCGTATATTCAATGATTGCGGAACAAAGTCGTAAAAAGAATAGAAAAATAGAGATATATGGGAATATGAGATGAATGAAGGAAGAGAAGAAAATTCAAAAACCCAATAAGATTTGAAACATTTATCGTGGTCATTTCGCGTTAAAAAAATGACTACTGCGAAGAAGGATTCCAAAAATAAATTGAAAAAATCTGAAAATTTTTAAAAAAGAATTGAGAAACCCTCTTTGCAAAATAAATATGAAAAAAGACATTACAAGCCGGAAATTAAGCCTTCACATTTTTCAAAGAATGGATTTTCAATAGAAAGTTTTTTTTTGGCATGATCTGTTAAAAAATTGCGTCTTATACTTCTCAGTTTAAAAATATCATAATTCTTCGAAAAGTTTGATAATATTTTTTTGAGTCGCTTTTTTTGAGAATTTGATAGAGTCCACGACTTTCCACGAGTCATCGGGATTATACTAGAGACATAAAAAACGGAAACATAAAATTGGAAAACAGCCAATCTCATCCGCAGAGCACACAGATATACAAAAACTTTCCCATGGAATTATTTTCGAAAGGTAAGTGAAGATGGAGAGAATGTACCTTGTAGGCCTGCTCCCTGGCCAACTCTTCTCTCCTATTCTGCTCCTCGTCGACGGGATGCGCCGCGTCGTGTTCCTTCCACACCTGCTCGATCTTCCGCTGACGTTCTTCCTGAAATGTTTCAGAGATATGCAGAAAAGTTCCTTCTGCATACCTCGTCTTGTCTCTGTTTTTCACGGAGTTGCTCATCTTCCTTCTTCCTTTTCTCCCGCTCGGCAGCGACTTTGTCGGCTCCCTCAATTTTGCGAAATTGCAGAGGAAAGAAAAAACAATTTACATCGGAGGTCGCGAGTTGCTCAAAACGAGCCCTCAAGTTGGAAGCTCTGCCTTTTTCCGTCACCACAGGCTCCTTGGCAACGTTTGAGCTCTTGACAATGTCTTCCCCCCGAGTTTGATTATCCTTCGGGCTGACATCTGGAAGAAAAACAATAAAGTTTAAATGCCCACATGCAAATAACTGAGTTCATGAGAAAACTTGTTTGAATCAAATCTTGGACACAAAAATGCACTTTTGTTGTGAAGCTGACTCTCGTGCTTGGAGAGCTGTTCATGGTGCTCGAATCCGACGGCAGAACGATCTTGACGGTCTTGCTGCACGCCAAAAGCGCCGCCGAAGCCTTTCTTGTAGTCTGAAACAAAATTTCTTTTTTTTCCGACTTCTTCTGGTCTGACCGGTTTGGCTTTCGTGGGCCTGCAGTTGCTCTCGCTCTTCCCAGCCGGCCGCAGATTTGTCTTGTCTGTCTGTCTGAACGCCGAACTTCCCGCCAAACCCTTTCTTGTAATCTGAATGAGTGAAAAGGATATTATTTGAAGAAATGAAGAAAAGGACCGGTCTGGCTTTCGTGGGCTTGCAATTGTTCGTGTTCCTCCCAGCCAACTGCAGATTTATCCTTGCGATCTTGCTGCACCCCGTACTTTCCTCCGAAACCGACCGCGTAGTCTGAACAACTGTCAACTATTTCGTTGCCGCGAAGTCTTCTGAACCTTTTTGGCTTTCGTGTTTAGACAACTCGGCCTTCTCGTCCCAGCCCGAAGCCGACTTATCTTGCCTGTCCTTCTGAACACCGTACTTCCCACCGAATCCCACGGCGTAATCTAAAATGTATAGTAGCGTTTCGATAAACGTTAATGAAAAGTCAGAGGTTGCTATTAAGGCACAAAATCTTCTAGCTTAGATGCAAGAAAAACTGTCAAAACTCTTTCATCGCAGTTAGTGTTCAAAAAAACGATAAAATGCCAGAAAACCATTATTTCTATATGATTTGTCCTGCATGCAAAAGTAAATTAACCACACTTCTTCTTGTGTGTTTCTTTAAAGTTAATTCAGAAATGGCCCTTTACAAAAAAAACTCTACGCGCATTTCTCATTATTTATTATCTCAATTTTCTCTGAAAATGTTTCCTGAGAACCTGAAAAGCTGAGACATTTTTCTTATTCCGATCACTTCCCTGCCACAAATGTTCTCGCTCAAATCGTACAGGCGAAAGTCTCATCATCAACGTGGAAAAAATGAATGAAATAACAATAAGTAAAAAAAAAAGTTGTTACAGTCAAACGAAATCCAGATGAGAGTAGAGCTTCCATCTTCAAAGTTAGAGCAGTATTATCTGAAGAAACATGCAGGAACTCCATCCGTTATAACGCAGACAAAAGATGGTAGAAAATGCAAAATCCGAAGAAACGCGTTGCAGTGAGTGGAGAGGAAAGGAGAAGCCGTGAGGACCGTCACCTCGTTGACTCTCGTGCTTGGCCAAATCGACGCGTTCGTCCCAACCGAAGGCGCTCGCGTCCTGTCTGTCGCGCTGCACGCCGAACTTGCCGCCGAATCCGAGGGCGTAATCTAGTCACCGTTTCGCTTTTACTTCTTTTTTTTTCTCCCGGTCCAACAATTTCAAAAAGTACTTCTGATGCAGAATATGTAAGCAAACTAACAACAACAAAAAAAGAACGACGTATAGATGAAAAAAAGGAAGAAAATGTTTTAATTTTTTGAAAAATCAATCATTTTGAAAGGACTCTACTGAAAAGAAAAAAAGATATGAAAGAGCGTTCCTATAGCCTTTACTTAACAACGAAGAAAAATTCAGAAGCGTCTATGCTCGTTTTCATTTACCTCGTTATACAAATAACTGAAAAGACGAGAGCTTTCTATGGAATCAAATTTACGAAACAAACTTTCTCAAAGTTTTTGTTCACCCTAGTCGACATCTATGACTCAAAAATTATTGACTGATTGATTGAAAATTATATGTAATATGAGGTTCTGGTTTTCCCGCCAATAATATTTTCCAAAAACTTGAGAGAAAAAAAACCATATATGCTTCAAGTAACCTTTTTGGCTCTCGTGCTTGGACAGCTCAGATCGTTCTTCCCAACCGGCCGCCGATTTGTCTTTTCTGTCGTTTTGAACCCCGTATTTTCCGCCAAAACCGACAGCATAGTCTGAAAACAGGTCGTCTCAAACCAAATTCATTTTGGAGCAATTCTCGCCTTTTTGACTTTCGTGCTTAGAGAGCTCAACCTTCTCATCCCACCCAGAGGCGGATTTATCCTGTCTGTCTTTCTGGACTCCGTACTTTCCACCAAACCCAGTCGCGTAATCCTACAATTATTTATGAAGCTCAAGTTTCTGGAAAATCGAAACTTTCTGAGACGCGTGCTGCTCCAGTTTTGCCTGATAGTCGAATGTTTCCGCAGCCTGAAGGAGCAATAAACTTTCTTTTCGAGAAAACGAACAACCTTATCCATTCTGTCTTTCTGAACACCAAACTTTCCACCGTAACCTTCCGAGGCTCGCGGCATTTCAGCCAGGAGCTTTTCCTAAGAAAAAAGAAAAAAAAAGTGCTGGGAAAAACGAAATTAAACGAACCTTTTGCTCTTGAGTGGACTTCAGCGCTTCCTTTCTGAGTTCATCAAGGCTTACATGAGCTTGGTGTCCAGAGCCCTCAACGGTTTTCGCTCCCCATCTGCTCTCCTTCTCAGTTATATCATTCTGGAACGTCAGTTTAGAAAAAGAGAATTTTAAAACAACATATTTTGAAAAAAATGGTTTTCGTTTTAAATTTAAATAAAATAAAATAATCTCACCACGAAGTCAGGATCAGTCTCCCAATCGTCGTCATCAACCTGGGGTTTCGCCGGAATCGGAGGTTTCACTCCTACTGAAGCACGCCACATCGACATTCTACCTATCAACTCAAATTGAAGTTGACTGTATGTAGCAGATAGTTGTTGCGATTTTACGATTCAAAGGAGAAAAAAATTCCGCATTCAAGCTGGAAAATGCAAGGAACCATTTTTCAGTTAAGACAAAATAAGAAGAAAGAAAACATAAAAGAAAGATCAACTTGAAAGACTGTGAAGTTGGGAAATCGAGCAGTCTGCTGGAAAACGTAGCAGACACAAGGTGAAGTCACAAATTCTGTTGATGAGTCATCAAATGTGCGGCTGAGAAGCTAGCTTTCGTGAACAAATTCTTCTCTATCAATTCTTTTTTTTTTCAATACCACGTTAATTTATAGGTATTCAAAAAAAAAAAAATTTCCACTAGAAAGTAAATCGGGAAAAAAAATTGCACCATATAAGCTAACTTTCAAAAAGGTAAATTGGAATAAAAATAATCTCTAAGGAAGATTTTAAACTTAAAAATTTCGCAATATATATATATAGTTATTAATAACTAAAAAAATTGAAAAAAATTTAATTTTTTTGCAAATTTTTTTCGCATGGCTCGTTGTACTGTAAGATGTTAACCCGCAACCGCTCGCCAAGATTTTTTGGCTACAGTACAATTTCCGAGGCGCGCGAAAATTTTGAAGAAGTTTTTCTTTATGGCGCGTTCAGGAACAAAACGCGAAATTTTTTTCGAAATTCAAAAAGAGCGTTCACGGCGATACTTCGAAATTAGCGAATTTCGATTTTTTTGAGATAATTTTGAGAAATTTCAAAAAAATAGCGAGAAAAAATCGGTTTCGCGCGAAATTTACGGTATATTGACATTTTCTTGTGCCAAACGCAGTTTTTTTTTTCTTTTTTTAGATAATTTTTTTCTTTTATTTTTCAATTTTCAACCCGTTCAAAGTTATTGATTTTAGAAATAGTACGAATGAAAGCCTTGTTAATTTTTTCGACTGTCTGAACTCAAAAAAAGTTCAATTTTTCTCAAATTTCGAATTTATCGTGTTTATTTTTTTTTTCCAACGGATGTATCAGAGCGTTTGAAGTTGCAGGTCTCCAAACTATGGCGGGTATTGGATTACCGAAAGTGCTAAAGTTGAAAAAAAGGTTAATTTTCATTCAAAAAACTTTTTCGCAGTTATTTTTTTACAATTTTTGATTATTTTCACAAAAATTTAGACTCGTTAGGGAGGCACGAGCGGCTCGTGTGAAGGTAACGCAAAATTTTCGTCTCTACAGTCAAGCATAAATCCGTGAATTTCGACGCAACGGTCAAGAAGAAAATGGAAGGTTTTTTTATCTATACAATTTTTCAATAACTGGTTCATTTCATTAAAAAGAAAAGTATTGAATTTTTCAGCTCATTCGAACAAGACATTGTTGTGGCCAGCCGGATAAATTTGGAATTTACCATGTCTCGATTTTGTCAAATACACAGCTTTCAACTTCTCTTTCAATGATTTTGTTTTGTTTTATTACGCGTTTATTTTCTCTATCATTTGTTTGAATAAAGATGATGAGCATTACCTTCTTGAAAAATAAATGTAAAAAAAACAAGCTGCTTAGTTAATCAAATTAAAAACCTAACAACAGAAACTTTTTTTGTTATGAGATGTTTCTGAAAGGCAGAAGAAAAACAATGAAATTTTTATTAGAAAAAGTTCCATAAGGAAAGATCCAAGTTTCACGTGTAGTCTTTCGGCGAGTCCTTCGTAAACCGTTCGTCTAGGTCTGTAAGCAGAAGAAATTTTTCCAGAAAGGAAAAGCTGGTTGAACGGTGGTATGAAAAAAACACAAGCAGAAATTCAAACAAAAGTCGCCCTTTTCCGAATTTTTCATATCGCTAGGGAACTTTCCGACGGCCACCTCTCCGACGAATTTTTGCTGTTCTTTTTTTCATACCATCGGTTGAACCGTGGTATTCATTTTTCGTTTACAACTGAACAAGACATATTGACAAGACATATTGAAAAATGAAAAGAAAAATAACATCGAAGAATAAGAGAACTCACGAATTTATGCTTGACTGTAGAGACGAAAATTTTTGCGTTACCTTCACACGAGCCGCTCGTGCCTCCCTAACGAGTCTAAATTTTTTGTGAAAAATAATCAAAAATTGTAAAAATAACTGCGAAAAAGTTTTTTTGAATGAAAAATTAACCTTTTTCAACTTTAGCACTTTCGGTAATCCAATACCCGCCATAGTTTGGAGACCTGCAACTTCAAACGCTCTGATACATCCGTTGTATAAACACGAAAAAAATTCGAAATTTGAGAAAAAAATTGAACTTTTTGAGTTCAGACAGTCGAAAAAATTAACAAGGCTTTCATTCGTACTATTTCTAAAAATCAATAACTTTGAACGGGTTGAAAAATTGAAAAATAAAAGAAAAATTATCTAAAAAAAGAGAAAAACTGCGTTTGGCACAAGAAAAATGTCAATATACCGTAAATTTCGCGCGAAACCGATTTTCTCGCTATTTTTGAAATTTCTCAAAATTATCTCAAAAAATCGAAATTCGCTAATTTCGAAAGTATCGCTGTGAACGCTCTTTTGAATTTCGAAAAAAATTTCGCGTTTTGCTCCTGAACGCGCCATTAGAGTTTATAATTTTCCAGAGCGTTTTTGATGGATGAATTTTTTTTAAGTTGTGCAAAAGGAATCAGTTTCAATTTCTTATATGTTTGAACTTCCATGTTTTCTTGCTTCCTGAGGTCCGAGCGCTATTTCGGTTTTCGGAAAGCTTTTCTAGTTTTATTTATTTGTATTTTTATATTAACCTATTAAACAGTAACGGAGTTTTCTTATTACTTTCGTTTTTGTAAAAAAATCGTTTCATGAACGCGCTTGTGGATATTCGTTTCACTTTCTTCACTCGCAGCTAGGTCCTTAATTGTAGAAGAATGTGAAAAATTGCTCTCGATCGTCTTCTTATGCCGCGATAATTAGATTCAATTGATATCAAAGAAAATTAAAGTAAAAGCGGATAGCTAGGTTGGAGTGGTCATTTAATAATACCTAGAATCCCTACAAATATCTGGTTCGTTGAGCTTCTCGAGTAAACCTCATAAGCAGAAGCCGAAAAAAAACTTTTTTTGTTTGAAAAAAAGGAAAAAAAAAATAAATTGTATTTTTTCATCTATCATAATGAAAAAAAAGTCGATAAAGCTTCCCAACTTTGAGTTCTAGGGGAACGGAAAGTAAATGCTGTGAATGTGAGCTACTTTCGAATGATTTGAATATTGATAGATTCAAGTGGGAATAAAATGCATTATAGATTAAATTTGAGAGCTCCCAAGACGGTATATTTCTCGGAATACAGTAACTTTAATGCGGATTTATCATCTTTTTTTTGTAATTCAATTTCAATTGCAACGTTGAGTTTATTTAATGTGGTTTCGTAAATTTAAATAGAATTATGTAGCTCGAATTATTTTCCATTGTGTTTCTTTGAAGTTACAATCTTTCAAGTTTTGAAAAGTTTCATCGTTGTATTATGTGGAGGATTTTTTCTAAAATAGCGATGCAATTTGGACCTTCACACTCTTTCTCTCGCATGTCCCAGCGGCCGTCGCTCTCTTCTCAAGAGGTCTCTTCAATCAATAAGTGCCTGGTGTAGGGCGGACACTCGTCCCTCCAGGGACCACTCGTGACAAGCGTGCTCGTTTGAATTTTACGAGACCTCTTATGCCGTCTGCGCAGCCCACTTCAGAGCCTTTTTTTCGTCCTTTCTTTCTTTTTTTCGTCCAGTTCTACCTCTGAAAAAAAAGTTTTCTTATTTTTTTTTTATTTTTTTTAATTTTCCGCGTTTTGCAACTTGGGTGAAGTTCGTAAAGTAGAAACTTTTAGGTGTGAATGCCTAGGGCGAAGGTACAGATTCCGGCGTTCTTATATCAATGGGGCGATGGTGAGTTTAAAATATTCTCGAAACCTTGAAATTAGAGCTGAAGGTATAAAATAACAACCAAAACTTTACCAGGACACCTTTCAAAAAATTTCTATGAACAGGATCTTTTAGAAGTCCATTATTGGTAACGAAAGCTGAATTTTACTCCGAAACCCTTTTCTCACTGAGCCCTTTTCGCACAGAGTCGAAAATCTTTTTACATTCTCAGTGGCGCATGTTGAATGGGGAAAAGTTTTGAACCTTTTTAATCCGATTTTTTTCAGAAGAAGAATCGATGGATCACAAGATGAACTTGAGCGAAGCATTGGCTTCTCCGCAACAAGAAATCGTTGTTGACGACGATGGTCAACTGCTTTCTGAGGCCACTAATGGTAGCCTTTTGGAAGTCTTATTAGGTGCAAAAATTTTACACAGTCTGTAACCTTTTCAATTATTTTTTTTTACGTCGTGATAGAAAAGCTCCCTGATTTTAAATTGTTTTTGACGTTTTTTGGTTCCCTTTGCGTTCGAAAGTTCTTTTTTTCTTCAGCAATACATTCTGCACCGCCGCCATTGCACTGTTCTGACACGGAGATGGCGGTCGTGAAGATCTTCGCCTACCTGGAATCTCACTCTGGCGGTCCAGACGAGATCGCTGATCTCACGACCCAGCAAATCACGGTTTCAAATTTTATCGGATAAGCGCCTGACGAATTGAGTTCAGAAGTTGATTCGTGAGTTGATTCCGTCGACAAATGTCGTGGGGATCTGCCCAGACGATCGTCGTCGCTTCGAGGCTTCTGCCGTCAGCAACGCTGAGTTCAAGTCCCGCATGGTCACCGCAAATTTCATCTCAACCATTTATGTGAGCTTTCTCGATGGTTTTGAGTTACCTTCAAAAATTTTCGTCCACAAACTTGTTTAAGTGAAAAATATCAGTATGCATGAATACGAAGGAGCGGCCAGGTACTTTCCAAACATTTTCTAATTGAACAAGTTTTTATTTTTCGTGTAGAGAAGACCCGAGTTCGTTTCGTTTTCTTGAAGTGTTAGAAACTGAAAAAAATATGGGGTTTTTGTGACCTTTCTTTGTCAGGCTTGATTTCCTTTTTGTTAAACTTCCAAAGATAAGTTAAACTTCCAAAGACCGTTTATCATATTTCGAAAAAAAATTTCATTTCTTTCTCTCGGTCTGCTTTTTTGTATAATAGATCTTCATAGTTCTATTTCTTTCCTATCTTTCTAGAACCTTCCAAAAACACTTGAAAGAAAAAAAAAATGGAAATAATTGTTTGGAAGGAGGGTGGCGTGAGAGAATTAGGAGTGGAAAGACGCATTAAGCGGTCTCATGGGAGAGCGGTGAGTGGTTTCTTAAGTGGGTCGTAAAGTGGAACGAACGCTGCCGATTGCGAACGCGTTTCTCAAGGGGGCACTTTGCGCCACCTTCGGCTGCTCTCCGCTCACAAAGAGGAAAAGTCCCATATGGTCCTCTCCAGCCGCAGAAGGAGCTTCATGCGATAGTCAGCATTTGATTGATTGAAAAATAAAAAGAAATTGAGAGAAATCCGCTTTTATTTTTAATGAAAATAAAGTAAGAAATATCTTCAAATTATGTGTACAATTTTTTTCTTATTTTGAAAGTACAAAAATTAAAAACTTTTTTCGAAATTGATGAAGTATAAATGATCGGTTTTTTTGTGCCTTTTGAGTTTTTAAAACAGATGCGATATCAAAGAATGATTCAGTCAGAAGGTCCAATTTTTCCATTTTTCAAAAATTTGGACGTATGGTCATAAAATTTCGTTCGAAACAAGCTGATCTGATTGTAATGATGAACCAAATGAAGATAATGAAAGCTTTCAGTCAAATATGCAAATGGCTGATTTGGAAAGAGCGCGCCGAAAAGATCAAGAGAAGCACCGCCAACTCAGTAACACCGCAACAAGGACCTCTGTGAGTTTTTCAAAAAATTATTCAGAAAATGAGTTTTCCAAACAATTTTGAATTTGAAAAAAAACTGGGAATAGTTTGTTTTTCTCGAAAATCCATTTTCGTCCGAGAAGTTTTCTGAATTACGGCGGACTTTTTGAGGTGCTGCCTGACGTATACATCGACAAGCTGCGGCTGGCGCTGCTCAATGAGAAGAACTACATCGTCGAGATTCCGAGTGAGAACAACTTGCGAGTCTCGCTTCTCAAGGTGTTCGCCTGCGCCACGATGCGCAATACCGACCTTTTCGGGTTTACGCGACGAGCCGTCCTCTACACTCTCCGCAGCGTGGGTACAGCTGTCTAGGACCTCTCAAAGAGTCTTTTCAGATTGTTCCTGTTCATCGACGACACCAGTACACTCATTTGCACTCGATAGCGCGAAGCACCAAGTATCAGCAGTTGCCCGCCGAGTTTTTCAACAAAATCGCTGGTTTGATTTGCCGAAAAAAATAACGCTGGAGGAAATAGAAAGCAAAGAAAATTTATTTTGGAATTCATCCACTGAACTTTTTTGTATTCTTTGTTTCGATGCTTTTTTCAGTGTAAAAACTAGATTATGTGACCAAAACGAGACGTTGGTCCTACTCGTCAGAAATGACGGAAATTGCAGATCTGGCGTTCGCCTGCGCTTCTCTGAACACGTGCAATGCCGCCTTGGCAGTTGCTATCAAATCGAAGTTGACGGCCGAAGTTTCAGCGACTGCTTCTAAATATTTGTGAGTCTTCAATCATTAATGATAGGAATCATTTCTTTTTCAAAAAATTGACTCATAAACGAATTGAAATAAGTTTTTTGAAGTGAATAACACGCTTGAGAAATACATTGAGATTACAAAATTTGTGAAAGAAATGAAGTAAAAATTTCGCTTTTTTTATGACAATAAATAACGCTGGCTATATAGGTTGGGCAAATTAAAACATCTCCTTCCAAAAATTTTTTTGTAGATTTTCTGTAGATTCGTATTTACTTGCCAGTGTCGGTTTTATATCGTTTTTCCGTAACTTTTTATTTTTGAACTCGAGCTTTGTTGGTATTGCAAAAGTTTTATCGAGTAAATTTGTGTCCCGGCTTTGATGATTCGTTTTGACAGTGAAAACATGCGGAGACTGTACCGCGTTCACTCGACGGACGAGACCCTCGACGAATATTACAAGAAGGAGGGCGAGATGGACAGACAGTACAACCGTGCCGCGCCGTGTCAGTTTTCTTTTCTTGGCCTATAATTGGATCCTTCTTTGAATTCCCTGAAAGAGTTAAGTTTTGGTTCGAAGAAATCTATGATTTTTTTCCCGTTCAAGAAGTAGAATATAGCGGTTAGTTCTGGAAATTTTCTGGAAGAAAAGAAACATAATCGAGATGACTGACTACTTGCATGAAGTTGGCGATTTGTGTAATTGACTCAAAAGAAGGACGCCGAAAACTGTCTGCCAACAAATGAATTAAATAAAAATGAAATGGTTGCAAATTTATTCAAAAAAATATAAATTACTCTTAATTTTCTTCCAAATCAACAAGTCACTCTGATTTCAATCAACAAGTCACTCTGATAGATCTAAAAACTCTGCTACTGTTTATTTTTTTTTTTTAGAAATGACACGCGTGAACGGAAATAGCATTAAATATCTTAGGTACTCAAAATTTTTTTCATTATTCGATGAAAAATCTAGTTTGTTTACCATATCTTCCGTGAGAATTTTTCAATAATTAAAGTAGACAAAATGAATAGTAAAACAGAAAAGAAGCATAAAAAGTATGCTATTTCGTGGCCGACTGTCGGGATTTCAGTGCAGTCGATCCGTGTTGCCGCAAGGCGCGCTCCGTCGTCTGTCGGCGTTTCTAAACCTGAGCCGTCGACGCCTTCTCGTTCCGTGACCGTTCACACTACGCAGAGTAGCTCCGACGCACTTCTCCTGGCTTTACATTCGAATTCTTTCGCAGACGACCAGGTCAATGGCGCCGTCAACGAAGGCGAAGCCGACTCTTCGGCCGCCGAACAACCCAACGATGACGAGGAGATGTTCGAGGAGTATGCCCCTGCCGAAGCGGGTTTAAATCAATTTTTATATCGTCTTCCTTTCTAATTCCAACCTCCGCGTTTCCTAGGTTCCCAAGATGAGCTTGTCGGAGCACTTAATGAATATTTCTCCGAGGAGGGCAACGACTTCAAATGATCTCATCCCTTTCTTCGCCTCCTCCTACTCGTGTTCTTGTTCTATCGAATTGTTCATAATAAATTTATGTTTTGTTTATTTTGAGATGGTCATCCTTCCTGATGTGAATACCTGTCAGATATTGTTGTCGATTTTCCACTGGTGCAGGAAATTCTTTTTTCATTCGCTTCGTTCATCGGTTTCTTTGTTGAGTCGTCGCCTTTGCAAGGCCAATCATATCATAAAAAGTTTGAAACTTGAAACAAAACATTTTTAACAAAAAAAGGTATCATAAATTAATTTTGCGTAAACAATGTACAATGACCGTAATAGAAACGCTTTTTACTATTCATAGGAGAAGTCGGAAAGGATGGAAAAAGGCTCCATAAAAATGTTCCTTTTAGGGTGACAAAGGTTCCTTTTTGCTGCCTTTTTTGCGCCATTTCAACGGCTCTCATGCACAATTTTCACTGTCTTTCTCTTTTTCCATCATTTTTCGAGCCTTTAAAATCCCAGAATACATGAAGGACTCGATAAAGGAACCTTTTTTGCTGCCCTGCTGCGGCCTTTTTTGAGCCTCTCCCTTTTAGCGGCCATTATCAACCATTCCGACTTTGCCCGAGTTTATTTCTCCTGATAGAGGCCTTTCGATCGAAGTTTCTCAACTCGAATGAATTTTTTGGGGTTTGATCGAACTTTTATCAAAAATTTGCTACTTTCAATTCCTTAAAGCGTCCAAGTTTTATGAAAACTCATTATAAAAGGTAAACTAAGGAAAAGATATGACTCAAAACCCATTTGAGCCACTGGTTTGTGAACGTCTTCAAATAACGGTGGTGGGGGCGACGGTACGAACAGAAGGACTTTTCAAAGGCGGATAGCTGTGCGACGGCGTCAGAAGAGACTTGGCGTGATCGCGGAACTCGGCATTCAGAAGTAAGTAGATGAAGATGTTGATTCCCGAGTTGACGCAGGTGAAGTAGGTTGAAGGCTTGGCGATGAAGTCGGCCACCTGAAATAACGCACATGGGGAAGATATTGAAAAAAAAAAGAGTCGCAACCTCCTGGATCCACGCCGAACACAACGATATTCCGTTAGGAATCGACACGAGAACAAACGACAAGAATGACACGACCAGGTTGTAGCGAACTTTGTAGATTTGCCGACGTACAAGTCTGAAAGATTGTATTCCACTGGATCTCGTTCAGTCCACTGACTTGTTAATGGTTGAAGTGGCTGCCATTATGGTGCAGACGTTGATAACAAAACTGAAAAGGTAGCAGAATATGTTGACCAGGTAGATGAAGACGCCGTAGTTTTTTCCGAACGCAGCTTTTCTCCCGCAGTAATACATAGCCTGAACAATTTTCTCACCAAGTTTCGCTGTCACAGGGAGATTTTCAACAAGATGAATAGAGGTAGTTCTTCACAATGACTCCAAATCTAACAAGAAAAGAAATTTCAATATAGTACACAAATGTTCACAGGCGAATCGGGAGGGGACCATAATTTGTCCACAAATATACCTCTCAAAATTTATCGTGGAGACCCCATAATATGTATATCATGAGACCTCCGGCGTACCTTTTAGCTATATCTGAGCCATCTCGGAGGTACTTGAGAGTCTCCCTAAAGTCTCAAATCTTCTTGAACCCTTCAGAGGTACTCGTGGTACCATCGACAGACTCCAGACCCTGCGATATATCTCAGAGGGTATCGCGATACTCTTTCTCGGTTCATCTATGTTTGAAAAAAAAATTGCGCCACCTGTAATCAAGTTCTAAGTGAGGATTTCTATTCCTAATCAAGTACGCAATCTTTGATTATTGCTGATAGAAATTTCGAAATTGCGAAAGATTGGGTTTCAACTTTGAGCAATGAAGAAGTCACGGTCTAAACGAGAAAAGGTATCGCGAGAACCTCGGAGGTATATCGCAGGGCTGAATTCTATCGGTGGTACGAGGGACTGGAGGGAGACTCTAAATTACATTTCAAGTTTAGTCGCAAACCGCTACTCCTTGACATCATCCCTATGACTTCATCTTGACTTGGCGATTCGCACACACAGCCATATTATTTGATTTATTTTTTTCACGTTTTTAAATTAATAAAAATTAGATTCGACTTAGAAAAAAATTTCCATATTATTTCAGGCTCTTCCCATTCTTCAATTTTTTTCACGTATATATAGAGCCAAATATTTTGATCACGCTTATTTCTTGTGTTCCGAATGATGTCATAAAGTGACGTCAGGGAGTAGCGGTTTGCGATTTAACGAAAACTCTAAATTACCTTCGAGATGTCTCACGAGATGGTCAGATAGAGCTAAAAGGTATGCCGGAGGTCTCATGATGGACACATTATGGGGTTTTCACGATCCATTTTGAGAGGTATCTTTGTGGACACGTTATGCTACCCTCCCGATTCTCCTGTGGCTTTTCTCAGACTTACGTCAAAATTTTTTTGCAGGCTCTCGGATTTAGCGTATCTTAAAATTATAGCTAGTGATATTTTTCCCTCTAAATGTTCATTTTTCGAGTATCTGTGGATTAATTCTTTCGCTCTCGGGATAAGATTTCATAGAAAGTTGAAATTGTCATGTTCGTCGCCCCAAACCTTTTCCGATCGGCGCGAAAAGGCTTCAAAAAACCCCACTGCAAATGTGCACATCAACACCAACAATGTCAGTAGAATTAGCAATGTTGACCTGCAATAATCTTTTTGGAGAGAGAAATGAATTTCGCGTGAAAATTATACATTTCGAGACATTCCTGTACTACTTTTTATTTACAGTTGAACATTAAAAACTGAAATGGCTCAAAGGCTGCTGGACTCTTCCACTGATGTTCTCATACCTTTTCTTTATGAGGAATTGTTTCTTTTTAGTTGATGAAAGACGCTTTGAAAAGGTTGAGAAAGCTCCGCGAGGCCGACGTCCCTCTGATAGTTTCGCAAAGAGGAGCCGAGCTCATTTTTCTTGTGGTTGGTATCTCGATGATAGCTATTCTGGTGGTTGTTCGCTTCTTTATTCGTAAGTTCTTTCTCTGCATTTCTTTGATAAACTCAAGAACTGCTTCTATCATGATTTTCTCATTTAATCAAACCAATAAGTAAAAGCTTCGAAGTTTTTATGAACGCAGATAGACTGGATCCTCTGCATCCTGGAGTGATTTTGTCTTCGAAGAAAATGACTGGTTCGCTGGACGAAGTCGTCGAAAAAGAAGATTCTCTTCTCTCTCTTGACGCACAGCTCGATTTCTTCGCTGAGGGGAAACGTCGTCGTCGAGGAAGACAGTGACGTCGTTTTTTTCAGTTTCGTCGAGATTTATGCTCATTTGATAAAAAATCACCTGTTGCGACCGTTTTTGTGGAACCAAACAGGGACGAAGACGGCAGCAGCTCTTTCGATACCTATCACCATCTGGATTGTCGGGGGCCAAATGTCGCCTGAAGCTGTGTCAAGTTCATACGAGTAAATGTAGCCGTACCGATGGTTCGGAGAAAAAGCCAAGGCTCCAAGGCGCAGTCCCAGGAGGTTCGAATCGGGATCTGTCGGAAAGTTATGACGCTGGAGTAGAGGTCCACGCGGTTCTGGCCCATAAAGTAGATGCTCAGCGTGTTGAATGTGTCGGCCACGCACAGTGTTATGAGTATCTGAAAATATTCAGATTTCGAAGTTGTCTAGAAGGCATGGATGACTCTGTTCCGATGTTTGTGTCGCAACTTGGGAGAAGTGAGGAATATAAGGAGCAGCGGGATGTTCAGAATCGTACACACGGCTCCGATGATGGAGTTCACTCTGAAAAATATTTATAATTCATAAGGATATCCTGAGTTCAATGAAAAATAATCGTATGAACTGACCTGTGATAAGATACTATTTCAGGCAGACTTGCCGTGAAATTACTGTCGACCGGCTCGTAGCCTTCAATGTGCGCTTCCATATCAACCGTTCATCTTTTTTCAATTCATGACTGGAAAGAGAAGGTTCGAATATGATATGAAAACAAAAATTGCAAACGAAATACTCTCAAGGAACTTTATTTAATTATAAGTTTTGAATGACATTTTAGTTTGTTCAAACGATCTCGCATAGTTGCTTTCTTGGCGAACTTTTGATTTCAACGATATGAAGCTCGGTAGTTTCTCATATTGAACAGAATGTTCTGAAGGATTATCGTCACGCTATGTCTTCTTTGAATTGAAAAGTTCGCGCGGACAGAGGCTGTGTCAACACATCCAAATTCACCTAAGTTCGAACGATTTTAAAAACTATTATTTTGTCTCTATCGAGGCAAAATAATGAGACTGACATCCCATCTAAGTTTTTGAAAGAAAATTTGAATAACAACTGGAACATTGAATTAAGAAATGGAGGAAAAACAGGAAGTTTGATGGCATTTTGGCAGAAATTATATATACGTTGCAAGTTATAGTTGTTGAAGCACTCTATTTTCGCGGTTTCTCAAATAATCTTTCGAATCTCTTGTCTCTGACCTTCCTAATGAAGGTCTGTTTTATTGAAGGCTATAGATTGAAATTACATCAAAAAAAAGTTCAATGCAATTCAATATTCAAATCAGACTCAACCGGAATAATTTTCGAATAGCTGATTAAGAATTACGAATCGAACTTTTGGCGAAACTATAGTTTTATAATTGCTGATTAATGTGGAAACGCTGGAAAACAAGAGTGAACATTGGTTTCTTCGGGTAAGATAATTTGGATAATTGAACTCAAAAGGAACTTCCAAAGCCATATTCATGAACGTTTGCGCTGTGAAAACGTGATTGCGTAAATGAGTTAGAAGCATTTGAACATGCTTTTTTTGCATAATGTAGCAAACCATGGAATTGTTCAATATAACTAGAATTATGAATATTGTCTTGACGAAACTCATTCACGACCTGGCAATTACGCTGGTAAAATTTCATGCGTATGACCTCGGACTGGAAGAAAAACTATTGTTTCAACTCTGGGCTATTTTCATTCTACGTTGATTATTAAAGGTTTAAAAGGCTAGAAGCGGAAGTGATCCTGAGAAAAAATGGAGGTTCAGATTGAGAGGGCAACGACGTAGAGGCACTGCGAATTCTTGGCAAATTTGGGCTAATTTCACATGAAACCGATGTGAATCGACTAAAGTTACAAGAGGAGGTCTTCAACATCTTTCAGCTCGCCAAATTCTGTGCTCTTTTTTGTATAGTTATAACTTTCTACAGTTATAATATCCCTATGAAGAAGTTGTCTTTCTTTCTTTTTCACATAGTTTTCGTTTCTCAGTTTTAATCGACGGTTCCATTTTCAAACGTTATATCGAGAACTCAGACAAACTAGTGTGTTTCTCGTACCTTGAACAGCTTGGTTAAGTGGTTCGTCAGCTTTTTCAAGAAAAAAAAGCCTAGACTTTGATTATTACAAAATTCATTCCGGATTATTCGGTTTTTTTTTTCCGCCTCGAAATGGAACTAAATCTGAAGTGGTCGTGAGCGCTAAATTTCAAGTGACTTCAAGAGATTCTTCGTTTTAAATCGTCGGACTATTTATGGCAAAAATCAAATCTCTACTGCATCATTATTAGCTTTTATTGTGCTGAGTTTTCATTTCTCTTTTGAGGTCGCTGTTTATCAAAGTTTATTCATGTAATTCCAATTTTGAAGTTTTCCCATCGACACGCTCGTTTGGTTAACATATTCAAGAATTTAAAACTTTCGTATACGGTCTCTAGTTTTCACCGTTGACAGGAAATTGTGGTAAAAACAACGCAAAAAGAGTAACTGGTCCCAATTGCCGACTGTGAGAATTTCGTCGTGGCACGCATAATTCAAGCTCACGTCTGGTAAAAGCGAAATTGGCGAGTTTATTGTGCGAAAGCAAAACCGGCCGTTTGTGCGAGGATCCACTCGAACCGTCGGCGCAGTTATATAAGGCGGCTTTAGACGCTTCGAGGCTGCATCGAGCCTTTTATCCATGTCAGACCCTTTTTTTTCGCTGATTCTTTTTACATCTTCAATTTTTCAGGAAATGAGTTGCTCTGCCAAAACGGCAGTGCAAGTTTCTCTTGTCACGTCTACCACTCTGCTGGCCTTCTGTCTCGCGGCAATCGTTTTCACGGCTTCGGAAATCAGCGACATGTTTCAGAAGACTGACGATGATCTCAAAGAGTGGAAGGTCGGGTATTTGACACTTTGTCGAAATAATTTCATTTTGAAGTCAAGTTTCTCTGTTTTATATTCTAACTCTATGTGCGGATGATAACAGTTTTTAATTTATTATTCAAGCTGTTGCAAGAAATTTACAAGATGAGCTGTCCTGCTTGAAAATGTTTTTAGTGTTTTTGAAGCCGGCTGTTTTTCAATATCTCGGAAGTTTAGCATTACGCGGACAACGCCTGGAAAGACATGACAGAGATCACTTTGAGACGGTCGCGGAGGTCCGTCCGCAGATTCGTGAAGCGACATGAGGACTACGCTTATGCAAAGTGCGCCTTCAGATGTCCTTCTTATTTTTAAATCATTTCCAGTGATTTCGAACCCCAGCAACAGCAGTCAGGCTACTACGCACGCGACTCGTACGCCGTCTCAAGCCAGTGCAGTAAGTCTTTCCCGGTATTCAACACTTTAACTCCACCGCTCTCAGACTGCGCAGCTCAAGCTCAAAACTGTCCGCCTGGACTTCCTGGCGTCCCTGGTCTACGAGGAACGGACGGAGGTGACTCACTGGAACTTCCGAAAACTTTTTTTTTTTTGCAGAACCCGGGTACCCAGGTCAAGACGGCGCTCCCGGAGCGAACGGCGTCGCTTTGAACGCCTACGAACAAGCTCAGCCAGGATGTATAGTTTGTCCTGAAGGACCGCCCGGATTGCCAGGAAAGAACGGACAGGCTGGAGAGAGAGTTCGTGTGTGAGGGGAACTATCGTCAAGGTCAGATTCAGGGAACACCAGGATTACCTGGCGCACCGGGATATTCGCCGCCTCCAGGACGCCCAGGTCCTCAAGGTTCGTGTGGAGATCGAGGCCAACCAGGTACGTCTTATTGATTTTATTTGTAACTAGTGGCTTAGAAATTTTACGAGCAAGTATTTTGAAAAATGAATGACTACGAAGAACAAAAGTTACTTCAACAAGTTCTAAATATTCAAAAATTTGCTATGCTTGTTAACTTTTCAAATGTTACAAAAATTTCGCATTTTGAACAACTTATTTTTTTACCAAAGTACTTTATTAACTTTGATGAAATGAAAATTTTAAGGAAAGCCTGGAATACCAGGAAGACCAGGGGAAGCCGGTCGCGATGCGACTTGTCAAATCGGGTTTCCTGGTCCCAAAGGTCAGCCAGGAGGCCCAGGCCCTGTCGGAGCGCCAGGCCCTACCGGATATTGTCCTCCGCCAGGTCTCCCTGGAACTCCTGGACCTGTCGGACCCAGCGGACATGACGGCCTTCCAGGCAAGCCTGGATCTGTCGGATATGTGAGTTTTCAATACACTATCAATTTTGAATGAGATTGACAGCCTGGTCCTCGTGGAAATCCTGGTCAGGATGCCGAGTATTGTCCATGTCCTCCCAAAAATCGCGCCGTCGTGAACAAATACGAGACTTATCCTTCGGCGTCATCTCGTGTCGGTTAGTCGATCCTCCAATCAGTTTCCAAAATCTTCGTCCAGCTTCTTATGATCCGGCTCCGTCGTCGTTTGTCGAGAGCAATTATCCAGCCAATGAGGAAAAGGAAGGCGACTACCGAAGAAGGTTGGCTGCTGTAGATCTCTCTCGATTTCTTTATTCTTCAGACTCCTCGCGAAAGTTTTGAGGAAGCAGAAGCGACTAGTCTTGGCCAACAGGGCAAGGACCGTCCGTCGGAAGGCCGTGAATCCAAAACTCAAGGCCGCGGACACGACATCCGGCTAAACTGCGATAAATCAGAACCGAACACTTAAAATAACAAATAAATAACTTTCTCAAGTTTTCTTGACCTTCTGAATTTTAAGTTTTGAGCCGCCTTTCACAAAATTTCAATAAAGAATGTTCACTACTGGGCCGTGAAATCAATGCCATTTTTTGTCGAACAGGACCCGATAAAAATTATTTTGAGCCCATTTTTTAATCTTCTTTTCTCCTTAATTTTTCTGTGAGCCTCGTCACTCGAAGTTTCAAGTTAAACCTTTTTTTCCACATAACTCATTTTGTTGAATTTTCAAATCCGAAACATAAATTCGAAAAGTTCTGATATTGAGAAAAATCAGAAGGCAGAGCAGATTAAAAATTTGACGCGTCAATTTTCTGACGTTCGAGAATCAGTCAGAAATGAAAAACGTTTAAGTTTACTTTGAAGTTGACGCCTACACTTTGGAAAACAGAAAAAAAAAAGAAAAATGAAGATTTGAATCATTTCTTAAATAATGTCGCGTCCAGAGCCGTCTCCTGGAACTCGCAAAGACAGTACGGCGGCCTTGACGCGTCTAACTTCGGCAATTTTTTTCGATACTACTTGAATATGACTGTTAACTGCAGAAAACGAAGATTCAGAAGGCGAGAGCATTTTCGAAGAATGTTCCGAGTTCTCAGCAGAAACGCAACAAACCGGAAATTGTGTTCGTTTTGAAGACGAGATAAAAAGCTGAGTGAAAAAACATAATTCAGGCGCAAACTGTTAAAAGCAGGAGAACTCGTCTTAAGTCTGAACCAGAGTTATTCGTAACTATTCATTTTATCGATCTGTTCACTTCAATTCATTCAGATGGGAAGTTTTGTGTCACTTGGGCTCGGGTGGTTTCGGGGATGTTTACAAAGTAAAAAGAACGAATAATGATAAGGTTCTCTAGTTTCGTTTCTTGTTTTTTAACAATATCACAACCCAACTCGCATGTTTGAATTCTTTACGAGTATTTGACACAGGAGTTTGCCATGAAGACGGAGTTCAATGTGGGAAGCAGAACCGTGCGGCGGCTGAAAGTCGAGAAAAATCTGCTGCAGGAACTGATGACGCGCGAGAGTCGACGACATTTCGTGGAGTTTGTAGAATACGGCACGAATGTGGAGTACAAATGGTTCGTCATGACCCTGATCGGTCCTTCTCTGGACAGCGTCCGCCGAATCTTCACGCGCAACTATACCTGTTCTACTGTCTACAAGACTTCTATCCAGTTGGTTGAGGTGGGAGATGTTTTCCGAAAGCGCGAACTGGCGAGATGAAAATTATTCTACAGACATTTTCTCGCGATTTTCGTCGAGAAACTTTCCGAAAATTCTTAATAATTAGTCATTTGGACGAGTGAAAAACGGATAATTTTTAACAAAAAACAATTATCATAAAACTACACACTGTTCCATCGGCGCATCCATAAAAGCTAACAGAGGGCACTTTCTCATTCAATCGCGTTGCGCCGAAGATCAATCTACAACCTAAATAATTCAATTTTCTTATGTAAAATACTATTTATGTACATTAGGATACATTCAGACTTGCTGATTTCTAAGATTTTTCGATTAGATTTTAAAATTCGCAATTCACAGCTAGACAAGATGGCGTTTCCAACTCGAATCCGCTGCAGCGGATATGTTTTGCCCGGTCTTTGTTAGGAATAACCTAAACTCAGGCTCTCCAAGATCTGCACAATGTTGGATACCTTCACCGCGATATTAAACCGGCGAACGTCTGCATCGGATTGCCGCCAAATGACATTGTAATTTTTCTGCTCGACTTTGGCATTGCTCGAAAATACTTGAACAAAAAGGGAATACAGCGGGTTTTTCAGTTCTTTTCGCGTCTTTTTTCATTCTCGTGTTTTCAGCCAGCACGATCTCGCGTGAGATTTTTCGGGACTGCTCGGTTCTGCTCTAGGGCTTGTCATAACAATATTGATCAGTCTCCCAAAGACGACCTCGAAGGATGGCTCTACACGGTGGGTGCTCCGTAGATACTTTTTTATTTTGACAAGCCTCCTGTTTAAATCTTACTTTTTCAGGTGATGGACCTGTTTTGCGTATTGACGGGACTACCGTGGAAAATGAGCAAGCACCCAGAAATTCTCGCAAAAAAGAATGAATTGTTTGCCGATCAAAGTGCCGTCTGTATTTTCTCAAAATGACGATCGGCTCTTTCAGACTTGCCGGCTGCTGTCCCTTCCCACTTCAAAAGAATCATGCGCTATATGAATGCTCTGAAATATACGGACTGTGTCGATTATCAGTACGGCTTGACCGATTTTAGAAAATTTGTGCTTCAGCTACGTGATCAACGAACTGAAGACCGAAGCTACGGAACAAAAAATATCTCTCACAGACAAATTTGACTGGGAAGGAAAATCCGAAGAGCTGAAACGCAAGAAAACTCCGCCTGATGAAAATAAGGAAAAGTCCGTGGGGGTTGGTCTTTCGACAGTCCAACGAAATTCGCACTCAACTCTTTTCAGGATGAACCACAGAGCGGGCAATGCTCAGAAACGGAAGAAGAAGTAGAGTCATTTTTTTCTATTTTTGCAAGAACTTTTTTATTGAGGTGAAAGTGGTGGATAAAAAGAAAGACAAGAAGAAAGACGAGCAAAGCGGCGAGCTAGTCGAAAACGTCAAGCTACAAAAAAAGAAGTCGCCGACGCGGAAAACGGGCGAAAAAGGGAAGGAAAGTCGCTCTTCGGACAGGCCGAAAGAAGCTCCGAAGCGGCGGTGGTCCAAACTGACCACAAAAAAATCCGTCGAGCCTATGGCAAGCTCTGCTTCTCCCAGCACTCCCACTAAGAAGTGACTAAAGATAAAGGCAAGTCACTCATTTTCGCTTTTTATTGTTTTTTCATCATTTCAGCTCTTGATTCGAATTCCAACGTTTTGGATTACTGCACAGAAAACTTTGAAGCTTTGTTACCGTTTATTCAAACATTTTTTCATGCCGCTATACGTGTGAAAGAACCGTTTACCTTTGATCAAACTAAAAAATGTATTGTACGATATGAAGAAATAAACATCGGCATCAAGTTTTTTTGATGAAATCTATGAGTTGTGTAGAGAACCATTTGGGGTATTTGATGTGGAAGTCGTGTCCGCCTTGAGCGTGCACTTCAATTCTAGGAATCATCTTTTTCTCGGCTGAACTAGAAGTGAGACTGACCTAAGGTCTTTGAGAACAGGCTGAAAGTTGGTCCTGGGGTCTCCGCAGAACCTGTCCATTCCGCCGTTGATGACCAAAGAAGGGCACTTGATCGATGGCAATACGTAATCACATGGGAACCGGCCGCCACAGAATTGATAAACTCTGAGAGAAAGAGAGATTCTAAGGAGAACTATTGAGACTCACTGGTCGACGACGTTGCAAAGAGCCGCCCATTGGATTTTTAGATACTCGTTGCTGTAATGGGTCAGGTAAGGACTTCTCGCCTGGGGCAGCCAATGGTCCGTATCGCGCATTCCTGTCAGGAAAAGAAGCGAGTTATCGAAGAAAAGCTACTTCTTGCGGAAACGAAGATCAGTAAAATCATTTTTCCAATGTCTTCGAGACAACTATCAACTTGAACCAACACAGAATAATGTAATTTTGCAAAAAAAAAAATGAATGCAAGTCTGAACACTATACGTTCTATATGAAGCCAAAAACTTCCCCAGAAGCCTTTTTTTGATAGTATTAGACAACTCTTTCACACAACAAGTTTTGGGGTTTTCTTAGTCAATAATTATTGATTGCGCAACTTTACATTATTTGAGACAGAATAATGTGTACCGCTTAAAATGTTTATTTGCTCGTTTTATCTCGGGAACATCATCATTCAAAAACAGCTCTTCTTCTCGTAGCTTTTATAAGTTGCCTTTCGCTGCTATTAATATTACGAAAATCGTTAAGATCGCGGAATCGGGTTTATTTTTTTTGTTTCTTTTTCAAATGTTAGCAGTTTGATTCGTTTTTGAAAGTCAAATCTCGCGTAATGATCTTGATTATCGTCCGAATGGGGAAATTACAACTCAATTTTTGAAATTTTGTTTGATGCGACGCTGTGAAAGAGGTTCAAACTGTTGGCACTGCAACACAGGCATCGGGAGGGTAGCATAATGTGTCCACAAAGATACCTCTCAAAATGGATCGTGAAGACTCCATAATGTGTCCATCATGAGACCTCCGGCATACCTTTTAGCTCTATCTGAGACATCTCGAAGGTACTTGAGAGTCTCCCTCATGTCTATCTCATTTTGCTTGAAGTCCTATGAGGTTTACTCGAGGTAACATCGATAGACTTCAGCCCTGCGATATACCTCCGAGGGTATCGCGATACTCTTTCTCGGCTCGTTTATGAAACTATATATTCGAACCTTGAAAAGCCATTGCTCCCAGTTTGTTAACTTTCGAGCCGCCTGCAACAAGGACCATCCGATTGACCTGAAGTTTTCAACGTTTGAAAAAAAAAGCTTGTCTATTTCTTATGAAGTTTTGATAAGATGACCGCTTGTTTTCCTTGACCAGCGACATGAATCGCCGTCCGAGCTCCTTCCGACCAACCAACGATTGTGAATGGCTCAAATTGTAAAGTCTGAAAACGCCAAAAATTTCAAAGTTGGGCGAGGAAGACACTCATCAAAACTGTTTTTACTTTTAAAAAATTTGTAAGCAGCTTAGCCAAAGTTTCAGTTTTTTCGAAAAGGCAAAAATAATAATTTCCAATGTTTTTTGTAAGGAAATTTCAAAAGATCTGACTTTTTTTATAACAAAACTTTTTTCCGTTTCTTACGAGATTGGAACCTTCATAAGAAGAAGACAGTATTCGGCATCCATTTTGCAGCGGTTAACTTCCTGAATGCGATCAGGCGGCCTCGAGGTTCCGTAGCCAGGCGGATCGATACAAACAATCGTAACGAAATCAGGAGGAAAACACTTGAGCAAGGAAAGAGGCCAATCTTTTTTGTAGCATCCTGAAATGGCATGGTTTCTGAGTCTGACTGTCGAAAACCTACCGACCGCGCCACAAACGCAAAGTATGTAGTTTGGTCCGTCACCGTACCGGGAATAGCCAATGTTTCTATCCTTGATGAACTCATAACCTTCGAAAAGCTCAGGAGCCGTCATTAATAAAAATTCAAAAAAACAATCGCGAATGTGAAGGATCAAAACGTCGAGACTATGAGAAAATGTGGGGCGAGAAGCGTCGTCAACTTTCGCTGTGCAACTGGTTCTGTGTTTCCTGGATCCTAACTAACAAAACGCTTGTAAGAATTTTTTCAGAGTTGTGCTTCCGAGTCAAAGAGTAGAAGCAAAATAATTTTTAAAAACAGCGTGTTTCAAACGCCATTTTTATTCATGAGAAGCGATCAACTGCTTTCTTCGCCGTTTCTCTAATTTATCAATATCAAAATGAAATCAACGGTTAGTTTTTTTTGCAATATTAAAAATAACTTGATGCAGAATAAAAACGCCGGTGTTGCTGGAGGGAGAAATGATTCTGACTGAAACGCATTTGTATGGTTTTTCTTCAAAAAAACTTTTTACTAACACTTAGAACGCTCCAAATCTTCTATATATTGAGATATTGACTAGTAGTTTGCGAGCGAGTAAATAGATAGTTCATTAACTTGTGCGTAAAAAATCCGTTATCACCATTCGACAGCTTCTCAGAGAAACTTCATATTTTTCACAATGAAATTGAAGATGGGAAATAGTTTTAATGCTTGGAGCCGGTAGCTTCGGCCAGGTCTACAAAGTGAGGAAGGTTGTGCAGAATAAGCCGCAACCAGAGGTAAGAACCCAAAACTTCGTCTAAAACTTGGTACTCAGATGTATGCGATGAAAACAGAGAATAAAAAAGGAGATCCAAGCGGCATGCGGCTCAAAATTGAAGTTGGAAGCGAAATTAATATCCCAGGAACTTTTTTTCAGGTTCACGTCATGGAAAAATGTCATACGCTTCCAGAATCGAGACGGAAACATTTTGTTAAACTGTTCGAGAGAGGTTCAACCGAACATTTCAAGGCTAGTTATTTTTATTGCGGCGATATGACGAGATTATTATAGTGGATTGTGATGAACTTGGTGGGTCCTTCGCTCGACACGGTCCGACAGATTTTGAAGAAGAATTTCTCAGTGTCCACTGCCATGCAGTGTGGCTTGCAGACGCTCGAAGTAGCCGGCCACGGTATTTCTCAATGTCAGAAATTCAGGCTTTGTCGGACCTCCACTCGATCGGATTTTTGCACCGCGACATCAAACCAGCCAACTTCTGCATTGGTAGTGACGAAACGGAAGAAATCGTCTTCATGTTAGACTTTGGCATTGCAAGACGGTATCTCAATGAAGATGGCACTCTCAGGGTTACGCTTGAATTTGATTTTTGTTCTGAAATGAGCTTTTAGGCGTCCCGAACACATGGTAAGTTCAAGGGAACTCCACGGTTCTGTTCCAGAGCGGCGCATCTTCTTCTGGAACTGGGGAGGAAAGACGACGTCGAGAGCTGGCTTTTCATGGTTTGTTTTTGTTGAACACTATTGTCAAATTCCGTACAGTTTCAGCTTTTCGATTTTTATGACAATATTCAAGGTCTTCCATGGAAAGGAAAACAAAAAGAAATAGTTTTTGACCTCAAAAAACAAGTGTTCACGCCACTCTATTCTAGTAAGGGAAGTTGCAGATTGATTTAAAAAATGAGTTTATTTAGCTAGCGAGTTACATTCAACACAAATACCGAAACAAATGAGAAACATTGTGACATACATAAACAATCTCAAGTTCGAGTGCGAGCCGGACTACAAGTCGATGAAAAAAGAAACTTGGCTATTGATTTTTCTCTAGGTACATTAAAAACGTAATATCGATGGCAGCGACCGAAATGCGAGTTGATTTGAATGCTAAACTTGACTGGAAAGGTCAAGCTGAAACTTTGAACCATGTCAAAAAAACAGAAGAGGTATCTTCTGCCTACACAGTTTTTTTTTCATGCAATGATACTTTTTTTGGCTGGCAAGACTGGGTCGGAGGCTATTTCGGAAGTACATACGGAAAACTCCAACTTATGTCGGCCGAACACAGCGACGATAGAACGGAGGTTCCAGTCATGATGAATTGAAGAAGTTTATGCGGAAGATTCAGAGTCCTGGCGTCTACATCGGTCAGAATGAAGCTTGCAGAATCCACTCCTCGACAATAACTTGACCTCAAATTTTTCTTTTTCTCGCTATATGGGCCATTTAGCGAGAAAAATATGGCTTTGTAAATTGTCAAGAATATCTTGAATGAAAAACGATTTGAAAACCTGTTTATTATATCTTTTCAAATGTTTATTCACCCAATGTTGCGGACTATATCGCAGCGAGAGTAATGCTATAGTCTGTTCAGATTTTTAAAGTCAAGTGCAATGACGTCATTCAAAACACTCTGTGGATGGCTCGCTTTCTGATTGGTTTATCGCACCATTAGGGGCGGAGCTTGAGCGACGACTTGACATTCGAAATCTGAACAGACTATATACCCCGGGGGAGCGCGAGCAATATCGCTAGCCTCCCGCTGCGACCTCGCAAACGTCTTGCGCTATATCGCTCTCTGAAAAATGTTCCTTCAAAAAAAAAATTTTTTTTTTCTTTAACTTGATTCATTTCATCATAAAAGTCAAAAATAAAACAAAAAAATGTTTTTTAAATTCCAAATTTTTGAGAGCGAGCGATATGGCCCCGAGACTTTGACGAGATCGCAGCAAAGAAGCCTTGGCTATATCGCCTGCGGCCCACTGCGATATAGGTGGCATTTCCGACCCCAGGGACATTTTCATTTTTCTTTCCTGATTCAGGATGTCTGAGAAACCTCCTTAAGGACGTTTCTCACTTGTGATTACTAATTTTCTTCAAAAAAAAGTTTTCTTAAAAAAACTTCGTCGCTCATATGTGTCCTATTGCGCGCCGCAGCGTTGCGATTGGGCACTCCGCCCATTTTCCTGCGTCATTGATTCTTTTTTTTTTTTTGAAATCAGGGCTGTATCTAGTTTTTAATTTTCTTCAAACGCTTAAACTCGGGCAAAACTGAAAAGCTTTTCTCATAAAAAGGCCTTGTAATAGTAAAGATCTTTTTTTTACCTCGTTAAAAAAAATGTAGGCGCGTGAAAGTTGAGATCCCTTACCCGTTTTTTTTTCCAACTGGAGAAGGGCTCTTGTCTTGTGATAATATCATTGCTTGATCTGTTTCAATTTATAACTTTTACTTGACTAACTTCAGTTTTTTTTTTTGATGTCATCCTCTTCGGGAAACGGCGCATTCAAGTCTTTTTTCAAAAAGTCAGCACTTGCAGCGAAAGCAGATAAAGTCTGGAGCGAAAGTAAGGCTTTTTATATGTAACTTCTCTATTTTACTAACATGTACAGGTAAGCACGATTACTCAGCTGCCAATCCCGCTAACGCTCACAATACCCATCTTGAAAAAAAGTCCCTTGGAGAAGTTTTGGGAAAGTTGTCAGCCAAAAAGAAAGAAGAGGTCAGTCATAGAGTCAGTTTTTGTCATCCATTTGCTTTGCAGGATGAGATTGAAAGCAACTCAAACGTTAAATTTGTATTTGGATCAAAAATCAATGATCGTGTTGTTAAGGTTTGTTATTTTCTAAGCAGCAAATCTTCTCGTTGAATAAAGTTTAGAAGTGCAATTTGCATTATTGGCAAAAGTCAAATAGTATATTTTTTTGAGAACATGGGTGGTGTGCGAATTTCACTGCGAAGCTATTTACCAAAGCTAGTAAAGAAGCTTTGTTTCGGAGAACGAAAAGTTAGGCTAAACGATTGTTTTGTTGCATCAATTAAAAAAATATATATTAGATTGTATAGTTGTTTAGAAGTATCAGGATAAAAAAACTTTTTGATTTTTGTTTTCAGAAGGCGAACGAAGATTCCGCTAGTTTGGAAGAAGCTGGGAGTTCGCAGGATGGGGTAGATCTACCGCAGAAGTCGGCCGCAGAACTGTTCAAAACAGCGGCTTCTGCGCAGAAACCCGAAGAGGTAATAAATCTATTAAAGCATTTTTGTTTTGATGAATTTTGAAAATTGTGTAGCTCAGTTCATATTTTGAAGGATACCGGGTCTAACCAAATCAAATTCCGAGCGGAAGCCCAAGAAGCGGCTGAGCGGGCGAAAGAAGTTGAAAAGCAGCACGCGAGCACTTCAGTGGTTCCTCTGACGACCGGAGAGGAGGCCGACAAGAATATTTTCCAGGTCACACATTATCACGTTTCATTGAAAAGTTCACGTTTCCGTACTTCGCTAGTTTTTACCTTTGAAATGAGTTTTTCTAAAGTAAAAAAATATACGTGGAAAAAAATTTGAGACTGCGCTTCATTCAAAAACTTCTTTCACATCACCGAAAAAAATTATTAGAACGTTTAAAAAAACTAATTGTTTTTTTCAGTTTTTAGGAAGATACCGTCAATTCAAAAAAAGGAACGCCCTCATGTAAAAATTTTTTTGCTCTCTTGGGATATATTTATAAATTAAAAGGAGAAAGCGCTGTATTTAAATATCCACTAAATAAAAATTTCATTAAGACATAAAAAAAGTAAGATATTATGCTTTGATTAATTGAATGTATTTTTCCTAAACTACGTTTTGTAGAAAAGTCGACATTGTTTGTAAAAGGCTCACATAGTTTTAAAAATATCTATCCGTTTAATTTTTTTGGTGGGAAAATCAACTTGCGTTTTTTTTTCAAGCTCATTTGGTACTCGAACAAATTCCAACGATAAATTTTTCAGGCTTCATGTAAGCTGCATGCGTTCGACACGGAGCGAAGGCAATTTGTCGAAAAAGGCGTCTGCACGCTACGAATCAACGAACGAATGGAAAACGGCCAAGTTCACCATCGAATTGGTTTGGATCATTTTTTCTTCAAAAAAAAAATCGTGACTTTTTTTAGTTGCTCGAACTTCCGGCACCCTACGCGTCGTTATAAACTCAAAAATTTTCGCTGATATGCTCGTCGAGCGCGTTGATCGGAGGGTCAAGGTTGGAGACTTCTCAGTTTATTTTTTACTAACATTCAAGAGTACTCTTCTAAATTTTGAGAGAACATCATTTTGGAATTAGATGGAAGTTTTTTTCGAAGCTCAGGCTTCTAGTGTTAAATGGAAAAAAAATCAAATAAATTAAACTTTTCATTAATCTTTAACGTGATTGATTTCAGATATCTGCGATGGGTCCAGAAGCGACTGGCGTACAAATCTTCCTGCTGAAGTTCGGTTTCTCTGTCAGTTTTCAAGTGAATTTCCCATTTTTTGTGTTCTCTTTATTACAGAAAACTGACACAGGCGCTGAGACTGATCAATTCTATGCAATCTTGAGCGATATTTTGAAGTTGGAAAAAGGAGAACATTCGCGGAAAAGGAAGGTAGGTTTTCGATATACAGTACCGCTCAAAAGTATATTAAGTTTTGGTTTTTTGAGGATATTTCAGCGAGTACTTATCCGATTTATATATAACTTCTAGGGATAATGTAAAATGTACTTTGAAACATATAGGGTATACAAAGACATGTCCGCAATCACTGTGACGCGTTTGAGGCATTTTTTATTGAATTCAATTTTTTTTTTGTTTCTTATGCTTGTATTTTTATTCATTTTTATTAAATTTTTTTGAAGTAATAATGTTGCCATATGATTTTTTTCATGTTTTGAGACATGAGAAGAACCTCTGGAAAAAGGATTTGACTGATAACGACAAAAGAGCCATCGTTGTGGGTCGTCAGAATGGACTGACCATGATGACGTTGGCAGAAATGTTCGGCGTGACAGAGGCGTGCGTTTCTCAGTTCCTAAAGCGTTGGAAAGCTCAAGATGGCTCTACTAAGAGCCAACGCACTGGAAGACCACGTGTCACTTTTCGTAATGACGATAGAAACATTTTGAAGACGTCTAGAACCAATCCAAGACTCACTGCCCCTGCGATCAGACGGGAAGTTTTCTTGAATTCGCCATATCTGCCATCCGTCTCGACCGTGAAACGACTTCTGAATGCTGCTGGAATAATGGGAAGACGTGCAGTGAAAAAACCGCTGATTTCTGAAAAGAATCGAGGTGCCAGGGTGAAGTGGGCGAAGGAGCATCTCAACTGGACCCGTCAAGACTGGAACTAGATACTGTGGTCCGACGAAACGGTCCTCCACCATGTTTCACAGTGGGTAATTGGTATTTCGGATGATATCTGGACCCAATTGGTCTACGAACCCACTGAATTCCGTCACTTCCGAAGAGGAGGAACTTGCTTTCGTCGGACCACAGAATCTAGTTCCAGTCTTGACGGGTCCAGTTGAGATGCTCCTTCGCCCACTTCACCCTGGCACCTCGATTCTTTTCAGAAATCAGCGGTTTTTTCACTGCACGTCTTCCCATTATTCCAGCAGCATTCAGAAGTCGTTTCACGGTCGAGACGGATGGCAGATATGGCGAATTCAAGAAAACTTCCCGTCTGATCGCAAGGGCGGTGAGTCTTGGATTGGTTCTAGGCGTCTTCAAAATGTTTCTATCGTCATTAAGATCAGTGACACGTGGTCTTCCAGTGCGTTGGCTCTTAGTAGAGCCATCTTGAGCTTTCAAACGCTTTAGGAACTGAGAAATACACGCCTGTGTCACGCCGAACGTTCCTGCCAACGTCATCATGGTCAGTCCATTTTGACGACCCACAACGATGGCTCTTTTGTCGTTATCAGTCAAATCCTTTTTTCCAGAGGTTCTTCACATGTCTAAAAACATGAAAAAAGTCATATGGCAACACTATTACTTCAAAAAAATTTAAAAAAAATAAATAAAAATAAAAGCATAAAAAACAAAAAAAATTTAATTCAATAAAAAGGCCTAAAACGCGTCACAGTGATTGCGGACATGTCTTTGTATACCGTATATGTTTCAAAGTACATTTTACATTATCCCTAGAAGTTATATATAAATCGGATAAGTACTCGCTGAAATATCCTCAAAAAACCAAAACTTAATATACTTTTGAGCGGTGGTACTGTACGTATTTTAAAATTTCATACTCAGCTGCGGTCTTGATTTTTTGATTTTCTTTGTGGGCAAGTTTTTTATTTATTGGTTGAATCGGTATTGGCGATTTTAAAAGAGGGTTTTCGAGTTCACGATTTTTGATTTTCTTTCTTTCTAGATTTCACAACAGTAATGTGGGAGAATAAAATGCATTTATGAACAACAAATAAAGAAGAGAAAGCATTATATGTACTGAATTTATATTAAAAGAGCTGTTTATCAGGAGTTTTTTGAATTCAATTTATGCTCCTTCGAAAAATTCAAAGAAGTTCCTTTTTTTGTCATAATATTTTGATCTGTGCAGGCGGACTGCGATCTTAACGCCGAAAATGTGAAGTTGCGCGAGAAAGAGGAAGATGAAGAGGAAGGTTACAAGGAGGATGACGACTCCAAGACGGAAGAAACGGCGAAAAACGAGGAAGAGCCCGAAAATCTGCGAACCGATAAGTCCGTCGAAGATGCAGAGAAAGTCGCTCAAAGCGAGGCCGAGGATTCAGAGAAACTCGACGAAGGATTTGTTTTACTTGAGAAACCGGATGGAACACAGAGTTTTGAATCACAGGAACATGCTCAATAGTCGGTTTTTTTTTTCTGAATTATGTGATTTTGTTTTTTTAAATCGGTTTTCGTATTTTTTTATAGCAGTTTTGTTATCATTTCTTAGAACTTAAAACTTAAAAAGTCTTGCGATGTTTATTAGGAGAACATAAAAAAATTTTCACTAATTAAAGAAATGATGTATATGAATACCGAGTGACATAAAGTTGTTATTAGATTGATCATGGAGAAAAATTCAACCCTTCTTTGAATTTTTTCACCTGAACATTCAAATTTGCTAAGTTGTTAGTTTTAGTTTGCTTTATGAAGTGTTATTTATATTTATTGTTGAAGTTTAAAAGTTTTTCCACGAATATTTTGCTCCAAGTGTGTATGGTCGCCCAAATCTTTCTTTATTTCGATTTGAAAGCTTTTTTTCATGAAAAATCTTGAACTATGTGTTTCAACCCTGTTGTCGTAAAACTGCTTGTCCGATGTTTTTTTTTCTCTTTCTAAAACGGTTTTTACGCGTTTTCTTTTGTTCTTGCGAACTTCTTTTTTTGAAAAGTCTGTCTCTCGTCTAAAATCGGTTTCAATAAAACTCACATCAAAAATTAGCAAATGTTTACAAATCACAGTTTGAGAAGTCCGAAAATATAACTTCTATCTAGTCAGAGCAAACAATTGAGCAAAGTAGCGTGACGTTTATAGTATGAAATATTCGAGGAAAGTTAATTTCTTTTTAAAAAAAAAACATAAAACGTCCGCCGAATTTCATTGTTAAAACGATTCCGGTCATTGTGGTAAGTGCAGAATTCAGTCTCAAGAAGATAGTTCAGGAGAAGAAATAAAAGAGATGGTGTGATAGGCGTCTTTTTTATCGCTTGCCGGCGGTTCGTCGCTCTCATTGTGGTCGCATTGGCAATTTTTTTTTCAACTTTTTTGATGTTAATCGCGGTTTCCATTGCTTGATTATAAGTTATTTGTTCTCTAAAATCAATAACATGATGGTTACTTTTTGTTTTTAAGTTTTTCTATGAAAGTTTTAAAAATGTTTCTTGCGATCTTGAAGATTTATAAGAAAGAAAACTATGGCGATCCAGTCAGCAATAGAGTTAGTCTTACCAGAGTTTTCGGACCAAAGATTAGGAGACCTCAGCGGCATATAAATGGGCGTAACTTCCCTGTGGACTGATCGGAGCTCCAATGCCCATTCTTGGAGCACATCATTCCGCGTGCTCACCATTATCGCTTCGCCTGGTTATCGTTTCGCGTTTTTTTTGTGTCGCGACGTCTTATTCATCATTTGTCGCCTTTTTTCGTTATATTGCGTTGTCTGGATCTCCAGACGGGGACTTTTCAAAATATCACAACGTAACCGTTAGGTCATTTTCTATCGAAACTGTAAAAGTTGAAAATATGAACGGGGAAAAAATATAGAAACGTGAGAACTCATTGTCGAAAATTCTCTTGGCTTTTTTACAAAAAGGCGGCAGAAAACTCGCAGAGTAACTTGATGCTGGGATCCGAATAATCGCGCAATGAGAAAGTTTTCATTTTCACCAGATGTCGTCAGATACTTGTCGTACCAAAAAAATATTTTTTGAAGAGGTAAAAATGCTGCGAGCTTCGTTGCGTCGGCTAGCGATCACGCAGAAGACAGTCGCATCCGCATCGCGTTGCATACAGTACGACGCATTCGCCGACAGGCACATCGGTCCTAGTCGCGTCGAAACGCAGAAGATGCTCGACTTTCTCGGTTTCAAGGTCATTCAGTCCGATTTCCTCTTCCCAACTTTCTTTTGTAGGACCTCGATGAGCTCACAAACACAAATGTGCCTAACGTCATCAAAGTTGAGCAGGAGCTCGGTTAGCTTCCCGTCAGTAAAAATTAAAATGAAATTTAAAGATGTTCCGCAGCCGTTGGATGAGTTCAAGATGCTCAAGGAGCTCAAAAAAATAGCCAATGATAATAAAGTGAATTTGAAGTTTTTTTTGAGTGTTCTCTCTTTTTTCCTTTAGGTTTTCCGTTCATACATCGGCATGGGCTACTACGATACGATAGTGCCCTCGGTGATTCTTCGCAATATCACGCAGAACATTGGATGGTAGGCCTAGTTGATCCTGCATCTCATTGGCTCTTTGAAGGATCTCGCAGTACACTCCTTATCAAGCCGAAATCTCTCAGGGTCGGCTCGAGTCTCTACTCAACTTTCAGACATTGGTGAGTGTCCGAGCCTTTTCATAGAGGAACGACAACGACGTTTTGAGAACCATCCAAAAAAAAGAAGATGTAAGCTCATATCAAAAATGTGTTCCTCTGAGGTTTTTTTCGGCTCACTTCAATACAATCTCGAACTTGCGAAAAGTATTAGAATCGATTTTACACTTGCGTTAAAAAAAAAAACTTTAAAAAAGAACCCCGTTTGAAGATTGAGGCCATAGTTTTTTTGCAGTATCTTGCAAAAAGTGTCTTTTCTAAGTCCGGAATGTAGCGTTTTTTTGTTGCCCCAAAAATCAATGCCTTTCTTGAAACTTCTAATTTCTAAAAAAATAATTTATCCTTCTAAATTTTTTTTACTTTGGCGAAAAATTCAAAAAGAAAGAAAGCTATTCTGGGAAGATTCTGAACTCTCAGCGCGACTTCTGAAGGAGTCTTAGTTCATAAGAGATAGTTTCATGAGTTGATTTCGGACCTGTACTCGAAAAAAAAAGCCTAAAAAAGGCAATTTGCTATAAAAAAGGATCAGCTTAATCGGAAAGTTTGACTTAAGCGGAATTCTCTTCACAGATGCTCTCTGTGGTTCTTCAGCACCTATTTGAAAAAAGTTCAAGAAGTATATTCGGTAATCCTTGTCTCATTCAGAAGCTCTCGTGTGAGCTTAAGCCGTTACCTTGTTAACGAAGGGAAGCGTAGGTGCCAATAGGAAAGCGCATATAGATTATAAAGTTTGGTGTTCTTTATGTACCTCCGAAGTGGAAATGAGACGGATAAAAGGTGAGTTCAGATAGCGGACATGACAGGGCTTCCAAACACAAACGCTTCGCTTCTTGACGAAGGAACCGCCGCCGCCGAAGCCGTAGCCCTGGCGTCGCGAGCCACAAAAAGAAACAAGGTTTGATCGAATCCTTATTTTTTTCCTCGATGATTTTTTTTGGGTTCTACTCGATCCTTTCCTTCACCCACAAAACCTCGACGTCATCAAGACTCGCAGCGGGTTGTATTTTCTTTTTTAATGAATGTTATTCATAATTGTTTCAGACCTCTTGGAATCTCACTCGGATCGATTTCACTAGACAACATTCAACTAGACAAAGTGATTGTCGCAATGAAGTTTTCGAACTGTTTCCATAATTTGAGGACGTGGCGGCGGTCGTTGTTCAGTATCCGAACACGGAAGGACTCGTGCAGAACTTGGAGGAAATCATAGCCAAGGCTCACGAGAACAAAGTTTTTCCATGGTCAGACTATCTCAGGACAAAGTCTTTCAGTCCCTCGTGATCATGGTCTGCGACCTGCTGGCCTTGACAATTCTCCGTTCTCCAGGAGACCTCGGTGCGGACATCGCCGTCGGCTCCGCTCAAAGGCAAGTCCACTTCGGATGAAGAAACTGGATTTCTTGAAGGTTTGGCGTTCCATTGGGTTACGGTGGTCCGCACGCCGGGTTCATGGCCGTCGCGAAAGTCGACAGCAAGAACTCGCTGAGTCGCATCATGCCTGGTCGCATCATCGGCGTCACCAAGTAAGAGCTTCTGAAAACTTTCATATAACTTTTAAGCCAAGTGAGGGCGCTTAGTTATCCGTTTTGAGTTACAAAAGAAAAAAAATATGATATATGAAATTAAAGTTAGAAGGCTTGAAAAAGATTTCAGTGAAGAAAGAAAGAGGAAACTTCTACTTGGAAGTACTAATAATGCATAGAAGTTTTTTTCAAACGCTTTTTACCTTTATGAAGCTATCACGACTCCCCATCACGACCTATTTTCCGATTTAGTATGTCGTTATAACATTAGCTGAAACCCACAGGACCTTGCCTTCTAGTCATACCGAAATTTTCACGAATGCGGTCAGGTGTTCTGTACGTATCTTTTGGAGTTCAGATGGTTATGCTCATTATGCTATCAATTTTTTCCTTGTTATTCGAGACATGATCAAAAGCTACCAACAGGGACGCCGACGGCAACCGAGCGCTGCGGTTGGCTCTTCAGACCCGCGAACAGCACATCCGTCGCGACAAGGCCACCAGCAACATCTGCACTGCACAGGTCTCTTTTTCGAACTGAATTTCTGTGGAAACTCCATTGAAACGTTCAATTCTACCCATGTCTTCAGTTTTGCTATCCCGGAAGGAACAATATTGAAAAGCAATCTCTAAGTTTTTTTTAAAGATTCCGGTAAGTCGTTCAATTTTTTCCCGTTTCCATAAAAAAATCTTCTAGACTATTTCACAAGAAATGATTACCAAAAAAATCGAACCTTGAGGGTGGGAAACGAGAAAGCCAAATTTCAAGTATTTTGCTAAATAAAAGTATTCAAGGCCCTGCTTGCCAATATGTCGGCGATGTACGCCGTCTACCACGGTCCCAAACGACTGACCGAAATCGCGCGAGGCGTTCACAAGTCGGCGGCTTACCTTGCCGCACGTGAGCTGCCATTTTAAGACGTTTGTATCGAATAGGTTTGGCCTCTTCAGAACTGAAATTGGGCGGCCACGACATCGCACATCGCGAATTCTTCGACACACTCAAAGTTCGTGTCAAAGGCGACGTCGACGCCATCAAGCAGCGTGCCCAGGAGAAAAAAATCAACTTCAGGTTTACGCTTTTCAGTTTGAGCGTCCTCTTAATTCGGTTGTTTAGGTACTTTACCGATGGCGATATTGGTGTTTCTTTGGACGAAACAACCAAATCGGAAGATCTCATGGATATCATTTATGTTTTCAACGGGACAACTGACATTGAAGTGGTACGGTTCTTGAGATCAGAGACTTTGAAAAAAAAATCGTGCAGTTTTTTTTTGCAAAGCGAATTCGTTATAAATACTGAGTAGCTTTTTCTCAGTTGCTTTATCTACAAAAGAAATGAATGATCATTCAATTCAATTTTGAACATTGAGAAAAACATCAAGCCAAATTAAAAATTATGAAAGGAGAGTATCTCTTCAAAGTTCGACATGGAGTGTCGAAAAGGTAATTTGGCCTCACAAGGGAGGTCAATTCAATTTTCGGTTGGGCCTTTCTTGAAAATTGGCCATAACGCTCTTTGATATACCAGAAAAGGATTCTCGAAGTTTCAACCTGTACGACTTTCTAGTTTTTGAGAAATGACACCTCAGAGAATTTCAGGGTGTTTATGGCACTTAACAAAAAAACATTTTGTCCAGTTTTCGAGAAATAGGTTTCATGAAGAGCAAACTAATATAGTTTTAGCCCGTTTTTTGATTTAAAAATTAAATTATAACGAATATGATGTTGTTTCGATTCAGACTAACCTGCGGAAAGAGAGGTGGGAGATCGCGAGTCCGTTGATCGGCAATTCGATCCACGCTCGGTCTTCTCTCTTCCTGCGCCACCCCGTCTTCAACACTTACCACAGTGAGCAGCAACTCGTCCGGTCAGAATTTCATTCGGAAGTCCAATCAAAACACCATCATGTTCAGCTACATAAAACGCCTGGAAAACAAAGACACCTCCTTGGTCCACTCGATGATTCCCCTCGGCTCCTGTACCATGAAGCTTAACGCAAGCGCGGAGCTTATTGTATCTGTGAATCTAGAATCAAAGAGAAATCGAGTTTTTAAGCCTATAACGTGGCCCGAGTTTGCTGGAATTCATCCGTTTGCGCCTATCGAGCAGGCTAAAGGCTATCAGAAGATCTTCAAGGATCTTGAGCGATGGTTGTGCGAAATCACTGGTTACGACAACTTCAGGTGTTCTTTGTGGTAGAACGAGTGATAAAAAGTTTTTTCAGCCTGCAGCCCAACTCTGGGGCTAATGGTGAATACGCTGGGCTTCTCGCTATAAGAAATTACCTGCTTCACAAAGGCGAAGAGCAGCGAAATGTGAGTGGCTCTGTTCGACAGCTTCTGATTACTTTCTAGATTTGTTTGATCCCGACCTCGGCCCACGGCACGAATCCGGCCTCCGCCCAGATGGCCAACATGAAAGTCGTCGTCGTCGATTCGGACCAACACGGCAACATAAACTACAGAGACTTGGCGGCCAAGGCAACTCTCTCAGGATCAAAATTTTATCTCTTGTAAATTCAGGCCGAGAAATACTCGAACGAACTTGCTGCCATAATGGTGACCTACCCGTCCACTCACGGCGTTTTCGAATCGTCCATCAAAGACGTATGCAGCAAGGTGAGTTTCGAACTTCTCCAAGACGTCGACGTCATCTGACTCAGGTGCACGAACACGGCGGCCAGGTGTATCTCGATGGAGCGAATATGAACGCCCAGGTCGGCCTGTGTCGTCCTGGAGACTACGGTAGCGACGTTTCACATCTCAACCTTCACAAAACATTCTGCATTCCGCATGGCGGTGGAGGACCTGGAGTTGGACCCATTGGAGTGTAAGTCAAAAAAATTCTGTCGCGGAAGTCCGAACCGGGAAATAAATATTAATGAGAAAGTCTAAATTGAATATTTTGTTTTTGTCGAAAAAAATATTTTTTTGAAAAAAATCCAACTAAATTTTTGGGCTTACTTTCATCATTTCTTCGCCTCGTTCGTTTCACAATTTTTTTCAGGCGAAAGCACTGCTTTCTACCTCTTAACCGCTTTTCCGTAAAAATAATTTTTTTCTTTAATTCAAAGTTTATTCAGAAAGAAACACTTGGCGCCTTTCCTGCCTGGCCATCCAGTCATTCCTGTCGATGGTCGTACTAGCGGCTCTGTCGCTGCTGCTCCTTGGGGTTCTTCCAGGTCCAAGTCTATTCTATTTTGAAAAAAAACCGTTATTGTACGGAGCATCACTATTATTCCCAACGTCCGTTAGAGTTTTTTAGAGAAGAAACTATTTTTTTCAGCATTCTTCCCATCACTTGGGCTTACATACGGATGATGGGCGGCAAAGGCCTGAAAGAAGCTTCTCAAATGGCTATCCTCAACGCCAACTACATGGCCAAGCGACTCGAGGGCGAGTACCGCATCGTTTACAAAGGTTTCTTTCGAAACCTAATTCACCAAAGAAAAATATTCTTCCTCAGACGAACAAGGTCTGGTCGCACACGAATTCATCGTAGACTGCAAGCCGTTCAAGCAGTTCGGAGTGGAAGTCGTCGACATCGCCAAGCGCCTCATGGACTATGGGTAGGACAGAAAAGATTTTTCGGAGTTATATTTCTTTATTCTTTTTTTTCCAGTTTCCACTCCCCAACGATGTCTTGGCCTGTGCACGACTGTTTGATGATTGAGCCAACGGAGTCAGGTGATTGAATCTGTGAGAATGTGGAAGATTCTACTAGAAAAAAGCCAGGAAGAGCCTTTTGAGGCCAAAAATAAAACTTACTCTATTTCTTATTCGAAAGGTTATTTCCTTTTTAAAAAAAAGTACGTTTTTAAAAGAAAATGCGTTTTGAACTGATTGAATTCTGAAATGATTTACCTCTGTATGAAGCTACGTAAACACCATTTTGAATCAAAACCTTCAGAAGACAAAGGGGAAATGGACCGTTTGGTGGACTCTCTGCTGGCAATTCGAGAAGAAATCCGGTTAATCGAGACCGGCGTGCTGGATAAAAAACTCAACCCCCTGAAGGTTGGTATTTGAAGTTCTGGGAAGCACCGAACTCCTTAATCATTTCAAAACTGAGGTCATTTCCGCAGATGGCTCCACACACTTTGGAGAAGGTCGTATCGGACAAGTGGAACCTACCGTATCCACGCGAGTTGGCCGCTTTCCCGAAGCCGTGGTGTATACACAAGTCTTGGCCTACCGTAGGTCGTGTCGATGACCAATACGGCGACCGTAACCTTGTCTGCACCTGCCCGCCCATTGAGAGCTACCAATAATTGCTTGCTGGAGTCCGCAAACCATCTATCTATTGTGCCTTACAGTTATTATCAATCGAAATATCTTCCAAATGGTTTCCCTCTTCGGCTTGGAATTCGGGTTGAGCCCACTCGAGACAACGGTTTTCTTGTCCAGAGGAGCTCTAGTGATTGTGATAAAAACGTTCTTCGCTTGTCTGTTTTGGGACACGAGTGCTCGAGAAGCAGCGAGTGATACAAAAAAGCCCACGAAACAAGAGGCTCGTTTGCGCAGTTTTTCGCCCTGCGGAAGCTTCTTCGCTCTTTTCCAGATATGATTTGACCGTTTCTATTCGATATTTCTTTGAAAGCTTTTGTTTTTAAAATAGGCGACTTATAAGCTCGATGTTCTGAGTATTACAATTTTCTTTGAGAGTGGTTCCGTTCTCAAAAAGATGCAGGTTCGAGCCTTTTTAAACAATAATAATTTTTGACAGATCAGTGAACCCCAACGACTTCGCAAAACCTTTGACTCTTTGTTTAACATGTAAAAGATTTTCCGTGTCGATCCCCAAAAATTCATCATTAAAAAATAGAAGCCTATTCTGAAAGTAGATTGCTAACCACATTCTTTTGGTTCTTGGTAACTTCTACTTCAAGTGATTCAAATCAGAAAAAGTTAACTTATTGTGCTGAATTCCTGCTTGTTGGAGAAAATATCTTTGCGGCTTCGATAGATTCGGACATATCGCCGCCAATCGCACCAGCGGATCCATAGCGGGGCGTGGATAAGCTCTTGAACTGGCGCTCGGTAGAAATTCCAAGGGGAAAGAGATTTAAGAAACAGCTGGTGGCCTCGGAGGGCTTTGTGAGTGTTCCTGTCGGCTCATAACCGACGCTCACAGTCGCTCTCCAAGGTGTAACAATCCCACACACACATACACACACACATTGACCACCGGCAGCTCACCGATCCCTCTTTTCCGGATCCACTCACCATTATTTTCCTTGCCCTCCTGTGGATCAACTTCTTGACGCCAGTTTTGTCTTGACAAAAGCGTTATCATCTTAAAATTTCTAGTCTTTCATGAAATCTCCGTCCTACAGTACCCTTCGGGAAGACTACTACTCCTACAACGCTCATCCGAAACTTTTTTTTCCAACGGACTCCGAAATCACCCACTCGATGAACTTTTTTTTTCAATTTTGAACTAAAGCAATTTTATATGAATTCTTGGAAAAAAGCTGAAAGCTCTCTCTTTTTCTTTTTCTCTCAATGTATCAATTTTTTATCTAATTTCGTATTTTTTTCTTAAAAGTAAAAAAATGCGAACATCCGTATTGAAATCTTCAATTGCGAAACATTGAACGGCTTTAAACTTAACGAACGCCATATTTTTTAAAATTTTACAAAAAGAATTTGATGAGTAAAAAGAACTTCAAATTTATCTTTGTTTGCTCTCAAAGTTCAAGTTATGAATCTCGGAGCTGGTAGCGACTATTCGAAAAAAAAATCCCGTGACCGAAGGGCAAAAACCTACTCAATTAATCACAATTGCGGCCAAAGGAGCTCCGAACTGCGACAAAAAGCCCACAGCTGTTGGTGAGTCAGTTTCGCTGCAACAACTCGAGAGATCTTGTGAGTAAACATGCCGATCTCCAGGCTTGCGAAACGAAAGTAAAGGGACAAACTTTTTTTCATTATCTTCCGGCGTTTCTTCGAGGTACGTGGCCTAGAAACCGCCTGATCTACTCCTATAATTTCCTTCACACGGTTTATCCTTCTTCATTTCTTCTTTTATTTATTTTCTTTGAGCTTCTGATGGCTTCGGATGCGTTACGGAAATTTTCCAACTCAATTTTCAATAGAAAGTCATGAAATAGGCTTCAGAATGGCGACGCCAGAACTGGCAGCCAAACTAGCGCGTCGTCTGGAAGCGACAAACGAGCCAGAAGAACCTAAACCGGCAACAGCTCCACCTCCTCCAGCTCCTCAAATCCCGAAAAAGGTAGAAGCTGAATCTTTCATCTGTTCTTCCTCATGTCGGAGAGCTTTTAGGTGATTGAAAATCCGTACGTGGCTTCCTCGGACGTCAGCATCGACGAGTTGATTCTGAACGCCTTGAACGAGAAAGAGCGAAAAATTGAAGAAAATAACAACAATGTGCGTGGAAATTTATTGATATTCATTTTAATCAAAAATTTTTCGGAGGATTTTGAAGAATCGTCTTCCCTAATTCAAGTATGAAAGTTCTATCCTGAAGATTATTATTGAAAAGTTAGAGCTCTGTTTTTTTTTTTCTATATTCATCTGTTTTTTTCCATCTATTATTTATTTAAGAGCAGTAATAGTTACACTATTTGAATGGTCTCGTGTGTTGATCATCACACTATGATTAAATTTCGACAAAATCACAATTTTTTTCGCTTTTTGCAATTTGTTTCCAAGATTTACAAAGACTCTGTGTTAAACCATATATACTTTTTTGTTCATTAGGCCATGTTCAAATTGGTTTCGGGAAATTCACGATAGCGGTCAGAGAAAAAAAAAGATAATTGAACTCGATAGAGTCAGAGAAAAATTTGCATTTCGCGGAAATTCCTTTGAACACGGCATCATCTTTAACTTTTGGGTGAGTGTACATAAGTATATTATTGTGATCATGCCTTAACTAGTTTTCTTGAAAAATGATACTACATTAAAAATATAATGGAAAAGGGTAAAACATTTTTTTAATTTCATTTGAGTTATTTTTTTATAAGGTGTACAGTAATATCGACTCCTGTCTTAATAATGATTTAGATTTTTAGCTTCACGCATTGTCCGTCAACACTCAGCCTGGTACATCCTCCAGTACTTGCACGAGTCCTGACCCACGCAGTCCGCCACCGAAAACCACCATCCGAGAGCTTCTCGAGAAGGAATACGCCAACAGTCCGGTGATTGCGACCAACAACGTCGTGAGCAAAACGCCGGTAGTAGTAGTTGGCCAGAAAACGACGCCTACCGTCCGGAAACAGCCGAGTCCCGAGTTCGGCTCAAGCGAGCTCGAGAGGAAACTTGCGGCCCAACGACAGAGAAAAACCTATAACCAGAACTCGTCTAATCTGGTCTACTCGAGTGATGATCTGGCTAAAGAAAAAAGTTGCGAAGGAAAGGAAGCGCCTTCTCAATTTCTTCCAGAGCCCATATCTGTCAATGAGAAAGTTGCTTCTCCCGTGGAAAGAAAAGCGCTGACGCCACCGCCAAAGCCACATCGAGATGTGACGGCAATTCAAGCAGCACCAATAGCGACGCGGTCGCAGGACTCGATAGACGCCGAGGAAAGAGCAGCGGCCGAAATCGAAGAGCAAAAAGATTTTGAGAACTTGGAACACGAGGTCGAAGCCGAACCCAGCGAGGTGAACTATTCGGCTTGAATATTTTCATCTTTTTCCTTGCAGGTAACAAACGAAGAGCCATCACCCAATGATAAATCTTCGTCGCCTCAAGCCATTGACTCGATTTTGCCACCACCGAGCGCTTTGATCCAAGATGCTCCTCCCACACTTCCAAACCCGCCTCCACCGGAAGAACTTCCATGTCCTCCTCCAGCTCCACCCAAACCGACTTCAGCGCCTGGAACGCCACTTTCAAAAAGAAGGATTCCATGTTTGGCGACACCAACTCCCTTTGTTCCTACACCGGAGCTGGTGGAGATGATCCGTCGCGAAGAAAGGTTAGACCTTGTAAATCTGACCTCTTTAGTAGTTTGCCTGACTACAACAGAGTTCAGCTGAACATTTAAAGTCATATTTTCTAACTTTCTAGCCGGAAAGCTTAAATTTGAAGAAATCTCTAAATTATACTTCAAATCACAGTAGTTATTTCAGCTTCGACTTTATTAAACGTATTCAAGTGTAAATAAATAACTTTCAAAAAGCTAGAAGGTACTGATCGTTTTTAGAATCTTATTCAAAAGCTCTTCTCTCTGAAAAAATCCATCGACTTTTTTTTCCTCCAGCCGTTTCCACAGATCAGCTGTTAGAATTATTTGATTGTTTTGATGTTTAATAATTTGTGTTTTTCGGGCAGGAATGGCGAATGAACATTTGAAATGAAACTGAATAAATTAACTTAATTTTGAAGAACATAACATTTTTTTTCAGAACGCTACTTTGATAGTTTTCAAGTCTAACTTATTATTCTGCAGGATCTGTAGTCCTCCGCCACCTCCTAAACCGAAGTCGACAAGCCGACCTCAATCTCCAATCACTCCGAAGGTTTTTTCCCAAAAAATTCTTATTTAGTGCATCGATCATTCTTGAATCATCGAAACATCAAAGAATATAAACAATCGAATTTCATCAATAGAATCCATTAAAACTGTGGGAAGGCGTTTCGAAATTTGTTCGTTTATAAGACCTTGTTTTCAGAAAGTGGTGAGCCCTCTCGGACTGATGTGCGACCCAAATCTTTCCCTTGAAAAGCCTTTGCCTCCAGTTTCTTCTCCATCTCTTTCTAAAGTAAGTCTTCAATCCACTTTTTTTTCAGAAAACTCCAATTAATTAACTTGATAATGAAAAAAGTATTCAACTTGAATTTTCAGAAAGTAAACGAAGAAGAAGAACTGGCAGCGCTGTTGGAACGACGTGCCAAAATTTTGGATGGTGCGTTTTTGAAATTTCCTTTTTTTGATTAAAAGATCCCAGATAATTGTAAATTGATGATTTTCCTATTGGCGATCAGATGACCGGTCTAACAGGGCCGGAATTGTTTATCTAACGCCTTGCTTTTTCCAGCTGTCACCCCATTTCTTTTCTCTCCAATCTCAGATCACTGGATATCCCATTCTCTGTAGTTCGCTTTCTTGTTGCACATTTTTGAAAACTCTAAATGCGTATCAAAGGTTAGTTTTATCAAAACTTCTTCCCTTCGAAAAATTCGCAAACCACGATTTTTATCTGTAGTACAAAGAGATCTGTGGAAATTTTATTTTTTTAAATAAAAAAAGAGAAAAAAAGAAATCGAAATCGATTATTTTGCTGTCAACTTCATGTTGATTTTTTCGAAAGTCACACTTTCTGAAAAACGGATGCCTGATCACTCCGAAAACCTCCATAAACGTGACTAACGTGTCTGCGATGAGTCATCCGTCGGTGCCCTCTCAACATTGCACCTCCTCTAGCGTCATTTATATTGTGGGCCATTTTGACCGCTGTCTTTTCCCGCCAAAAAACCAAAAACACATCTCGCGTCAATAGTTTCTTTTTCTCCCACCTTGCCACGCGAAATGGCTGACGAGAACGGTGCCAGCTTCCCGTTTACAGACGGTAATTTTCCAAGCTTCTCACATTCATCAGATCTGTCAGAAACAGAGATATCAGAAAATTTACTTTATATTTATCCAAAAAATCCTTCCTATAAAAATGAACTGAAATCATTAGGTCTTTTCTAAAAATGTTGTTTTCAGGAGAATGTGTGCCACAAAAAATGAACCCGAAACTGTCGTTTTACGCACAGTTTCCGGAATTCTCGCGCAAGCAGATCAAGTTCTTCACAGAAACCTTCAAAAAGTCGTTATTTTATTAATTATCCTCTCCATTTTTCAACTTCAGATTCGATGAGGACAATGACGATTTTATTGATTTCATGGAGCTGAAGCGTATGATGGAGAAGCTGGGAGAAGCCCAAACACACATCGCACTCAAAGAACTGATCAAAAAGGTGAATGTGGTGCACCATACAGTGAAAGAACGTCCGCATTTTACAGGTAGACGAGGACCAAGACGGCAAAGTTTCGCAGCGAGAGTTTCTTCTCATCTTCCGCCTGGCCGCCAGAGGCGAGCTCTCATGTTCCGAGGTTCATTTTTTTTGATTGAATATAGTCTGTTCAGATTTCAAATGTCAAGTCCTCGTTCAAGCTCCGCCCCTAATGGTGCGATAAACCAATAAGAGAGCGAGCCATCCATAGATTGTTTTTGAATGACGTCATTGCACTTGACATTCAAAATCTGAACAAACTATATCTAAAAAAAAGCTTTGCGACCTGTGATAAGAAGCAAAACTGCAACTTTTGAGGTGTTCCAAACGCTGGCCGAAAGTGTCGACGTAACGAAGGAAGGAGTCCTGGGTGCCGCCAACTTCTTCCAAGCCAAGGTTTGAATGAAGTTTTCACCAGTTCAGTTCTTATCATTTCAACGATATCAGATAGAGGAACAAACGAAGAAGTCGCGATTCGAAGAAGAGATGCTCGAGGAGCAGGAGGAGCGGAAGCGGATTGAGGCCGAGAAGAAGGAACGAAGGGAGAAATTCCTAGCCAACAAGTCCATTTTTCACTGATTTCACTGTCACGTCGCACTCCATTGTAAAAAGGATTGAATCAATTGACCTTTCCTAATTTCCAATCTGATTCAAGTCTTCATCTGTCACTGGTTCTCCTAAAACAATATTAAAATATACTATATGATTGAATTTTTTTGTTTTTTTGTTTTTTTGTTTTTCAAATTTTACTCCATTAATTGGTGCTCAAAGCCACAATAAACTCTGCTTATAATAATGAATTTGAAATAAGCAAAGCTCCACGGATTTTTAGAGATTTTTTTTTAGAGACTATAGTCTGTTAAGATTTCGCAGCGTTCCTAAAGGGAACAGCGCAGTGGATAAAAATAAGGTAGAAAGTACCGCGCCACGATTGCAGATAACTGGGCGTGGTTTAGTTTTGTATTGGAAATTCAAAACCCTTTCTTTTAAAGTATTAGTTTCTGTGTTTTATTTTTGTGTTCTCGCATGCTGAGCAGGGTAACCCCGCCGTGCTAACACGGGGTCTCCGCGGGTGCCCCCGTATTAAACCCGTATAAGCCCAGCTGATAGAACTTTTGGCACTTTTTAGCCCAACTGAGACCCCGCTTTAGCTCAGCTGGGTTACCTATTTTTCTAACACCCGTTGTTCCCCCGTTTTAGCCCAACTGAGACTAAAATAACCTCAGAAACACGGGTTTAATACGGGTACACCCGTTGAGACACCTGCTCAGCATGCGAGTTCATATTGTTCCCCAGCTTTGTCTTCATATAAATTGGACTTCGCGTTAAATCGCAAACCTCTACTCCCTGACATCATCCATATGACATCATCTTCATTTGCAAAATTTGCACACGCAGCCATATCATTTTATTCATTTTTTACGTTCCAATTTATAAATTAGATTTGACGTGAAAACTTTTCCGGTTACATGAGAAACAGAAAGATATCACACTTGAGAATCCCCTTTTGATTGGAAACTTTTTTTTATTCTTCGGTTTTCTTACTTTTTTTTAGAAACCTTCTAAAGGTTTGGAATAATCCGAGGCGTCGAGGCCCACGCTTACGCACAGTATGCTCCTTTAATTTTTTTTTTTTCTTTTTTCCTTGGGAAATACATTTCAAAGATTCTTTTCGCTACGCGTACGTGAATAAAATGAATATATAGCCAAATATTTCGATTACGCTTTTTCTTGTGTTACGAATGATGTCATGAAACGACGTGAGGGAGTAGCGGTTTGCGATTTAACGAAAACTATAAATTGGTTGTATTGCCGATTCACGGCTAACTTGGGACGCTGAGGGGGCGTGGCGTGTCTGCGCTCTCCACCAAACAGGCACCATCTCTTTTATTATCGTGTCGCCATGATATGTATGCAATAAAGTGGAAAATAATTTACCTGAAAAAAGATCCTGAAACTCGCTATTAGATTTTTTCTTTCACTGGTTTCGACTTGTTTTAATGCTGCGCGTTGAAAAATTTTTTGCACGAGCCGAATTTGAAGGGAAACGCGGCATTTCCAAAACGTGATTGATCGGCCCCGCCCCTTCGACGAAAAAATAATTTGAAAAGAAAAGTTTATTCTAAATTTTTAAAAAAGCCTCCTAAAACGCGGAGTCATCCATTGACGCCATTGGAACCCGCTACGTTTCGGCTCGAGCCGATGAATTAGAAAAACTTTTTCGTCGCCTTGCGCGTCAAATCAGCTTTGAACACGCATAATGTTTAATGAGAAGATTCGCATACGGAAGAAAAAATTTCAAAAGAACGTGAAATAATAATTGAACCGTGTTGTGGGAAAATCGTGGAAAATCGTTTTCCACTATTGAATACGGCTCCTGGCGCACAAAGCAAACTTTAAATGAAATTTTTGATGTAATCAGCTAAAAATGCTCATTTTGGAAAAAAAAACATTTCAGATCCCAACGGAAGATGGATCCTAGACGAAGATTGCGAATTTTCGAATTTTTCATTGCCGTGCTTGAAAAGCACGATAAGAAATGGGAAAGAAAAAGGAAGCCCGATAGCTAGAGGTCGTGGGCTCCACCGCGACTCGTTGGCTTCTGCTGGGTTTGTCCAGAACGTTGCTGCAATGCAGGTGGCAGAACGTTTGTTCCATCAACAACCACTTTTTCAGGAATCAGGTCGATTGGTTTCGACGAGCCTTTCAGCGCCTCGCCAGCCATGATGCGCATTTGGATGGTGAACTCGACCTGTAAGACTCCATTCAAAACGTATTTTTTTCAATGATAGAACTTCTTGCGATTTAGACAACTAGAAACGCAAAAAAAACTGTATAAGGTTTGGTTCTCAACTCAGAAAACATTTTTCATGGGTTATTTTTTTCAAAATTTCTCAGTTTACCTTGTTTTTTCCGTCGGGCGTTGTTCCGTGAATGACAACAGTGCTACCAGGTTTAGGGCGATTTCTGGAAGAAAAATTGATATGATAAATTTCCTTTGAAAACTACTCGACGAGAAACTCCTGCGGCACCGATTGCAGTTGCGGATTCCTATTGGATAAGTCCTAAAAGGATTTTATATTAATCAATATCAAAACGTACGGATACGCGGCTAGCATGGTTGATTTCCGTTTGCCTGGAAAGAAAAAGCTATAATTGTCTTCGTAAAGAGGTGATCCCACCGTTTAGGTGCGTGCAGGCCGGCTCTCTGCGCAGCACGAGCACGTCTGAAACGAGATATTGTATTTTGAAACAAAGAATGGATACTGACGCCAAATCATAAACAAGGACATCTTCTTGAGCGATTTGTCGACCTTGAGGCTCTGGAAACTGTGGCCGAAGGGACTGACCGACGCCTGGGAAACGACGATCGACTTGCTTAGTGTTCAGCGAAGTGTTGCGGTTCACAAAAAGACTGTTCATGGCTCGGTTATATTCCGGGGTGTTTCCAGGAGGACGTGAAGCGTCATTTCTCGCGGGATTCGAAGGATTCGTGAAAGTCGTCAATGGTTCATTTGCTCCAATCGCGGATTTGTTGTTCAACCCCAGAGAAGCATCGGGAATCGGAGTCGTGCCACGCTTTTGAGAACATTTTGAGCGCGCGGAAAGGTCGCCTAGCGCAGTCTTCGGCGTCACTGGTTTCAGACCAGAGCGTTGTGAGTTTCGAAGAGCTTTTGTTCCTCGTGCAGACGTTTCGCCTGTATTTAGGCTTTGCTGAGAGCCTTTGGCAGCGTTTTTCGGTAGAAGAAGGGGCAGGCCTGTTTTTGTTTTGAAGCTTTTTGCCGAGGCTCCTGAACTTCCCCCAAAAGAAGAGCCGAAGCTACGCGCCGTGTCGACACTCGAGTTCTTGGAAGACTCAGTTCCTTTCTCAATCTTTCTAAGATGACTTTTTTTCTGAAACATAATTTTTCGCATTTTTTCAATCGGAATCGACCAACCTGTGCAGTGCGAGGTTTTCGGGACGACTTCATTGATTTTCGCGACTTTTGAGATTTTTCTGATATCTGCGATTTGTCCGTTTTCTTTATAGCTTGTTTGGATTTCTCCTGGCCGCTCTCTTCGGTCTTATTTCGAGTAATGGCTTGAAATCTTTTTTGAAAACTTACTTCTGATGTCGAATCGTCAGATTCAGAGTCGTCTTTGTTGAGGATCACAGGCTTGACTGGGTTAGTCAACTGCAGCTGAGAGGCGCCGAGAGACGAAACCTTGAACACATTTTTTTTTCTTTCTCGTATTCAAAAAAATTAAACTCGTCTACGAGGTGGCGTGGGACGAGGAAACTTGTCCATTGTTTTTGGGAGCGTAGGCAAAGTCGGAGGATTGCCGAGTCGGCGATTCTCATTGCTTGGTTCCAACTAAGAAATCAATGTTACTTTTTAAGGCTTTTTTATAGAAACAACCTTATGATCGGTTATAGAAGACGCTCTCGATCTTTGGGAAAGGTTGCTGTTCGTCTGGCAAGTCTGAAATTTGAAATAACGACAGAAAGCGAAGGTTTTGTACAGCGTTTGAGAACTCGACGCTCATCACGTTTGACTTTCGATGCGAAGCGATCGCTTCTAAAAAAAACCTTCACATAATCATTCAACAGCATACCTGGCTCCTCAGTAAATTGCCGAGAGCCACCAAAAAGTTTGCCTTTGCGCAAGTCTTGAAAACATCGAGCCGTGTTTTGTATGATAAAAAGGTAATAAAGCTTTAACAGAAAGCAGCGTGACTAACTGTTCAGAAGGTTTTCTGGTGGTTCAACTTTGCTGTTGGGGCGCGATGACTGAGACGATGATCGAGCCGTGTGTGCACTCGGAGAAGTGTGATGTCCAGCAGAAGTGTCCGACAGGCTCAAAGTGGTCAGTCTACGACGAGAAGTCAAAGAATGTTGGGACGAAGACGTGCCTGCTGCTGCCGCCGATGGCCGTCCTAGTCGAGTTCTCAAGAGCCGTCGGTACTAGACTCGCGTTGCTGTCGCTGTCTTCGAGGGCAGTCACGGGGGTCGTCGACTTCGCTGTCGAAGGCAACGAGCTCGCGCTTCTGATAACAGAGCTCAACGAATTCAGAACGAAAACGTACATACCTCAAGCTCCCGTCCATTTTCCCGCTCTTCAATGCTTTCTACAACAGTCCCTCATGGTGGTCAAAGAAACTGCTGAATCTTACCACCTCCGAGTTTTGCATATTGGATTCGAAATGACCACTTTCTGAAGGCTCGACGTACGTGAATAAAGAAAGTTAATTTATTCCTTCCTTCCTTTTTGATATCTCATGGTCAGATGTCAATAATTTTTTTCAATTAGAGAAAAGTTTGCATGAGGCTTCTTTGCTGGTTTTGCGGACTTACGCTGAAATTCAGATTAAGATTAAAAATGTTAAGAATGTTAAGAAGAACTTCTCAAAAAAACTTGCGACTTGAACCCAAAAGAACAAAATAAATGCTCTCGAATCATGAAATTTCAGCGTCCCCGGAAGCGAAGCGAGTAACACGCGAATTGCCTGTCTTTTCCAGAAAATTGCTTCATTGGAAAAGCTTCGGTTTTGGATTCATTTTTTGCATTTCTTCTTTCCAACTTTCCCTATTTCAAAGAAGTTTTTATTCTGAGAAATCTCAAATTTTTTTTTTGAATTGTTCGTCAGTCTTTGCTTATTGTTATCTTTTCCACTTCATAAGAACATGAAGAATGAATTTGAATTTCAATTTGGAAGAAATTAATAACTGTGTTTTAAAGAATTAAAAGAGTTGTGTTGTAGATTTGCCACGTTTTCGAAGACATGTTTCCCGGAAAAGCTCGAAATTTGACACCTCATGACACCGTTATTGGGCAGGTCAGTCAACCGTTAAGCGAAGGGTCTCACGGCTCTTGTTGTGTCGCTTCCCGAGAACTGAAAAGACTCGCTTCGCCGCCGCGAATATCCCAACTGTTTTGTTTCTTTTTTTCCAAAGTTCAAAGATTGCCAAGGATTATTACCAGCAAAAATGATGAGTTTCATCTCAAAATTGTTCCAGTTGCCTTTCTAACAGTCTACTTGTAATCTCATAAAAAATTTTTTTGGAAATAATTTTATTTGAAAAGCAAATGTAAATTTTCTAACCGAGTTCCTTTTTCCTCAACAACGGGATCGGCGCCTTTTTAGGAACGTTTTCGATATCCTTTCTTGGTTTTTGCGATGAATATAATAATATCTTCTTCCGTTTCGCTATGCTGAAAGTGTGGGAGGATGAAATTCCATTGAAGATTTTGCGACAATAATTTTTTGAGATTTTCGGGGATGAGGAAGTTGATATCGCGATCAGAGCTCTATAGAAATGCATGTAATTACTTTAAAGAATTTTCTAGAATTAGGTATAGAATGTGCCTTTTCTGCCTTTCCTTCGAAAAGAATCGAGTGAAACGATTCGAGATAAACGGGCACTTCCGTGATCTCGTAGGCCTTTCAATCATCTCCGACGGATCGCAACTCATCACGACGCGCGTTTCCTTCAGAAGCATTTTGATGGATTTTCAAGTGCTCCGCATTTTCTTCCCACCCCTTATTATGCGCTTTTCCATTTTCCACCAAACTTTTCCCACTTCTTCGCATCCGAGATTTTTATTTTGCCGAGAGCCTCTGCCGTTGTTTCTGCGCAGGGCCGAATTATTCATCCTGTGCTCTCTGCTCTGTCTTTCCGTTTAATTGCGATCCTCAAGTATCTTCTCAAGACTCAGAGCTTCTTCAGACTTTTCCAAGACTATCGGTAAATTTTGAGTCAAAAACTCTCGATAACGGCGGAAAATTTGCTTTCGAGCAAATATCAAACGTCTATGGCCATCAAAGCCTTCTTTGATTTCCGGCTTTTCCTTCGTTTTTTGCTTTAAATTGAAATCTTCAAATTTGGAAATTCGATTCTTGAAGGGAGAAGCGCAGAAGCAATCTTTTCAAGGGCTAAAACGTTCTGAAACTCACCAAGTGATACGTCCGACGCCATCTTTCTTTCATACTTTGCTTTTTTTTTTATCAAACTGAGCAAGCCGACTGGAAAACCTTGAAAATGTTTCCAATGCCATAACTCAGCAGAGGCTGAGACCCAAGGGTCATTTTGCTACTCGAGTTGTTTGCACTGTTGTTGTCGGCAAGCACCTCGTTCGGCACTGTTTGGCGGCTCGTTTGCCCTCATCCTTCGATCCATCAACAGTTTTGATTTTTTTTTTTTGACCCGTCTCGAATTCATCTTCTCAGTCGTTTTCTTCATACTTCTGTACTTAGCCGATGCGAACTTAATGCTATCTCTGTGTTTCGAAACATACGATTTCCTCTTCTCAAAATTTTTTTTGGACTTAACTGTTTCATTTTCTTTATCCAACTTCAAATTTTTTGGTATTGTCAAATGGTACCACAAACTACGTTTTTTTGAAGAGTATTCTTAATTTTTTTATTTTTTTATGATTTATAATTTAGTCGTTTCTCGAAAGAAAAAAATTCTGGCATTCCAAAGAATTTCGACTTAGGGTTCCGCTTTCAAATTCTTTTCATTACACATTCTCCTGGGGTTTTTCTGATGCTGAATGCGCTCATTACGAGAAAAAGATGTCGGAAAAAAAAACCCAGAAAATAGAACGATGACGAGTAAAAAGAGATATTTGAAATCGATAATACAAAATGAATGTCTTTTTTTCAGAGCTAGTTATTTTGTTTCATCTTCATGTTTCTTTTTCAGAACAGCGAGCTGGATTTTTTTTTTGAATCTTAAAGTTCCTCAAAATAGTGCAGATGTTGCGAGTAAAATGAAATGAAAGCGTTCAACTCGCTCAGAAACCAACTGTATCCTCTATAATTTTGAATATTTGGTTTTTTTTTTTTGAATAGTTTTTATTTCAACTGAGCTCATTTGAGCGCATCACATTCAATATTTTCTAGAACAATGAAGTAAGCATTTCAAAAAAAGTAAGGTTGATTTATTTATTCAAAAAAGTCTGAATTAAAAGCCGTCCGAGAATGAATATTTTGTGAAACGGTCGAAGAGCCACGTGCCGTCGCGTATGGATGCACCGAGGCGTTCGAGACGACGCAAATCGAGTTTCAGCTTTTCCCTCATGGGCGTGGCTTTTCACGCAAAGAAGAAGCAGGCCAACCGAGGTTTTTATTCAGAAAATCCGAGAGTTCTCTTTGCCGCCCTCACCTCACTTTTTTCGACCTTTAGATTGTCCTTTGGCAATTTCCGCGTTTTTTCCTAATTTTTTATTAATCATTGACCTTATCGAAGACAAGAAAAATTTTTGTTCAGAATATTAAAATATTCTTGAATTTCAGTTTTTGATTATTGATACGCTCACTTGCACTACTGGAAACGACCAATCAGTTGCTTTTTTTTGGTCTAAAATCAATTTATCTTATCCGGCGACTTCCATAAACAGTTGAGTTATCAAACTCAAGGATTTTTTCGGAATAGATTTGGGTACCCGCGTTGACGACTAACTCTTCGATTATACCACGATTCAGCAGAGATTTTTCTTCATCTTACTCTGAAGACTGAATAAATTGAATTGAAATTGAAATTGAATTAGGTATATTAGGAAATGACACGCGATTTTTCAGTTGAGATTACCACTTTTTCGAGCGTTTCTTGCTATTTCAAACTATTCAAATTGTTCAAACAAGATGATTTATCATTTTTTTTTGAAAAGTTCTAATTTGTTTGATTATTCTGGAACATTTTTTGTAGAAAATTTAGCGGGTTGATCATTTTATTGAGCCTGATTGCGCGTTATTCAGAGCTGATAGTCGGGAAGAAACGAACGGATGCCACCTAATTTCTTCTCATTTCATCTCGGCTTCAATGTGTGTGTAAGTGTGTAACAAAGCAAACAATGCCGACGGAAACATGAAACATGACAGTGTTGAGCCGTGACATCCATTCCCACTTTTTGTAAACTGCTGGCCGTTGGACGTCGTCCAGTCCCGCCACCTGTCCATATGCCTCGTTTTTTCATTGCAGTCTCATCTACAGTAATTTATTGTTCTCCACTGCAAAACTATCATCTTTTTTTGGTATTCGGCTTCATTTTTTTTTGCCTTTTTTCTTTTTTTTTGTCAATACGAATAGAGCAAATCCCTTGAAAAAAGGTCCAATTGAGAATATATCTCGCAGAGCTCGTGTAACTGTTTTTCCAAGTTTTGAACTGCGAAAAAAAAAATTCACTTGATTTTTATTTGGTTCTTTTTTTTCCTTTACTATAATTTTAGAATTCGTAACATTCAGCTGAATCACTCTGTTTTTTTTAAACAAAACGTAAAAGTTTCTGAGATCAGAAATTAAGACGTTCTTCATCAAAAACCAAGAAGCTTTGCAGGTTCAGAGTTTTCGAATCTTCTTTCGGTATATCCAAATTGTTCTTTTTGCTTTCATAAAAACCTTGTTTTGACAGTGATGTGATTGTGAATGAAAGCTTGGCAGAACTATCGCCGAAAATATTAACGAACCTCGAAAAAAAACTGAGTGTCAAAGACGTCGGAATTTAGGTTAGAACTCGGCTGAACAGAATAATTGAATAAAACGAAAAAAGCTTCTTTTGGATCTGAATGACGTATAAGTCTGCGCCTAATCGACCATTCCAGGTATAATCGATTCAAAAATCAGGACTAACAAGTTCAAAATATATCCGCTCGATATTTCTCTCCAGTTGCTCTAGATCTCCTAATCGGGACTTCCGCGTTTTTCAGTGATAGAATTGTGGAAATATCATGAAGCTGGAAGTTTTTCTGAAAAAAAATAAACCAATCTTGCGCTTTCTTTCTTATCCCTTTTTCGTATTGTTTATGTCTTCTGGCTGAGGTTCCAGTTCATTTTGTTCTTTTCTCTTTTTGTTTATGTCGCTTCGATTTACGTGTTTCCACCAAGTCGGACGAATGCTAATTTTCTATACATCTCAGTTTTTGTAGAATTTTTTTTGACGACGGCGTTTGGTCTTTTTCCTTGTTCTCAAGGAAAAAGTCGAACTAGACTATTGATGCGTCTTCGTTTCATCAATAGTTCTGGCAAACTGTACAGCTTAATAGTTTCATTATTTTTATTGAAGGTAAGATTTCAGTTTGATTCAGTTGAATAACTAGCACTTGTACGGAAAAATCTCCGGAAGAGAGAAAATTTGTTTCAAAGAACGATAAATTCTCTGAAATAGGTCTCCGGAGTTCCGGTAGTGTTGGAAACCCGCCTGGGCGACATCAAAGGCGACGAGTTCTTCTTTCTTTCTCGGAAAATTCGATCCTTTCTCAGGTTTCCTTTTTTCAAACCACATTGAAAATCATTGAAGAAAGTTTTTTTTTCTTTGTCTAACAGTCTCTCAAGATTTTTCGAAGAAGTATCTGGAACGTTGACTTTTTATCAGTTTCAGGTATTTTCTTCCAGCTTTTTGAGAGAAGAATTCACTCCAAAAACCGGTAGCAGTATTCATAAAAAATTAGTTTGTAGACTTTTATAAACTGTGTCGAAGCTGTATAGCAATAGCTTCAGAATTTTACCTAGAGTAAAGCAATTTTGAAGATGTTTTTTTGTAATGAGCAAGTTCTGAAACTACATACGCGCAACAGAAATGATCGACTCCTAAATTTTAGAGTAAGTTATAAGGCGTTTCATGCAAGTCTTGTTATTAAGGTCGTTCTCGAGTACCACATATGTCAGAAACGAAAATTTCGACTACAATCATTGGATAACTTTCGAGTAGATGCTTTGTTTCATTTTCATGCTTTCTTTGAAGTGTGCCGTTCGCCGAGCCGCCCGTCGAGCTGCAGCGCTTCCAAGTGGCGAGGCCGAAGCGAGCCTGGCCGTCGATTCTGGATGCAACGAAGCCTTCGCCAGCATGTTTCCAGGTGATCTCGGCCATTGCTAGGGCTATCTCCGGGAGTTTTTCAGTTGCGCGACGACTACAACACTTCGTTCTGGGGCTCCGAGATGTGGAACGCCAACACTCCGATCAGCGAGGATTGTCTTTACCTGAATATTTGGGCTCCTGCCGAAGCCTAGTGGGTTTCTTGAATGTTTGCCCTACTCTTTCATTGCAGCAACCTCGCCGTGATGGTCTGGCTCTTCGGTGGCGGATTTTACTCGGGAAGTCCTTCCCTGGAGCTTTACGACGGCAGGGTGAGCAAGCTATAAATTCACAGCAAAAAAAAGTTCTCTTATTCGTTTTCATTTCAGTTTCATTTTTCTTTTCAATTCCATTTTTTCTCAGGCACTAGCTTCGGCCGGCAACGTAATTGTGGTGAACGTCAATTATCGTCTTGGACCCTTCGGATTTCTTTATTTGGACCACCCGGACGTTCCTGGCAATATGGGGCTCCTAGACCAGGTTTTTTTTTTTGATTTGTTCAATCACTCAAAAGTTTTAGAAAGTATCTCATGATGAATCCTTGGTTCTAGGTTTCAGTTGAGAAAGCTGCATTACGTAGAAGCGAGGAACATAAATTTTGTACCGAATCTTTTGATGATCCAGAATAACACTTGTGAACAGACGCAGATCAACTACAACACAGATCGTTGCGAAGAACAAAATTGAAAAAAGAATTCGAATTTGACATTAGTTTACATGACGAGAAAGGAACAACAAAGCCAAGAGAACTCTTTTCGGATATTCAGAACCAGGGCGAGTAGTTACTCAAAGGCGATAATAAATGGCCCTCTTGTGTATTCACACATGTTGCCCTTTCACTTTTTTTCCTCTCATACCAAAAACTTTTGATTCGATCAAGAAAGAAGTTTTTCTTCGAAAATTTTGATGACTTTCTTGAACCGGAAAATTCCCTATTTTTTGTTTTTGTCTTGTTGATGTTTTCGTCGGCCACTCCAAAACATACCCTTATTTGGAGATGAATTGAATTTAAAAATGAGAGAAGAAATTTGAGGAGATTCGGCGGGAAATTCAGACGCCCAAAATAATGGTTATTCTTCTATTTTCCAGCAAATGGCTCTGCATTGGATTCGCGACCACATTTCAGCTTTTGGCGGCGATCCTGGAAAAGTTCGTTCGGAAAATCTCACTTTTTTCTTTCTTCAAGCTGTTTTTTCCTCTAAATCTAATAAAATTGTGAATTAGTTTAATGCTCGGAAATCTTTCCGAGTTGATTGAATCGTTTCACGTAACTTGAGCAATAAGTAGCAATGTTGAGGTTTGCTTGTTTGGCGAATCGGCCGGAGCCGCTTCCATCGTCGCTCATCTCATCGCCCCAGCTTCTCGAGGGTTTTTCAAATTTTAGCACTTGGAAGGAGAAATAATCTTTTTGCTAACCATTTTTATCGGTTTCGTCAAGCTGTAAGTTTGGAATTTTAAAAAAAATCGAACTGAACGCCCTTTTTATGGCTTGCCATGAAAAAAACACGTTTTTTTAGTTCAAGAAAAAAACTTTGGAAAAAAATATATAAAATCCTGATTTCTCTTTTTTTCATGGCTCAACCAACAGTTTGTCTCTTTAGAATTTTTTTAGCTTGAAGTTTAAAAAAACAAAAAAATAATAAAAAAATAAAAAGATACCTTGATTGGCAGATTATTCGGAAACGCTATCCTGCAGTCGGGGTCGCTGGACAATAAATGGGCGATGGATTCGCCAAGTCGCGCCAAACAGAAGTCGCTCGAGTTGACGCGACTCGTCGGCTGTGAGAAGTCCAACGTAAATGAGTTTTTTGGAGTTTTTGAGTTTGTTGCTTAATAAAAATAGAGTCTTATTGTATCAGAATGCACAATGTCAATCGGAAACATCTCTCAGATGGAGCTGACGGTGTCATGCCTTCGTCTGGTCCCGGCGCAGCTTCTGATGCGGCACACGTGGCAACTGAAACTCGCCTTCCTCGAGTTCCCGTTCGTCGCCGTCTCCCGGCACGAGCTGCCATTCTCAGGCCCCAGTCAACAGCCTTTTCAGCGACCGCCACTTTTTCCGTCACAACGACGCGCTCGTATCGTTGCGTCGTCTCAACTTCGCCTCCGTCGACGTCAACCTCATGATCGGCATGAACAGGGACGAAGGTCGGTTCCAACTTTTTTATAGTTCCTGTTTATTTCTCGAAATAGATCGGTAATTGTCTGAAACTTCTCAACCAAACGGCAATTATTCAAGCTGGATTATCTTTCAAACTTTTCAACAATTTTTTTATATCTTTCAAACTTTTTCAACAATTTTTTTCGTTGGTTTTAGCTTTAAGATGAAATTTTTTTGAAAAAAATTAAGCTCATCGTACTGTACTGTCAGATAATTTCAGGCTCAAAAAGATTCTATAAGATTCAATTTCTCTTCGTTGTCTTTTTCATTCTCTGACCGTCATTTCTAACCGCTGAAATCACTTTGAACGTGGCATAAAACGACCACATGCAAAAAGGATGATGTATATAAAATAAAGATAGAGAAAAGACACGTGTTCCGACTGGCTCATGCCAAGTAACCCTGTCATGTAGTTTTTTCAACCGTTCATTCTATACATCCGCGACTCTTTGATCGTCCTTGAATTTTTGTAGAACTAGAGGTGATGCCCTGTTTTAGTTATGACTCTTTCGATAAATGAAATGGAAATAACGTGTTGACCTCTTGCAGGCAGCTCCTGGAACATCTACCACTTGGGAGACTTTTTCGACACTGCCGAGCACCCTCTTTTGAGCAAGTAACGAGTTTTTCTTTTGTCAAAATCAAAATTCCTCAAAAGTTCTAGCTGCTGGGAACATGGAAAATGAACTTCAAAAAAAAAAAACCTAAATAGGGTAATTCTGAATCGGCAGGAAAGAATAGTTTTGAAGTTTGAATTTTCGAGCTGTCGTTTATATTGTAGTTAGGATCAATCGACAATAAATCTCAAAAAAGTTCATTCATAAGAATTTATGTGTTAGATTTTTTTCATTTATCTCGGAAATTAATTTTTCATTTTTTTCTAAATTCAGGGACTAATTAAGTTTTGAAGCTATCCGTTTTCCAAACTTTTTTAGTTTTCTTTTTCACTGAGAAAACACGCAGTTATTTGATAATTTTCTCTTCACATCCTAACTTGAACAGCACAAAAAAAAAGTCTGCGCCTTCAACCAGTTTAAATATTTTGGATCCGACTTCGAAACGTGTGTGGACCGAGTTTTGGGCGTTCAACCAGACATTGTTCGCTCTGCGGCTAAGTTCATCTACGGCGACGAGAAATGCACGTTTTCGGACAAGAAGAACCGTTTCTACGCCCAGCAGGTGAACAACGTCGTCGGAGACTACTTCTTCACCTGCGACAGTCTTTGGCTCGCTAGAGAAGTTTGGAACTTAGAGAGAAGTCGCACAATACTGAGTCACAGTATGCAAACAACAGAAGAATAAAAGGCCGGGTCTACGTCTATTATTTTGCGCAGTCTTCCAGGTAATAACTTTCGGCGATTCTTTTTTTTTAAATGAAAAATAATTGAATTTAAGTACGAATCCATGGCCGAAATGGGTCGGAGCGATGCACGGATACGAGATCGAGTTTGTCTTTGGCCTCCCGTTGCACGTCGAGACTTACAAACGACGGGAAGCTATTCTTTCTCGGAAAGTCGTTCAGTTTTGGACTTCATTTGCTACATCAGGGTTTGCTGAGCAAGAAATCGGCCTCAATAGCGTTTCTTCTGTAGCTCATACTTTGAAATTTAAGAAGACCTCGATTGGATGTGCCTAAACGTACGGAGTCCTGGTCGGAGTATGACGGTGTCAATAACACAAAGTCAGTTTCTTACCAAATATTGAGAAGCTGGAGTCCTATCAGATGGATGATGCTGAAAAGTGGGTCCAACGTGCGGCTGATAGAGGAGAAGAAACGTTCGCAGTGCACCTTCTGGAGACGCGTAAAAGACGCCGAGTACTCGACCTACCGTAAGCCTTTTTCCACCCGACAAATGGGAACGTTTTGCAGTAACCGAGACGTACTCTCCGAAGGCCAGTGGATCTCGCCAATTTCTCTTTTATTTTCTCTTTTTATTTCCTTTCTTTCTGACGCGCATTTGATGCTACGTTGAAAAAAATTTATATAATATTTGCCTTTCTCTCATCATCTTGCATATCTGATTTTTTCTTCTAATTTTGCTCAAAGTAATTCTGTACCGGTTACAAATTCTTCGTTCGATCTCTTGTGTAGTACACTAACTAGACAAAATAAACTTTAGTTTTGCAAATTCGAATTTATAAAAGATAATGAAGAAGGAAGATTTTGCTTTTCTACTCCTGTTTGTTTTGGAAACAGCGAAATTGCCAGAATATTTCTGTAGTCGCTCCCATAAGGACAGCCAATTTAACATAGTGCATGTGTCCCGCCTCCGCTCTCCTCCTATTCCTCATCCGATATATCGTTATTGCTCGCAATTGCTCGCTACAGTGGCCCTGTGGTATTGGTGATCGTGTTGAGGTGCTGAAGAGTCGTCAGTTTCGCCTTGGAGCGACTTTTCCACCGCCCATGCTGGTCGCTCTTTGGGCAGCCACTTCCGCTCTCGTCTATGCTAACCAGGTGCCTATCCCCTAACTTCCAGTTATCCCAAAAACATTTGCTAAGAGATGAAAAATTATTTTCAACTGAGAAATCAACCTTGAAAAAAAAAAGCATAATTATAATTAAAACTATGAATTTTTTCTATGGGGAATGGTAAAACTCCAATTTCGCCTTGAAATTGTTTTAGAGAATGTTTGAGGACTCTAACGAATTCTAGAATATGATGCGAAGTTATTTTCTCATTCAGAATAAACGGATTACCAAACTATTTGAAAGAACCCAGCCTCACTGCCCCTGTTTCGATAAATTTTGCTTCACCTTAACATTTCTTGAGTATGCTTTAATTTTCCAGGAGTTTTCATACCAGAACAGCATTCCAGTGGAAGTAGGCACGCGATTGGGCGTCGTTCGCGGCTCGGAATTCAACCATGGCTCGAAACGAGTGCGCGCCTTTCTTGGGTATTTTTTCGAATATATATGGTAGTTTTGTACAATTCACTTTCAAGCGTACCTTTTGCCGAGCCGCCAATCAAAGAAAACCGTTTTAAAAAACCGAAGCCAAAGAAACCTTGGAATGGAACAATCAACGCCAACACCATGTCTCCGGCGTGTTTTCAGGTTTGCCATTGTGTCATCATCTGCTGACGGAAGGATGACATTTAGGGAAGAGACTCCTACGATCCGAACTTCTGGGGATCAGAGATGTGGAATGCCAACACGCCTGTCAGCGAAGATTGTCTCTACCTCAACATTTGGGCGCCAGCTGATGCACAGTCCGTGTTTTTTTGGACACTTGACTGAGTTTTCAGAGAAAAATCATCTAATTTGGATTATTTTATTTGAAAGGAAATTCTGAGAGTAATTGAAAAGTTGAAAAAAAAACAACACTAAATACATTCAATAAGTTATTGGCGACATCAATAGCTTCAATCTCTTTTATTAATTCAAGTTTTTTTTTCCACTAAACTTGTGAATGAAGAAGCTTTTCAGAAACCTGACAGTGATGGTTTGGCTGTTCGGCGGCGGTTTCTATTCTGGATCGCCTTCCTTGATTCTGTATGACGGCAAGGTACAAATATCATTGACTTTGCGAGGACTGGAAAAAGTAACCAGGAGCTGGCGACCAGAGGAAATGTTATTGTGGTGAATGTCAACTACCGACTGGGACCTTTTGGTTACTTGTACTTCGGAAACAACGACGTACCTGGAAACATGGGGATGCTCGATCAGGTTGTTCCAAAACGAATGTTTAGAGGTTATTTTGGACTGAGTTCAGCAATTGGCGCTCTACTGGATAAGAGATCACATATTTTCCTTTGGTGGCAATCCTTCGAAAGTCTCTTTGTTCGGCGAGTCTGCTGGCGCGGCTTCCATCGTCGCTCATCTCATCGCGCCTGCGTCTCGCGGGTTTCTTTTAATAAATGTTTCATTTTCTTGGGATTGCAAGAGGATTTTTGGAGAGCGAACGAAAAGGGTTCAGACTGTTCAAAACGGGGATTCTGCAGTCGGGCTCTCTGGACAACAAATGGTCGATGGACACGCCGCGGCACGCTAAGCAAAAGTCTCTGGAGCTGGCTCGTCTCGTCGAGTGCAATCGCACAAATGTACGTCGTACTTTGCCATTCTCTTCATTATCTCCCACAATAGGCTCGCTGTCAAATTATTCGAAAAGGGCTAGAGATTTTTTCGGATATAGATCCAGGCGGACAACGAAGGCTATTCAACGTTGGATTTGAAATGTAGCTACAGTTTTGGAACAAAAAAGAACATCTAAGAACGAGTTTAGAGATGAGTTCTGGACACACGCTGATTCAGGAATAAAACTTGAAAAGTTGTCCATAAAGATCACAATTATACGGCAGAACTTATGAAGAATTCAAGCAAAATTATTCTGAGTCGTTCCTTGAGATAAATTGTCATACTTTGAAATAGCACGAATAACCTTATGACTTCTTCAAATTCAATTTTTTCACTTTTCAATCGAACGGGTTCAGATGGAAGAAATGATCACCTGCTTACGAGAAACACCCGCGCAAAGACTCATCGACAACATCTGGAGCGTCGGATTGACGTTTCTCGAGTTTCCGTTCGTTATCGTTTCTCGGTATGTCCTGTCTATCAAAGCAAAAGTTGACGTTTTTCTCAGAGACGTCAACTTTTTCAAACATCTCGATGGGTTCAAAGCTTTACGTGAAGGAGATTATTCGACTGACGTCAATTTGATGTTTGGAATCAATCACGACGAAGGTTCATTATTTTCGCAAGAGTTTCATTCCAATAATTTCCAGGGAACTATTGGAACATCTATAATTTACCGCAGTTTTTCGATAAGAAACCAGTGAAACCGAAAATAAATAGGTAAAAGTAGCGAATTTACGAGAAATAGTAATCTTCTTCAGAGACGAGTTCCACCAATGTGTGGAGAGCGCTTTTGCTGTGCAGCCAGAACTGGTGAGAAGCGCTGCCAAGTACGTCTACTCAGATCCCAACTGCGTAGATCCACAAAAGAAATTGGAGTTCTACGCAGAGCAAGTCAGCGGCTCCTGTTCCTATTTGGACCTAGAACAAGATTTGAAGGTGAACCAGATGGTCGGCGACTACTTCTTCACCTGTGACAGCGTTTGGCTGGCACACGACTACCCGAAGAGGGGCAAAGCCAACGTCTACGTCTACTATTTTGACCAGCCTTCGAGGTTTCTACCAACTTGAAATCGAAATCCGGGATGTTCAGCGCCAACCCTTGGCCTCAATGGACGGGTGTGATGCACGGCTACGAGATAGAGTTCGTCTTCGGAGTTCCCTTGTACAACGAATCCGCCGGCTACACGAAACCCGAACGCGAAATATCAGATAAAGTCATTCAGTACTGGACGTCATTCGCAAAGAATGGGTCAGAAGTCGGACAAAGAAACAAATGAGACGTTTTCTGATTTTCAGAGTTCCCACTTTGAAAAACAACTCTAGCTCAATACAATGGATGAAATATGACGGTCGGAACAGAACAAAGTGAGTTTAGAGGGATAATGTTTGGATCAAAATCGTTTCTCTCCAGATGGCTGCGGATAAAGACTGGCGGAATGGAGTCGATTGATGAGTTGAAGAAAGTAGAGTGCGACTTATGGCGAAACGCCAAGAACATGGAGTACTCGAGCTACCGTGGGTCTCTTTGAGTCTCCCCAAATCAAAAAGTATATTCAGTGGAAGAGCTTCGGACGATGACGTCACCTCTGGTCACCGTCTCACTCTCTCTTCTTTGTCAATTCATATTTTATTTTGTTCTTTCACTTTGAATCCGAGTCGTTCATCCGATGAATGCTTGCCCACTTCCGAACAATTCTTCATTGCCAGTGCTCACGAACCCTTTCTTTCCTTTCTCCAACAGTTATCATTCTCTAGATCGTATCGATTTAACTCAGGAAAACGTGATCTCCAACTAACACTTAAATTATACTCGTATTTTTTTCCTCAATTGTAGGCTTTCAATAACATTCCATTGAACTCCATCGACAAAAATGCTTATTGGCTTCAACATCCTCCGATTCCATATACATATCATACTAGTACTTTAACTATTCTTGCCAATAAATATTTTCACATTTCGATTTTCTCAAAAAGTTTGAGAAAATGTCTTTTTCGTCTAGCGCAGAAGACGTTTTACTTACAAGCGAGTTTAAAACCTACTTTTTTTGTGTAATAAACATAATTTTTTCGATTTTCAAAAAAAACTTTATTTTTCAGTTGATTCTTTGGCGTGAGCACGATTCGCGTAAAGAGGTGGGAAGTAAGCGACGGGAGCCATTGTTCAGAAAAGCAGAGACTCGTGAAAAGTGTTGTTTCCCGTGGAGAAGAACGGACGGCACGTTAAAATTCAATTTTACGCTGCTTCTTTTGAGCTTCTCCGACTCGCTTTTTTGTTTCTCCTCCGAATACCTCCGTCTTAAGCGATGAGAATTGACACTCGCTATCGAGCTGCATCTTTGTCAAACTTCTTTGCCCACGTTGTTTTCCCTGAGAAATCGGATATTTTCCTTAATTGCCAAGCAGACCTTCCATACTTCATAGCTCAAAGCGTTTGAGTGTTTGGCAGCGGAGTGTGTGGCCGCAATTAGAAAAGGAAAAGTTTTGAAACCAGGCTTTTGTCGGATTCACTTCCACTTGGACGATTCCACGATCCGTTCATTTTTCCCACTCTCATCTTCGATTCTCCACGCGCGCTGCCTTTCGAATTCTTCTTACTTGTCATTTTTCAGCTTCAACTCAAAAGTGAGCTCAGAGAACGAAATTTAGATGCTGTATTCTGAATATTAGATTTTGGTATGGTATGCTTTGTCATTTACTGAAAATATTATCTTCGTTTCTTGCATTTCTATGCTATTTCTGTTCTATCTTCCCGGTCGTTTTCGGAGCAAAGTCCTGTTTTTTTATGTTCAGCGACCAACGTTGAAAAATGTGAGCTTTTTTTCAATAAAAAAACAAATAATGGATTATTAGGATAGTTTATTCGTTTGAAAAATTTTTGAAAACTCTTCTCAACTTAAAAAAGTTAAGTTTTGAACATAGACTTGAGAAAAAATTTTAAATATTTTTGAGGCATATGTCGAGCTTTTCAATTTCTATGAGCTTTTCAATTTCTACCTTTAGAAGCGATAACTGTTAATGAATAAAAACTGGCAATTTTCAGCATTACGGAACATTTTTTGAAAACCCGAGAGAAGTCCAGGACACCTTCCGGGGACGAATACGCAGATGCAATCTGTTAGTTTCGATTTTTAACAAAGGATATCCTTTTACTCGCCTCAATAAAAAAGAGGATGAGCAATTTAGAAATTTTGATCTAAAAAGTCCATGGTTGTCAGCCAATTTACAGACAGGCTCCCAGCTACTTTCATTTAAAAAAAAATTTCCATATAATTATATTGTTCTAGATCCGATTTGGTTCTACAATCATGCGCCGACGCCTGTTTTTCTTTGAACGTTTCGATCGTTCCTATAAGTTCTCGAAGAAACGACGGTTTCGGTGAGTGTTGACTTTTTTCATTTTTTTAAATCTTGTTTTTGAGGATTCGCCTTCGGATGTTCATCTGAGCTTCTGCCACAAGATGCAACTCTAACAACCACAGGTTGTTTCAAAAGAAGCGTCATTTTGAGGTGAGAAAAAGATTAAAGCGGTTTTTTAAAAAATCCCGGAGAATTGCAGAACACTACCTCCTTTCACCGTGACGGCCGAATACTGCACTTGCGACGAGGACAAGTGCAACCGACTGACGGCGGAGTCGGAGTCCTCGTCTGCCGTGGTCAGGACCTTGGCCCGCCAGCCTCTCGTCGCCAGTCACATCTCTTTTCGATCAATTTCTTCCGTGTTTCTCCCAATCTCAGTCATTAAATTGTTTTCATAAATTAATTTTTCCCCATTTTACGTGAAAAAGGATTAAAAAAAAGAGAAAGAAACTGTCAATAATCTTATATCAGAAGCCTATTTCACACAAACCAGTACTTCCATTTCCAAGGTATTGGAAAGTAAAACGAAAGAACCTAGAGAGAAACATTTTTCAGAGTTATAAGACAGCTAAAACTTTTGACTCCAAGCAGCGTGCGAAGTTCAAAACTTCTGGGTGTGCTACAAAATAAAAAATGCGGTTTAACACGTGGAAGTAAGAAAAAATAAAATTCAGCTGGTCGTGAGTGAGAAGACCATTTCAGCATCACAAAGCCTCTGAAATGGCGACCGAATTCGAAGAAAACCCGATCTCATTGATCGATTCCATCAGTTTGGTTCCTCAAAACACAACGGGAGCAATCTGGCTTCAGATGGCGTACCAGCTGAGCACTACGAAGGACTGGCTCCACTGGCCAAGAAATTCGCGAGCAAAGAAGTCGCCGGAATCGCCCTCGGCGTCTCCCTTCTCTACATGATCAACGGCGACTATGCCAGTGTATTGTAGTTTTTTTTTCAATTCGAAAAACTCTGATTTTTCGCAGATTCTATGCACTGTTATGACGTCACTTCCGGCTGCCGTGTTCACCTACCGTGCTCTGATGTGCAAGCACACGACCAAAGAAGGATATGTGAGTTCGGCTGACCCAGAATAGATTTTATATGTTTACTCGCATGCTGCTCACCCCCGCGGGTCCGTTCAGATTTTTAATGTCAAGTTCAATGACGTCATTCGAAAACGCTCTGTGGATGGCTCAATCTCTGATTCGTTCATCGCGCCATTAGGGGGCGGAGCTTGAGCGACGTCTGACATTCAAAATCTGAACAGACTATAGTGCCGATCACCCGTTTAACCTCTATACATAAGTCAATATAAAAAAAAACTTATTTTGAAAGAAACTAACAGAAAAAGTGCCATCAAGTCGTTTTGGTAACAGAACTTTATTGAACTCAAATATAGAGTCACTAAGAATAACTGACGAGATAAAAGCGAGGTCGGTGGCGGTACATTGACGAGCTCGCAAACATCTCGCTTTTTTCAAGGCGCGACCTCGCATTTTTCTTGGCGCCATCTCGCATTTATCTCGCACTTCGGAAATTTTCAAATTGCGAGAGAAATGCGAGCTCGCGCCTAGAAAAATGCGAGCTCGCGCCCAGAAAAATGCGAGACCGGCGCGAGAAAAAAAGCGAGATGTTTGCGAGCTCGTCAATGTACCGCCAGTGTCTCGCGTTTATCTCGGCAGTTATTCTTAGTGGTATAGTAGAAAGAGTGAAAAAAAAAAGTTGAGGTAAATGATTTATTTGATTGAATTTATATATGATTGTGTCCGGTTTTTCTCATCAAATTTTTTTATATATATATTTAGGAGGATACCATCCTATGAAAAAAATTCGTGAACTTTTTGCGCGTTTTGGTGTAGGATCGCGTCGTTCTGCGATTAAAAAGTTTGAAATTTCAATTTCAATTCGAATTTTCTGTTTTTTTTTTTCAAATAATGTTGAGGTCAGATGTTTTTTTATTCATATGTGTGATTGAAGATTTTCTTTAACTCCTTATTTTTCTTAATATAGAAAAAACTGGAAACTCGGATAGTCTGTTCTATTGTGAGGTATAAACTCGGGCAAAACTGGAAAGCTACCCAAAAGCTTTTCTCAAAAAAAAAAAGACCTTGAAAGGGTCCCCAGCAGATCTTTTTTATATTCCATAGGTAAAACTGAAAAGTTCCTTTGAGGATCCTCAAAGGATCCTGAGAGGGAGATAAAAAGCTTCCTCTAAAAGCTCCTAAAATGATGTAAAAAAGCTTTTGAGCACCTTTTTCATAGCCTCAGAGGATCCTTTTTGAATCCTCTCGGATCTTTTCAGTTGCTTTCCAGCATCCTTTTTGTCAGAGGATGTGAAAAAGACGCAAAAAAGAATTGAAATGATGTAAAAAAGATCTGCTGGGGACCCTTTCAAGGTCTTTTTTTGAGAAAAGCTTTTGGGGAGCTTTTCAGTTTTGCCCGAGTTGTTTCACTTCTTTTTTGCATCTTTTTCACATCCTCTAACAAAAAGGATGCTGGAAAGAAACTAAAAAGATTCGAGAGGATTCAAAAAGGATCTTTTGAGGCTATGAAAAAGGTGCTCAAAAGCTTTTTTACATCATTTTAGGAGCTTTTAGAGGAAGCTTTTTATCTCCCTCAGGATCCTTTAAGGATCCTCAAAGGAACTTTTTCGTTTTACCTATGAAGTTAAGTCCTGCGAAAGTGGGTTTATAAAATATAGAAATGCCTTGAATTGAAGAGAAAATTAATTTTTTTCAGCACGAAAAATATAGTGGGCTCAAATTTTTTTAAAGTAACTTTAAAATTTCACTTTAACGCTGTGTTCAAAGTGATTTTCGCGAAATTCAAAATTATCTCAAAAAAAAAATTAAATTCTCCGAAATCTATTTATCTTTTTTTTTTCTCCCTGACGGCTTTTTTGAGTTTCACAGAATCGCTTTGAGCACGGCATAAAATTTCTGTTTTTTGTCTCTTTTAACATTTTTTTTTTAGCACGCGATTCTTTTCTACTGGACTGTATACGGCATCCTCGCCGGTCTCGACAACGTCCTGAGCAATGCCTACGGGTTCATTTTTAACATTTGTTTTTAGGCAATTACATATGTTCAGATACTACTTGGGGAAATTTGTACTCCTCGCCGTCGTTTTTATGCACGCCGCTCGTCAGAATCCTCTTTCGATGTCTCTCTTTAACAATGCAGTTTCGCCCATTCTCGAGTCCACGCAGGCGGGAGAATCCGCATTGTTTTAGATAATGGTTTTGTTTAAGCAAATATCATCGATTGTCTCGAGATACGACACAGAAGGCTTTGCTCTTTCCGAGAACACATCTCCTTCTGTGCTGCGTTCCCCGTCGCCGACCGTCTTCAGCGACAATTCTACCTACATAATTGACCACCTCGAAGCGTCGTTTGACGCCTCGACCGCTGTCACCTTCGCTCCATCTTCACTGGAAATGGACTCGACGCAGTCGGTGACGTCAACCAAGGTCCCACAGGACTTTGACACCGCCTCGATCTACAGTCGTCCACTGACGGTAGTTGGTTCGGTGACTCGAGTCTTATTTTCGGTTTAGCCTGCTCGTCCAGTTTTCGAAAGACTGTCGTCGACCGTTCAGACTGTACATCCAGGCATGGGAGACATTGTAACTGAGCCCCACAACAAGGCGAGCAATCGTTCAATCTTTTTCAAAAATATGAAAAAAGCAGATGGAGTTCGGTATCGACAGTATGGAAAGGACGCTCAGAGTGACGAACATCACCACTCAACACATAATGTTCGCCTTGAAGGTGTAATCCCCTTTGTTCACGTCACCAGGTGAGTTCAGACCAACGCCGAAGAGCATCTGGTCGCGTCGCCGACATCCGGAGTCATCAGAAGCGGCGAGGCAGTCGAGATCCGAGTTGGCGTGAAGGGAGGATTCCTCTACCACATGAATCGCGGTGACGGCGTCATCGACAAGGCAAGAATATGAGTTTTTTTCGAAGAAAATGTTGGTTTGAAGCTGGCGATCGACTACGCGCTGGCCGGTCACAACACGGAGTTCGCCCACGAAGTCTTCGAGGCTTCCAACCGCAAACGCCACGCCATTCGTGTTTTCTACCATTGAATTATTTTTTTTTCAATAAGGTTTTTTCTTGTTCTTGTTCTTTTTCTGTGACAGAACGTCTAAGGACTTTCAAATTTTTAAAACTATCAAGAATTCAATTTTGAAAACTCCCAGAACAAATTGGAAGTGCACTTACCTCGCTTGTAAGCGGAGTTTTTTCATCCATGGCAGAAAGACTTTTTTTCTTCTTTTCTCCATAATTTTATCAGTTCATTCCACTTCCCTGTTCGAAACTTATTCGAAAATAGGACGTTTTTATGTGAAAGGTTTGAAATATCTTACACGGGAAGTGCGAAAGGTCGAGGTATTGGAATTTAAGGAAACTTGGTATATAGGTACTACCGAACACCCTGAATCCAAAACTGTTGAAAAAAAGTGCGCCTTTTTGGTTCTAGTCGAGTTAGGGCGCCTCAAAGTTTGCACGCAAAAAATGCATTGGAAGGGAGGAGGGAATGTGTTGCGGCGGCAAACTCTAGCTGCCAGCAGGCGGCGTGGTGTAGTGGCTAGAGGCCTTGTGCTGTGAAACCTATGATGCAGGTTCGGTCCCTTTTGGTGAAGTTTTTTTGCCAATTTTTTTTATTTGAAAAAGGAGGAAGTTTTGATGATGGAGTGAAAGAACAGCTCAAAATTTTGAAATTCACCATTTTATGCCAATCTGAGAAAGAATTTCGACAAAGAATTTTTTTGCTCAATTTTCCTTGCCTAACCATAAGGCTTATATATGGTCGACTCATTCCTTCGAAAAAATTTCTGATCAACCAATAAAATCAAAGTTCTATGAGGTTTATTCTTCTTTCCTTCCTTTATGACGTTATCTGTTTAAAAATGTGTATCAAAGCCCTGCTTCACTTTATTTTCACATTCGAGATGATATGGCGATGCTGCAGGGAATGAAAAAAAGTCTTTCTCAAAACGACATAAAATAGTGAATTTTAATACTTTGAACAGTAATTTTCGTTCCATCTTCAAAAATTCATCAATTTTTTCGAAAAACTTCATGGCAAAACAAAATTTCACCAAAAAGGGACCGAACCTGCATCATAGGTTTCACAGCGCGAGGCCTCTAGCCACTACACCATCCCGCCTGCTGGCAGCTAGAGTTTGCCGCCGCAACACATTCCCTCCTCCCTTTCAATGTATTTTTTGCGTGCAAACTTTGAGGCGCCCTAACTCGACTAGAACCAAAAAGGCGCACTTTTTTTCAACTGCTTTGGATTCAGGGTGTTCGGAAGTACCTATATACCAAGTTTTATTAAATTCCTATACCTCGACCTTTCGCACTTCCCGTGTTAGAAATCATTCAAGCCTCAGATACCATTTTCTTTTCTTGGTGATAGGTTTCAATTGATAGGGTGGCATTTTTTAATAGATTTTCGAAAGTTTTTTCTATGAAAGCAAACATTTTTGTTGCATCAGATTTCTGAACCTTCTTTCTCTTTTCGCATCTCATCCTAAAAAAGTATTTTTGCGACATTTCTCCGGTTATTCATGTGAGAAAGAAGAAGTCAAAGGAGAAAAGGGTCTTTTGTATATACAAAAGAGCGAAGACCAAAAGAAAAAGCCGACTGTTTCCGCGCATCTGCTTCTTGCACATGTGTCCAGGATCACCTTTTTTTCACAAGTTTACTTATTTCTGCAGCTTTTTCTCCAGTTAGTGAGTTCAATTTTTGTAAAACTCCCTTCGAAATATCACAAGGCGTTCAAATGTGACTCTATTTTCCCAAATTTGCTCGGAAATTGTTCGATGATGGAGGAGTGCAGTTCTGGATTTCTTAAGCGATCAAAGAACCATATCTAGTATAGAGACCACAGACTTGAAAATTTTGTTTTTTTACGGCTTTCCATTCTTCAGAAACTGTTTTGAACAACTTAAAAAAAATAGGTCGGTTAAAGATGAGCGTTAAGTATATCGATTTGTAGTTCATTCGAAAATAAGGATTCGAAGAGGACATTCATTTTCCGCTTGAAAATGAGTGGAATATCATGTTTGAATTGAGAAATACCATTTGGATATATCTATTTTGATATATTTTTATATTTGTACTGTGAAACAAACTTTAACAGAACCGCTAATTTTTTGCCGACGAACCCATTAGAAGTTCAAGATGTGGCTCCCTGCTAAATAATTAAAAATCAGTTTATTTAATTATTTTTTTAAATTTTTGTTACTTTTTTTCCTTAAGTAGATGACTTCAAGTACCCTCAAATGTAATGAAATCGCTAGGAAAAATGATTTATCACTTTTTCAGCAATTTAAAAGTGGGAAAAGAGAGTTTTTAAAATAAAATTTTCAAGGTATTATGACATTGATTGAGTTGATTCATTGTAAATGAAGATTTTTTGAAAAAATAGTAAAATATTTCAAACTTATTTATTTCAAAATTGGAATTCCTTGTGAATTAATTAAATTTTTCTAAGACTTTTCTAATAATATTGACATTAGAGTTACGAAATGATGAATCATGCTGTCCATTGAAGCATACAACAATATTGTTTACAAGTTTTCGAGTTTTGATCATTTTTCTATTTTCTTAGAATCATTTCTCTCAAGACCTTTTTGTCATTTCAAGCTTTTTGAACGCCCACTCGACATATAAGTGAATTTGGGAGCGATATGTGACGCATTGCTGATGACGACCGACTGTATTTCCCGTCTGCTCGTTTCTTTCCTATCAGTTTTCATCTTCGAACAATTTCTTCGAGGCACTCCTTTTCTTCCAAAGTCATTGAAGTTTTCAAAGTTTAGGGTGCTGCTTTCTAATAATAACTCTGTGATTTTCCTAGAATTTTTTCGATATCTCTTTGACTTATTCAAGCGAATCAAACTCATTGGTAACTTCAAAACGTGATGGTTTCTTTTCCAAGATTTTCGAAAAAGTGCACATTTTTTCTTGTGTTCTGTTCCCATACGTCATTAACGACGTCTCACCGACACTGCGGCTCCTTTTGTTGCGGTGGCTAAACTCGGAGGCAAAGTATTTCGTACCAGCCATCGGCCGAGAAAGGATGACTGAGTCAAATACGCTTTTTAAAGGGAAAACACCTTGGGGCTGCGTTGTTTTTTTTCGTTCTTTCATTTTTCACATCTTTTATATAATCTGCAGGTCTTTATGTTACCCTATTCGATATCAGAGTTTTGAAAAGGGCGTAAAATTTCAATTTTTATAAAAGTCGTTCACTCGAGCGCAAAACTGAGAAAAAAAAGCGAAGAATCGCCGGTCCCAATCTTTTTTTGTTCGCTTGCAGGCACCTGTCGACCGTCTCATCCAGCGCAGAAAAATGCTCTTCCCACTCAAATCGTTAGTTTCTTTTTTCAATTTGAAATTGCGTGAAAAAAAAACATTTTATGATATCCTAAAAAAGGCCAAACGTTTTTTTTTTCTCCGACAATGAAACTGTTTTCCATATTTGTTCTCAGATGCTTGCTATTGATACTCGTGGGCCTGAGCGACGCACAAAAGGGCCAGCGGATGTGTCGCCAATGCCGCGATCTTTTCATCGACCACGTTCTTTCTCTGATCGTTCCGTAACTTTGACCTGCCAATTTCAGAACCAAGAGATGTTGCAAGAAAGCAGAAATAACCCTCAGACGCTAATTTTCCTCAAGCGGCGCCCTCTTCCGACTTGTGATGAACCCTTGAAAAGAGTACGTCGGTCCAGCAATTTTAATTGTTTTTTTTTTCAATCTAGGTGAACTGCTTTTTCCCGTGCCTGAAGATTACATTGTTTGAATTAAGAACAAGTTGGTTTCCAGTTTCACTTGAGTTTTTAATTTTTGATCAGAGAAAAGTGCATTTTATTACGACTGTGGAGAAAACATCGTGCAGAGCTTCAACTGGAAAGATCACCTCAAAAATACTGCCGAGAAGTGTCTTGTCAATCACAACGTTTCTGGTCAGTGCTTTTTCCTCGTTCTCTCCAAACTTTTCCAATTTCAGGAACAGAAAACACATTGATGGTGCAGTACTTCTATAGTGCAGCGGCGAACTTCAGCAGCGACTTTGAAGAAGAAAACGGCCGTCCGTTGTGCCATCAGAAAGGTGAGCCTTTTCAAAAAATCACTTTATTTTCTAGAAAATCATCCCCTTCGGGTACATTCTTTTTCATGCAACAGCGAGTTTTATTCAAAATGGTAAAAATGTTTCTAGAGGGATTTATGAAAAAAATTTCGAAAAAACGAAAAAAACTTTTTAATCGAACGCATCTGAAAAATTCGAAAAAATGAAAAGAAGAGGATTTTCTTATCAATTGCTTATTGGAGACGAAATAAAGCAATATTGGCGTCGAGTTTCGCGCCCCAATGACTTCTGAGCAATCGATGCGCATTTGAATCATCAAATTTCTTTAATTCTATGAGTTGAGCCAGTTATGAACCGTGTTTTATTTTTCATAGCGACCAATAAACTTTTTTTCAAATCATTTTTTTTAAAAATAAAATAATGTTAAAAAAACATTTTATTGATAAAATTTTTTTCCTAATCTGTAAACAAAAAAATCAGTACTTTTTGCATCTAGTAGAATCCGAATCTTTATCAAGAAAAATGGCGTACTGTCTCTTTAGTTATAAAAAGTTGAATCTGGAAAGAGTTTAAAAAAAAAGGTTAGAAAATAAATTGAGTCTCATTAAGAAATGCGGAGCCGATCTATATATGAAGCAGCGAAAGCGTCTTCAGACGACAGCATCCTGATTTGGACTATGGCTATCTTGACCGTCGTCGCGCTCTCCGCCGTCGGGTACTTTATTTTCGAGAAGTGCTGCTCCAACAACGACGACGTTTTGCGGAACGACATGCCCCTCCTCGAAACGAGCAGCGCCGCTCAGTCGCTTCTTCAGAAACGCGTCAACAGCGCCAACGAGGTCGTCAGAACTGGGGCCGCTGTCCCTCAAATTATTTGCGATCAAGAAGAAATCGACAGAAATTCTTCGCTCAAAGTAACCGTTTAGAACATCTCTGAACGATGCTGTAAGGTAAAAGAAAATATAAGTTAATTGATAACTCTAGCAATTTTTTATACACATGAATTTATTTAATTGAATTTGTTCAGTTGTATCTCACGCCTGTTTAAGGAGGCCGGTCGTATTACGGTAGTTTGAATAGGTTTTTTTCAATTATAAAAATGAAATCTTCTGTACTTTTTGTGACGTAACTTACCTTGTAACCTCGAGAAGTAGGTCCTTAACAAATTGCAAAAAAGAAAGAAAATTTAAAAAATTTCCTGGCCTCCAAAACTGACTGCGCAATATTGACCGGCCACCGGCCGTCGTAGTACTGTCTCAAACATGCGTGATCTGGTTGTTTTTTTTTTTAATATTTTCCTGAGCTTCAAAAACTGGATATAATTCTTTCAATTTTCATTTCCCTAAGAAGTTTCATATTTGATACGTCCCTTATCGATTCCTTCTTCAGCTCCAGTTCCAGGCTTGTTTCTGAGTTCACTTCATGTAGCCTACTTTATACAGAGCTTGCAGTAAGCCGGTTTGCTTCGCAGGTGTTGTAGTTGCATAATTCAGTTTTCTGATTCATCGTCAATTATGCTCAAAATTTTCTCATATTTATTTACTTTCTTCTTCTTTCTCAACTGTTAAAGCTGAGAAAGTTTAGAGTGTTACACTAAGAATTGGACGTGCAATTAAAAGAAAGACGATTTTTATATACATTCATGTTTTAGTTTCCGGAATCGCTAATATCTTCTCTTCATACGATATATAGTTTCCTCATTATTATTCACAATTTTTTATGAAAATAAAATTCGTGGAAACTTCGCTAGTTTGGCTTTTATAATATTATATTCCGCTGTTTTTTTGCAATGCAATTCTGAAAAAGCTATTGAGCTATGACACTGGCAATGCGAATCTTGAAAAATCAGACTTAAGAGAAGAGAGGAAAAATTTTTCTAAAAACTTTTTCTTTAAAAAAATTATGTTAAAAAAATGAGAGTTACTGGGAAATGATAGATGCGCGTAGAGAAATAAATAGAAAGGAAACGAAAGAAGTTAACTAATGATTTGACATCTTTCAAAGATGAACCGCCGAAATTGAAAGGGTTCCGGTTTGGTATAGGAAAAGCAGGAGGCGAAAGCCAGGATTGTTTCTTGTTCCATTGTCCGCTAACGGCTTCTCCGGTGTATCCAGGTCAGACTCTTATCAGCCTTATCAGCGCCAATCCGCCCTCTGCCCCAGGCTTTCGCCTCATTCGCTTTCACCTTTTGGCGATCATGCTGCTGCTAGCGCTTTTGGCGGCTGTGCCACTCGTTTCGGCCGGCACCTGCGGCTCCTCCGGAATCCCGTTCAGGTTCGAAGTGCTGCCCTCCGGTACGCCTGTCCTCGGCTGCGGCGCTCCATCCTGCTTCGGAGCTGAAAACGCCGGTCGCGACCTCAGACACGACGCTCTTTTCAAGGTTAGTCTCTTTTTCCCAGCTGTCGGCTTGATTTCAGCTCTTTCTCTGTTACAGAGCGGTCCGGAAGGAGACGACGGCTTTTTCCGCCAAGGAGATCTTTCTCGTCCGCGAGTCCGCCACGGAGATGCTCCGTCTCAGGTGAAGCACGAGTTGCAAGACAAACAAAATAACATGCCATTACCAGATGGCAAACTGTCCTCGAACTTTCGACTCGAACACCTGCTCTAATCCACTCACGTGGGTTGGAGGATTCGAAGCCAATGAGGATGGAGAGTGAGTTTCGCCAACATCTGTCTGATTCGCAATAAAAATTCGTTTTGTTTGAAACGAAAAGGAAGAACTTTTATGGAAAGTTTTAGGAGTTTGATAAATTTAAAGGCACATGGCCAGTGAAAATATGGTGTTTTACTTATGATCCTCATGTGCAGAGACTTTATCGCGTTTTGAACGGTTTGGTTGAAAGTTCACAAAAGTTTATACGTTTGGGATTTAAGAACTAAAGTACAAACTGAAAAATCCGAATAGCCAAATTTTACAGCAAAGTTGCTCCATTGACAAATATTTTCTTTTTTTCCCTTTTTTTTATTTTTTTCCTTTTTTTTTGTCCTCTGATTGAAACTGGCCCTTTGATAATCTTCACGATTTTCATAAAATGTCATAGATTTGCTCTGAAAAGTTTCCGCGTTGATAATTTTTTTCGGCCTTAACTTTTGTTTTTAATGTTATCTGTAGCCTTTGATTCAGATTTTGAAGAAAGCTTATGGCGTGTTCATCGGAAAAAAAAAAACGAAAATTGCTCAAAACAAAAATTGGTACTGTTTCGGAGCAACTTTGGCGCGCCGACTAACACGATTTTTCGTTTTGAAGCATGTTTCGTTTCTCCGATGAAATCTCCATTTTTTTTTCTCAATTATGAACTTTTCGGATTTTTTCGGACAGCTGTGCAAAGCTCAAACTAAACAGTTTTGGAAAAAAAAAATTTTGGAATCTCAGTTCCGAAATCAAGTTTCGAGTGTTTGATGAGTAGTTGACTTTTCAAATGTTGAAAACGCTTGCTGGAAGTTCCTTGAGTTTCTTTTTGCAGACTACGTCTTCAGTGCTGCAGCTATGAAGGACTTCGTCACGCGGCAGAAGTTGGTCGGCCCATCGTACATCCTGGAGAAGTTTACAGCGGCGGTGAGCGTCTCTTTACAAAAACCGACGAAAACGAGTCCTTTTTCCAGGAGAAGTTCTGCGCGACGGCCGTCAGACTGGCTTCGATGCGATTTCCAACATCAAGAAGATCGAGACGGCAGATGGATCGTGAGTAAACCTTTTCCTGCAGTAGATATGGGATCACAGAATCGCATACGAAGTGACTGTCACTCGGATGAACTGCCTTCCTGACCCTCCAGAGAGCACCAACTCCGGTTCGTGCTGCTCAAATTCTTCCTAGACCTCCCTTGTTTAGTTTCCTTTGACGTTTCCCGCGACATCGGCAGAATTCTCGACAAGGTCGATGAGAGCAACTCCGCCCGTGGCGTTCAGACCAATGAAATTGTTGTTAGTGAAGCTTTCGACTTTGCTTGAATAATTGTCAATTTTCAGGGTGATCAACGACTTTCGCCCTCCGGAGGAGGAGTCCAAGGAGATCAGTACAACGGCGGAGCTGCTGCGGATGACTCTTATGTCGCTCCTGCGCAAGATCCCGGGCAACAGCCTGAGCAGTTTGTTCAGGTATGATATTTTTCGAAGATTTTCTTTCTTTATCAACTCAGATTTTTTCTAAAAATACTTAAGCGGGATATTTTTTGAACTATTAAGCTTATGAGAATCATTGAAAAATGAAAAAAAACCTCAAAGAAACAAGAATATGAAAATTTTTTTCATTGAAATAGAGCACATTGTTGGGAAGAAAAAAATCTACGTGAGCTTCACTTACTTTAACTTCGACACTCTCATCCAACACTGAACATTGAAAAGAGTTACTAGTTTGAAAAGTTAGAAAGAGTTTTTGAACGATCAGCTAGATTATTCGAACAGGGCGCTTTTTGAAAAACGAAGGATATTACAGGTGGGAGAGCAAGTGATCCCCGTGACTTCTGCCGGCTACTATTACCCAGTGGCGTCTGGCGTTCCGGCCTGCTTCACGGGCGACGGCATCGTCCGCACTCCAGAAGGCCCGAAGCATATGCGCGACGTCCACGTCGGCGACCTGCTTCTGACGGCCGAAGGCAACGGCACGCAGTTCACACGCGTCGCTTCTTTCATGCACAGACTTCCGGAGACGCGAGCCGCCTTTGTCAAGCTTCAGGCTGGTGACCACGTCATCTCCCTCACTCCGCAGCATTTCATTTACAAGGTTCGGGTTGCGCTTTCCTGGATCTTTCGTTCCAAGCTGCGATTTAGGCTGATTGCGACTCTCAAATCACCGAGTTGGTCTACGCTGAAGACGTTCGTGTTGGCGATTGCTTGTTGATCAACAAGGAACAAGGTAAACTACTTCTCCTTTCCACCGAATCCTGAAGAACTTCAGCGCTTCTCCCTACCGAAGTCACCAACAAATCAATTTTCTATGAAACTGGCGTCTACGCCCCCATGACCGAAACTGGTAATTTTATTTTTCTTTTGCTTATTTTTCAAAAATTCAACTGGAATTCCGATTTTCATTTTCTATCAAAGTTTATTATAGAAAGGAATATTGAGGTTTGATCATTTGAAGCTTCAGAGGAGACTATCTTCTCTGAGCATGTAGGAGTTTGAAACCAACCTGATTTTCTATCAACCCAAATAACTAGTTAAATCCCATCGCCCTGAAGCTGAAGTTGGAAGACTTACGATTCTTATACGCCCTGTGGATAATTTTTAATTGTTTACTTTTTTACGCGGAGAGCAAAACAAGGAATAAATTATGTCAATGAGCGGCGGGGTGGGCCCTTTTTTGTAACTTTTCTTAGGCCTATTCTCGAGCTCTTTTCTCGTAAGCTCCAAAAAAAAAAAACGCATGTTCGGAATGAAAATGATGTGCTTTAAGGTGATCTGATCGTGGATGACGTGTACGCTTCTTGTCACAACGTCATCAAGGCCAACACTCTCTCACACACTTTCCTCTCTCTGGCGTCAGGGTTCCAGCAAAAGGTGAGTATCTGGAATTCACAAACCTTACTTTTACCATACTAAAATACGACGGTGATTGCAGTTCCGCAACTTTTTGGGATCTGTGGACAACGGCCATCTGCCGGCGACGTCCGAATTCTTCCTCCACGTCATCGACGTCCTTCTGCCCATGAAGTACTGAGACGTCGTCCTTCCACCGTACGGACTTCATCCATATTCCTTCACACCTCACTTGCAGCTCAGTGGTGCTAATAATGTATAGACTCCTTAATAAACTCTCGATTTCTTTCCAATTTACTTGCAAAACAGTCGTATTTGAAGTTTGGAATGTGCACAAGATGAAAAAGAGACGAAATCTCTTTTTGCTGATCTCAGAAATGGACAGGTAGTGGGGAAAAGACGACGAGTGAAAGGCGTCGCTATCGCTGACCGACTTTCTGCGTTTTATCGAGGTAATTGGTTCAAGTTGGACTTTACTCAACTTTCCTCACGCTTAATGATTTTTAAGACTTGAAAGAAAAGTTGTTTCGATCAACTCGTAACCCGGACCTTTTGAGGTTTTTTCTCGAAAACTCATTTTTACGCTTTTATTTCTTTTTCTTTACAAGGAGACGGAACTCGTTACGATAGAATTAAACTCAAAAAAAGTCGTTCAACTATCTTTTTTAAAAAGATGAAGAATGAAGATTGATAGCCGTTCAGTTAAGAAAAAAAGTATTTTTTTCAAATTTTTTTATCAGATCTTTTGAGGTCATGATAGCTCGACAGTTTTCATTTATTCGGAAAAAAAAATCCTTTTCACCGTTCTAGTTTGAATTAAAGCCTTGGTTGAATATATGCGAGAGCATTTTCTTCGGCTTACGGAGCCGAAGTTGTCCTTTTATTGTCTGATGAGGATACTGAAGACAGGTACGGCCTTGACCCGTCATCCCGTCTTGGCCGTCGCCTCGGCTGACCCACAAAAGCGCTCGTCCGAGAGACATTCATTCCGAATCCGTCACTGTTAGCCAATCACTTCTCCGGCTTTCCACGCCTAATTTCATGCTCTTCGCAACATTTTCTCTATGTATTTTTTTCGCTCAACGCTTTCTGTACTTTCATAACTCTTCGTAAAATTTTACACCGTGATAAAATAATAGAACAATGTATGAAAAATTAGAAGAGTTCAAAAACAAGAAAGCAATTTTTGCTTCTGAGATCTCCTTGGCTCTTACATTTCAAATTTAATTCGTTTACCCGTTTTCTTAAGACTGAAAAAATTAAAAATGAATGGACGTTTACTGAGAAAGACTTGAACTCATAATAGCCGATTTTCATTCCCAAACTTCTCATTTTCTGTTTATGTGAACTTTTTCTCATTGTTTCACAAGTCATTTTTGTCAGATATGATCTCTCTTTTGGTGTTTCTGGTGGCTGCGTCATTCGTCGAGGCCGCCGTACCCGTCCGTGGCACCATGTGCTCCAAGAACCAGGTTTGAGCTCGTCTTCAGATTCTTTCCACGAACGTCTGCTATTACAGGTTGTCCGAAAACTCACAGTTTACGAGGACGGAGCTCTGGAGGCCGAGTGCGGCCCAGTTCCTTGTGGCGAGGCTGGCAGACGATGCATCGAGGTATTTTCCAATAAATTGGGCGCTGACTACATTTGTAATATAAAATAGCTATGACTTTCAAAATCGTTTCTCGAACGTGATTTCTATTGTATATATCAGCCTTTGTTTTCCAGGATCAAACGTCTTGTCGGGCGGAGACTGACGTCTTCTCTGGTATGCGCTGGGCAGCCAACGGTGAAAGGTGATTTTTCAAAAGTTGGAACTAAGTCTATCATTTCTTATTTCACAAAATTCAATCTGTGAAAATAATATGAAGCTTGAAAATCTTTTGCAACAACGAAGCGAGTTTTTGAGAAAGTAAAAATTTGTTTTCAGTATTTTGATGCGTTGCTGCACAATGAAGACGAAGGAGAAGATCTACGTCGGCACAGACATCGTGTCCGCCGGCTCGTTCTACGAGGGAGGACCGGTTTCTGAAAAAGACCTTTACGGATCCGAAGGCGGCTCTGAGTACGACTTCATCGCCAACGCCAGAATCGAGCAGTCAGTTTGAGCCAAAGCGCCATTCCAACCTTTGGATTTTTTGCAGAGGCGGCGTCCGCGTCTGGGTCTACCGTATGATCTGCAAGCCAGGAGAAAAGCCAATCGACTTCGAGCCAATCACCACACCGGCTCCTTTTGAACCAGACGTCGTAACGGTGAGTTCTAAGAAATCTCGAAGATGTGCAGGGTAGTGACTTCGTTTTTGCACAAAACTACGGTTCGAGTTTCGATAGAATCCGTTTCCAATAAATTCCGTTCCTCACAGACCCGACTTCCCACCACGACTACCACCACGGAAGCACCAGTTATGGAGGAGTCTCAGGATGAGAAAGAGGAAGAAACCGAGTCTGACAACGAAAAGACGACGTGAGCCTTAATCCCATCAAAATTTGAAGATCTCTTTTTTTCGTAGGGAAGACGTCGGAGCAACAGAAGATGAGGAAGAAAGTGAGGACGAAGGAGAAGAGACTGAGGAACCAACAACGGTGAGTTGACAGAATCGCATATCCGATATAAACGTGTACTTTACCCTGTTTTCCAATATTCGAACTACTACTATATATCACAATCCTGGATTTTTCAGACGACGCTGGAACCAAGAGCTTTCAATCCTCTGCGCTACCGACCGCCTCATGTCCCTCGTTCTACCGGTGTCCGACGAGCCTGAAATCCCTTATTTTCTCAAAAACTACGCTCCTAACCAAAGTTGATCTGAATCGCACACATTCCAAGAACTATAAAATCTCATGTAAGTCAATAAATGTTCAAATTATGTCCTTTTAAATACAAAGCGGCATGAAATTGAAAGAAAAAAAATTAGTTTGCGTTGTGCGAGAACGACGCTTCAATCGGATTACAGTAGAATGCGATTCTTCTTTGAAACTTCGGCAGAAGCCCATTTCCACGAGACACCCCAATGCGAGAGACAAATGAGATTAATTTTATGAGCACTTTTCAGAAGTTCTTATATCAAAGCACGACTTTTTCAGAAACTAATGATTATGAAGCTCTTTGTCTTCATCCTGCGCTTCTTTCGCTTTTCGGCAACGCCCAAGTCGTATTTTCGCTTTAGTGCTTTGAAATATCATCTCCTCTTCCAGCGCAATATCTTCCGTTTGTTTTTCCGCTTTGAATATCTTGAGATGTCTGAATGCACGGCGTTTAGAAATCTTCATCGTCTTCAACTTTAACAAGAATTTCGCGTTCAAATTTTCCTTCTTACATAGGAGCGCTTTTTTGTTTTGTCTCCGAGAAACTCAGGAAGAAATTCCATCAGCTGGCGCTATATCAAGAACGCCATCGAAGGAAGGCTTTTCCAGGCCTCGAGAGACTTTCCGTCGCTTTGGCATCCGTCTTCGTTCTATTTGATTCCAAACTTCCATTAGCCGTTTACAATTCATTCCCTTTTGGGCTCTAATTTGTTTCTGCTCGTTTTAATTGTTCTTTTTGATTAGTTTCGCTCGTGAATCGGAGAAAAAGATTATTTCCCAGGATCGTCGTTATCATTTCCGTTGAAAGATTAACAAACTCTGAAAATGTAACACCTGAAAAAAGAAAAGTAGATCTTAGCAAATTCGAAGAAAGTTGGAGATGCACGGCAAAAAAAGAGAGCCGGCTGTGCTAATTATGCTTGGCACTTGGCCAGAAGACACGCCCATTTTCCCTCGGGGTGTTTCTTGCTTTCTTCCATTGTCTTTCCAATCTTTTCCTTTGTTTTGTTTAAATTGGCTCTTGGTCCTTTCGAATTATTGGGAACAATTGCTCAAAGTTATCTCCAAGATTCCCAGCTCGCACTTCCTTTTCCAGAGTTATGAACTTTTGTGGTGGTAGATGAAAGTGTAACGGAGTCAGGCAGCAAATGAAGAAATATATTTTGCAACCTCGTCTCTTCCATTCAAAGAAAAAAAGTTTGAAAACCTGAACAATTTTACAAAAAAACCAAACTAGACGTCAAAAACCCGAGTAAAGCTTGGAGGGAGTCTGGCACTCGAGTTCGGCCAGTTTGCAGGCCGAAGAGGGTGTTTTTGAGTGAGTCTGGACCCATTCCCAAGCTTTTCTGCTGCGAAAAGGTACGCTTTTCCTTTTCATTTCCTTTCTCAAATGTTTTCACGCCTCATTTGGGTTGTATTTTGACACGTTCTGTCTGTCAATCGCCAAAACTGCCCGTCTTTCAATAAATTCGATTTTAGTGCCCAAAAAATGAACTTGAAGACTCCACATGGGGCTTTTTCATTGACAAATCCTTGTGCCCTAATGGTCGATTCAACTTTTTGAGGCTTGACTCATCAGGAATAGTTGGTAAATTCAAAAAAACCGGCCTAAACTCAGAAGCTTTTCTCTTTATCAAGATACTTCTACTTTGAAACTAGAGAGGCGTTTCTAGAAAATGGTGATTAAGAAAAATTTGCAGTGGTCCACAACACTAAATTCAAAAAAATATAAAAAAATCGCTCGAATTTTTTTCTCAAACACTCAAGTTCAATAACTTTTTTTACAACAATTGATAATCACATTTTTTTCTTTTCAAATAAAAATTTTGGGGACATTACTTTTACAGCGTTTTATTGAAGTGAAAATTCGAAACTGTTCGTTTTTCAGATCCACAAAAAAGTAAAGTCACATTTTATGAAACTTTGAAAGAATGTGAGAAAATTAGAATAAAAAGAACTTGAGAAAAAGTTGTTCGAAATTTGTTTCGCTCTGAATATCGAGACTTGTTCGAAAGGCTCATTTCGTAAATAGATTTGCCGGGTTTTCTAGTTTTGAGAGATTTTGCTTCATGGAGGGAAGAAATAAAGTGATCATGTTAAGAGCCTCGTAAAATGCTCATCCAACAACAACAATTGGCGGAGTTTGGCACAATGGAAGGTGCCGCCGGAGCTTAATTTATGGATGGAAGTAAGTGTTGATTAGGAGAGGAGACGAAAAACCGAGGACCCGTCTGGAGGCCCTGGGCCAATGGACCTCTGCATCTCCTTCAATCGCGTGCTCTCTAACCGTTATCTCGGACTTTGTCATTTCATCCTCAATTATCCTTCTTCATCCATTTTACACACACTGGAAGAGAGAGAGCGGCTCGCACGCCTAGCATTCTCCGACTCTTCTTTTTTCCGGACGTTTCAGTTCTGTTTGTCTTTGGCTACACGATTAACGGGTTTCCCTTGATTCTCTTCCGGAGTTCGAGCCTAGTTACTTGTTTTTATCGTTCCTTTCACACCTTCTTATGTATCTGAGAAAACTATCGATGAACGAGAAGTTCGGATACCTAACTCCTAGTTTCAACGATTTTAAAAAAACCTAAATGTATTCATTCTTTGAGTCGAAAACGCAGTACTCATCTTAATTTTTGCGAGACTCTCGAACCTTATAGTTAATTCCTCTTCGAAGAAATATTTTATACTTCACAATAACGGAAATGTTCAAATGAAGAAGGTTTTCTTGAATTGTAAATGATGTATAAGCTTTTCTTTAGTTTACAGGGAACCGAAAGTCAAGAATTCAGAACCTTATCTTGCAATATGCGCGATAGTCTTTTGCTTTGAACTCGCGGATCAGAAATGATGTCTTCGCATTGCCAATTCATGAGACCGCCTGGTTTCTCAGACCCAGTACTACATCTTTCACAGGCCTCAACTTTCGACTTTATCTCTCTTCAAATAAGCAATTTATTATAAACTATAATGATAAAACGCTAATTGCAAGTCCTTACTTGTTATGAAGAGCCTTGAAAATTTTGCTTAGCCAATCCGACTTGAGAGCGAGAAATAGGTCCGTCAGACTAGCCATGAATTTGAATGGGACGATGGTTTTTCATGGCACTTGTCTTTTGGGAAAAGTTGAGCTATCAAACTTTGAGCAATAGTATTGTCACGAGCTTGAAAACCTCAGTAGGCTTCACAAAATAGTTTCAGAATGTTTTTGAAATGAAAGTCAAAAGGAAGTCAGTCACCATTAGTTTCAAAAACATTTTAGAAGGGCTTGTAATTGGTTCAAAAACAATTGCTAAGACAGCATTATTTAATTTTGGGTTTCAAAGAGAATTACAAATTACAATGGTGAGCTGCCGAACACTTTTATTGGTTCTTCAAGATTCCCACAAGCGTTTCCGAGCAGACTATTGAAAAACGTTATGCTTTGGCTAATTGCAAACAAACATAACTCATACAAACACGAGGCACTCTCCAACATTACCTTAGCCTCATCTGAATGTAGAAAAGCTTGACGAGAACCATGTTAGTTATTCGCGACTACACTTGGTCTTTTACTTCTTAGAAGCTTTTTTTTTTCTTCCCGAAAAGCAAACTTCTGCATTTTCGCGTTTACCCGTACAGCTGTTCCTGGAACGTTTTTATCAGCATCGCATGTCTCCCATCCGTTCTCAAAAGATATTACAACTCGTAAACTAACTACTCAAGTTAAGTATGAAATCTAATCACGAATCTCCAAGCTGTACATACACACAAACTTTTTCGAAATAACTATATCTAACGTTTAACTTCGCAGAGCATATCATACAGCGACCGTTGACGGCAAACCTTCAGATTTTGCTTCCTGATTTTTCCGTCCGTTTTCTCCCTACTTTCTTGATAATTTGTTCCAAAACTTTCTATTTGTAGGTGCACGCAGCACATTTGGCCTATGGCCAATGTCAAAACTCTCGGGTGAGTCTGGCCTTTTTGGAAATCAGACATTATTGAAGTAGTTTCGAAAAAAAGACAAAAAGCTTACAGAGGAAGATCGTATTCGAGAGGTTCTTCGTGAGTTAAAGTCGCGCGGAGACGTGGAAGACGTTCACGACGACATTGAACGAATTGAGAGTATCCTGCGGAATCCTCTTTTCAATCACTTCACCAACAAGGTTTTTTTTCTTGTAGTTTTATTGTTTTTCAGGTTCAAAAAATCCTCTACCTTTTTTTTTAGTGCGTTGTGGTCTCACTATTATAATATAAATTAAGATTTGAAGAATTTTTTTCAAGTTTTTTTTTTCCATGTTTTAAAATTCAAGATAACGCGGCGTTCAACAGGAGGCTCAATCTCACGGTTTACCCGCTGCCGCACGCTTTCTTTTAAATTAATTTTGCGCATTTCTTAACCGTTTTTAAATCGGGTTTTTGTTTTGATAGATTACCAAAACTGAGCTCAATGTTTTGTCATGAATCTTTTGTACAATTGTCATACGAACTTTTGATAAAATAATAAAAAAACTACTTACTACTTAGAAAAAAAGTCAGAAGGGATTTTTTTCCGCTCATTCTTTTCTTTTCTAATCGGAAAAAAATTATTATCACTAGACTTGGAAAAATGATAAACAATCTCATTTAAAAATAAAACATAAAAGATTGAAATTTTATGACGAAAAACGGCTCCTGCAACATTTAAAAGCGGGGCGTCGGTTTGTTTGACGCAAGCACAGCTACGAACAAGCGCACGAATTTTTCCAAAATGCAAAAAAAAATTTTTGTTATTTTTTTCGCGTCGCGAATATCTAATGCCGTGTTCAATTTGATTCCGCGAAATTCAAAATACCCGTTAGAGAAAGGAAAAGATCACTAAATTTTGGAGAGTCAGAGATCATTTTGCATTTCGCGGAATCAAATTGAACACGGCATAACGACGCGTCGTTAGATTTTTTTTTCTTTGTTTTTTCATTAAGGTAGTTCTGAACGCTTTACTTATCAAAAGTTTAGACGCGTTCCTGATGTCTCACGGTTCAACGAGGTAGACGAAAAAGAAGGTTTTGGTTGAAGTCAAATATAATTTGATTCGCTGTTCCAATAATTATTTCCATTCCGAAATTTTGTTTTTAGGCACGCTATGAGTTTTTATATCGAAAAAAATATACCATGTCGCTGAAATTTTTTTGCGTTTTAACTTCAAAGTTTGGTGTCCCTTTACAAGCTTCGATTTTTTTTTCACGTCGTCAGAATTTTTTTCATTTTCACTCATTGAATAAAAAAGATGTTAATGTATAACATAATTGAAATTTAGAAGCGTTCCTCACTTGGTTTTTTGAAACGCGACGATTTTGTGAAATTCGTCAATTTTTTTTCGCATATTCATGAAAAATACATGGTTTCAAAGATACTCAGATTTGTAGAGCGTTGTCAATTACATTTGTTAACATAAAAAATTATTTTTTTTTCTGTTTTTGCAACTAGCGCAACAAAAAATCGTCAATTTTGGAGGCGTGAAGGGGCGGGGCTTTGCTCTCCCTACCTATATACAGTACCGCTCAAAAGTATATTAAGTTTTGGTTTTTTGAGGATATCTCAGCGAGTACTTATCCGATTTATATATAACTTCTAGGGATAATGTAAAATGTACTTTGAAACATATATGGTATACAAAGACATGTCCGCAATCACTGTGACGCGTTTTAGGCATTTTTTATTGAATTCAATTTTTTTGTTTCTTATGCTTGTATTTTTATTTATTTTTATTAAATTTTTTTGAAGTAATAATGTTGCCATATGATTTTTTTCATGTTTTGAGACATGAGAAGAACCTCTGGAAAAAGGATTTGACTGATAACGACAAAAGAGCCATCGTTGTGGGTAGGGGGCGCAAAGCCCCGCCCCTTCATGCCACCAAAATGACGATTTTTTTTGTTGCAGAAACGGTTTTGAGGCGTTTATACTAGCTAAAGTCCCACTTTAAAAATGAACTGTTTCTGTTTATCTATGTAATCGACAACGCTCTACAAGACTGAATACTTTTAAAACTATGTATTTTTCAAAAATAAGCGAAAAAGTAAGATTTACCACGAAAAAAACTGACAAGTTTCACAAAATCGTCGCGTTTCAGAAAACCAAGTGAGGAACGCTTCTGAATTTTGAGTGTGTTATACATTAACACTTTCTTTATTTTTTTGAGTAAAAAAATTTAAAAAAATCTAACGACGCGAAAAAATCAAAGCTTGTAAAGTGACACCAAACTTTGAAGCTGAAATGCGAAAAAATTTCAGCGACATGGTATACTTTTTATTTGATTTAAAAAAATTCACAATGTGTTTAAAAAAATAAAAAAATTCAGAATGAAAAATAATTATTGGGACAGCGAATCAAATTATATTTGAATTTTACCAAAACCTCCTTTTTTTCGCCTGCCTCGTTGACGCATGAGAGAATAGGATCGCGTCTATACTTTTGTTTATGTTATTAAGCGTTCAAAACTCTATCAATGAAAAAATTATGAAAAAAATCAAACGACGCGAAAAAAATAACGGCTTTAAAAACCTCGAAAAAATGTCAATTTTTTTTGAAATTTTGGAAGAATTCGTGCAAGCGTTCGTAGCTGTGTTTGCGTCAAACACACCGATACGCCATTTTAAATGTCGCAGGAGCCGTTTTTCGGAGTCAAATTGCACATTTTCCTGTTTTATTTCGAAATAACATTATTTTTTTCATTTTTTTCTTTTTTTCAAACAAAATGATAATAATTTTTTTCTCATTAGAAAAAAAGAAAAAAAGCTGAAAAATTCCTTCTGACCTTTTTTTCTAAGTAGTTTTTTTGATATTTTATCAAAAAAATTCTTATGAGGATTGTGCAAAAGATTCATACCTAAACATGAAACTCAGTCCGGACAACCTCTCAGAGCAGAAAACCAATTTAAAAACGGTCCAGAAACGCGCAAAAACATTTAAAAAGAAAGCGTGCGGCAGCTGGTAAACCGTGAGATTTTGCCTCCAGTTGAACGCCGCGCGCGCTAGTTTTTTGGCCATAACTTTTTTCTTAGTGGAGCTTTTTTCTAAAACTGAACGGAATATGAAAATGGACAGTCTCCTCTATCGAACAGTGTGAAAAACATATTTTTTGGATCTTTTTGAAGAAATGGCTTGCGGTCCCTAGTTGTGGGTCGTCAGAATGGACTGACCATGATGACGTTGGCAGGAACGTTCGGCGTGACACAGGCGTGTATTTCTCATTTCCTAAAGCGTTTGAAAGCTCAAGATGGCTCTACTAAGAGCCAACGCACTGGAAGACCACGTGTCACTGATCTTAATGACGATAGAAACATTTTGAAGACGCCTAGAACCAATCCAAGACTTACCGCCCTTGCGATCAGACGGAAAGTTTTCTTGAATTCGCCATATCTGCCATCCGTCTCGACCGTGAAACGACTTCTGAATGCTGCTGGAATAATGGGAAGACGTGCAGTGAAAAAACCGCTGATTTCTGAAAAGAATCGAGGTGCCAGGGTGAAGTGGGCGAAGGAGCATCTCAACTGGACCCGTCAAGACTGGAACTAGATTCTGTGGTCCGACGAAAGCAAGTTCCTCCTCTTCGGAAGTGACGGAATTCAGTGGGTTCGTAGACCAATTGGGTCCAGATATCATCCGAAATACCAATTACCCACTGTGAAACATGGTGGAGGACCGTTTCGTCGGATCACAGAATCTTGTTCCAGTCTTGACGGGTCCAGTTGAGATGCTCCTTCGCCCACTTCACCCTGGCAGCTCGATTCTTTTCAGAAATCAGCGGTTTTTTCACTGCACGTCTTCCCATTATTCCGGCAGCATTCAGAAGTCGTTTCACGGTCGACACGGATGGCAGATATGGCGAATTCAAGAAAACTTCCCGTCTGATCGCAAGGGCGGTGAGTCTTGGATTGGTTCTAGGCGTCTTCAAAATGTTTCTATCGTCATTAAGATCAGAGACACGTGGTCTTCCAGTGCGTTGGCCCTTAGTAGAGCCATCTTGAGCTTTCAAACGCTTTAAGAACTGAGAAATACACGCCTCTGTCACGCCGAACGTTCCTGCCAACGTCATCATGGTCAGTCCATTCTGACGACCCACAACGATGGCTCTTTTGTCGTTATCAGTCAAATCCTTTTTCCAGAGGTACTTCTCATGTCTAAAAAAACATGAAAAAAATCATATGGCAACATTATTACTTTAAAAAAATTTAATAAAAAAATAAATAAAAAAATAAAAAGCATATAAAAACAAAAACAAAAAAAGTTTAATTCAATAAAAAAAGGCCTAAAACGCGTCACAGTGTCTGCGGACATGTCTTTGTATACCGTATATGTTTCAAAGTACATTTTACATTATCCCTAGAAGTTATATATAAATCGTATAAGTACTCGCTGAAATATCCTCAAAAAACCAAAACTTAATATACTTTTGAGCGGTACTGTATTGGCACCACTATCGCTTGCAAAAGTAGTTCCTAAAAAGATGAAATGTCCATGGTCTGTTCAGATTTTGAATGTCAAGCAGCTAACTCCGCCCCCAAGGCTGCAATATCTTTCGCGTCAATGTTTCATTTCCAGATGACGATGAACCTTTATTATGGCTGAATTTTTTTTACTTCTTTTCTATCTTTTAGAACAAAAAAGAACAAACATTTTTCTCGCTATAAAGCATCGACGCCAAAAGGTACTGCGCCAGTAGAGGCGGAGTGAGCTGCTTGACATTTGAAAACTGAATAGGCTATAGTCGATTATTATTTGAGAAGAAGCATCAGCATGCGAAAATCTCAACAAATGAGCGTTATTTGAATGATAAATATCAACAGAGCTCAATTTTGTCTTTTCAATTTCAAATCTAAAGGAAGAAACAAAAAATAAAAAACCCTTGAGGGATCACTTAAGCTTTAAGGGCCATACCATAACCTCTCATTATAGGCCTATAGGAATAACTCCGGCGTTTTCGAGCTCAGCTCGTAAATGTTTAGTTCATTTCCTCGCATGCTGATCAGGTGTCTCAACGGGTGTACCCGTGTTAAACCCGTGTTTCTGAGGTTATTTTAGTCTCCGTTGGCCTAAAACGGGGGAACAACGGGTGTAAGAAAAATATGTAACCCAGCTGTGCTAAAGCGGGGTCTCAGTTGGGCTAAAAATTGCCAAAAGTTCTATCAGCTGGGCTTTTACGGGTTAAATACGGGGGCACCCGCTGAAACCCCGTGTTAGCACGGCGGGGTTACCCTGCTCAGCATGCGAGTCGTTTTCTCATGCCGTGTTCGTAGTTAATACCGCGGTATATCGTTGATCTTTTTTGTTCTATAAGATAGAAAAGAAGTCAAAAAATGCAGCCATATCAAAGGTTCATCGTCATCTGCGATGAAACTTTGACGTGAAAGATATTGTAGCCTTGGGGGCGGAGTACGCTCCTTGACATTCAAAATCTGAACAGACTGTATAGTCCATGGTGGTCGAAAATCTGAAATCAAACATTTTTCTCAATTGCTCCCCTTTGAAAAATAATAACTTATGTGGTAGAATTTTTTTTATGGGAATGTATTCCAACTGATTTTTTTTGTTTCAGAATAGCGGAATCAATCAAAAGGCAACGAAGAAGTCAGTAGGTGAGCCGAATTTTTAAAAAAAAATGAAAAACGAAAGAGTTCTGAAAATGAATCCTCACTTTTTTTTAACCCGATCCACTACTGTAATTTTTGATTCCGAGCTAACCTACGTTGACTCACTTACGCTATTTTCACGATTTTTCAAAGATTAAAAACCGTTTTAATACGTATTGCGCTTTAAGTATATTCCTATGATTGAGATCCAGCCATGTATTACCTCCCTGTTTCAGAAGAACTCGACGAAGATTTGAAATCAAGTCTCCGGAAACACGTCGAAACGCAGAAACTTGTTTTGAAGCAAAATCAGGTATATTTTTTCTATTTTTTTTTATCAACTTTAACATCGTTCACTTTTCTCAAAATTATCCCTCTCCTACTTTTTATCAGTTATTCAGACATCGATAATACTTATACCGCGAATGAAAAAGAAATTTCTGTTTTTAGAGGGCAACTTTGGGATGTTACCAAAAAAAAAAAACGCCTCTTCATCTTTTCAATTTTGTTCATGAAGAGAATTCGGGTCAGATGCGGACAAAACATTTTTCAAAAAGCTCTTCATTTCGCTTTGTGTGCCTCGGAAAAATGAGCTGAGTGATTGACGTCGGTTGTTTTCCGACGAATTTCTTTTTGGTCATCGTTTAGTTCCGAGGCCCACCGATTCCTTTTCGTTCTCTTGCTTCAATCTGTATTTGTCGAGTTGCCTCGTGTTTGATCTGAAAGTTAGCGTTATACGAGGAAGTAAGTTAAAAAAAGTAATAAGTGTGCTATGGAATAATGAAAGTCGAATATTTTATTGAGTTTTAAACTTTTTAGCTGCTCCAAATATCGCAGCATCGCTTTGTTTCCGTTGCTCTAACTCTAATTGAAACAATTTTATTCACCCTTTTTCTAGTTTTTCCAGTAAAAAAATAAAATGCATTTTTTTCTTTGCTAACAGGTACATCTTTGTATAGTTGAACACGCCTTATTCACTTTTTTCGTTTTCCGATAGAACAACTTTAATAAATGGGAAAAACATCAACGAAAAAAACGCTCTCTATTTTCCTCCTTCAGCCACTTGTAACGTGCAATTTTCTCTGTTGCAATAAGTTCCAGCTCCTCTCAGATATTCTGATCATTATTTGATGTTTCATGGGAATTGCAGAAAGAGATAGTGTTGGTCGTGGATGGCCGTTCCCTGCGACAACTCGTCGTTCTAGAGACCAAGGAGTCGCCGAAACGTCTTCTCGTCGTCGGACCCAAAGACGTCAAATCCAGGTATTTCATGAATATTTTCTAGTTACTCTTCCTTTCTGTCGAATACTACTGAGCTCCATTCACGCTGAATATTTTTTTTCGCTTTTCTTATTGGTTTCACCTCTCACATCTTCTGATTCTCGTCTTCTCCCAGCTCATTCACACTACCAATTAGTCGTCGCGTCGTCCATTATCTCGATTTTTTTTTCCATTTTCGAGCTGCTTTTCTCCGTTCAGCTCACTTTTTCTGGCGTTTCTTGCTCAGACGATGACAGATGGGACCATTAGACTTGTTCTCGTCATTTTTCTGCATTTCCAGCCTCAGATTCTCGATATGTAAACTGCGGCAATCTCCTATGCCTATTTCATGTCTTTCAACCTTTTATCTCAACAAAGCGGAATAATAGGTCTCAAGAGACTATCGTATCGGGAGATTGTAGAAAAAAATATTTTATTTTTCATTTCGCAGATCTTCAACTTTCAAAAACTGAACAAACGAGAAAGGCAATGTGTTAATTAAGCTCCATTTTAGTAGTCTGAAAGAAGCTTCTACCAATTTTTTTGAAAAATTTCCCTCTGTCTCTAGAAAAAAATTCTGAAGTTAAAGATGACAGCGTTGCGTTAATAAAATATTGAATTGATTTCTATCAACTTTTTGTATTCCATTTTTTTATGGTCAAGACCATAGTGAACTCTTTAGTTTAGACGAACATGCCAAAAATTTAAAAATTATTTTGAGCAAGTCAAAAAAATTCAGTTTATTCTATATGATAATCAAAAATGAACTTTCCAAGTTATCGCTTGAAAATGTTTGTATAGAGTTCAAAAGAGAGGAAGGAACAGCGGATGAATGTTTTGATTGGAGGAGAGTTAGCGTTTGACGGGCCGAGAAAAAGACAACAACAAATCGCCATATCCGGTGAGTAAGAGAGACGGACAATTCGCGCAGAGCAAAACGAGAGCAAAAGCGAGGCGAACAAAAAAAGAAGTCCTGGAGCAAGCGCGTGTCTCATTTTCCGTGCCCTTCTATTTACGAGTCCCTCCCATCAACTTCTTCCACTTTCCGCGCAAAAAACTCGCTGTTGTTGTTTTCTTTTGAATTTTTATTTTTGCAAATAATTTTTCGTTTTCTTTTTTCCCTTTTTCCAAAAATTTTTGTCGTCATTTTTTCTAAGATCACAGATAGTTCAAAAAATGTCACAATAAGAATCTATCTTAAACACCAGTATCGCTCTTGAACAAGCTGGATTTTTTCTATGACCAAAACGGCTAACGTTGTTTCTTCGCGAGTTCCGAGAACTTGGAGATTTTCTCCTTTTTTTTTTCGAATTTCACCGGATTGAGTCTTTGGACTTTGGGAACACTTATCTCGCTTGATTTTTTTTTTCCGAAACGCCGTTTTAAAAGTCGTGAATCAATAACAGCAACGTTCAAAGGTTTCGCTGGAAGCTTTTAAACATAAATTCATTATTTGTTCGGCACAAGGATATGAAAGAAATCGTAAAATAGCGATTCATTTACAACTCAATTTTAGTTAAAAGCTCATTTATTCTCCATAGCTTCTAGCGCTTTTTTTGGTAAACCGGAATAATTGATATGAAAAGGACGCACTATTTCAGTATACTAGGTTTATAGCGTGACCCGTTGTAAGCTGATATGGGCGCAGGGAGCGCGGCCGCAGAGGAAGGATCCGAAACTCAGAGCTTTTTTTGATTCTTTGCCTCGTCTATTCCCTTTGAATCTTTGTTCGGATCACCTCAAAACTGAAAGTTTATGTTGAAATCGCATGAGACAAGAACTTTCTGACATTCAAAACCTTTTTTATGCTAGTTAGCACTTCGAAGACTCTACAAGCCTGATTATTCTTTTTTTAAAAATTATATTTTTTTGAGATAGGACCTTGGTGTTTTAAAAAAGACGCATTCATGAAGTAATTTCAAAGTGTTGAGTCTCGCAATCATTTTCATCTTTGTTTGTAGTTGTTGCTCCATTGGAAATTCAATCAGACGTTGATGCAGAAGCGGAGGAAAGCTGCGGATCGGCGACAGTGTGATTGCCGTGGGCGGTTGGTTCGATGAGGCCGCTTTGGGCAATCGAGTGAACGGAGAAGACACGAAAGACAGCGGCGTCGGTCCGCAAGATCAACGACGGACTCTCGACCAACAGGTATATCTCATAATTCATCCCAAACTCCTTTTTTCTTTTTGTCAGAGTTCAGCAATCAAAGTAAGAAGACGATTATAGTTTGAAAACGTGAAGCTCTTACCGAACATACATCGGCAAACCATTTTTAAAGGTCGTCAAGCCCTCCTCCTAATTTTTCGTTAATTTAAGTAATTAAAACCTCCGGAATTTGAAACTTACGCTTATTTTTTTGTTAACATCGTCTCCCTGAGCTTGAAACTAGTTTTTATATCTAATTTTTAAAAATTTCTGTGAGTCAACATCTCCTCTTGGCCCAAACGAGTTCAGTACTCGCTCTTTTATGTTTCCAAAAAGTACTATTTGTAAAAATCCGCGGTAGTGTGCTGACCATCTCATCTTTCTGGGGATACTAATAATTGAAAATTTCATTGTTTTAAGCGTTAGAACAACAAAAAAACAGCTTTTCCATGTATAAACTCTGGCGGAAGTCGTAAGCACGTCTTGGCATCGCTGATTTTCAGATATATAATTTTTTTCATGAAATAAAAAAATCGGGGTCTTGAAAGCACCTATATTGGAGTAACCCGCTGTGAAACCAAAGCTAGTGAAGGCGTGAGCTTTTCTATAGATCAGCAAAATTGCTCTACAATTCCAATCTGAAATGATATTTTCCGACAAGTTTAAAATAAAATAAATTAAATCTGTAATAAGGTATTCATTCCAGAAACGGAATTTGAAAAACTCGATCCTGAATATTTTTACCTGCTTCATTCGTGAAGTCTGAAATGATTTTCAACATTTCTTTTGAATCATAAGAGGAAAATTTCATCCTCATAATTTTTTTCCGATCTTGAAGAAAGTTCAAAGCGTAGGTAGAAAGTTCGATTGAAAATTCGAGGTTTCCATTTTTCTAGAAAAAATATTACTGTCGCGGTTTACTGAAATTGTCTCTCTATTGTTAGTGAGGATTCATTCGTCTTGATATACGGTTTTCCTTCTCCATTGATATGAAACCGTATTTAATTTTGATGGCGTAGAAGCGGTTATACCATGTATGGTAACAGTAGACAATGGACGACAACATAGAAGACGTTGCAGGAGAGTGGGGGCGGAGCCGAAGAGGCGAAGACGCCGCCGGCGATTCTCGACCGGCCCGACAAGCCGCAGTTCGTTGGCTTCGCTGAGCAGCAGCCTGACTCGCAGCGCATCGGCCTCGCCGTTGTCCGCGAGACAACGCAAATGGTGGTTCGTTCTTTGTCCCTTCACAACTTCCGCCGTTACGAGTTCAAGTCAGGAAGGACGAATATCTGCTCCTTCCTCCGTTTGTCCAGTTACTGCTTCTTCTAATGTTCCTCTTTTGTTCTCAAGCTCCTGAGTCTTTTGATCCTTCACTTAACATAGTAAAGAAACATTTGAAAACTATAATGAAGTGAAATTTTTTCTCCATAAAAAAGAGACTGCCGAAATTTTCTTGTTGACACGACTCGGAATAATTCTCTAAATTTAATGAATCTCATTGAATAATATTCATTTCTAGAATTCGCAGTATTTTCGAATTAGAGTAAAAAATTTTTTGAAGATATTTTTATTTTAGAGATGGGTTATTATGCGCTTTTATCAACTTTACAGAAAGTCTGTTTCCGAAAAAGAGTATTTAAAGATGAAGTTTCGTGTAGTGTATTAATCTACTATGTTTTCGAACTGGTTCCAAGTATAAACTGGAAGAAATGCATCGAAAAGATACGGAGCGGAACCTTTTTTGCTGACGAAAGGGCTTTGGCCGGTGAGCGTCGTCACAACCGACTCTCCTGCATTGTTAAGGAGCTAGACGACCTCACAAGCCGTCGAAATTAGGTGGCGGGAGGTTCTGAATTTTGATTGAGTGCCTCTGTCGGCCTCGTTGTGTTCTTAAGACATTTTGATTGAGCGGAAGCAGTTTATTAGGTGCACTTGTATTGGTCAACCAAAAAATCCTTCGGAAATGTTTTTTGTAATTTGAAAGATTGCTCGAGAACACAATGATTCATTTTTTCGCTTTTGAAAAAATCCACCCTGAACTTATTATTCAGTGAAAAAAAAAAAAACTAAACTTGGCGCGAAACAAGTCTTCTTCTAATCTTCTTGCGAGCATTTTTTGAGCCAATTTTCGTAGAAATATCTTTTTGTGTTCTGAAAAAGAAATTGATTATTTTTTCCTCTGGGCATTATGAAATAGCTTTTTCAAAAAACCACATTATTAGGCTGCGAGCTTTTGATTAAGGTTTTTTTTTCGGTGGATTCTTCTAGAATGGGTCTTTGAATATTTCATTGAGCATGCAAAAAAAGCAATATTTGGAAAGAAAAGACGATTCAGAGTCGGGTTTCCTGCTAGTTGGATACTTTTTGACGTGCAAGATTCTGTGGAGAAAATGTGTAAATCGCACATTTTCCTTTCTTTTATCGCTTCGTATTCAATTTTCCGGGCCTCGATGCCCTTTCACGTTTCCTGTTGAAGGATTCAAACTTCTCTTCTTTTTGAAATAGAATATGCAAATCGCTTTGTGTGAGCGATGCTCGTCTAAGTTGGAACAGCTTGGCTGCAAATATGAGCAACAGACTGATGTGAGAGAGTTCAGTCAAGTTATCTGGAAGCGTTCAATGCTGGACCGTTTCTGTTCAGAATGCTTCAATTTATTGTAAAAGAACGACGTTTGAGAGATCCGAACGAAGACAAAAAAACCAAACAAGAAATTTTTTTTTCTCAAGCCAAGCGTTTGTTTTTTCCCATGCGAGTGCCACTCATAAACATAGAAAACGAGCTTCAACGCACTTTTTGTTGCTGACAGCAACACGTTGAAAAACTGAGCTTTAATCCAAGGGAAGTTGTAGAATCTCTGGTGATCTTTCATTAGGATTCAGGATCAACATTTGTAGAAGATAATATAATTTTTGGCGAAAAAAAACACGAGTAACGTCTGTATTTTTCCAAGATCGCGGTTAGGTATAATCAGTGGAAACCTTTTCTTTGAGATGTTAGGGGAAAATCATGAATCAGCTCAAATTAATCTATTGTCCCAATATTTTGCTTTTGGGTATGATAAATCAAAGGAGCAAGGTTTTTGGGGTGACTTGACGTCGAAATAACGAGGCAAGGCATGGGACACGTGCAGCCGGACTCACACATGCACAGAGAAGTCGCTGACGGAACGTGATAACGACGCGGATACGAGGCTGAGACAAGAACACACGGCTGTCGGCTTGCAGGGAAATAATAAGAATTACTGCGGTACTCCTCCACCCGCACTATTTCGCCGCTACGCCCACCGGTTCGAATTTCCCGCCGCCAAGGTGAAGCCTTCCACCTGTGAGCCGCAAGTCCGGCATGTCTTTGGAGCGATCTTGCTGAACAATATCTATTTCCTGTTGTGCGACTGATGCCGAACCATCAGCGGTTCTCGCTCTCATCCACCAACTATGCTCCTTCGGCTCATGTTCGTAACAGTTTATCTTAATTTTGAGGCATCCTCATCTTACTAGAAGGTGAACTCAATAACGGCTATGATTTCCTCTTTCTTTCCCAGCTTGACCTTCTCAAGATGAAAGGCTTTTGCATTTTCATTCTTTGGGAGCTCTTTCAAAATCGTCGGAAATGACATGCACTTGTTATCTTTTGAATGGGGACAACAATTAGAGCTGTGTGAATCGAAGTGAATTGAACGGCTCGTATTTGAAATAATCCGATTTCGCGAAGCCTCGGCTACGTCCTGCATTGGCCGTGTTTTGCTTGAGGCGAGGCTCGCGCCTAAACATGATTAAACCAACGGAGGTCCCAAAAATAAGCTTATTAAAATAAAATTTGCGCACTGGGCCACCATGTCGTTCCTCCCTATTCTTCTGCTTCCTTTTTAAAATTAACTCAATGAGAAGGACCAAAAAAGTTCCGATCAAATATATGTATCGATGGCCCTCAAATTGACCACAAATTCTTGAAAACGTTTTTTTCTATTTTTGTTTCGCCGCTTTTGGAGTCATTCCCCATCATTTTCAAGAACATTTAGTCAGGTGCTGCCTACAAACCTTTCGAATATGGTGAAAATTGTTAGCCAGTTGCAAATCTCGATTAGCCAGCAAGAAAAAAAAACCAAGATTTTCGTCTTTTTGGCCAGAAAACGCGTTGAAAGCGGTTTATGTCGACGAAAACTCAAACGAGCCTGCAGGAAATGTGGCTTTCTTGCGGCTTTTGCTTCTTTTTGTGTCCATCCCATGAGCTATATTATTTTCAGCTTATATGATCCCATTTACCATGACGGTGAGTCAAAACTGTTCTCTTCTTTTTTTTTTCGGTCCCATCAGCTGAATTTTTTTTTATAAAACTTCTGGAGAAACTCAAAATAGTTGAGTTCTTAGGAAATGAGATTTTTTTTTCAGTTGTCCGGCGATTGGACTCAAGTCGAGGTGATTCGTCTCAGCACTGAGGTCAGTGATCTTATTCTTTTATGCAGTTTTTTAATTGAAAAATTTTATGTTTAGTTAGTTATTTCTTTTTGATTTTAGAACTTTCAAACATAACTTTTTTTGCCAATTTTTTAATCAATGATTATCGCCTTCGAATTTTTAAAAATAGTCCGAATTTTCAAGATTTCTTAAAAGATTTGTGAAAGACACTTTTTACAACTAAAAACTCAATTTTTCTTGACTTTTAATATTAATACTTAATTACAGGCAGAAAAAAATAACGTGTACAAGAATGGTTTTTATGAAGAAATAATGGCTATTAACTCTGAAATAAATAATTAAAACAGAGACTTTTCTTCAGTCTGGCGGTCTTGGATTCGGAATCGTCGGCGGCACGAGCACCGGCGTCGTCGTCAAAACTATATTGCCAGGAAGCCCAGCGGACAAGGTTTTCTTTCCTTTCTTTCTTTTTTGATTCATGAATTTCAAAAATACTTGTAAAGTAATCAACAAACATTTTCAATACCTTTTTTCAAACGCTGCAAGAAGGAAAATTGTGGCGCCGAGTTGTCATCATTCCTTAAGATACTAGACGTTTTCGCTATACAGTGAAATTCGTTTTCAAACATATCAATTCATGTTCAAAATGACTACGAAATGTGTCATAAAAATAGCCATACGGCCAATTTGTCCTTTTTTTTTTAGTTGTTTTCATATTCAGCTGGAGAGAAGCTTTCCTTTCATAATTGAGATGAGAAGAAGTTCAACACAGTAGCTTCAGGATGGACATCTGCGACCCGGAGACCACATCCTGCAGATCGGCAACGTCAACACGAGCGGAATGAGTAGCCAACAAGTCTTTTTTTCCGATCGGATGTGGAGAATGAGGAGAGATTCAGGTGGCGACCTTGCTCCGGAACCAGCACCCAGCCGTCGAGATGATTGTTGGCCGACCCATCAACTACGCCGACAAACCTGTCGACACCGCTGGTTCGTTTCTTTTTCGGCTTGTTTTCATTTTCGGTAATTTTATCTACATTTTCATCCAATTTTTGTTTTATACAACTACTAGTGTGAAGCGTACTTTGCAGATCTGGCCTTTTTGTGAAACTAGAGGAACTACTACTAGAGAGTACTTTAATGGGGAAAAAAATTTTCTAACAGTTTGTAGGAGGTCATTTTATTTTGTGGCTGGGAATGTCCAAAAAATGAACCAGAACACTCCTTGATGCACTAAATGAAGATCCTGAAAATCTCAATCCGCACAGCTTCCTAGTTTTTGAAACATATTCCTCAAAATCAGAGAAGCCCCTTGAAATCTGTAAAAAAAAATAGGATATTTTTAGCCTTTGAGCACTTGTTTCTCAAAAACTAGGAAGTTTCATACCTATTTCTGCTACATCTAAATGTTTTGTTGTCAAATATCAGGAAATTCTCAGCCACAGGGTAAAACGACCTTCTTTGTAAGAGAATCGTAAGAATCACGGAGAAAAAATTGCAAGAAAATCTCTAAACGTTTCGTTTGATATTTTGACATCGAAAAAATTTCATTGAAATTCCTATTGGGAGCAGCATAAGAGATATTTCTTCCATCGGAAATCAGTTTGAGTATCAAGTCAATGTGTAGATCTAGTGTGTAGGTCATCCCTGTCAACCTGTTAGCATTATCATCAATAAAAAACTTCGGAAGAAAGTTGATATTCGGAAGAGATTTTATGAAGTTTACAAAAATAGTAGACACGTTTTCCTTCTTCCCACGACTTGATTCATGAGCTGGAGGAAGTTGCATTGGAGTGGACTTCGAGGGTCTCAAATGTGCTTGGGCAGATCCGGCCTGCGGAAATTCGGTTAGACCACCCTTTGGCCGGCTCGTCCTACTTATTTGGCTCGTCTTGGCCAGTTGCAGCGACGATGACGACGCCAATCATTCCGTTTCTGTCCCTCCAAGACCTCCCATTCTTCTCGCGCTTTCCGTCTTTTTTTGCTTATTTCTAATTTTTTTATTTCGCTTATTTTTCAATTTTTTTTCTCGGATGAAGTTTTTTTTAAAAAGTTATTGAGATCATCGTTCTTTCTCTTCAAGAATCAAAATTTATTTGAAAATTATTCTCACTTCTACTTTTTCTGGGAGCTTCATTTTTGTTTGATCATCAAAACCCAATTATTCCGACAAGCCAATTTTTTCCTTTAAAACGAACTTTTGACCCATGCGTCTCTGGCTTCAAGACTTTTCCCACACTTCCAACAGGACACGAAAGGAAATTTACCACTGGCACATTCTAATTTGGATTTCCTTTTGTCTACTCCCGAAAAATAGCTCTCAAGCTTCTTTTTTCCTGCGGCCGCCTCATCCGCTTTTCTTCTCGTCTTCTCGAAACTATCGACTACTTTTTTTATCTTCCTGAAAAACTATTAAATGTTCTGTTTGTTCACGAAAACGGATAAGCATTTCAAGGTTCTCTAGATTACCAGTGTTATTTTTTTCAAGTTATCTATTGAGATATGAAATTTTCAACATTAACTTTAAAAAACCCGAATCATTCAATTTTTCGCTTCTTAAAATTTTGCCTCTGTGAATTTTTCCGAGAAACAAATTTCACATATACTAGTAAAGTTGTTTTTTTAGGCCTCTCACGTGTCTTTTCCACACGAAAGCTCTAATCTGCGAAGAGTTTAAGTCATGAAAATCTCCTTTCCTTTTATTTCTTTCACCGGAAAGAATTGCAGACTGCTTCACGATTGCGACACGGGCCGCCTTGTGCGCCTCGACTCTCGAGGAGTCCATTCAGCGGCAGGTAAACCACAAACTCTCGTTCCTTCTCCAGTTTAAAAATCAGATCGCCACGGCTTCTTCTGCCTCGACGACGGCAGTCAACCCGACGCCGTCGACGATGTCGCCGTCACTGAGCTGCGCGCCGATCGAAGAAGAAGACGTCGCGAGTGCCGACGTCATAACAACAGCCACAAGACCTGCCGAGGCGCCACCGTCGCCGCCGAGGGCTTCGGTCGCAGAAGACGCTCAGGCGAGCACTTCAGAATATACGGGTCCGCCGCCACCTGTGCCGTCGTCCATCGACCTCAGGTGTCTTTTCCCTCTATTTTCTGAGCCTTTCCTTTTGGACAAATCGGAATGAAAAAGACGTGATTTTCGCTTCAAAACAATCTCAAAGGCCTTATTTTTATAATCCTTCTCTGGACGTCATGTTTACAATTTTAGCCTTTTTTTAAACGGGAAGCACAATATATATTCAAAAAAAAAAACAGACTATAAGTTCCGCTTCATACTTTTTGATTAAAAGTTCACTGTCAGAAATCGGATGTTTCGAAGATCAAGAATTAATATCGTACTCACAGAAATTATCAGAAAATGGATTTTGAGCCATTCTTATTTCTTTTAAGGACATTTTCACTGATTTTTTGAAGTTTCGCATAGCAAACTACACCTTTGAAGTGAAAAATAAAGTTTTCTAATCACAAAAAGAGCAGCCAATGCTCAGGTTTTACCTTGTAAAACTAAATTTTTTCAGGAAACCATGCGATTGCGCTCCGTTTTACGTGCTGCGAGACCCGAGACGGCCGTCACAAGCCTCGACGTCGTCGCCCGCGTCCGAGAAGCCTTTCGACGTGACTTCGGAGATGTCGACGGGCTCCGACGCCAAGGAGAACCACGACGGCAGCAAATCCAACGGAGGCCGGCAGATTTCACTCAAATGCCTTCAAGAAATGGTTATAAATTTTTTTCTTTACAAGTAATTTTTTTCTGAATCTTTGAACTCTGTTCGAAAAAAACTCACTCATTTTTTTCATAAAATCTTCTGTTTTCCGAAAAAAAGAACTCTTACAGAAATCTTGAAGTCAGTTTTGCGTTATCAGAAAGCTCCCAATGTTTACAATTTTCGAAATTAGATTTAATTTTTGGGTCAGTTTTTCTTCGCTTTGATTTATCTACATATAGCTGCTGCTCTAACTTTCAATTCCTTGAAAATTTTTCAAGTATTATTTCTCGTCATGATTGAGTTTTGCGCAGGCGTTGACGGTGTTTCTGCGAGAGAACTGGCAGAAGAGCAAGTTCGAGGCAATCGATGTGCTTCTTCTCCGAGATCCCGCGCTTGGTTTGGGAATCACTGTCGCCGGTTACGTCCATAAGAAAGGTAGTTTTATTTTCTTTTTTTAAACTCTTAAAAAGATTGTAATTTTTTAAATGTTTATAATTTCATGGGAAGTCCTTTTTGTATCACTCAGTGAAACGCTAAATTTTGTTTAAATACTTTCTTTCGGATCCCGACAACTTTTAGCTTTTTTTTTTCAAGCCCTGTCGCTGTTTTGCGGTTCATAAATTGGTGCGCGGGGGTCCTGCTTTGCTCAGAATTAAATTTGCTTCTGGCTTTTTCTGGCTGAAGGGATGCGCCGTTTTCTGAGGGGAAATGAAGAGAGAAGTTATGCGGAGCGATTGACTTTTTGCTCCTTCGACCAAACTTTTTGAAGACGCTCCATCCAATAGAAGAATGCCCTTTTGGAACCACCTTTTCTGTTTTTTTTTTCTGTTTCGAGGGCTTCAAGCCATTGAGAAAACTTCTTCGAAGCTCGAAAGCAAATTTTCTCAGATCAGTTAGCGCTAGCTTCTTGCAAAAACCGCGTATTTCAATGAGGATAATTCTAATACTTTCATAAAAATACAGTTTGCTGACTTTTTTGTGGCTATTTTTTTTATGCTGATTTACTTTTTTTTTCAGTTTTTAAATCGTGTCTCCTTTAAATTTTGTTTGAAGTCATTCTATAAATTTGGTTTCTTCTTATTTTTTGATAGAAACAGGTTTTAAAATTCGCGATCCGATCGTTTCCAAATAACAAATTTTAAATATTCAGAATATTGTACAAAAAAATGAAGGTTTGAGAAAAATCTTCATAAAGTACAGCAACTTTTTTTTCTGGATGGTTTCCGAAAAGCTGGAAGTTGATAGGTCCTTTCTTGTGAATTCGCTCCAATAAAAAGTTGGACCTATCAAATAAATCACTCGTGGTTGGTGCTCGCCACACACGAAGTTCACACCTTTTTTCTCTCCTTTTTCCCTCGCTCAATCTTTTTTTGCAGAAGAAATCTCGGGCATCTTCGTTAAGTCATTAGTTCCGCGTTCGGCAGCCGCGTTAAGTGGTCAAATCTGCGTTCACGATCTCATTCTCGAGGTTTTTTTTTATCGTTTTAAAGATATTATATAGTCCATTCTTCTTTTTTCAGGTGAACAACACTTCGCTGGAGCATCTTTCCCACGCCGACTCGGTGAGAACTCTGGTGAAGTCGGGCGACGAGGTTCGGCTACGGCTCGTTAGGTTTCCGCAGCAGTCGGCTCAAGCTCAGTGTCTGAAGATGCTCCAGCAGCAGGTTCCCTTTCGATTTTCAGTTCTGTCAAATATCTGGGCTTGAGGAAACGGAGACGCAAGTGATAGACGTCAAGTCGTCGAATCCGGACCTGGTGGCGGAATGGAAACGACGCGTTCCGGAAGAAGTCGACATCATGGTGGCTGTGATCAAACCGGACCGGAAAGCGGCCGACGGAGGCCTCGGAATCTCTTTAGAAGGTTAGTTCCACATGTGAAATAGGAATTATCAAAAGTTGAAAATGTACATTTCAAATATATTTTCAAAACTTTTTGCATGGCGAGATCAAATAGCTCTCGTTGCCATCATGAATTTGATCTTTTCAAGCCTGAGCTACATAATCTTTCGAAATTTTGTGGTTCTATCGGTTCCACTGTTAGCTGGGACCAGAAAGATGGTTTCAAAAAATTGGCGGCTAGAATCAAGTGAACCTCTTGAATCTTCAAGGAAAAGTTTTTTTTGAACGTGTCAGATTTTTGATTGTAGCTCTATTTTTTTTTCATATTATTGATTGGAGCTCTTACTCGCAAGATTCAAAAAATTTACAATGTTGTTTGTTCTTTTTTGTTGTCAGATATTCGAAAATCTCACATCAGACTCTCAGGGAATTTCGTTTTTGTATGTTTCCCACTTACGGGCTCCCTTTGAAGGTACGGTGGACGTGGTGAACGGCCATCAGTTGTGTCCTCACCACTACATCGAGTCTATCCGCGAGAACGGGCCGGTCGCCCAGTCAGGAGTGCTGCAGTCCGGCGACGAGCTTCTGCAGGTCAACCATTCGCCTCTCTACGGCGAGTCTCACGTCACCGTTAGGCAAGCGTTGACTCGCGCCGTCCATTCTGGAGCGCCCGTGACGCTGATAGTCGCCAGGAGGTCTGTTTCCCAGAAAGACCTGGTCTATAATAGCCTTGCAGAACCCAACATGTTAGCGTCTATCAGCCGCGCACCGAAAAGTCCTTGCCGCTGTCTTACCCTCTGCTCACATCGACTCAGGAAACACTAGTCAAGGTTCTTTTTTCTCTTATTTCTCTCATAGTGTTGAACAAGTTGAAGTTTCTAAAACAAGCATAAAAAATAAGAGCTTATATATTCAATATCAAGGGAAATAATTTCAGTGTGTATTTTGATTATTCTCATAAGTTTACTCAACTGCTCTGTGAGTGTCTAGGTGACAATTTCCCATAGTCGGTATCTGTGCAAACTTTCAGTTCGAAAATAAGATCGGAAAGAAACTTACAAAAGAAGTAATTCCATTTTAACTCTGCAAACTGCTCGAATATTCTCTAACGTAGCTAGATAGGTTTATTAACTTTCAAGTTTTGATATATATGTACCCTTTTAGGATTATTTCCTTTCAACGTTCCACCTGTTCGCACGGAAACTTCGAAAAATTTCTAATTTCATATTTTTCAGATGAATTTCAGAAATCCTGCAAAAAAGTTTTTTTCCATCGCTTTCTATGAAGATATTTTCAGGCGAAGTCAGAAATAGACATGTCTTCGACAAGAGCGGATACGACGCAACTTTTACAACAGGTAAAAAGTCAAATTTTCCATAGTTGAACTTTTTTTTCAGGTTTCGAAACGGTTACGTTCCCGTTCTTTGGAAAATTTTAACGGGTTGGCTGTTTGGAACTGTGTTCCTTTGGTCATCAACCTTGAGAAGGACGCTCGGGGATTAGGATTTTCAATTGTCGATTACCAGGTTCACTTCAGTCTTTTTTTAAAATGAATCGACCAATTTTCAATTTGAAAAAACCATTTCCTTTTTTGTTTCTTGAGGAAAACGGGAGAATCTGTTGCAATTCGCTCGATGGCTTGAAATATAGACTATACTGTCTCCGAACCGTTTTCCCAACAGAATTAGAGATCAGATAGAGAAAAGCTTCCTCATGGATTTTCTGACAGGATCCGTCGCACAGCGGCGAGAGCGTGATCGTGGTCCAGTCGCTGGTGCCCGGAGGCGTCGCTCAGGCCGACGGGCGGATCGTTCCCGGAGACCGACTGCTCTTCGTCAACAACCACGACCTGTCCAACAGCAGGTCGTCCATGTCCATTCCCTCTCGCACATCTTACTACTTTCAGTCTGGAAAGAGCCGTCGCCGTGCTGAAAGCCGCGCGAATGGGTCGCGTTCGACTCGGAATCGCCAAGCCTGTTCCAATTGATCAGGTCAGGATTCCCCTTTTTCGTCTATCATTTCGAACAGTTGCGATGTAGAAGGGGTCAACAATCTAAAAAAATGAAGTTTTAAAAAAATCCTTTAAGTTTTTTTGAAGAACAACTTATTTTTGATAATGGTAGACTTTTTTTGAAACATCTTAACATCATATTTAAGTCATCTGAAAATGAAATAATTATTTAATCATTACAGGTGTTTGGAATATGAAAATAAAGATTATTTCAAAGTTAGATTTGTTTTTAAATTTGGTAAAACGTAGATAATAGTTACAATTGGAATTTTAATGAATTTTCGAACATGAAAGCTCCTTTTCTCCAATTTTTTTTTTCTCCGAGGAATTTCCTTTGAACTTGCAAATTTTAAATAATCCATCTCTGTTTATTCTTTTTTTTCCAGAAGTGAAACATGAAAAAAATTGAACTGAATATACTGAATAGAAGTGAGAAGACTTATTTCGTCAATCTTTCTTTGATTCAGATATCTCCAACAGTTTTTTTAAAAGTTTTATCCAGGTGTTCATCAAATTGCCGAATTTTAGCCCTTTTCAAAAAAAAAAAACAGTTTAAAAAAAGAGGCCACATTGGAAACTGAATAAATTGATAAGTAATTCAGCATACACATGAGCATTTTTTATCTAAAAATACATTCTTTCATCGAAATCCAAAATTCTCGAGTGAGGCTGAAGAAAATTATGATAAAATTCACGTAAGTAAAAACTTGAAGCAAAGGACAAATTGAATAGACGGTTGCGGGCTAGTTTCGAGTCGAAAAAAACCCCCGTGTAAGTCTTCGGAGAGAGCAGAAATCGATGAGCGGAAAGAAATGAGGACTGGGAGTAGAAGCAGCTTTTTATGTGCGTGTGTTGTGTGGGTGAGCATCCCGAAGAAACATCAAATCAGCCGGTCGACGTCCAACTCGGATTCTTCACTCAATCTGCCGCTTCTCCCGCCTTCTTTGTCCAACTTCGCGCTATTATCCTCATTCCACTCAATTATTTCTGCTCCTTCTTTAAGGCTTTTTTTTTTGATGGTTTTTGAATGCTATTTTGATTTTTTCGATTTCTTTCTTTCGATTTTAAGGGAGATGATCCTACAAAGGCTCTCAAGGTGCTTCATTTATGTTTTTTCCTACTCCCTAGTGTTTCCTGAATTAGGAAAAAAAAGCCTTTGATGGAAAAATTGGTGAAAGCGAGTATTATACAGGCAAAATAATCCTACCTTTATGATTTTCTCAAGTTCAGCAATTTCATAATTTTTTCATCCTAGTTTTCCTTATTTCTCTGGTTATAGGCTAAGAATGTGAATTTTCAATCTGAATAGTTATGGTCTGTTTTCTGGGACGCGCATAGGCGGAGTTGATGAATATTTCATAGCGAAGAGAAATTTTCAGTAATTTGTCTGAGCTTGAGGCTTGTTTAAAAAAAATACCCTATAGTGTAAGTAACGCCTTTTTTGAAAATTAAGTTGTTTTTAGTTTACAGCTTAGGTGAGCCTTTGTTTTCGAAAAAGTGATTTGAAAACTTCCAATTGTAAAGCGACCCTACCTTGTTTGGTCTTTGAGGTCGGCTAATAGTTTTAGTAGTAGTTTAGAAAGTGTTCGGGGGCGCCAGGACAAGTGCACCTGAAAAGGAGCCGTATTTGGAGGCGTGTGGCTATTTGCCAAAACAAGGATTCGACGGAGGCGAGCCATGAGCGATTAAGAATTGTGCGGCGAGTGGTTGCCACGTCTAATTTCCGCCCGCCGTAGTGGAAGTCTGCCTGGACACGACGCTTTTTTCCGACTCTCCCCTTTGAGCCTTTTCAATCCACCTTTATTCTTATAATTCATTGATACTTCGTTTTTGTTCTTTTCTCCTAAATGTTGTTGAAGTTAATTTCATTGCTCATTTCCGTCGTTCCTCAGATTTTCCCTTCTTGAACGAAGTTGGAGTCAGATAGGGACAGATAATGAATAAAGCTCAATAAGGACAGGGAAATAGTATGCGAATAGAAGAAATTTAGACGTCTCTCTAGCATTTTTCTAAGCTTGTGGTGAATATAGTAACAATACAGATTTGAAATTATATTTTTGAGTTTTTCGTTTTTCTTGAAGTATGATTTCGAGCAACGCCTAATATTTTTATTTAAAAAAAAAAAGATTGAAGATTTTGAAGATTAAAAAGTAAATTCAATCTTTGAAACGGAAACTTGAATAATTTTTTTTTGGTTTGTTTGAGAAAGTCTGAAATACGATTTCTTTGATCGCAGTTGTTGAAGAAAACAAAGTTCATTTCCCAAAAGCTCATAATATTTTTCTGACTAGGGAACTACTCGGACTCGGGTACACGGATCGAGTTCAAACTTTAGTGGTTTATAGACCCAAGTCAGAATACTTGAAAACAAGAGAGAATATCTGCTAAACCCAATAGAGAACTGAGAAAAAATTATAAGAAAATGTGAAAAATTAGGCCTGAAAATTTCTAGAATACTACTTTTTAACCTTATTATATTTTTTTAATACAATCGTTTTGAATGATCCGGCTATGATAAACTCTAAAAAAAGTTTTTTTCCAGCCAAAAGAAGGAGGAAAACAAAAAAATTTGATAATTTTTCAAGCCTATTTATTTTCAAAAAGTTATTTTCAGAAGTCTATGGGGTTTAGCAGATAATCTTTCTTGTTTCCAAGTACTTTTACCCGGGTCTATAAGCCACCAAAGTTTCAACTCGAAACGCGTACCCGAGTCCGAGTAAATCCCTAGTGAGCTGATGTTTCCGGTAGGTGCTCCACTTTCTTGTATCAGTTTATTTATTTCGTTTCGCCAGTCGTATAAAAAGTGATCCTGATGGCTGTATGTGGTCAATCAGCAGGTAGAGCTTTCATAGAGGATAGTGAGCATTTTTGGAGTTGACGGCTCTGTCGAATGGCTTGCTAAAGAGATGTGCCATCATGAGGCGTATAATCTCCGGCTCTCGGAATCATCAACTCGCGAGGTGTCGTCCCTTCCGCCCATTCGCTTCTGCCTACGAATCCTTTCCTGTCCGTCAAATCCAAACAAAAACAATCTTTTTATTGTTTTTAGCAAGTGAAAATGACTGAATTATTGATTTGGCACGGAAGTCAATAACAAATTCAGGTATTTGGTTGGCCAGAGGCCCCCTATTCCCCATGTATGACTTCATGGAAAAGATAAATAGCTATTTTCGTGAGCTGTTTCAAACGTACCTGCAACGTTTTCTCAAAAGTTTCTTGATGAAATTGCAAGTCATCTACTACATTTTTTTCTTCCTTCCGGCATTTCGTTTGAATCTTTCTTTTCTATAGCAACAGAAGAAAGCTGAGAAAAAAATCGAATTTTAAAAAAGCAATTACAGCGAGAGGAGTTTTTTTTCAAAATATATTTCGATTAATTGTTTTCATTTTTTCCTCGGTAATCATTCTCTCAGAGCTGTGAGGTCCTCGCCATCATTCACGAGGGAATCATTAAACCGCCAAATGTCCCTCTTGGCTTGAGCCTGACGATATAATAGAGAATTTGCTCGTCGCTGTCATGATAAATTATTCATCGAGCCTCGTTTACCTCTGTTGTCGCCGAGCGTTGCGAAAAACCGCCGACGATCGAGATAATTTGCATCAAATGAAAGACCAGCCCCCATCTCAGCGGGTCTGACTACCAACTCTATCGATTACAACTTTCTACTTTTTGAAAAGACTTCTGATTTTTTTCTAATTTCAAGTTCAAAGCGCATGATCTAAAATAATTTTTATCATAGAAATCAAGCAGAGTTTTGTTATCAATTTTGTTTTTCATTCCAGTGTCGCGTGACGTCCCATTCGCCACTGTATTCGCGGAGCGAACGTCTTCTCGCTCGCGGCCGGAGCCCTCGATCCCGTCGTCGTCAAGTTCGTTCTCATTAGATTGCTTAGGAGGAAGTTTGAGAGTAATGATAGAAAATATAAACTCCCTTCAACTTCTTTTCGCAAAATACGCGTGTGCTATTTGCCTTTCAGAACTTTTTATTATTATAACATGTCTTTAATTCTTAGAGGAAGGCATTCACTTCTTGCGAAATAAAAAAAAATTGAGCCAAAGTAAAGAAAAAAACATTAACTCCTCGTATTTCGGGAAAATCAGAGCTAAAGTGTCGGTAGATAAAAAGTCTCTGACAAGTGAAAAACCTAAAATTTTGAACAGAAATTCTAAGAATTCTGCAGAAGAAACGTTGCCTATGTTTCTCACAACGAATTTTCCTATACTTTTGTTTCTCATGAAAAGCGTTTCGCAAAAGTTTTCAAAATATTCCTATCGGGAAAGTTTTACGATCGAATTTCCAATCGAAGGACCGTTCATTTTTATGCGAAAAATTTCTAAGGAACTAGGTTTATCATCCGAGTGAAACTCACAAATTACAAAAATGATTTTACTGCTTCCTACCTCTTCATGTACGATTTCAGCCGTCTGGCGTGACGTCAAGCCAAGAGACGGTCTGGATCGGCACTTCCGAGCAGTATCGTCGACTTCATCCTCAGGTCCGTGTTATATCTTCTTTTCGGTCTTTTTTTGTTTCGTAATTATTTTCACTGAAGCGTTTTGCTTTGCCTCTACGCACGTTCCTATACTTTGTTTCAGTTTGAGCTACTCAAAAATTTGTACTCGTTTCAATCAGTGTTTTTTTTCATAATTGATTTCAACCCGTCTTCTGGAAAAAAAAGTACGAGGTTAGATGCATACGGCTAGTAAAAAATGAGTTCTGAGGTTATCTAAGGGCTAAATGATTGATTTTTTTTTCTATATCGATTCGAAGTATACACAATATTGGAAGGCTCTAAAGTAGAATTTCCATCTCAAACTCAAATTTTTACTATTCGTATGTCGTTAAAAGTATTTTTGGGAAATGACGTTTCAAGGAACTGAAAAATTCTCCTATAATATTCGTTTTCCTGTGGTGGATCTATGCTTTTGCTTCCCTTCAGGGTTACTATCCGTCGCGCAGTCCGTCGTGTGCACGCAGCGAACGCAGCCTCGACGGCGTATGTTTTTTCTTCTTTTTCCAGCCTTTTTCTTCCCTCTGGCTTTTTTGTTTTCTTCGTTTCACCCACCCTTTCAATAAGGCTTCTTCTCCTCCTAAAAGGTCCAATTCACTTTACTTCTCACGTCTGTTGGTTTTACAGTCGGAGTTGTCGATGGCTTCATGGTCGCCGTGCTCGACGAGGTCAATCTCGCCCTGTGGCTCTCCGATCTCTCTCAGGCAATCTTTTTTTTTCAAGTCGTTTCCTAGAAGCTGATGATTTCTCTGCTTTTTGAAATTATCATCATTCATCTAAGTTAAATTATTTATCTCTTTTTTTATGCTTTTGCGGATGTGAGAAGCAGTTCGGCTGTTAACAGAAGTTCAGTCCCTTTTTTTGCCTGATTTCCGGTCTAAAATGTAATACATATTCTTCCTCATTCTCTCAAAAAAAAAAATCAACCAAAAAGTAATTTGAGAACTCTTTTTCAATTCGACTCATGGTCGAAGGATGAATTTCCTTTATCACTCCGGTGATAATTTTGAGCGTTCCTTTTTTCGTTTTTACGCTGATTCGACTTATTTTTTTCAGAGGTTCCTGGGCCTACGATGTCGTCTACCTGCCGAGCCACTTGGAGCGCAGCGTCAAGATCCAAAAAGGCCCACTTCCTTTAGGTAAATCTTTTTCCGTTTTTCAGTAAATGGAACAAAGCGTTTCTCAAAAATAGATTTGTTTTCAGGAATCGTTTTGGATTCCGACAAAGACAAAGGCGTCAACGGGAGTGTCGTGAAAAGTATCTGCGGGAAAAAAGCGGTTGCCTTGGATGGAAGGATACAGGTATACTTTCTGTCGATAGAGTACATGTTTCCCAACGGTTTCTAAATTTTAAAATTTTAATTACTCTTGTTTTTTTCGATTTATTTTTTTATGAGTATCCTTTGAGGTTGGAGACTACGTGGTAAAGATCAACACGGAGTCGCTGCGCAACGCAACCAATTCCCAGGCGCGTGCGGTCTTGAAGCGGACAAATCTCATCGGGACGCAATGCAAGTCTGTTTTTTTCCCATCCCATTTTGTGCTGAATACAGAATGAGAACCTTTTTTTGCTCGTGAGTTTGGAACTTTTGCAGCGTCACCTACATCACGTCGGCAGACGCGAAGACCTGGAAAGAGAGGTTCCACAGAGATGTCGAGCCCCAGTCGCCAGTTGTCAACAGGCTTTCTCCAAAGTCTGTTTCACTTCTTTATTTCTCTATATTTTTCTCCGAGAAAAGCTAACATTTTTGGATTGATATCCCCATTCGTACCGACATGCAACGATATTTTGCACTTCTTCATATTTCATTGTATTAGAAAAAGTGATCTAAGAGAGAGTGCGCAGTAGACCAGTTTTTGAAGTTAGAAATTTGAAATAGTTTTTGATATTCAATCTCGAAGATTTCAATTCATTCATTTTGTTCTTTCAGGCATAGGTATAATCGACTAGGCGGTGAACAAGAACTTTAAAGCTATAACGAACAACCGCCTTCGGCGATCCAGAAGTCCTAGCGTGTAGTCGAAAGAGTTGAAAACATGGTCTCACGGTCCTTCGCCTCGTTCTTTTGCGCGTAGTTCATTCAGTTGCGCCTTGACGAGCTCAGAATACAGTGGATCTTGTAGCTGAAACCCGGAAACCGTGCTCTAGGTGGAGGTCTCGAACTGAGAGCGACCACTTCGAGTGAAGATTTTAGACGGAATATATCGAATCCAAAGAATCGCTTACTTTCAGTTTTTTATATTGAAAGAGAAAAACATTACTGTGAAAAAATCGATTCACCAAATGTTCTCAAAGCTTTTCAGTCTCCAAAAAAAAAGTTTGATTTGACGTCCAGTCATCTTATCTTCTTATCTTTCTGTGACTAATTCTGAATTGACGGATTGAATATAAATGAACGAAGACAACTCGATTGCAGAGTTTTTCCCAAGTTCTACCGCTCTCCGTACTTGGGACGGCGGGAGTCGTTGCGAGACGCGACGGACGACGAAACCGATGCTCCGTCGATCGCCTCCGACCTCCAGTCGCAAAGTGTTGCCGAGCCGTCGACGTCATCTCACGTCGAGTCCGGAGACGCTTCTGAAGACGTCGAGACCCGACGTCGACGCTTCGCCAATCTCATCGACGGCGCCGAAGTCGACACCTTCGTTCAGCGGATCATGAGGGTTATTTTCAAGTTTATTTGACCAAATTCGAATATATTGTAGCAGGAAAGGTGAAGATGACGTAAAAATTAGTATGAAGTAGGTAAAGTGTTTTTTTTCATTTCTTACAATCGATGGTTTTAAATATTATATTGGTGCCAAAGTTTTGATACTGCTTCTGCAAAAAAAAAGTCTGATTTCATTTTAACGCCATGGCGGTGGCAGCAAGAGACCGATGTCAAAAAAAAATTGTCAACATAATATAATTTTGGAACTAACTGAATAAACTTGAAATCGGAATCACGTAGCCTTTATCTATGAAAACTTTCAGTTGCGAAGATTTGAGACAATGAAAAAGCAATATCCATTGGTAGCAAATTTTTTCTAGTTAACGGTAGTGAACTTCAAAGAATAAAAATTAGTTCCATAGATAAATATGAAATAAACTCTCTTGTAAGACATCGAAAAGTCATTTTTTCTGAAAGTCGGGAGTTTTTGCAGGAGAAAATAAGGAAAATTTGCATCTTTTTTCTCAATCCCATAAATTCTCTGCTTGCTCGATTTGATTTTTTTTTTCATTTCTTCGCAATCCTCTTATGGATTCCTTTGAGGAAAAGCCGTTCGCCGGTCTTCATCTTATCTTTATCCTCGTTTCTCGGTTGCTAGGCGGAGCGAGAAGAAATATATGTCATTCGTCTCCGTTTTCCCTCCTTTTTTCTGCCTTTTCAGTGTAAGAGCTGCCAACTTTATGCCGGAGCGACGGATTATACATTCTCGGCGAATCAACCTTCATTCCATCCCACTTTATACTTCTTTTCCGTTTCTGGCTGTTTTAGCTTTTTCAAGATCTTCAGCCTGTTTTGGTGTTGATCACTGTAAAGGTTGTGAAGAGTTCTCCAAATGCAATTCAACAATATTTTTTTTGGTTTGAAATTAAGCTGTTGAAAAAAATTTCCTTCTTTTTCATGTTCAACCTGCTTCCGCTGAAAATTTCGTACCCGTTTTCTTCTTTATCTATCTAATTTGTCACCATCCTTGTGTCCGTCACGGAAGAAAGTTTTTGATGGGTTATTCAAAGAAAGTTATTCATAAAAACATCTTAGCAACTGAGAGAACTTTTTGTTAGTTGAATGAATTTCACTTGATTGTTTCATCTTATAAGTTTTTACAGGAAGCCCTTAGAGACGCGATTGTCGAGCTGTGCGTGAGCCAAAGGACGCCTGACTGGAAATCTTCGATCGCGTCAACCTCTTCGGAAGTCCTACCGCCGACGCCGACTCCGAGTCTATCTGAACAGCCGGAAAAGGAAGAAGAAGTCGCTTCGACATCTGAACAGACGCCTTCGAATCCAGTCGAACTGAGAGAACCAAAGACACGACGAGAATCCGAACCAGCGCCTTCCAACGCGACGTCGGCCGTGTCCCAGAACGCGTTCTCCTCGCCGACGCATATTCTGAGCACCGAGGAGGAAATCGAATTTTCTGCGCAGGTTTTCTTTGTTTATTGTACGGTATGCACAAAAATCAAGTTTTGAAAATAAGATGGAATCCTTCAGTGACTTTTTTGTGTGTGTATTCAAAGATGAAGCGCCAGAAATTAATGGAGAATATAGAACCAGAGATTTTTCAGTTACGGTTCACAATAATAAACTATGAGCTTAAATTTTCTTGATTTCAGATTTTTTGAATTCTCCATTGTTGAGAAATCCTTTTTGTACCTCAATTGCGGAAAATTTTAAACGCCCTTTTAATTTTGTAGTATAAAACCATTTTTGTAGGAGAAGGAGGTAGAACAGGCAATCGCATCAACGAGCACCTTGATATCGAACGCCGGCGAAAAAGCTAATGGCGACGTAGAGAAACCTGCGAACGAAGCGATGAGTCGAGTGACAACGGCAAGTCGCACTCCGTCCGTCGGCTCCGACAGCTTCCAGCAGCAGGTCGAGCAGCTCATAGACGTGCTTGAGAGACTCGATTTTTGCAGGCGCGGCAACTGGCCAGGTCTAAGTATTGGGGCGAGGCGAGGACTGTCGTCCTGCATCGAGAACCCAACAAGTCTTTTGGTACAGCTTTCCCTTTTGAAGAACGTGTTGGAATACACATTTAATAGATGACATAAACCTGAACGATTCTGTTTCACACTTGGGAAAATATGACATGGTTTGAACTATTTATATGAGAAAGTTTGAATTTTCTTCAGACAGCAAAGTGTTTCCTAAACAAAAAATTAATTTATTTTCAAAGAGATAGTCGCCTGTCCTTGGTTGTAAGTTACAAGTGGTATATAAAATGTTTCAGGAATATCAATAGTCGGCGGTCGCGTGGAAGTGTCTCAAAAAGGTGGTCTTCCGGGTACCGGCAACACTGTCTCGGGCATTTTCATCAAAAGCGTGTTGCCTAACAGTCCGGCGGGCAGAAGCGGTCAGATGAACATGGGAGATCGCGTCATCAGCGTCAGTGTCTTTTTTTCTCGAATCTCCGTATACCCTTGTAGAGCTGTTTTTCAGCCTCTCTTCTTCTCCATTTAATTTTTTTTTTGAGGAGAAAAATCGAAAGCCATAAACTTTAGAAGAAAAAAAAAATTTTGGGAATGAGGATTAATATTTTCCAAAAAAGAAACGCTTGAATTTCTCATATAAACCATTTTCAGCGTCATTTCTTGATTTTTCCAGTCTTCTGATTAGAATTATGCCAAATTTTGTTTCGCATCAACATTTCACGATGTTCAGGCCTAGCATCAACAGAAAAAAGTAAAAAACAACATTGTCTTGTCAAAAAAAAAAAAACTAGAGAAGTACTGCATGATTTTGAGCTGTCCGGAAAGAAATTATTTCCAGGTGAACGATGTCGACTTGCGAGAAGCGACGCACGAACAAGCCGTAGCGGCTATCAAAAACGCGACGAACCCTGTACGATTCGTGCTGCAGTCGCTGCACACCAACCAACACCACATGATCAACTCGGCGTCCAACTCGACGGTCGGCTCTGTCCGCATCGAAAACTCGAGGCAAGAAGAAATCCCTGTCGTGAGCGCCGAAGCAGCAGTTCCTGTCGTTCCCAAGAAACCCCTCGTGACGCCTGTGTTGACTCCAGCGGCCCCCAGTGAGCCCCAACCTCAACCACAAGACCCTCCAGTCCAAGTCGATCCTGTCGCAGCTCCGCTTCTCAATAGAGACTCATCAGAAACGGAATTCCCGCCACCACCTCCCCATCTCTCGTCGAAACTAGAAGAATTCGAGGACAAACTGGAAGAACGGGCCGAGCTCAACGTGACGCCTGTTCCTGACGAGCTCACCTTCAGTCGAGAAGATACTGTGAAACCTACAAGGCGTAGCCTGGATAATACTGAAAAAGAGAAACGCGAAAACTCAGAGAAACTACAGGAAAAACCATCAGTGGATGAAGATGAACTGGCTAGAAACACTTTGTTGGATAAGGATGATGAATCGAAGCCAGTCGAATCGCGATTGGTCAAAACGCCGTCTGTTGAGAAAGAGCTGAAACGGAAAAGCTCCAAGTCGTCGGGAGAGCAGAAGTGCCAGAGAAGTGTCGAAAAACAGGACTCGACGAGCAGCAAGTCTAGCGCTAGGAGTTCCAAGAAAAAAGCAAAAGCAAAGGAGGTTTTGCCACCCCTTTCTCAATTTTTGAAATGCTGTATTTAGAGTTCGTCTGGTCCGTTGATTGTGTCTGACGTGAGCAGTACAGAGACAAGGGATGACGATGTTGGTTCAAATTCTCCTGAAAAACGTTGATTTTTGGGTTTAGCTGATGTCGAACGAGGACGAAGTGGTAGAGCATTGGGAAGCCTTGTCGAAGATGGGCGTCGAACGGATCTCGGCCGCCGCCTTGCCTCGATCTCCTGAGGACAACGCTCCTCCCTCCAAGTTCTTCTACACTCCCGGTCAGTCTCTTTCCCCAAAAAAAGCTCTTTTCGGATCGGAAATCCAAATCTCAGACCTCTTATTGCAGACAAGTTGAAGCGCAAATACGGCGGCGAGGACAACGAAGTGATTTTGGTGGACTGCGATCACGTCCCCGAGGCTGGACTGGGCATTTCTTTGGCCGGCAACCGGTAAGAATCTTTTAAGATTGTTCGAGAAGATGATAAGAAATTAGGAAAAAAGGACAAGGTCAGTGCCAAACTACTTTTATATAGAGAAAAATTTTCGTTTCAAAACTTTTACCATACTACTTTTTAAATTTTCGAGTTTTTGTCATTTGTTTTCCCCTTTACGCTTTCAAAAATTTTTCGATGTATGGAAGGAACAAACTTCAAAAAATAAAATGTTCATTGAGCACGCGGTTTTTATCCAACGTTTCTTAACTTATCATGGTGATTAAAAATAGAAAAAAATTTCGTAACTTCATTTATCAAATATAAAAAAAAAAATTTATTGAACTGCACTTTTTCTTCTTCTTCTTCTTACGCCTTTGTACCGCTTGAGCGGCGTCGGCGCCCCAAGTCGATTAGCCGAGGTCCTATCCTGATGATAATCAGTGGACTGGCTCCAGTGACATATCCGTCCTTGTGTGTGACGGCTGGGGATTTTGAAGTCGTGGTTTCCCACTACCAACATTTCTTAAACTCCTTGGTTGGGTCGGGGCGGGGATCGAACTTGTGACCCTGTGGACCGTAGACAGGCACACAAACTGTTGCGCTACGGCGCGCCCATTGAACTGCACTTTTAACACAAGATTCAAAGCCTTACAAAAAAAAATTTCGCTTTTTGGCTTATAGTCGAGTTATCTCAGAGTTTGTAGGCTTTTCAAGTTTATTAGAATAAAATGACGCCTAAAACATCAGAGATATAAAAACTATCGAAGCTCTGAAACTTGCGAAAAGCTGAAATAATTCAGGAATCGGGACAAGCAGAGCGTTTTCGTGGTGAACGTCAGAGTCGCCTGTCCGCTGCCGATTCGAGTCGGTGACGAGTTGCTGGAGGTCGGTTTTCCTCGAAGGATTTCGGAGACGGAAAGAATCTCAGGTGAACGGTCGGGTGCTCCAAGGGATCTCGCACGTCTCCGCGTCTTCCGTCGTCAGAGAGTGCTGCGAGAAAAACGCTCCCATCGAGATCGTTCTTCGGCGCAGAGATGGAGCCATGGTCAGTCTTCAATATTCTTTATCAATAATTTGTTCAGTTGACGAAAAAGACTTTCATAGACAACTCCATAGATGTTTGGTAACTGATAATTGAATTGAAGAAAACGATAAAAAGCCTTTTCTGTGAAACAGGTCTGATATATTTTATTTTTTTTTGTGAAATGGGTCTGAGTTCAGAAAGAACATTAAACTTTACCTAAGTAATAAATTCTTCTTATTTGTGGAAACTTTAAAACCGTGACTCAGGTTCTCTGTTAATGAAATTATATATATTTCGCTCAATAACCAAGACATTTTTTCTTAGAAAGAAAAAAATGTCTTGAGAGATGTAATTGGCAAAAATCAAAAAGTCTTTGAGAAAAAATTTCAAAGAAAGAAATAGGATTTTTTTTTGGACGGCGAGATCTGATAAATTCTCACTGAAGCTTTGAAGTCATCGAATTCATTAAAGCAGTTATTAAAGCTTTGAGTTTTCAGTCACGAAAAGAAAAATTTAGGTCACAGATAAGTTAGAGCTCTTTCTTGATTTTTTACGTTATAATAACTTTTTTTTCCGACAAAATCAAAAAGCTGACTTGACCAACAGTATTGAAAAGCTGTGCTGTTGGCGACGCGATAATTGCGGATAATTGGATTTGAGAAGTGGTTGCAGGACGACTGCGCCGTGCGCAACGACGAGCTCGCATCGACGTCATCGGCGTCGACGTCGTCGCCTCACCAAAAGGTTCTCTTTTTGTTCTCGATTCTCTCAGAAATCGCCCCTTCTTTTTCCTTTTATCGGTTTTTCCAAGTTGCAAAATTTCCCACGTTTTGCTTTTTTCTCTCATCAGCGACTCCTCCACAGGTACTCAAGAAAAAATATCACGCACATATTTATTTTTCTCACCTTGAGTAATGCATAGAATATTCACTACAATTGACCATAAAAGTATCTCGCGTTTTTTTTAAATCTTTCTTTTTTTTTTTAAATTTTAATTTGACATCATTCATCGCTTTACAATGGTCAATTTGCTTTTAAGTTTATTATTTTTTTTTTTGAGTTTGGCTCGGATTCTGTTCGAGGTTCCTACATTTTTGGAATATATAGGAGCAGGAAACGAAATTTTTTCGATATAGATATGCTTCAGTTGTCGAAGCAAATGAGCGATATCTCTTCAATGCCAAGTCGTTTCTCTAATGCATATTTAATATAAATTATGACGCTGTTTCCAAGAAAAAAAAAACTATGAAAATATTAATTAGCGTCCTGAAAGAGGTCGCACGAACTTCTTAATGTAAATCGACTCGACCTACGGTTTTTTTCACTTTTTTTTTCATGCCCTAAAGTTGTTAGAATTTCGTGGCTCGAAGGTTGCGATAGGCTTCGTGTAGATAATTGAAAGTATGAAGTGGGCTAACGCTCACCGGCGCTCATAATTCTGTGCTTGTCTAATTGTGGTGGCTGGGCGGCAAATTGGCGTGTAGATGACTAGGAGGCGGTTATCCACATTCTTCCCTCCTTTCTCTGCTCATTTCTGCTTTCTCTGAGCAAAAACATCTTTTAATTTTTTTTTATTGATTTCATAACATTTTTCAAGTTTCGTGATATGTAATGACTTCTATTAGGTCTTGGATAGTGCCCCAGTTTTTATTTGGATTCAATCTACCGCTATTGCTATTAATTGTATTTTTTTAAATACGTCCTTTTTCCTATTAAACAAGGTGAAGCAAAAAAAAAATGAACAGTCCTGTCAAGCTTTCCAAGTCGTAGCGAACGAGGTATGTGAAGATTTTCAATCAACCAACATTAAGTGAGTAAGATTGAACTTCGAGATTATTGAGAACGTCTCTAATAAGAAGAAATTGATTTTTCAATCTCTTTATAGCTAAAAATCTTACTATTCTGAGAATCATTTCTATAAGAATCGAAAAAGGTTTCATGAGGATGTTTTGTTTGAGTTTGAAGCGGAAAAAGCGCGAATGAACATTATAAGACAAAAACTCAGTTAACTGCTCTGTAGAAGATGGAGAGGTGTTTTTTTTTTTTGAAGGAGAACTTTGCGCAAGTTGAGTGAGGAGCTCAAAACAAGTGCAGGCTCTCGGCGCAGAAGGCGGAGCCACGCACCGCCTGGGGCTCTCGTCGTCTCCTTTTTGGGCCAACCGAAAACTGAGGCGGCGGCAAAAGGAGAAGAAGGCGGCCGCGAAGGTTTTACGTGTGCGTGTCTGCGCCACACGTCTAGAGCCGCCGCCTCAAGCACATTTAATTTTTTAAGTCAATTGTTTTTCTCTCTCACTACTTTTGAAACAAACTCCGAAAGCTCAGGATTTCCCTTTTTGTTCCAGTAGAAAAACGTGAAAAAAAAAAGAAAAGGGACATTTTTTGCAGTGTAGTTCATTCTCAGCGAAAAAGTCATGGGAAACTCTTTGACGAAAAAAAAACTTCTGTTCTTTTTTGTTTGAATGGGTCTCAAAACAGTTTCTTCAGCTTTGCAACGCTTTTGTGAAGCTCAAAAACGATGAAAAGACAGAACGTGCATAAAAATTCGTGTTTAATATAGTTTCCTCTCTCGCATTTATTCAAAAATCTCATCTTCAGCCTGTTCCGTGTTTTGAACATATGAGCAAAGCGATAATCTAGTTACATTGAGATTTGAAAAGGGAAGATTCTATTATTTTATTTCTCCTTCGATTTTATTTCATCACAATTGAAAAGGAAGCAGTTAGAAAGCTCGAGGCCGCCCAATATTTTTCATTTATTGCCTTTCTTTTTCGCTTGCATACTAATAACTACGGGGATGAAAAAGGAAAAATGGCGATATTTGAGCAAATATACTCATTTCTCTCTTTCTTTCATTCTCAGTTCGTCTCTAACAAGAAATCCCCAGGGGTAAATACTCATCTTTACTGCAGCCGCTTTCAAAAATAAAACGAAATGGGTGGATTAGCATGTTGAGATCGGAAACTCGACAAAAATTCATTCTTCACCAAAATAAAAAAAGAAAAGAAAAGCCGGCCTCTCTCTACACAGTTGTACTACACTTCTAAGCATCTGTAAAACATTTCTTTTTATTCTCTCTCGTCTCAAATTGAAGCGAATACATTTCTCATTTTGAACATCACTTTGTATCCCACACCTTACTCACTGCCGAAGGTTTCTCCAACGACGGTTTTATCTTCTTTTTTCATCCTCTTGTTTTTCATTTTCTGTTTTTGTTCTGCATTGTATGTGACCATGCAGACACCTTCTCTGTCGTATCAATCATTTATAGACACGAACAGCCCTCTTTTAGGATTCATCGTTCGCAAGTTTGCCTGAGCTCTTTTTCTTTTTTTTTTTGGTTTCTAAGTTTATTGAACTTTAGTTCAATTTCAAGACGCGCGGACATTCTTCATTTGTTTTTTCGGACTAAATTTAGGGTTGTATCGCTTTATATTTTTCCATACCATGAACACACCGAGACCTGAGATTGGTGAAGAACTCTTGCCAAATGTGTGGCGGAAAGACGGCCGCCAGGCTTTCTGTTCCTTTTCATTAACTTTTTTTGTGTTTGCTTCAGCGGACGCACTCCTTCAGAGCCTCAAAAGCCTAAAGATTTTTATCCGCTCATTCATTGTTTTTCAGGAGCCCATGGTCGAAGAGTCGTCGACGTCTTCTGCGACCCTTCCAAATCCCGAAGGTTGTTTTTTTTTCTCATTTATCGAGCCTTTCGAGACTTTATCCCGGTGTGAAGTGTCATTTTATATCAATCTTGTCTCTGTCTCTCTCAGATTATCTTTTCTTTTGAGTGCATTTCGCATTTTTGGATCAAAAATCAACCACGCATAGCTCCATTATTCATGATTGAGAACTTGAAAGGAAGAAAGTCTGACGTTTCGCTAAGAAGTTCGATAGTATTTTTCAAATTCCCTATAAACGATTTTAAAGTATGAAATTCATCACAAATATTCACCTATTTCTGCTTTTTAGGTCATATTGTCATGATACAGTATCCTATTCTTTTTTTGTTCTTTTTACCGCGATATTCTAATATATCAACATTTTCCTGTCTCAGTAGACAATATCAAGTAGCCAGTTTCCTTACTCGTCTTGTCATTTCAAATCTCCATAAAAAACAAACTGCTGTCTCTGATCATTCCTCAAGAAGAATCCAAGCTGACTTACAAATCAGAAACGAAATCTGTAGTTTAGAAATCGGTACAGTACTAAGAGTAAAAAATGAAGTGCGAATTTGAGCTCGAGAGAGTGTGCGCGGTGCTTGCAATTCGCTTCATTAGCGAGGCAGGCCAGACGCGATTCGAGGCAGCGATCGACTCGCCCGAGTGCCTCTTGGCTCGCAAAAACGTCGAGAAGAATGAAAGAAGTTGGCTAAATGAAGTTGATGACACTCCACGTCAAACCCAAAGCCACATCTCAAACCTTTTTTCGCGTCAGAGAATCGTTGAAGAAAAAACATTCAAAATCACATTTCTTAAAAAAGTTTTCCGAATTTAAAATCGAATCATGCTTTCAGTGACATGAAATTGTTGAACAACGCATTTGCTTTTCCTTCTCAAATCAATTGGAGGTTAATCGATTTCTTTGCGTGCTAGACACATTATTAATTTTTGCAGATTTTCACTCAAAAAATTGAAAATTTTCATGGAATTTATTACAAAGGAAACATTTATGACAGATTTGAATTTTGCGTTCAGCTTAGTGAATTTTTTTGATAGTTTTTGGGAGTTCGCTGGAAAATTTTATGGACGCCGTCGCCTTTTCCAAATTTTTTGTGGACTAAAGGATATTTCTAGTATGATTGATTTTTGCAATTAGAATCCGACGAAAAAACTGTTTTTGAAAGTAAATTCACATGTTCTCTTGTTGTTTTTTCCGACTGCCGAAGCTCTGGAAGAAAAGCCGTATGTTTGACTACACTTAGGCTTCCAGTTACGAGTCCTCCTGTCTTCCTTGATTTCTTCACTAATTAGGGACTCTCGAAAGTCGATTGACATGCGTTGGCAACACTTTTGATGATTTACTGCCTGTTTGCAGCTTCGCGTAAAAAGTCGGTGAGCATCGACCGAACCGCCATCGACACCGGCAAGGAGACGTTGATCGAAATCGACAAGGTGAGAGACAAATTCTCTGAGACGTTCAGAGGAAGATTCAGGATGGCAAGGGACTTGGTCTTTCAATCGTCGGCGGCTCAGACACTGTTCTCGGCACCGTCGTCATCCACGAAGTCTATCCGGATGGCGCCGCCGCCCACGACGGCCGTCTGAAGCCGGGCGACCAGGTTCTCGAAGTCAACAACGTCTCCTTGCGAGGAGTCACACACGACCAGGCCATCTCAGCCCTCAGAAGAACCCCGCCGAAGGTACTGTCTTTTCCTCCACATTCTCGCTTGTTTTTTTGTCTCTCAGTTTGCTACAGGATTAATTTACGTTTTTTTTTTTGACGATGTTGTGATTCACCTTATTCACATGTTATAAATTAGTTTAATGGAGGCATTTTCGACTTTTTTTTGAGTGAAGGAAAGTAAACGTATTGATGGAGTAAGACCGTTATTTCAGTAAGTTTTGGGGAATTTACGAAAACGAAATACAATGTAAATTATTTTGCGATTAACTTTGACCATTTTGATTTACATAGAACAATTCTTTTTCAATAAAGTTCATTTTAGTTTTCTTTCGAATTGAAAAATATATCGAAATGAAATCAGGATTGACGATAAGCTTCGAAGAAAAAAATTTTTTTTGAAAATCTGTTAATTTTGTTTCTTTCATTCACAAAGACAGCGGATATTTCTCTTATTTTTCATTTGTGCAATGATTTCGAAAGATTTATCTAAAAAGTTATAATTAAGTATCAAAAAAAGAAACTGAAATGCTGATTCATGATGTAGCAAATATTGACGAAAAAAAGTGGAAACTTTGAGAAAAAAGTAAAAAAAAAATCGAGCACGAAGTTATTTTTTTTTTTGCGTTTTAGGCGTGTGTTTTGATTTTTTTCCGTACAATCTTCAAGACTCAAAAATATAATGCATTGGATTATTATATTTTCAGTTTTAAAAACGATCCTTAGAAATTTCTTCTTTTTTTGATCGCAGTTTTGAAGCTATGGTAAAAGGGGTAACATGAAAAGTGAATAATTTATATTTAGAGTTGCGTGTTTCGGCAAATTTTCTTCTGATCTACTTTTTGTGTTGATAACCAGGTTTTTTTTCATTAAAAAAAATGCTTTTCTTTCTCATTACTAGCTGATTTTTCACGATAACCGAGGCTTATCTTCAGGTGCGATTGTTAATTTACCGCGATGTCAATCTCCAATTGAGTCTTCTCGACCCCACGCAAATCTACAACATTTTCGAAGTCGAACTTCAAAAGAAGCCTGGCCGCGGCTTGGGTCTAAGCATTGGTAATATTTTTATAATATGCTTCTGAGCAACATTTTTTTTTGAACGACTAGAAAAAAGAAATAATTTTTAGAAAAAAATGAATTGCATGCTTTGGTTCATCAGCCTACAATGGTACAGCTTTTGCAGTTGGTCGGAAGAACGAACCTGGAGTCTACGTGAGCGAGATCGTCAGGGGAGGAACGGCAGAGGCGGACGGTCGCCTCATGACTGGAGACCAGGTTTGATTAGTACTCGGGAAAATAATGGTTCTATTTGATAGTATGAGTCATTCAGTTGTTCATAATACTTGATATGACACGATACATTTTTCAAAAGTAAGGCTTGGATTTCCAAGTTTTCAGCTTTTAAAAGTTCATGATTGTCATTTTTTAACTTCAACTATGAAATTGCGAGAAACTTCTCTCCTATGCGTGAGTAGCGTTTCGCAACAAACAAATTTTTGTCAACCCGTTTTGCAACTTGACTGGCAATGAGGCCCGAGTCTAAATTAAAAAAATAATTTTCGAAAAAAACCATCGAATTAAAAAAAGTTCTGACAATAATAATTATTTCCGACCCCCCATGCTCGAATGAGGAATGAAAAATAGCAGAGCTGTTGAGCAGACCGGGGCGCCCCGGGACGACCGCAACGCGCTCCATGGCGCCCCGCCCTGCGAAGCGGTCACACTCTTAGGAGAATTCTCCACAGCTACTCAATGATATAAATGAATTTCCATTTTCTTCGATCAATAGATTTATTTATTAGTCGTTACTCTGCGCATTTTTCCACTTATACTTCATTTCAACTTATCTACTCAGCGGAGCGGGGCGGCAGCACTGAAAAATTGAAATGTGAGCTTTTTGAAGATTCTGGCGGTGAACGGCCAAGACGTTGCCAATTGCATGCAGGAGGACGTAGCCGCGATGCTCAAGACCTGCACCGGAAAAGTTCATCTCAAGGTTACCTTGTCTTTTTATGGAAATCCGCTGAAGAACCATTCATTCTTGTAAGAGCATTAAGATAAATTTCCAAAAACTTTTTGTCTCTTTCTATTTTTTCTTTTTGACAATGACTCACTGTTTAAACAGAAACCCTTAAATTTTATTGAGGTACTTAGCTTTACAAGCTAAAATTTATTTTACTTGTCGCACAGTTCATTTTGCTGAAATGAGTTTTAAAAGCTCAACAGAATGTAAAAAGAAGAGCTTTAGGAATTATTTACTTGCAATCGTTGATTTCTTCATCATTGAATACGGTCTTTGGTGCGAAGAGAGAATTCTTGAATGCAGGTGGGCCGATGGAAGATCACAGAGACAGCGAATCGCGTCCACGCAGCCGCCGAAGCCGCCTCCCTGGCAAAGAGCTGTACGACGCCGCGGGTCAGTCGCAAGGTTCGTTCACGATCGCCCAAAAAGTTAAAAGTTCTGACGATCAACGGTCGGCCGCATGTCAAATCTCTGTTAGAATTTTTTTTCATTTAGTTTTTTTTGCTATCCTTTTTTGTAACGACACCAACGCGCCTTTTATCCGATTGAACGATTTGTTTGTTTTTTTGGGCTGATTGTGCACGTGCTTTCCACTTTTATCATTAAATAATTTATATTTTTTTGCATTTGATCAGTTCAGCTTTGCAGATTTCTGTAGACACTTTGCATACATTTTCAAGTTTACTCATTTTCGCCTTCGTTTGTTAGCAGTGAAGTCTATTAACAAATCTCGAAAACTAGCATATTTCTTCTGTTTAAATAGAGATCTCTATAACAGCAATTTTGAACTAACAGTAGCGGTCAGAAAAATATTTCAATCGTGTTGTTCATTTATATCGTTAAACAATTGTGGAATTTTGAAGAGAGCTCGAGAAAAGATAATTGAGAAATTCGGCAACAGTTTTTGAAGTGAGATGGTTGCATTTTTTTTTTCCTTTTTGAGCTAGGACTCTCATTTTTGGTCTCAGAGGGTGCAATCCTGTTAAAACTCACAACTTTGAACGAAAGTAGGAAAAAAAATTCAAAATGTTTTTTTCAATGCTAACTTACTGACAAAGCAGAGTGGATAGGGAACATATCTGAAAAACATAATGGAAAATCTAGGAAATTTTCTTCTGGGAGGTCCTACTTAAGCAGCTGTCCTTTCTTTTTTAGAAAAAGTTCCCTACAGGTAGAAGACACATCGCAACCGCCTGCAACATGTAGTACAGCCGCGCCGAAAGTTGAAGAAAAGAGGGAAGTTCCTCCGCCAGCACCGCCGATGCGGCCGATCATCACGCACACGTCTCCAGACGGCGAGGCGGCCCCTGTCGACGAAGTCGGACTTTCTCCTGTGACAGAGGAGCCGAGCAGCGGCGGCGACTTGGTCTCAGTGTCCGCTCCTTCGTCCGAGCAATCCGTGTCCTTTCAGAGCAGCGAACTTCATCGGAGCATCCACGAAGAGGAAAAAGAGAAGGAACGACCCCACAACAACAATTCGCTCGCCATTGACATTCTACACGACCTCAAAGAGGAAGGCAGCGAGACGTTACTCGTCGAGCTTAGAAAGGTATCATTCCAAAAATTATTCGAATATTATTTTTTGCAGTTTTTTTTATTGCATACTTGACAGCTTTTCCCACAGGAGTATAATTCTGAAGACTCATTGGAACTGAGATTTCCTTACTAAAAGTTCGCATTAAACTTAAGAAGTCGCTATTTTTACTAATAAAACGACAGGCAGGCTTGGAAATTATTTGTTAATGACAGGTAGCCGACCAACAACTGGGAATGGGTATCGGTAAAAGGACGCGTGGGATATTGGTGACTTCTCTGCAGCCAGGGTCAACGGCAGCGGAGAAGCTTCGCGTTGGCGACAGAATCATGGCCGTCAACGCGTTACCTGTCAGCGACCAGGTTCCATTCTCATTGGCCTAACCCTCACACCAACAATAAGTTCAGTTGTCGGCCGTCACGTTCGTCAAGGCCAGCGGTGAGCGGCTTTTCCTTCAAATAGCACGACCGCGGCTCTCTCCGTCATGACAACATCTCGTTAATAAGTAGATATCCCGTTCGCTAGAACCAACCGCCACTTATCTTATGGGTAACCTCCGGTGTCTGTCTTCTTCTTATCACATTCCCAAGAATATTGTTTTGGAAATGTACGCAATACTCCGCGAAACCACACGTAAATGCTCACCTAGGAAGAATGTTAACCTTTTTATGAATTTTCCAATTGTTTTGTTTGATCACTTTTCATATTTTAATGCATTTTTCTGGTATTTAAATTTTTATCAAAAGATATTTATACGAACAAAGATGGAGACCGGCAAACTTTCATCAAAAAATCTTTCTTATGTTTCGACTTTGTCAATATTTTACGTGCATAGCCTCATAAAGAATTCATAATGTTATATGATACGAGGTTTGTTATATTTGATTCGGTCTGGAGGGCTGCTTTCACTAAAAATTTCAAGCTCAAAAAAAGCCTTATGCATGGTTTACGGTTTTATCGATTCAACCTTTGTTTGAAATGGACAGTGTACCAAGATTTCGCGTCTTTTCAGTAATTATGTGTTAGTGATAAGAGTTTTCATAATATGTGTTAGTGAAAAAAAAACCTAAAGATTTTGGAGAGTAAAAAATGTTTTTTTTAATCAGACCGACTGTTCAAAAAAAGAAAACATTGCCTCAATTTCAGCTTCATTTTTGTTGGTTCTTCAAATTTCTTGGTGTTTGTTGTCATCCCAAATGTTAATATGTTTATACAATCGAAAGTGTGAGGGAAAGAAACCGGAAAACTGCTTTTGAAAAAATCTTTTTCGATTGTCACGGATCTAAGGTCGCAATCAAAAAGAAGTAGAATACTCCGAAAATATGCTGAAAAACATACTTATTCCGATTTTTCTGAGAGAACAATGAAAGAAAGATTAAAGCGTGTGAGATGAGATACCATGGAAAAAAAAATATATATAACTGAATTAGAAATTAAATAAACCGTTTAACGACGATTCACTTCCGATTGTCCGTCCTTCTGACTTCTGAGCTTCCGTCGACAAACTTCGTTTGGTAAAGAACGTTAGCATGACTGAACATGCCTTCTTTCAGCGAGACAATGATGAACTGTAAATTGTTCATTATAATTAAAAAAAAGTTTCAGAGTGGGAATTAATGCCGTGTTCAAAGTGATGCCGCGAAATCCAAAATGGCCGTCAGAAAAAGAAAAGGAAAACTAAATTTTGGAGAGTCAGAGATGATTTCGCTTTTTGCGGGAATTACTTCGAACACAGCATTACATTACACAACTTTGGAAATTAAAAAAAGTCGAACCTGACTATTTGTAAAGTGAGTCTTGATCATCTTGCCAATGTTTGCAGTATGGCTGAGATCCAAAGCAGCGTCGACTTCGTCAAGAATGTAAAGAGGCGCTGGTTTGAACTTCAGCATAGCCAAGACTAACGAAAGGGCTACCAGAGAACGTTGACCTCAAGCCACAAATAAAAGAAGTCGCAGTAAAAAACTGGGAACCTCCAGAGAGTTCCGAGAGACTTTCTTTCCACTGGCCGTTGAAGGCCACTTTGAACTCAAGGCCTTCAAGAACTGACTTGCCAGGCAAAGGAGATAGTTTCGCAGTCGTTCCAGGGAGAAGAGTTGAGAAAATGTTACCGAAATCCTGGAAGAAATATTTTCAGCTGCTTCAGTTCCAGAATAGCGTAAAAAGTTTAGCTTTTTTTGAAAGCAGTTTGAAATTTAAAAAAGACGCAAAATAAGCTGCCTCAGGGTTGAAATTCATCTCACATTCATTCGACTTAAATCGTAGTATTAAACATCACTGGTCGCTCATTTCTACGCGAGGAGAGGGTTCGAACCTCGTACCCCACGCGCAGTGTCCCAAAACACAGGCACTCGGCCACGAACACACCTTGTTGACGGCCTCGTATGCGCGCATAATCTCCTGGTCCTTGCGTACGTCCAGAGAGCTGATGGTCGTGATTAATCTGCTTTTGTCGTCGTCGATTTGCGCTTTCTTTCTTTTTAGTTCGATTACCTAGAACTTTTCATGCTTTCTTGATAAAAAAATTTATTGCACTTTCCTTATTTTGGAAAAAAATTTAAAGGTTTTATATATATTCACATATAGACACATGCCTATATGGCATTTCACACCAGCTCATCCATTTTTTTTTCCTTCCGAAAAAAACGTGTACACTATATAAACTTCGCTTTGAGACCCGTTGCAATTAAATCGCCCTGGTGGAGAGCTGTGTCTACGGTAGATTATTCTGCTGTGTTTCAAAAACGTCACTGACTACACTATATAACAGAAATTTCATGAATTAGACACAGTTGGAAGGAAAAAGTAGTGAACCTTAGCCTCGGCTGAATCCACAATGTTCGATATCTTGGGATTGACCTTCCTTTCCAATTCTTTCAGCTTCTTGTCATGAGACTCGATCTCGGCCACGATCTTCTTATCGTCAAGTCTGTAATCGAAAAAAAATTAAATACTTTGAACATTGCAAAAGACAGCGGGTCAAAATAGTGAGGCTTATTTTCCTCATTTTCAAAAAATTATTTTGCTCAACAACTAACAAGAAAGATTATTTCAAATTGTGATTGGGAGTCCCCTGAAAATTACTCAGAACACTCATTGAAGTACCAAAGGAGTATTCTGAGAGTCTGGACCTGCAAAATTGCTAGTTTTTGTGAGAGAACACCTCAAAGTCAAAGAAAACCTTCAAAATTCGTCAAACAGGTCATTTTTGAGGATTTGAGCTCTTATTTCTTAAAAACTAGGAAGTTTTGCATGTTAATATTTTCAGGACCATAATTTGGTACTCTAAGAGATGTTCTGACATATTTTCAGAAAATTCCAAACCGCAAAGTATACTAAAAATGTGTTCAACAGAAAAAGGCTTGATTGAAAAAAAGTTAGAAACTTTTTCGAGCTCAATTTCAGGATTGCGTTGGAAATTGGATTATTTCTTTTTTTTTTTCAAAATATTTTCTTAGTTTCGACCCACTCTGAACAAAAATTATACACTTGCGGTGGGATCTTATAATCTGTTTGAAGGAATATGAATACCCACAAAAAAATTTACTTCATTAAAAACTCGATTTTTTTTTGTCAATTCTTTTTCCTTTTCTAAGCCACTGACCCTGTGAAGTCGAACTCGGTATTCTTCTTGTTGAAATGTGGTTCCTCCTGAGCGATCCATTCATTTTTCTTCTTTTCCTGTGCTGCCTGAACTTTCGAGAATGAGAGAAATTCGAAGAGCGACTCGACCTTGGACCTGGCGCTTTGTGCTTCGCCCAGAGCGCCTTCTTTCTGGCCTTTCAACCTTTCGATGTCTACTTGCTATAAATGTGAAAGATTATAAAAAAGGAGCTGAAATGAGTAGTCCGTTTCGTTTCTTTTTAGGGGGAGATTCAGGGAAAACCGACCAATTTCTTGATTTTGTTCTGAAGATTGTCGATTTTCTTCATGCAGTCTTTGGCTTGGTTATCGTGCTGTCGGATGCGTCCTTTCTCGGCGTCCAGCCGCTCTCTCAGCTCTTTCTCTTTCGTCTGAAAAAGAAAAGAACTTCTTTTTCGAAACACTCAAACAACATACACTGATTTCGTCGAAAGTCTTTTTCAACTCGACGATTCTCACTTTCAAGGTTTTGATTTCTTCCAAACGAGTCTCAATTAGCTCTTTGTCGGCCTCCATTTGAGAGTTCAAGTTCTCGATTTCAAGTCTATACATTTAAAAAACGTCTCAAAAAGGCCTTTTTTCACAACGAACGCTTTGGTGAGTTTGAGTCTCTGAGCATCTTCGGCGCCTTTCCTGTTCAATGCCAGCCGCTTTTCCATTACGTTCAGTCGGTCTTTCACTTTCTTCTTCTCACGTTCCTAAAATAAATTTTTAGTGCTGAGGTAAGTTAGAGACACCGAGAACGAACATTCATCAGGTCTCACTTATAAATCAAAAAGACATTCTCGAAACGAAAAAAAAAAACTCGGAAGAATCTAATTTGACATTAGCATACCTGATAGACTTTCTCATTGTTCTTTCGGGATTCCAGCTCGTTGACAAGGTCAACCAGATTCTTCATCCTTTCCTTTCTCTCATTCACATCTTTCGAGATCGCGTCATGCTCCTGGAAGCGGCTGATCAACTGAAAAAAAGCGGAAAGCGACGAACCTCTTCCGCTGCCTTCAAGTCTCTTTCGATGACACCGAGCTCCGAGTTGGCCAAATTCTCGCGGATCGCGTCCAATCGAGACCTCGCGGAGTCAAGAGTGCTCTTCAGCTCGTAGAACTTTTTCGAGTTCGTCGCGTTTCGTTGGATTTCAACTGAATCGCATCTTCATTATCCGTTGAACAAAACCCTGTTCAAGGCAAAGTAAAGATTGAGGAGGTTCGCCAAGAAATGAGACGTCTCCTAATTTTATTTTTCCTATTAGTTTGAAGTAAGTCCAAATTGGAAATCGCTTGAATTTGGAGTTATGAATGGGAGCAAAACGGTTGACAGTTACAGAATTGAAGCATGATTGAAAAGCCGAGTTTTTTTTTCGTTTTTTGTTAGTCGACAAAAAAAGTTAGTCGACTTTCTAAAATCAAAAATACAAAAGAGATTATTTTGGGTACCAACTTCAGAGCAATCAAAAAATTGTACGAAATGTGGATTTTTCGCCTTTCCTATCTACCAAAAATTTCCACCGATGCACTCCCGTCATATTGTTTTCAAGATGTATGAAAGGCAAAATGCTTCCATTTTTATTAGGATTACAGAGGTTTTTACCTTGCAACTCATCGAAACGCGCTTGTTTTTCCTTGACCTCCTCCCGCCAGGAGAAAAAGTTGCGGAACTCTGGGATGATCAACTGCCTGTTATAATGACCTGAAAACCCCCAATTTTTGAGCAAGCACAGCAGAATAACCTCCGGTCATGATTCCCTTCGGCATGGCGTCATCTCCTCGAGCCGAAATCGCACGCAGTCGTACCAGCGGCGAATAAGCGATTTTCTTGGCCACGCGGAGCGTTTCCGTCACGATAATCTAATTTCAATACAATCAACTATCCTTTCATTCAACTCACATTTCCGAAAATGTTTTCAAAAACGGTCTGCAGCTCAGGTGGGTACTCAATGAGGTCAAGCAGCAAATGAATTTTCTCATTCTCGTCGGCTGCCTTAACAACAAAAATTAGGAATCATTCATGGAAACGTGTTGAAAAAAAATTTCAAAATCAGCAATTTTTCCTACTAGAAAAAAAAACAGAGTGACCTTGTTTTTTCCGTTCATTTTTTATCCATAATAGAACAACTCAGATGGTTTCCATCTGGAAAAGTTTGTTAGTCTCTTCATATCTCTTTTGTCTGAATATTCACTGTGAAGAAACTTCAGTTTAAAACAAGGTTGGAGTACATGGGCACAGAGGCGCTCTTTAATTGCAAGTGTGCTCATTTGGAAGAACTTCTTCGCGTCTTCAATGCTTTCCTGGAAGTGACGATCGCCTAGAACACGTGATTTTACTAAATTGAGCACTATTCAGAACCGCGGTGGGTCAGCCTCGCTGATTGCTCTCATCTCGTACTTTCTAAATGTTCTCTATTTTCAACTCGACGTCACTTCGCACATTTTTCCGTTTGAAAACGATACTGGTCATTCACATTGAGTTGATTTTTGGGTAAAAGGTTAAAAGTCGGAAAATCCTCAGGATTTTGCCTCCGCCTTGACTCGACAATTAAGGCAAGCCGACAAACGGCACGACGAGAAGAAGAAGAAAAAAGGGGGCTGCGCGGAATGGTGAATGGCCTAAACACGTCGAGGCGGCTCAAAGCCGAAAAAAAACAAGCTGAAATCCATATTCGCAGAAGAAGAATAATGCCTGGTGGTGGGAGCGACACTCATATTTGGGAGCTCTGAACCAGAGCCTTCTCCCTTGTTCTGTCGAGCCGTTGCATTTTCTGTAGGAACGCTTTAAAAAAATGCTCCGTCCTTGTCATCCCTTGTTCAATCTGGAGCTCGCTCCTCTTCTTCGCCAAGTATTTTTGAGTTTGCGAGACTGCTTGCTATAAATTCAGTTCTTCGTTTTGCACGTCCATTCCACCAAAACAAATGCCTCAGGCGGTGGAATCGACTACAAAAAGCGTTATATTCATGCTAAATCTGGCAGTCGTAGGCACAATATCTTTCTCTTCCGCCCTACAAATCTGCTGATATTTCCACCAAAACAATATTTTGATTTGAGGTACAATATAACATTTTCATCATTCATGTGACTGAAAATAAAACCCTTTTTTTGAGATTCTAGTTTTATTTCGTGAGGTACACGTTTTCTTCTGCAGTCTTATCAGATTTTGGAAGCGCATAAAAGTTTTTTGCACTTCAATTTCAGATCAGGACATAGAAACGAGCATGAAGAATGGTGGATGGGGTTGCGAACTGAGGATCCTCAGGGGATTAAGAGAGAGAAAGCCTCAATTTTTTCGGAACAAGAAATGAAAAAAAAGCAGAAGAAAAGATGCCCCTCTATAACTCCATAATTCCATCTGCCTCAATTTCACTAAAAATCGAAAACAAAAGCTTATTGCGTTGAGCTGCAAACGACATCGCTCAGGAGGAAAAATTACTCCACTTGGAAAAATGAAACCACTAGAAAAATAAGGTCTCTTCATAAACTCACGTGTGTTTGCTCGATCCTTTCAGCAAACTTCATTTTTTGAAAACGCTTTTCCTTCTAGTTTTCACTATTCGATTTCTAGTCTGCTATCTCACAAAGAAATAAACGAAAAAAAAAACTCAGGCACATAATCAACGAGAAGACAAAACCGATCTATGATGTTACGACCGTTATTTTTTTCTGATCGAAATTTGAAACTTGAGAATGATATTTTGAAACAAACCAGCTTGACGGCGTCTTCCCAGCGATTCCTTTCAATGCGCGGGACTTTGTACTTGGGTCGGACCTCCTTGAGCGGAATAAAAGTGCGTCGCGAGGTCAGACAGTTCTGGTCGACCAGCATTCGAGCCACCGTTTGCGAGGAGACCACGATTTGGTTTAGCTGAAAAGAGAAATGATTCAACGAGAAAAAAAGGAGACTTATAAAGATGATTTCGGTTCCTTGCGGCATAATTCATCCTCACAATTTAGGTTATTTCAGTTATATCTATAGAATTACAGCTGATTTGCTTCGGGTTTATGTTTGGTTAAATCAAAGATAAGAAACTTGGAGCGACTTTGTTGAAAAAACCGATTATTGTACGGAAATGATCTTTTCTGTGAAGCTCAAAAATTTGATCTTTGTGCAAAGTGTTTGCCCAAAACTGAATTATTCACGTTGTTAACCACTTAGTTATTTCTTGACTGATTTAGAAAAAATTAAGAGTAGAAGTTGAGAAAGTTCCCTGGCCACTGTACCTAGAGTTTTTCTTTTTTGAAATCTAATCATCGCCCAATACTGGCTTGGCCTAATATTCAATTTTTTTTTCCCATAATGACATCATTTCTCGCTGTTGTTTCGAACAACGTCGTGCCGGTGCAATATTATTAGCCGCCGGGCGTTTGCCATAGCCACTGCACGGCCTCCGTCGCATTTTCGACTTGTTTTTCTTCGTTTTCCCCATTTTTCACCTTTGTCTCATTATTGCTTGCTCAAACAGAACTATGACTTTTTCAAAGAGATTTGCAGGGCAAACGAGCGTGAGCATTTTCGTTACCTAGGTGCGTGATAAAGTGCTATTACTGATAATTTTTCTCTCATTTTTTTTTTCTCTGCAAGTTGTAATTTGTTACGTTCCATCCGACTCGAAAACCAAAAAATGATGAAAAAGCCATCTGCCAAATAGGAACTAGCAATTCGATCCCACCTCGGGACTCTCAGGTACATTATTCGCACACTCCATTCTCACATTCCAATGCATAGTAATGGCGATTTCTTCACCCCAAGAATACTTTTTTTTTTTCAATTCGACGGAATTATCCAACGCACGCTAACTTGAGTCATTTCTAAATTGAAGAAGAAAAGAGGCTGTTTTTTTTTTTGAAAAAAGGAAGGAAAATGTAGAAATATTTCGATACTTCTGATTAATTAGTAATCGGAGTAGCTTTATATAGAGGTATTTGAACCATCTATAAACTTTTGGTAAAATTCGAAAAGAGTTGCGTGCTTTTGATTCAACAAAAAACATGTATAAATATACTTCCAATTTCATTAGAAGCTATAAATCTGAAAAAAACCTACGGACCTTTATTTCCGCGTGAATCAGCTGAAGTTTGCCGTTTTGGGCTCTTGAGATGTTTTTCTATTTAACAAAGCGATACTATTCAATCTAAAAATTTTGACAAAACAATAAATAAGAAATGGTTTTCCTACACAACATTTTTTTTTTTCTCAACCTGAAACTCCCAAAAAAAAATTTCAATAATCCGATTTCCGCCAAATAAAAATTAATAATTGCATATCCTAACTACTATAAGACTACAAAAATCGTCACTTGGAATTCCTTCGCAGAAAAAAGATACAATTTGACAAAACATTGTGCAAGTCCGAGTCTAATACCCGATTATGAGAGAAGCATTCGTTTGCTGGCCAAGTACATTCGCTGCTGCCCACGGATTGTCGGACAAGCGCCGCCCAAGTACATTCTCAAGCGATCGGAGAGCCAATTTGGCCATTAGGAAGGCGGCACGATGACTTTTCGAGTTTCAGGGGCTGTGCGGCAAGTTCTGCTGCTGTCGCGGCAAGTGGCCGCACGTTCCGCCCAGGCATCCATTTCCAGGAGCTCCGGCCACGCCCAGTTGCCGTTTTCCTCCACTTCTTGCGTCCAATCGTTTCTAGTTCGTTTTGCACGAGAACAAAAAACAACTCAGACACGCTTCAACTGAGATTCGTTATATCAGCTCGTTTGTGCTGCATCATGCTTGAAATCACTCGAACGCTCGGAAATTGTGACTCTCATCCTGTTTTGACGTTAGAAAAATGAGAATAGCTGTTTGCGTTTATTTTTTGTTAATGATATCGCGATAATAGGCTCAAAACTTGACGAAGCAGTTTTTCTCTTTCTTTTTTGACTTGAAAGGTTGGCTTTGAAAAAAGACATCATTTTGAATTAAAACTATCAATTGAAAATAATTTCGAGCCCGCCGACATGGGAATCGGAAAAGGTAAATGGATTTCATTCTCTCTGCACGAAGAAAAAAGGCGAAGATTGAGGTAGCACCTGCCGTCTGAAATCTCCTCGCACCCTTTGTTTTCTGTTCCATTTTTTATTCTGCATATCTGTTTTGCGAACAAAGCATCCAATTAAGTTTCTCGCCGAAACGTCGGAAAGAAATGGGAGAATTTGGGCTGAGCGGAGGCTCAAGCAAATCAAGTCGTATACATGGCCTCGTCTTCTATTCACTCTCTCATCATTCCTTTTTTTTACTAGTCCATTTTTTTTCTCGCCCATCATTGTCTCGATTTCGGTTAGTTGTATCTAATTAAGCCACTTTGCATTTTCCATGTACGAAATTCTCTGCGCTCTCTGACGACTCTTTTCGAACTCCTTCCAAGAACCACCGATGAAAGATGATTGATACTTTGAAAAATAGTATTTGGATTTCTTCTCACTTCATTACGATCCTCTCCACTTTTTTTCTGTAATTAAAAGTCATCAGTTGCAGCTTTCGACTGAGAAACAAATACGAAGAAAACGTAATAACGACAAACGAAGGTGCAGAAAACTCTGGATGTTCGTGCCGGAAGACGTTATTTCACTTAATGTCGGCGGCGTCCTCTACACAACGACGCGACATACACTCGGTCGCGACCCTGACACGCTGCTCGCAGCCGTCGCCACAGGCTCGCTGAGCCCAGAAGAGCAGCTGACCATCATCGCCATGCCGGACGGCTCTTTCTTCGTCGACAGAGACGGGCCCCTCTTTAGCCACATCCTGCACTTTCTCCGCACAGACAAGCTCTCCTTGCCAGATAACTTCATCGATGCAGCGAGGCTCAAAGACGAAGCCGAATTCTTCCGGTGTGATCGTCTATCCGTGCTTCTATCTTCACAAACCGGCAGTCGACCTCGAACAGCTTTGAACGGCTACCCTACTATCCTCTATGAAACTGGTAAGTTGAACTACTAACTGTACGAAGCTCCTCTCGGAAGTTTGGCACTCTTGGTTGAACATTCAGGAACTTGAAGTTATCCAAATTCGAAAAAAAAATTCACTTTTTTTTTCTTGGAATTGTAGATTCGATCATGAAAAGAAAAACCAGAAGCTATGCAAGCTCTGAACAAAGAGAAATTTCGCTGCTCATTAGCGTTGACGATTGGACAAATGCGTGAGGAAGTTTTCGTCTTGTTCAAAGTGCCTCCTGCTAAACGTGAAACGACAAATCCATGGGCAATTTCCACGCTCTCCTGCATGATTCGCGGTGAAAACCTCGTTATACGGCGGCATCTCGGCTGTACGTGAAAAAAGCTATGAAAGAAAAAAGGAGTGAAAAGCCATGCATAAAATCACGGAAAACGTATTTTTTAGAACTTTTCCTGAGAACATAAAAAATCGCTTCTCGTTTCCAAGAAAATTAGAAAAAAAATACATTAAGACACGCGATGTATTCAGCTATTTAATCTTGACGGGGATGAGACAGGAAAACAGCTTACAAAAAGCTGGAAATCACGCTAAGTCGCAGGAAACCGGAAAGTAAATTAGTATAAATCAAATTTTCGATTATTTTTAGTCTCCGCCATATGTGTATTACATCGAGTATTAAGAAGACTCTAGAGAAGATTTTCAAAAAAAAACCAAAGTTTCTAGGTGGATACATCACACTCGGCTATCGAGGTACATTCGCTTTCGGACGTGATGGTCAGGCTGACGTCAAATTCCGCAAACTGCATCGCATTCTCGTGTGCGGGAGAGCTACACTGTGTCGCGAAGTCTTCAGCGACACGCTCAACGAGAGTCGCGACCCTGGAGGTCCGGACGACGGCGAGCGCTACACTTCCCGACTGTACCTCAAGCATCAGTGTCTCGAGCGCGTGAGTTAGTTCTGTGTTCCAGGCTCATGTTACTCCCAAACTCAGCTTTTCAAGGAATTTTAAGAGAACAACGTCCCGACTCCTTAGTTTTGCTACAAGGTTTCTTTTTAGAACCGGGGATAGTCCTAGTGAAAATGAACATTTACAGTCACCGGATTTCATAAGTTGAAGACCTTTTAGTTTCTCGTTCAGAATGAACAGAAACGATTGTGGTAGAAGATCCTCCATACTCAAGTTATGACCACAGCTTGAAGACAGCGTCTCACAAATTCCAAAACGAAAAAATTTTAATACTCAAATTTTAAAGCCTTTTTGTTCATTCTAGCTCATATTATAAATTTCGTTACAAATAAGGCTTTCAAACTGACAAAAGAGTACAGCTAATAAAAAACTTCTGATTATCAGCCTTACATCATGGTGCTCCGATATTCTTTTCACAACGGCTCCTTTTAGGCTTGTGACTTGCTGGCTGAGAAAGGCTTCAAGCTCGTTGCAACATGCTGTTCTGGTGCCAATGGACTCGCCGCATCCAATCATCCTGTCTTGACCAGTTCTGGAAGCAGTTCACAGAATGTGAGTTCCAGGTTCCCTAGAAGACATGAGGTCTTCATGAAATCGGTCGTCCAGTCCTTTTAGCGCCTTTATTCACCCGAGCTCTAATATTTGCGGACTGGAAACTTAAAAGACACAGCCGTTTATCTCGAGTCAACCAGGAAAACATCCATCTTGCAGGACATGATGAACTACCGCAACTGCGGCGACTTCGAAGAGCAGCGTTGGGCCCACTACACCGAGTACGTCTTCTTCCGCGAGCCTCAGTCGGGCTTCTTGACGCCGTCACCGCGAGACCTTTGACTGCACCTTCTCCCAACACTAATAAAACATTCCAGGCGCTACGTGCTAAATCGATATTAGTATATCATAATAAATGTTCGAAGAAATTTGTTTAACCTCAATTTATTTTCAAATCAAAACTTCTACAAAGAGCATATCATATGCATATCGAACGATGGGCAGGGCTTACCAAAATCAAGTAAGTTGAAAGTAAACTTGATAGATACATTATTGACATCCGCCGGTACTTCTTTATATCTATGTTCCGAAAAAAACTGCTTTTAATTCGAAGAATTTTCTACGATTCCCAGAATTTCATGTGATTTTCATTCAGAATTAACGCCGTACAAAACACAAAAAAAAAATTAAAAATTAAAAAGCGCTCCGAATTAGCCAACAATCTGCCTACTTTCGGATCTCCTCCCGAATTTCTAGTCGACTTCTAATCTCAGGCGCAAAAAGGCCTCAAACAGTTTCAACTCCACTGAATTGCTTCAAAACAGAGGATGAATCCGTCAAAAAAAAGTATTTAGGCCCTCAAACTAGAGCGGAACATTGTGCAAGAATAAGCAACTAACCGCTCCTCCGGCGGCGACTTCGACTGGCAACGCGTGCTGTGGGTCCTTGACACGGAAAAGAGTGATGATAGGACCGACGACGTCGCGTTCGTAGTTGAAGTCTCCGGTGGGAAGCTTCTTGAAGGATGCGTCCATTCGCGGAAATCTCAAAACAGCTCTTTCCTATCGCATTTCCGTATATTGGACTTTTAGTTCGCCAAAGGCGGTAGTTCGTTATTGCGTTAAAAGTTCTTGTTCTTAGTCGATTACATCTGTGACTATAACAAAACAAAAAAGATAGATTGATTAAAATCAAAAAGTTCTAACAACGACTAGATTTGACAAATTTTTTAAGCAGTTCCCCCCGATTTGAAACGCCGTGGTCTATTTTAATAACTAGTAAGAAGTAACGACCGATACAAAAAGTGTTACCCTCGAAAGGCCTTTTTTTTCGAATACTGATAACATTTGAAACTTCGAATTTGATTATATAATGAAAAAGTTATTATGGAGAAGCGATTTTTTGAAAAGCTGATTTAAAAAAAATCTAAGAAAACGTTCATTGGAAAGTGGAAACTTGAGAACAGCCCTAAAATGACTCTCTGTTTGATATGCAAACCACCTGCACGTCTAATGGTTCTGAACGGAAAAAAAATCTTGTTTCTGTTCCCCATGAACTGACCTCTGAAGGGCCTGCTGCATCTTGGCGGTGATCTGATCGATGCTGGCCTTGACTTTGTCGGACTCGGTGCGAGCCGCCTGGTCGCGCTCCTCGTCGAAAGAGAGCTTGCTCAGCTCGGACTGAAAACAAGGCGAGATGAGCTCGGAAGCTGAGGCCTATCATCAAGAACCTCACTGCGGACGAGGTTCGTCTCGCGTTGTTTCAGCTCCTGCATCTCGTTCGACTGCTGCTTGCTCTGCTTCTCGTACTTTCCTTTCAACTCTTTGATCATCGGTCCCAGACGATCGCGTCTGAAAAACCAAATTCAGCATAAATCTACATTCATCCGGAGTCTTTTATTTTCTTTCTAGATTTTCAAAGGAGCATAGCAATATCTCATGAAAGTATTGCTGCGAAGCTTGCATAGCCGGAGATAGAACCGTTCTCGGTTCTATCTCCGGCTATGCAAGCTTTCGTCAACATTCGATTAGAGTGGCCGATTAGAGATGAGACTTGAGCATATCAATTTGTATTCCATTATTCGAAGACAAGAGGACATTCTTTTACCGCATGGACGTTGATGACATATCGTACTTGCAATTTAAAAATAACTTTTGATCTATCTATTTCTATTATTTTTTTTTCCGCTGTGAAACAAATTCCTACAAAACTACTTATTCCTAACCGGCCAACCAAGAGGAGGATGAAAGAAGTGACACCCTGCTGGATAATTTTTTGAACTCGATAAGTAAAAATACTTTTCTAAATATTGTTCTATAACACTTTTTTTAAATAATGGACATGAGTTCAAGCCCTCGCTCGAATGTTTAGAAATAGCTAGGAAGTTAATTATCAACTTCCTTATCACATTTTTAACTTGTAATGAAAGCGAACTTGATAGCAAGAAACAGTTTTTATTCACCTTGTAACTGCCGTCTTCAAATCGGCTTCAATTTCAGCAGCTTCTGTTCGACTTTCTGAAATTCTCAATCATAAAAAAAGATGACACCCTTTCTCATGTTCTTTTTTTTCGAAATATGAGTTTTTGAGAGTGAACAATTATTCATCAAAATGTTTGTTATTTGACGACTGGTAGGATTAAAATCCTCGATACATTCAAAAATGAAAATGAAATCGTAAAAGTCTAACGTTTCCCAAAAACAGAAAAATCTGTTTGCGCAACTCGGATACCTACCCTGGATCTTCTCTTCAACCGAAACAGTTTCTCCTGTCGAATTCGTGATCAATCCCTTGGCCAGCGCTTCCATTTGAGTTCTCAATTGAGAAGCCTCCTGAAGTAATAATCAAATGTTTTCTTCACTATAAAAAGCAAAAGATAATAATAACATACGCTCTCGTCCTGCACCTGCTCCTCAATAGCCCTCTGCTCTTCTTCTTTAATTCTGTCCAATTCTTTCACCTTATTCACCAAATTTCTCTCATCCTGAAAGCCTATGATCATACAAATCTCCTCGCGATGGAAACTTTTTCCAGCGAATCAATCTTCATTTTTCGTTCGTTCTCATAGTTTTTCGTTGTGTTTCTCGCTTCTTCGAGTTCACTTTCAGCGGCCAATCTTTCTTCTGTCAGGCCTTTCAGCGTCTCTTCGAGGTGTGAGAACGCATCATTCCCCTTCTGGAAACAGAAGCAAGAACTCAGACGAAAGAAACAAGCTCACCTTGTTCTTCTCATGCTCGGACAGCAACTTCTCCGTGTCGGAAATCTTCTTGCGTGCGATGCCGATCTCCTCTTCGTTGTTGGCGATCTGCTGGTCGCACTTCTCGGCGTCCTTGTTACAGAGCTGCTCCACTTCCAGACTCCGGTAATACGTGTAGGCGACCTTTTTCCGTCGCCAAGACTCCAGCGTCTTGTTGATCCGGTTGTACTCGATCAGGTTTTTCCGATCCTCTTTCATTTTATCAACCAGCGGGGCGATGTCTTCACGCAAAAGCTGCAAGAAATCCACCTTCGAAGAATTATTAATCAAAGATATTCCTTCGACATCCAAATTTGAGAATGAGATCGAAAGAGCAGCTTATGATTAAGTGTAATTATCAAAACCTTGTCGATTTCCTCGACTTTGAGCTCTTTGTTCTGAATGGTGCGCATCGAGTCATTCTTTTTCTGCTCGTACATTTTCGTTCCAGCCGCCTCTTCGATCATTCCCAGAATCTGGAAGCAGGCAATTTGTAATAGTAATGCATTCCATTGTTTCACCTCCTCAGGCTTCATTCCCAAAACTTTGGTAATCCGACCTTGCATGATCAGAAAATGCGGATTGTTCACATTAAGACCGACGCTGCGGAAGAAATCTGCCACCTGGAAAGTTAACAGAACTTCTAAGAAAAAAATTGGGAAAAGAAACTCGATTGTTCTGATATGCGATTCCGTTGATGGAATAACCGGTGCGCCCATTTACAACTACCTGAAAAGCATAGTTTCTTGAAATAGAGCCTGGTTCTAACTGACGGATCGTCGAACAACTATTTCATCTGCTTTTTCGTATCCCATGGGAGTGAGAGATTTGTCTCGGTTATCGAAAGTTATTGTGACCGAAGCTTTGATGATTCCTGCCTGGCCCTGCTTGAACACTAGGTCGTTCATTGACTCTGAAAAGTTGAAATTTTCTCGCATAAATCATATTGACGAACTTGCTCGGATGTTCTCCAATCTGGTGATACCCAGAAGAAAACATATACCGTCCAAAATGTTTGACTTTCCTGAGCCATTGTAACCTGAAGAAAAAATTTCGAATTCCCGATTTTGAAGAAAAAAAAGCTGATAATTATCGGTTTTCACTGAACCAACTACAGCTGTACCAATCTACCTGTGATCGCATTGAACTCCTTGTCGAAGCCATTTATCAAAGCTTTTCGCGAATATGATTTGAATCCATCTAATTCTATCGACTTTATGTGCATCTCACAGCGTCTGAAAGTTTTATAATTATTTGCCTCACAGGAAATGGGAGCTAAGATTTTAAAAAAAAACAAAGAAGAAATAAACGTACAGAGCAACATAATGTCGTGAAGGTAATTCCGCAAAATTCTTACTTTTAACACGGCTTTTAACACGGCAAGTTTAGGTAGCGATAAAATTATCATGCTTCTTAAGAAATCTTTTTCTCATCATCAAAAAAATCAGAAAAACGTGGAAGAATTAAAGTACTCTATTTGAAAGTTTTTTTAATTTTGAAAAGACACCCCGAACACAACATATAGTATACTATATTTTTGCGAGCCGCAAGCGATATAGCCGAGGCTTCTTGCTGCGACCTCGTCAAAGTCTCGCTGTCCTATCGTTTCCTATCATAAAAGTGAGAATTGAAATTTGATGACTTCATTTTGACTTTTGTGACGAAATATATGAGAATGAGGAAAAAAGTTTTTTATTCTAGATAATCACATAGCAAAAGACGTTTGCGAGTTCGCAGAGTAAAGTGAGAGATGTTTTTCGCGGCTCTGTAGCATCACTCTCACTGCGGCATGATCCAAAAATTAAATTTTAAAATAATATTGAGTGCATGCACTGCATGCAGAAAAAAATTTGAAAAAAATGTTTTCACCTTTTTCGCATACGCGCTCTTTTTGCGAATTGGCGGGCTCTGCATTTCTTCGTGATGGGGGCTCGGCTAAAGCACGCGATCTTACATACGAATTTAAACGAAAAATTTCTTAAAAATTTCTTAAAATTTCTTTTTTTCTTCCTTTCGCTCAATAAAGTACTCACTTTTTTTCAATTGGATTTCGGTGAAAAAGAATTATGTGCACCTTCCTCACGTATGTTTTTTGTATTATGAAATGACGCATCTGCAATTTTTCCAAAAAAATCAGTCGTTTTCTTGCCAATTCAATAATTTAATTTTTTTTATGAAAAAAATGTTTTTTTGTTGTGTGGGTTCTTTTTTTATCTTTGATTTTGTTTTTCTTCTTTTTTTCATTTATTTTTTTAATAATTGATTACTTTTTTTATAGAACTTTGAATTAAAAACTTATTTCTAATTTTTCGTTTTGTTTTTCTCTCTATTTAATATTTCAAAATTTGTTGCGAAATACTGCGAATAGTAAAGTGAGGAGATGTAATTGAAGGCTGAGTGGTTTCGCGAAGTATAATTAGAGTTAATTTAAAGATCGCTCTCTTATTGACCTTTTCCGATAGTTTAGTTCTCCCAAGCTATAGTTTTTTTCAATTTTGAAAATTTTCCTCGAAGATGTTGTAATCTGAAAAGTATGCACACTTTATTTTTCTGTAGTTAATTATTTATTCAATTACGAAATTTGCAAAATATCCATTTTTTATCTTTTATATTCTAAAGAGTTTCAATAAATTTTATGACTGTTGATTGCCACTTTTACGTGGAAGTTTTATCAGTTCGTTTTGGAAGGATAAAAAACTCGTTATTTTTCGATTAAAAAATGTTTCAAACGCAACTTTTTCTTATAAATTATAGCGCGTAAAAAAGGCTTTAATTGGAAAAGGAAGCTTTGTATTTTAAAAAAAGTTTTATTCTTGCAAATTTTTAGCTATCTTGTATTTTTTCATCTCTAACCACAAACTACTTTTTCTGAATAAATTTTTTACGTTGTCTTTTTTTAATGTGTCTCTCAATGAACTTTTTCCATCATATTTTCCTTGCAAAATAAACGCGGTATTTTAGCTTTTAGAAATGCTTCTTTTGCTAATTTACAAGAAATACCAAAGCTGTCTTATTTTTCTCTATGAGAATATTCCCTCATTACAATATTTAATCATAAATGGAACGATACATTAAAGAAAGTCTTACTTTTTGAACTTTTTTTATCTGATTTTTTTGAGGGTCTGATTGACATTTCAAAAATCTAATTTTTTTCTGAAAAGTTTGAAAAAGAACGGGTTGGTGTCAAGCTGTCATAAGCGGCTCGTCGGACCGCAGTAAAATGCAATCTGTCTCTGGAAAGTTATTTGCTCATTTGAAAAGGGACTGCGCGGCGGCCGGAGGCGAGATGCAGAGTGAGTGTAGTGTTTGGCCGAGTGCTGCGTGTGACAGACAGACCGGCAAATGTCAATCAATGGCGCTGCCAAAGCGTCTCGGCTCCGTTCCCACTGACCGCCGACACTTGCCTGTCAACACTGCTCTTTCCGCCGTGTTTGCTAATTATCTCCTCGGCCTGTCACCTTTCTTCTCCTTCTCGCCTCAGCTTTTCGATCGCCCTGTTTATGTCCCATTTACACCTCTTATTGTTCTGAACCATCGCTTTCGCATTTCTTGGAATTTTTTCTCGCCTCTGTTTCAATGGCTATGGGAACCTTTTAAAAGAAATTTGAATTAAATCCGAATTCGAAGGATAAGCTCGAATTCGATAAACTCGAAGGATAAGGATAACATAGAGATTATAGGTGTTAAAAAATAAAGGCGATTAAGGTTTCAGCGCGCGTCGTTATTATTATTTTTTTCAGAAAGTGCGTTGAGATGAATTTTTTTCAAGTTTTTTGCCTACGACTTAGGCTTAAGAAGTATTAAAGAATAATTTTAAAAGAAAAAAATAAGATAGCCAAACTTTTAATTTGATCTGATCCAATAAGATTTTCGTTCGAATGTTTTTATAACAAGGGAAAAATTCTTCTTGCATTTGTTCGGCATAACTATTTTATTTCTAATCATAAGCCTTAGAGATTACTTGACCAGCTGACTTAACCTATGTTATGTATGTTTTTTTTTTCGACGCTAGTCATTCAATATTGATACACTTTCTGGAAGAAAATATCAAAAATAGACAGGAGCAGGAGAAAGAAGAGAGTTTTTGTTTAACGTGGGAAAGAATGAACCTATCGGTTAAAACGTTTTTGTGCGGTTTATATTTTAGATTTTCCCTTTTTGTTTTACTCAAACTTTCATTTGCAGTATTCATGGATCAAATTTTGGCGATGGTTAAACATGCTGGAGATGATCCTCCTCGAAGTCTTAACAGCTTCGAAAGCCATGGTTAGTTGTTCGAACATAAATAACTCTATAATCAAGTTAGAAAAAGTTGTCAAAAATGTTACTTCAGAATCGATTGGACTGGGTAGTTCCACATCAACAAGCGAAGATTTGAGCATGAGTGGAGAGTGGGCGGATCGGGACTTGTTGGTCTCAATTCATCTGATTTAAAAAATTTGTTGGTTGCAGTGAAGCAGATGAAGGCAAAAATGCACCTGAGGGCAGCCAAACAACCACCTATCGTATATTTATGGATTCACGTGAGAAAAAGTTGATGGAAAAGATCGAATTCGTTAAAGTGGTCGCCAAGCACAAAAACGTCCTTTTCGGCGAGTGCGACGGTCACGAAGTAAGCTTTGTTCGAAATTCTTGCTGAATCGGTCCCAATTATTTTCTCAAAAAGTTCAATCAAGCTTGACGTAGGAATAGTTTTTGTATTGAAGGTCACTCCTCGGTCGAAAGAAGAGGCCTGGAAGAAGGTGGCGCTAGAAGTCGAAGGCCTCGGGCTCGAGAGTTACAAAGGTATTTCATTTATCAGATAAAACTCATACGATTTGATCAAAATTGAACTGTAGGGAAGCCTTGGGCGAGATTGCGCGACCACGATTGGCAGTACGTCAGGAGACACGCGCTCGCCCGCAACGAAAACTCCAGCAAACCGACCGGCATGTTGGCGTTCGTGTTTCTTCTCCTATAGATAATCATTGTTTTTTCTTTCAACATTTTGTTTTCAGCAAAAAGATAGCAAAAGTTGGTAAAGATTTCACATTTTTTTTTGTCCATTATCAACAAATACGTTGTTTCAGGCACAACTTATAGGATAAAAGGCAGAAAAATATTTTGGCCAGCTGACAAAGTGAAAAAAATGTTTAGAACTTTTACTTCGGTTTTTTTTTCGTAATTTGTTTAGAAGACAATTTAAAAAGTTAATATGGTTTTACTCATTTTATTTATTCATTTATTTATTTTTTTGAAATATCCGACGGTTGCAGGGATCTCGACAAAATCGTGCTTGATATAATCGCGACGACATCCATCAACTCGCTCACTCCCACCCAAGTGTACAATTTGAACGCGACGCAGAGCTCAGAAAACATGGAGCTGGTCCTACGGCAACTTTTGAGCAAGGCTGATTCCGTCGATTCCAAGGTTTTCCTCGAAAAAGTTTTTCAGTGACTTCTTTGTTGTAGGAATCTTTCAATGTGTCTTTGGAGAGACCTGATGAGGATTTCCCCAAGGGGAAACTAGAAGAAACCGTTGCATCTTCTACACAGCTTTCCGGTAATAGCGAAGCACTTTTCGACATACTCAACAAGGTTTTCTTCCAATTTTGTTTGAGAAAAATGAGGATCTTTTTCCAGGTTTCACATCGCTTTCCACTGGGCATCGAATCAAACGGCGCTGTCACTCCCTCAACAAAAACAAATTTAACAAGGTCTTCAACTCAAACTTTTCATATTTTAGTGTTGCAAAAAAAAAAACAATGACATAGTAAATTAAAAGAACCAACTAGTCTTGAAAGAATTCTCTATCATACTCAAATAATTAAACTTCACAGAGAGTTTTCCAGCGTCCGTAAAATGACGTCACGATCCGCGACAGCTCCTTCTGTCTATTCGATCACGTCGTCGACGTCGCCGACGCAATCTGTCCCCGGACCTCCCTCTAAAAAATCCAAAATTGAATCTGAGCGGTAGTTTTTTACTCACTTTGAGCGGCTGATTTTCTTTTTAGCTCGCTTTCGCCAGCATTCGAGAAGAAAAAAGAAGCGTTTGAGCTGAAAAAAATAGAACTCGAGATCAGACACATGGAACTCGTCAACGAAAAATTAGTCAAGTAAGTTTTCTGATTTTTTTTTTCTTCTTGTCACCTATTCTTTCCTTCTTAAACTTCACGGGATTCCTTCGCAATTCAATTCGATGTTCAACTTCATACTATCAACTTTGGAGAGTAGAACGATTTTAATGCCGTTATTCTTTTCTGAAATTATTCCCTTGCAAAATACTGAATTTCCTTGATAAGATACACATTTTTTCTCCGCAGAGAAATAGCGGCTCTGGAAGGACGGGAACGGCGGGCTTGCGAGTTGCATGCGATGGAGATGCGTGCCGTCAAAGCAAGACTTCTGCGTGGCGCCGCCGTCGACGAGACTTCCGTCGATCTCGTCGACAGTCCTCCCAGAAGATACCTTAACAGCGCTTTTTGATTTTCCTTATTTTTCACATTCTTTTTCAATTTTTCGCTTTATTTTTTTAAATTTTTCCTTGGAGATGTTTTTGAGGCTCATGGATGGGCTTTACGCAACCTAACTGGGATGATGTAAAGATTTTTTAGTTCTGAACACGTAAAATACAAATTATTCCGCATATCTGTATCTTGTAGGCTGCAAGTGTTGGAAATATTTGATCTTGGAAGCTCATGGACGCTATAACGTGCATAAATTTTATGATCGTGGCCTCTGTATTTCAAATGTCCTGATTTTTGCAGTTTGAATTTTTGTTTGTGCATAGTTTGGGTAATAGGGCATGTTGTACATTTAATCGTCTCTAGGTTTTTAATGTATTCGAAAAAAGGAAAGTTGAACTGAGATAGTCAAAGATTTATCCTAGTCTATTTCTTATGCTTCATCGTTTGTGTTGTACAGCTTCTTGTGATTGTCTACCAAAAAGATCTCAGCCCTTCATTAGATATTTTAAAAATGGGTTTTTCTCAGATTCTAATAGATACACGCCGCTTTATTGTTTCGTTTCTTCTTGATATTCTTTCATGTATTCACTTTTCAATGTACCAAAATCGAATAGTCCGGTGTTATTCATTCTAATGTGATTTTTCCTTGTTGTATATAATATATGTATCGGTTTACGAGGATAATAAACAGGTGAATTTCGATTGCTTTGCGACTTTGTTTATAAGTGCCAACGGGTCTCAACACGCTCCCGTGAACTTCGCTTTCTATGCTTTTATGTTTCTTTCAAATTTATGATAAAAGCTCGAAACAAGAGAAATCATGGAGAAAATGTTTTTCATCTTATCCTGTTCCAGCTTTCGCTGAAATTTTCCGACGGAGAGGGAAATAAGTGATAATTGAAGATGGACGTCCTCCGTGCCAATACAGATCAACATTTCTTCATGCAGCAGCCTTACGGAGTTCTGATGGGAGCTCAGATGGTAAATCTGTCTTTTTCAAGAGAAAAACGCTTCAGCCGTCTTTCAGCTTGGTTCAAATGTTTTGCAAAGCTTTTGAATTTATTCAATTCATGAAAAAAAGTGAGCGATGTCATGAAAGACAGATTAGGAGTTTTCAGACCAAAGGAAGACGAACTTCCATGAAATAACCATCCATTCTATGAATCTGTAACCTTACTTTCTCGGGTTTATCATAGTCAGAAAGGAAAAGACGAGTACGTTTTAGATGAAAACCTATTTAAAAGGAATCCAACTCACAGATGGAGAAAGGCTAAAATAGAACAGAGGAAATGTGGCTTAGCGAACCAAATTGGACCAACCATGAAGGATTTTTCAACCATTTCTCCCTTCCTTTTCCACTCTAACATTTTTTTTCCGCTCAGATCCTGTCGCTTGTCATTTTGATACTTTTCTTCTTCGCCCCTTTTCTCTACGAAGGTTGGTAGGTCTGTGCGATGCCCCGTCTGAAAAGCCACTTAAGGGACCTCACTCGCGATTCTTGTTTCCTCCGTACTTCTGTTGTACAGCATCGTGCAGAACGTGCTTCACGTCTTCGGAATCCAAAGACGCGCCGTCAATCTTCTTGGCCGCCAGTTGTATTTTCCTCCAGCGTTCGTGGTAGGATCTTAACTTTTTAGGGAAACTGATCAGCTGATTAATGTCTTTTTTCTCAACATTTTTGTGAGCATGAGAAAGATTGCAGTTAAGAAAGTGGAAAAAATGTTCAAAACTCTCAAATCTACATCCATTCTATTTTCTCTTTCAAGTATTGTCTGTAATCGTAACATAAAGCAAGTAGAATAATTCTTTTCGTGTGTTTCGAAACTTTCGAAATAGCCGATTCACAAATGATAGGTATTTGTAGACAGGTATTTTATCGCCTAAAACAGCTCCTCACATTTTTGCTCCGTACATTAACATGTTTTTCTTACTTATTCTTCATTTAGAAACCACATTCTTGGAGGAAAAATGAATGATTAGGGGGAATAAAGATTCCGTGTCCAGAGCAATCTCCGACAAATGCAAAGTTATCTCTGACTCTCTACAATTCAATTATTTCTTTCACTCTTTGACGTCTATTTTGACTTTTGCAGGATCCCTTTGAAAAAGTCATTATTTCCGAATAAGTTGCTTGTCTGTCAGTCCTAAAAAACTGATCCTTAAATCTGCGACAAGAAAATTCAAGGTTTTCGTCTTCGCGGCGTTTGGAGCCGTCGGCATGGCGATCTCGTCGCTGATCGTCTTCATCGGATTTATCGACTCGCTGCGGTTCAAAGTCACGTTGATAATTGTCTACGCATTGCTTTCGGTTTGATCGTCTTGTTGTAGATGATCATCTTTCAGTTTCCAGCTCTCTTGTGCCGCCCTGACCGCCGTTTGCACGCGCATCCTCATGTTGATGTTCCGCGCCGCCCCCAATGGAAAGGTTTATTTTGCAGTGTTTCTTTTCAATAACTTGGGTTCATTTACGTGGGAAAAAAAAGTCACTTCCATGATATTCTTACTCACAAAAGTGTACAGTTGGAGTCCAAGGCCCATTTTCGGCGCAAATTATTTATACATAGCTGAAAATTTTCGAAGATGATTCGATTGATTTTTTGAGTCACCAACGGTAATAGGCTTTTCTTTTTCACATACTTTCGTTCCAAAAGTGTATGAGATTATTTGAAAAAAATGCTGGAAGCTAGAATGACTAGGTGGTAAAATATTATTTTTATATGGACTTTCAATGGAGCTTAAAAGAAAACTTCAAAATGCGGTTGCAGGTTCTGGGCTTGATGGGCGTGGTTCTTGAAGGAGATCGAGCGATCAGGTTGGATTATTATCTTTCTAAAAAAGTGGTATAGAAACCAAGATACTTAACATACTCATATTTTCATAATGAAAGTAGAATAAACGGAATGAACGGTTTATTAAGAAAAACCTTCTCTCTTTTTTTATTCACATCAAAAGTTTGTAGAGTAAACGGACCCGGCGGACCCAGCCAAGCGGCTCAACAATTTCCCGTAAATCCTGTCTAAAGTTTTTTTTTTAATACGATTCTGTCCATAATTTGAAGTCTGAAGTTTTTTTGCTACTGTGCTTTCCAATTATCCTGTTGCCTCGTCCTACTACGCGGTTTTTTTTCGCATAAAACCGACTTTCTCTACGCGTCTAAATTGCATTCCTCGATTTTGGCTTTTTTGCCTTCTCACGATTATTATGTTGCGTATTTCTTAAGTAATAAATAAAATCAAAATTTCATGGCTTACCGCTTCAGACACACAAAAAAACTTTTTTCTGTAATCAAGTTACTTATTATAATAATTCGATTTGGAGCGGATGACGTCTTCAAAGTTTTGCAAATGTTTTTTTTTGCTTGCTACATATAGTCTGTTCACATTTTGAATGTCAAGTAGAATGACGTCATTCGAAAACGCTCTGTGGATGGCTCGCTCTCTGATTGGTCTATCGCAGTATTATGGGCGGAGCTTGGGCGACGACTTGACATTCAAAATCTGAACAGACTATACTATCGTAATTTCAACCACCCATTCTCTTTTTAATTCTCTTCTGCAATGGTTTCTTTCAATTTTTATCTTGAAAAACTATTCTTACGATCTCTCAACAAGCTGTTTTCAATCTTCGAAAAACGTTTTTCGGTTTTTTGTTTTTTCGAAATTCCAACTCGATCAAATATTATCAACAAAAAAAAACACCGAAAATGCGTGAATCTTCAAGGCATTTCTACAACTTTCGTTTCAAAAATGAGTGAGTTTTTCTTCTCACTTAAAATCACAAAATTCTCTCTATTCATATCTACTTTGTCATCGTTAGATTTGAAACTCATAATTCATTCACCTCTGGCTTAATATAATGCGGGCCCTGAAAAATCTGTGAAAAAAAAATGACGAAACGGTTCCGATTCTGTGAAGTTTTTTTTCGGCTTTCGCTAGTCATGCAGGGAATATGTGATTTTTTGCGATACATGTGTCCTTTCTAGACATTCTTCTTTTGGAACTTTTTCTTTTTGGAGCTCCCAAAAGAAAATGAAGCACTCTTTGCAGTCTAATATTTTGCAGATGAGAGATCCGTACATCAAGCGACCAGCGGCGAAAAAAAGTTTGATCTGACTTTTCCATTCAGTGTGAAGTTGGGTGTTGTAGTGAGTCATCAGAAGAAGAAGACTCGACGGGAGGAGCGTCGCCGGATCGCTCCATTATGACGAAAATCAAAAGTATAGTGAGTGGAGTTGTTATGTGAACTTCAGACTGTTTTGCCATCTAAATAAGCCTGTTCTTAGTTTTTGATCCAAAAAATTGGTAAACTTCTTCTTACGGCGTTTTCGAACTAAAGTTCTTAGCAGTCAGGCAAGAAGAAGGAAATGACGTTCAAATCGTGCTTCGCTGAAGAAAACAAGAGCATGACGACCTACTTGGGACTCCTGCGAAACGTGTGCGACGACGTTTTTCTAATAGTCAAGGTTTTAGAGTGGTTGAAGTTTGGACTCCTCAGCGGAATATAATAAAAATGATGAGGAAACTTTCCAAAATCTCAACGTCAATTGAAAGACTATTTTTTAAGTTTTTGAAAATAAAATTCATATTTTTTTACCACACAACAGGCAGTGGAAAAAAAAAACATATGAGACTATTACGGAAATTTCAAGGTCAGACTATCAGTTTTGTTTCTTTTTTTCTAGAAAGTATATTTCAGCTTGTCTGAAATTTTGCTTCAAATCAGTCAGTTTTGCGAATAGGAGTTAATAGAGACGATTTGCTAATTGTTCAGCTGGTATAGTCTGTGTGCCAAGACTTGGAATTTCAGCGAACGAGAACGACATTCCGCTGTTCCGCTGCGTCGCGAAGCGTCTTTGCCTCGGTGTCGCTTTGAATTGGTTCTCTTTTCTGACAGATGGACTGTTCCACTAGGAACGCGTTTCTGTCGAGTTATTAGATAAAATAATAAATTAAAAACGCGACCGAGCAGGCAGCGGAACAGCGTAATGTCGTTCGGTGAAATTCCAAGTTGTGGTACACAGACTATAGTAAATATTATTTTTCGTCATCTTCCTGAAACTTTCCTGAACGACTAAAATTAGTCTTTTTCAGACTGAAATTTTTTCTTCCCTATCCGAAGCTTCTTATAAAGCCTTATTACATCAAATAAAGACAAAATCAATGATATCCTAGCGAGTTTCAGATCTTTTCTTTTCTCAGAAAAATGGTGGAAAATATTTTCTTTTTGTTGTATACGGCCTCAAGTGGACTCTCGTTGTTCAATTCAGATCAGTTGAAGTTTAGAAGAAAGTTTTCAATGAGTTTTGAAAATGATATTCCCTTTATAAGGATGGTAGAAAAGTTTTTTTTGCAGGTGGGCAGAGTAGTTCCGAAAGAGCGAGAGCCGCCGTCGGTGGACGCGCCGATGCCGATGGTCAACAGCTGGCAAATGGTCCGCCAGTGTCTCACTGCTTTCAAAGTCGGTCTTTGCGGGGACTTCGTGGCCGAAAGCACGGTTTTTTTTTTCATTTTACATTTGCAATGGAAAGTTGAAATTCGAAGTGATTCTTTCTTTCAAGTTTGACTCGATCTTATAGGAGAATTCAAACATATTCTGTGTCGTGAAATATGAAGCTTTCTATCTTTCATAAAATTAGCTAGAAAAAAAATTTTGAAAAAAAGTTGTAACAGAAAAGAAAACGCACTCAACTAGTAGAAATGTTACAAATAATTTTGTAATTTTGTTTATACGATGATAATTTTTACAAGTTGAAAACTGTGTTGGAACTTTATAAAGTAATTCTTTTTTTTTCTTTGATTTTTTTTTTCGACTTAGCGATACCTTCGAATTTGCGAATGCCTGGATAGAAAAATAATGAACAAATTTTGAAAAGAAATATGAAAACTGATCTGTTGAACTTTCAGAAAAGAATCGACGTCATGTGTGAGATGACTGCTGATCTGGTCAACGTGGAGAATAAAATGCTCGGTGATTTAGTTGCAAAACTTGGCGCTGAACAAGGAATTGTTCAGAGAAGTTGAAGCAGGCGAACGACCCGGCCAGCGTGTACAATAGCGTTCTTTCGGAACGAGTTAAGTTAGCTCAGATCGAGCAAAACTTGGGCATCTACTTGAGGACTACGAACTATCGTCGCAAAAAAGTTTGATTCAATCGAAACTTTAAAAGGTTTTTTCAACTTCAGGTACAGCGAGCTCAGATCATCTACGATTTGCGAGATCAAGGCCGCAAATATAAAGCCGCCATCGAAAAGTTGGATCACGAGGTTTTTTGTGCATTTACTCTGTCGGAAGTAATAAATGAATTCAAAAAAAGCGAAACCGACAGCTTTTCAATCAATGTTTTTAGTGCTACGAAATGTCAAAGTTTACTGGATACCTAGCCTCCCAGGTCGACAATCACTACAGTTCTTTGATTGGAGTGGTCTGTTCTCGTTCTTTTTATTCAAACGGCTTCAAAGAATAAAACCCATTGAGAAAATTTTTCGAAAAATGTATTCGTTTTTCAATGAATCTTTGTCTCTTTTCAGCATTTGCCCATTTTGCATGAGGTACACATCCAAAGGTCCGATGCTTTGGAGAAGTACGGCGACGCCAAAACATCCTTGTGAAAGCCTATTTTCTTCCGATTCATCTTTAATTATAAATATCTTCGTTGCCTCCTTTTTTTTTGCTTCCTCTAAATTTATTTCTCTAACTCATATATTATTTTTCACTCGATACGAAGCGCTTGTATCACAATATTCAAAGTTTTCCGTAGCAAGTAAATAGTTTGGAAAGATAGTTAGTGTACATCTGGGCCCGTTTCTTGTGGATCGCCTCAAAGTCGTCTCGCTGTTTTCCAGGGGTCAGGTCTTCTTTCGGCAGACAGCTGAAAATTTGGAGTTATATGAGAGCAGACGAATGACGTGTTACATGTTGTCGCGGACACAATGGGACTCGAAGGACGCCTTCAGTTCGTTCAAGTCACTCTGCGCGGCGGCAGAGCATGTCTGTCTTCGGTGTCGGTGGTTGTGGCCCGTGTGGTCAATGTTTGGGTCGTTGGGATCATCTGTAATAGTTCTGCGGATAACGCTCATTACGGCTCATAATAATCGAGTAATATGATCCAATATAGAAACTGGAAGTCAAAATACCGTTATGACGTCTTCTGCGATGATTGTGGCCAGTATGATCGATGTTTGGGTCGTTAGGATCGTCTGGAATAGTTTCATGGATAATATGAACTTTTAGGAATCAAGCAAAAATATCGGATGTTTGATTCTAAAAATAAACCTACCATTATGACGTCTTTTGCGATGATTGTGGCCAGTATGATCGATTTCTGGGTCGTTGGGATCGTCTGCAATGATTTCGTTGATATAGGGGCTACGGCTTATGAGCATCAATAAAAGTTTGATTTATCAGTCAATGTATGCCTGTGTTGAGTCTTATTCTAAAATCCACTCACCAGCTATCGATTCAGATTTTCTATGCTACTAGAAAAATTTAACCGTCCTCATAAGTAACAAGTTTAAATAAGACGTAATATATTCGTCGACTCGTGCTCTCATCACCTTGATGTACTCGGTTCTACTCAGGTTTTCCGTAGGATTCTACTTTTTCTCTCAGTTATCTCCGGAAATCGCCTCGGTTATTAACCATTTCCCGAGCGCAGAAAATTTATTTAGTAGAACTCATTCATTTCGGTATCGGAAATTGAATCTGAAAGTCAACATACCATTATGGCGTCTTCTGCGATGATTGTGGCCGGTGTGATCGATGTTTGGGTCGTTGGGATCGTCTGAAATCATTTCGTGTATAGCTCAACTCGGGTCTTAAGAATCTAGCAAGCTCATCAAGTTGTTGAATCTGAAAGAAAACCTACCATTATGACGTCTTCTGCGATGATTGTGGCCGGTGTGGTCAATGTTGGGATCGTTCGGATCATCTGCAACCATTTTAATCAAATCATAACTACCTAGACTCGTTTACTACCACTTTCACGTCTTCTTCGGTGATTGTGTCCGGAATGGTCGATGTTGGGATCGTTCGGATCATCTGCAAGATCACATCATATTCATCTTGTTTCTTTTGCTCCAGTATGTTTTTTTCTACCGTTCATGCAGATAAAATACAAAAAAAGTTTTAAAAAAATAAAATTGAGGTAAATATACTAAAAACCATTGTCTTTTCAGAAAATTCTTAAAAAGTCATACACAACGGAAAAAAAAATCAAATTATTTTATCAAAATTTATTGGCAGGCTATCGGTCTACATTATTTTCTCACTAATTTTCAATTTGGGTAAAAATCTAATATATTGGAGATTTGGCGTGGGTGATAAGATTTTCAGAAGCCAGTTCAAAATATTGAATTTAAAAGTCAACCTACCATTATGACGTCTTCTGCGATGGTTGTGGCCGGTGTGATCGATGTTGGGATCACTGGGATCATCTGGAACAATTTCAATCAAATAATGACTACCTTGCCAAGTTTACTACCAGTTTCACGTCTTCTCCGGTGATCGTGGCCAGTGTGGTCGATATTTGGATCGTTGGGGTCGTCTGAAACAAAGCCCCTGATCCTCACGACTTCTCCAAACCTTGGTTGCTGCGTTTCAGCCGGTATTCATGGCCAGGATCCTCAATATTAGGTTGATACGGTACGTCTTCGTCGCCGAGAAAAACGCCGCCTTCGGGGCCGTCGGCGACGTCTCTGCGACTCCTCGACTCTACAACTTTTCGGCAGGCCGTAACAGCCTAAAAAGTTTTAGAAATAAATTCCAAAACGAAAGACCTTTTTGTAGTCGTTGGAAGCCTTTTCGAAGTCCTTCCAGGCCTTTTCGACGTCGGACTTGGTCTCGCAGACAGGCTGGCCGCTCTTTTGTTCGTGACACTCTCGCTCCAACTGTTTGGCTCTTTTGTTGGTCGCCATACGCAGAATAGTATCCGGAGAACACTAGAAAACATAGTTTCCTATTTTATTTTTCTACTTTAAAGATCTTCATAACATCCATTTCCGTTAGCATGATTTCGAAAGCTTTAAAACTTGTTTTTCTGTTTAATATTGAAAACATTCGCGTTCTTATCACAATCTGTCTGTCTTGTTTTCGATGGGTTGCCTGACTCCCCAAACAATCAAGACAATTTTATTGCAATAGGCTAGAGCTCCTCATTACTCGAGAGAAAAAAAAAACCTCGAAAGCGAAAGACGAAGCGGCGACGGCCGCCAGAAGCGCCGCCTGCAGTATCCGCATTTCTCTAAAATCACCTTTTTCCTGCTGAAAAGTTGTATACGATAAGACAAACGGTTGAAAAGAAGAAAGGAGTATTTAAATGAACTGAAGTGACATTCAAAAAGCTTTATTGAAGGCCCGAAAGTGGGCGGTACACAAGCCAAAGAGGAAAGTTACGCCTTGATAAGTTGACCCTTCAATCATTTTTATATATTTTTTTCACCAAGCCAGTTTAATAGCCCAAAAAAAAATTTTTTTTAATAGCCCAATGAGTATAAGCTTGTTGTAAATATGATCTATAACTTGTATCTGAAATTTTGAAAAGTCGAAAGAGAGATAGCGTTTTCTGAAATTGCAGCGGATTCAATACCAAAAAAAAAGCGAAAAACTTGGGAGCAAAGCCACAAACAGACTGATAACGGTTATCAATAGACTTCGAGAATGAAACGAACATTATCTAAAAGGCCGAAAAAACGCTCTGGCCATGGTGCGTTTTTTCATCAGCATACGAAAGCTTCAGACTTTTTTGAGTGACAGGTGACAAAGAAAAGTTTGCATTCATTGCGAGTCCCGAAGCTTTTTCCATTTGGTTCAGAACCAGACGAAGAGCAACCTGAAGAAGAAAATTTTGAGATCAAGTAAATAGTAGTGAAAGGAGTTTATTAGAAAAAGAACCTTCAGCATTAAATTCGTTATCGTACGATTGCCTTCTACAAGTGAGAAAAAAGAAACACCCTAAATTACGGACATAAGAAAGCACAAAAGTTAAAAGAGAAACCAAAAAAGGAGAAGGCAATTTGCAAAATTTTTTAACCGCATCCCTTTGAGCTATTCAGTTACAGCAAAAATACAAAGAAAACAGAAAATAAGAAAATAAAGAATACAATCCAAAACGGTTTGACAGGACTTATTTTCTGAATCCCACCGGAATTTATGAATTATCACAAAGAAAACGCAAATGATCCAATGGAGTCAAACAAATAATACTTGCACCGAAGATAAAAAGAAAAAACGCGTAGGATAGGGAACTTGGAAACAAAGCTAAAGCTAAGGCATCAACTAGTTCTACATCTATTTCAAAACAATCTTTTCTGGATTTATCAGAAACGAGAAATCAACGACAGGAGCAAGGTAAATTTACATATTCTCGTCGACTTTGAGGAATACTTAATATGAAACTGAAACAATGGTAAGAATAACAATAACTTTGTTCAGCGGTTCAAAGAGTTTCTGGCTAATTGACTAAAAAAAAACAGATCGCCAAAAGTGGAAATTAAAACACGATGGCGAAAAATGAACGGATGAAACGTGCGGCGTTGGACATCGCTGACGTCTGGCAAAAAGAAAAAGATTAGAAACTAAAACGGAGACTAAATACATCAAAGAAAGTAGTGAAAAGGAGAAAGGCAATTAAAAGCGCAAAGAATGGCAATTACCGCTTATTTTTTAGAAGGCTCGACTTGGCTTGGAGGAACAAAAAGTTAAAATTTCGAAGCGCCCGTCCAGAATGAAAGAGAGATTAAGTGAAAAAAAAATGAAGAAGATAAGGAAGAACTCTAGGCAAAAGCACGACTCTCTGCAAAAGTGATCACTAAAGAGGTCGACAGAAACTACCAATGATGCAGCATGTAGACCACGAATTCGTATGTTCCCATCGTAATTGCCGTGTTTGGCACGGTCCGCAACAGCTGAAAAACAAAAAATCTGGATTGTCAGCGGATCTGAATAACAGAGCATTCAAGGTTGAATGACAGACCTGAACAGAAAGGCCTCGGTACATGGCTCGATAGCCCTCCTTGTACAACTGGAACAGTGTTCGAAAAAATCCGCGGTAGAGGTTGCTCTCTTCGCGAAGTCGCGTGCGTACCACTTCTGTATCACCAAAATTATCTTTGGAAGCGCTCTGCCTCTCTGTTGAAGGCTGTTTCGTCAGCATGCGCTGAATTCCATCGAATGGACTTGTGCCGCGTTGGTTCGGCCTTTTGCAGTTGACTAGGGAACTTTTTTTACCCCCGGTTGAATTTTTGCTGAAACTTTGCTGAAGTATACTTTAGGACCTTCTGATTCCAGAACAAGAATACAATTTCTCGCAATAGATCTCTTTTTCGAGTTAGGACACTAAAAACCCGGAATAGCGCTTTTTTGGCCTAATTTGCGTATTTTGCACACTTCGAAGCTCCATAACTCGGAAACAATATCTATAGCGAGAAATTTTCTTTCTGTTCTGCAATCAGGAGGTCCTGAAGTACACTTAAGCAAAGTTTCAGCAAAAGTTCAACGGGTAAAAAACGTTCCCTGGTGAGAAGCCTGAAGTCGCAAAGCGATTTCAAGTCTAGCCACATTTCAAAATCCTCAATTTGTTTTCATTTTTTCATATTTCGTTGAATTGTTTTTTAAGACGACTAAAATTCGTAAAAGAAACAAGTTAAATTATCAAAGCTTTCGCACCCCTCACAACTGCAAATTGCTGACCCATGCTGATTTTAAACCTTTTGTACTCATTTTGAGAGTTTACGGATTTTATATCCTCAGATTTAATCAATTTTTCGCAAAGGTTGTGTGCGACTGAACTGTTGGTTCTAAAGCCGTCCAAGTTTTTGAGAGGAATTTTGAAAGTTTCTGAGCCTCGAACGAAAATTTTGTGAGATCCGAAACGAGAAAAACTGGCAGGGAAAGTCGTTTTATTTTGCGATTTGGAATTTCCTGAAATTGGCTAAAATACTCCTTGTTGTACCACATGAAGATCCTGAAAACCTCAACCTGCACAACTTCCTAGTTTTCGAGGAATAAAAACCCAAAGCCCAAATTAGTATATTTTTATGGATTTCAAATGTTTTCTTTGACTTCGAGGCGTTTTTTTTTTTCAAAAACGAGGAATTTGCAGAGGTTGAGATTTGCAGAAATTTTTCCTCGTACATCTAGGAGCGCACTGGCCAATTTTCAGGAAAATCCCAACCGCAAAGAAAAATGACCTTCCTTGTGAGTAAAACGCGTTTTTTGAATGATTAAGGCTTGATTTCGGACAATTGTGAGAATAAGAAAGCAAGTTCATCGAATATACAATAACTTCAGGCAAGCTCGATATTCAGCTACCGTCGATCTTGAAATACCAGAAAACCTAGAAACTATTTCTACCCTTATATCTTTTCTTCCAAAATTTTCCGTTGCTTTGTCTAGTCAACAAAGAGGTCATCAACTTGGGAACAATATTAAAAACGCTTATTCAGGGGCCTTACAACCCAAACAAGTTCATGAAAACCATTCAGATCATATAAAAACAAGGAAGAAAGAGAACCATGAGGGTAGGCCATCACACAGGCGATGAATTTGGCCGAGCCTCCAGCGACCATGAAGTTCAAAAAGTCCTGAAAATAGTGATTGAGTTGCTGGAAACGACGGGATTTTCACCATTTTGCGCTTGTCGGTCTCGTCGGCGTGTTCCATGAGATAGCCTCGGAAGTACTCGTAAATGCAGAACTGAATCATCGTCTCGGACACTCCTGCGTAGGACGCGCTCACGCCCTGAACCACCCGGACTGTTTTCATTTATGAAAAACCGCTAGCTTCACAAGAGTTATACCGACCGAGCGTTGAACCCCGGAAAAGTCAAAATTTCTCATTAAGTGCGTGTATTTTATGCTGAAAATTGTAATTAAAAAATTGAAACGAACTTTTTTGAATTCCTCATCAAAGCGTTAAATGCATCGTGAATCTCCATAAATACGGTCACAGAAAAAGAAATACCCTGTAGAATCCGCGAAGTCCTTCGCGTTGGTAGACGCGCTTCACCATCGGAAAGATTCCGATGGGGCCTTTGTGCAGCTGCAGACGCGTCTTCACCAGCCAAATCGGGTTGACGGCCGAGGCAGCGACGAATCCTGAAGCCTCATAGGAATGCATGTGTTGGAAGTTGTTCAAATATTGACAGGAACGGCCTCGTTTGCATCATTATTTTCCAAAACACAGATATTTTGCTTTTGACAAATGAATATTATCTTTCAAATCATTATCATACATTGATTATCTCTGGTTCCGTATCCATCTTTCTTTTCACTTATAAACTTTTTTTTTCGTGAAATTTAGATTCAGTGTCAATATCCTTTCCTCTTTAAATGGTGAATAAAACAGGGGAGTCGCATGAAACAATCCTTTGGTGTTACTGGTCCTATTTCTTATTGCAGAATATTTCCTTTCCAACTATAGGCTTTTTAAACTCATCTCAAAGATTATCATAAACATAATTTTTTAAAGTAAGGTTTTTGAAATCATTACAAAACTTAAGAAATTTTGATTTCTCCTGACGAAAAAAAAAGTTAAACCTGCACTTCCAGCGCTGACCATGTGCACGATTGCCGAATTCGGCAGGAAAAAATCGGAATCGTTCCAAAATCTCTTCGATGAAGAGTATGTGTAAAAGTACACAGCTCTGGAGGAAAGGTAAAATCATTCTTTTTTGGAAAAATTTTTGAGCTTTTTCTTGTTATTCTGTTTTCAAACAGTATAAATCCAACGCAAAAAAAATCGTCGGACTAAAAAAAATGGGGAAAAAATTACCGGATTAAGAAACGAAAATTTTGGAAATCGTGAATGAATTTTATTGATCAGGACTCTAACCACGTTAACGATGGTACGATTTTATCTCAAGTCCGCAAATCTCCGGAGCCGTTATCTCAGAGTACCGTAATCTCAAGGCCCATAATCTCCGAAACCACTTATCTCCGAAAACAAAAAAACTTCAATTTCCTTTCTCTTTTTTGCATTTTATTTACAATTTTTTCTTGTGTTGTACTCAGAATACAATCTCCGACCGAAACTGTGTACGAAAGCCAAATATTTTCGTTTTTCAAACTTTTTTTATTTTTTCCACTGAGTGAAAATAATTTCAATTTTTCAAATTGATAATTTTTTCAATTTTTTTCTTGTCCTTAAGCTTCTCTGATAACTTTTTTTCATGTGGAAAGCAAAGAAAAAAAGAGTGAAACTCGAACTTCGAAGTGGCTTAACTTAAAAATTGTTCAGCTTCTCAATAAAAAGTGGAAATTTGATGAATAATTAGGGTCCGGCAAAAAATTTGGATCGGAGATTGTATTCTGAGCACAACACAAGAAAAAAACAAAAACAAAATGCAAAAAAAGGCAAAGAAAATCGAAGTTTTTTGTTTTCGGAGATAAGTGGTTTCGGAGATTATGGGCCTTGAGATTACAGTACTCTGAGATAACGGCTCCGGAGATTTGCGGACTTGAGATAAAATCGTACCATCACGTTAACGAATTCTGAATTTTTATGTCCACAGCCTTTATTGGACTTTATTTAATTTTTAGCAGGATTGCACGGAAGAGATTTGCGGAAAAAAATTTGAGTTGAAATTTCTGAAAGGGCCATTTTTTCTTTATGCCTTTTGAAAATAGCTCCCTCTATCGAAATACTCTCTCGATTTTACTTTTCTTTCAAATAAATATAACTCAAATATTTTATCCGAGAAAAAATATTCTCACGCAAAATTATGATTCAAGTGCTTTTGCGCGAATCTCTTCCGTGCAACCCTGATATAGCCCATTCCGCGCCAGCTTTTCACGTTTTTCTTCTCGCCGAAAAGACTTTATGCCAAATTAGATCGAAATTAAGCATCCTCGCTTCAAGAACTTTGTATGTTGCTGTCTTTTTAGCAGTTTTTGAGCAAAATTTCGTATTTACGGTAGCTTTTTCGTTTCTGTTCTTTCAAAACGTGACTGTCTCGCACGGAACGCACTATAGGTAACAGTTAGAAAGACAAACTTGGACGGAGCGACGCCGATGAGATTGGGGACGAGGCCTTTGTAAAGGGAGCCAAAGCCTTCGTTGCGGATCACCCAACTGAAGCGAGAGCGTGATTAACAGAAAAGAAAGGTCGAACTACCTGATGTACCGGAAGATGACGAAGTTGCGGCTCTGCTTCGGGGGTTCACTCCTTTCGGCGATGTTCGATGCCGCCCGCAGCGTCGCTCCCATCGACGCTCCGAACGGCGAACATAATCGTGCGACATCGCCTCAAACACAAAAACCATGGATAGTAAGACTTCACCCTTTTTATTCTCTCCATTTTCTAGATCTTCTGCTGTTTTTACAAATAACCTCCAAACCCAGTCGCAATCGCAAACTTTTTTCTCTCGTTTTTAGGTTTACATTACTTGATAATGATGAATAAAATATTTTTATCCTTCACCCTCCGATTTACACACTGCGAAATTTAAAAACAAAGGACGTCAAAAAGTGGATCATTTTGACCGGTTCGCGACCGCGTTGCAAACATATTGTCACCCGGGCCGCAGCTCAACTTCCAAACTTTACCCTAGAATGACTTCCCCTTCTTAGACTACACTAGAACTCTTGTCGGTGTTATCAGTATGCGAAAAAAAAGTTGTGCTTCACTAGGTTTCAGATGTGAAAAAAAGCGCATAGATTGACATAAAGTAGAAAACGAGAAAAAAAGATATAGAACTAACTGTTATTGTACCTACGTGAACGCTCAAATAAACTTTCTCAAAATAATTCGTCAACTACTAGGAGAAACGACTGAAAACAAAGTCAGTTCAACCATCTCTTTTCTGTAGGAGTTGACCGTGGAATAACCCATGATATCAACATTGGAAATTTCCCAAAAGAAGAAAAAAGCTTCTCGAGGACATCACCGGTACTTGAATATGGACTTCATCTCAAGCTCCAGAAAATAATAAAAACCCACCTCCTAAGAGACGCTGCATGGCAATTTGTCCCCGGAGACGCACGTTCTCACCTGAAAAACACTTAATAATCGTATTAAATAAAATTAATTTCTTTCTTACTTTCAGTGCGAAATGAGAAAATAACAACAAAGTGTTCAAGTTCATCATCTTTAAAACTTCTGAATTTCTTGTTCAAAACCAATCAAAGGAGCATAATTTGAGAAGAAATAATCGCTTAAAATATATTTTTCACGCTACGTTCTCAAAAAAAGCATTGGATTTGCACGAAAAGAAAAGACAAAAAGAAAAGTATACCTATCGACGGTTTGTAAGACGTCGCATTTACGGAATGAGCTTTTTTGTTGGATGACGAAGAATTTCCTGATTTCGAGGAAAGGTTGCCTGAAACTTTCAATTGAAAGCTTTTGTTCAGAATCAAACAAAAGAAAAAAGCTACCTTGGCTGGTACTGGGGCCGCTCGTGGTGTCGAGACCCGTCGAGGATTGCATACGCGTCTTCACAACTTCTAGAGGACACGTCAGCGCAGTTCCTTAACTTTTTAAACTTTTTTTTCTGGAGAATATCCCACGTTTAGTATACAAAAACAAGAATTACCTGCGGTTCCACCTGCTGCACCGCCAATAAAATGAATCAAGGCCTCGCGGTCCATGAACATTTTGGTCAGGCTTCAAAACTTTCTTCTCCAAGATATTGAAAACCTTCTCCTTTTCCGTTACGTTCAGTCGCAGTGCGAACACATACGAAACCTCCTACCGACTACGTTGCTTAATCTCTTGTTTCTGGAGCCCTGAAATAAGGCTAGTTTACTAACTGCCTCAGCGAACTAAATAAATGCGGCTAACAGCGAAAAAATATTTTTTTTTAATTTTCAATTGTTGAGAAAGTAAAATGAGATTAGAGCTTCAAAATAATGAAAAATAGCAAGAATCTGTCATGACAGAGGGTAATATATAGATAGAAAGCTTTTTTTCGCCAAAAGCAGAAACGAATTTCCATAAATCGTAAATCGTGAAATCGTAAAATGTTATTGGGAAACATTATCTTCAATTCTTTTTTCACTTTCACTGTTTCATAGTGAAGAAACAATTCACAAAACTTACAAATTTCCCATCAAAATAGAATAGAATAAGTAAAAATTGATTCAAAAACAAGAAGTATAGCAAACGCAATTTGATATGAAACGAGAAGCACAAAAAAGAAACAAAGAGATAACGAGAGCAGAAAATCGATAAAGCAACGCAACATCGCCTAAAGCAATTGGCATCGCACATTACAGTTTGTTTCTCTGAGCGAGCAGCGAAATCGTACGGCGTCTTTTTCAATAGAGTGAGATAAAAAGAATGGAACAAGATTCAGTTCTGAGAACGCAATCACGTGCAAAGCATGAACCGTCATCACGGATCGCTGAGGAATTCTTTATCATAGCGCCCACTAGACGCGAAAAACAGTGTGAAACGAAAATGCTACACCAGATTCGTCGTGATTGCATGGCAATTAATCAATTTTATACGCGTCTCTCGAAATATCTGAAACAAATTACTTCTTCAGAAACAAATACTACGACCGTTCTCGCTGTTACAACCAAATGAAACAAATACAAAGAAAGTTCATGGCACCTTATTGACAGCGAAAAAAAAAGAGAAAAAAAAGCAACTAATTGAGGAAGTTTGAAAGTCTTGAAGTCTTTGAGGCAGTCAATGAAGTATCGAAAATGGAAGAAACATTGAGGAAAAGTGTTACTAAAGTACTTTAACGTCTTTGTGAAAAGTTGAACAAATTAGCTTTTCCAAAAACCGCGCTCAATGCTACGTTGATAAACTCTAAAAAAACGTGGTGAATCAGATTTAAGAAGTCTCTCAAGAATACTCAGAAATCGTACAGAAAAAATTTGCATGTAATTCGCAGCGTGAATGCGGCATAAATAATATCTTTTGAAGAGTTCACGCTTCTCAGGCATCGGAGGTACTTAGCGGACGTCTTTAAAATTTTTAACGAACGTTAAATACACATCTGATGTTACTTAGATTACTCTATTGGCGTCTGTCTGGCGGTAGGAGCGCGTGTGTCTCGGGTGGGCGGACAACTTTTGCAAAGAAAGCATGGCATTATTGCAGTAAGCGCACGCTTTTGACGTGTTTCAAAAAAATATATTAATATTATAATTATAATTTCAATTTTCACCTGGTCAAATTCAGTGGCAAACCATGCTTTTTTTGAGATTCATTTGCAAAAAGCTGATCCCAAGAAGCCTCTGAACTAATTTTATAAATTTACTTACAAAAAAATTTAGCAAAAAAACATATAAATTTTTATTGTTATTCTGAAAAAAATTGTTAACAGAAATCTGATCCCAGTATTTTTTATTTTTCTTGAAACTCTATACAAAGCATTAACACAAAATGAGGTTACAAGGGAGCTATATATTCTTTTTGTACAATTTGATATGTTTCATTTCGAAAGGAACATCAGTAAAATATAATTATCCCGCAAAACTTGAATTACACGTTGCAGCGAATCGAAGATCGGTAAATAAGAAATGAAAAAAAATACGAAAGTAAGTAACATAATGAATAAATAGATGATAAAGAGATTATCTGGCGGAAAAGAAAATAATTTCAAATGGGAGAGCCGAGCTTGAGCATCGACTGGACCACGAGCCGTTCTGTGCAGTCTCCGCGCTCCAGCCGCACATTTTCTTCCCGCGACGCCATCAACGCCTTGCGTCTGGCTTCGGCTTCCGGGAAGCATGTGTCGAGTAGATTTTTGTACTCTTCTTTTAGTTCACATCTAAAAACTCTGTTATCTCATATTCTGTTCTTTTCATACCCATAGTCAAGTGGTTCAGCTGTGGACGTTGGGTGAGTCTCGCGCATATGCGAAACAGCTAAGTACCTTCGAGTGTAGCTTGCTCCACATTCCGTACAGCTTAAAAAAGTTTTTCGTATTATTTTCAATCAAAACTGAGTAAAAATGATCAAGAAAACGTTATGAACGCACTAGTATTGTTTTTTGGAGGCATGGAGTCTGGAATGTCGCGACAGATGGTTCATCAGATTCGCGTATTGTCCTTGTCGCGTGATGTGCTTTTTGCAAAGCTGAAAATTTGATTCTGTTTCAAAACATCGTAGAGATTTTGATAGAACCAAATACTCAAATCTCTCTAATGATTTTCCCAAAATATTCCTTTATGGATATAACTACCGTGATTTTTTAGACTTCAGTGTCCTCACAAAAACTCTTTTCAGGAAACTTTATTAATATACATTGCCAGCTTTTTATTAAAATATCCCTTATCGACTCACGTAAGTGTGTCACAATCTTCTGGTACCTGTCAACTCGTTGGGGTTGCCTTCCTCCCGAGTATCGTTATTCTTCCGCCTATCTCTTTTTTGCACTACTTTCAAATTGTACTCACTTGTTGTGATTGGCATTGAATGAACTTTTATTTTATCCTAGAAAAAGCAACCTGGCATTCGAAAACTTCGCTGCTTTCCTCGCCCCCGTTGCTTCTGGATTTTCTTTTTGCTTGAACCGTTTCTGTGGGAGACGCCTAGGAATTTCGACGTGAGAATGAGATTCAACTGGTAGGAACCTGCTCGACGCCTTGTTGTTCATAAATGGCCAACGAGGTGTTCAGTCCGAAGCTTTCGGTGTCGTCGTCGCCGTCACCATCGCCGTCGACGTCAACAGTCATTTCCTGAACCAAAGTTTGAGTCTTTTGTTGACAATGAGTAGTTACGGAATAAAACAGACAAAAAACTCGTCGAAGATTTGTTCGTCAGAACTTTTCACCAAGATTTCACGGTCTCAAAAGAAACCTATTGTCATTGACCTCAGCCTTGTTTTATGACTCAAGAAACTTGATAAAAATCTAAAAAAGCGTGCTCTAAGAATATGCTGAAAACTTCCGAAATTTTCTTGAAAAGACACTAACTAACCATAAATTATTTAGATTTATTAGGAGCATTTAGAATAAAGGCCTGAAATTTTTTTTTTCATTTTTTGACTTGGAGCCAAGTCTGAAAAAGCTCAAGCCCTGATTTTCTCCACTAAAGTGATAGCGTACTAACTTTGAAGCTTTATAAATCGACGAAACGGCAAAGCCAATTTTTTTTTTCTTAAATCTGGCTTCGAGCTCTCTAAAAGTAATTCTAATTAGGATAACGATTTTATTTTGCGCATGGGAATTTTTCAAAATTTGCCGGAATGCTTCTCGATGTCCCATATGAAGATTCCCAAAATCTCAATTTGAGAGAAAGCCTAATCTTGAGACTTCGTGTTTTTCACGGCTGCGGTAAACAGCTTCAAAATAGAACCGATGAAAGACAAGATTCTCTACTTTTATGATATCTTCTAAGAGAAAAGCCAGTGATAATTTACATATTGCTCACTACTTACTTTTCCAATTGAGTTTAGAAGAACAACAAATTTTTTTCAGGAGAACAATAAGATTTTCGTTAAGTTTATTCTTTGAAATTTCCTAACTATAATCTAGTGAGAATTAAATGAAAGCAAACCATGTCTTCATTGCCTTCGTCGCTGGGTTCTCCCTTCAAAGAATAGCTGCAAGGTCGGGAGGAGTCCAGCCCATCTTCAGTCGGGATTTCAGCCGCGCAGACTTCCGAGTGTTGACGCTTGGAGCTCTTCTGAAACAACCATCTCATTCTCTTCGACCCTTTTTTTGTTCTGATTATCAAGAAAAGCCACCTTTCCTTTGGAAGAACTAGGCTCCGATTGGATTGACCTGTGTCTCTCGCAAGTCGGACACAAGTCCTCCACAGTCTCGCCGATGGACAAGGCGCAGTGTCCGTGTTGGAACTGAAACTTGGAAACTCCAACCAGCTTCGAAGAGAATGGCTCACCAACAAATGAACGACACTCCGCAACAAGGTGTCGTCTTTGAGGTTCAGTAAGAGATACATGCGATCTGAAAGTATATAATCTAATCGAATAAGTAAAAATTTTGACAGAGTTGATTTGTGCTATGAAAAAAAAAATCAGTTGAAATTGATTGAGGAAGAAGTTTAAGGGAAAACAAAAGTTTATTTCTGTACTTTGTTCATGCTCCCCTACGTCTATCCCATATTGAAAATATATCTCTCGTCTTTGAGCTTAAAAAGATTATTTGAAAAAAAGATTTAGGAGGATGGCAATATCTAAATGTTCGTACGAAAGAAAGTTCAAATGAAAGTTGGGAAAAAAATGGTTGGAAGTTTGATAAAAAAGTAAATTATAAAGTGCTGGAAAATGTTAACAAACCGGATATGTATCTGTTCATTGATGTTTCAATATCTTATCCTGACCAACAAAGTTACTTTATCACAGAACAACGCTCGGAAGTTTGGAAGCTTCCAGCGAAATTGGAAAACATCTCTTCTCTTAGGCCTCCAGCTTATTTTGGAGAGAAAGACATAAAAGAAAGATTTCGGCAGCTCGAATCACCTTGGCGACCGTCGTCCCGAGGAGCCGCGGGGGAAAGTACAAGCCGTGGGTGTACACCATGCCTGCGGGCGTCGGAGGGTTGCGTGGCGCGATCGATCGTCCGCAACTCCCCCACCAACTCCGCCGTCCCACTTTAGTAATATTATTTCGGTCGACGTTAACGCACCTTTCCGCCCTATTTTGGAGAAAAGCTATGTTTCAGACCTTCCCACACGAAAAAGAAACAAAACTTTTTTTTTCAAACTTTTTTTTCCATTTTGGGGTTCTTTGTTCAAAAAAGAAAAAAACACCATCCACCCGAAAAGATACTTTTTGAAAAAAATAGATCTGAATAAAAAAAGTAACTTAAATTATGCCATCTTTATCAAATGACGGATTTTCGAAAAGACCGGAAGCCATTGACTAATCTAGACCTCCAAGGATTTGAATGTTCGTTGAAAATCCAAAATTCTGGAGACTCTTTAAAAGATACACTTTGCCAGATCAGATGCTCAACGAACTGAGCTTGTTAATCTGAAAATAAAAATGATATTAATCATTTTGACCCAGAATTACAAAAATGGCATTTCGAGAAAGCTTGCTAACGCTGAAAAGGCAAAAAAAAACAAACAATTTTCAATGTTTTACAAATTCCTTACACGTCATTGTGATCATTTTTGCTTGCTTTTAATGGATTTCCCAAGAAATTCGAGAAAGGTTATCGCGGTAATCCTTGAGGTATATCGAAGGGTCTGACTTCAGACTCTGAAGTCTATCGATGGTACCTCGAGTATACCTCTGAGGAATTTGAACGAAATGAGATGGAATTGAGGGAGGCTCTCAAGTACCTCCGAGATGGCTCAGCTAGATCTGAAAGGTATGCTGGAGGTCTCAAGATGGACATATTATGAGACATTCACAATCAATTGTGAGAGATATACTTTTGGACAAATTTATGGTACGTGGAGAAAAAAATGTTGTCCCTTTTCCAGTTTAAACGAAGCTTGAATAGCATCTGAAATATTAGGACAAATCTCGTTTCTCTTTCTCCCATGTATGTATCTAGTTTAAAGCAGAGGTGGAGAAATGGCGCCCCTAAGCGTTTTCAAACGTTTACATATCTAAACCGACGCCGCCATCAGAGCCTTTAAACTTTAAAGGCTTTGACTTCACTAATCAAGCTTTGAGTTGGAAATGAATTGATGTGATTCGTAAAATAAACTCTTTATTATCAGTTAATAAAAACAATTGTTCGAGATCTGGGAATAGTTTTTCAACGTGAGGTAACTTCTCTCTGCTTTATGCTATCAATTTGAGGAGCTCAACAATCAACAAGGCACTTTTGACACAAGATCCAGGAATATAAAACTCTGATGAATTTGAATTGTTTCGGAAATGATCAGAGGAGAGATGAGAGGGTCTCGTGAAGGGCCGCGCTGTTCATTTCTTCGTCGTTCATCGTCCGAAGTTTGTCTTTTCGTCGCCGGTTTTGGAACCAAACTTTCAGCTGGAATAGAAAAGTGAAGCCAAAAGACTGCTGGAAAGACAAGATTTTTACCAGGCGTCTGGCCTCTTTTTTTGTCTCCGCAGCAAAAAAATTCAATGAATGGTTTTGCTTCTCCGATTTTTTGGACAAATTGCTTTTTTGAAATTAAAAGAAAACATCAAATCATTAGAGGTTAAAAGTTATGAGCCGTTTTTAGTCTCACAGAAAATGAATATACACATTAAAAAAAACTTATTAGTGCAGAGGAAGTCTAAAATGAGAGAAATGGCGGTACCCTGTGATAGTCGACTTCGAGAATGGAGCAGAGCTGCCGCCGCTTGACAGGGTCCGCACAGGCGTTGGCGTCCTCGTTGTAGTACTTTTCCAGGATGTCCTCAAACAGATCCGAGTTGTCTCTTTAGTTATAGCTCAGACACACCAGCTCTTTCTGCGTGTAGACAATCCTTCCACGCCGCACCTTCCCGTTGACTTCGTCTGCAAGAAGAAGAAGCTTCAAGAGGCTTCCGAACACAAGAATTTCGAAAAAAAAAAATGATATCTCAGAAGTTTGAACATAACTATAGGGAAAAAATATGAAAGGATGGTTGATAACATTTAAGAGATAAAAGCGACGAGAAAATTATTGATGAAGGACTTGAAGGCTGGTTTCGGGAAAAGGGATTTATAGTTACTCACGTGCTTTAGGGAGTTCTCTCTTTGCGCCATTGCAGCAATTGATCTGTAACTCCGAATTTGAAACAAAAAACCAAACTTCTGATATAACCTTCTGAGAAATACTCTGCGATAAGTCGAAAGAAGTGCCGTTTGTGGAGAAAATACTGGGAGTAGAGGAGATGAACGAGGCCAAAAGTTCGGGATTCAAGCAGAGGTTGTTTGCCTGAAAAAGGAGAATTACAAAAAGTTAAAAAAAAATTGATAAGCTTTTTTCTTTTAAAAAACAACTACACGTTTTCAGTTTCAATCAAAAAAGTTCACTTCCACAAAAATATAAACAGGAGTAAAACGAAAATCAATTTTAGTCTTGAAAACTTCTGTCAGATATGAAAATATTTTTTATATCTAATTATACTACTGAATGATCTCTTCTGAATAACTGAACACAAACGGAATTTTGCAAAAAAAAACATTGCAAAAAAAAAAATTTTTTTGCAATCTTTCCTTTTTTGGATAATTCCGTCTAACTGCTCCTTTCTTGAGTTTTGTAGCGTAGAAACATGAGAAAACCTTCTTTTTCAACCTTTATAAACACCTGGACTTATTTTTTTGTCAAAAAAATTTTATTCATGAAATTTTTTTCGTGATTTTCCATGTGTATGAGCATGGGTTGGAGTATGAAAAATTTTTCGAAAAAATTTTTTTGTTTTTCTGTTTCAAAAAGTTGACTGGTCCAAGTAATCATGACTACGCTGTCAAAACTCACAGAAAAAAATTTTTTTTCATGGTTTTTTTCAGACCTCAACGCGCACATACGGCTCTATGAGAATGAAAGAAATGCAAGTTTTTTTAAGCTTTTTGCTGAAAAAAACTTTTTGAAGCACTTTTTACTAGTGACTAAATTTTTACAACTAGAACCGTAATCTCCTGAATAAATTCATTACAATGATGTTAGTGAAAGTTTCCTTTCCAGTCAGACTTTGTCGAGAGTAAAATTTCAAAAATAATAAAAAAATATAACTTTTTAAGGCTTTACTTTTTGAGCATTGTCCTTCTTTTGCTTTCGGGACTAAATTTTTTTCCGACAAAAGGCAATCATCGCGTATAAATCACTGCCACCTAAAAAGATCTTTTTGGAAGTGGAAAATTTTGGAAAATTTTTTTCTGTGAGTTTTGACAGCGTAGTCATGATTACTTGGACCAGTCAACTTTTGAAACAGAAAAAAACAAAAAATTTTTTTTCGAAAATTTTCATACTCCAACCCATGCTCATACACATGGAAAAATCACGAAAAAAATTTCATGAATAAAAATTTTTTTGACAAAAAAATAAGTCCAGGTGTTTATAAAGGTTGAAAAAGAAGTTTTCTCATGTTTCTACGCTACAAAACTCAAGAAAGGAGCAGTTAGACGGAATTATCCAAAAAAAGGAAAGATTGCAAAAAAATTTTTTTTTCGAAAAATTTTCATACTCCAACCCATGCTCATACACATGGAAAAATCACGAAAAAAATTTCATGAATAAAAATTTTTTTGACAAAAAAATAAGTCCAGGTGTTTATAAAGGTTGAAAAAGAAGTTTTCTCATAATTCTACGCTTCAAAACTCAAGAAAGGAGCAGTTAGACGGAATTATCCAAAAAAGGAAAGATTGCAAAAAAATTTTGCAGAGGACGGGGACCGAACCTATGACCTCGTGCTCCCCAGTCCGCCGCTTTTCCACTGCTCCTTGTTGCCGTTGCTTCGACGGTCGCCGGCTAGCAATACCACACCGCGCGCGCATTCTCTTATGTTTGGCGGGGCTTTGAAAGATCATATCTGGGCTGCGAAATTTTTTTGAGAAAATTTCAATGGTTTTTCGTGACCAAAGGGACAAGATCTACATACCCTACAAAAATGAGCTCAATCGGAGACACTGAAATTTTCGACTTTTGAGGGTCCATAACTTTTTTCACAGACGTATTGGGCAACTTTTGAAAGCAGATTTGGAATCAGCGTGAAAAACTACATCTAGTGAAATTGGTCTCATTCAGAAGTCTCACTGTGAGCTGAGACCATTCCCTGGTGAGGAAAAAGAAAGATGAGACATTTTATAGCATGATTAAACGAACTAAAAAAGTCCATTAAATTTATATGAAATAATGACACTTTAACTGAAAAAAATTGATTTAAAAAAATTTTTACAGGTTCTTCCTATTCTTCCAATTTTTCGCATAAATTAAATAAATGTATAAAAAAAATGTTTACTCCTGTATTTCTCGTTTTCGAAATGAGGTCATTAAGTGAGGTCAGGGAGTAGCGGCTTACGATTTGTAAATAACTAAAACTAAATAGCGGATTTTCAGGGTCCCTTTTCTGAAAATGGAAACCTTCAATCGAGCTGAAAGCTCTTCATCCAAACTTTCAATTATGAGCTCATGCTTCAAAGTTTTCCTAGCCGAGCTTTTCGTCTGATGGTTGAACTACATACAGAAAAAGAAAAAAGACCGTTAGATCAGAAATTCCACTTCTCTGGAACCTTTTTGGACTTCTAGTTGGCGAAAGACTGTTTCTGGTACTATTACTCAAACGCGACTTTTGAACCAGTTAATCAGCATCTATGATATGAAACCCCATGTATTAAATTTGATTGATTATTTTTTGAACTCAGAGTTTCAAATTTTCGTCTCCCTTTGAGAGTATATTCGGAAAGAAGAAAAGCTCGCCATTTCCTCGTCATCGATGACGCTGGAAGACGATCCCTCATCGCTGGCGACACTTTGCAGAAGAGAGCTACAAAGATTAGCGACGTTGAACAACAACTCGGGGATAATTGAAAGTGGCCCAAAAATGGACGGAAGTCGACAAACTTGGTTTGAAGAGCCTGGGCGATGGCGCTCTCGATGACGCGATGACTGGTGGGCGTCGCCGAGCCGGAGACCGACGACGACGGTTTCCATTCGTCGAACTCTTCACAACGAACTTCCTGCAATCCACTGTTTCAATTATTGTGAGTAAGAAGCCAAAACTGAAGCCTTCAGAAGGCAAACATTTAAATTCAGAAAAAAAATGAACATGGCTTTTTACAACTTTGAAAACCAGTCTCTTCCGTTGAGAAGAACGGTAGGAGATGTGCATATTTGAAGAAAAGGTTATTTTTTACTTAAAAGGTGGTTTTAGCCGGATTTGGAAAATCTGGAAACATTGACACAAAACTGACATAATGAATAATGATGTTCGATCCCATGACAGCTGGTCGAAAATATCGAAGAAATTTAGAGATAAACAGTTTGAGGGACTCCAAAATGACTCCAAAATGACTCCAAAATGACAAGATGAAAAACATTTTTATTTTCTTAAAAGAGAAATAAAAAAAACCCTGGAACCGATGAGAATTTAGACATTGCGAACGTTTGGAAAATTATTCAAAATAATTTGTAAAAATGAAAATTGTGCGAAACTTTCGCTTAAATTCGGACGAAAATACTGACGACGGCTGTAACATGAGCAATACTCACAGACTTGACAGAAACAGGACGATCCGAATGAGGAGAGCACGTGGTGGCTGGAGGGGTCGGTGTCTTTCTGGGAGCGGAATGCGGGAGAACGAGGGGCGTGTCTTTGGAGTCCTCCAGCTTCTCCTTGGCTGTCGAGGCTTTGCCGACGCCGCAGTTCGGACACAGCTTCTCAACGGAGTCGACGATCGACAGAGGCACTCCGTAGTTTGTCACCTGCGATTTATGTTGTTTGAGAAAGCCTACTTATTTTTTCCGATCAAAAAAATCAACGGATTCTTTGAGAAAGGTCTCTGTTTTTTGTTTGTTTGATGTGAACACGCGAACGAAAAGAAAAACGTGAAAAGGTGATGCTATGCTTGTTTATAGAAATGGAATACCCTCGTACCAAGTGGGAAACGATGTCGCCCATCATCGGTTTGTGCCGCTCCAAGTTGATTAGGATGTACATGATCACTGCAAAAACGGTCTTTTAAGGATGTTCCGAATAGTTTGCGGAGGAAAGTTGTAAAATGAGCGTTGAGAATGAGAAATGCTGAAGCAGATAATTTTTTTCAAACGTAAAAAAAGGATTGTGAAATTTATAAGAAAAACAAAAAAAAACGTCCCAATAGAAAAGAGCGAAGGAATCTGACGTGAGAAAAAAAGGATTTTTTGAAAATTTATGAAAAATACAGTATTAATTTTAAAGAAAATCAAAGTTTATATTTCGTACTCAAACGACTCGACTAACAGGCCTTTCTAGAAAAAGTTTAGACCTTTTTGATGTCGAAATCGGTGCTTTTCTTATTAAAAAAGTGTCCTCTTACATGTGAAATAAAAATAAAAACAATAATCAACTAATGGAGATTCGTATGATACATTTTTTTAAAAAAATAACATACTTTTTTTCTTCATTGAACTAGACGATTTTGTGATGGAGGGCAAAATCCATTTTCTGAAGAAAATTCAGTAAAAAATACCTTTGGACCAGTATCAATTTTGAGAAAAGCCAAGATGAATTCGAATGGAAAAAAAACTTTGAAACTTGGACTGCTTAGCCAAAAAAAACTTCTACGATAAAAAATGGAAGAAAAAGGAAAAGATTGGAAGGGGACGAGATAAAAAGGGGTATGATGAACAGGTAAACAGCGGATAAAGGTGCGGCTCATAATGACAGAGGCAAATATGGACAGGCCAGCCTGAGGACAGCTCGAGAGCTTCGAGGAACCCGGTGTGTTAATTGGCGAGCCGATGGATCGATAATTAGGCCGCCCTCCGCTCACAACTGCCGACTGCCAACAAAGCGAATCAACGCCACAAATCACAGGGTCAAACCGTAACTATCGTTCATCAGCTTTCTGTTTTAACAAACTATTTTATTGAATTAGGCTCGTTTTTGGTCTATTCAAGTTCAATCGAAACGAAGGCTATTTACAACTCTGTGAAGCTGTGTTAACTTTTAAGTTCATCAATATCCTTAGTATTTCTTAGAAAATTGGTTTTTTTTCCTCATCATTATCCACTTTGATGAAACATATTAGGCAAAAATTGATTGTTGTTTTCCTTTTGGGATAATTCTCTTAACGTCTAATTTAATTTTTAACAGAAGACAAACGATCGCCCTTAACCTATGAAAAATTGAGACATATAGATTTCTCTGAGCACTCGAAATTCGGCGTTAAGGTTTGGCACCTTTGACAAAGAAGGTCAATTACTACGGAGTACTACTTCTGATAAGGCTGAGCAAGTGTTTCGAGAAGGCTTTATGTACTTTGATGCCGACAAGAAGCGATTTTCGATGAGAAAATCGAAAAATTCGTTGCGAGCTGAAACTATGAAAACTGATGGATTTCCTCTTTGAGATAGCTCAACTTCGGGACGGAAGGAGATCACACGAGGGATCGATTGATCTCTTAGAGGGAGTTCGAAGCTTCAGTCAGAGGACACCGATAGCAACACGAAGAAAAAAGTTGAAGAAGTGGTGGAACGAGAAAAGTAAATTACCGAGGACTGATGGATCGATAATTGGCCCAGTCAGACTCGCCCGACGATTCTCTCTAATTCGTCTCAGATGCGCGCATAATTATGCAGAGACGGCGAATCGATAATTATAGTCGACGGCGACGATTGCATGAGACGTGTCTAACTATCTGCTTATCACAAATGCGATCCTTACGAGAAATTAAGTCACCAATCGAAAAAAAAAAGTCAAAATCACTAAGAAACGTGTGTCACGGGGAGATGAGTAAATTGAGAAAAAATTTCGTTATCACCTGTCGACTTAGGAAAATGTGTAGGCAAGCGCGGAATTAGGCAGGCCGAGGCAAGGAAAAACAAATTGATTACAATTACTAATTATTTAGACACGTTTTTGGAGATCGGGACCAGCCGTGTGATGGAAAATATTCAATTAGCGCGTGCGATGGAAGTTAGAACCTTGCTGGGCCAAGCGATTGGTCGAAGCGTGGGCAAATAATGGAGGAATAGACGCGTTTCCCACAGTGAGCATAAAAATTTTATTAAGAGTACGTTCACTCATATCGAATGTCGGCGGCCAGGATGTTTCGTTTTACATTTTTCGCCCTGGCCAATTTCCTGTCGACTACTTTCCCGAGAGTCCTTTTTTCATCATTAATCTCACCGAAAGGAAATTTCTAGAGCCGTCCCTTTTATTTCAGACTCGTGAGACCTGTGCCCGCTGCTCGGGAAAATGAAATTAACGAATGAGATGTTGAGCAGGAGAGGCGGAGTGAGATGGGTCCGGTTCTTCATATTCACTGAGAGGTAGCCAAGGCGACCCGAATACATTCGCCTCATGGCAAGATTAGGCAATTTCTTAATCGCATCCTCCAATATTTCGCCGCTTATTTGACATCCTGGCCTGTCGGAAGAGTTTTCTGACGCAATTCTCGCATTGTACAGAGCCCACGCTTCTGCAATTATCAGACCTTGAGGTCATACGATGAGAGTCGCAATGACGGAAGACACTACTGACTATTTTTTGGAATGAGCAAGGAATTAACAACTGAAAATGAAAGTTATATAATATTTTCCTACTTTTCTGAAGACTGTCTGAGGAATCTTTCTTAGTTGTATGATATCCTGTGAGTCTCAACCGTTTTTAAGGTGCTGTCCAGTTCGAGGTTATTCATCTAGCGGATCAATTAGTGTTTTCAACCTACTTCCGAATAATCCAAAGCTCCGAACAGATTGATTCTCTTTAGAATGTTGCGATATTCATGTTTCTAAGAGAAGCTAGAATAATAGAAAGAACAGTAGAGCTCCTAGAAAAAAATTTTTCACAGTTTCTAGGAGAATTTCTGATTTATTATGAATCACAAATTTAAGGCGAAATTAAGAAGGAATAGAGTAAAAAAGACCAAAAACACCTCGAGGCAATCAGAAAAGTCTTATAAACGTCAAATAACTTGTCGCCCGAAACAAACTTCTTCTCCCTAACTGAAATTGTGCATGGGCAAGAGAGTCCTGTTTTGAGATTCATCATTTATCGAAACGATATCCAAGCTATGACCGGACGTTTTCCGGAAACGCGCATCAGTTCACCGATTACATACAAATGCGTCGTCGGATTCCCTAGCTCAAACATTGAAGTCGAATCTTGTTCGAACTAAAGCTATCGTACACTTGTGTACAACTGTTGATCGTACGAATTAAAGATCCGCGAATTTTGCGACAGAAACTTATCCGCTTCCATATCGCTGGGAAACTTTTAGACAACAACATTCCTGACTTTTGACTTTTCAACTATTTATTTTCTTCCTTTTTTCCTCCATTATGATCCTGATCCTTGAGTTCTTCTATTATGATCTCATTCTATGATTTGTTTTGAGGACATTCAGAACGAGGACGTTATCAGAATAAGAAGTCGAAAAAGGATTCGTTGGAAACGTGGCCGTCGTAAAATTCCTCTGGCTACATGACAAATATCGAACAGGACGTCATCGAAAATTTCGCTGATATTTGATTTTCCAATCATTTTTCGCAGTGTCTCGCAGGATGATTGGAACTAGTGAAGTTGAAGTTAGAAAGGAGGAGAAAAAGTAGAATTGATAGGACCATTTGAAGTAATTCTGGTCGTCTTTGACACTCTGTGAAAGTTCTTGAGCTTGCGTCTAAAATTTTTATGGAACATTAACATAAGCTAGCAAAACTAAATGGAAAACATTTGAGATAAAATTGCTCGGAGATGTGTTACAAAGGCGACCGTTTCTCCGAGTGTTTCTATACCAATCAATTTTAAATTGCTAGCTTCTATAAGGCGAATAGAGAGAAGATAAAACTAAGAAAAATGAATAAATGAGCTAATAAAGAGTCTGAAAGCGGATATCGTTGAGATTTACGTAGAAGTGCGGGCCAAAGGACTGCGAAGAGCACAGCAATTTTGGCTAATTTTGGCGCGTGTGGCTTTGGTCCAGCTCGTCGCGAGCTCATTACGCAGCATTTTGTGCTCAATTTGTAGACTTGCCCACACACGGACACAATCGCGTCCAACCAACAGCCATTATCGCGAAAAAATGTAAATGAATGCGGCCTGGGTCCTCGTAATTACCGCCACGGGCGAAATTTCGCATTCGCCGCCTAATTATCTATGGCGCGAGATTAAAAGGACCATGCAAAATGTCAATTTTCTACTAATTTATGAATGCTGAGCGAAGTTTATTTGCTTCTAACTAGTTTACTGTGAAGCTGTATCTGTTCGACCTAATCGCGCCGATATTCACGCATGTTGGAAAAATGGTAACTTGAAATCAACTGTTTGTAGTAGATAGACTTTGTAAGTGAAAGAAAGCTCACGAGTCAGCGAATTGGAAGGTGGCGTTGCTCGGAAGCCATTTCCTGCCGAGGGGCAGCTTTCGTGTGGGAGGAGCCTTTAATCACCGATTATTGGCACCGCCTAATTACACGTCTCGTCGGCTTTTTCGTTATCAGCGAAGCCCTCAGAATTTCGAAAATCACGGATGAGCAGTCCATCAGGATAATCAAAACAATCTGAAAATCTTGAAATTACACATCTCGTTTGACGGTTCTGACATGATATTAATCAATTAAATTGTTTGCTTGAGTTTCCCGAAAAAAATTCTAACTTTGAAGTTTTATATTTTTTTCTTCCTGTAGAAATCCTAAGCAATTTGACTAATCAATTACTATATTTGCTGTCTCATGCAGGATTCAACAGGTGAAGGCGCAAAGTCCAAAAAAAGAAAGTCAAAGTCATTCTACAAATCACCTGTTCAATTTCGCAACAAAAAAAAACGTTCCTAATAATTTTACAAGCTAAAAAAATATATTCACAGAAACAAATTTGAAAGCTTGATAAATTTTATTTGCATGAACAAAAATTTCCACTTGAAACCTAAGATGATATTTTATTTGAAAAAATACAGAAAATTTTTTGAAAATAGAACAAAGGCGTGAAATACCCGTTATCAAGACAATATTATGTGTGGGATGGGATTTTGAAATGAGAAAGGCACGATTGGCATATAAAAGGCAAGAAATCACAAAAAATTCTGATATCACATTTGATGGGATGGGAAATTCTGGAGGCGAAAATTATGCTTTTTTTTCTGACAAAATGCGAAGTACATTAGGATCAAGTGAAACTCGGAGAGATATGATAGCGCAAGATCACAAGAAGAGACAACTCCAGAGAGAAATTATGCGCGCATTCTAAAAATGCCTATTTTAGTATAATTTTTAAACGCACAAGTTTCTCTGGAAATCGAAAATAACTTAAAAACTAAACTAGGAAAAAAAAAGAAAAGCTGCACACGGAGGCAAGTTAGGTATCACATTTTCGGCACGAAATTCTGCTTTAAAAGGCAAGACAGTAGGCACTGGTGCATGCACATGAAACAAAAAAAGAGGCAAGTCGACAATATAACAGAAGAAAATAAAGAAGAAAGATAAAATATATACTGCAATATACATAAAATAAACAACTATATCCACTAGCACACCAAAACCAAAAAAAAAACAAAAAAAACAAAGAAGAGAACAAAGTTTGGTGGTAAAAGTGATTCCGACGGGGACCTCAAACTGAGGCACTAAACTTTTGCACATAAATGAGTCCGAGAGCGGCAAAAGTGGAAAGACCAAAACGACTAAAATCTCAATTGGAGAGAGAGGAAGTGATACGCTGAGTCAAAAGATTTAGAGAAAATTAAAAAAAAAAAGCTGCGGACGAAAAATGTCGCAAAGAGAATTTCACAAAGCTGCTCAGGACAATTGAGATAACTACCAGAATGCGGACCCAGAAAGAGAGGAACTGAGGGGATCGAAGGCTCAGCAGGTGACGGCGGTCTTCTCTGGCGTCGAAATGGCCGTGGCGGAGAGGTCTTCGGTCCAGCCGCGCTCCTTGGCACGAACGTAGTCGGGGAAGCATTGGTGGAGCAGGGAGTTCCACTCGCCGCGCATCTCGTCCGTCCTGAAGTACTCAGGTTAGAAAAAACAGTACCCAGTTTTATGTAGTTTAATCGGACTGAGGACTCATGAACCCACGAAACTAATTTCCAATTTATTCTTAAAAATAGTCATCCCATTGAAAACTTCAGTTTCCTGGAATTATCTTAAACACTGTTTGTTCTAAATGTTCTGCCTCAAGGTCTCAAAATTCTCAGCCTTCAGAACTACTTATCTTTGAGAAAAAGTCACAAATGAAAAGCTGCACAGTTTTAATTTTCATGAGCTTCATCTAACGTATTAAAAAGCACTCTCGCCTACGTCGAGAACATTTCTTATTAGGGAAAATAGATCTTTTCTCATTCCATTTGTTAGGAGATAGACTCATGCTTCACTCCAATCACAGAATGGAAAAAAAAAGAAAAACATAAACACGAGTTTTGACAAATACTTTCTAGAGAACTTTCGAATTCACTAATCACCACACACTTCGAAGATAACACACTACATATGCAAAATATAAAACTGGAAAAACATGTGAAACTCACGATTGGCTCACTGAACTTTCTGAATGAGACATTTAAAAAGGCATTCAATGAAATGATATTCTACTTACGCCCAAGAAGTCTTTCGGGTCAGATCGAATTAGAAAGCAGAGGAAAAAAAATCGACAAAAAGCAGAAAGAACTGACGTGATGTCGTGGGCGTCGTCGGAACGGTGGCGACTCTGTCGCGCATGCGAGATGACGTTGCTCTTGATGCCGGTGAAGTCGCAGTCCCAGCACTGCAAGCAACAAACCACAGTTACAACCACACACAGAAGGACCCAATCAACACGCTGGACCATGCAAAACCCCGAACACGATTTTCCATACCTTGTAAGGCTTGCACTCCGAATGAATCATGATCACGTGTCGAAGGAGGTTCCAGCGGGAGCCGGTCGAGTTGAGCGTCGTCGGTTTTCCGCACAGCTAGAAAATTAATTGGGTGAACAGGTTATTCGGTTGGAACAGGATAGATAGAGGAAAAATTCAAGTATGAGAAATCATTTCCGTATTCTCCATAGAGCAACTTTACTGCAAATGCACTTTCAGCGAAAGTTCAAAATTCCGCCCATTTACCTTCAAGTTGAGGTAAAACAAAAACATAAATCCATTTTTTCAGAAATTCGAAACTCTGACCGCGCATTTGTAGGTGGCCTTGCAATGGACACGTCCGCAGTTCTTTCCGCGTCCAGATCGGCTTTCTTCGAGTTCGTCGGCCGTCAGCCACCGATGTTTCTTCGTCGTGGTTCCCTCCTCGCCTGCAGCTTTTCGTTTGGAGTTCGAGTGAGTCGTGGCCGTCACAGAGTTCTCATCGAGTAGTTGCTGAAAGACTTTTTCCGTTTGAACAAAGTCGCGTCGCGTGACTTACCCCAAAAGCGCTGCCCAGTACTGGATTTAGAAGATGAATCATGGAGGCGCGGACCTGCTCATCCGTCGCTCCGAGGCCAAAGTCGTTTTCGCCGATGGAGCCGCCTTCGATGAGTTCCGTCTTGACGTCGTCAGACCCAGCTTTGCTGATAGTCTCACTGGACGCGTGTTCGTCGTCTTCAGGCGATCTGAAGCTTTTCTAGCTGTTTCCAATTAACAATAACTCTTTTTTCTTTCTGAAAAACTGTTCGGTTCACTTGAAAGCAGCTTCAACAAAAATGAATCGCTCGTAATGAGCGGGAAAAACTCACTGCGTTCTCTCGTTCAAATTGTCGAGGTTCATGAACGGCGAATTCATCGCATGGGCCAAAATCATTCTCTGGATCTCGGCGTTCTGACGATCCTGCTCTTGTTTCTTTTGCTGAAGAAAAAACTTTTAGAAAATGATTCCCTTTTCAGGCTTACCAAGAAAAGAGCTCTGTCTTGATCTTCCAGTAACCGCGTCAAAGCGGCGTTTGGAATGGCTCCAGAAGATGGGGAAGCCGTCAATGCTCGAGCTGACTCGCTGGGCTGAAAACGTTTCTTTCGTCTATATAATGTCTAAATTCTCTGCAGATGCGGCTTATTTACAATTTATTACGCCGAAAGGGCCCTCAAAAATCAAAAAAAGATTTCGAAATTACTTTGAAGATTGATCAACAAATATTTTTAAAATTGCTTGCAGCTCGAATAACCCAAGAGACTACAGACCTCGGACTTGATGGCGTTCGGAACGGCGGCCTGCATAGGGGACGTCTTCTTGGAGAGGGCACTGGCGATGTCGTTGATGGACGCTCTCTGCCGTCCCTGATGCGCTGAAGACGTTGGCGTGGAAGTTGCAGTTGTTGGCGGCGTCGGCGTCGGCGCCGAAACTGTCGTCGAGGGGGATATGCTGCCGTCGAGCTTGTATTTAACTGACGGATGATCGCACAAATCAGATAGTATCGTGACTTTGTCGTATCTGTGTGTCACCTGCAATTTCAAGGTTTATAGGTGTATGTGGACCGAGGCTACCCACCAGGTACTCTACCAAGGAGAGCATTGAAGGTGTCGGCGTGTTACTCACCTCTATAACTACAAACATCTGAAAAACAAAGCAATAGAGAAAAAATGACGAATTCTACATGAGAAGATAATTAGAAACGTAGAATAAACGTTCTTCAACGAAAAATATTTTTAAAATAACTTGAATTAGTTTATTATAACTAGCAATCAATGAGTAAAAAGAACATATATAAACCATAAAATGCGAAATCGATGAGAATTATAACTTATGCTCTTATACTGCTGGAGTTATTTCAATTTGACAAGAAAAATATCAATGAAAAATGAAACATGAATTAGGAAATTGATAAAAAATAACAATGACAAACCAGTCGATTTCATCACATTAAATTGAAAGTAATAATCGAAAAAAACAGCTTCAGTGTCAAATTAAGCAGAGCAACTTTGTCCCATGAACAAAAAGAGAGAGAAAAGGAAGAAGGTCCAGCCGAAAAAGTCGGAAACAGCAATGGAAGTGCGCGGAGGACACATCAAAGGGTCGGATCGGCTGAGGGAGGAACCGGATGGGATGGACGGAGCCGTTAGAGGTTGGTCATGACGTCGGTGGAGAAGTGCTCGGTCTGGAAGCCGCGCTGATGGCCGTCGTCGGGCACTCCAGAAGACTCGTCCTTGATGTGTTTCCACTTGCGATAGGTGACGCCGAAGCACTGCTCCAGCAAGGAGTGCCACTCCGCCTCCAGTTCTGGTGACCTAAATTCCCATGTTCGCCATCTTCAAAGATGCGTCTTCGAGTGCGCTTTCAACCGCATTTTAAGAAAAATTTTCGTGTCAGAGCACAGTATCTCAGAAAGAGCCATATTTCAAACTTTTGATTCTTTGGACTTTTTTCTCTTTTTTCTCATGATTTCTGAAAATTTAAGTTTTTTTTGAATTGTTTCCTTTTTTCCAAAAAAGCAAAAAAAAAATTTTTTTTTTATCTACTCAGTATGAAGCTTGAAGCGGAAAAATCAAAAGGTGCTTCCTGAGCTTCTCGTTACTTCCCAAATACTTCGAAAACCCACTTCAAGTCGATTATGCTAGCATTCTGCTGCTTGTGTTGTGATTCGATGTGTTTGCGGACGTAGGGTTTTATGTGAGAGAAGCCGCAAAGAGAGCATTGGTAGGGCTTGGACGACTGATGCATGATCCAGACGTGGCGCATCAGATTCCACGTCCGTTGCGGCGAGTACATCACCTCGTGTCCACACACCTGAGAAGGATCGGATTCGTGACATCGTCATGAGCTCCAAAACCTTGCACGTAGCTTTGCAGGCTTCCTCGGGCGGTCTTCGAGCCGTCTTCCGTCGAAGGACTTCTCCGGAAGGGAACAGCTCGCGGATGGCCTCCATTCCCTGCATGCCACACTCCTGAACTCCCTGAACAGAAAAGCTCTTTTCGAAACTCGGAGAAAACCATACCCTCACTACTCTGGATCCGTGCGCCACTGCGTTGACTGAATGGTCAAACGAGGAAGTTCCAACTTCTGCCTTCATTCCGTAGGCATTGATGAAGGCGTTGGCTGGGTTGAAAGCAGAAGTCGTGGGCATCTGGCAGGGCTGCATCTGGGCTGTCGTCAGAGTGGTCGTAGTCGTCTGCAGAGGCCTTTCCATGATAGGCAACGCGCCGCCATCTGGAAAGGTTCCTTTGTTTCAAACACACTTTCGACAAAAAACTAACTTATTAGCTTTATCAGTCTAATCCGTTCCTCATCAGAAAGGTTGAGATGAGGCATTTCCAATGATACGATGCTTTGTCCGTCGTCATTGACATCATTGTCGCCTCGCAAATATGGGTGGTCCTCGAGCCGTTGCAAGAGAGAAACGCGTTCGAAGTTGCGTTTCACCTGAAAACCTTTGTTTCTGAAACGTTCCCGCACTTCGTAACATGCACTAATGATCGTAGAGAGACCAGAAAGAGAGATAAAAAAAGGTAGTCTCCGAGTTGCGCAGTCAACGCCTCAAAAAAAAAAACGATGGGAACGAGAACCTAAGCACAGCGTAAAGAGAAGGTCAGGAGAGTCGAGTTCAGAGTTTTTTGAAGACGCCGATCGTGATGGAAATGGCAAAGTGATTTACTTGAGATTATAAAAAAAAATATCAAAAGTTCAGAAACCGACGGATGAATCCCGATTAGTCAGAAAAGCGTGATGACAAGAAAGAGCATAAAATTCCGACAGAGAAATTTTAAATAAATGTTTGGAGAGAGAATGAAGCAAGTGACTCCAATAATATGCAAAAAAAAACAGAGAAAGGTAAAGAAAGAACAAAGAAAAAGTGACAAAAAACTACTAAACTTATTCGAAAACTTTCCATTTCATTTTTAAAACTTCTCATTGCGTACTTTTTTGAATAAAAATTTAGAAAAAAAAAGGAAAAATACAGAAAACGTTAGAGAAAAGATAGCAAAAATATGAAGAAAAAAGTAGTCTCCTGATCTCTGTGCAGACAAAGAAACTTTTGCAAGTTCGGCGTCCGACGGAAGCGTGCCTGAGGTGATAAAGCATGACGGATCTATCCTGTACGCAGCAAGGAAGAGAGAGAACGAGGGAGGAGAGAATGAGAGAAGCCGTTTGGACAGACTTGACGTCGACGGATGACCGTCCTCGCTGCAACTGCGATGGGGCCAAGGAGAAGGCGATAAAGAGCGCGCTCTTCGGACAGCCACTTCTCCGACTTTCTCAATTTGCGACTCGAATTTGAATCTCGTTCATTCGCACTGTAGAAAGTGAAGGTGGAGAGCCGTCACCTATTCTTACAGCGAGATTGCGAGTCGCGGAACAACGACTCATCAAGCAAACCCGTTTTCGGTTCTCGGCCGCGCAAAACCAAAGATATTTATCAGTGATTGTGCGCAGAAGGCTCAATGACGCAAGCTCGCGTCTTATTTATTGCGGTGACCGAAATAAAAAGATAGGCGAAAAATTTAAGGATTCGTTGGAAATCAAAAGAAGACTTGGAGGCGGCGTTCTTTTTGAGATGTGCAAAAACTGTAGAACCTGCTTCGAAGACGACCGACTACACGCCATCTAGAAAGTTTTTTGGATAGGAAAGTCAGCAACTCATTAATCAGATAGGACACTCATTAGGAATGGATATTTTGAAACCTTCCATAAAAAATCTAGGGCAGAAGCACTGACGAAACGATTTTCAGATCGAAAACTAGAATATTTCGAGGAAAAGTTATGTAGGAAAGCTGAAAGTTGGTTTTTTCAGAATAAATTGAAGTTGAGTGCTCTCGTGAAGGAAACGAGCCCAGGTCGCAGTGGGGAATACGGTATGGCAGTTGGGACAAAGCAACTTGCAATGCGCAGAAGCCGTAGCAGCGTCGTCGGTTGGTGGGAGAAAGAAGAGCGAGCGACAGAACTGGCTCCGCGATCCACTACCATCATCACTGTCGGGGCCGCCGCCTCCGGTGAGATAGCGCCTGCAGCTTGGAGAGCGGACGTCGTCGAGCGGCCAAAGAGACACATACAGTGGCCACGAATGGGGGAAAAACGTCGAAGACGTGGTGCAATCGAGTTCTTCAATCACACCGGCGCGCATAGTTGATAGTTTTGTGTGATTGCGATGGGGTCTGCAGTCGAAGGCGTGGTCACCGAGCGCCGGAGAAACGCCACTGATCGGCCGGCTCCGACACGACGTCACGAGAGAAGACGTCGCCACTTGTTATTATAGGTAGACCCTTTCGCTCGACGGCACAGCGAAAAACAAAATCGACGCAGCTGCAAACATGAATGACGTGAGCTGTGCACGTCTGACGCGAAATCCGGACTCGTACAGTTACGATGTCGACGAACGCAGTGACGACAGCCGACAGGTTCGTTGGGTGGCTCAATTCTGAAGGATGCGCCGATTCTCCGCATCTTTCTCCTATGCAATCCGCAAATAGAACACGAAATGAAAAGTTCCAACAAAATCCAAAGTAACTTTCAAAGTTCCAACTTCTCAAATTTCTGTGAAGCGTATGTAGAAAAGTCGTCGCGTGTCAAAGAGTAAAAGAAGTTTGAAAGTTTGAAAAAGTTTAGTTGAATGACCACTAGAAAAGTCTTTCGGGCACAGTTTCTTTTTTAATTTAAATTATTATACTAAATAAACATTTTCACTTGAAACGAATCATTTTCATAACTTCGGCTTCAATCCAACAATTTTGGTTCCTTCAATTAACGGGTCCTTAGACAGACTTTATCGAACCTTGAAGCCGTCCTATCTGAGTTTATACTGAAACATTTTTTTGAACTTTTAGCTCATACGCAATTTTCAATTCGAAAAAGCGTGAGATGATTACTTCAAAAATTTATGTTTTATATTTCTAGTTTTCTCAAGCCCAAAAGTTACTGCTGAAATAAGCTTTTCATAATCCTCAGAGATTTCATCTGACTAGTGAGACAGAGGCAAGCAAAAAAGATATTTGTAAATCAACTAGTACAACAGTGATTCCAAGAAAAACAGACACCAACAGCTGAAATTGTACGTATGAGAAGAAAAGGAAGAAATAAGAGCAGAAGACTTGAAGCCATGACCAGACAGAGCGTGGGGGTTGTTGAACTAAAAGACGACGACGACGCCGTTGACGAGGAGCGCGAGGCACGGAGATAAAAACTGGTTTCCTACGAGTTTGCGTGCTGGAATGGGCGAGAGGAAGGGGACGACGGAGCCAATTGGACGGTCGCCGCGCTACTCCGACCCAACCCACCAGCCGTCCACTTCTGCTCGCCGTCTATTCAGCCGACGTGCACAAATTAGGCAAATGGGGCCGGTTCGGAGAGAGGACGCCGCTGGCGGAAAAAAACTTTCCTTCACGTCGACTGTGCCCGCAAAACTCTTTGCGCGCCAATAATTGAAGAATCTCAGCATCATCTCAGCGCAGCCAAGTCTTACAGCGACAGGTTTCCGTCAAAGAGCCGTTCTGATATGATACAGTTATAGATTGGTTATTTCCAAAAAATCGAGATCACTTTTTCTTTCCGAAGGAATGGGTGATAACATAATGACAAGATCTACTTAGAACCTCTTTGAGTTTGGCTGATATCCAGAACGAAAAAAGTTGAAAGTCTGAAATTTCTAACGTCGTACTGTTCTGACAGAATCAAAAAGTTTTAGCGAATAGAAAAAAAAAAAGATCTCCGTAACTTAGTGGGTCTACTTGAATTTAAATTTAATCTATAACTCAAAGGATCGAGAACTTGAAATTTTTTAACTTCCAGTCATTTTGGCTCGAAATTAAAATCTCAAAAAAGTATTTAAAAAATTGACAGGTTTATCCTATCATCTCATTCATATTAATGACGTAATGAAAAGTTGAAAACAGAAATATCGTGACTCACACTGTGATGAAGGAAGGTCACAACTCGTTTACCGTTAGAAATTTTTGGCGGATGGCTGCGGGGTTGGTCGATTTTTAAAAAAAATCGAAATACTTTTTTTAACGTTAGAAAAAAATATGATTTGAAAAGGGTTCGACAAAAAAAAATTCAAATCAAAACAATTAATTACTGAATACTTTTCGAAGAAATCGTTGAAAAAGATTTTTTTCAAAAACTTTCTTCGGAAAAAAATATATTTGAATGGAATATTTTCATGAGAACAAAGTTCCATGGATTTTGCGAAACTCTTTGATGTGGTGATCTCAATTCGATCATTATTAACCTGCGAAAAATAAGTTCTAGTTTTATGAGGCTTCAAAAGTATTTTTCACAAATATCACCTTGTCCACGAAAATTGTCCTTTTACCTCTTCAATTCTTTAGAAGAGTTACAGTAGATAAAAATTATGGAGAAAATCAGGAATCTACGCCAAGAACTTCGTTATCAAATATTTTCTGATAAAATCAAACCTACAAGGAAATCAAACCTACAGCTTGCTCGATAAGTTTTAAATGAAAAGACCTTTCTTGACGAGTCCTGTACCAAGGAGGGGAAGACTCTCAGAAATTTTGTGGTTTCGTATGAGCATGAACAGGAAAGGAGAGTTTTGGTTGTTATCAAACGGTGGACAGAGTTGATGAGAAAAATGAGCTGAGGAGATATTTAGGCGAGATGCATCAACCCAAGGGGTCAGGGACACGTTATCTGCTCCCTCGGCGCAGATTCGAAATACGGTGCTCTCTGCAGACGACTTGCACAAGGATTGCGGCCAAACTAGGTCAGGAAGCAGATAGAGCGACGCGCCTTCCGAAGAACCCAATAACAAGACGCACACGACGTCGTCTTCTCGTTCTGATCTCAGAATCAGGGTGGTGGGTATGGGCGCGCGCTCGCATAAAACTTTATTCCGCCACTTCCACATCGCGATGGGATGCACAAACCGACTATTCTATCGGCGAGTCCTTAAGAGACCGCAAAAAAACAGGAATTTACAAGGCATGAGAAAAGAAAAATAAGAAAAGCGTCAAAATGAAAGAAAAAAAAAGGACCCGTGCTCCTTGAAATGCCTGGAAAATTTTCTCAATTAACCTTCCCAACGATATTACTTCATTCTTTTTTTTGAGAAAATTTGGAAAATTGACCGAATTTTTTTTCTGTACAGGATGGCGACTCTGAAAGTATCTGTCTTCACACAAATTTGTTGTTATCAAAAGCCAAAATGGTTTTAGTTAAACATGTGTCTCACAGCTCATCTCATTCACTATACTGGAATTGATTTATGTTAGTTTCTTTTCATTTAGACAAACTTCAAAGAGTTTGTACCTCACTTGTAAAACCCAATGACTCATTTAGTTGAATTTTTTCATTACGATCAAAAAAGAAAAAGTAGCATAAAAAGGTTACTTTTTATAACTTCTGCAACGAAATACTTCAAAAATCTATATGAGATTCAGTTGCTTGATTTTTTTTTCGGAAATGTCCGAAATTCGCTCTTTATGATAATAAACGACTTTTTCTGACGTTTTTATAGATTCAAATACAGATGAACTAACTTCCATTACAAATTGTGAAAAAAGCTACCATCGTGCAATTTTCAAACTTTTCAAAATCACCGCCTGACCAAATCGGCTCAGACTCTTTGGTAGAGATACCGATGGACGATGGTTAAGAAGAGTCGGGGATGTAGGAAGACAAATGGGCACAAGATCTGGGAAGAAGAGGAGGCCGAGAGATACTGGCCGAGCGCCGCCGGCTACCGCCGAGATACAGGCTCACAGACGCTACCGGAGCGTAGAAACTAGGTCAGACGACATCGGCGCCCCGTAGCAATCCGATGGTGCAATTCCGCACACCTACATACTTATCGTATGTCAACCCCGCGGCCAGAGTCAGGGAGTTATCCTCATTTTGAAAAAAAAAAAAAATAAGAATATGACTATTCACATTGTACTTTATAAGGTGCATAACTTTTTCAAACGAAATATACTTTCCGAATAGCTTACTATTCAATTTAAAGCAAGAATTTTCAACCGAAACAAACAGTTTTCCATTATAGTCAAAGGTGCCTGCTCGATTGAACAAGCCGCTAAATTTATTGATGAGTAGCAGAACTTGAGTTCTTCAAGACTACAGCCATTCGAAAATGCGGGCAGTCAGATTGAATTCCGCTCTCTGATTCAAAGTCACGACACGACCGTTTTCAAGATTTTATGATGACCGTCCGTACTCCTTTATCCCGTGTTGTCCGGGAGCAACTGTGTTAGCATCACTAAGGAAAGTTTGAATGAGAGGGTTTCCCAAACAGAAGTTTAGTCGAGAAAAACTCTCCATGATAATCTCCCAGTATTTCACAAGCTTGGACTCTCTCTTGCCAAAGGTGCACGACTGTAACACCAGACAAAACTCGTCCCGATTCGCTGAATGCTTCTGCCGTGTACAGCGTTGCATAAAAAAGTGAGAAAGTGGAAATGCCGTTGATGGCGTCGCGAAAGGAAGTAGAGAAGAGAAGAGATTGCTCTCAAGGTCTCTGGTTTATCAATCTGGTTGGCTCTCAAGGCCATCTGCGAATGGGCCGCTCAGACAGGAGCAACGATTGATGGGCGCAGGGTTCACGGCAATAATATTTATAGGCGCGCCATTTAAAGGAGCCCAAAAAGTTGACCGTATCTATTAAATAATCTGAAACGAAGAAGACTGCAAAGATCTTTGTTTCATAAAAAAAACCAGTTCAAGTAAAAAATCTTAGGGTGGTTAGGATAGAAACAGAAAAAGGAAGACACTGATCAGAAAAGGAATTTGAGCTTTCGAGTATTCCTTCGAGGAGAAAAGACGCAATCGTTTCGAAAGATTTCGCGCCAACGCAACACAGAAAAACGGACACAAAAGAAGGCTGAAGGAATGTAAAAGAGGACACAGTCGGGTGCAACTCGTGGAGCCGTGAAACGTGGCCTTGACGCTCTTTGTCTGGCCGTCGTAGAAGAGCCCACCGATTCGAACGACCTTCCACTTTGGCGGGTTCTCCGACTATGGGAAAGGATTTCACTTACAGGAACGACTGCCTGGGAAGAAAGTGACAAAAAGCGTATTTTGAAGTTCGGAACAGTTTTTGAATATACTACACAAAAGAACTGGCAAAACTTTTTCTCTCAAAAATAATTTCAAAATCGAAGATTTTTTTTCCACAAAATAAAAAGGTTTGAAAAATTTACGTGGACGTTTTTGAGGCAGTAGTCAAATCCTTCAAATAGAACTAATGTTAATGTCACGGTATCCTTCAGATTTATTTTTGAACAGACCTTTTTACCTTTTTCGACTCTTGACCAGAGCAATTTATAATAAGTCTTATTTTTGGAGTTCTTTCAAGGCATGACTACAATATGAAGGAGTTCTCAACTGGGTTTATGGCTTTACCAGGGAATATTCTCAAATCTTCGAAACGAAATTTACTCAATCTTCGCTCCAAATCTTTGCTCAAAAATCGCAAGAGAAATCTTATATGAACGATATTAGAGAGTGTACTTACATGAAGAAGTTGCAGATGAACTTAAACAACATGAAGTCCTTTCAGGTGAAAGACAAATCAGTAAAATTATATCGAGCAGATGGAAACGCCCCGCGTCCGGCGGAAAACATGCACAAGCATTGTTGTACGAGCAAGACGCCTTCACAGCGGCTTCGTCGCGGCACAATGGGCCAACTTATCGATACGACAGGTACCTGTTGGTGCAAGGGAAATGTGCTCGCAAACCAACTTCCGATCTGATATTCTTTTTTTCCATGGGACAAGATAAAGGTCCTTTTGAGGACTGACCTTTTTTGAGTACTTTTCGGCGCTTAGAAGATAGTTTTCCTCATTTTTGAGTACTCTAATCTAGGGATACCTACAACCGAAGTTTGGACTGGATCTGCCATTTTTACTTCCCTCGGGAACAAAAAGACCCCAAATCTCAATTCCCAAAAACCTTCCTTTCTTTGATGAATCAAGAATTTCCTAAACCGCAAAAAGAAAATTTTTTCTTGCAAGTGCTAGAAAAATGGGCGAAACAATTGATTTTAGAGCTTTTCCGTTTCGGTCGTTTCTACAGAAATTTCGTTCTTCCTTCTTTTCGTATTTTCTAAGCTTTGTAAATCTACAGTAGTTCCCCTGAACATAGTACATTACAGTAAGAAAAAAAAGAGGTTTTCATCATACACTTGTGATGAAAAATTTCTTTTGATTGAACATCCGAGATCATAAAAATTGACTATACCAGACCAATTTTTTGCTCAAAAAACACAGAAAATTCAAATTACAAAAAAAAAGAACTCGCTCAAACGTGCATACCAGGAAAGGTTGTGGAGTTCTACAAAAAGGGTACTGTCCTGCCAAACTCCAACAGCTCGGCAATATGGGCCAACGGCTGGCAATTGTTTACAAGAAAAGCTCAAGACGGCTCGCGGAGCAGCTCCTCCTGGGGGCGAATCAATAAAGATGGTCAGAATATGTCGAGAAGAAAACATTTGAATTTTTTCCGAGGCTGGTATGAACGGACAGAGCGGCGGCGCCTCACACGTATATAGAGTGAGAGGGACGCGATTTGGGACAGAAATGTTGCTCGGCTGTCTCTACGGCTCGCCGAGCGGCCTTGTGCGGCAGTCTCTCTTTTTCCTCTTTTCCATCAATCAATCAAGCAATTTCGATTCCAGCCGAGTTAGTTCTCTCGGTGCCGAATTCGCATGGGCTCCGATGTCTGCTGCTAGGGTGCGAAAAAAAAGGCGACGCCAAGTTAGAGCAAATAGAATCGCTGACGCTTGTTAATGGGATGTGATCGAGAAGCAGCGAAATACCAAAGATAACAAAAACAGAGAAAGTCAGCTTATAAATTTCGAATAAGGAAAATAAGAAAACAGAGAAGGTCACAAGTAAAAACTTGAAGAAAAAGAAGCTAGTAATACATTTTCCTTTAGCTTCCTCTACTTGATACAATCCATTCAACGCTATCTTGTGACATTATTACTGAGAACCCTTGAAAGTTTAGCAGGGCATTGTAACAGGTTTTTATGTCTTTTTAATAGTTTTCCGTTTGAATATAGCCGTTCAAAAAGTTACATAAATGAAGAAAGTCCTCCTTGATAAATAGATTATTAAGAAAGGCTAACTAGTTTTTCAAAAACCCCTCTAACGTCGATTTTCGCGCTCTCATATATATTACTTTTTCATCAGTGAACGGCTGAAATTGTATAGGTGTCACTCCTCTGAAGACTAATATAGTACTGGCACAGGCTAACAATTTAATTATTAGGTTGGTCAACAACAACAAAAAAGGATTTTAAACAAAACTATTCATCTTCCTGATTTTGAAAAGTGTAAAAATGCAGAGCAGAACTATAGATTAAAGACAAGTAAAAGTAAAAGTTGTATCGAATTTTTTTTGTTCAGATTTTGTTTTGAAAGAATAAGTTATTGTATGCTAGACCTAGATACTTGAAATGATCGGTTACTGTAAGTCAGAACTACAAAGAAGATCAATTATGAGACCATTGGAGCAAGAGAAAAGAGACTCACCAAAAAGCTGAGGAGGTCGATAGTCGAAGGATCGTCCGCCAGCTCAACCACCACAAACTTGCGCATCTTTCTGAAGCGCAGAGTGGAGACAAATCCTTATTTGGTAGTGCATCCAAGTATCATAATAGATCAGACTCAAAGCTAGACATAAATCAACAAAAATAGTGTGGAAAATTTCATTTCTTCAAATAAATTAGCGATATAGGAAAAAATAATAGAATGAGCGTCATGAGGTTGCTTCAGCGTACTGTTTGCCGTACTGGTGCGACGGAAAACAAATGGCCATTTTCTCGGACCATTCTTTCCGAATTTGCGGTGTCCTGTAATATTCTTCCAGGCTAACTGCAAAAATTTGATTTCAACGTACACATTATCGACTGGCTCGGCGTCGGTTCCATGTAGCGATGAAGCGTGTTGTCGGATCCGAATCTTGAAAAAACTTTTGAGAAAATTCAGAAAAGGCGGCGAACTTTTCTGGCCGCTTCGTAGGGACACTGCGAGCATTTGAAAGGCCTATGGTCCGAGTGCTTCAAAACGACGTGTTCGAACAAGTTCCACTTGGACCCTCCCGTGTTCAGCCTTATCACTGAGTTGCACATCTACAAAAAATCAGCTGTTTCGCATTTCCCTGTCACACTTCTTTAAACAATTTTTGTATGTATTTCAGCTACTATAACTTTTTTATAGTAAGAAAAAAAGGAAAATAAATAGCCATTTTATAAGAGAACATTTTTGAGAGAGAACATTTTTTTAGTAAAAGTTTCAATCTCAAACATAAAAAGAGCCTTATCCCGAAGCTGAGAAGATTTTGAACTTTTTTGTTGGATGACTTTCTTTAAGAATCGCCTTCACGAACAAAAAGTATACAAATCCTTTGAAAACTAGAAAAACAAATGACCTCGCAAGGTACAGTTGGAGCGTCGACCGTCCCGTTGTTTCTTATCCTTTTAGCCGAGGGCGGTGCTGTCAAATCAGGAGACTTTCTTTCGAACAAAGCCATGCTCTTCTGAAACTTTTCTTTGGATTTCCCAGAGATGTAGTCCCACCTTCTGGACGTCTGCCAGCATGGCTTCGTGCTCGTCGACGCTCGTTTCGGCCTTCACTTCGACGTCGACTCTTTCGACTCTGAAACTCGAAAACTCTCCCAGGCTGAGAAGGAACAGAAAAAACCTGTCAGATATGGCCTGCACATCGATTTCTCCACTCACGGTCTCTTCGTTGGTCTGCAGGCCACTCGTTCCGTTCCAAAGCATAACGTCATCATCTCTAAAACGGAATAAAAGTTTAAATTACTAACTGATTAGAAAAAATTTTCAAACAACTTAAAAAACTAAGATTTTGAGGTTAAACCTAAGTCAAAAAATTTTATAAAAATGAATTGAAACATAGATCATCTAGAAAGTTTCATTCATTTATCTGTAAATTTTTGAAGTCAGGGCTCTTCACTCTCTCACAATCAGTGCAGAAGTAAACCTAACTACGAAAAATGGTAGAAATTTTAACACTCTCGTTTTTTTCTGTTTCTTTTTATTGCGGATAGAATAAATTCTGGAAAAAGCATTCCTCAAAAATAGTTTTTTCGAGAGCTTGAAAATACTAGTATTCAGTATTAAAGAATGAAAGTAAAAAAAAGATCTGCGTATGATTGCCTAGAGTACTAAAAAAACTTTAACACGGAATAGAAAAATGCAAAATGAAAGGCTGACGTCGTCTGGTAGTATAGGCCAAGTCGTTCAAAGTGTAATTTTCAGAAAGAAGTGGACAAACTTGTCGAAAATCGAGTCGAAGTTTTGTGCGGCGTGTCCATTGGTCAAGTTAGAACTGTGCCGAGCGGCGACTTGCGATAAAGAGTCGACGTGGGTGAATCTCGAGAAGCCGTGGTCGATCTGCAATCCGTAGATGGTACGACTGTCGACGAAAAAAGCTCAGATGAATTTGTGAGCCGCTCACGGCGCACACGCACCGCACACACGCGCTCACGCTCTCCGGCACACTCTCCGTCGCACACACTCACTGGCCGCTCTCCAGTCTCTTTCGCCCTGTTCCTTCCTTTCCGCTGCCATTGTCAATAGCGCCAGCCAACAAGGTGTTTTCCGATGACTTGTTATCCCAACATCGCTTCATATGGATTTTATCGCTCGTATTTTTGTTTACTAGAAATTTTAACAGCCAAGGGAGCTTTTGAAAGCCATTCGAGAAATTTTCCCTGCGTAACTAGTTTCCCAGAAGAAGAAAAAAACGAAGACCAGATGGTTCATGGTCCCATAGTCGCGTTAATATGTCTCTCACAAAACATGTGAAGACTAAATTTGACAATTTGTGCAAACTCCCATCATTTTTGAGATGAAGAAGTGAACCACGCAGGGTTTCCGACCACAATAAGTGAAACGTTGAAAACAGTTTGAACTAATTTTTTCTTGAGCAGCAGCTAGACAAATTCAAGTTATAGAACACTTTTTTTTCGATTTACAACTTCGTTTTTTTAAGATGTCGACAAATTAAAAATAAAAAACAAATAACTTGAAACGAGCGAAATCTGAAGTTTCGCTCGTTTAAAATGTTTGACATTTGATGAGAAGAAAAAAAAAACATTACTTAAGTGCCTAAACATCTGAAGTAAAAAGTACTATTTCCATATTTTTTAAGTCGAAGAGTTTGAATTAGTAAGGGTTCTCTTTCTTTTGCGTTGAAATAATGAAATTTTTCATATTCCCAGCGGATGATCCCCTCTTCTATAACAATGAAAAAGAAGTTACTGACAAGGACAGAGAGTAGCCTTTTCAGCTCATTTGGTGACGTCAGGTCGACGATAAGGTGCGACAAGTAGTTGTTGTTGTTGTAAATCGCGTCGTCGCGGGAGGTCTGGCCAAGCAGCAATTTGCTGAGTAGTGGCGTTGGATGATGCGTCGGCTGCAAAAAGTGATAGTCATTCCAAATGGCGACGATTTTTCATCCTTGTCGCGGATGCGAATCGAAGGGTGCCAGCAAAAGGAAAAGGGCGGCGCCAACCTGTTCGGATTCGCGACTCGAACCTGCGAGTGAGGCGTTACAATCAGGTATCGTCGTCGAGCTGAGGAGCTGTGATCTGCAGAAACTCTGTTTTTCAACTATTTTCTATTCAGAAGAGAGCAATTTTAAGAAGTTTTTGTTTTTGTAAAGCTTCGTTGAATATTTTACGAAAGCCTGCAAATTTCTTCCCAAACACAGAAAAATCAAAATTTTTCACAACCAAAATTGAAAGTTTACCGAGTTTTTAAAAGTTTTCAGGATAGTTATCAGAACTCTATACCCATCTATTTAAATTTGACAAGGAATCAAGATACAATCGATTGAGGAAATTTATCATCTATTATAAAAAGTGAAAATTTAAAAAAACTAAGTTCAAAAAAAGTAATTCTCACTTTTCAGAATCAATCGCTGTGAGTATTTATCTTTTTTTCGGAATTTACAGATAATTCATTTTCCAAAATTGTTTCAAAACGAAAACTCAAATCTTTCGATTTCAGGTTCAAATTTCCGTGATAAATAGTTAAGACAGAATATATCCCATTTTGTCAAAAAAAAAAATGGATCACGAATGGAAAAGATGCAACAACAACAACGAGTAAATTGTTGGATAAAGAAAAAAGGAAAAAGCGTTTCTGAAGTCTGGAAAAAAAAACTTCATTTTTCAAAAAAATTCCATTTTTCTATGATTGAGCTTTTTTTATCTCATGAATTGAATCTTTTGTGTTTTATTTTGAGAAATAAATCTCAAACTATTAAACCATTTCAACAATGATAAAAAAATAAAGAGTATTCCCAGATGTATCGAAAACAACCATCAACTCACAACAAAGAATGATGAGAAGCCTCTCCGAAGGCGTTGTACGAGCTCTGGTTCTCCTGCAAAACGTTTTTTCGCATTCAAAAGTCCTCGAAGGTTACCGGTTCATTTTTCTTCTCTTCGTCTTCCATATCAAGACAAATACGAGCCAACTGTTCATCATGATCTCCGCCAAAAACACGTCGTCGCAAGAGTTCTTCAATTTTCTCGTCCGTGTTCAAACCAGTTTGGAAAGTACTGAAAAAGATTCTATGAAAATTGGATACACAGAGAAAGTTTTAAAAAAAGCAAAAGGTCAAAAAAATTCTTCGTAAAAGAGACCAAAAACGAAGGTTCTCACCGCATTTCGTCTTTTATCCTTGCGATAAGGACTTTCTTGCGGTTATGAAAATGCTGCTTGATGCGGTCGGCGTCCACGGGCTGTCCAAAACGAGCGGCGACCATCTCGGCAATCTTTTGCCAGTGTTCGTTCCGCGCCACATTTTCTGTGGTTAACCTCCGGTAAGAGTTCTTGATGAGGTCGTCACTCCGTTCCAAGACCAGCTTGACAACGTGATTGCTCATCTTAAAGGTGTGAGGTTAACAAGTTTTATAACCCGAACAATTCTCACTTTGATAATTTGGAAGATCTGATTCAAGCATCCGTTTTAATTATACTAGATCAGTCTTCCGCTTTCATGTATAAAAACCCGAGTTTTTTTTTTCGCACGCAGAAGGGGCGTGGCTTCCAAAAACATTCTTTTTTACAGCGTTGCATTCAAACTTTGAAAGAAAAAACGGACAAATTTTCAACTCATACTCAGCTGTTGCAACCTCTAAAATTACTAGAAAACGTTGAAACGAGAAACTAATGATTTGAGAAGGACATTAATTCTCAGAAAACCAAATAGGGAAATGATCAGAGAATTTTTTAGTCCCTCAGAAAACATGCAAAAAGTATAAAACTCAAAAAGAAAACTTTCATGTTACGCGGCAATTTGAAAATATGTTTGTTCGTCTCAAAAATTAACATTGTTCACACGATCGCCCAATTCCTCAAACATATAACATTATTCGCTTCTCTATAATCAGTAGTTGGTAACCATATTTTTTTTCTCTTCGATACATCCAATTTTTTTTGAGAAGAAGAGCTTTCACGCTCTAACTATAGATTCTTCAAACCCTCGGACAGCCGCCAGAGACATACCTCTCGAGGTATTTTAGCCGGCTTGGCCTGCGGCACCGGCGACGTGGACATTGAAGCGGAATAGGCAAGACGAAGGACGCTGGGAAGAGAGTCGGCAAGCGGAGGACAGCGGGTGCGAATATTGTCTCGTGGCTGGGTGGGCGCTCAACTGGCAGTCCGATCGATTGGAGGTTTGTTGCAGCAGCAGGCTGCGCGGCCCCTCCATGACAGGTCACCGCGAAGAAGAGAGACCAGATACATCATGCGAGGTCGCCGGAGAGTGTCCTCTCGTCTGCAGGAACCTTATTTGCAATCTGCTCGACGAGCACCTAATCCGTGTATCTCAATGATGGCATCTTGGAAATTCGAAGGCTATTTAAGCCATAAAACAGAAACGAGCTCAGAAACTTATCAAAAATCCCCAAATTTTCGGGCTTCAGAAGTGCTGCGAAAAAACTACAAAAAAAAGTAGCTTTTTGAAGAGAAATAATTATATATTCACGAATAATTTCTTACCTTTGATTTCACGAAATCTCAAAACTCTACTACATGTGACATGTTTTTTTTTTCTGAATTTTACCTTTTTTCAAATGGTTTGTCCGTTATGAGTTCATATGAAAAAAGAGTATCATGTAGCTCCTTGGCCGTTAACTGCTTCAACTGTTCAGATTTTGAATGGCAAGCAGCTGACTCCGCCCCCAAGGCTGCAATATCTTTGGCGTCAATGTTTCATCGCAGATGACGATGAAACTTTAATACGGCTGCATTTTTAGACTTATTTTTTTTTTATCTACAAGAACAAAAAAGATCAAAAATCATCCCGCGCGATAAAACATCGACACGAAAAGTGTCTGTGCCAGCATGGGCGGAGTTAGCTAGTTGACATTTAAAATCTGAAACAAAATTAAATCAAAGCGAAAGATTGACAGGCGAATCTATCAGAAAAGTTGTAATAGACAAGAAAAAAATTAAAAACAAATTCTCAAATGAAAAAAACTGGACAAAAAAACAAAGCTCACAAAGTTAGGAGAAGAATAAAGCCATTGAAAAAAACACAATCCTTTACAATAGAGGCAGACAAATGAAGGGAGGTCTGTGAAAGATCTTTTTTTTTTAATGGCCATAAAAATATCGTTTTACATCTTTTCAAACTCTACTTTCCAGCCTTTCTGCAACAGTCCGAGAAATGGCTGATATTTAGACGTCTGTAAGCCAATTCTAAAAAAAATCTCGAGAACGAAGGCAGGCCAAGTTGAAAAAGGAATGAAAGAGCTGCAGCTATATAGCTGCTCGCGTTATCTTTTGTTGTCCCTATTCGTATCTTTTTTAGAACGACGCTGGTTTTAATAGAAAAGATCTCTTCCCATTTTTCTATAGTCTTGAGAAATTTCGATAACAAAAAAAAATTAATATGCGTCCACGAACCAGCTAATGAAAACCCTGTCAGTTCAAGAAAAGTTAAGAGTTCATAAACCAACATACGAAACATGCCAATAAATTCAATGATAAAAAATGGAACACAAATAATTCACAAAACTCCAAAAAAAAAAAATTAACGCGGCGGTGCCAGAGAGCCACAAAATTTCGAAAAAATTCAAATACAGAGGCTTTCGCGCTCTATGATCACGCTCGTTTATTTCTGTTTTGTGATAACTTTTTCATGCCGTATTTAAAGTGATTCCGCGAAGTCCAAAATAGCCGTGACAGAATGAGAAGAACTGAATTTTGGAGAGTCAGAGATAAGTTTGATTTCGCGGAAGTAAATTTAAACATCAGTTCGTGTTCCTTCATTTCGTTTATTATGTTTCAGTTCGGCCTAACCAATTTTACGGCTTTTTAGTTCTATAAATGTAAATCATGTATGCATACCTATTTTGAATTTCTCCGGAGAAGACCAAGTTTGGTGTGAAAATTTGTGTCACTAGCTTTCGATCTCCAATCCGGTAGATCAAAATGGAGCCTGGAAAAGCCGCCAAAAAGATGAACTTTCTTTCCAAAAATTATTTTTCCGTCTTTTACAGTTTTTTCTTGCTTCAAATGTGCTGCTGATTTTAAATTTTGGATGAATCCAGTTTTTTTCTGTTGTTTAAGCCGAAAATCTTTTTTCACGATTTAGTTTTATGGCGAAATATCTAAAAACGAGAAATCACAAAGTATGTTATATTTATGAAAAAAGACTTGAAACATTGATTTTCGTTTGAAAAGTTTTATTTTATTATGCGGCCGTTTATAATCGAATCCGCGTTCAACGTACAAAAGTAAAACATACTGACCAAGTTCAATATCTTTTTCATATTCTCGTTGAAAATCATAAAAAATATTCTTGAGGCTCCCTATCGATGCTCCGTCAAGTTCTTATATGCCTTTTGGTTTCACTAGCATCGGCAAGGTTGCACCATCAGTTAGATCCATATGGAGAAGAGGAAGAAGGTAACAATTATTTTTAACTGCGAAAGTTACGATTATTTTGGTTTTAGAGCTGGATGTTAACACTATTCTGAAAGCTCTCGGTACGCCACTATGTATGAGAAAATGCATTGACCCGTTTATCAAAACAACCTCTGCGATTTGGAACATGAAAGACGTGGCGGGCAACTCGAGAACAGTTTGCAGGTTTGTAGTATGCATGAGTTGAACTACATAGAAAGTTTTTAGTTCTCATTCCAAGGCTCTGGCGTGTCTTAAAGCTGATCAGTTCTGCGACATGAAAGGTGTTTTCAAGGTGGTTTCAATATACGTTTGTTACAAAAATCTTTAAAACAGAAAAATGATCATGAACTTTTGTTTGAAAAAGGTCAATACTTAAGGTTTACAGTTTTCTTTTTCATTCATATTTTTCAGACGGCTAGCAGCAGTGTTCATTACATGTGCGATCGCAAGTCGCTTCTCTTTGAACGTATGGAGGCTTGCTTGAAACCCGTCGTCGACACTATCATGCAAGGTATCGTTAAGCTCCACAAAAGAGTACGATTTTCTTTGACAGAGTGTGATTCGACTTGCCACGCTCGCTCGAACTTGACCGCGTTCTCTCAAAATTCCAATATCAAGTTCGCCGCTCAAATAGGTGGTAACATATTCATCGTCAGCGATCATTTGGGTCCTTTGTGCGGGTAAGTGAAAAACTAGACTTTTCTGAAACTCCTCCCAAAAAAAATTAGAATAATTAAAAAAAGATTTTTCAAAAACCATCAAAATGAAAGTTCAATTGATATTTGGATTACTGAATGATAGTTCCACAATGTGGTGTTTCATAGAACTATCTCATGCAAAAAAAAAATCCAACTTTTAGCTCCCTCGCGTGCACTCTGCCTTGCATAACCAAAAAACTGAACGACAAATGCGATTTGAGTGGCTGGCTGACTTTGGTTTGTTGATTTATATTTGACTTTAATTCGTGCTCAAAAGACTATCAGTTTGAGAAGCATATGACATGTAATCTGAAAATGCATTGCATTAATTTGCAGGACGTTCTGATGCAGCCTCTTGACGCAACGGCAGCTATCGTTGAAGATCTTCCAGTTTCTCTTCGGTTTTTTTTCGAAACATCGCAGAAGTATTGATATTTTTCAGGGACCTTCTTCACCAGAAAATCGACAAGCGATGCAGCTTTACTCTGAGCACCGCTCGTCTCAACCGCATTCGCAACGGAGATTTCAACGCATTTTATTAAAATATGGTTGTATATATTTTTGTCGTTTCACTTTTTAATAGCGATTTTCTTAGAAATGTAATTTTTGGGAGAGATTTGATTAATTCTAACAATGTATCTCACTTTGACTACTTAGTAGCGTGATGAAGACTCTTGAAATTTTGTTAAACTGTCTACGTTAATTTTTGTGTGTTGGCTAGCCAAAGATAAACAATTTTTCCATGTGTAACGGATGTTTAGTAAATGAAACAATGTGTTATGAACGGCGTTTTCACCCTCCGCCCAGATAATTCTTGGAATTCCTTAAGATACTGTGAGGTCCCACACAGTCAATTCGTTTGTGGTTAACTCAGATTTTCCTGTTTTGAGAATTTCGAAATCATATCTTCTTTTAATCGATCTCTGACGGAACGATATTGAAATGTCAGTGATAAATCTAAAATGTTCCAACTTTTTTTCCATGTTTATTTTTAAAATCGACGAACATATTCAAAACAAAATTTTCTTTTATTCAAGTTTTCTTCTCAGGCAAGATTTCAATACTTGATTCAATTTTATCGTAATAACTTGGCAAAGAATATAATACAGACAATTTGGCCGTTCCCTCTTATCGCTTCGAGTACAACATTTTGAATTTGAAAAAAAAATATTTTCTCCATGTCTTAAAAATTATTGTCTTGTCATGTCAAAAAACATGTCTTAAAAGTTATTATCTCATTTCATCACGTCGACTAGTCTGTCTCATTCCCGCTCTCTCATGGGATAGTATTACGACGCCCGTCAGCCCTGGACAAGCTGGGCGCCGTACTGTTCCAACATGGTGAAGCAGTTCATTCGCTGGTACTACAAACGGCCCACATAAATTCCCAACGCTAGCTGTCACTCCGGGACTTATTGGACAACGATTGAGGACCTTAACCCGCGCCGACGACAAACTCTTCGATAATATAAACCATGATTCAGCAGAGATTTTCTACATCTTACTCTGAAGACTGCATAAATTGAATTACAAATTATGTGAAGTTTTCAATATTTACAATTATAGATAAAAAAATAAATAAAAAAATGCGTTTCTGTTTAAATAAAAAAATATAAATAAATAAAAAAATGCGTTTCTGTTTTTTTGAAATTTTTTTATATTTGCGCGTGACCCTTTCGATTTGACGTGCGCGTAAAACTGCATACCTTTTTTTTCACTCGCACTCTTTTTTCAGAAATTTTGAACGTAATTACGTCACGCGTAAATTATAACTATGTCCTTCATATTTAATGAAATATTTTGAAGCACTTTTGTTTTTTTGTAAGAGCTATCTAACTTGAACAGAATATACCATTCACCGTTAGTTTCTATAGTAATGCGAAGGCATCTATAAATCTCTTCTTATTTCACACGTCGCAAGCCAGAATAACATGAGATCATATCTTAAATCTAAATGCACTATATTTCTACTTTGAAGGACGCTTAAGCGTCTATGGAGGCGGATGAGTATTTCACAACCTACGACGCTTTACACGACGTATGTTTCAACGATATTTTCATTTTTTAGATCAGAATTTCAGAAAAAAGAGAGCACAGTCAGAAGACAGTTATCCCTACCGATAAACGAATGTTGCGGGATTATGAAGATAATTTGGAGCCAATTCGATTTCATGACAGGTCCGGAGATGAAGTTCTTGTGGGAGGTGAGCATGAGTTCCTCGGCCTCATCTGACGACACAAGCAGGTGACCCCATCAACGAATCTCTCACCAGCAAATATGAGCGGCGAGGACTGCTCCGTGGCTGACGCCGAGAGCTTGATCGACTCCAACGCCTCCAACCAGTCGGTCAACTTCGAGGATATTGACGATCCCCTCAAGGTATTCCGGAAACAGATCTTCCATGAGCTCACTTCGGCGTTATCAGACAGAGTTAACCATTTTCGGCGGACTCGATGACAGTTTTTTGGATTCCTCATTTTCTAATTTCAACATGGAGAGCGGGGATTGTCACTTGAAGGTGAGCCATTTTTTTCCACCATTATATTCAATTTCATCATCATATTCCTATCTTTCCATTCCAACTTTCATAGAGTAATCAGTTTTTTGGAAGTATTTCTGGGGTATTCAAAGGTACACAAGACTTGCAAAACAACAGTGATAAGAGTTTTTCACCTTGATAGTTTCAAGAAATTAGTTAGTATTCTGTTGTAAGCCGCGGAAGAGTTTTTTTGATGTATTTTTTTAATAAAAAAATTTTTCTCAAACCCTCATCCTGCACTGTTAAATTCGATAATTTTGAGTATTTGGACGAATACATGACGGAAAGTCGAACGACGTGCACAACAACCAGCACCAAAACTCTAACCAACGATGATTCGCGCTTTTTCGCGAGTTTTCTTTTCTTTTTCATATTTCTGAGCCGAATCGTTTAGGACAGTCCTGACTCCAGCGCGAAGTCTCTTCGGGACGAAGGCTTCGATGTGGCTTGCGGCCTCGATCCCGCTCCCAGCTACTTGGTTTGACCCTTCTTGCTTTTGAACCTTTTCTCGAAGTTCGCAAATGCTTTTCGTGTTTAAGGAGCTCTATTCAATGTTTCCTTGCAGAACGCTTCCTCTCCTTGCGTCGCAACGTCTCCCTTTATGGAAAGCGCCGATTTGCAAAGATTGCTTGCGGAGCGTTATCCTGAAGACGAAAGGTGAATCATCGCCTCATTTCCTATATCTTTTTTTGTTTAAAGGTCCTTCGGATGCTTGAGAGATGAAGATAGAATGTTCAAAGATCTTTGTACGGACGAGATTCCTAATGACGATGGTCTGATGTTTTAGAAAAATAGTGAAAACCTTGAGATTCAGCTTTGAAAAGGTCCTGTGTGGACTCTGGAGTGGGGGTTTCTACACACAGCGACTTGAGTGCGCTCTGCCGAACTCCGCCTGCCGAACTCGAAGGTAGAACGACAAGTAACTCCATCGAATCGGCTACTAGCAATGCGTAGGCGTTTTTTCACTTATCTGATCTGTTTTGTGTTGTTTAAAAAAGGAACGAATAAGAGTTGAAGCTGTCTTTTTGAAACTTCGAAAGAATTTTTTTGTACAGAGGAATTCTAATATGACGTTCAGAAAACTGCCGATTTTTTTTTTCGGTCTCCTACATCTGATTTCATTTTGTACTTATGCAAAGAAAGCTTTTGACCAAAACTTGCGATAAAAAGCGCTAGAGAGTTCAAAAAAACTTTCCAGAAACTCATTTCAATGTCTTTTTGATTTTTTTACCTCTATGTAATGATTTAATTCCCACTCGCGTTTTCAAAGTTTATTTTTTGCATTATAAAAAAAGCGTTAAACTAAGAAGTGAGCCCAGAAAGATAGAAAAAAAGGCTCTTGAGAAGCATTAACTATTATCATGAAAAATTGACATTCAATTGAAACGCATTCATTTCTTCTATACTTTCTTTTTGTTTTAAACAATCTTCTATTCATTTTTTTAGTTTCACTCGATTAGAGAACGGCCGTTTACGAAAATGCAATGACGAGAAGAAAAGACCGTCGCTACTTGATGGATTCTTCGATTTTTCGGAAACCTTTCTCACCGACGAACAATTTGTAACAAAATGTGTATTAGCCGAGCAGATTTGCAGGTAAGTTATCTAAAAAATATTTATCTTCTAACTTCAAAAAAAAAAAGCTCCAGTTCACCACACTCGCGCTGTCCGGTTCAGCACAAGTTGATGATTTCACGAGCCCGTCATTTGATCATTTCCTCGTACATATTTTCTGCTCAAATGCGCGATTCCAACACGATCACCTATGCAGTCTCTTTTCTGATGCCTCAGGAGAGGTTCGGACTTTTCTCTCGGCTTTTTATCGAGTGAATTCCAGACAGCACTGGTACATGGAGCGACAGCAGTGGTTTGAGAGAATTATTTGCGACACCGTACCCAAACTGAAAGCCTCCCTTTTCGCTGTGAGAGTTCAATTTCTAAATAAAAATGAATAATAAATCGACAGTGTTGATAGAATTACTAGGTTTAATTAACAGGAAAGAAGGCCTTTCAGATATTGGTTTCAATGCTCTTTTCGTTTAGCTATGGATGGCTACTTTTGCTTTTAAAAATTTCAATCTTTTGTATTTGGATTCCCTAATAGATTTCCAAGGTCATTAACGATTTCGAAGGAAAGAAAAAAAAACTCAGAAGAAATATCAAACAGGAAGAACCAACCAGTGTTTTTCCTGGAATTGCACAGAAGAAAAGGACTAATCTTAGGAAGACGCCGACGACGTCTTGGTTCGTGCGACTTCAGAGTTGACTCGGGTCATGTCGTTGCTCTCCGCTCTGGAACGCTTCGCACTAGTTTCAGTGGATCGGCCTTTGATGGTTTGTATGAAAAACTAGAACAAAATATAAACGAATGAGATGAATAAAAAGTCCAACCGTCGTTTTTAGGTGAAAAACAGTCTTTTCACTGAGAAAGGGACATCGCTGACCGAAAATCGTCTGCTGGCGAGGGCCATTTCCGGATGTCTCCAGAGCCAGGGACACTGCGTCCTCATCGGATCCGATCCGGCGCTTCTTTCAAGAGTTTGAAATCCCTTCAAAGTTGCTCCACAACGTTTTTTGTTTCAAGCTCATGTACACGTTGGCTTTTTTTGTTCCGGAGGATTTCCAATGGTGCTGCCTTCGTCCTTATCGACATAAGTATAATCCTTATGTTCGGCTTCAAGTTGTCAGAAGGGTTTGTTTTCTATTGTTACACTATATACTTCTGCTTGCCCCTTTTTTCAAAAGTTCACGGAATTCCCAGAAGAAAAAGAAATCATCTTGGTGTTAGCATATTTTGAACTCTTTTCTCAACAACCTATAGTCAATTTTTCCCAAATTTCAAGATATGGGCAGGCTAGCCAAGTTTTTTGATGTCGCGCCGCGGCTTTTGCTAGGAAAATTGAGGTCAAACCGGAGCTAATTTTTTTTTGTCTTTTTCTTATCGCCACGAATGAAATCTTTTTTGAAGGGTTATTTTTATGGCTGTCCAAACAAGCTCAGAATTTTTTTTTACATTCCTTATTTTTGAACTTTTGTAAGGCGAGGATTAAAATATAGACATCGAGAAATTTCATGTAGAACTATAAAAAAATGAGAAAAATCATTGAAAAATCATCAATCAATATATCAATATTCATTGGTTGTTTTAGTCAGGTGGAATCGATCATCAAAAAAAAGAAAAAAAAATGAAAAGGTGGCTCGCGTTTGATCTCGAGTTTCGTGTATGAAATATGGGATTTCAATTCAAGTCGTCTACTCCCTCGAAAATAAATATGAATCGAAAAAGCTTCATGAAAGCTTATAAATGGGGCCGAATCTGCGCATTAAAAAAAAGTTATGCTTTTGCAAAATATAAAATCTCCAGTCGGAGCTGCCTACTTTGGTGTTGAACGGGACTGGCAGTGGGTGGCCGATCTGCGTCATCGACATAGATCGTTCCGCTGTTTGTATGTCGGCGCCGTACAATCGACATCGTCTTTTGAGGTTATTTTTCTACTAATATTTATTGTGAAAGAATAGGTGATATTCGCTCAAAAGGTGATTTATAGAGAATTATTGATTGTAAAGATTGAAACGCAACTTGATTCTAGGGCTAAAAACGATTCGAGAGGCGTCCGTCTGATTCTGGAGCACGCCGGCGTCATGTCGAGTTCTTCTGCGAAGTCATCCAAGGCTCCGCAACTGTAACTGATCTAGTCTTTTTTGAATTATTTTTTCAATTTAAGAGAATTGTCGACATGTCGAGTTTTGGAATGCGTCTCAACTTTTCTGAAGCGAATGGATCAATTGCCTATGGAGGTTTCCGTCACCTGTCTAGTTCTCCGGGATGTAATGAGACTTCAGGAATCTGTTCGACGTGGTTTCTGTGCGCAACTTTCTCTCTACGTTAACAATGTTGCCGAGGCGTTCATCACCTATGTTCGAGATAGCAGGTTTCTTTATGATCCCTAGTGAAGTTATTTCGGTCACTAAATCACGCGTGAGTCAATAAATTCAATTCTCATGCAGTTTTCGAAGTAACTTCTGCGGAATGCGAAATTTTCTCTGACTCTCCAAAATTTAGCTATTTCTTTATTTTATCTGACGATTATTCTGGATTTCACGGGAGCTTTGAACACAGCATCAAGTCTTCTACTTTTTTTTTCCACATCATTTTGATTGTTTTTCACGGAAAAACAATAATTTTTCAAAACAATTTTTTTTACAATTCTCTCTTAGTAAAATCATTTTGAGTGCTCCACGAGACGATGAAAAGGAGTGTGGAACTCGAAGCAAGCGATTTTCGCTCTCAGAATGCCGCAAAGCCTTAGATCTGACGCAGGACGCCTGGTTCAACGCGGTTTTGGCTCGAGCTGATCTGCTCAAACCGGAAATCGCCGAGTTTGTATACATGTAAATTGATGATGTTTTTATAGTCTTCAAGGTGCTTATATCAGTTCAATTTCTTTTTATAGTTTATCGCATAAATCTCACTTGTGATTAGTCATCCTTTACTATTTGACCTCGGAATCTCTTCAAAAATCCCTAGTCTGTTGGAACTTTCAATTTCCTTACATATTCAGTTTTTGTATTGCTCCTTTTTTCTTGTGCTCTTATCTGATTCACTTACTTATCAATTGACTGGAAGTATTTTCGTGTCCTTATTAGTTTTGCCTTACTTTTCTTCAATTCTACGGTGGAAAAAAAGTCTAACTTGATATTTTGTGCCTCAAAATTTCACAATAACTGAGTTGTGCATAATAATCGTGTTTGGGTTCATTTTATTGTAATCAAATTTGCTTGTTCGTATTAATTTCTCTGTGTATCTTCAGATTGCATTTTAACTTCTAATACATTTTTATACATTTGAAGAGTCATACTAGAAAAAAAGAAAAAGCAAGGAAAATCATGAAAAAAGTCTTCGCCATTTTGCTCTGTGTTTTAGTTATTTGAAATTGATACATTTTTTTCAGAAAGTAATGATAATTTAAAAAAATAGAAACTTTGTCCCGAAATAAGCGTAGGTTTTGAAATTTGTTCCAAGACCCTAAAAGTGAGTTTATTTTTGAAAAAAAGGATTTTTAAGTGATATTTTCTAATAATTATTTTTTTGATGAAGGATTCTCATTTTGCTCAATTTTTCCCTAGAATGTACTTGAGACCTCCTCAGGAGTTTGAGCATTCTAACATTGTTCTGACAAAGGAAATGACGACCACACAAATTGCACTTCGCAATGTCTATAAAAGGGAACAGTGTTGAACGATTGATGATTCCAGTAAAAATTGTGTTTGCGGCCGCCCCGATAAGAAGATCATGCAAATGACCGTAGGCGACAGCGCGAGTCACCCGATGTCATACCACCGAGAATGGGATCGTCGGTGGCCGATTCGCTGCCGCTGCCGTCAGGAGCCTCGGTCAAGAAGGCTCCAGCCTCGAAGACTCTCCTTTACGCCGTCACTGCCGTTGTCGTCGCTCTCGTCCTACTAGTTCTGTTCGTCAACCTGCTTGGACGGGGCGACGTCGAGGCGGAAGAAACTTTTAAGAATGAGACTCAGCCGTTCACAAACGACGAGTCTGCAGAAAGCAGCGAAGAGGAGGAAACGGAAACAAGCACCACTATAAGAACCTCCACCAGCTCGAGCTCACAACTTCCAACAGCTCTACCACCTATTGTGTTTCCGCCGGCGACATTAGACAATGTTACCACCATTCCTAGAAGTTCAACGACATCTAGAGAGTCCACAAGTCCTTCTTCTGAATCATCGACTAAAACTCCAGAAACGACCTCTTTCCCGACAACTGACCACACTCATGTTCCTCCCTCGTCTTCAACGTCATCCTCATCTTCCTCCTCAGAAGAAGACGTCGTCGGCGAGTGCGATCCTCAATGTCGGTTCGTCCTTTTATAATTGATTCTCTTCAACCTGAAGGCGCGATAACTTCAGGATTCACGTTGTTGAGACGGTGCCAAAGTTTGTCAAATTCGGCCATTTCATTCACACTTTGGACACATTCCGTGCCTGGAACCAAGCGCTTTCTTCAGCTCGCCAGTGAGTTGTTCGTTTCTCTCCCGCAGCAATGCGACTTTTGAGAGAAATCGACGTGTTCGCATTCAAAATGAACCTTCGCGGCGTTGACGTTCACATCGACGCTGACAACTCGACTGCAAAGGTCTGCGAGAGAAAACTTGTCCCTAACATTGGATTTTCAATTTGTACTGGACCCATGAAAGAACTTTCGAAACATTGTTAACGAGGTGAAAAGACTTTTTGAGGGGAAACTAATCTACGAGTCTTTGGTGAAGAAAGCCGGAGAAGGGGTCAAGATCAAGGTTATCGACTGCGATCCGCCGCTTTTGCCTGAAAACAACCGCGATTCCCTCGAGTTGCAGAGACATGGTTGCTTTATTCTTCGAGAAAAATCGATCAATCAGCTTGAAAAAGGATTTAATCGTTAAAAAATTTATTTAAATGGGAGTAATAGATTGGAAGGAAAACGTTTTGAGCTTCCGAAATTGACACTATCCGTGTAGGTCCATAAATTAATCGCGGAAACGATCAAAGATAGGTTTTCTATTATATTTGAACTGAAAGGGCAGATATGTGTTATATTCGACTCGGCATAAGATGCTCCTCTGTTCCTTAAAGGAAGTTTTGCTAAAAAAAAGTATATCAAAAAGGGACTATCTATCCGACGACGACAAATTCGTTAAAGCGCTGCGACGTGTTATTAAATAAGAAAATTGAGGTCTGATCGAGCGACGCGGTCTCGAGATGAACGTGATCAACGACGGCGGCGGCGGCGTGCAGCACAGCAAGATGTTTGTTGTAGACCGACGTCATCTCTACGTCGGCTCGAGCAATTTCGAGTGGCGCACTTTCACTGAGGCATCATTTCCGATCTATAGGACTCTCTGAAGTTAAATTGCAGAAACTCGAAGTTGGACTCATGTTTGACAACTGCTCTTGTGTAGCCGAAGAAGCTGCTGAACTCTTCGAAAATGTCTGGGATTTTATGGGTGGCAGTGGAAAATTGGCCAAAATTAGCTTCCAATCTCACCGTATCGGCGACGCCGTAGTTCAGTTGTTGGTGAGTAGTTTCAGTAGCGCAAATGCAAACCTTGAATCAAATTCCTAGTCCATGAACGTAATTAAAATCATAGTTAAGAAGTTGAGGTTAAGCTGTACCAACAACCTTCGGAACGCCAGTAGTTTGATTGTGTGTATGCGGAGCAGAAGAAAGCCTTTTTCTCGTCTTCTTCTGTATATAAACATGATCAGGGGTCATTTTTGTAGCTATTAGATCACGTACTTGGAAACAAGAATATATCGGTAGAAGCCTCAGAAAAACTGTCCGGTGGCGAAAAAAATTAAAATAATAGCTTTTTTGAAATCTCTTATTCTCAACAGGCTTCTCCGCCAATGTACCTGAGCTCTTTATCGAGTTGGGACTTGCCTCGTCTTTTGAACGTCATTTATAACGCTGAATCGTTTGTCGACATCGCCGTCATGCATTATTTCCCATCGTGGATTTACTTCAAAGATCAAGAGTAATGAGTGTTCTTTTTCTTCAAAATGTTTCGGGAAATCTTGAGGTTTTTCCCACAAATCGACAACGCCATCCGCATGAGTCTTTCGCGAGGAGTCGCGGTGAGACTCCGATAAAAGCTTGAAGAGCACATCTGAGGGTTCAGATACGTATCTTGGTCTCCGCCGACTCCGACGAGTTCCCTCAGCTCATGTTCACTTACTTGCGTAGTCTCGAAGTTCTTCACAACGTCGCTGATAACAGAATCATAGAAATTGTGAGATTTCATCAGTACATCTGCTGGGACTTGTCGAACCAACCAAACTTGCCAAACTAACCGAAATTTTCAATCGTTGTCTTCTTGAAGATGACGTGTTTAGAAGTGCATGCGGATTCGCGACGGGGCTCCTGAGTTCAAGCAACGTCGAATGCATTCCAAATTCATTGTCACTGATACAACTACATTCATAGGTTCGACTATGAAAGTGAAAAGTCTAGATGTGAACTTGAGGTTCGTCGAATTACGTTCCGGAGTACTTCTACCGGTCGAGCGGTACTGCCGTCGCTGTTGTCGAGAAATCTGGCCGTGGAAAGGTCAACCGTGCAGTTCGAGCAATATTCGAAAGGTTCTGATTTTACAAAACGAGCGTTATTTTACAATAAAAACGCTTCAAACAGTCCGAGATTTTGCGCGCTCTCTTTTCTCTCACCGGAGCGTTCATCAGATTTAGGATACTCAATAAGAAAGAGCCAAAATAAGGAGGACTTTCTCAATTTTCGGCGAATGAGGAATATTTTTCTTCCAATTTGCAGATACTGGAGAAGCGACTACGCGAAGCCGTTGGGATCTGTGGCCCACGGCGATCCGCTTCCTCCCTTTCCGCTTCTTCCTCCGCTTCCAATCCTTTTTTAAGCGGTCAAAATCATCCAGCTTCTGAAATTCTTTTTTTATTTATTACTTGTAGTTTCCAGTTTTTTTCCCAACAAAGTCTGTTTCGAGACTTTTTCATACTTAAATACCTGAAATGAACTTATCATATATCAACGCGACTAAAAAAATGATGTAAACATATTTTATAAATTCATGTTAATATAAGTATCAGTAAATTGTTCACTTCTATCTCAGTGGGAGATGGATGACAAAAAGAAACTGAAGTTCATTCTCCATTGTTTGTCCGTCTTTTTTGATCTTTCAATGAAATGTTTCCGACCTATCCTCTTTCAATAAACGAAGGCAGGCAACGTGGCTCATTGAGGTTTAATTTTGGCGGATTTTCTGAGCTCACAACTTTTTTCATTCTGTTTTCCCGACCAAAATTCCTCAAATGGATTCTCTGCTACGAAATGGATCTTATTTTGACAAGAAGAAGGTTGGTTTTTGAAAAACATGATTTAAATTTTTAGAAGTAAGTAAGGCTTCTTCCATAGTTATTAAGTGTTCTCGAACGAATGAAATTGTTTGACAGCAATAAATACTTGGAATTATTTTTAAAAACCTTTTTTACCTTCAAGAAACAGTTACGTTGCGGAAGCAGGAACACGGAATTATAAGACCTTGTTTTGTCTTTCGGATCTTTTATTTTTAGCTGCTGTCGAGTCGAACGTGCATTCCGTTTTTATATAATGAATTATAACTTTTAACTTTTTTTTTCTCTGACGCTTACAAAGCCGTTTATTTTCCAGGCCTCTTAAAAATTTTCTACTTCATGTTATAGAATAAATTTCCACGGAAGTGGTTTTCAAAATTGTCTCCGTGTCTTGAGAACCATGTTAGGGCTTGTCTTCTACTACTTAACCTGCTACACACGTCGATTGAAGGTGGCCGAAGAGCTTGTGGTGAGACACGGACTCTACGTGACTTGCGGCGTCTTCATCGTCATAGCCAACGCCATTTGCATCGTCGTTTTCAACTCGACGAGAGAATTCCGCAGCCGATTCCTTTTTTTCACACTTCTCTCTTTTTCTGATACGGTAAATTGTTGTTGAGAACAACATTCTTTGAAAAATTTTTCCTTCACTTTTCACGAAAATTGCAGGTTAATGGGGTTTCATTCATTGTGACAGGCCTCGAAAGAAATTCGGTCATTTTGGAGGGCCTCTTTTTCACGCCAACAACTAATTTCGAATGTCTCATTAAAAAGTCCTGGCCTTTTCTTCTTCTTCTCGGAGGTTTGACAACAAAAAAGCAAATTTTAAATCACGTTGAAATTTGGACCTAACTTGAAATTTATGGGATTCTTAAAAACAAAGATTACCAAGTTGATCTAAATCTTATTAAGTTTTATTCAGTGTATTACATCACGATCGCGAAAAAAAAAACTTTTGGAGACTTTGACTTCTTGCTCAAATTTCGAGAGTTGAAGAGACAATGCATCGAACATCAGACTTATTTTGTTTTTCGGAAGGGTCTGATTTCTTTGCAGTCTACTCTCTCTGAACTGTTAACTGTTAAGGAAGAGAAGACCGCAAAGAAATCAGACCCTTCTTAAGACTTAACAAGACTATCATTTATGTTCTTTTTTTTTTCATAATTCTATGACTTTATTGGTGAAGGATGAGCACTTAGTCAGAAATATTCAAGTCGTGGCAAATGAAATATACGTTATAATATTGAAGGAAAATGTTGTTTTAGGACAGCTTCCGGCTATTTTCAACACACTTTTGGCTTTGGAACGAGTTATAGCGGTGACGTTCATGTCGTGGTACCGTAACGTCTGGGGAGCAAGGCATCGCGTATTTCTGGCCGCATTGGGAATGGCTTTCTGCTTCGTGGGTTTTGAAATACAGAGATCATTTCAAAGCCATTTCGACAATTAAAAATTTTGTTTTTAACCTATTTTCCCTTCACTTTTTTTCCGTCTCTCAGAGTAGGTTATGAAAATTTCCGCATTTTCCATTTTCTTCAATTCGATGTTGGTTTATTTTTTAAAATCTGATAAAAAAGAGGTATTAATGTTGCGTAATTTAATGTTAAGTAATTTTTTGTATTGATTTGTGACAACTCCAAGAAATATCATAAATGGACTTTGACGTGTGCAAATCGCTCTGACATCGAGTCTGTTTCACAGGTTTTGAATGCCCTTGCACTATTGGCAGCATACCAGTCTCCCACCCTGAACCACGACCAAATGTGCGGAGTCATGGACGCTCTCGGCCATTTCTACGGAGCCATTCATTTCATCTGGATCGCGTTCGCCTATTTCCTTTCCTTCTGTGTGATCTGTCTGCTCTACTGGCACACCTCCAAAAGCAAGGCGAGAATATTCTTTTGCTCTTTCAATCAACCGAGATTTCCAGATGCTCAAACGTTCGGAGAGAAGAAAGCAGTTGGCAGTTCTCCTGCTCACCGGCGGATCCGTTTTTTTGGTCTCACTTCCTAACCTGACCATCGTCCTTGACGAGTGGTATCCCATGAAGTTCAACGTCTTGTTCGTTGGTATCCTCGCTTTTTCTGGTCAGAACATTTTTTTTCTTTTCAGGAGTCGCTTATTGTTTTTACGGACTGCAGTCTTGCGCAACTCTACCTATATTTTACTGCTTCCGTTCAGAATTCAGAAGCCGTCTACGATCCATTTTGTCCACGTCAGGAGCCTCACCTCTTTCAAAAGTTTGTCGATGAAAGCCAAAATCATAATCAGTTTTATAGAGAGTACAAAGCAGACGTGTCGAGCAAACGAATCCGGCAAAAACTATTTTCAAACCAATTTTCCGAGCTCAGGAAAAGATGCCCACAATGATCTGGGACGTTCCTTGCATTTTATCACACATTTATCAATAAATTATTTATTTGTAAGTAAAATTTGTCGTTTGCACCGAATGCGTTTGTTCAAAAGGAGGATATGTTTGAGATCGTTGTTTAGATTTAAGCGTGGGTTATCTTGAATGTTGAATGTTGGGGTTCCCAATAAGTTAGAAATGTTTAGAAACACAGTTCAAAGTTTAATCATAGTAAAGTCGAACCCGAGAAGTGCTAACCAGCAGATCCCCGTCATAGAACAACGTCTCCACAATGATGTTGCCACTGAAAAATTCTCATCTGTCGAGTAAGTTTGTATGAAAACTCGCGTTTACACAATAAGAAGTGCGTGTCAAATAAAAATTAAGCAAAATAATTTATATTTTATGGAACTTTTGTTGCAATTTTGCTACTCAGTGAGCGTGAATGAAGCGTCATAAAAACAAATCCACGTCATTTTTCGTTATGTAGCCTGAAAAAAAACCTGAGCAGCGAGGCCGGAAGCATCTGACTTTCGGGTGCCGCTTCTATCACATTCTGCCAAGTGTTGGTCGAGTCGGGGATGACGAAGCCAAAGTCGAAGAACCACTCTGCAAATCAACATTTTTCATATTTTATGAGCCACGGACAGAAATATCGCTCAAATAATAAATTATATCACGCAACGCGAGTCTTCGCGAAGACTTTAGAAATTCAATGCGTTTGGCTCATCTAATTGACTAGATTTGAAACAAAACATGTTCAAAGGATACTGTAAAAGTTTCACTGAGATTTCATCCTTCTACTGTACATGGAAAGCACATCGATTATTTCGTGCAAGTAATCATACTCAGTGGTTTATAATTTTTCTTTGAATATTCCGCTCACCTTCTAAATTATTGCCCTTAAGTAAGACACGCTGCTCCAAGCGAAACTTTTCAATCTTGTGAGCCGATGTGAAATTGATTTCTCTCGATACGGTCCGGCACTTGAGTATACTCTTAGGCACGTGCGCTGCAAAATTGCAGGGTTGTGGGAGACAAACGGCAGTGCGGCAAGGATCTGCGGGAATGGCTCAGCGGCAGGAGGCGCAATTCTCATGCGCGCGGCGCGAGTTCAATTCCTGTCCGTGACGATTCAGTTACCGCCCCAATCTTACAAAATCGTGGTGAATGGTATACCTATCCGAGACATTTTTTACTTTTAAAGTCCTAAAGAGTAGTTCAATTCCTCTTTTTTCAACAATTCAATTGAAGTTCATGTTTTAAACTTTTGTAAGTATGAAGTTTAACGATACAAAAAAGAACAAAATTCTGAGAACTTTGAGAGAAACCTTCCGAAAAAAATCAAGGACACACGAAAAAAATTAGATTAATATAACTTTTTTTATTTGATTGGACCTTCGTGTTCGAGACTGGGGTCAGCCATGTCTTCGGCGCTTTGCCACATAATTTTGCCGGTTTCTGCGTCACGGAGGTTCATCCAGTTCCTAAAAATTGCGCTTTAGTAAGGGTTACTCTAGATAAAGAAAGATAGTAAACTGGATGGAAATCAGTTCATTTTTCGGGAAACTGACAATTTGAAGCCGCTGAGAATGTTGACAGCCTTCTCCGGCGTGCTTTCCATGTGTCGATGCGCCGTCGACAGCATTTACAGTTCTAAATTCTAAATTTTGGGAAAGTTTAATCAAAATGGTTGTTATAAGCATGACACGGCCCACAGCTATGCTGAAAAAAGAGGAAGTCTCAAGTGATGATTCAAGTAATTCACAGGTAAAAAGATACCGTGAAACGTTTCTCTTGGTTGAAAACAAGAGAAAAGAATCAGACATACACCGAAGGAGAAAACTACAGGTCTTCTCCACAGGTTTGGGGCGACTCCGAGTGAAAAATCAACAAGTGTTAGCGCCTCTTTAGAGCTATTTACTCCATAGCAATAATTTCTTCAACTACACAGGTTCTTCCAATAACTTTTTCAGTCTCATGCTAAAATTTAGAAAAGTTGATTTACTCTCACTGAAAAGTTAACCGAGAGAAAAGATACATAGAAACGAAGCTGAAGAACTCGACGAAACGCCTGGAATTCAAAAAAAAAATCAGGAGCAGTTAGCCGGAAGGAGTGTGAGAAACGGAAAAATGAGGCGAAGGCACAAGTTTTATCCGTGATGAGCTCTCCTTCGATTGCGCAGGGCTCCTCGGTGAGAGAAAACGAACACGAAGGAAACAGAAAAAGGAGGCGACGATTGCGTTCGACTCTGAGCAATGACACTCCACTTCTTCCACGTGTTGCCCTGGTTACCAGGGATCTCGTTTTTCCAAGAGCTTCAACATCGACGGACTGCGCATGATAAGAGAGCCAAGTGCCAAATCTCTCTAAAAGGGCTGATTGCAAAAAGGGAACCGTTGATTTGAAGTCGCAGATCCTCATAATGGCCGTCACAAGAAAAAATCAATTACCTGAAGGGAAATTTCTAATAGCCACGACCATTTCACACAACTCAGTGATTATTTTTAATCGAGGGTTAAATTCAACTTTTCTACAAATTGGCTTTCCATCTAAAATAATTCGGATCCATCCTTTTATAGGGGTTGTTGGTTTCCGAAAAATTTTTCAATTGGAAGCTTCTTTTTGTTGAAATTTTTAAAAAGAAAAAGTCTGTTTTTTTATAAAAAGTTTAAACAACATTTGAAAAATTTATCGAGATTTGAAAATGGAATTGTTCTAAATACACGACAAGTTAGATGGCAGTTAAAGTGAAACGCAAGAAAGTGGATGGTCAACCAATGAGGATTCATCACAACCGAATGTATCATGAAAATTGTTATCAAAATAAAAGTATACCCAGAGTTTTCTTATGGAAATTGGTACATAAAAAGGCGACAGCTCGCGGAATGATGATATGATCTCACTATGAGCAATTTTACACAAAAAAAAACCACGGAGAGAGGCTAATAAATAAAAAAAAACAACTTTGGGGTCTAGAGAAAAGTTGCTACGGGAGAAGCGGTTACCCGCCGAAGTTACTGAAGTGTTAGGGTAAAAATAACTGAGAGTAGCTAGGAAAAATAGAGCGACGAAGGCAATAAAGTTTGAAAAGCGTTCGTCTGCAGAAAAGGCCGTGACGTCGCTGTAAATGAGTCCTTGTTTGAGCAAATCTCCAATGGTTTCCCTTTCCGGCGGAGAAAAAAAGCAACGCAAACAGCCCAAAATAGCGACGTACCGGTGGTGAATCGACCAAAACGCACTAAAAAATTTTGACCACGATTTCCGACCGTCCGCCGATCATCGTGATGGCCCATCTGAAAACGGAGAAAGATCAGACTCGCCGCCTCAAATCGGTTGGATTTCTATCTCTATGCTTTATGCTGAATTTCTGCGGGAGTCATTCTATCGGTTGGCATTTGGCAAGAAGCTCCAAGAATTTTGCCCAAACGTGACTCTCAGTATGCTTTTTTGACACCTATGCACATAGTCACGCTATAAATGATAATGATTTTTGCATGAACCCAGCAGAGATACCACGGCCAACTGAGGTTCTTACAACGTTCCGTCACACTTGAAATAACTACAAGAAAGGATTTTCTGAATTAAATTTCAGTAAAAAAGAACTGTGGAAACAAAGATATTTTGACCAATTCGAATTTGAAAAAGAGAATTCTCCGTTTCGGTAAGAATCTATTGGAAAAAGACCAAAAACGAGGTACCTCCACCAGCCGACGGCCATTTTGGGCGTTTCTCGACGCATGGCGATCAAGGAACGCAACTGCCGCAAGGTATCCGTATCTTGGTAAGGACCTGAGCGAGTTCAAATTTTTGGGCTCCAGTTATATTTTCTCACCATGCGCATGATGAGAAGCGACTGCAATCTCCAGGTTGTGCGTCGTTTCAGGTTCTTGAACAGTCGAGGCGTGCTGAAACGTACGATTCAGAAAGAAAGCTTTTTCAAAGTTTTCTACATTTTCGAGGAGGATCCAGAAACTTCGGAATTCTGGCGCCTGGTGACCGTAGGTCATGAAAACGAAGTAGGTGACGCGACGACCAAACTCCTTGATGTCGATGTCGGTGAAGGACCACTTGCTCAGTTCGTAGCCAGACAAAGGCGTCACATGCAGCGACATCTTGTCGAAGCCGCCACGGAGCTGCAACTTTTAGTTTCCATCGTGTCTCAGAAAAGTCATAGTCACTTCAATCTCCCTAAAAAATTGGCCAATCTTCAATGAGAACTCAATAAGAAACTTTTCGAAAAGAAAAAAGCTCCCAAGTCCAAGAATAACCATAGCTCTTTTTCTGAATGTTAATTTTCTTCTTTTTTTTTTTTGAAGCTCACAGATCCTGGGCTCTCCCAAGCATGAGGCGAACTCGCAGGGTCGATAGTCCATTGATTAGAGCTTGTACTCGATTTTTTACGATATGTCTAACCTCAAACGTAAGATTGAGTCGATTAGCGCCAATAAGTTCGCGAGAAATGAGTTTTAGGTCGATGGGATAGGGCAGCGGAACTGGCGATGGCACTGGTACCCACAGAGAATGTCTGAGTGTTACATAATTCATAGTAAAAATTCAGTAAATTGATTAGATGAAAGAGATAATTCAAAAACTCACTCGGGCGGGAAAAGTTCGTGGATGGCGGTGTAGTAAGGCATGCGGCAGTACTCGTCGAGGACACCAGAACAGTTGGGCGGAGAACTTCCTTGCAGGAAAGAATGGGCCGGCAAGTCCATCGCGCCCCTGCACGGTTTATATCAGAAATGAGCCTTTTGCTTCATCAAAACATTTAATTCAGCATGAAAAAACTGACTGAGCTTGTTTTTATTTCTGTTTTGACTTTTATTCGCACTCAAACGACTTCTGGAAGGCTCACCTGTAGTCGAGCGAGTGGACGAAAAGGGCATTGTCTCGCTGAACGACATCCCCATCAAAGTCGTAGATGGAGCGGTTGGCGTGCTGCAAGTGGTGAAGTAGGAAAGAATAAAAGAATCGCTGGAACCAAGGCGATGATTCGACGGAGCCGTGGGTCCTCGGGCGTGTACTCGTACGGGTTGCCCAGTTTGGTCGTCAGCAACATGACAAGGAACAACCCAAATATGGCGAGACACAGCCTGATGAGGTAGTTCATCCGGCGAGAGATGTAGAACAAGTTGTTCTGGGAAGAAGATGACCCCTGGCATTTTTTACAAGGAGCTCACCACGAAAAGAACGAAGCTACTGGCGATGAGCAGACCAATCGGACCCATTATAAACTCCGGGTTGATAGCATTTCCTAGTCTACAAATATTAACTCAGATTGAGATTTGTGGCTGAGGAAAACCTTCCCATGACTGGTACGAAAAAGTCGACGCATTGACTGATGGCGTAGGCGGCGAAAATGAACGGCGGCACGAAGCAGAAGAGCTGCGAGAAGAAGAGAACACGTGGGGTCACTTCTTCAGAAAATAAATCTTTGAGCAAAAATAAACAAGCCAAAAAACTTCGAATGACGCCTAGGGAGCCAAGGATGTATATGAAAAGGTCCTTGCAGGCCGGAAGGAGGAGGTAGTTCAGCACATAAAAAGCTGAGGCCAAGTTAAACCTGAAAACAATAAATATAAAACATCTTGAATGAGTTAAAAAACGGACCAAGTCATCAAAAAAAGGATCGAGGCAAGGGAAATAAGAATGGAGTCGTAGTGAAGCATTTCAACGTTCAAAATCTTTAAAATGAAGTGAATGAGTTGGAAAAGAGTGAGAAAAACCGCGTTGTGGTCAGCGAAATAAGTGTGGACAATGCAGCCGACGATGAGAAGAGGCAAAACATAGAGCATGCCAACGATTTCCGGCATTTTGTACCTGAACGAATTGAGAGATTTTCATTTGAAAAAAATTAATTATCGTAGCATTTCAGAGATTTCAAAGTTACCTTTGACCGTTTTTTCTGGTATTTAACATGCTTATTTTCATCTTTTTATCCCGATTTTTCTTTTTTTCTAGCTAGCACTTCTTTGCGCTTTCTAACTCAAATTTTTTTACATGGAAAAAAATTTACTTTTTCCTTCAAAAAAATAGCGCATTGGTGTTGATTTTTTTCGGAGACGTGAGAAAAAAACAGATCACCTACTTATATTTATTCATTTTTGTGCAACTTGAAAGGCGGTATGGGAAGGTTGGCAAAGATGAAACAACAATTTCCACATTTTTGCGCAATCTATTCAACTTCGAATTTCCCATCAAAAGCCGTGTCGCGACCGTAACAAGTCGTCATTCGAAGATTGAAAAAAAAACAGCAACGAACCAACACATGACGAGGTCAGTGTAGACGACGAAGCCGATGAGGACGAACATGGCGAGGAGCATGGCCGAGAAGGCGACGCCGTGCCGGAAAAAGACTTGGGCGAGGTCGGCGCGGGTGTAGAGTCCTTTCTCGAGCCGGCTGACCACCATAACGAACGTCAGCGCCACAGCCAAATAGTTCAGGATCTTTCCTGCAGCCGACTTGATTCTGGCCCGACGGCTGTCGCAGACGACTCACCAACAGTCACAGAGTAGTAGACAGTGAAAAGACCGACGACGTCGTAGAAGACCCAGCGATTGCCCTCGTCAAATGTCGCCGGCTGTTCCAGATAAGGACTTTCCAAAATAGCTTTCACTACTGCCAACACGTTTTCTCCGGCTCTAAATAAAAGAACGCCGTAAACTGGAAAAATTCTAACGAAAATCAAGAACTCCGAGAAATTAAACTAGAAAATTCATTTTTTAGCTCTCGCTAACTAAAAAGGTTTTATCTAGTGAAATCGATCAGAAACCTCTGAATGGCTCCTGCCTCGATTCTCCGCTCTTCATCGAACTCCGTGTGATAAACCCAGCCGTTTTTCGTGTAAGCAATGTCAAGTCCTGAAAACCTACATAGAAACAAGAAGAACAGACATCAACTACCAGAAATGCGGCCATAGTCGCGGAAAATGCGAAAATCTGTGTCTGACGGGATAATTCCAGACTGGAAAATCTCCTGGGCGAGGACTGAGCAGAAAGGATGCGGCGCGTTTTCTAGGTACGTCTGCAGCAACCAAGAGTTTCCCGGTCCGGCCTGAATCCGAAAAGCGGCCTGAGCTGCGGTTTGAGATCACAGACTTGGAAAAGGATCTCGCGGCCGCCAGAACCCGTTCCTTCGAGGTTGATGAAGGCTTTGATGGAGTGCCGCCATGGGTGCTGCTGGATGAAACCGTGCGCCGCTTGCAGAAAGTTCTCTTCGGCTGAATCGAGCTTGAATTGCCCAAGGATCGCATTTATACCTCCATTAAAAAGGAAGATAATGTCGTGGGCAAGGGGCTTGTGAGAGTGAGCCAAGACTTCGAGGACGTCCATCATTATGGCACAGGAAACGGCGTCATCCGTGGCTCCAGGAGTGTCGGGCATCGTGTCGAAATGGCAGTTGAGAAGCAAAGAGTTCTCCGTCGGCCCTCCCGATGGTCCGATACGAACCTGTCAATCTTCTTTTTGACAGCTGAGCTGCTTTGAAACCATACAGCAATGTTCGTGATTTCGTGGTAGCAAAGCGTGAAACTGCTCAAAAACTTGAGATCGAAGCAGCCGGATGGCCTCTGCAAGATGACTCGACTTCCTGGGTGAATGCTATTGGACAAATCACCTGAACATCGGTTTCGAGGCGATTGAATCCTTTCACAGAAACCACATTTTTGATGAGACTGATGCGATTGTTGAGGATGTTGAAGGCTTTGACCTGAAACGGGTTTGCGCACGCCTGAGAAAAGGAAAGGAGACCTCGAGGTTCTCTGAGCCGCTGGGCCGAGGTCCGAGAGCCGTCAGTTGCTTCAAAAGGAATCGTGCGCGCGTCTCACTGAAGTCAGTGAAGGAAGTTCCGTCGCGCACTGGAGGCATCTTTCTGTAAATCCAACAGTTTCGAGCAGATAACGAGACACAGAAGTCATTTCAAAAAAAAAAAATTCTAGAACTTTTCTGAGGCTTAAAAAAGTTCCGTTTTACGCTTGCAATGTTAAATGTTTCGGTCTTCTCTATGAAAAAGCGTTGTTAGCTATAAATACTGTTAATACGAAAAAAACGTAAATTTAAAAAAATCTTTGAAAACCGATCAGTTCATTTTTACGAAGATTTTTTTATGGCCCCGTAGTACGCCTCGCTTGTATTCATCTCTCTAGTCCAGAAAGTATTCGATTCCCCGGTTCATAAAAAATCAAATGTTGACTGCAATTGATATCTTTAAATGGAGAAGAGAAAACTCCTTATTTCTTGTCGAATCCGGCCAGCAATATGCCTCCAAGATAAACTAGCCGTAAAGGCACGTACCCCTATTTTTTTTATTTGAAAATGAACTTGACAAAAACTTCGATATCTTCAATTTTTTTTCTTCTGAAACACTAAAAGCTCATTGGGTTCCGCTCAAAAAAAAATCTTGTTTTTCGTTTTTTTCGAATTTGGAGCTTCTCCTTTATTATCACCGCAAAATTTTTCCTTTTCTTCTCTATATTGCATTTTTCCTTCCTTTTAATTTGAAAGTAAACTGAAAATTTCCCAACCTGTGGAGAAAAACGACACCGCCGTAAAGCAACCCGACTGTTGCGATGAACAAAAGCCAATGTCGAAAACCGATCGCTTCCTGCGAAATCCCATTGAAAACTACGGCTCTGGAAGGAAGGTACCGGGATTCTGCGGGTTTTGAAATCGACGACTTCTTCCTGGTAGTAGATGTCGCCCTTGCCATCGGCCATCAAGGAATCTTTCCTCCGCCTCACTTCCATCTACAAGCTTCAACATAGAAAACAACTCAAATAAAACTAAAGAATCATCGACAAACTCCATGATATACCCAAGGCTTTTCGAGCTTTGAAGCATAAAAAAGCTAGCAAGGAACTCGAAAATTAAATCAATAAAAAAGCTTCTGTACTAGAAACAATTTCGTACATGAAAAAAGCACATAAATCGATCTATTACTATCTTATCAATATTTAATTTTTCTCACACTCGAGGTTGTCAAATATACTTCGCTTTTTTTCTACGTGAGTTGAACGCAATAATGAAAAATATATTTCGAACCCATAAATGTTTATTATAAAAACGAGGAATAAAATTCATATCGAATAATTAAAGTCACAACCAATACAATGAACGAACTTTAAAACGAAAAAAACAAGTGAAACGAGACATAAAAACCATTATAAAGGATTATATCGGTTGAAAGCAGAAGAGGTCCACACGTTGGTATTTTCTTCAATAACGGCGATCACGGTCTCGATCTCGTCTGAAAAAAGTTTTGATTGGAAAAATTACGAAAAAAAAAAACAAAGTTAGAAGAGGAGAAACGCTATCATATCGTAGAAATAAACAAAAGGAGGTTCTCCATGTAAGAATAACCTTGACCATCTAACTAAAAAAAAAAGCAGTTGCGAAGGACATTCGAGGTGGCGCGAATTAATTATGAGAGAGGTCATTTGTAACTATATCGGGTGCCCTTTATCTCAATTATGTTTTTATGAGACAAATTTCACTTCAAAAACTTTCTGAAAAAGATGCCGACTCGATTTGAGATATTCCAAGAACCACAAGGGACTTCTGATGATCAAGTACAGAAAACAAGTTGAATTTTTAACTCGTGATCATTATTTTTTAGAATATTTTCCTCTTTTCCAAAAAATTATTTTTTTCACTAAAAAATGGTCTGACAGGGTAGTTCATTTAACTTTGCAGTTGGGGTTCTCCTGAAAATCGGACAGAACACTTCTTGAGATACAAGAGAAAAATCTTGAATTTTTCATTCTGCACACCTTCCTAGTATGAGAAAGGACACCTCAAAGTCAGAGAAAACCGTCGAAATTCGTTAAAAACTGCTATTTTGGGGTTTTGATTCCTTAATTCTCAAAAACTAGAAAAAGGTGCAGGTTGAGACTTTCAGGATCATTTCCTGATACATCAAGAAGTATTCTGACCAGTTTTCAAGTAATTCCCTACCACAGAAAGAAGCGACCTTCCTTTTTTTTTTCCTATCCTTTATTTTTGAAAAATCTTCACCGCTACACAATTTTTTTTAAACGTAACTGTTAGTATAAAAATTTTTTTTAAAACATACGAGAAAGAAAAAAATGGACAACCTCCGCGCATCACTTTTAGTTCATTGGAAATGCAGAAAATTTTTAGAAAAAGTGTATTGAATGGCGGAATTTACCTGATTCTAACAAAGTTAGACCATAAAACTGATTAAAAATGATAATAACCTGTGATCGCGACCCTTACGACGATCGTCGCGGTCTCTGCTAGAACGACGACGGTCGCGGTCCCTTTGGCGATCGCGAGAACGGCTGGAAAGACAATCAAAATCGCAAAAACTTCTCTTTTACCTTCGTTTGCGGTCGCCTCGATCTCTGTCGCGATGATCTCTCCTCGGGCTTCTTCTGAACAAATGAGATGTTGATCAATTGATCTGAATGGAGAGAACCTGCGATCATCTCTGTTTCTATCTTCTCCGAGTTGTTCTCGTCGAAGACGTCTCCGTTCATCGATAGTTTCCTGTAAAGAGATTAAATAACACAAAAATATTTTTCAAAACATAAACTGAACATGAAATCTTCAATAACCTGAAACAGGCCATATTTTTCTTCAATACAATTTTACGATTCAAAGTTTCCTTTTTTCTCTCTTCATGTATTCCTGGGTGTTCTACTAGGTCTTCTCTGGGACTTTTTCTGCCGCTGTTTCTTATGAGAATACAATTAATACTTATTGGGAAAGACAATATTTGAAGACCAACCTTCATGACGAGAAATCTCTCGCGACACTCGACCATGCCGAGATGCATCTTGCCGTTGTAGTGATCGGCGATTCGCGACTCGTGATCCATCACATTCAACTGCGCGCCACAGTCGTCGCAGACTCGCAGCCGCGACGCGTTCGAGCCTGGTCCGGCCACTTTGACTTCAGTCTGAGCCTACGGATTCTTTTTTTTAAATCTCAGTTTATTTTATACAAACCTGAAGTTCCTCTTTCCGTTCACGCAACTCTTCCACAGCTTTCGAAAGCCGCATCGATTCTTCTATCCTTCCCAAATTTCCCAATACTTCGATCTCCTCTACTTGCTGAACCACACTTGTTGAAATCATTTAAATGCAAATAATGAAAACCTTTTGAATTTTCTCGTCGATCTCTGCAATGCGTTGAAGCTGAAAAACTAATAGATTAATGATATCGAAACTAAATATAACCTTTGCATCTTCAGCTGTATCAGTCAATTCTCTCGCTTCTCTCTCCAATTTATCGCGAATTCTATCAATTTCCACATCGACGAGCTTGATCGCATTTTCCAAAATTTCAAATGCCTAGAAACTTTTTATCAAACGATAAAATTATTTTTGAAAAACGAACGTCAATATCAAAAAAATAATCGCGTTCCTTCTGAGCGCGATCGAAATCGGCTTTATGTGCAGGTTCGTGGCTTTTATGACACGAAACCAGGCCCTGAAAATCTGCGGTTAGCTGTTTTCATGGCCTTCAAGTCATGGGAAGGCGAGAAGATACTGTTCCAAAAATTATGGGAGAAATTTATAGCGTTTTGAAACGAATTCTGAACCTTTTTGGAACGTGTTGAAGAACAGAATATATCTAAACAAACATGAGCGCTTAAAACGCTCTACGAGGAAGTTTCTCACTGGTTCTAGATTCAAACAGGCTGAGACTGAGATACATGAACTATCGTTTGAAAAACTCACAACGCATGAAGTCGCGCGAGCTCGCTGTGAACATAAAACCTAATTGTTTTCAAATTTCAAATACCGAAAAGTTAAGAAAAAGTTTGTCAAGTCAAGTCGACGACCTTACAGCCTGAAAACAAACGAAAGAGTAATATAAAATCAAATCGTTCGATGGAAAACTCACAAAAGGTCAGAACACACCCGCCAAGAGATTCACATCAGCCCGATGCACCTAATTGTATTTCATCAATTTCGAATTAAACGTCGAAGCATTACAGAACAAGCTCAGTTGTTAGAATAGCGTGCACTTTACTGGCTCAGTCAGAATCCGGGAAAGGCCTACCTGAAGCCGGCTGTCCGGAACCAATTCGTAAGGACAACATCCCCAAAGATAAGCTCGGCATACCGAATGGTGATCGAAAGGACGTGCCGGTCTTCCTAGATATTAAAACTATGATAAGACAGATATCCTTTCTCCAAATCGAAAAAAATTTGCACAAACATGGCCAATTTGAAAGAGAAGCGTAGTACTACGAAATAAAATATTGAAAATTGGTTTTTCTTTTTTTCGATCGTTTATTTCGTTTTTTAAATTCATTACGCTGATAATGAAATAAGAGAAATCGAGAAAAAAAAAATTCGAAATATTTGTACTGACCATGCTCTTCGACGTGCTGACTGCCCATCAATTCCGCGATCATGTCGCGCATTACGTCCGTCATCTTGAGAAAAAATAAAATTAAATGCAACAGATAAGTCAATGAAGATTCAAATTTTATAAAAGTATTCAACGGTCAAAAACCACAAGGAGAATGAAATAAAAGCCATTCGAATCCAAAAATTTATCAAACAGGTACATATTTTAAACATCGACACTAAACGATCGCAGGTACAATCTACAACTAAAATCATTGTTTCTTGTTGGCCTTGTTCTCGAGCAAACGCTTTCTCAGCAAACGGCCGTACTGCGTTCCCAAAAAGGCGAGAATCAGCACTCCGACGACCAACTCGATCATCCTGTAACAGTGGAACGTTGTAGAGAAGATAAGAAATATCTGACCGGAAGGTGGTCATTCCCTGGTAGAGGTTGATAGGAACTCCTTGAGCCAAAGAAATACCTAATTCGGCTTCTTCTTTTCGGATGTCCGCCCAGAACTGTTGGGCGTTGTGCGGATAATTTATCACCAACAAGTTGTCTTTAACCTGAAAGTTTAGAATCAACAGATTTTTGACAGAGATTTTTCATTAATTTGCTCAAATATTTTTCACTAGGAACCTCAACGCATGTCACGTTTTGAGAATGTGAACATTTTCGTCGATTACAAGGAAGTGGCATAACCTTATGACCGTCAACGACGGCTCCAGGGTGCAAGAAGGCAATAGCACGGGTGTGGGAGGGAACGAATAGAATCTTCTGCACTTCTCCATTTTTTTCAAATACTTTTTGAGAGAACTCTTGGAAATCGATTCCAGTCCTTAAAAATAATAAAAATAAGGATTTTGACGGTTAATCTAACTTTTTGGAAATTTTTCATCCGTAATTCCCTCTGAAAGCGCACGATCCCCCGTGAACATTTGGGATAAGATCAGGAACGATGTAACGAAGGACAGTGAAGCAACGACGAAAACGTAAATCCTCAGTCGTCGAACTGAGAAAACGAATTATAACTGCAAAGAACAGAAAATTCAAAGAATTTTAGAAAACAATTTAACGAATTCAGTAAAACAGACGAAATTTTGACACGTAAAACATACCGGTTGCTGGATCCGGTTTGAAATCAGGTTTTGGAGCTCCTTCGCTTTGCTCCTGCTTGGTCTCTTCCCTCTCGGCAGATGTTGAGGCGTCTCCAGTTCTTTTTCCCTCGAGGGAGGCCTCATCGTTATTGAAGGTCCTGACATACCGACATTCTAGGAGAACTTGAATGTATTATTATTATCATTGCTTACCGGTTATAATAACTCTGTTGGTGGCAAGTAAACACGCGGTGGGTGAAAATGTGCTTGAATTCAAAGGTAAAAGTTCTCCAGATTTAATGGCATAAGATCTGTAGACCTGAGGAAGCTTGCACAAAGGAAACCTTTTGTTCAGAATTTTTTGAACATAAAGGATCTTCAAAGAATGCATAATAGAAATTTTAAAAGAAGAAGCGTGATATTTTCGTTTGAAATGAACAAAACAATTTTTCCATGCCGCAAAAAGGGGGCGGATTTTTTTTTGCAAATCGCGCTCTCTTTTTTTTTTTGAAGTCTTACTTGAGTGCTCACCGGAGAACGTTCTTTCTAGAACGGGAAAGCACGAAATAATAGCCTAAGCTGAAGGCTAAGGCGAACGCCTCTTGGGATGTTTTGGTAATTTCAAAGAGCTAAAGAAAGTATCAAGAACACGCTCTTCAATGGAAAACCTTACACTCACGACCTCCCTCAAGATGTCGGAGAAAAGCGAGAAATAGGCTCTTTATTTATCCAAATACTCTTCGAAACTTGGAAGGAATGTATATATTTTCAAAGTTAATTTAGATTAGAGTCTCTGTATTGTCTGTAAGACTTCTTTATATTCTCAAGTGAATTTTCCAACCGGACTCATCGCGTTCCCTGACATCTCCTATCGTATCTTTCTTCGAATGGGGCGAAATTTATTTCTGTGGAAATTGATATATATTTTTTTTGAAAGTGGAAGTTTCCGTTTGGTCTTTTAAAAAACTGGATTGATGAAGGTTTCGAGGTGAAAATTGGATTTTCTAAATTTATGAAGCTCTCTCACGGCGTTTTAAAGCGTTTTAAAGGGCACATTTTATCGCCTGCCAGTTTTTCTCTTCGCGTCCACCCTTTTTAAAACGCCGTGCTCTACAAGACATCAAAGTACATAAGCGTTCCACTGGAACATGATTAATAAATTCACATGGGTAAAACGGAAAAATTTCTTTGATGATTTTCAAAGGATCCTAAGAAAGAGCTAAGAAGGTTCCTCTAAAAGCTCCTAAAAGGATGTAAAAAAAATTTGAACCCCCTCGAATCTTTTTAGTTGCTTTCCAGCATCCTTTTTTTAAAGATGTGAAAAGGATGCAAAAATGAAATGAAATGAGATAAAACAGATTTTCTGGGGACCCTTTCATGGTCTTCTTTTGAGAAAAGCTGTTGGGGAGCTTTTCAGTTTTGCCCGAGGAGAACCTCTATGTTTCTATATTGACGAAGATCTATTGATTCTGCATTTTGTCGGTTTCGGGAAGCCTGGCTTGTACATGCGTCACAATTCAACACTCCGAGATCAACACCTGCTGCTTCGAAGTTCTAATGAGGAGACGGCATCACGCGAGAAGCCCAACGTTGCGAAAGGAACCGGAGTAAGCCATTTAGGTTGCTATAGACACGCGGCGCGCTCGGAGCCTCAAAGAGCTCATTGTGTTCGGTTGCAGTTGTATTCAGTTGGGGATTTACCGCCGAAATCGCCATGGTCAGTTGCTAGGGCCGCCTACAAAACATTTTGTAGCGAGTTGTGTCTTTAGCGCAGACTGGTTTTCTGTTTCAGATTTTGCAAAAACATCACTGGAGACTCATTTTATTCAATAAGACTTTTTTTTAAATTCATTCTTGATTACTTTTGATCTTTTAGCTGTTATCGCGACTGAGACCGAACCGTAAGAAACAGGCCGAGCAGCAGGCCAAGCGCAATGTCCAGAAAATGCCCGAGCTCGAGGATTACCTGCACAAGCGAGACTACGCTGGCGCCATCTCCCTATTAGAAGTTTGCAGCGATGTTTTAGTTGAAACCCTCTGGTTTCAGTTCAGCCAAAAGGACGGCGAGTCACAAGAGACAACGGCACTCTGGCTTGGTTTTTGCTACTTCCGAGCAGGAGATTTCAAAAAAGCCTCCGATGTGAGTAGTAGGCAGCCAGTTGAAGCTGGTTTCTTTTTGAGGTCTACGAAAACATGTTAACAAAGAAGAACGGCGGTCCTGAAGTCGGTGTCTACCTCGGGTGCTGCTTGTTTTTTCTTGGCATGTACACAGAAGCACGTGTGGCTGCAGAGAAAGGTTCTTTCCGAGAGGTTCTTTCCGGAATGAAAATATAAACAAATTTCAAAGTAAAACCTGCGAAGTTTTCCATTCAAAGGAAATCCGCCATATTTTTGTAACAAATGCAGAAATGATATTTTCAGCACCGAAAAGCTTTCTGCAAAATCGGCTTCTTTTCCATGTAGCTCACAAGTTGAACGATGAGAAACGACTCATGACGCACCACCAACAGCTCGGAGTTTCTTCGAAATATCTGACTCTCAAAGAAATTGGATATTTGCAGGATTCACTAGAGGATCAATTGTCCTTGGCGTCGATTCATTTCATGAGGATGCACTACAACGAGGCCGTCAGTACCTACAAAAACATCTTGACAACTTCTCCGTAAGATTATAATCACAAGTTTATCTGCTTTCAGGGAAACTAGTTTGACCGTAAATCTGAAACAGTTTTCATTCAATTTTTTCTCTCCGTTTAAAGGTTATAAGTAGACGTGAAGAAGGGTGTAAAAAGATCAGGAAAACCTAAATTGGAAAAGTCTTTTCAGCTCGTTGATAGCTTTGAACTTTTACATGGCAATGTGTTACTACAAAATGGATTACTACGAAGTAGCTCAGGTTCTGGAATTCATGATTTTTTTTTTTGAAAATTTCTTCACGTAATTTACAGGATGTTTTGGCTGTTTTTCTAAAAGTATTTCCGGATAGTCCAGCGGCCTTGAATCTTAAGGCATGCATAACCTATAAGGCTTATACTGGCAAGTCGGTAGTGGTGAGTTTTATATATTTATATATTTTTTTAATCCTTTGGAGATGGTTTGAATGAATGAAAAAAACTGTTTCAGACAGAAACGGAGCAACTTCTGCGGACGAACTTATATCCGGCGGCAAGAGATTTGATCCGCCACAACTTAGTCGTGTTCAAAAATGGCGACGGCGCCTTGCAGGTGCAAAAATCAATAGAAATTATTCATCTTTTTGCCTCAGGTGCTGCCTTCTTTGATGGACACTTTCCCAGAAGCACGACTCAACATGATTTTGTACTATCTGAAGAAAGGTTCGCTCCTTTTTGTGCTTTTTCATTCGAAAGTTTGAATTATACAGGTCTCATCCAGGAGGCCATGAGCCTTTGCAACGATCTCGAACCGCAGCTTCCTTACGAATTTCTCATCAAAGCTACAACTTTTACTTTTTGGGGATTACAAAAAGATTCGGTCACTTTTAGGCTCTCGCAAATAACTTGAACTCAATTGCAGAAGGATCACTTGAGGACGGCTGAGCAGTTTTTCCAGATGGTTGGAGAGTCTTCGGCGGAGTGTGGTATTTTTGGCAGTTCTGAGCATTCAAATTCACCTTTCAGACACGATACCTGGCAGACAGAGCATGGCTTCGACTTATTTTCTTCAGCAAAAGTTCGATGAAGTTCTTCTGTACATGAATTCTATAAAAGTAGGTCACAAACTAACTTTTAATGGACTGCTCATTCAAATTTTCTTTCTTTTTGAGGGCGTACAATCTCAAGAAAAAACTCCGAGTTGGGAAAAGTATCTTTAGACAGAAATAACGGACAGTTTTATTTATGTGGAAACTGAGCTAATCAATTATTTTTAAATGCCAGCTGTTATTTTTTTTCAATTAAAAATTGGAAAAAAATAACAGCTGGCATTCAAAAAAAGTAATTATTTTCTTATAAAATGTTTCTCAGGAGTATCACCAACAAGACGACTTGTTCTCTTTGAACTTCGCCCAGGCGCTGCTCATGGCCAAACAGTACAAAGAGGCCGAAGAGGAATTTTTGAAGGTGACAGGTCCCGAGCGCGACAAACCGCTTTACAAACTCATGCTGGCCCGATCACGCAAGTCTTTTTTTCTTTTCCATAGCTCAATCATTGCTTCCAGTGATTTTCAACAAAAAGCCTCATTTCGCTTGGGATTTGTTCGTGAAGACTTCCGACCAGAAAGACGCGTTGGGGTTGATGAGAGTGATAGCTCACGATTGCTACAAGGTTTTCTAAATTATGATAAGAAAATTCTTGTGAAAAGGTTCAAAAAAGTTTTACTTTATTGAATGTTTGTTTAAAAAATAAACGATTTCTGCAGTTCGAGCGCAATTTTCTCTTCGAAATATCCGAAGATCACGCCTTTTTCTGTCTTTTGGCTTACTCTTCATCCCATTATCACCTACCAAAGAGTCCTGTGGAAACGTAGAAAAATGCTTTGCAGGTTGGTGAGTATTATTACGCTGCCAAGGCCTACGATCAACTTGAGAAAGCAGACCCATCGCCGGAAAACTGGCAGGTTTCCTTCAGAGAAACTTCTTAGATTTCTAAAACTTCCAAATTTGAGGGAAAACGCGGCGCCACAGCCGGCTTGTTCCACCATCTGGCTCGAGGCAAATGCACCCCGTGTGTTCAAAACTTTGATGTTGATTGAAATTCAAAATTTCAGCGAACAGATGCATGAGGTGCTGTTGTTAGTGGAAACAAGTCACCATCCTCACGCGGAATTTCTGGCAAGCGTCATTCGAAAATGGGCAAAGAATCACAATATCAAGCTAGAATAAAATTAGAGTTATAATAAACCGGTCAATTTTTCAATTTGGTTAACAAAGAAATGAAATTGAGGATTTTTTTCATCTCGAAATAGAATTTTTTTCCTATTAATTCACATCGAAAATTATAGAAAACTACCGATTTACTAAAAAAATTTTTTTTGGCCTATGAGTTCGGTGGATAAGGTGTGGATGGCTTTAAACTGCGCCATTTATTATTTTTCGAGAGCCAATGGAGGTTGCTTTCAATCTAATTTTAGAAAACAGCAATTGATTCAAAAGGCCAGTACTTGCAAAGAGAAAATTTTGCAAGTTGAGTAATTCAGAACATTTAAAGATTTGACGAGTTTTTCAGTGGATTTTCAGAAATGGATAAACATTTGAGTACAAAGAAACATATGTTCAGCTCCGCTTCATTCCATAAGTTGGAAGTATTTAATATTTTTGAAATGTGAATTTTACCATCAAGCCAAAACTTCGAAAAAACGGCGGATCGCGTCCTGAACCACTTGATAACCTAATCAGTAAGTAGGCGAAAACATCCGCGAAAAGCCAACTGGTTGACCTGATTGTTCGGTATAAAAGCGGGTGTAGTAGAAGGGTAGACAGTCGTCAGCCACAATGGACAAGGACGAGCAGCAGGCGCAGATGCGGCGCGTCGCCTTTTTCGCCATCGCCGTGTCGACCGCCGCCGTCGTCTCCTCCATCATCACCTTGCCCATGATCTACAGCTACGTTCAGAACTTCCAATCTCATCTTCTCTTCGAAACTGACTTCTGCAAGGTTGGAGATTTTTAGAGTTAGAACTGTAACTTCAAATGAACAACATCGAGATATTTCATTCTCGAATTCCAAAAATATCAAGTTTTCACATGTCTAAAACATTCTTACACGGGAAGTGCAAAAGGTCGAGGTATTGGAATTTAATGAAACTTGGTATATAGGTACTTCCGAACACCCTGAATCCAAAGCAGTTGAAAAAAAGTGCGCCTTTTTGGTTCTAGTCGAGTTAGGGCGCCTCAAAGTTTGCACGCAAAAAATGCAGGGAGGAAGGGAGGAGGGAATGTGTTGCGGCGGCTAACTCTAGCTGTCAGCAGGCGGCGTGGTGTAGTGGCTAGAGGCCTTGCGCTGTGAAACCTGTGATGCAGGTTCGGTCCCTTTTTGGTAAAATTTTTTTTGCCATTTTTTTTTATTTGAAAAATGAGGAAGTTTTGATGATGGACTGAAAGAACAGCTCAAAATTTTGAAATTCACCATTTTATGCCCATCTGAGAAAGAATTTCGACAAAAAATTTTTTTGCTCCATTTTCCTTGCCTAACCATAAGGCTTATGGTCGACCCATTCCTTCAAAAAAATTTCTGATGAACCAATAAAATCAAATTTTTATGAGATTTATTCTTCTTTCCTTTGTTTATGACGTTATGTGTTGAAAGCTGTGAATCAAAGTCCAGCTTCACTTCATTTTCGCAATCGAGATGATATGGCGATGCTGCAGGGAAGGAAAAAAAAAGACAAGGAAAAGGGTTAACTAACCCCATCTTTGAAGAAAAAAAGTTTTTGATTAATAAGAATAGAAGCATAGAACTACAACAAGTTGTTATTTATGGCATAAAACTATGAACTCTCGCAAGAATAATCACGACGCCCAAATTTCCTGCACAGAGCATGACAAAAAAAGACTAAAAAGTTTTTTGTTGAAAGTCTTTCTCAAAACGACATAAAAATAGTAAATTTTAACACTTTGAACAGTATTTTTCGTTCCATCTTCAAAAATTCATCAATTTTTTTGAAAAACTTCATGGCAAAAAAAATTTTACCAAAAAGGGACCGAACCTGCATCATAGGTTTCACAGCGCAAGGCCTCTAGCCACTACACCACGCCGCCTGCTGACAGCTAGAGTTAGCCGCCGCATCACATTCCCTCCTCCCTTCCAATGCATTTTTTGCGTGCAAACTTTGAGGCGCCCTAACTCGACTAGAACCAAAAAGGCGCACTTTTTTTCAACTGCTTTGGATTCAGGGTGTTCGGAAGTACCTATATACCAAGTTTCATTCAATTCCAATACCTCGACCTTTCGCACTTCCCGTGTTAGAAGGCTCTTTGTAGCGAGAAACCGTTTTCGACATCGAAAGTTTGGGTCCACAAAACGGGGTTTGATGAAAAGAGTTTGCAGACGCGCGCACGCGACATGTGGGTCGAGATGCAGATTCTCTACAAGTCGGGAGCGCCACGATCCAAGCGCGAAGCTGGTACGTGGCTCTTCGGTCAGTACGTCCCAGATGGCGGTGCTGGTGGCGGTACGCCTGACCGAACTCCTCATCTCCAAACACGTCGACGATTCAGGTGGCGGCGAATACGCTCAAGGAGGTGGTGGCGGAGGAGGAGGCGGCAGTGGTGGCTACGCTTCTGTCAACGCTGAGCCTGGACCCGCTTGCTGTCCATGCCAACAAGGACCAGCAGGACCCCCGGGACCTCCTGGAGACGAAGGTTGCTTCATATCAAAAAATGAGTTCAACACTGAAAACATAGGACCGCACGGCAACGATGGACATCACGGATCCCCAGGAGCCCCTGGCAAAGAAGGACAAGTCCTTTCTTCTGCTTTGCCGCCAGCTGAACCTTGCATGATCTGTCCTCCAGGACCTCAAGGAGCTGTCGGCATGCAAGGACCAAAAGGACCGCCAGGACCAAAAGGAAAGTCTGCCGAACGCGCCGCCGATGGCAAACCAGGAGAGCCAGGAATGATGGGACCACCAGGACCTCCGGGAGGTTTGTTCTACGCTTTGTGTACTTTCTGTGCAGTCAAGTATTGTAGGAGTCGGAGAGCCAGGACCAGCCGGTCCTATTGGACAACCTGGTCGAGTCATCCAAGTCAACGGACCAGCAGGACCAGCCGGACCACGTGGAGGAAAGGGACCAGCTGGACCAAAGGGTCTGCCTGGTATCGCTGGTCTGACAGACGGCGGACCACCAGGACCACCTGGAGATCAAGGTGGACCGGGTCCTGCTGGATTCCCAGGACCACAAGGACCTGCAGGCCCGCATGGACCACCAGGTTTGTTGAACAGTCGGTGAACAGCTGAACGAAAAAGCTTCAGGAGACGAAGGCTCATGCGACCACTGTCCAGAGCCGCGCACACCTCCAGGCTATTAAGATGGCCCGCCGAACGTCTTCGGTGCTTCTGCTGCTGCGAATTTGAACATTTGGTTGTCGACTCAACAATAAAGCTCAACTCGCTCGTTTTCCGCGTTTCTGTACAAAAAAAAAAGAATTTTCTTATCAGTGTGGCTCGATCAGAGTTGGTTTGCCTGGCGCACAGTTCCAAGCGAACGATTGGCTTTTTCAGCAAAATTACAATGGAATGAACAAAATTTTTCAGATGTAAATTTGAAATTATCAGTTGAACTTTGAATCAGCTCGATGTCTAATTTTTGCGCTTGATTTTTCAAACTTTTTCATCATGTCGTCAATTTAAATGAGGTGGATAAATAACAAGACATCCATTTGATAAATATCTATTTTTTCTTTCTTTTCAGGCCCACGTCTTCTTATGGCGTTCCAAAATGCAAAGGAACAGCAAAATAAAAGGAAAGTGTAGTTTAGTGTGAGGCCAACTGACTCCCCTCCTCTTGTCGTGGGTTGTGAATCGATCCAAGCCACGCCCATACACTTTTCGGCGCCTTTTCCCTTCTTTCTGTTTTGTTTTGGTATTCTCTCATTCATTCAAAATTAATATTTTAAAATCAACTAAATTTAAGATATTTAGCTCGAATTATCGCCAAGAGAAGTTTTTTGTCGAAGTCAGGATGAGCAGCAATGTCGGCAAAGGCGAGCCTCTTTTTTTAATTTTTCTTAATTTCGCTTTTAAGAATTTTTTGAATTTATTTTTGCTCATGAACATTTTCATGGAGCTGTACACAGCCATAAAAATAGTTTTAAAACCTGAAAAATGCCCTCTGAAATATTTTTGTAAACGAAGTTGAACATGTCTTTTCAGCCCTTAGAAAACATCTCTTTCCAGCTTAAAATATAAATTTAGATTGCGTTTCACAAAAACTCCGTTATTTGCAAGTCGAAAAAAATGTTCTAGAGTTTTTTTAATATAAAAAAACGTTTGTCCCACTAGTTGTTTATTTTTCAATTTTTCCGGCAGCGTTTAGAAAAAAACGAGTTTTTGGATCGTTTATCTTTCAGTCAGCCCGTTTTGATTATTCCCCGCGTTTCGCACCATAACAAAAAGATAAGAGGACAGTGTTCAGCTGCTGCGCAGAAACTTTCGTTTCAATCCACTCGAAAATGACTTCGATGAAGCGAAACAGAATGAAAGGCTGCACTCGAGAAATTGTAACCGCAGCCTCTCGAAAAAACAATGTTTGAGTCGGACAACTTCCGTTTGTTCTGTGCGCCAAGCCCGGATAAGGCCTCAGGCTGTTGTAAACATTCATTTCGTGACGGAAGTGAGGCTAAAAACCTAAAGATTCCGATCTAATAACTCGGTCAACAAGAGTAAAACATCATCAATGAACAGTTATTGTGAAAGAGGCTAATTACACTTCTCTATTCAACATCTTTTGGAAGTTTTAAAGTGTTTATTTCAGTACGACGACTGCGGATCCAAGTTGAGCCTGTAGATGTGGAGCTAGACGAGGACGACGGTATTCTCTGGACCTCACTTCAAACCGCTTTCCCAGGTCTTATTCCACTTCTTTTTTCAGTAGTATCAAACAGCTCTCCACCTCTTCCTGTTGAAATGTTGGAATAGAGATGTTAACCTGAAAATTTTGCAAACGATGAAATGTTCAAAACGCGATAAAACTGTTTGCCGCTCGCATTACTTATCGGTTTCGCATCTTTTTTTCCTCGTAGAAATTCGATCGGACAACTTTCTTATCTTTGAATGATGAAAGGCTTGATGGTTTTCATTTTTCGGATGGCATCGAAAATTAAAATAAATTCACTCACCGCTAAAATGGGAAAAACAACTCAACGAAGACTTGTTCTTCGCTTACCGTGTCCAAATCGTTATTAAATATTGTGATCAAAGTAAAATTCATGCAAAAATCCAAAAATTCAAATGTTTTCAAATTTCGTTGAAGCAATCTTCGTTAAAAGCCTACTTCTTGTCCTCTAAAAATATGCTCACGGCCAAATTTTTTCGTTGTTCAAAAACAACCAACTGTTTGCAGGATGCTCGGGAATGTTCTACAGGGAAAAGGACGCCGACTGCAAGAGCGCCGTGCGTTTCGACGGAAAAAAGTTTCAAGCTCCAGGAGGGGCATGGAACGACCGCGACTACTTTGTCACGCTGAGTCAGTCTGAAAATCGGACGGCGGCGACGCTTTTTTGGTTTGAGGCCAGCGATGCCACGCGTCAATGAACGGTCTGAGTGGCCAGAATGTGAGCAACTACGAACTCGCGACCAAGCAGTTTGAGCGATCTGTGCACGCCGTCCAGAGAATGCTCGCTACTTCCAAAGTGACTCCCTACGGTGAGGTTTCCTTACTTTGAAACGATAGTCATAAGTCTTCTCTTTATCAACCTAAACATTTTTTTCAATTTAAATAGTTTTATTTTATCTTAACTATTCTCTTTTTCAGATCTTTCGCATCTCCGAAAACACTACAAAGAGAGGCAAGATAATGCAGATATGAAGCAGTTGGAAGAAAAAAGGATGACTGCGGTCGTTTCGGTAGAGCCCGTTGTTCACATTGAGCATTCACAAAAGTCCGCCGCGTCTCCTCCAATGGTCGACGACCCAATTCAAGTGAGCAGGCCCATGAAAAGCGGGCAGGATTGGGAGAAATAGTACCCAATCAATAAACTTTGTAGCGAGTCTTTTCACTTCCAGGAAAGAACTCGTTTGTTGAGCTCACTTGAGCGACAGCTCACGCCAATCGAACAGCAATTCGTCGACCTTGCCAGAATCTCCACAGCCAAGGACTCTATCATAGACGCGCATCGAACCGAAATCGGACGCCTCAACGATCAACTGCGACTTCTCGAAAAGTATTACTGTTCAAACAGACATTTTATTATATGTAGGATGTTTGAGGGACTTGAAGACGAAAGAAGGAAACCTTTCCGACGCCGAAGCCCTCATCAAATCTCAGGAAGAGGAGCTCCATTTGCTTCGAGGCTTGGGGCGAGAGTATGCAACTTCCACAGAAAAAGTTCGATCAGCTTTCGGAAAACAGTTGAAGTTTATTTTAAGATTAAAACGTTGGAGGAGCAGCTGAATAAGAATGAGAAAGACCTCAAAGATTTGCAAAACCGCCTTGATGCCTCCACAGACAGAATAAAAGAGCTCGAAACGGTGTAAGCCTTCTGTCAATATTTTGCGACGAAAATATAATCAAATTACTCTAGAAATGAAAACCTGCAAGCAAGACTGGAAACGAGCACGAACAAGTTGTTCGAACTGGATGAGATGTTGCAAATCGCCCAGTCGTCGAAAGAACTCTTGATGAAGGTTTAGCTCCTTCCAAGCTTCAACTCACCGCCTTGTAGGAGCTGGACCAACTCCGACCTCTGGCCGACTCGATAGGTTTAGACGACGTGGAAAACGTGCCGACCTACGTTGAAGCTATATCTGGTCTTGAAAGGCTTCGGGACGAACTCGCCAAAGTGACCAATGAAGCGACGGAAGTGAGAAGCGCATTTGAAGATCTTCAAGCCGTACATGGACCTGTTATTGAACAGAACTCTTCTCTGACGACCAGGTTATTCTCAAAGACTCGATTCATCTTTTTTTTAATTCCAGAAATAAAGAACTTGATGCTCGAGTGGCGAGGATTGACGAAGAAATGCATAAACTCAACGATGATTGGAAACGAAAGTTCGACGAAAAGCAAAGCGATTGGGGCTTGTTGGTAAGACGAGCCGTTGGAAAAATAGAGAGGAAAGATTCGAACTGCAGAAATCAGAAGCCGAGACGGAGGTGGCTTCGTTGCGACAGCAAATGTCGCAGCTTCAGTTGATTCTCGACGCGGCGAGTCGCGACGCAGCCGATAACGCTCGGAGGTCTGCAGATCCGCTAGTGTTCTATTCACTTCACTAATATTTAATTCTTTTTTAATTGTAAAAATAATGAACATGAAGTTTTCAACGCTTTGAAAACCAGCTAATCGTCAAGAAAACGTGATAATTTTCCATAATTGAGAAAAAGATTTGCATGTCGCTAATTTAAATGATTTGGGCTCCTCCCGTTGTATTATAAGTAACAGTCATATACTAAAAACCGAACCCGGTACTCCTATCGAAATTGCTCAATAAATTTTTCTTCACTTTATTTCTTGCAAGAAATCAAAGAATGTTGAATGCGAAATGAAAATTATATAGGAGAAGACTTTTTGAGAAAAATAACCAGAAAGACTTCTGAGCTCGTCGCTTGTGAACTGAATTTCAGCTTTCGCAGGAATTTCTCGTCTATTATGAGGAAAAAAGACTAAATTGTGCAAAACCAGAACGTATATAGAGCACTAGAGGGAGAATTGTCTGAAATGATGCATTGCAGGGTGGATGAACTGACAGCGGAGAAGTCGGAGCTAATACGCGCCGCCGAACTCTCCGAGATCAAAGGACAGGTCAGCAGCAAGCGGGCTCTGTGGTCTTCTTTGCGCTTCTGACCGTTTCGTGTCCACTCACTGTCCGTCTCTAACTCATTTGCACAGCTTCCAGGTTTTCTGATGAGAACTCGGATGTTTGTTCTTTCGAGGACTTCTATGGGCTTTGTAATTTTAAAAAGTAATATCGAAAAGTGCCTTTTTCGGAATCAATTTATAAATATTCTGCAGCGAAGCGATAAATACACATAGTTTGAGTTGAAAAACAAGAACTCTCGCCGAAACATTTTTTCTCTAAGGTCGCTTCAAGAAACGAACACCAACAAATTTTTATATGAACATATGCAAAAATTAAAGCTATGAAAAGATAAATGCGTTATTTTTTGAACTTTTAAGTTGATCAGTTTTGAAGTAAAGAGAGAGCATTTCTTGAAGAATTTCCATAGGCCAGTGAAACTGAGCTTGTGATAATTCAAATATTATTACTATGAGACTACTCCGAACCTTTCAGCTTCTATCTAATTTTCTTATTATAGCAAGAAAGAAGAGATACGTAGGCGATTTCAAATTATCATTTCGAACTCTTTGAGTTTATCCCAAACACCGCGACTCCACATCTTTGCAACCTCGTCTTTTGTCGTTGTGATATTGTTTCCTAAATAAACGTTGGCGTGGATTATCTGTTTGCTCACTGCATGGCTGATTTCTCGTGAATCACTCAAAAAGATGACGAATGCGATTTGAAGGAGTCGCTGAAGCGGCAGGTGCGGAACCTGACGGAGGACCTGCGTGAGGCTGAAGAACGCGTCTCCGAACTGTCAGGCCTCGTCGCCTCGCTCGCTTCCGAGGCCAACAACAGTCGTCGCGACATCACAGATCTTCTCTAATCTTTCTTCCTGTTTTACTGAAACGCGGTTTTCGAATTCATAAATACCGGTCTTCTCGGATTAAATTAGAAAAGAATTCACACTACAAGATCGCTTTGAAGAAGGATACGACGACTTTTGAAAGTCCGTCACAAATCCTTAAAATTGAATGCCACAAAGACCCGTGAATCCTAGTATTGCCATACAAAGTAAGGTTAATGAAGCGACGTGAAAATCAAAAACTTTACTCGCTTGTTTCATTTTGCTAACAGTGTCAATAATTATAAACACTATTCAAAAATTATGAGAAAAATAAAAAAAGGGGAAATTTCAGGCAATAAAGAGTTATCTCAAAAAAATGACAAAAAGTTGTTTTTTTCAATTTATCTCTTACCTAGCATTACCATCAAAATGAATAAATTGAATAATGAGAAAAAAATTCTGAAAAACCGAAAGGAGATGAATTTATCACCTCCGATTTCAGAAAAAGATATCTTTAATATAAAAAAATCCTTCATTTATAAAAATTAAGAGAAGTATGCAATATCGTATCAGTTTTAGTGCCTACTGAAAGTTTCGAAATTTGGATATGAGACATTCAAACTTTCTGAAATTTGAATGGGAAATGAAAAGTTTTCTTGAGATATCTGAAAGTCCCCCTGAAGCGAAATGGCAACAAAGGCCGCGAAACAGGCCATCGGCCCTGAGGCAATCCGAGGTTGACGCCGTTTAAGGCGAAATGCGATTGTGTGATTAATGATAACGTTATCGAGTTGCGTCCACTACTACACGGCTTCTACGTATAGACGTGCCACGTGCCGCAGCCAACTTTCTCATTATTCTCTAATTTCGAATCTGTCAAAGCCTGATGATTCTTGTTTTTCCCCGGGCTTCGCGCCTGTTGCAGCCGGAAAACCTCAATAAAACGCCAGATAAAAGCACATAAAAGGACCGTTTAATTGATCAGCGATAAGTGTTAACGAGCTGTTAACGGTCTTTTCAATCTCCTTTTTCTTAGATTTTGAGAACTAAATCGGGAAGCGAAAGTACTTGGAGAGATAGGTTTTATGGTGAGGAGAGAAACATCAAAGAAAGGTCATTTGAAATCGTCTTCAAAGCTCTTGCTGAAAAGATCAACAAAGAAGCTTGAGATGAACGTGTCCACTCGTTGACCAACTTCCTTGCGGGTCACCCTTTCTGATATCTATTTCCTGGAGCAAGTCGACGAAAGAAAAAATCAACGCCCCGGAATCAAGACTAATTTTTGTGCAGTTTCTCTCGATGAAGAAATTTTGATTCGACTTTGAATTTTCCTTTTCTTTTTCATGTACTCTGCTGTCACCATGTTTGAACGGTTGGCATGTAATTGGACAATAAAATCGCAGTTAAGGACAAAAAATGAGAAACGTAGCGCTTTGCTGTTATCACCCACAGGTCCGGGGCAAAATTCCACGTTATTCAGTACCATCGATTAGAGTTTCTGCCCATTATTCATTGTTCGTGACATTCTTTTTGATTTTCAAAAGATCCGTCCCATCAGAGATAAATCTTTTCCGTTATAAATTTCAGAATTTATAATGATTTTTCCTCGTTAAAAAATTTTTTTCTATGCGAACCTTTCTTGCCCGAATCTCTTCATTAATTTCACAAAAATAATGAAAAATAAGCTTTCACTACTTCTCATTTACCCGTTTTTAGTTTTCTTGAAAAACAATCCGATAGGATTTTTGTAGAAAAAACGACACACAGTAAAATATTTAGCTACACCTTTCAGAGTAACTTGTCAAAATTCTCCTTTATTGCTTTCCAATCGTTTTTTCCTTTTTCTAAAACTCGTTCTGTTATTCTTTCTTCACTTTTTGTGATCTCGTTAGTACATGCCTACTAAGACTAGAGATTATTAGTTGTCTTATCAAAAGTTTTGCCTCCATCAACGGTGATAGTAGCAAGCGCGAATCGGAACTAAAGAAAAAAAAAATGAGATCTGCATTTTGTTTTTATTTCGGGCGGGCCTAAGAAACTCACTTTTGACTCAATTAGCCGTCAAGAATGTTTTTATGAACCAATATTTTTCAGGCCAAATGAACTATTCTTCGTTCGACTTTGAATATGATATCCTAACCTTCCGAAAAACTCAAAACCTTTCTTTGTAAACGTTTGGGACAAAAAAATTTTTTACTAACGTTATTCTTTAATTTTACTTTTTGAAAAAAAAACTTTTTTATTTTTCTCTAAAACGGAAAACTGATTGAATGACTTTATAAAACTTCGTGTCTCAGGCTGGGAAAGTTTATCGCCGCAGTGAATTTAGAGACTTCAGTAGTTAAACCAATGGCGGTGGGGAAAACATGGTTTTGCGTGCTAATCGTGGCGACGTGCATCTACACGGCCAGCGTTTTCGCCGCCGAATGCAAGGAAGAAGAGGTCGGACTCGTCTTTTCCCTGAAGGGACTTCTCAAGTGCAGGAAGAAGAATATCCTTCGCGATACCCCATCGCCCTTTTCAACTGGAAAGAAGTCAGAGTCCCGATGACCATTTCGCTTTGGCTCATCGTCGCCAGCATCGCCAAAATCAGTACGTTCCTTGAGGTTTCGGGTTCTTAGGATCTTATTAACAGAAGCTGAAGCCTTAATTATGATAACAGAACAAAAATAAAACTTTTGCAGTCTTCAACATCATTCCACATCTCAACGAAATGTTTCCTGACTCGGCGTTGCTCATCATGATCGGCCTCATCATTGGGATTATCTTCAAAATAGCTGGAGTTAGCAGAGTATGGATTTGACATTATTCCAACTTTGAAGTGCTACATTTGCGCCTAATACCGAGTTTATGACAGAACGCGTTTTTCTTGGAAAGCGAGGTCTTCATGCTGTATCTTCTGCCGCCGTTAGTTTTTGATGCCGGTCTGTTTAGAGACTATCCAATTGGAATACTCTTGCATACATAAGTTCAGGGTACTTCATGCCTGCTCGTCAGTTTTTCGACAACTTCGGATCCATTCTCTGTTTCGCTATGATCGGAACCACCTTTAACATCGTGGCGATAGGTAACATGCTTTTTCGCGTTTTCGTAGCCTCTTGAAATTGCAGCTTTGTCGCTGTGGGCGATCGGCCTCACCGGACTCTTCTCCGTAGAAACTCCATTGGTCCACATGCTTTTGTTCGGTTCCGTCGCCGCTGATGTCGATCCTGTTGCCGTCATAGTCATTTTCGAAGAACTTGGGGTCAGTCTTTTCCATAGAGTCCTTCATGTATTGCGGATGAAATTTAAAAACTTGCAAAAACACTGCGGCGGGCTAATTGAAATCTTCAATTGCTTTTGACAAACCTATATCGTATAAGCAAAAAGTAGTTACATATGCGCTTTCATTGAAGACCTGCAAACTTCAAACTTTGTCTGCCCATTATCTCTCGTGGATCAGAAGAAAGTATTGAACGATTCTGGATTCCTAGGTAAACGATGTTCTTTTCATCAGCGTCTTCGGCGAGTCTCTGCTGAACGATGGTGTTGCCGTGGTTCGTCAGAATCTTCCTAAACTGCGTACTGGAGAAACTCAGGTGCTCTACCGCATGTTCCTGGTTTTTTCGGAAATCGGCCCGGAGAATCTCATAACTTCGGACTACATCAACGGAGGCGTATCTTTTCTGGTGGTCGCGTTTGGAGGCATTGCCATCGGCCTCGTTTTCGCCTTCATTGCAAGCTTCATTACCAAGTATGTCGGATATTAGAATTGTTATTTTATTCTGGAATCCCGTGAGTGTAAATACTTCCAGATATTCTCGAGAAGTGAACATTCTGAACCCAGTCTTCGTCATCGTTCTGCCGTATTGCTGCTACCTTTGTGGCGAAATGTTTGGCCTCTCTAGTATCATGGCGTAAGTTCGTTAATTCCTTCTGGATTAACTCATTTCTCAGTATCGTCTTCTGCGGTGCTGCCATGAAACAATACATTAAAGAGAACGTCCCGGAGAAATCAGCCATCGCCATCAACTACTTCATCAAGGTCTATCAGTGATTTGGTCTCGATGTAAAACATACTTTATTAGGTGCTCTCGCTCTCCTCTGAGACGGTCATTTTCGTGTTCCTGGGACTTTCAACCGTATCTTCCAACCATCACTGGGACACACCGTTCGTCGTTCTGACAGTCGTTTTCTGCTTGATCTACAGAACATTGGGAGTCGTCGTCATGTGCTACATTCTCAACAAGTATCGGCTTAATAAATTCACCAAGGTGAACGAAAATATAGACAGAGATAGAATTTGCTCCAAGCTTCGAAGATGGTTCATAACAAACGGAAAATACTCAGGTGGATCAATTCATTATGGCTTACGGTGGTCTGCGGGGGGCCATCGCCTACGGTCTCGTAGTGGCCATTCCAGACTTCATTCCAGCCAAAAACATGTTCGTCACCAGCTGCATTATCGTCATTTACTTTACTGTCTTTTTACAAGTTTTTGAACCCAAAAAAATTGAGTAGAACAAAGAATTGCAGGGCATAACTCTCAAGCCAATAGCCGAGTTCCTGCAGGTCGAGAAGAAAAATGTCCACAAGATGAACATGACTGAGCACATCTACCACGAGGTATGATTTTCTCATAAAGTTCGTGTTCAACCGTATAAAAGTATAGCTGATTGACTACACCATGGCCGGTATGGAAGACATCGCCGGTTTCAAAGGACACCACTGGATTCGAGACACGTGAGTTACCAGAAAAATGCTGCCTTTTTATGAAATTTTTTTTCAGGTGGCAATATGTGAACAACACCTATCTGAAGCCTATCCTAGTCAACAAAGAGAAGATGAAGCAAATGGACAAGACCAAGATTGTTAGAGCATTCAAGCAGCTACAACTGCAAGACGTCAAAGATTTGGTGAAAGTGAGTTTTAATTGTTCTAGAAAAAAAGGCTTAATCGATCACAGGGCGGAGGTGACTTCGCACGAAACCAAGTTTTCGTGCAGGCACTGATTGACCACACTCGCAGCCGAGCCAACACATTAGGGTGATCAGAGAATTGAAAGGACAAAGAAACTTTGATAACTTTAGAAATCACTCTGAATCTGCAACACACATACATATCCAGCGTCAAATCAGGGTCAGTCCAAAATATTGCAGAGAGAAAATTGATGGACCTCTCAAAGGAGAGGGAAAAACATGTACTCCTCTTTCAGGAGCAACATGGAATCTCAGTATACGATAATCACGAGCAAATGGGACGTCGACAAACGGGAGATTTTGGAAGGAGTCCTCCACAATACAATTTACCCGTGTGACAGTAGAGCACTTATTTAGTTGTTTATACTTTTTCTGTTATATGTACATTTATTTCATATAAAAAACTATGATACATTAACAGAGGAACAAAACTACGTGATGCTCTAAATGGTGTCTAGAAAAGAACTACCGCAAGTCCTATACAGCTCTTCTACATAACCAGACTAGTACAGAAGAAAATATGAAGCAAGATGTGTACACGCCTTTTCAAAACGGCCGATCCAACAGGAAAAAAAAGGTTTTAGTAAAAAAGATTACAGATCGCCGACCTTGGCTCGAATTTCCTCGATTGACTTGAGTGGAAGGCCACAAGCAAAGTTTTCGCAGATGTAAACAGCGGGAGATGGACCATGCGCCATTGCTGCGTGAGTCTCGGAGCCAGAAAGAAGAGGATCTAAAAATTTGTGTTCTCAATTTGTTCTCTCAAAGGCAGCCCACCATCGGGATTTATCTGTAGCGTAGAAGCGTTCCAAATAAACTTATTGTCGACGATCTTTCTAACTTCTCGAGAAAAATCAGAGTTTTCAGAACTAACGATAGCGATCTTAAAATGCGGAGTTTTTGAGAGAAATCAAGATTGGGCCTCACAGTGACTTCTCCCAACTGAGATCTGCGGTTGGCCATCGCCAAAACAGGAAGAGAGAACGAGTATCTGCATAAATCCATACACTAAAATATTCAAGGAAAACGAAACTTATTCAGTCGCTCCGCAAACGAAGTGAAACATTTGGCCGCTTTCTCACGGAGTTTCTCATCTTCGAAAATCGCGTAAAGACGCAGCAAATTACCGGCTGCCACAGAAGTCGCACAGGGCTCAACATTGTCCTGATCTTCAACAAAGTTCGATAATTACACGCAAAAATGTTTCTGAACTAACCTTCTATTAAACGGACACTTGTACCTTCATGCGCATTCTCTTCGCCCAAGAAGAATCCGCAATTGTTTTCATGATCCCAGAACTTTTCAATCTGTAAGCATGTACTCGAAAACTTTCTCTTTTTGTTATTCAAACCATTTTTTCTTGAAGATCTCTTGCTTTTTGAGCAATTTTCGAATCCCCATTGACGTCGTAGACATCAAGGAGGCCTCGAATCAAAAAAGCGTAATCGTCCGAAAACGCAGCAATGGATTCTGGACTAAAAAGGTTCATTTGGAACAAAAAGTATACATAGTGCGAGTATAACTACTTGAACGATACGCTTGGAAAAAAATAATCTAACAGCAAAAAAAAGAAGAAAAAAGACTTTTGAATTCGAGGCGTATGTTATTAAAAATGAGTCAATTATAGCTAACAATTTCAATTTTCTAACTTATAGAAAATTTTTGGGCAATTTTTCCATATTTTCAAAAATTAAGGTCATTTTTTATTTTGAAAACTCCTTTTTCTCTCTTTCATATGGTGATACATGCGTATCATTTTCTGAAAAAACGCATTCTAATCTAAATCGAACCCCTTCTCGACTTGGCCAGACTCAGAACGATAAACGGCGCGGATCAGATTTCCGTGAGAATCTTTGGCATTATTCTCGACAAACTTCAAACATTTAAGGGCCCTCTCAAGCAGAGAATCGTCAGAAAGAGCTCGAAAAGCCTGAAAAACGACAAAGTGAAAGCGACCGGATAGAAAACGACCTTGACAAAGCCGGTGATTGCGAGACCTTGCCACGCCGTCAGCATTTTCGAGTCCAAGTGAGGGAGAGGCCGAGTCTTGCGGATTTTCAGCAGTTTTTGCTTTAAAAAAGTCTTGATATAAAAATCCTGAGTTCTTTCTGAAAATTTCCAACAAATCTTCAAAGTTCCCCAGAAACTAAACAAATTATTACTTTCACTGAAGTTTGACGAGGCCATTCATTTTTTTCAATCGACCATGAATCTTACATGGGTAAATATCATACGAGACCTATACTTAATCTTTCAAATATTGTTAAAACAAATTGATAGAAAAATAGTGTGAAAACATAAATCTTGATTCTGCTCTTCTACTAGTAAATCTTCAACTTATAGACGTTAGTCACAGTTGTGTCCAAAAAATCCCACAATCTAAAAAGAAAACGAATTTCGAAACTTAAAAATAAATTGCATGAATCGTTCTTTCAAAAACAAAAGCAAACTTTAGCGAGCTCAATGCCGGGGAGAAGATCCTCTACTGAGATACCGAGGATGTCGGCGCATTCAGTGTCACTGTGCAGACGTCGGAGTACGTTTTTATTCGTGAGCTCTCCGTGTGGGTCCTGCAAAAGGCAGTTTTTTCAGAAAAAAAGTAATAGCGCTGATTTTGATTTCGAAGAATAATCACCAATCGTCGAGATACGTTGCCGTTCTCTTCAACATCGAAATACACACTGAAAGCTTCGGCCGCCGATGTCGAACCGACTTTCATGCCAGACAGTATATCCTCAACCTGAAAATAGACAGTGAGCCCCAACTGTGTCATTTGTTTCATCAATGAAAACCTCTTTCTTTTCCCAGACGCAAAAAGCGCCCTCTTTTTTCTTTTCAGCCCCGTCAGAAGGTAACGAATCGGCGTCTTCGGCTGCATAGAAACCGCCATCCTGAGAAGAGATGTTAGAAAACAACTAAGGAAGACCAAACGGGATGGCTCAGACAGTCGTTCATGTAGTCGGCGACATCGCGGATCGTCCTGGCGACCTCTGGATTCTCCTTCCCGCAAAGTCTGTAGAAGTCAGAGTAAGTCGCCAACAGCTGCGACTGGTCGTAGAGCATCTTCTCGAAGTGGGGCACGTGCCATTCGGAATCCACGGAATAGCGATGGAAGCCCTGGAAAGTTGGTTTACCGTTCTTCTCGCTATCTCACAAGTACTCGAAATATTTCGTTATCTGACAAGGAAATAAGGAATTACCTTTCCAACGTGGTCGTGAATCCCACCACGGCTCATCTCGTCCAAAGTTACCTTCAGCATGTGCAAACAATTTTCCGCTCGTTCAGGGTCGCTTCTGAATTTCCATATGAGACGGATGATATAGTTTCTCAAAACTTTCTGTACCAGGCTGCAGAGGCAATCAAAAAGTCGAGATCGCCTTAAAATATCAAATAACGGAGAGGTGAACTACACAGTCATACATGGCTTGGGGAATTTAGGCGCGTTGCCAAAACCACCGTGTTTTTTGTCGAAATTCTTGAATTTGTGTCTGTACATGTCTAGAACGATCTCGTCTGAAGACTTCACCACGCCGTGCTCACTTTTCGATTCTGAACTTGAGAAATTCTTTTGAAAAAACTGAAAAACCTACGATTCCGGATCATTTGGAGAATTTGCTCTCCTAATTGTCCTGTCGCTTCTTGCTCCTTTTCCCACTCAAACGAAAAGTTTTCGAATAAAACTACCCAAGCAACAAGCTACCCAAACTACCCAAGCAACTTCACCTTTGACATTATCAGTTTCAAGATAGAAGCGAAGCCCATCATTCCTTGGGTATCGTCTGGCGGAAAGTAGGTTCCTGTTAAAAGAAAACATTAAAGTGCTTGTATTGGAACTTGAACTACAAAAACTTTTTCTTAAACACTTCTTTATCATCCGAAGAAGTATTTCAAACAATTTTTTTTTCAAACCTCCAGTGATAGGCGCCAGATCAGGAGTCAGGAAAACAGACATTGGCCAGCCGCCATGACCAGAAACGGCCTTCAAAACAACTTTTCAAGTCTTGAATAATCGGAAAGTTAAACCACGACGAATGTCATGTAAAGCTTGTCTACGTCTGGCCGCTCCTCTCTGTCTACCTTCAAATGAACGAATTTGATCTTCTTCTTGCAAATTATGAAACTTTTATAGCAACAAAGTTCTCGTTGAGGAGTTTGGCGATGGCAGGATTTTCGAAAGATTCTTTCTCCATGACGTGACACCAGTGACATGTTGAATAGCCAACTGAAATCTAGAGGTTTTGATATCAATATATTGTGAAGCCTTCAGGAAATTCGAGTTGCACCTGAAAGAAAGATAGGACGATTGTTCTTCTTGGCGAAATCGAAGGCTTCTTTTCCCCACGGATACCAATCAATGGGATTATGTTTGTGCTGCAGAAGATATGGGGATTTCTCAAGGGCTAGACGATTCGTGAATCCAGAAGTCCTGCATTTATGATTCAAACCGTGAAATAGTTCGATTAAACTAACATATTCCTCTTCCCGTGATGTAGTAATCTCTGTAACATAGAACTGAAAAACAAAATTTTAAGGAGGTCAAGTTTTTTAATGTATTCAATGGGATATAATAACCAAAATCATATTAAAGATCGAGTTGATAAATAGTTTTATCGTAGCAAAAAAACAATGTTAGAAGATCAAAAATGAAGCATTAATGAACAAAATTTTACAAATCATCAAGGGCGCTTTTCTCTGGCGGAGGCCCACATGGAAGAATCATTCTGTTGAGAAGATTGAAGCGAGTTCTTGCGCGGCTCTCGTTTTCGACGATCGCAATGAACGAATTAGCTCCTGGATGCGACATTTGCGACGCTCGAGTATCACGATGCTGAATATATAAAAATGCTTTAAAAAAAGTTTAAAAAAAACCGACCTGATTGACAAGCCATTCGTGCCGGTTTAAATCTGCGTGACCCGTGCCTGTATACTTTGACTGGAGATGTTCGAGTTGAGCAAGAACGTGGAAACGTTCGCCCGGAGCTGCCATACCTGCGATCATCAAATTGACATCAAATAATTCTCAAAACTAGCTGTGCAGCTACGCGCACGGTGAAGTTAATATGAACAAAAGATTAAAAATCAAAATCAAATTATAGAAAATATTCGAATCGGTATGAAGTGAACATCCATTAAAAAAGTTGATAAGAAATAAAAAATAAGAAACAATTATTTTGGATATCGGAAAAACGGAACATGCTTCAAATATTTTTTGCAAAAAGAAAAAATGGGTTCATCGGCGTGCCGAAGTTGCTCCAAAACGGTACTAACTTTTGTTTTAGGGCAATTTTTTTTCTGCGTTTCGTAAAAAAAAATTTTCGTTTTCTCCGATGAACACGCCATTAACAAACGTTTGTAAAGTGTTTAAACATGTTATTTTGCAAAAAAAAAATTTAAAAGTAAACAGCACGTGTATGCAGACCTCTGTGCACCGTACGAAAAAATGCATACGGAAAACGCGGAAAAATTTTCCAATTCAAAATATTTGTGAAATTTCATTTCGAAATTAATTTTTCCTAATCTTTGATTCTATAATAGGTATTTTTTTCAATCTCACGAATATTTTTGTGAATTACAGTTGTACATGTGCTTATTTTTGAGTATCGCATCTATAATTTCTTTTTTCTCCCTGATTCGAAAGCAGTGTTCGCTTTTTTATATTGAAAACATATTGATATTTTTCTCTGTTTGAAAAATGAAGTAAAAAAAAAATTTCAAAAACCTGGAGTTTCACACTTTGGGTATTACCGCCATATTAATGTTTTTTTTTAAAATTCGTTATCGATATTGCTGATTCAGGTTGAATGAGCGATCGAAAGTTGAGTCCGCTTGATGATGGTGAGCTCTCTGACGATAGTGCTAACCAAAGCCGAGCACAAAGTTTACTTTATTTTTTTCTTTTAGTCAATTTATGTCGAACTTCAGGTTCTTCTCGCTTTTCTGATGAAGACGGTCAACCAAAATTGAAACGCCAGGAACAAGAAGAAAAGTCCAATAAAGGTGTGGTTACTTACCAGGGAACGTTTTTTACCCCCCGGTTGAACTTTCGCTGAAACTTTGCTTAAGTGTACTTTAGGACCTCCTGATTCCAGAACAAGAAAAAAATTTCTCGCAATAGATCTTGTTTCTGAGTTTTGGAGCTTCAAAGTGTGCAAAATACGCAAATTAGGCCAAAAAAGCGCTATTTCGGGCTTTTGAAGTGTCCTAACTCGAAAACGAAATCTATTGCGAGAAATTTTTTTCTTGTTCTGGAATCAGGAGGTTCTAAAGTACACTTCAGCAAAGTTTCAGCAAAAGTTCAACCGGGGGGTAAAAAACGTTCCCTAGTTAGAAACAACTGAAAGGGCTACTATTCAGACAAAGAAGTCGAAATGAGAAATAAACTCGTTCATAAGTACAGCAAACATAGAGGTCGAGATGATGAAGAGGACGAAATGTTCACTATTCAGCCAAGCGATGCAGTAAGCTTCTTTTGAGTCTTCCGGAAAGTTTTTATACGTTTTAGCAACGCGCGAAAGATCAAATACTCAAAAAAGACGCGGAAAGAGAACAAGAGCGCAAAAAGCTTGCTTCTGAACGGCGGGATAAAGAGGAAAGGGCAAATCGAAACCGAGATCCTGAGCCACAGAGAAATCGAGAAGCAAAGGGTATTTTAACCTTTTTTTCGTCATTTTTGTTGTTTTTTCAGCGACTGGTCGGGATCGAGAACGTTCAGATCGCAATATCAGACATGATGATAGACATCGACATCGCGAAGTGAGTTCAAGTGCTTCCATTAGAGATTGGCGACAGCGAAGTTGCTAGAATGCAATTTAGAAGGAAAAGGCTTCAGTTTTCATGATTCTTTGCAGGATCGCAAGCCAATTTCTGCACCGCATTCTTCTCACAGTCGCGATCGGTCTTCAGATAAAAACAGGCGCAAAATTCATGAAAGGAAACACAAAAGAAAAACGTCAGTTTTCTTTTCTCAGTTTCTTGACACTCTTCCTTTTTTTTAGCAGCTCATCTCCCGAAGATGTTCGAGAAAGACCGCGAGAAGAAAAACACAAACACCGCTCTCCTCATAAGAAAAGGCATCTGAAAGAAGACGTCGAGACTTCGGAAATCAGTGAGATTCCATTCAATTTCTTCGCCAATACATGCTTGCAGGTGTGAAAAAGCGCACGGAAATACATGCGGAGAGAACCGTGACCGAAGTGGAAGTGGTTGAAGTTCGTGAAGAATATTTTGTCGAAGATGAGCCCGCAAAGTCTCCCATTCCACAGGATGAACGTTTGTTATCTGTTTCTTTCAATTCAAAAAAAAGTTTCAGAAATAACGTCGTTCACTTTGGATTCTCCAGCTGGTCCCAAGAAGTACTCAAAGTTCGAGAGTAGTCCCGAGCCGGAGCCAGCTACTCCAGACCTCTCTGATGTTGAGAATTCTCCTGGGACCAGCGAGAGTTGGTTCTTCATCCTTCTTTCATATTTTTTCCAAGCTATAGTTTTTTTTTTCATTCACCGATTAACAGGGGGAATAGATGATGACGACGTCCTTGAAGAGGATGAGGCGGAAGATGAGCTTCCTTTTGATACGGAGAACGTCAAGTGGGAAGAACTCAACGCCGATCAAAAGTCCATGGTGAGAGAGTCAAAAGCGAGAACGAGATGAGTTTTTTTTTTCTTTCAGTTAGCCCCAGATACGCGGAAGAAGTTGGAAGACGAATATCAAAATCGGTTGAGATCGCAACTGCCGGTTTTCTATCCAGGTCGGTATTGTCCCGACCTTTTCAGAAAAACGGAAATGGTATAGTACTGCTTACCATTTAGATATGAGCTTTTTTTAATCATCTAAAAAGCTATTCAGACCATTTCAGACAAAAATGGCTAATCTTTGTTACGAAAATTGAAAAAAAAGCTTTTCTCATAGTCTAAAACTCAATAGCTCTAGATGTTAACGATGGAAATCAAAAGTACTGAAAAACTACAAAGATTCGATTTTTTTTTTTCAGTCATTATTCTGAACATTTTGAAGGTTTCATGGGCTGTCGGAATGTGGCCGAATATGAATGCGTCAATCGCGTCGAGGAGGGAACTTTCGGCGTAGTTTATCGAGCAAAAAACAAAAGAACAGGTTGAAATCCCGGTGAATCCTCATTTCGTTTTTGTTGCTCCAGATGAGATCGTCGCGTTGAAGAGATTGAAAATGGAGAAAGAAAGAGAAGGTTTTCCGATAACTTCTCTCCGCGAAATAAACATGCTTCTGAAGGCTGGGAACCATCCAAATATAGTCAATGTGGGTTTTCAAACATAGTCCAGGTGTCAAAGGATTCTTCTACAGGTAATCGAAGTTCTGATTGGCTCGAACATGGACAAGATTTACGTGGCGATGGAATTTGTGGAGCACGATATGAAGAGTCTTATGGACACGATGCATCGCAAAAATAAGTTCTTCACCGTTGGTACGCTTTTTTGAAACATTTGTATGGTCATTTTTGTTCGAACAATAATTCATTCTACTGTATTCTGACGAGAGGATCGAATACATCTTTTAAAAAATATCGAATTCTTATAAAACGATTTAAATACACCAAAGGCTTGTAAAAATATCACACAGTTCAAAGATTACTTTTTTTGTTATTGATAAGTTGTTCTTTTTTTAACTCGATTTTTTTGAAATATACTATTATTTACAGTGAAAATCAATGCAGGATCTGCTCGGAGTGCAATTTTTATTTATAAGTAGTCCGAGCAGAATTAAATAAAGAAGGGTAAAAAAGTCTTGAGCAATAATAGAAAACAGAATGATTGAAGATATAAAGAAGGCTTTTTCTAGATTTTTTCTTTAACCGAAACGATCGCATTTCAGGACAGCAAAAGACTCTACTGCATCAGCTTCTGTCGGGACTCGACCACATGCACAAACTCTGGATTTTGCACCGAGATCTCAAAACTTCCAATCTGCTTCTTTCTCACAAAGGAATCCTCAAGGTATGTTTTCGAATCGATCGAAATGACATATTCAGGGGAAAAAGATAGTTTTGATCTTGGTTGTTTTTTCATAACTTCATTGCTGCGTAATAAGTGCTCTGAAAGAAAAGTTTTTCAGAAGACTCATTCAGAGCCGGATAACTAAGATGACTTCTTCCTCTGGTTGTTCTAAATTTTTTTTTTCGTATCGTCTCTCAGTAATAGATTACCAGCTCTAACTTTATGCAGATTGATATCAATTTGTCAAGTTGCAATAAAGATTTATTTTTGGATTACAAGTCTACATGGATATGACAGAATAAACTTTTTAAAAGGCTAGAGCGTTTCGTTGTTTTCATCTCCTCACTTTGACCGCAAAATTTGAACTAAGCTCCTTAGGTTAGGCATATTATAAATGAGCCCGAGAAATTTTTCAACACCGTTTCATAGTTTCTCCATAGTAATTCTTTTATAACTACTTTTTTTATCAGATTGCCGACTTTGGCCTGGCGCGAGAATATGGCGACCCTCTGAAGCCGTTCACTTCGATTGTGGTCACCCTGTGGTACCGTTCCCCAGAACTTCTCCTGGGACAAAAGGTTCTATTTCTTTTGCTCCTTTAATATATTTATTTTAGCTCTACTCGAGGCCGATCGACTTGTGGAGCGTCGGCTGTATAATGGCCGAGTTCATACTCCTCAAGCCACTCTTCATGGGCAAGGGAGAGTGTGAGCAGATCAAAAAAATATTTTTGGTCGGTGAATATCATTGCGACTTCATATATAATTTTTTCAGGAACTAGGAACTCCCACCGAGCAAATTTGGCCAGGTGTGTCTGAACTTCCCGGTATGAAGCAGGTCAGTGAAAGTTTGCGAGTTTTCCTAGGTAGAAGACAGCTTCAAAATATTTTTTATAGGGTTCTTTCGGAAACTTCACGTACAACCAGCTCCGCAAAAAGTTCAAGGCGGCGGTACTCAACGAGTCCGGATTCCAACTGATGGGAAGGTCGGTTGGATTTCGGTTTTTTTTCCCCTTTCTATTGTTAATTAAAACGTGAGTCATACAAAAATTTTTCAACGTTCCGATTTTTACCCCTTACTCTCACATATTTTTCCAGCCTGGACCTAGCTCCAATTTTTTTGTTTTCTAACCAAAAAACCTTCTCTGTCGAGCTCCTTTTCTTAATCTTCACGAAATCTTCCAACTATTCTACTTCTAGGCTGTTGACATACGACCCTCAGCAGAGGATAACTGCTGCAGAGGCTATCCAACACAAGTGGTTTACGTATGTTTTGTCGCTTTATTAGAAGAACTAATTCAAACTTCATCAGACAAAAAAAAATGATGGTTGTTTTTCTAGAGAAGATCCCCAACCGACGCCTCCAGAAATGTTCCCGACGTTCCCTGCCAAGAGCGAACAGAACAAAGCGCCGCCCCAATCTGCTGAGAAACGAGAGAACGCCTATGAGAAGATTCTTGTGAGTGAAAAAAGTTTGAAATTGACTCAAAATGGTTTTGTTCCAGAACCCAGAGACAGCAAAGTTGTTCAAGGAACTCAAGGTCAGACCGGAACACGTATCCAGTGGCGGATTTTCATTGAAGTTTGACAAAGCTCGTTTTTGAGAGTAGATATTTTGTTATTTGTTCATGCATTGATTAATAAATTATTCTCCACTCTTTATTGCAACTTGACGATTTGAGGACTCAAATGTTTGCGGATTGCGTCGAAGTCCTCCGGTGGCATCATCTCGCGGACAAAAATCTTGATGCGAAGGACGAGTTCTGGGTTCAGAACTTGCGACATCATCGCATAGGCCGCAGATGGCGTTGCGCTTGTCTTCTGGATCTGCAGCACTGCCTTCTTGGGCTGTGAATGAATCAGAGGCTGCGCACCTGTCGCATCGGCGCCTCCAAAGTGTAACCGACGATTTGAGCAGCTCGAGCAAGTGCCGCGTCCGCCTTTTCTTTGCCCAATTCCTTGGTCAGCTCTGCAAGTTTCTCTAAGTTGAAAATTTCCTGCTGATATCTGGAAACTCAGCCCTGGAAACCGAAAAGTAAGCATAAAAAAACACAAGAGAATTAATTTCAACTTTTCTAAAAGTTATGATTAATAAAGACCGACATCCTAAAATACCCAGAGTTTTAATTTTTAAAGGTTCAAAACGCCGTAAGTCGCCTGCTTTTGAAAGCGTGTATTCTTGAAGACAGTTTTGAAGTTTGAGACATTTAGTCAATCAATCTAGTTCAATTTTTTTGTCATTTTTTAGAGGATTCGGCATGAAAGCAAATTTTGCTTAAAACCCACGACTATAAGATTGAGTGACGAGGGCGAGTTGTTCCCCTTCCAGAACGTGTTTCAAATAGCGCTCGACGTCTGTTATTAATCGTGTTGGAAGCTTTTTTTTCGCTAACCTTGTCTTATCTGGCTGGCGTTTTCTCCTTTGTGAATTCCGAGAGCGACAATGTCGACCGCCTGAAATCTGTGACTTACGAGGTCCTGATAATGATCTGTAGACCTTGGAGAGCTGTTGGTAGTTGAGGAAATCAGAAACGAGCCATAGGAATCGTTCGATGACGTCATTCTTCTCGCGGAGTTGACAGTTGGCGATAGCGAAAAATGCCAAAAAGGCTGCAAAAACTTTCAATGTTGCCATTTAACACTTTTTACTTTTTGAGTCCCTTTTATAGCGAAAAAAGTTAGGTGAGACATGCAAACAAGGAGCGAAAAAAGAATAATCCTCAAATCTTGTGATGCGTGAAGAGTTCTCATGATCTTCTTATTTTGTGATGTCACTAACTCTCGAGAGTTATAGATTATAAAAGGCAAGATTAGGTTAAGAAATATTCAAAACTTTTCTTTTGAATAAAGATAACTCGTAACGGCAACTATCGAACTCACGTTTTTTTTCATTCAACACGGCCTTTAGAAAATTTTTGATGAGAAAACCCGAAAAAAGAGGTGAAGTAGAGGTTTAGACGTTTCTGGAATGTTTCTTTTGTCCCAAGCTAGCTTTCGATCGGTTTTATCAAGCTTTTCCTCTATTCGGGGTGTGAAGTCCAACTTTTTCGGATACCACTGAATCGCTTTTTTTTTCCCAGTAAAACACTATTAAAAAATTTCTCAGGCTGTCACAATTCGGGCACATTTTCTGAGAAACGGAAGAACCAAGAAAAATAATATTGACAACCCTCGAACGAGACGAGAGAAACGCATTCACACACGTTAAAAGGGGTGCGGTGGCGCAAGCCACGTAGAGTCCGTTGCAAAAGAACGCAGGGTATATAGGTGTCGCCATTCGCCACCGAGGGACGCATGACGACAAGTCGAGCACTCGCAGCCACTCAACGGCCTCGTGGTCGCAGCAACTGTGAGCGAAAGTCCCTGGACTCGCGGCAGAAAGTGTCCTCTCTGAACAGAGAACCCCTCGGGGGAATAGTCGCAGCAAAGTGACGCTCTACCGAACAGCATAGGGCTTACTCTGTTCGTCATGCTTTTATCATTTTGCTCAATCTATCTGCCCTTATGGGAAGTCATGAGAACAGAAATTTGTCAACCATATGCGGCCTTAGTGCTCTAAAATACTAGCCACTCGATTTTTTCATGAATCGAACCTCAATGTACATAATCTAATTGAAAATGAAAACAAGAAACTAATATTTGCGATACTGTTCCCTTTCTTCATCCCGATCAACGTAGATTAGTCTTTTGAAAAAAAGTTTCTGAAATTTTTTTATTGGAACTTGAGGAATTTTCCGGTCGAGTACTGACATGAAAGTGGATACGGTTACTTAAACAATAGCTCAAGCAATAAATGAGAACAATTATAATCCCGGGTTCATTTCACACAAAAAATAATAATTAAACATAATTTACAATGGGATGAAACGAGTAAAGTCGAACGCTCTCGGGTTAGTCTGTTTCACAAGTCTTGACGCTTTCCTAAAAAAATTGTCCGATTATGAGTAACAAGTTGAATTAACCGTTTCTGTGGTTTCAGCCTCGCCGTCGGCATCACCGTCATCGCCTTCGGTGTCATTTTGAGTGGTGACGCTGCCCTCGTCGTCCGAAGACCGTTCTGGCACCCAGAGACCGGAGTCGATACAGCGGCGGAAGTGGTACATGAACACCTGAAAAATGAGAGCTGCAACTGATATGAAAGGTCGCATTACCTCTTCGTCCATCTTCTGGGCGAGGCTCTTCAGTTTACCGACGTCCTGCGACTCGAAGCACTTCTGCATCTCTTCAGGCAGAGTGTCGAACACTTCCTGAGGGTCAAGACCACCCGGAGAAGCAGCGATTCGGCGAGCCTGTAGGTGCGAATGAAAATATGAACAAGCCACACAAAACCTTCTCTTCTGCTTCGTACTCAGCAGTCGCGGCTTCGCGTTTCTCAGTCGCGCGTTTCCGCAAGCGATCCTGGAAAGCCTCGACCTCTTCATGGAAACTCTTCACGTAGGTCGGGTCGGCGGCTCCGAATTTTTTGAAGAAGTTCCTCTGGAGATTCACGTTGCTCGCAACTGACTTCAGAGATTTGGCCAGCTCCAGTAAGTACTGCATGATAACGCATTGTTCGGCCATCACGCACATTTCGTCTTCCTGAACATCAACAAAATCAGGAAAAGTAAATTATTCACGCAACCAATAAGAAAAAAATTGTTATTTGAAAAAAAAGGCGGCAGGTGCATCAAAGGATTTTATGAAGAAAAATACAGGAAAAAGCATGTTGCAGGCCATTTCTCAGGCGCAAGAGTTTCAGAAGTAATTGAGAGGGGCTCATGAGAAGAACTTTAACTAACTTTTCTATCGATAGCCAAGTTGAGACATTCAATCGTGAGGTAGTTGGCCGCGTACTCGCAGGCTAAATGTGGGTGTTCTGTTAAGAAATCTTCTGTGGCCTAAAAAATTTATTGTTTTTTTTTTTGAAAATAAAAACGCAAGATACCTTCAAACCATGGATCCGGCCATATGTTTGTAGAAGACCTTCGTTTTTCTCGCAAAAATCGGCCTTGAAAAATTAGTAGGTTAATACTGATTATTTTATTCAGCGTAAAGTCACTTTTCACATTTTCACTCATTTTTCAATTAAAAAAAAAACTCACCATTTTTTTAGTATCCTCCTCTTCGGAGAGTCGAGCGGCGGATTTCGGCTCTTGAATCTGAAATAAAAAATATTCTTCGTTTTACGCGAATGAACAAACCTTATTGATACGAGTTGTACTGAAAGATTCGTGGCCGATGGTGTCAACGTTCCATGGCTCCAAACGTTCCTGGTCCTGGAACGAAAAATGTGATAGGGGAACAATACTAATTTACAGACTGAACTTACTAAGTTTCGTTTTTACTTTTAATGCGATTTGAGTAAAAAGAAATGAAAGAAAACCTCGAGTTCTTTCTCTTTAGCTCTCCATTTCGCTTCTTGTTCCTTTACATCATCTAGCTCCTTTTGTATCTGTTCTTTTTCGGCGTTTCCTATCGTAGAAGCAGCAAGCCGATCTTGCAGATCCTGAAGGTATAAGCAGGTGTAAAAAGAAAACAGAAATTTAAGAACTTTCAATTTTGAAGTGGTATTCGATTTCTCTTTCTCCAGTTGTTCCTGCTTCAGTTTCTTCTCGGCCATACGCTCCAGGCGGGCTTGATGGCGCCATCTGTCAAAAACGTAGTAAGGAAAAAAAGTGAAGTAATGAAACAAACCTGAATAACGAAGGAGTATCGATATTTGGATGGGTGTCATCCTCATCATCGGAGACTTCGATCTCCTTCCACTTAGAATAGTCAATAGGCATTACTGAAAATTTTTTTTACTATAATCTGTTCAGATTCTGAATGTCAACCAGCTAACTCCGCCCCTGTTGAGACGGTACCTTTTCGCGTCGATGTTTTATCGCACGGGACTAATTATGATCTTTTTTGATCTAAAAGATACACCCATTATTGTGGACTATATCGCAGCGAGAGTGAAATGCTATACCGCGGGGGAGCCGCGAGCAATACCGCTCGCCTCTCGCTGCGACCTCGCAAACGCCTTGCGCTATATCGCTCTCTGAAAAAAATTTTTTTATTCAAAAAAATGTTTTTTTCTTGAATTTGATTGATTTCATCATAAAAGTCAAAAAAATAAAGCAAAAAAATTCAAATTTCAAATTTTTTTGTGAGGGCGCGATATGGCAGCGAGACTTTGATGAGGTCGCGACCGCAGCAACATGCTGACGAGATCGCAGCGAGAATAGGCTATATCGCCTGCGGCCCGCTGCGATATCGGCAATTATGCCGTGTTCAAAGTGATTCCGCGAAATTCAAAATAGCCGTCAGAGAAAGAGAAAGATAACTAAATTTTGGAGGGTCAGAGACCATTTTGCATTTCGCGGAAATTACTTTGAACACGGCATTATGTTGGGTGTAGAAAAAGAAGTCAAAAATGTAGCCTTATTAAAGGTTCATCGTCATCTGGATATAAAACATTGACGCGAAAGATATTGTAGCCTTGGGGGTGGAGTTAGCTGCTTGACATTCAAAATCTGAACAGACTATAGTTACAGTAACATGTTATGAAAAGAGTCTTCTAAAATAAATTTAACGACTTCTGCACTAAATTTATCGGTATTATTGAGCAAAAAGTCATTAAATATACGCCAAAAGACCTCACGGAAGATTTTGACGAAAAAGCTGAAATGGAATGAATGAAAACGACAAGGATAGACAAACAAAATGAGAATCATTTCTAGAAAATTCTAGACACGCGTAAGGACTCGTAAGCGTCATAAATGGGCCAAAAAATTGAGAATTCATTGAAAAATGATTTCTCAACTTGGTCTATCTTTAAAAAAATCAATTTTAGTAATCTATAATTTTTTTTAAATTCACGACCTTCCAGGAGAAAGACAATTATTTATAATCCATTGGATTGTTATCTCCTGGTTCATGGAAATAAGGTTAGTCGAATTGGAAAACCAAAGATAACACATGATTGTAACTTAATCAAGAAGTTTAAGTCAATCAAAAACATCTTTCTTTCTTGTTGAGAACAAAAGTTCAAAAAGAATCGAATGGAAAATTCTTCGAGGGGCGGGGCTGTTTTATCTTTTTGCGGCACGATCGATTCCGCGTCGCATTTGCAGAATTAGACACGCCCATTTAGAATTCAAAAATCAAATTTTTTTCTCTCGAACACTGCATATTTTGTTTATGCCGTGTTCAAAGTAATTTCCGCGAAATGCAAAATGGTCTCTGACCCTCCAAAAATTTAGTTATCTTTCTCTTTCTCTGACAGCTATTTTTGAATTTCGCGGAATCACTTTGAACACGGCATTAGATTGGATGCTTGTTATTCGGTATAATTTGCCATAAGATTTTGAAGATTTTCTAAACACGTATGGTCTCCGTGTATTTTTGTAAAAATAACCTAAATGGAAAAATATTTTTTTTTACTCATGTATAAAAATTTAGAAAAATATATACAGCATATAGAAAAAAACGGAAGTCATTGTATCTGGTTAAGCACGCATGTTTGAAACAGTACTCCGGTGGCCGGTCAATATTGCACCGTCAGTTTCGAAATTTCGAAGCCAGGAAATTTTTTTATTTTTTTTCTTTTTTTGCTATTTTTTTAAGGACCTATTTCTTGAGGTTACAAGATGAGTTACGTCACAAAAAAAGTACACAAGTTTTCATTTTATTACCCAAAAACCTAGCTTGATTACCGTTATACGACCGGCCGCCTTGAACATGCGTGTAAGAGCACAAAAAAACGGTGATTTCTGGATACGCCTTGATCTTATTTTTTTGAAAAAAACCTTTGATTATTTACCATAAAAAGGTCTACATTTTGAGAAACCGATTTTTTTAATATTTTTTTATGGGTTTTAACTTTATTCGCCTTTAAACAACGTATTTAAAAAAACCTGCAAAATGTAGTACAATTATAACCGTCGAATAAATATGACGTTTGTTCTCGTAGTTGAATTTTTTAGTTTCTGATAATATAAATGGCAGTTTCAGTTGCCATGGCGTTTCTCATGTCGAAACTCATGAGGTATATCGTGTTTTTCTATCTTGTTTTCATGGGTGCCCAATGGCTGTTGCGAAACAAGTCCTACACCATCTCGCCAAAAGAGTTCAAGTCAATTGCTTCCAAAGCTCACGGTTACCTTACTTTTTCATTTTTTTTTTGTATAAAAAATGTTAAAGGAGCAGGAAGCAGTTCGGCCGCTGTTACGAAACTAACGAACGAACTTCGTCGAGTTTATGGAGTAGCCATCGACGCTGAAGCAACTTGGAATCCGTTGTTCTTGGGAAACCTCGACCTGAAGGTCTGCTGACTTTTAAAAAAAAAAACTTAACACGCTGTCTCCGTAATTCTCAAAAAGAGTGGGTACAATAGAAAAAATATGTTTTGATTTCGATGAAACTTCACCCACTTTGATAGTCTGTCATCAGGAATGCCGACGCAAGTTTTCAGACCGATTCCTCCTACCGTAGCTAGGTTACGGTAGGCAGGTGCGTCTTTTCGTATGTAAGAATCTACGCGTTCTTTCTAGGCGTATTGTATATCAATCGATAGGAATTGCAATTTTAGGAACTTTTTTTCAGTACATACCATCATGGGTTACTGTAGAAATTTTTTGAGTTATGTTAATTTTTGTGTCTGCGATTTTGGTTTTTCCGTCACTCTGTGTGTTCGGGGAGAGACCACGGCTGGTAACTTTCCTGAAACATTCTTCTCAGCAATACCTACGAAGAAATACCACTTTGAAATGGATCTGTCCTACCGGTCATTTCGAAAAATCGCTTCGAAGAGGCTCAACTTGGCATTTCTCGGGGAAAATCGCCCGCGGTTAGAGATTTCTACCTCTCTTTTCTCGTCAGATCCGGTGCTAAAGTTTGTTTCATTTGTTAGTGCAGGGTTGTACTTCATAGATGATAATGTTCCCTCCGACTTTCAGCCTACCCTTCTAACATAAAATTCAGTTTGAAGCCGATTTTGGCCTAAAAACAACGATTCTCAGATTTCAACGTTTTTTTCTGAGCTCAGTCCTACTGAGGCTGGGCTCCAAAGTGTCTTTCATTACTTTTACATGTTCCATGAGCTATTTGATCAAGAAAAAACTGTGTTTGAGCCTACCCGTCTAGCTCAAAATTCAATTTGAAGCCTATTTTGGCCTAAAAACAACGATTCTCAGATTTCAACGTTTTTTTCTGAGCTCAGCCCTACTGAGGCTGGGCTACAAAGTGTCTTTTATTACTTTTACATGTTACATGATTTTTTTGATCAGGAAAAAACTGTGTTTGAGCCTACCCGTCTAGCTCTTAATTCAACTTGAAGCCGAGTCTGGCCTAGAAACAGTGGTTTTCGATATTATATCACTCTTCTGGAGAAATTATTGATAGATAAAATCTGTCTCTTAAAATTTGAATTTTGCTTTAGATTGAAATAATCCAAATTGAACCTGTTTTTCGAGCGCTTTTCGACTTTGAAGATTTTGACGAGAAAATAAATATTTTCATGAACTTCTCTGTTCTCGAAACATACCATTCACAAAATTTGGAATACGTTCTAGTATCAAGGCGCTGAGAAACTCTTTTATGAATTCGTTCATCAGGGATTCAAGCAAGAATAGGCCAAACATTGTCTTCAAACTGAATTTTGAGCTTGACGGGTAGGCTCAAACACAGTTTTTTCCTGATCAAACAAATCATGTAACATGTAAAAGTAATAAAAGACACTTTGTAGCCCAGCCTCAGTAGGACTGAGCTCAGAAAAAAACGTTGAAATCTGAGAATCGTTGTTTTTAGGCCAAAATAGGCTTCAAATTGAATTTTGAGCTAGGCGGGTAGGCTCAAACACAGTTTTTTCTTGATCAAATAGCTCATGGAACATGTAAAAGTAATGAAAGACACTTTGGAGCCCAGCCTCAGTAGGACTGAGCTCAGAAAAAAACGTTGAAATCTGAGAATCGTTGTTTTTAGGCCAAAATCGGCTTCAAACTGAATTTTATGTTAGAAGGGTAGGCTGAAAGTCGGAGGGAACATTATCATCTATGAAGTACAACCCTGCACTAACAAATGAAACAAACTTTAGCACCGGATCTGACGAGAAAAGAGAGGTAGAAATCTCTAACAGCGGGCGATTTTCCTCGAGAAATGCCAAGTTGAGCCTCTTCGAAGCGAGTTTTCGAAATGACCGGTAGGACAGATCCATTTCAAAGTGGTATTTCTTCGTAGGTATTGCTGAGAAGAATGTTTCAGGAAAGTTACCAGCCGTGGTCTCTCCCCGAACACACAGAGTGACGGAAAAACCAAAATCGCAGACACAAAAATTACCGTAACTCAAAAAATTTCTACAGTAACCCATGATGGTATGTACTGAAAAAGTTCCTAAAATTGCAATTCCTATCGATTGATATACAATACGCCTAGAAAGAACGCGTAGATTCTTACATACGAAAAAGACGCACCTGCCTACCGTAACCCTAGCTACGGTAGGAGGAATCGGTCTGAAAACTTGCGTCGGCATTCCTGATGACAGACTATCAAAGTGGGTGAAGTTTCATCGAAATCAAAACATATTTTTTCTATTGTACCCACTCTTTTTGAAAACTTTTGAAAATTACAGAGACAGCGTGTTAACCATGTAAAGCGCTTTATTTCACTTTTTTTTTCTTGAAACGGGAGAAAAAAAAACCACAGAAGCCTTTCATGCAAAAATTTCCGTTGTTTTATAATAATCCTCGTAGTAAAATTCAAATTATTTTTTTCTTAAAGAAAAAAACGAAAAACTTTTTTTATACAAAAAAATAAAGCGACATAGATGGATAGGACAATTTTTCAATTTGAGTTTGGGTTTTTCTTGTTTTTTTAGATCAATAAGAAAGCCAATTAAGGCTAAATATGAAAAAGCTTCATTTTCTTTTTATCCTCATCACCCCTCGATTTAATTATTTCTTCTTTCAGATCCTCCTGCTACACGCCTCCATCACAGAGTATTCCGGTGTCATCGCAGCTCCCTATGCAGAGTCAGGACGCGTTGGTTCGTCCACTTTCCAACTCCTTGAAAGAAATTTCATAAAAAACTTCCTCTTTTCACGTTTTAAAACGTATATTCGGTTTCAAGCTCTAGACTCTCAGGACTTCACTGGACAAACAGCACTTGCACCGTTCTTTCGGGCTCAGTTTCACGATCAACCGATTCATCTGGATTTGCAAACAAAGAAACTTTCGCCCCCGGCAAGTGTTCTAATCCGATTTTCTTATGAGCAGGATTTGTCCAGGAGCTAATTTCCGTCACGGCCAGTTCGAGTCATACGTATACTCTTTCACCGCTGACACGTACTTGGCATGCTACGGTAATATTCTTGATTATCCTTCTCTCGAAGTCCTTTTCTTGAAGGTCGAGGAGTGGTGCCGACTTCTGGCGTTTGGACGATCCTGAGCGGCTTGGCGAATGGAGAGCCCCTGGCGGCAGGAAATTTGTTCAAGGATTACTTCCGCGGTGTCTTCCAGAACACTTTTGCGGCAGTTTCTCAAGTCTTCCGCCACTACAAGCAAAAAGCCACCGGACGTTCTGACCTCTAATTGGCTCTGAAAATCCTTTTTTTAATAGTTATTTCTTCAAAATATTTAAATGCAGGTTTACATGATTTATGGTTCAAATTTTCATATATAACCTCAGCCATATTAAAACGAGCATTCCTATGAAAACTGGGTCAATATTTTATACTTATGTGCTTGGTGATTGTTTTATCTATTCATAATGATGCTTTCTTGTCCAATTAAAAAAAAAATAATTTATTCTTTTTGAACAAAGTCACAAAGAAAAAAACCTGAAGAAATAAGTGGAATGAAAAGTCGAACGTCTTGCAAATGAGGTAAATACATAAATTTTCATCAGCCACTTTGGAATACCTGTACAAAGTTGTAAGAGAAGAAAATGAGTCATGCACATGAAGAAAAGCACCGGCGATTCATTGAAAGAGTATAAACAAGAAGGAGTTACTTGTAACGGAACATTTTCACCGAATGCGTGACGTGGTCGGCGACAAAGCACTGACCTAAGCGGCCCGAGTTTGTCGATATCAGAATTCCTGAAGGCGCGCGTAGGCGGCCTTGCTGTGAATCGATGTTGTAGGCAAAAGAGCCTTTGTAGCTTGAAACCTGAAAAGAGATTTTTATATTGAGAAGACAATTTTGTCGCTGACCGCCAACATCGCTCGGTTGATTCTCGTGTCGGTGACGCCAGCAACAATTTGACCGGAAGACTGACACGTCGCCACAGAGTTCACCACTACGCGACAACTGGAAAAATAGTTTTAGAATGGTTTCAAAATTATTCTTTATATTCAAGTTCAGAAGTTTATTCCCAAGGAAAGCATTTTCAATACGAAGTCTAGAATTCTCTAAAACTTGCCAAATGGTTGACCTCCTAAGCATTGATCTTCTGTCAGAATGCAAGCTTACATAATCGTTTCTTGGAATGGAAAGATGCAGAAGTTGTAAAAGTTAACCAGAAGTATATTTCCAAAGTTAGAGAAAGAAAAAAATTTGGATGCCTGTTTCTGGATCCTGGTACTCTCGGCCGAGAAAGTGACCTGTAGTCGGTCGGCGCCACGGGAATCTGGCGAAGGTTGCGGCCGGCGCCGTCGAAGAGCAGAAGGCCTTGGCTGGTGCCGACGAGAATGTCGTCGTCGAGGCCGACGCTCACACACGTCACGTTGTATCCTTTCACCGGGAAACTGAACTGCGGCCTCATCAAAGTGTCGAACACAAACACCTGCAATGGACTCGTGAAAACTGTGACCACATTTGTAAATTCGCGAATTGAAAAAAAAGAGGGAGGAATAAACGATCATTTATTGTCGATTGGCAATGTATTTCGTCCTTAAAGTCGCTGTGACTTAAATAACATAGACACGCTAAATGTCGAAAATCAGTGATAACTCAGAGCCCTATGCATCAATATCTCAGAAACAGGTTTCCTTCGAAAAAAAAGCTGGAGACCAACCTTCTCCGTATCGGCGATGATATAGCGTCCGCGACGGTCGACCGCCAAGTCGATGGGTTGGTGGAACTCAGAGAAGTTGATCTTCTGCAGGACGGCGATAGACGCTCTCTCTTTGCCCTCAACGAACCTGGATGATCTCGCCCTTGGTCGTGATCCGCGTCAGAGCCTTCGTCTTCCAGTTGAGGACCGCGATCTCCTCGTTGTTCAGCACCACCATTCCAGTCGTCGTTCCTTCGACAAGCGCGTCGCTCACTATGTCGGAAATCACGTCGCCGCTCTCTTTCACCACCCGAACTGTAAATTTCTGACATCAGTCACTATTATTTTCTGGAGTAAGCCTTTAATAAAATATATATATATATATATCTTTTGACTACAAGAATAAATGATATTTTTGATTTCATTCCGTGTTCAATTTGATTCCGCGAAATGCGAAATACCCGTTAGAGAAAGGAAAAAGATCACTAAATGTTGGAGAGTCAGAGATCATTTTGCATTTCGCGGAACCAAATTGAACACGGCAGCATGAACAAGAATTCTAAAATAAAACGAAAAAAATCCAGCTTTTATAAGTCTGAATAATATATAAATAATCCTTTCAACTGAGAAGAAATCAAAACCGAAATAATATAGGAATTGAATGAAAATTAAAAAGAAACTTCGATTGTTGCCAGTGTCAAGGACGTAAAAAATATTGGAGGGGTCGATAGCGACCTTCGTCGGTCGGTACAGTTCCACTGGGAGGTGCCATCTAAACTTTCCTAGTTAGAGTCCAAAATATCGGAGAATTTTTCTCACCTTGGGGCATGATGTTGTGAGATCGTAATAGTGATGGGGCTACTTTTTACCGGTCTTCCAAAAATATTCACAGATACCACGTATTCACCCGATTTATTTACCCTGCAATTGTATTTCGTGATTCAATCTTCGAAAGAAAAGCCTGCTTGGACAACAAAAACAGGGAATTTCGCCTGATTGCTCACCTGAAAATAAGTTCATAAGTGCCGTTGTTCAAGTCGTTGACCGCGATTCCAAAAGTTTCGTCTTCTTTGCGGATCTCGGCGACGATGGGATCGCCTCCAGTCGTGCGTTTGACGCCGTCAACGTCCCTCGTTCTGAATACGTGCGGATTACACGGATGACGTCAGACGACTCCTACGTGAGGACCAGCGAATTCTCGATGTGCGTCGAGAGCAACGTCGGCACTTCGATCGTCGACATTCCAGGAAACGTCGTCGACGCGTAGATCGTCCCAAATTCTGACAGACCCTTCTGGACACCTGACAAAAAACAAAACATGAAATTATCGACGGAAGTTGAATGGGCAGTAAGAAAATACAAAAGCTTTGATCATAAAACTTGAAAAACAAGAAAATTTGGTTGAGGAAATACAGCTTGGACCAATAAATGAACGTATTCAGCCAAATAAAAAACTAGAGCCGAAAATTCAGCTGTAACACGCAAATTTTGATTAAAAAATATGTAAATTTCGACAGTTATATAAAAATCTAATATAATGGAAAACAAACTCAAGACGACTTTCGAAGAGTCCGGGTTGATCCTGAGGAAGGCGTTTTCGCGAGGCTCCGTCAGATGACGATCTTCCGCACAATCGCTCTGAGATTTCAACTGCCGCGCCATGTTCCTCACGTCCATTTGGTTTGATTCCAGCTCCTGGAATATTTATTTTAAGGCAAGAAATCCGCGTACAAAGTACTGTTATCATTTCAATAGCCGCAAGATGAAAAAATCGATAGCTACAATCAGGTCATCATCATTGGTTTCCCCACAAAAATGGGAAAATTTTCAAGAGTGCAACTTTTCAAACCGAAAAAAAATGTTTGCGTTATAAAAAATTGTCAAAAAGACGAATTTTGAACCGGGTTCATAGAAGTGAAAAGTACACATGTAAACAAAATGGTGAAGAAAAAATATCCGTGAGAAAGATATCATATGATCAAGCGAAAATATAACAATATGATTCATCGCTTTTTGAGAAATCACTAACTATATTTTTTGATAATGCATCGGATTAAGAATTATATATCGAATATTTTGAACGGTTTTCTCCAAAAAAATTTGTTTGAAGGAAGCGTTTTATGCAATAGCAGACTTAAAAGAGCATCAGTTGAATAAAAGCAAAATTTCAAACAAAAAAAAGAAAAAAACAACAAAGAAAACAAAGAAAACCAACCTTTTCGAGCTTTTTCTTCTCGTCGGCGATCATTTCGATTTGGTCCTTCAGAACTTTGCGCTTTTCATCACGCTTCACACGGACACCTTCGATGAGTTCGCGTCGTCGGTTTTCAACAATGTTGGAAACTTCCTCAAATCGACTTTGTTAATTGATGAATTAATGAGAAGGAACGGAGAACAAATGGTGGGGGAGAGGGGAAAGAAAGAGAGAAACGCGCGAAGAAAAAAAAAAGCGCGGCATGTGCAGAGGGGCTCTGTTTTTACAGTTTCGGAGAGCAAGAGGCAAGTCGAATTTCGGTCTTTTCCACAAACAAACGTCTTTCCCCCTTCACACTTCTTTCTAACGATTGAAATTGTTTTTTTCAAAAACTATATAGCAAAGCTTTGGATTGGATTCTTTCAAAAGCGAAGCAATTTTTCAGAAAGTTAAAAAAAAGTCAAATTATTAACCATTAAAACTCTTTAGTTAGAAATATCTTTTCGAAAATGCCTGCGAACTCGCGAAAAAATTTAACCTGAAATTCAAGAAATTTTAAGATTATAGCTGAAAAAAAAATGTATAAGTAAAGTTCAATTTGGTTTTTTTCAAAATGATAATTTTTGCGCCCTTAAATTTTTCTGCATATGGATTTTGGAATGTCGTTTTTCTAGACATGGATTTTGTTGGCGAGAAGCCAAGCGTGAACCCCCGCGGTGTCTCTGTCGCAAACCTGCATCGTGCTGTTAATTTGTTCGACGATTTTGTCGACGTTACCATCCAGTTCCTCGATTTCGCGCGTCACAGCCGCGTGAGCGTTGTCCAGGGCCCGCAGACGTCCCTAATAGGGCACACAGTTATTTCATCCCACTTCTGATTGATAACAAGCATTACTTTATTCAATAGCTATCCTATCGAAAAACCTTGGCGCTTGGGACAAAAAAGGTGAATCAGCATAGTACTAACATTTAACTATTACAAAAATTTTCTTTTAAAAGTAACGATTTCTCCAAAACAAAAGCTGGAACGCTTTGAACCTTGGCCTTGTAAACGACGATTTCGGACATTCGTTTGAGGGCTATCGAGAAGGGCACAACGGTATGCTCGGTGCACTTTTTGCTGAATCTCTATGTGATTTCCTTGATTTCCATTCGATAGGTACTTGATGATGGAAGATTGACAGTTCTCGCAGAAGACGAGATCGCAGCATTCGCAGTAGAGAAGCTGGTCGTTCGGGTGCATCGAACACGACGGCACCACGTCTTTCCTTTGCTTCTGGAAGGCTTCAAGAGGTCATACTCCTTAATTCTAACATCGTTTTTTCTTTCCGATTATGTATGACGTCATCTCAAAAAGCTTAGCACGTACTTTGTTTATTGTTAAAGCCACGAAACAACCGATTTTGTTTTCAATTAAAAAAATGAAACTTTCTAGTTTGAAAATTTTGAGGATGAGTATCCAAAAATGAAGGACGTCGAGAAAAGTCGAAAACTATATTCAAACAATTAACCCCGGTATAGTGAGTATAGTCTCTTCGAAACGACTTCTTCGAAGCAGAAAAGTACTTTTTCAATTTGTTAAAATAATGCTTCGAAACCAGGGAGAATGAAACAATATTTTTCGAATCTTCGTTCAGATAACTTTGTTGATGCACACCTGCATGACGTCGAGTAGCTGGTTGATGAGGAAGGCGGCCGGAAGGGAGTTCACGCCACCGGGAGGCAGCATGCAGACATCGCGGCACAGCGGACACCGCAGAGAAGACTGTGCATCCGGCTGCAAAACCATCCAACAGTATTTCTACGCATAAGTGTCTGTCGCGTAAAAGCATGGAAAAAAGCTGGAAAGGCCTATACGGGAAAGAGAAAAACGAACCACAACCGCTAGGGAGGCCAGCTGTTGCAGGCAGAACAGGCAAACTGAGTGGGAGCACGGCAGAAGTTTAGGCTTTCGCGTGTCCTTAAAAAGTTTGTTTTCCAGATTATAGCTCGAGAAAAACGCTGGAATTCAGAAGAAAAACTGACTTCAAAAAAAACTGTGAACCAAAACTCTTACATAAGAACATTTTCTTGGACTCAAAGCATTGTCGACATTTTAAACGATTGAATAATGAAGCCCTCGACAAAAATGACATATAACGCTTTTAAAGCCAAAAAAATCTGACCAAGCTTCAGATGCGACCGATTTATACGCAGATTACGCTCCGCCAAGGTTGCAGATTGCAAAATCTGTCCGGCAAAAACAAACAATTCACGGCGACATGAATTTGCATCTGCGAGGTCAATCGCGTTTTCGCATTCAATTAACCGTGTGGATCTGGACGTATCTAAGCGGTCTGCATCGGAATAACTTATGTAAAAGGGGCGCTTGTTGGCTAAAAAAAAATGAATGAGTTTGTCATAGTTTAAATAATAAAAAAAAATCGATTGATGATTTTGAACAGTAAGGGGACTTTTTGAGCATGAATGTATAAACTATAAGCTTTGAGCAAAAATAAAATACTGAAATTCCGTGTATTTTCTTCACTCGAAGTGGTAGCTCTCTCAGTCGGCCGAGGCTACCCTAGAGTGTACACGGAGTCCGTGCCCGAGCCCCACCATCACCGCCGTGCCCGTACAAGCGAAACTGAGGGATCAACTTGTGGAAGAACGAGGCGAAGGACCGTAAGATCATGCTTTCAATTCAATCGACTACACGTTTTGACTTCTTTTTCGCCAAAGGCGGTGTTAGTGCCGCTCAAAAAAGCAATTTTTTCACCGCCTAGTCGATACCATCTGACTAAAACAACCAATAAGTATTGTATTGTATTGTGTATTGTAAAAGACGTGTGAAAGTCTTTTTTCAGCGAACTTCGTCAGAAGTGTGAAAATAATCGTCAGTTTTGATCTCAAGACAGCGGTAAAATGGAAGCAATTTTAAAATGACAAAACAATCTTTTTTCGTTAACTAACTGAGTGAGACTAAATATTTCATAGTAACATAGTCGAAGAGACCTCACTATTATATTTAAAAAATTAAACCCCTTTTCTAAAAAAAAAATGTCAAGTGGAACTCGTTGCCAGGCGAAATGAAAAATATAAGACGGAAAATCGAAGCAGCAAGTCGGGGTGCACTCGTAACGTACTACGGCAAGGCATATGAGATGTTTCCCTCGCCGCGTTTTCCCTCACTCGCCATAAATGGGAAACGAAGACGAGAGTCAACAGTGTGAAAAAAAAGCCACGCCAATCAGCTGTCAGGGAAAAAACAGTCGAGAAAAAAAAAACTGGGTGGCGGGCGAAATGAACGTATAAAAGAAGAAGAAACCCCTCAATCGCATTTTTGAAAAAAAAAAACCCGTGAACATAACTAACACGTCTTCATTAGTACAAACTCTTTACCCGACTTCATAGATAATAATATACAGCTTTTCGAATTTCATCACTATTGATACTGCCTTTGAACATGTTAACTGAATCGCAAGAAAAAATATAGATATTCGCTTGACTTTTCTTTTTCTCACACATAGACATCTAAACTCCTTTTTTTCTCTCTCCATTAATGATTGAAATTTCCTCCTACTTTCTTTAAACTAAAAAACTATGCCTTTTCTACCGAAGAAATTCGTTATTTTTTCTGGAACGCACATTTTGAATCTTGATCTGTCATTGAGGCTCATCAACGAGAGATCGAAGATATATACAACGAAGGTACCTGATCGTAAGTGTAGAGACAGGTGGAACAGGTGAGGAAGGTCTCGGAAAAGTCGTCGAGGTTGATGTTGACGGTCTCGACGAGCGAGGTTGTCGCGTTCATCTCAGCGGCTCTTGGATTTCCCGCCTGGAGCGCCACCTCCGCTGGCGTCTGTAAAACGAACATACATCATGAAGTCCGAGGAAAGCCGCTAGTATGTTTCTTCTTCTATGACTCGTACCAGGAACATTGTTCTTAACGCTTTATACATTATTTGAGTGCAAAAAAATGAACATCGATTTTTAAGTGCACAACGCCCTAAAAAAAAAATAAAAAAATCGATAATTTCGGGAAAAAATGTGTACTTTATTAATGTACGGAGAATTGGCGACGCACTTTACACAGAAACGACTACCCGCTCATAAAGTTTGATCAAGAAGAAAAAAAAGAGTGCAACGGCCGAAGGAGAATTTCAATGCGCAGATCCGCAGACATTATGCAGAGGGCGGAGGTTTGCACGCGCTGTTGCGTCGACAAAACGATCTGTCTCCACATCTATGTGTACGTTGTTTTCTGCCCTTACATCATAGCCGCCTTCCTTTTCAGAGTTGAAAAAATGGAGAATTGAACTAGTAAGCTCGTTAGAATGGATTTGCGGGTCTTTATGTCTGAAGAATGAAAAAAGGTTATTCATTGATTCTTACTTGAGTTCAGAAAACGAAGATATGAAACCTTTTAAAAGTGGTAAGCAGAAAAGAACTTAAGGTTTGATTGAAACGCGTTATTGCCACAGGCGAACTCTGGGAGTCAAGAGAATTAATTGAAAAAGAGCTGGTTGCGAAAATCCCTTGAATTGAACGATAATCGAGTTCTGACAGATTGTGCGCTTGGATCCAAGCAGACAGAAGCACATCCTTGACCTCAACTCACATGTAGGAAACGCTGCATAGAAACAGAGGACTAGACCGCAAAATGGTAGAGACGGACAAAATTTTCTCGAAAATTGGAAAGGCGCGTGACTTGGGCAACTTTGAACAAGAGATGTTCTTCAGGGGCCGCTTCTCTCATCAGGTCCAACGCCCCTTCTTTCGCGAGCAACCCTTTATTTCTCAAGTTCACTTCTGCCAGATCGAAACAAAGCAGCTGCCGTCTCACGAATTTTCTAATAAAAGAGTTGAACTTGGAAGGTATGATCAAATCGACAACTTCTATGACCTGCGATAAAAAAAGACTGTTGTAGGAATGGTAGATTTCAGCTTCCAAGAAAAAAATCACTTGCTATTGATTTTTAATGATCATTTGACCTCATTACATTAAAAAAAGATTTAAAACAAAATGATGAGGGAAAAAAATATTTTTTTAATGAAGGACCTAAAATCAAAAAAAGCTTCAAAAACAGATTTTTGAAAAAAAGTAAGATTAACGTCAATATCATCTTTTACTTTTTTTTAAACATCTATCAAAGCGAGTAGACTGGCAAGAAGCTACATAAAAGTAAAAGCTGATGAAATTGAATAAAATAAAATAATAAATGAAAACGATTTTTTGCCAAAATCAAAAATTCTTTCATCCTCAAAGATTTTTCGAAAGTCTCACTTCAGATTTATCGATGTGGAATGCGAGCCTCCAGCAGGAGAATGGAAAGTAGGAGGGAGACTGAACGTCAGCTGCAGAATAGACGTGCCGAATGATAACACCTTCGTGCCCAAACATTTGGACGGTCATCGTCCTTCACGCCTATTTACACTACGGACAATATGCAGGACCACCGCATTATCATAATTTTTGCGCATATGGGTTACAAATATGCTAACTCTAAACAAGCATTTCTTCTTCTTCCTTGTTTATCTTATCGTCCACGAAGGAACAACCATAAGATGTTTATAAAAAAATCATGAAGTTTGTGCTTTGTTAGGAAGTTCCAAACGAGGTGTTCTGGAAAACTTTGATAACAGTCAAAATTGAAGCCAAAAATTTTCTATTCATATTATCTTTTAGGAAAAAAAAAAAGTTATCTTACAAGAGCTATTTTATTCATTGAGTATATCGTTAATCTGGTCAGCACATATATTTAAAAACTTTGAAAGTATAGTTTGTTTTAAAATCCTTGCTGGACTGTTCAATGAAGCAAACCAAAAAATTCTGGAAAGTCTCAAAGCGAAGAGCCGGTTTTGTGTTACTTCAGTGATCTACTTCATATTTCAACTCTGACCGATGGCGTTGGAAATGTATGAAAACCCGCGGATCTCTCAAATAATCAATTTTTCCGAATCATTGAATAACTCCCGCCGAATCGAAACGGAAGGAACGAAGATTCATGAGAAAAAGACGCAGAACATTCAACTAAAGGCCTGAGAGCAAAAATAATAGTATATTGAGAGAAAAGTGAAGTGAGAGAAGGCCGGTAAACAAACAAAAGGTGTTTGGGAAGTTGACTGCTCGGAAGCTTATACATAAGCAGACGAGGACGAGTTACAGTGGTAAGTCGGCTGGACGAACCAGGAAAGGAAGATGAAAGCGAGAACGAAGATGGGAATCGTAATAAGACGAAGGCTTGTATCTGCTTCAGCGGTCCGCTTCGCACTCTAACGCGCTCCCTCGTCGTCTTGTGTCCAGTCGTCGCGAGAACAACGCGGCAAACAGCTGACGGACCAATATCAGGCCTGGGAATCCACGCGGTCGAGACTGTCTGCCCCTTGGGAAACTGAATAAAATCGCACGAGGTGTGAAAATCGCTGCTCTGTCTAATGTTTACTTTGAACCTTCCCTTTATTATGCGAAAAAGGCTTAGGTCCTCTAGATCGACTATGACGATGCGAAAGACATTATGGGCGACGATTCTCTAAGTAACGTCATAATTTAAAACTATTTTGAAGAAAAGAGTTTTTTCCATTTTTCAAGAAGGCAACGAGAAAGAATCAAAAGCTACAGATGCTGAATATATAATGTGGCCTGGTGTTACATCTGGGATGAGATCGATATACGTGCACACAATGGGCTTTATGGGCGTTTGCCTTGTACGGCAGGTCGACGCGAGGTCGAACGGTCATTCGTGACAAGCACATGCGGCAGACACCGAGGAGACCACCTTCGACGATAAGAAGACGAGCCGTAATTTGCGATAAGACACTTCTCAAAACAAAACAACGAAAAAAGCCTTGATGCTTGCGATGCTGGGAAACATGAAGAACCGTGGGAAAATTTTGGAATGGAAAAAAAATCAGCAAATGTTTTGCTTCAAAAAAGGACGTTTAGAAAAAAACATATAAATGAAGACGAAATCGGAAAAATTCGATCGACTTATCTATAATTCCACTCGAATCAATCAAAACACAAGAAGAAAGGATAATAACAAGAATTAAGAAGACAAAACGTAACCTTGACAGGGGACGGAGGTGAAGGATGTGGGGCCACGAGGTTGTAGCGCATCTCGGAGAACTTGCAGAAGTGTGGACTCAGTCCTTTCGCGGCTGTCGCCGAACTCGCAGCGTCCGCTCACCCGATCGATTAGACCTTCTTTTCTTCCCGTTGTCCACTCCTTTCAATTAATGCATTATTCGGCGACAATTAAGATTTTAACGACAGAATTGATCAAGAGAGTCACTAATATGTTGAGATAATGTGATTCTCATGTTGAGATAACACGATTCTCAGCAACTATCTAGTATCAATTTTTTCGAAAGAAAACAAAAGCGAAATAATGACAACTTTGTGCAAGTGAAAGCTTTAATTAATACAAAATTTAGAAAAAGAAAGAAAAAAGTTAAAATCGTTACGGCAATTTTTAGTGCACTCCAATAGAAAGAAAACTTTAATTTCTCATATTCTCATTATATAAAAGAAAATACAGATAGAGAAAATAATAAAAATAAAGAATAGCTAAAATTTTGAAATTCGTTTTGATTAAGCTGGCGAATTAATTTTGTTACTGTCGGTAATTGCACTGCACTGCACTAGAAACGCACCCTACGCGCACTCAAAATACAATTTGCAAATTAACACTAAGAATAACTGACGAGATAAACGCGAGCTCGGTGGCGGTACATTGACTAACTCGCAAAAATGTCGCTTTTTTCTAGGCGCGATCCCGCATTTCTCTCGGCGCGACCTCGCATTTTTCTCGGCGCCATCTCGCATTTATCTCGCATTTCGGAAATTTTCAAATTGCGAGAGAAATGCGAGCTCGCGCCTAGAAAAATGCGAGCTCGCGCCCAGACAAATGCGAGACCGGCGCGAGAAAAAAAGCGAGATGTTTGCGAGCTCGTCAATGTACCGCCAGTGTCTCGCGTTTATCTCGGCAGTTATTCTTAGTGTTGTTTATTTGACTAGTTTTTATTTACAATAATATTTTGGAAAACTTGGCTTTCATTTCGAATTTTAACTTTTCAAACTTAGGTTTGCATTTGAAATTTTCATTAATTTGCGGCTGAACGCCCTATTCCTACTTCAGAAGTAGGTGAAGTTTTTTCATTACAAATGTGAAACTTATTATGATAATTTGTTCTTATTTGATACTTCGTCGCGATGGTGCGCGCTTCGAAAACTGTTTTTTCTATGAATTACATCATTATAGGGTATTTCGTATGGGCGACAACGCTGGGTTGTTCGCCGACGCAGCGTCGTCGCAGACTTCCTATGGCGGCATTGTCAACGAAATGTTCGATTCGACGTCTGCAGGCAATGGCGTTGCTCAAACAAACGCTCCACCGCTTCCGAAAAAGCTCGACGGGGCTCCGCTTATTCTGGGTTTGACGTTTTGCATTTTTCTTTCTGTCCGTTCTGGCTAAATGAGCATTGGAAAGTTTGAGGCAACTGTTAATTACTAGTATCTTGGTTTTTTAGTAAGACAGCAGGGGATAGCTTTTTAATTCAGAGTTTCATCATCTTATCAACTACATGTTGGAATTGGTGGCCAAAACAATTTAAAAAATTCTCTTTCGAAGTTTCATTAGTTCTCTTTTTTCCATTCCTGTCACCTCCCAAAATTAGGCTATAGTGAGATAATTTTTTATTCATTTTTTCATCCTTTTTCTCTGAAACAAGAAATTTATGAAAAAGTTGATCATAGAAAACCGAAAAAGTAAAACATAACCTCATTTGATGCGTGAATGAGATCTTTTTCAGCTTTGAATATTTCTTGCGCGTTCTAAAAACTGGTTGCCAAGCAATTTACGTCGAAAAATCAAGCCAAAACCTACTTCCTGTAGTCGCGTCATGGATTTCTGCAGATGCGTTTCTTTTGAAAAAAAAAGACCTTTATGGACATGGAAACTCATAATCTCTTATCAGCTTGGCGCTTCTTCTTATCGATTTGGCAGCGGCAGCGGCTCTGTTTCGAAATATGATCAAGCGTTTATTTATACGGCATTCGAGAGGAATCTCTGATTGCAAGTTTGTAAACGACGGCCTTACTCACTCTTTGCACCTCACTCACTGTTGACACAAAGTTTGTGGAGCCTGAAACGCGCGTGAGAAACGCGCAAAATCTAACTGACGTGGGAGAGCGTGTGCTTATATTTATGCTTGTCGTGCGCGATATCCCCCTCTTTTCATTAGCTTCATGTGATATTTTTGGAATTATACTTTTTCAGATACTTTGAAGTTCGATCAAATTTTCGCTTTTCCCCATTTCTGCATCTTTTTTTTCAGTCGTTGTCCTCTCTTCGAAAATATTATTCTCGCAAGTTTCAATTTTCATCTCACGACCAACCAGCGCCTCTGGAAGGCAAAATTTATTCATTCTTTGTTTTTGTTTTTTCATCGCGAAATGATGTTTCGAAAGCTCTGAATAAATTAAACGTGATTAGTGCGCAAAATGGACGGGTTAGGCCCAACGACGAGCACAATGGATCATGATAGGGTGCCTATTCCAGATGGACCTTATGTAGGTCCACAAATTTCCTTTGATCGTAAGTTTTTTCATGAGATTATTAGAATAAATATAACTAAAAGATGCTTTTTTCAGAGGAAGAGTCTCCGACGACGACGACTCGTGAGATGAACGGTCGCCCCACATCTCCAAGTATTTTTTTCGCATTTTCTTGATTCGAATATTTTTTTTCTTTGAGGCATCGAGTTCACATCAGCGAGACCAGGCGGATTGTCCACGATTTCTGGCGTTTTCGCTCCGGTCGCCCTGAGCATGTTCAGTATATTGCTGTTCATGAGAATGGGTCAGAACCTCGGAAGTTTCAACTTTTTGAAGGTTTTCTTCAGGTTTTGTCGTCGGACAGCTCGGATTTCTGGTTACCATCGTCCAACTGTTGATGGCCTACGCAATCGTGATGCTGACGGTTTTGTCGCTCTGCGCCATTTCTTCAAACGGCGCTTTGGAAGGCGGCGGCGTTTATTGTGCGTTCTAAAGCTTCGTTTTTGAAAATAGAAAAGTATAAAGAAGTGTATTTTTGAAAGCTTTTATACAAAAATAGTATGACGGAAACGTTTTGAGGCTTTAAAAAATCAAATATTAGTGGTGCTGAAAAAATGGCTAACTGAATCGAATACGAAAAAAAAAACGAAAAAAAAAGTTAAAATTCGGAATTAATAGGCTGCTTTAATTTTTTTATTGTATTTTATTATCATCTGATCCTTGGAATCACTAATGGAAACCTGGCAAATAAAATGAAGAGCTCAAGGAAAAACTTCAAATGTTTTTTTCGGAAGTATATAATTCATAAACGACTGAAAAACTTTTGAACTCTTGAGTTTTTATAGAAAAATGTTGAAAGGTTGTCTTTTTCTTTACTTCAATGAACCAAATATTTTGCAGATATGATCAGCAGGTCGCTGGGACCAGAGTTCGGAGGAGCCATCGGAGTTCTTTTTTTCGTGGCCAACGTTTTCTCGTGCGCCCTCTACATTTCTGGTTTCACAGAGGCGCTTCTAAACAACCTCGGCAACGGCCGTAAATCTCTTTTGTTTTCCCGAATCAGCTCCAATGACTTTTTTGAAGAGTTTCCGGATTCCTCTACTTGGAGATTTTTCTACTGTGTTCTGGTTTCTGTGGTCCTTCTTGTTCTCTCTTTACTCGGAGCTGGGCTCTTCGCCAAAACTGCCCTCTTCACTTTCATCCTCATCTCTGTTTGTCCCGAAATCTATTCATTTCCAATCTACTGTTTAAGGTGTGCTATTCGACGTGGATTTTCTCGGTTCTGTTCAACGGTTCGATGGATGTGCCGATTCCGAAGGTGTTTTTCTGAATATGTTAATAAAATTCGGAGAAGCATAATGGAATAGAACTTTTTTCAAATTTCTCAAATAGATATATTAATTAATGAAATTTTAGGTGAATACTCCTGCCTATCGATTACCAAACAATGAAAGCGATCCTGCCGCGGGAACCCATGAAGATTTCAACAGAACACTTTATGCACCTTATACAGGATTCAGGTATTTGAACACTCACATTCCAACTTCACGGAATATGATCGGTCAGAAGATTCCATAGTTTGATGGAGATAAAAACCTGAAAATTTGAACGCAAATCGCCTATTTATTTGCGTTTTGATCAATCTAGAACATTCACAGCTGGTAGTTGAATCTCACAATGAGAAATGAGAATCGAAAAATTTTTTTCAAGAAAAGTTCTTTCTGTTGATTCTGTAAACGATTTCAGAAACGATTTTTTCTCATCATAAGGTTCAGTAAAAATTTTTTTCTTTCTTTCACCTTGCAAGTTGAAAGTTTCTACAGCTGCGTTCATTTGTTCTATCCAATTATAATTTATCAAAAAGTTTTCAGCTTTCACACTCTCGGAGAGAACATGTTGACCAACTACACGATGGATTATACGACGGAAAAGCCGACGGATTTCGCCCTCATGTTCGCCATCATCTTCTCCGGCGTCACAGGTTTTTTTTTTCGAATTTTAGAGAGTTCCGCGTAGAAAACTGTTCTGAGATTTTTTTTTTCTTCCGAACCAAAACGAAAAATTCGCGAAGACACACTAAAAAAATTCACAAAAATCTTGGTCTTTTGAGCTCTTTCCCTCAATTTCATATTGGTAACCCTCTCAATATTTGAGGCTTGATGGCCGGAGCGAACATGTCGGGAGATTTGGCGCGTCCCTCGGTTTCGATTCCTCGCGGAACTGTTCAGGCGGTCTTCACCACCTTTCTGGCCTACGTCCTGACGGCATTTCTGATGGCTTCCACTTCCAGTCGATACCTTTTGCAGAACGATTACACGGTTCAAATCTTTTTCCTTTTTTTTTTTCTTAGTTTCCAATGTATCTGCAGGTGATGATGGACACAAACTTCCAACGTTGGTTCATTTTGATTGGCATCTTTTCCACCACTCTCTTTTCGTCGATGAGCAACCTTATCGGTTGGTTTTTCGCTTCGTTCATCATCTAATAATATTCTCTTGTTTGGAGTATAGTCGAAATTTCTGAAAATCCTTTTTAAGGGTTTGTAGAATTTTTGAAAAAAATTTCCGAGTTCTTTGTGAATCGCGGTTCAAATTTTTAACTTTAGAGAAGTATTCTGATAATCTGCAAATTATTTTTACAAGAAGAATTTTTTGAAAATTGCTTCCAAAAGTTTTTGAAATAAGTTCTAAGATTTTCACGCATCAAAAAGTTTATGGGGTATTTTTGTTTCTTATTTTTTTTGAAAAAAAGTATATTTGCTTCTCAGCAAGCTCAAAGGAAGAAAAAATATGTAGAAAACTGTCCAAATGCCCAAAAAAAAAGAGAAATTGGGTTATTTTCTCAAGAAAACTGCTTTTTCACAGGCTCTTCGCGCGTTCTCAACCGTCTTTCCCACGACAAACTCTTTGGCTGTCTGTTGCGTCCCGCAAAGATCGAAATCGGCGACCGTAACCCCGTCGTCTCAGTGGTCATTTCATGGATCTGCGTCGTGGTATTCCTCCATTCAACTATTCTGATGCTATTTGCCTCAGCTCGTGTTTCTCGTTGGAGCCATGAACAAAATCGCCAAACTCACCTCCATTTTCTTCCTTTTGTCCTACATGGGAGTCAACGTTGCCTGCCTCGCCTTGGAGCTTACGAGCGCCCCGAACTTCAGGTATTCGATGGAGATTTTCGAGAGAATGCATCACGCTTTGGTGTTTGGAAATATGAGAAATCTTTGCTCCTTAAGACCTACGTTCAAGTTCTTCTCGTGGCAGACGTGTGCTCTGGGGGTTCTGGCGACGGGAACGATGATGTTGGTGGTGGACGCGAGTATGAGCGCGATCGGCGTCGTCGTTCTGATGGCCCTCATCATGGTCCTTCATTACCAAGTGCGGCTCCTTCTCTTTCCACAGAGTAACCCCGGCTTTCAGGCGCCTAGCGTCTCTTCTGGCTCCATCTCCCAGGCACTCATCTATCATCAAGTGCGCAAGTACTTGCTGCTGCTCGACGTTCGCAAAGAACACGTCAAGTAGGCATTTTATTTGATCTGGGTTTCGAATTTCGTGCTTGGCGAAATTTATAGAAAACGAAGAAACATTCAGAATCATACTTTTTTTTTATTTTGAGCCATCGTTTTGATCAGAGCGAAACTGCATTTCAATTTTCCATTTCTTCCAAAATGGAAGAGGAGTTTGTACCAGAATAAATTTAACTCTTCCCCATTGTGTGGAAATCGGAATTTTCGAATTTGAGATATTGGCGGCCACAAATTCTGCTACTGGTCTCGAGGCCGGCCTCTGCTTGTCCCCTGCTAGATTTCGTGAACGATCTGAAGAAGTCAGGCCTCTACGTCATCGGTCATGTTCGGAAAGGCGAACTTGACTCTCAGCAGGTCGTCGACCCTTTGCAACAGGTTTTTCAAGTTTTCCGGCCCCTTGAGCGGTTTTCTTGAGGTGTTTCCCTACTGGCTGTCTTTGGTCGACTATCTCAAGCTCAAGGCTTTCGTCGAGCTGACACTGTCCAACAACATCAGGCAGGGAATCCAGCAGCTGATGCGCCTCTCGGGCCTAGGCGCCATGAAGCCCAACACAGTGGTTCTCGGTTTCCATGAAGTCAACCCTTCCAACGTCACTCTCCAGGTATTCTTGGACTTTCCGAACTATTTCAAAATCATATCTTGAGGAGTCTCAACTTCTCAAAGATCTGCGTTATTCCAAGATTGATCGAGCTGCTGTTGTCGAATACTTCACGGCAGGAGACTACATGCCAAAGGTTTAGAACATATTTCTCAGGGGAACTGAATTGATGATTTGACAGGAACTGGATGGGAATTTGGAGAGACTTTCTTCCGAAGAGTACGTTTTAGTGCTGAAGGACGTCCTGCACATGACCAAGAATTTGTGTATTGCTCGTCATTTCCAGAAAATGGATAAGGCTTGTGTTTTTGAGGTCCCCGAGTGATTTATCTTTTTCAGGAAGCTCTTGCTCGTGGCTGGAACGGACAGAAACGCTATATCGACGTGTGGCCGGTGGATCTGCAGAAGCCTGTCGAGGCCGGCCTCGGATGGGACAACAGGTTTGGCAATATCATCGAGAAACAAACAACAGTCAGTGATTGAGAGTATAACCAAGAAAATCTTAAGGGTGACCTGGATTTTTTTTTTCGTCTAAATTTGTGTATAATTCCAAGGGAGTGTTAAAGTCTTTTCATTGATTCTTAAGTATTCCATGAGCTCTCAAAATCAAATAACTCTATTAACGCAGTTTTTTGTAGATTCTGATGAAAATAATGGATTAAACCGCAACTAAAAAGCAACTTCAGCTCATTGTTCCTACTCCAACTGTCGTGCATCCTTTCGATGTCTTCTCGTTGGAGGTCTTACGCGAAGTTGCGCGTTTTCATATGTGTTAATAGTTTGCAGGTCATTGTATCCCAGAATGGCTTGAATAAGTTGAAATGTTGAAGGACATGCATCGACGAGAGCGGCAGCTGAAGAACATGCTCGACACGTTGAGGATCCAGGCGCAGTCGATCGTCGTGCCATGGGACCACGTCGTCTGTCACTTCTCTCCACAGGCCGCGTCGACGTCTTCTGGACATGCGGCTGTGCCTGCCTGGTATCTTAATAGTGTTTGCTCATGAAATCAGGGAAGTAATACTTTCTTTCTGATAACCTGCAAAAATTGAACCGCGCCAACAGACGGAAAATAGATCAACTGAGAAGGAAATTTCACGAAAGAACGCTGGAAAAGTTTACATTTATGACCGTTAGTTAAGTAACACTTTGGTTTGAAATAAAATTTTTCTTTTTTATAGCGTCAATTGTACTTCTACGGTTCATTGAAAATAATTCTTAGCGAATCTCGATATGTCATCGCACGTTATAGGCGATATGTTGACGAAAAATGCCTTTCTCAGGCTTAAAATTTTTTATTTTTATTTTGTTTTGATTTTCCCAGCGAATAGCGAAATAAATGCTTTCAGGCCATCTGTGGAACTGCCGACAGCCTACGTCTCCGCCTTCAACGATATGATCAAACGTTATTCCGAAGAGGCGGCAATCACTCTACTGAATTTGCCTTTGCCGCCCGAAGACGCGAATCAAAACGCCGAAAAGTGAGGAATGGCACTGAAAGTGTGTGTTAAAGGCGGCTCTTCAGATATTTGTCGGTGATACGAAGTCTGACCGATTCTCTCCCGCCGACGTTACTCGTCCACGGCGTCTCGTCCGTCATTTCGACAGCCATGTGATTGATAGATACCCTTATTCTATTACTATAACTTTTTCCCTTGTTCATTACGCTTAACATCTTTGGTGCTGATGGTTTTTTTTCATTTCAAAATAGTTGTATCCCAAATCTCGCGGTTTTTTTTCATCTCGAAGCCCCACGGGATTCCTATCACTTTCATGTATCCTGTTTGCCTGAACTTAAATTATTTCGTGTACCTTCCTATCGTTGTAATTTCCTGTGATATATTCCACATGATTATTCGTTAATCAAAACTTATTAAATTTATTTTTTAACTGTTTTCAATAAGTCGGCGAGCAAAAAAATATATATTTCTGCGATCTCTTTCCTGTTGTGGCAGACTAGAGATCTAAGCTGTTGGAAGTTGTGATGATTAAAGAACACTATTTGAAATCTTTCAAGGATATAGAAAAGGTGCGGAGCCGATGGTTCGCGGAGCACCGTTGCCCCAACCGACAGGCATTCCTCCGATTCTTCCGCTGCCTCCCATCGAAAGTCCGAAGTCCCTCTCGATGCCGAGTCCTCCGAAAGGGTGCTGAATTCCGATCCCAGAAGTGATGCCGATGTCGCCAAGGCCTGAAGACGTCAAGTCGGATCTTCAAAAGCCGCTCACCTGGTCCAAATGGAACGCCGTTGTTCCCAGATCGAGGAGCGCCCAGCTCTGACTCCTCGTAGTTGTTCCAGCGACGGAACTCGTCGAGTGACGGCGCACCGTAAGGAGAAGCTGAGGCTCTGAAACTGGTCTTGTTTCCAAATAATAATACTTTGTTCGTTTGAAAAATTGCTGAAGTGTTCCTAGAAACGGCAAACTTTGTGGAATTTGCAGGACTCAGAATTTTCTATATTTTCATGCAGAAGTGTCATTTTTCTAATCAAGTCAGCAAGAAATACCGAACTGGCTTCAACTTTAAATTTAACCTCGAGGAATCGATTTTAGGTGTGGAAAATACACGGGGAGCGGTCCAATCGTTTGTGGAACCACTGGCAGGGACGATTCCAATCATTTGTTCTTTGAAGTGATCGCATTTCGCCGGATTTATCTGACAGACGACGTCCGTGAGACTACGTGCTTGTGCTGAAATGAGCTTTTGGAACAAAAGAACCAGGGTTCATTCAAACCGTAGAGAAAAACAATGGAAAAGACGATGAGTAACATTTAAGATTGGCCTTTTTCGTCGATTTCGCATTGTCTTTTCGACGATCACGTTGTAAATAACGTCAATGTTCAACACAATAACCCACCTAGATTACAAAAAAAAGTTTTATCATGAAGTATTACGGATTTATATGCCCAACTTACATTTTTGGAAAAAGCAATTTTTTGTTTTTTTGCCTTAATGAACATTTAATTATATAAAAATATTGATTTATGTATGATTATCTTTACAGTTCCCTTACATATGGTCGTCTGAAAATGTTGAATCATGACACTTTTGAAATTATTTTTTTTCATTACGAAAAAAGTGATCAATTTTCCTGCGGCCAGAAAAGACTTGAAATTTAGTAGGATAACTTGATTTCAAGAATGAAACTAACTTTTCTTTCCATCTAAGACCATAACACAATCGGTTGCGGAACTTCAGTCTCTTGCGATAATCATAGGTAAAACTGAAAAGTTCCTTTGAGGATCCTTGAAGGATCCTGAGAGGGAGATAAAAAGCTTCCTCTAAAAGCTCCTAAAATGATGTAAAAAAGCTTTTGAGCACCTTTTTCATAGCTTCAGAGGATCCTTTTTGAATCCTCTCGGATCTTTTTAGTTGCTTTCCAGCATCCTTCTTGTTAGAGAATGTGAAAAAGATGCAAAAAAGAAGTGAAACGATATAAAAAAGATCTGCTGGGGACCCTTTCAAGGTCTTTTTTTGAGAAAAGCTTTTGGGGAGCTTTTCAGTTTTGCCCGAGAAAGCTAATTTTTTTTCATTCAAGGAAAAAACATATTTATTTTCAAACGTGTCTAGCCGCTCCAATCTTCATATTCCCAGCTTTGGATATCAATTAAAATGACCATTATTCCTAGGTGCTGGTGAGGCCTTCCGATATTTCAAACCTTGACAGTTTTTTTAATGGAAAAAAATGAGAAATTCTTTCCTGCTGCATTCCGTGAACAATAATTGCTTCGGAACGACTTCAAAGCCTTATTTCCTACGTGCGCAAAAAGGCCGCGCGACCGACGTTAGAGGTCAAGGCCGCGAGTTTGTCGCCTGCGGCCGCCGCGACGACTTGAGACTTGTGGACACTGCCGGATGGCCTGGACCCTGCTCGAACCAGAAGATGAGGCGACTCTGACGGTCGCGGAGCAGCGACTCCGACGGCAGCTCTCCCTGCTGTTCCGGTTCGCTGTCGCCGTCTTCTGCTGCTGGCATCTCTTCGACTTCCTCTTCTCCTCCATCTGGATGCACGGCTACATATGGTCTCTCAACCTGCCCATCGACCTCGACATGTCCGACAAATCCGCTGGCGCTATCGTCTATCATCAGCTTCATCAGGTATATTTGAGAGACTTTCAAGTATCTGAAAATCCGGCTGTGAAAATCAAGTTATCGGAAAAGTTGTGATTAATATAGTCTAGAGCATTTTTACACTCAGAAATTTCGTGTTTCGCAAACCGCTTCGAAATGGAAGTTTGAGCGTGTCAGAAAATACAAAAAATCTAGAGGCTTTCTATAGAGAATTGCCTTTTTTTTGTGAAGTATTGGAGTGGCTAGTTTTTTTGTTTTTTTAAAAAAATGATCTTTCCTGAAAAAAATGATCTTCTTTGAAGACAAAATTTGAAAAAAGAGCTTTTTTTATTAAATATAATATAATTCTCTGAACCTTTGAGAGGAAGTCTGTTCGGAAAATTATCCTTATGGAAAGGCTCAACGTTCTGCATCACATAATGTATCCTTTAGTACAGTCCGAAAAAAATTCTGAAGTATGCAACCGCCACTTATAAAACTAAATTATTGAGGCTACAAAAGATTGATCCTCATCGAAGATAAGATGAAGACTTTTCTTTTTGAAGAAAAGAAAACTAGAGAATAGCGTCCCATATCATATTTCATCAATAAGTAGTATTGGAAAAGTCTAGCTTTCTGAGTTTTCATTCTTCATTCCCTCTTTTTATTTGTCGAGTTTGCAGGTTGGACCCGTGGAGCGTGTGGTCCACGCCATTCTGTGCGTCTTGGGAGTCGCTTTCGTTTTGTTGTTAGTTTTTCTTCGGTTTTTTTTTTGGCCGTCTAGCTTTGGTCATTTCTTTATCGCATTGGAAATTGCTCAGATGCGTCGGATTCGGCAAGTCAGAAGGACAGACGACGTGGAAACTTCTGCGCGTCTCGATCGTCGTGGGATTCGTCACAGGACTTCTGAGGCCTGTGCAGGTTTACAACACTACAATAGTGGAATGTACTGGGCTTCAAAAAGTTCAGATGAAACAACGATTCTTCTCGTGTTTGCACGAAGGTTTCTACTGTTATTTCATGTTCTTCGTCATCGGCTTAATCTTGACTTTCCGGTTTGGAGAGAAGTTCCCAAAGAAGGAAGCTCTGACAGAAGAGGCAGAACTTAAAAAGACTGAGGTTCCTTTTTGGTTTTCTTTTTTCTTCATCAAAGTTTTGTCTTGTAGTGACATACAACGGGTTTGATGTAAACTTTTCTTCGAGGAGAAATAAATATTTATTACGAACTTTTTATTTTTACAACCAAAGAAGAAACGACAAACGAGTGGAATGCAAGAAAGTACACGCATGTGAATACACTTGAGAGCAACGGAGGAAAGAACAGGAGAAGGAGAAGAACTATCCGCCGTAGCCCATGTAGCCGCCGGCAGACTGATGTCCTCCGTAGTTGTTGGCCGGATAATTGTCGGCGGCGTAGTCTTCGGCGCGGATTCGTGGTTGTGGACCAGGGTTGATGAGAAGAATCGAGTCGACGTTCTGACAGACGCAGACGCCGGGTTCTCCTGGAGGTCCTTGTCCTCCCATCGGACCTTCAGGTCCTGGGTAGCCTGGCTCTCCAGACTCGCCAGATACTCCAGGCCATCCACGGTCTCCCTCAAAATAATCAGTTTCGGTTTTTTTTTCGATGACGTTTGTCATTGGCTTTCAACTTGTTTGAGTTCTTTTTTTCCATTGATTACTAACTTACAAAACTTCCTTCTCAAATTCAAAACTGAATTCGATATGTGAAATTGGATTTTTTTCAGTTCGAAAAACTACAAAAATAGAAAAAATACAATTTTTTTGTAAGACGATTATTGAAGGTACGATAAAGTGTTCAAAAGTATCCTAATTAGATATTTGTTCGATTGCGATAACAGTTCCCGGTTTGAGAAACTTTGTGAAGTACTGCAAGTGAAATTATTTCTTCCATCTTACAAGACTTTCGAAGATTAAAAAAAAACTGACTTGAGGACCAGTGAGTCCATTGCGACCTGGAAGTCCTGGCATTCCAGGTGCGCCGACCGGTCCAGGCGGTCCTTCGTCTCCGGGTGGTCCTTCGCGCAGTTCCCCTTCGGGCGTCGGTCCCTTGTCTCCGGGAGCTCCAGGTCCTCCGCGATAGCCGGGTGGTCCGACTGGTCCTAAAAACTCTTTTTTGAGACGGTAGAAAAGACGAATTATCGGTTAGTCTTTGGAAAAACAAGATTTTTTTAGTTTATTATTAGACATCGAAACGAATGTTTTTCATATCTATAAACTGTGCTCCATGTGATTATATTTTAAGTTAGCCGATAAAAAATTTTAAGTCATAATAATTTAGGACATAATGTAGGTTTCGAGTAAGCAATTCAAGTTCAAATCGGTTATTACAGTTCAAAATTATTCTTTCTTCGAAAAAAAAGAACGAATATTTATTAAAAACAGCTCTTCATGGTTATTGGCGCCGAAACGCGTCGAAACCGCTTGTTCACAAACTTTAAAACTGCCGCCGTTTAAAGCCCAGAAAAAAGTATAACGGAAAATGCATTTTCTGCTAAAATTCCATCCTGATTTTTTCCAAACGTGATTCACAATTGCAACTGACCAGTCTCTCCTGGCGCGCCGTCCTCTCCATCGAGGCCTTTGTTCCCTGGAGGTCCGGGCGGTCCGACGTCGCCCGGGAATCCAGGCCAGCCTTTGATGCCAGGTGGTCCTTTGGGGCACGGTCGGCATGGCGGAGGCTCTCTAACAACGTTGGCAGGACATGTTTGGTTTGGCGTTGTGCCCGGAAATCCAGGCTTGCCAGCAAGCCCCGGGCTTCCTGGAGTTCCAGGTGTGCCTGAAGGACCACGAGGACCAGGAGGACCAGGAATGCAGCAGCCAGGGCACTCGGAATCGAGTGGAGATCCGGTGACCTCGTCGCCGTAGGAGTTGGCTCGGAAACCATAGGAAGCGCCGCCGCCGTAGCCACGCTTCGTCCTGTTGTTGAACGCCATTTTGCCGTACTGCAGTTCCACGATCGCCTCGTCATTCGATCGCTTAATTAAAAGGTTTTTTCCATCTAGTTGAGTAGTTATTCCGGATATTCAGAGTGAAACCGGCTATTTTCATTTATAAAAAACTATTTTGAAAAAAAAAACGTTACTTAACTGATTTTTTTCAGAAAACTGAAGCGAAATTGATCAGAAAGAATCATTAAAGATGGATTATCACCTCTGTATCTAGTACTAGGCAAAAAAGTTGAGCCAAGTCTTTTCGTTTCTGGTGATGATCTAAAATTTGTGGCTGAACTCAAAATGAAGACTTTTTTTTCCCATGTTCTCTTTGTCTTTGAAAAGCTGACAGCAAACATTTCACTGGAGAAAAAATAGAGTGAATTTTTTCAAAAACTTAAAATTAAAAAGGATACCTCGCAGAAAGCCATTTCTCGCTCAACGTACTCGATCGTCGTTTGGACGTGGTTGTACATGGTTGGCAATGCGATGCAAACAATCAACAAGGATAATACACTGTAAATTTTCCACATTGTACGAATAAAGCAAGAAAAAAAACCTAAAAGTTATTTGGAGAGCTGTTGCAAACTGGTACATCCGCCGGCGGGCGTTGTTCGTCGTCTGCGAGAACGTCCGACAGCTGGAAACCATTTTTATATCAAAAAGAAAAGGTTGAGTCGATTATACTGGCAATAAAGAACGATGTCTGACCTGTCGTTTGCGGTGCTTTTCATTGTCGACGGAGGGCCAAAGAGTCAGAAAGCTGCGTCTTTTCTGCTGGCTCAGGTCTTCTGTCGAGAAAGAGTAAGAAGCCTGAAATGTGATTTTTTTTTATTTCTCACACGCTCGATAAATCGAGAACCTTTCGGCCTCTTTTCAGAACTGGCGGTTTCTTCCCGAGAAGTCCGCGGATGTACGAGAAAAAAGTGCGCAGTCGGCTAGGGACAGCTTTCGGCTCTTCGACCAAACTGCAAAGATATCGGGCTTAATTAGCAATTGTTCATTTTTTTAATTATTCATTTTTTTCTTTCAAACAGAAAAATCTCACTCACGCTTCATCTAAATAATTGCGAGCAAAAAAAAAATTTCAATAAATGGGAAATATAGGACTGTAGTTTCATCACATTCTCAAGCTTGATAGAGGACTTTCAAGACCTTCTCGAATATTTTTTTGTTGTTTTAAAGAATTCAACTTTTTCCCAAATGGGTAAGTTGTTTGACAATTCCAAAAATGATTTCTATAACAATCAAAAAATCAAGTCAAAATGAATTTATCGAAAAAAAAACTGTTTTTTAACTCCAATGATTTTAATGATCGAACTTGTGATTAACGTCTTCCTTAATATCCCGCTTTTGTTGTTTTTTCTTTTTGACGTCCTTCACCGATTGTTTCTTCAATTGCTTCTCCTCGACGCCGTTGCTCTGGAAATTAAAATTCTAAAAATTTTAAAGTTGATCAAAATGAGCTAACTTTAACTATTCTGATTGCGTTTTTTGCTAAGTCTCCAGTCCTTGACTGTTAACGCCAGTTTTCACAAACTCGAAAAAAGTGTACTTTTTGAATAGAGAGCGAGCAAAAATCCGTAGATTTGAAAATCTTCTTGCACTTTGATTATCCTACAGAGCTTTTTCGAAGAAACTATAGACACAGTTACCACGGAAAGACGTGAAATAAACTATGAAAAGCCGTGAAATTTCTTTTGATCATGAGAGGAGTCGAGAAAAAAGATTATAAAACTCAATCATTTTATTTTTGAAGTCCGAATCCTACTTGTCTAGTTAAGGTAACAATGAAAAGCAGCATGAGCACAAGAAATTCGATGAAGTTCAAGATAGATTCGAATGCGTAGAAGACTTGCGAGGTATGGAAAGATGAAGAGAAAGAGAGAGAATAACCCTTTCTGAAAAATTAGGACAAAAGGTTAGTGAAAGTAGAGGTGGATCGAGATACGTATCGCCGTAGGTTAGGGTCAATCAATGATTTGCGTTATCACTGGAGAATGAGGTCGGCATCCGGCGACGTTTTGTCACATCTCGCGACAAGCACCTGTCGGCCACGGTCCAAACAAACTTCTCTGCCCATTTCTGAGCTAATCAGGGTGCGGTCAAATCTTTTGGCGGTTAAACTGTTCCGCCAGAAAGCAATTTGAAATCTTGCAGTGAGAAGCCGCGAAAAATCAGAAATGCTTGACTGGGTGGGGATAGAAAAAAGGGATGTCGGAGATATAGGATCACATGCAACTTTTTTTCTAACGGAGCAAGCTTCAGCAACCATATCATCACTACTCATGGTAAGTCCTTTAGAATGTTATACTTTTCCGAGATTTGAAAAGTTTGGAAACCCCGAACATAAGCTTTGTACACAAAATTGCTTGAAATGGAAATGTTCGAGTTATTTTAAACTAATGCTCCGAGGTTGAAAGGGCGCGCCGTAGCGCAACAGGTTGTGTGCCTGTCTACGGTCCACAGGGTCACAAGTTCGATCCCCGCCCCGACCCAACCAAGGGGTTTAAGAAATGTTGGTAGTGGGAAACCACGACTTCAAAATCCCCAGCCGTCAAACACAAGGACGGATATGTCACTCGAGCCACTCCACTGATATCAGGATAGGACCTCGGCTAATCGACTTGGGGCGCCGACGCCGCTCAAGCGGTACAAAGGCGTAAGAAGAAGAAGAAGAAGCTCTGAGGTTGAAAGAAACTGCGCTGGATCGAATTGGAAATTAAAATCCGACTAGCAAAAAAAAAAAGAAAAAGGTTCAACCTGCGGCTCCGAGCTCATGGATTGTTGACGCCGACGCGAAAGGTAGGCGACGTGGGCACGGCTTCGAAGAATGCGAAATGGATATTGGGTGGGTCGGTCACCAGATATTCGCGGATATAACAAGACGATAGGGCGAAGATAGGCGCGCCCTTGACCGAACTGTTGTCTCCGATTGTTGCACACATATTTGAATATCCTGAAACAACGGCTGTCAATGAGATCCCGGCGAGTTGGAAAAAAAAATCGAATTTCAGAGAAAATCTAGGAGAATCAAGACTTATGGCTAGCCGAAGCCTGCTTCGAATTTCACCAAAGCTTTTTCAATTTTCCCTTCTTCTTAAGCGTTTTCCTTTCTAAAGTTTTGACGAAACTCAATCTTTTATTACTGGTAAACAAAGATATAAGCAGTAGTATGGAATTTTTTGTATTTTCAAAATATAGGCGAAGTTGGTTCAAATTTGGATTGAGTTAAATTTTATAGTATCAATACATTTTTCTCGCAGTTGATTCCAACATGTAATTAAGAGATTCATGAAGCTTTTCGGTATACTGAGAAATTTTTTTGTGAGAAACTACGGGAAAAATGAGAATTTATATTTTATAAAAAAATTATAAAAAAATTAAGTAAGCAGCCCACTGAATTTCCATTCAAGAAAAATTCTAAAAAAATTTTAATTTTTTTAAAAAAATTCACTAAGAATAACTGCCGAGATAAACGCGAGACACTGGCGGTACATTGACGAGCTCGCAAACATCTCGCTTTTTTTCTCGCGCCGGTCTCGCATTTTTTTCTGGGCGCGAGCTCGCACTTTTCTAGGCGGGAGCTCGCATTTCTCTCGCACTTTGAGAATTTCCGAAATGCAAGATAAATGCGAGGTCGCGCCGAGAAAAAGTGCGAGCTCGCGCCCAGAAAAATGCGAGACCGGCGCGAGAAAAAAACGAGATTTTTTCGAGTTCGTCAATGTACCGCCACCGACCTCGCCTTTATCTCGTCAGTTATTCTTAGTGTTAAATCAAAAATTTAAAAAACGTTGATTTCTGTGCTAGTCGTGCAAACACGTATACATACTCGATCGTTACCGTAGGCTGTGAATTCAAAAAATAAGGCATTTTCCATTTCAACGAAATTGTCCTTTTTCGCTAATTTATTTTCACGGTCACTGCGATTGACTTTTTCTTCAAAGAACGAGGAATGTTTTCAATACATTTATTGTGGGAAAAAGAAGTAAAAAACAATTGAAAGACACTGGAATGCAACTCGATTGACCCTTATGTGATAGTGATGAAATCCCTGCAAGAACTGAGGAAACGGATTGATCAGCTTGGCTACAATTATTAGAAATGATAATAAGAAAAGAGGTGGAAAAGCCGAGGTGAAAAAATTCCATTTCTTGGTAAGAGAGGGGAATTCTGAAAATGTTATTGGAGCATTTGTCGGTGGCGCTTCAGATGATAGTAGCCGCCATTGGGACGATGCTCACCGCGGTCTTCGTAGCCACCTTCGGATGGAGACTCGCTGGGATACCTAAACTTGTTCAGTTGATAATCAAAACTCTGTTGTAGAAGAAAGCTTACGCTGGGGAAGCCGCCATTTGAGAGGAACGGATAGCCGATGGCATCTGATTTTCGTAGTTTCCACCAGTCGCCGGTGCCGCTGTCTGAAACACTCTGGAATAATGAAAGAACCGTTGATAAGGACTGACGTCGTCACGAGGCGCCGGAATCTTTCCCTTTTCGTCGTTCATCACGACTTCGGTGTCCTGACAGACGCACGTTCCAGGAGTTCCGGAAGGTCCTTCTTCTCCAGCCGGTCCTGGTTGACCTGGAGGTCCCATCGATCCCGTGGCTCCTGGCGGTCCAGGCCAGCCTTTCTCTCCAGGAGTTCCAGCGTAGCCATCTTCACCAGGCATTCCAGCGCTTCCAGGTGGTCCCCATGGTCCTAAAGACTTGCATCATTTCGTGAAAAAAAGTTTTTAGGCATTTTTTTCTCAAAAAAATATAGACAACAGGCTTTTTTTGAAGTTTATGAAAAAAATTTAACTTTAATTTAATCTATAAAAATTCAAATAGAGAGGTAATTTCAAATTTTTTTGAAATAAAAAAATTGTATTTTTTTGAGTTATTCTGTTGAAAAATTCTTCTTAATGTCGTAGGAATTTCGAGAATGGAAAAACTGAGCTTTTTGACATTTTAAAAAACGGAAAAGCGAAAAGACCGTTTCGAAATTTTACTCAGCGTTAATTGACTTCGTACTTTGCCAGAACCTATGACTAATTTTATGCTGGTTGATTTGAAAAAAATTGTGAAAAATTTCGTGCTGCATAGATAGTTGATTATTTCACAGTTATTTTGGAAAAAAAACTACATGAGTAAAAAAAAGAATAAAAAATCGATAATGTGAGATAATGTAAAGAAACCTGGCGGCCCAGCTTCTCCTGGTGGTCCTGGAATAACGTGCGCTTCTGGAGTACGGCCCTTGTCTCCGATAGGACCAGCTTCGCCCGGAACTCCGGCAGGCCCTGGAGGACCAGAATCGCCGAGTTTGCCCGGAAGTCCATCCGAACCAGGCCGTCCAGGTATTCCTGAGTCTCCTGGGTCTCCAGGAAAGCCTGGATGTCCAGGTACTCCTCGAGGACCTTGTGGACATGGCAAACATGGTGGCGGCTCGAAAACCTGCAAATCGCATTGTATATCATGACTTTCCTAGTAGGAAGCACATATTAAAAAAAGAATTTATAAGTTCTTTAGCTCATTGAGTGCTCTCGCAAAATGGCAACTTCTAACCTGGACTTGCGATATAAAGTCAATAAACCCTCGAGTTTCACAGGAAAAGGATAAAATCTAATTGCCAAAATTTTATAATCAACTATTTATGGGTAAGTCTTTCTAACTGTGACTTGATTTTTCAATTTAGTATAAACTGAATAAACTTTCAAAGAAAAATGAAGTTGACAGATTGAAAAAAATTTAATTCGCTTCAAACGTACTCTTTCAGGAATGCAAGAGGCGTTTGGCGTTGCTCCAGGTCGTCCAGGAGCTCCGTCAGGACCTGGAGAACCAGCCATGGCGGGCAGACCGGCGTCTCCAGGAGGACCACGCTCTCCTGGAACGCAACAGGCGGGACATTCTTGGAACTGCGGAGAGTCGGCGGCGAGCATCGACGGATTGTAGGCGGCTCCGTAGCCGGCAGCTCTTTTGGATATATTCATGCCCTTTGCCATTTTATCTCTGATCGACATCATTTCATGCTCCAAATCGTCCGCCGCGTTCTAAAAGTTCACTCATCTCATTGTCACGAACTTTCGAAAATCATACAAACTTCTTCCGTTATTAAAAAAATAGTAGCTGACCTGACAATATGCAAAGTCTTGTCTCGTAAATCGACTCATGTTGTCTACATAATTGTACATTGAAGGAAGGATAAGCACGAGGGTGAGCAGGGAAAATACACTGAGCAGACCGGCGGCAGTGATCACAACTTTGTAGACGTGTTCTCGCGCCTGTGTTCATTATAAAATTGTATATCAAATATTTTTGAGTTTTGGGTAATTTTTTTCAACTGGGAAAATGGAAGATGATATTTTTTCAAAAGAAGCAAACCAGACGCTTTATGGTGGAAAAACCACCCGAGCAAAATACTCGACCGTGGAATATTCAAAAATTTTCAGGATATGATTATATCAAAAGAAGAAAGTTGAATAAACCTCATTGTCGAGGTGGGAGTCGGAGCCGACAGAGTCGTCTCGCATCGCTGCTCGGAAGTAAAGCGACGGAAACTCAAGAGAAACGACTGGCGGTCGGAATCGGCGAATTGGGGTATCGTCCAGGAGGCGACTCAGCCTTACAAGAAAAGGGAAAGGATAGGAGATATCGGAGCGATAATGCACTCGGACAGAGAAACTGGGTCATCATCAGTTTCCTAACCCACAACCGCCTCACCTTAACTTTTTCTCCTGATCCAGCGCTGATTGAGTGATCAATTTTAGCGACACCAGGAATGCACTTTAGCATTTCGCCGCCGTCCGGCACCGATCCGATCGGCGGAAACCTTATCGGATACATCTTGACACGACCTTTCCACACGAGGGATCTGTTGAATATATGTGCAGTTTAAAGCGATATTACAGAAAAACGAAAAATGTCGAAACGAAAAATAACTTTTTGTTTCAATAGTTTATGTCGATTTCCTTTATTTATCTAATGATTACTAATAATCACAGGAATCAATCATGTTTCTACAAGAGGACAAAAAAGATACAAAACGACGGGAAAAAACTAGAGAGCCTAAAAATTCAAAACTTAAAAAGTTTTTAGTATCTCCACTACCTCTACCTTTTGCGCCATATGACCCAAAAATGTATTAAGAACAAAAATTCCATTTAATGCAAAAAAAAAAAAAACGTGAACCCCGTGGCAAGGTTTCATTTCTCTGATATCGAAAAAAATTAACATTTACAAACCAGGTGGCAACGTGTCATTTCTTTTTGTGTGACCTGGGTTCAGATGTCATTCTTGCTTCCCTCACGAGTCGTCTATCCCCTTCATTCAACTTCAAGATGAGTTTTGAACCTTCATTAAACTTCTAATTTCCAAAATAAGTTTTTAAGTTGTAAGCGCTAGTAGATTAGGTCCGTGGGACTCCCGGAGTGCCGATCCTCTTTGCTTGCAAATTGGATACGCAAAGTCACGCCGAAGCCCATTCCGGTGGCTGAAGCACAAACTGTTGGCAGCGCGATGCTGACAAAGCGATGATGGGACCCCTGTGGAAAATGCCGTCACGGCTTTCGGCGTCTAGGATTTTCTTAGTTCTGACAAAGCCGAGCGGAGCTCTAGCGCGCCGCCTAGTTACTTCTTCTGACTGGATACAGCTTTCCTAACTTACATAAACTTCACATAGCTGATCATTCAAAACATTGCGATTTGAATAATGTAACCGACTTGCTTCTTTCAATGTTGAAATTATTGCAGGGAGCTTTCCACGAACCTGTTCTTATCAGTGCATGAAGATTCAACGACAACTGCAAATAGTGCGGTTTAACATCTAAAAAATTCTTTTTTGAATACTTTTCCTTCAGAAAGAACGTCTGGAGCATGACGACGTTTTCAAACTAGATAAATGGCGGACCAAGTTCCATCAACTGCGGTCAAGCAATACCAGGTACCAGCCCAATGCTCTTAAAAGCAGCTGAGGGTTTTTTGTTTTGTGATGAAATGCAAAGATGATAAAATAACAGTAAATTCACAATGACTGAAATCGCTCCTCACTTGTACAACAAATCTTTTCTCTAACACTAACTTTCTCTAACACTAACCCTCAACCTTTCCCAGCTCTTCCCTCACCTGAACCTATTAACTGTAGTATATTTTTCTCCCCCGATGTTGTTTATAAATTTCTTGCCTCTCTACCTCCGAAATGTGGATTTTCCACTGATAATATTAACTTTCTTGTTCTTAAAAGATGTGCTAGATCTTTAAGCCTTCCCCTGTCTCTCCTATTTAATGAATCCTATTTAACTGGTGTTATCCCTCTTCTCTAAAAACACACTACGGTCATACCTGTACATAAAAAAAGGCAGTTTGTCTGACCCTTCCAATTTCCGTCCGATCTCTCTCACGCATCCTATATCACGTGTATTGGAACGTATTATCGCCCATATGGTTAGAACTCGATTCGCTCATAAATTCTCTCGATTTCAATATGGATTTTTTTAAACCGTAGATCTTGCAAACTCTCTCTCATCTCTTCTATATCCGACATAAAAAAAGTCCTTGGCCTCCAATCTAAATGTCGATGTTATTTACTTTTGATTTCAGCAAAGCTTTTTGATAGAGTAGATCACAATTTGCTACGTCTTAAAATGCTAAACTTTGGTTTTTGATAATACTCTGAGCCGTTGGTTCTCTAATTTTTTTATCTCACAGAAGTTCAATTGTTAAGGTTAACAAGTCTTTTTGCCAACAATTGCTTTCCCAACCCTTCCGGTGTCCTCCAAGGCACTGTCAGCGGCCCTCTCCTCTTCCTCATTTTTCATCAACGATATCGAAAAATTACATTGATTCCTCTACCTCTATCTCAATTTTTGCGGATGATATTAAAATCTATAGCTCCTGTCCCAGATCTCTCCAATCAAGCATTAACGGTATCCTTGAATGGTCTCATATTTGGTCTCCCCCACTCGCCTCAAACAAAAACGTTCTCTGTTCACTTTGGCCCAAATAATCCTCGCACCCTTTACTATGTTGACCTCCTTGAAGTTCCTCAAAGCTCCATAGTACGTGACCTTGGTTTATTTATCGATGACAAGCTTTCCTTTAAACAACACATCAGCCGTATTGCTGCTTTTGCCACCTTACGTTCTAATCAAATACTGAATACCTTCAAGTTCTCTTCACCTTTTAACTACTTCCGTATGTTTCAAACCTACGTTAATCCAGTCCTTGAATATTGCTCCGAGCTTTTCTCACCCGCCATTTCCTCTGAGGAATCTCACAAACTCGAATCTTCACTCCGTCTCTTTAGTCGGAAAGTTTTCATTCGTTGTAATGTTAGTTTCACTTCTTACTCAGATCGCCTTAGTCAATTTAACATCAAACCGTTATTCATTCGTCGTGAAATTTGTGACATTATCACCTTGCATAAAATCATCTGTGGCTCTGATCATTTTCTCGATCGCAATAAGTATTTCACTCAATCCCTGTTACAGAGAAATCCACTTCGACTACGGACTACTGGTCAGTTTTCTAATGACTTTTTCTCTAGAACTATTCCTCTTTGGAATAAACTAACTTCTTATTTAGATTTTAACGTTACCCCAGAAACTCTGCGTAAAAAGTTGAATGCTCTTCCGTTTGAAGCCTTTCATGAAAAATATCCCCTCTCGTCTCCTGTGAATTTGCCATATTTCCGGGTACCCGTCAACTCGTTGGGGTTGACTCTTTCCCGTGTATTGTTATTTCTCTGCCTATTCCTTCACTTGATCATCTATTCTTCAATTATTTTTTTTATGTTAAATAATGGCAGTGAATAAACTATCTATTATTAAATGAAATTATCGTTTATTCAAAACTGATATACACCTGTTCTATGCCCACTGGTCAATCGGGAGGTCGATAGAAGTGAGTACCGGCTAGCGACCGCTCATGAGGTAGCTACCGGGTTGCAACTTATTAACTTTTTTCATGGTACCGGAAAGCACACGCTCGTCAGAAGTCATACCCGGTAGCATAGCGATGCCTCTCCGGTAGTCACCAGGTATCATAGAGATAGTACCCCGTCGCATACAAACGACCACCTATTAAAATACGCCGATTGACTTTGACGTTATCCGGTATCTACTTGTATCGACCTCCCGAATCCCCTTTGCCCATGTTTATACCTAGGGACCGCAGGCAGTTTTCTAGTAATTTTTATATTCTAGAAAAGCTTTAAAGTTCGAATTTTTTTTCGGATGTTCATGGGAAAAAAAAACTTATTGACGCTTCTAGGAGGAGAAACGTCACCAGTCAGACTGGACATTTCTAACTCCGTTTAGTGGCCATTCTGAAAAATAATATTGGCCACTAAAAGGAGACGACCATAAGAACGTATATACTCCTTGTAGTAGGTTCTGGGGAGAAACGTGAGGAACATTGTATTAGGCCCGGTCTGATAGTTTGTCGCTATACCGAGAAAATATACTTGAGAAACAGATCGAGGAAAAAAAAAATGAACATTTATTATTTTTTGAGAAGAAAAGGTTGTGCCGAGTAGGAAAATAGAGAAATGAAATCAGCCGTCGCCCACGGCCTTCTTGTCAGTGAAAGAAAATGCAGAAAAAAATACTAGGGGTGGGCGCCGTAAATCGTACGACTACTGTAGTTTTGATCTCTCCAGGACCCGTTTCTGTATTACAAGACCCACCCTCCGAAGATCTCTCGAGATTTACCGAAAAATTTAATTGGAAAAAAAAATTTTTTTTGGCTTTTTTCTTCGTTAATACTTCGTTTGACGTTTTTTTATTATTAAAAGTCATTACCCAATTCCTTTGACGTAGCTACGCGTGGTTTTGAAACCGGTTTCGTGTAAATTAGAGCCAAATTGAATTGGATGATGAACTTTGAGGTTTTTCATTATACAAATAATCAGAATTATATATTTTTTTCTAGTTTTTTTGATGATTTAAAAAAATTCGAGTATGCCATAGTGCGTATCGGTGTGTATACACCCTAAGCATCATAAGTTACGAGAAGCCTTGACTTGCGTTAAAAAAACGCCGTGCGTTCTAGGACGTTTTTGACGATCCTTTCCATTTGGTGAGTAACGGATAGGGAAAAAGATCTATCAGTAGAAAAATCGTTAAAACGCAAACGATCTTTTTCTGAATAGATCGATTTCAAATGTTTTGTTTTGTTTTTTGGGTAAATACTCCTTTATTTCCTGGTTTTCGATAAGGACGGCGCTATCAATCAGAACAGCGTGTGAGCCGCAACGAGGAAGCTTTTGGGCGGTGATCGGTGGCGGTTAGCCGTCAGATAGCCTGGTCCGTCAGATTGATCAAATTCTCAGCAACAATTTTCGACGGGATGGGCCTTTTGAAACGCGACACTGGCACCAGCTCACGGCAGCTCACGGCGGGGCTCACTCTCGCTCATGCATTTCTTTTGCCAAGCTCTTTCTTCTCTTCCTCCATGTTGAATTATGTTCACGCTTTCAAGATTTGTCTTCCGCCATAACGGAGCTTTTTTCTCTCCAAAATTTATTATATCTATTCTGCTCACATCGTAAAAAGTACGCTAAGCGTTTTGTTCTGTTAATTGATTGGAACTTTTTGAAAAACTTCAATCAGAAGGAATATTTTTTTTCTCATCAAATTGAAATTTTAAAAATGCCTACATGCACTAGCCCTCAAATTTCTCATGCTTTCCGAGCGGCGCAACTCCCTTTAGAATTACAGTAGTATCTTCTTCCGGCTCGGAATATTCAAGGACGAATTTGTGAAAAGGCACCTCGGATCTCAATTGAATTGGGAGAAAAGGAGTCGATTCGAGTAGAATGGGACTGAAGGAGCCTAGTGAGAGTGTGGGAATTCGGCCGACGCCTTCTGCTCCTTCTTCTTCTTCTTCTTCTTCTTCTTCTTCTTCCACCACTTCTTTCCTCCCCCGCTAGGCATATCGATCATTTCTTTGTTTCTGGACGCTTCCCAGTTTTCACTTTTTTCTCCTATTTGCTCTAATTTTAGCAATATTCTTTTTGTTTACTGCCGAACGAGAAACCGCCAAAACACTCTCTAGTATAATCTGTTTGAAAACAGTTGCTGTACCTTCAGATACGCTAAGCTCAGCTAACTTTGAAACTTGGCGCCAACTTTCGCAGGCTGAAAAAAATGTTTTTCATAAAAATCAATCGGCTTTTGTTTTTATTAGGTATTAGGTCTTGAGGCAATAAACGGGCTTTTCTGATGGAAATTTTTCTGTTAATTATAATAGCATTGTATAAAAGCCGAATTCAGAAAAAAAATAAGCGATATTAATTTTTATCGCAGAGCATCTAGTTGTTGTCGCTTCTACGGCCTAACTAATGCGTTTCCGTTCTATGTGAACCACTCAGCCATTAACTAAAAACCCAAAAATTACTCGGCCGTCCATTTTTTTTTTAGCTGTTTTGACTGAAGCTTCTCTCGAGGATTGTTCTTTTTTTTAAAAGTTCACGTTTTTTTTGCTACTTCTTGTGTTGGGCTGTACTAACCTTTTTGTGGATTTTGAAATATTTAGATTTGAAAGCACGTATCAAGATTAGAAATTTCTTTATCATAGTTTTTTTCAAGTTTCCGGCCAAGTTTTTTTTGAGATTACAGGGCCATCATAAGAAGATGAAAACGTTCCGCTAAAAGCTCCTAGAATGATGGGAAAAGACTTGGAGCTCCTTTTTGAAAAATTTTCATAGCTTTCTGATAAAAGTTTTTTCGTTTTGTTCCAGTATGCTCAAAATTCTTTGATTCGTTCAATCTTCATCAATCAAGCTGGCAACGCCTCTCTAATTTCTCGAGATGATGGAAATTTTGTTTGTCAAAATTATTAAAAATGTAAAAAAGTGGAATGCATGTAGAAAATTGGCGGCGGATGGCAAGTGCAGCAGGCGTCGACTCGTCTCTCGAAAACCCTCTGCGTTTGTTGTAAAGACTCTTGGTCCTCGTTCGCGCCCCTTGGTTTCATGGCCGCACTTCGAGAATTTCTCCCAAGATCTTCTTAATCTGTCAGATTCTGTTTGACCTAGTCTTTTTTTTTTCAAAAGTCCTGACTTAGCTGTTTGAAAGACTATATACAAATTTAAGGCGAACGCGAAAAGTTGTTTTCAGTGTTTTTTTTTTAGGACGTTTGTGTTTTTAATCACATCTGCCCGGTTTTTTTAACGTTATATGCTTGATCGCTGTGGTAACGAAAAGTTAGTCATAGATGTTCCGAAAAAAATACTTCGATAATTTTTTTTTTGTAAAATTTTTTGTATAACCGAGGATAGTTTTTGTGATTTTTCAACGATTATCTATTTTCGATTATTTTATCTCCGTTTATGCTTGAATTCCTTTGAGTTTCACTAAACCAGCGGTCTCATTCAATTTTTTTACAATGTCTATCTCTGTCTAGTACGGCTGGTTTTGAGTTTCAATGACGGAAAGCACAGTTTCTATGAAGAGGGGAAATAATATTTTGGATACGCTTGAGAAAAAATCTTGGGTGTTCTACAAAAAAATTCTGTTCAAAAATCTCCGTCTTTTTTTTCATTTTCAAAATCGGAAAAAAAGTTTTATCCGTCGGTATGTTTTTCTTTCTGAAGCCTCATTTTCTAGTCATTTTATCGTTTTGTATAAAACCTACTTTTCGAAATTCCTTTTTTTTTTCCCCAAAAGATATGATACAGTTTGTGTAATTTACTAGTCATTCATACTCACCGCTTTGGCCATTCCGCTCCAGCTTGTCACGATTTTTGTTTTCTTTCGAGCTAGAGAATCATTCCGTTCGAAGCGCACGGGATGTTTCTCAGCCTGTGTCTTTTATTTGGCCCAAAATTTCCCTTATACATTAAAGGCCCACGCAGAGACAATATCGCGCGTATCGAAGAAAAGGGTTCTGTAGCTCAGAGGAAAACGAAAATTATGACGAGCTGGCGCGGAATGGGTTGGTTATACAAAAGATTAAAAATTTTCACATCGGATTTTTTTTCGAAAATATCTCTCTTTGGGAACTTTCTCGGAGCAATCTTGTAAAAAGCTCGAGTATGGCAGGTATCTTTCGCGAATCACTGAATTCTTTCTCATTTTTTTTCTTTCATTTGGAACCAACGAGGAATCGAGATTGTAACAATGTTTCTTGAAACCAGAAGAACATAGTCGATCGCTCTTATGTCTGTCACATCCCAGGCTCTTTTTCTTCTCTTTAAACCCAGCGATCATGCTTTTTCCATGAGGTTCATGTGTTTCGATGTGCCAAATGTCAGACATCAACTTTTTCTGGTGTTTGAAAACGCGGTGTTAACGAGTAATAGAAATTAGGACGGGTTTTCGAGTAGAACAAGGTTTTTTGAACAGGTTTTGAAGTTTTTGTATTCATACTTATAATTTTCACGAAATTCCCCTAGAAAATCGTTAGAGGCCTTTCTTTCTTCCATTTTTCATCTTACTATCATAAACTGATCACTAAAACTCCCTTCAAAATATTATCATTTTGTTTGAGATTTTTCTTGTTTGTTGCAATCTTAAGTTCAATCGTCATGTTTTGGCAAAGGGAACGATAGTGAAATTCGAAATGAACGAAAAAATAGCGGAGACAAGTGCGCGACATGTCGGTGCCCCCAGGGAGAACCATCGGATAAGCCGGCATGAAGGCCGACTTGATTACCGCTTCCGAGAGCTCCTCACCCTTTCTCGCTCCTTCTTTCCCCAAATTCGAGTCTCGAAATATCTACACGATGAAGACGTCTTCTCTAGGCAGAAGTTCGGACGCAAATTTATTTCGGTTTACGTAGAAAATAATGATTAGAGCGGATATCAGAATGTACTCGAGTATGGAGCCAAATTGTAATTTTTTTTTTATAGGCCCTCGTTTGTCCTTCTTTAGAATTTTTCGGTGACCTGACATATAAGTATTCAATATATTCAATCCATCCCGATTTGAAATGAGAGGGAGGCGGGGCAAAAGCGGGACGCGTAGCGTGTGCGTACGCGGTTTTTGGCACGAGTTCAATTCGAGCGCCACCGCCTATCTAAAAAGCTCGGTCACCGACCTTTTCGTATCTATTCTGCTATTTTTTTGATGTAATTATGAGAAAATCAATAATTAATTAAAAAAGAAACCGAAAAAGCGATAAAAGAGCTCTCTAAATAGTCACTGGCGGTTGAATTGAATTCGTGCCAAAAACCGTCCACCTCTCTGCCTTCCTCTCCTTTCAAGTCGGGAAAACTATATTTTTGATTTTTCAAACGGAATTTTTTTTAAATTTCTGTTCAAATTCAGGTTTTACATAGTTTTTTCAATGTATAGTTGAAACTGAAAAGTTCCTCTGAGGATCCTTAAAAGATCCTGAGAGGGAGATAAAAAGCTTCCTCTAAAAGCTCCTAAAATGATGTAAAAAAGCTTTTGAGCACCTTTTTCATAGCCTCAGAGGATCCTTTTTGAATCCTCTCGGATCTTTTTAGTTGCTTTCCAGCATCCTTTTTGTCAGAGGATGTGAAAAAGACGCAAAAAAGAATTGAAATGATGTAAAAAAGATCTGCTGGGGACCCTTTCAAGGTCTTTTTTTGAGAAAAGCTTTTGGGGAGCTTTTCAGTCTTGCCCGAGTTGAAGTTTTATGAACTGTCTGCACTCTACGCACTCTCATAGTAGAAGGATGAGGTCAAAAAGCAACCAAGAAAGCTGAGAGGCGGTACGAACGAAAAAAACGGGTTTCCTCGAGGAAAATGCCTCAAAACTCGTGTGTTTATACACCTAAATATGTTCTCCAGTATCAAAACTAAAAGACAAAAGGAAAAAATAATTTAAGATCAATTAATTCAGAGCTAGTTTGAGTTTACCTATTTTGAGAAAATAGACGAATCGCTTGCCGTAGCGCAACAGGTTGTGTAAATGTCTACGGTCCACAGGGTCACAAGTTCAATCCCCGCCTCGACATAAGCAAGAGGTTCAAAAAATGTTGGTGGTGGGAAACCACGACTCTCAAAATCCCCAGCCGTCACTCCCAAAGACGAATATTTCATTAGAGCCAGTCCACTGATTATCACTGATATCAGGAAAGGTCTTCGGTTAATCGATTTGGGGTGCCGACACCGTTCAAGCGGTACAGAGGCGTAGGAAGAAGAAGGATGGTAAAGAAGAAGAAACGCGTGTCTCCTTCATACAGGAGCTTAGACTTCAAAGTTACGAAAATTAAGTTTTCCCGTCTTTCGCCGAAATTGAACAATATTTCAATTCATCAATTAAAAAATAAACTGAAGACCAGCTGTTAAATTTATTTGATTGTTTTGATGTTTTATTTATTTTTTGTATCTGTCGTGCAGATTGAGGAATGGCGAATAAACACTTGAAATGAAATCAATGAAAAAGAAAGAAGTTAGGCAGGGATATACAACTGTGCTTCTGAGATACTTCCTGCAAAGTCAAAACGAGCATAGATAAATCCAGAGAGGTTTCTTTTTTTCGAACCACTGACCTGTAAACATTGAAACTTCAGGAAAATCCCTTCTTGAATGAATGAATCACTCGACCAGTTTTTATATTTTGCAGCGAACAGCTATTTAGTTGCTTGGCAAATGACGGTTAGTTTTAGGCCGGCGAGGCTCACATGATTGATGGAGAAAAGGTCCAGGTGTGCTCGATTACCTCGATCCTTTTCGTTTTATTTTTTCGCCTCTAGCCATTCGTTTTCTTCCGTCCCATTCGATTCATCCCAATTTGCCCAACAAGAACCTTTCCTCTCAAAAAACTATCTCTCGTGAACTCTTCGAAATTGCTCCGATTCGTTTTCTTTCCCTTGGAAAGCTACGATTTAAACCTTCACATGTGTTGGCGGCTCTTTGCTTTTTAATTTGTTTTCCGTGGCAAAGTGGCAGATTTTGGCGGCTCGTTTAGTACTTATTGGCTGTTGTCCCATTAGCGCAACACATGTGGCGGCCTTCTTGCGGTTTCACACGTTAAAAACTTCCCCCTACCATGGTTCATCTTCTTCTTGCTCCTGAAGAATTTTTATTTTGTGAAATTTGTTCTAGAGACTCAGTTCTTCCCGGCTCTGTGTAAAAGATCATTAGGCCAAAAATAACTTGAGCTTATTTCTATATGCTCATTTGACAATGAAATAAAAAAATTTATTTATTTTTTTCTTATAGAATCGGAGATTTCAGATCACTGCTCTTTTTAGCAAAGGTTCCGTTCTGTTTTTGATTCTGCGGTGTATGCCATACAAAAAGTTAACGCATCCTTTATTAGTTGAAAACGTGTTTTCAGTCGGGAGCACTTCTGTTTTGTTCGAAGGGATTTTGAAATCAAATTTTAAGCCTTTGATTTGAAGAATGTTTGGTTGGGGATCGCAGCAAAACATTTTTTTTAAACTACAGCACAATCTAAAAATATTGTCTGAAATGTTTTGAAGTTCATTTAAAAATTCCTTTGTCCTGGTGGTTCTGCTTGGCATCGAGGAAAATTTTGAATAGACATCAGCCGAAGAGCAAAGAAATCGTGAAGACGTAGGGCGGCGCTATCTTGAGCTCGATCTCTCGTCCGTTGATCCTCGCGACAAAATGAGCCAAACGTTCCTCCTTTCAATTGAGAGCTGCAGATGCCTTCGTGACGACGTCGCGACGTCTTCCGTTCGCCCCTCGTGCCGTCTTCGCCTCGCACCCACCGCCGTCGTCGTCGCTTTCCGCCGGCGTCGTCGGTCTGAAGGTTCGCCATCGTTCCACTCGAAGCGACTTACCTCATCATTCGCAGGTCAATGGGTGTTTTCGCGAAGACGTGTTCCGCCGCTCACATTCATCGTCCAATGGGGCAACGGCAGGCCAAGCAGAACATGCAGGCTGGCGTCAAGCTCTACCACCAGCGGCACTACGCCCACGCCATCAACAAGTGGAAGCAGGCCCTCAATCGACTTAGGTACGATTGTATATTACAGGAAAGTGCCTTTGTAACTTCAGAGAAAAGTTGGGAAGATTTTTTTGTTTGAGAGTTGGGATCAGAGCTAAGCTTCTAGTAGATTATGTAAAAGATCAGGGCATTGAAAGTAGGTTTAGCTTTTGATAATCGTGTTATTGTTATTTCCAATTTATTGGTCACATTTCTCAGCAATTCAAGTATTTCGTAAGAGAGATGCGATCTCGCTAACTTATTAGTTAGGTCTCAGCTGATTAAGACCAGTCTTGTTCAATTCCTTCCTATGTTTCTACATGCCTTAAAATTTATTGTAGTTATAAGTTATGATTCTCAAAATCAATATTTTAAGAACTAAAATCATTTTCTCGACAAACTAGCCCTTCTATGTCAATACAACAATCGCTAGATTATACTAGGCAGCGAAACATTTCTTTCAATGAATATCAGCAAGCTCCTTGGCCAAGTAAAAAACGACGAATAGTGCATTCATAAAACTTGAAATTCCTTGAAACCAGACCCAAATGTCTACGAAGTTTTGATTCGTTTTCATACGAAGCTCCTAAAGTAACGTCGGATTTACGTTCAGCAACGTGGAAGACCGGTTCATCACCCTGGGCTACTTGGCGCAGGCGTTGTGCGACCAGGGAGACTACGAGGGAATGCTGTCGTTCGCTCTCCACCAGATGCAACTCGCCACGGACCGCGCCGACGCCACCATGAAGTGCGAGGCTTTCCTCAACCTTGCCAAGGCCTACGAACGCCTCGCCGACTTTACCAAGGTTCTTTTTTGACTTGGGTTCAAAAAGTGGCTGAGAAAAAAGGTAATTCGGCTCGGCAAAGCTTAATTTTTCGAAAATTTTCTCTGTTTAGTATCAAGGAAAAGCCATAAACGCCTTTTCTTGAGAACTAGAGACCTGAAAAGAGTTTCAGCCAAGATTCAGAAAACTCGAATGCTCCATGAAAAATCATATCTAAAAAATGTCTTGGGTTTTTTTTTGGTCGGAGGTGTGCGGTCAGAGCTTTTATTGGAGGTTCACATTTTTTTATCACAATTTTTGGCTGATACTCTTCCGAACCGGAATTTTCCGAATCGAAATCTCGATCGATATTTTTTTTTAATCTCCGAAAACATTACTTCGTCCAGTGAAAAAAGAAAAACTTCTTCATTTGATCTCACGATTCGTGTTTCTCATTCTGTTTGAGGAGTAAATTGAAATTATTATATCTTCAATTGAACTTATTTTAAAAAAAAACCGTGAAACCTTCTTCAGCTGCGTTGCCGACTTCTATCTCCAAAAGAGAAAATAACAACTGAAAAAAAAGTTGAAGCAAGTCGTACTTTAGGCCCTGCAGTACGGAAAGGCGTCGCTGGAACATCCGAGCATGGATCCACGCACACCTGGATACGCTCACCTGAGTAATTTGGGAAGGTTTTTGGAATAATCTCAACTTGTTTTGCAGCTATCGCACTCGCTTACTTGGGAATGTCGCAGTTCCAGGCTTCTTTGGAAAGTTTTGAGCAGAGCATGAACGTCGCCAATGAGACTTCCGACCGACTTCTTGAGCTTCAAATCTGTGTTGGCTTGGGCTCCCTTTTCACCTTGCTCAGGTGGGTTTTCAAGATTTCGCGTAGTAAAGTGGAAATAGAAAAGTGTGGGTTAGAAGATTTTTAAAGTAAAATCTTTCTAAACTGTAATGTTTCATTTTTTCTTAATTCTGATATTTCTTTCGAGAGGTTTTAAAAGATAAAGAAGTTCTGTCCGATCCAAAAACAAAGAAAAAGTGGGAGCTTTTGCTTTTATACTCACTATTTGAGCTCAAGTGTAATTCGCAGTTTTCGAAAAGGCTATCACAAAAGTTCAGTTTTTTTCTTGACTTTCTTTTTCAGGGACGTGACGAAAGCGTTGATCTTCTTGCGAAACGCGCTCGCCATCGTCCAAGCAGTGACCGTAGAAGACGTGCACGCCAAGTACCGTTGTCTGATCCTGTACCACCTTTCGGTCGCCCTGCGGATCAAGGGAAGCTTGGTCGACGCGAAAGAAGCTTGCGACGTGAGTCATCGCCTGAACGACGCCGCGAACAGCCATATTCCAGGAGGCGAGTCAACTGGCGACGGAAATGGGCAATCGGTCGTTGCACGCTCGCTGCATGTGCAGTTTGGCCGACGTTTATCGAGAGCTCGGCGAAAGCGAAGCCAAAGAGACGATCACGGTGAATGAAACGCCTAGCTTCCTATTAAAATGAATTTTTTGGGGAAAGTGCAAAAGGTGGATAGTTGAGGATTTTACCTAGAAGGTACTTTAGGATATTGCAGATCAGTTGAGATTGTTTAACTCGTTTCTTTTCAGAGATATGCTTCTTGACATGTTGTTTTAAAGCTTGGCAAAGCGATACATGCTTCAGTACGGGAAGAACAATTTTTGGACTCGAAAGCGAATAAAATTACATTCAGCCTTTACTTCTGTTTGTTATCGAATCTATCTTCGATCTATACGCATGAATAGAAAAAGATTGAATTTCGTTTTTACTTTTCGAAAAAAGAGATTGTTTGTCCAAGGACACTGTATAAGTTGTGTTGTACAGTTTTTCCTCGTCTTGGTTTGTTTTTTTCGAAATCGAAGCTGAAATGGTTAGAAAATCTTTGCAGAAATCGTGGGCGCGGTACGAAGAAGCGTACCGAGTGATGCGCGGTGCAAACGACCGGATGGGCGAGGTTCTGGTGTTGGCGTCGATGGCGAAAAGTGCCTCGGAGAGCCGTTCACACTACACGGGCCAATGCGAATGCCAGGCCATCCAGCTCAACAAGAAGTGCATCGAGATCGCCAACCACATCGGTTGCAAGGTGAGAAATCCAGCTTCTCTCGTACCATTTCCTCGAATGAAGTAACCCAAAATGGCAGAGCATCAGTATTGCTTCATTAATTCCTGAATACTCTGAATAATATTCCTGAGCTTCTCTCGTACCATTTCCTCGAATGAAGTAACCCAAAATGGCAGAGCATCAGTATTGCTTCATTAATTCCTGAATACTCTGAATAATATTCCTGAAAGATGTTTCATTTGTAGCACGTGGTCCTGAAATGCCATCTGAGGCTGGCCGAACTCTACTCGCAACTCAACGACGACGATTCCGAAGAAACCGCCAGACGAGCCGCCAGCCGACTCACGCAGGAGATGCAGCTCTTCTGCAACTTCTGTGGACAGAGGTCAATAATGCTCCCCTTTCGAATCAACGAGTTTTGAAAATTAAGATATGGCACCAAGGACGAAAGCCTCCAAGCCTTGCGTTGTTCTCACATTTTCCATGAGAAGTAGGACTTCCAACTGTTTTTTGAAGGAAGAGTTGATTCTTCAGATGTTTGCACACGTATCTCACTCAACGAAGCGACCAAACGTGTCCAAAATGCAGGTGCCGCGCAGTTTTGTCGGATAACATCTCAGTGCGGTCTTCTATTGCTAGCACAGCCGATCTGCAGTCTCCAAGCAGTCAGTTTTGATTTCTAAACCTCCAATTTTTTCGATTCGGTATTTAAGAATCATGGGTCCAAAAAATACACCGTTTGTTAAAAGAAGTTCGAGCTAATCTTTTCTATTCTACATTTAAGTTTATTTTTTTGCATAATGTTTTGTTAAGCCTCGTTTGGACCACCTGCTGGCGGAGTTCGAACCCCTCTGGCCGATGTGGCCGATCTGACGCCGACGGCGACACTCACAAGACCCGACCGGATACTTCGGTTGAACAGAAACTCGTTTCGTTAACTCAATAAAATCTTTTAGTGGCGCCGAAAAGGATATAGACCGAGTAGACAAAACCCTGGCGAGGCTGAGCTCGAAGGCGCAGGATTCGCTGGACGCCAAGCCGCCTCCGAGTCCAAACTCACAGCTGCCGAGCTCCAACGCCAGCGCTCTCAACCACAAACCGCCACCGCCGCCGCCTCCGCGCAAGCCTTGCTGTTCTCAGGCACTTCATTTTTTCTTTAAATATTTATTTTATTTAATGCGCTCTCAGGTGTATGAAAATCCAAATATTGGTACTTGTCGTTTTCAAAGTGATTTTTCTTACTGGGGATTTCTCTCTGACCCTATTATTTTCGTTATCCTTTTTTCTGTCTTGACAGTTTAGGTTAACCATAATCTCTACGGTGGATTCTCAGGTGTAGGACTCAACCCGAATCGGACGTTTCTGAGAATTTCTAGTGACGTTTATGATTATGAGATATGCTCAGGAAAGTCCGGGGCGCGTCCGGTTTGCGTTACCGAGATCCGAACAGATGTTTTCTCCGAAAAAAAGTTTTAAAAAATCGGAAATTGTCTACTTTCCAAACGTTGGTGTTTTTTTTTTTGGCGCTTTCGAAATCAGAAAGTTACAAAATGACTATTGGCGAATCAACTTACATGATAAAAGGACGGAGTTAAACATCACATAAAAAACAATTGATTTGGAAAAGTACGTTCAAAATCAGTTTTGTAAAGTTATATACTTTCGAAGAAACACTCCGAAGAGGGGTTTTCAGGCAGCCCTGCCGCCTTCCTCGATCGTGGCGCTGCCGCCGGCGATGCCGTTGGCTGAAGACGGTCCTCTCGTCATCTCGCTCACGCCTACAGTCACAGACGTCTGAGGACGTCGTCTTGTTGTATCTTTTCACTTTTTGCTCCTCGGCCATACTTTTTGTTTTGTTGAAACCGTTCCATTGCCACACTGCCCTTCTCTTGTGATATGATTTGTATTACCATTCTGTCCATTTCTTTTAAGATTTTTTCAACTTTAAAACAACTTTTTTTTCAAAATATGAACCTTTTGTCGCACCTTCTTTTTCGACTGTTTATTCACTTGCGCATGCCAAAATTTTTCTTTCTGTTTCTTCGTTCCATGATCTCACCTTTTTTTATAAGCCCTCATGTTTTTCAAGTCTTTTTTTTCTGATGTTACTCTTCTGAAGATCAAATGTTACTCAACGAAATTTATGAGAGAATCTTTGTATCACCGGTTTTATATTGATTTTCAAATTTAAATTATAGGTTATAAACTTCAAGGAATTACTAACTACCTTGCATTAAATTATACAAGACACCAGTTTATATTAATAAAGAAGCAAAAGATTACAAGATTTTGAACTTCATAAGATAAGGACCTTATAGGTATAATTCATTAGGTATCTAGTTCCAATAGTAGGATAACAGACTAATGAAGGTATAAAGAAAAAACACTTATCCAAAGATTTGAGGTACAAATCATTCATCTTATTCTGAAAACGCCGCACCGCAAAGACTTTCTGAGAACATCCAGCAGCATCCAGTTTGGATACACAGTAATGGAAGCAGAAAGGCAGAGTGGCCCAATTGAAGAAATCTCCATAAAAGGGCCGCAGCTCTAAAGACCGACGACTATGCGACGGTTCCTCGGAAATCTTTGCGTCTTCCTCGTCTTTCTGCTCGCCGTCGCCTTATCTCTGCTAATTCTACTCGCAGAAAACACGCGCGAGCTCGAAATCTCCTCTAAAGCCTTGCTTTCTGAGTTCCAGGTTTCTTTTCTCTCAAAAGAACTTTTTCCAATTAATAACTGAAGGAACTAGAAAGAACCACATGGGCCGAATTGTTGGCATCAAACGAAGAGTTTCGTGGGAAACGAAAGGTTGAAAACGAAAAGAACTTTTTCTCCAGTCTAAATGTTCCTCTAGGCTACAACGCCTAAGGAAATGAGAAGAAGTTCAAGAAAACAAAGAAGCGATACGAAAGTGGACCTCGAAGAGATCGTCAGAACTGGGAAAGAAGAGCATGGATATCAAACCAAGCCGGAAGAGCAAGACAAATCTGAACCAACATCAAAAGACGACGACGCTGAGAAGTCAGAAGGACAAGAAGAGCTCGAGGACGACTGCGGTAAGCCGACGACCGAGATAAAAGTCCCGACAGCGTAGTTCAGACAAGGATGACTATGCTTGCCGAACATCGCACTGCCCGCGAGGTCCACCCGGACTGCCTGGAGCTGATGGACTTCCAGGTGAAGATGGAGCCAACGGAACAGACGCCGCCGACGGCTCCGAGTGGAGCCTTGGCGAGAACGACCAAGTCGTCGTTGTAAGCTTTCGAGAAGAGAAAGTAGAAGATTTTAGGGTTTCAGATTGGATGTGTCAAATGCCCACCCGGACCAAGAGGTGTCGAAGGAGATCCAGGTCCTCCTGGCTACCTAGGTAGGAGCGGAGAAGACGGAGCACCAGGTCTGGTCGGCTTCGAAGGGTTTCCTGGAAAGCCAGGTAGGTCTCTTGAAAACCTATGTTGAAGTTGAAGTTGTTCAAAAAGGTGTGCAAGGTGAACAGGGTTACGATGGTCCAATAGGTCCTCCAGGCAGACAAGGAGCGCCAGGCGAGTCTGTACAAAGGTCAGTGTAATGATGGTTTTCATTTTTTTAACACCGTAAAATTAAGCTTTTACAACCCGCCAGGAGCGCCTGGACGTCCAGGGATAGCAGGTCGGCCAGGAAAACGAGGAAAACGTGGAACTTTTGGAGTCGCCGGATCGCCAGGTGCAGCCGGATCACCCGGCAAATCCGGCGTTCATGGTGTTCCCGGTCCTCCTGGTGCACCAGGAACGGTAGCTTCTTTATTGTCGTTTCGAAAAACGTTAGAAGAAAAGAAAAATTTTAACTTTCAGAGTTCCCATAAACAGTCTACTCATGTAGAGAATCGAAAAAGTTCTGAAAAATCTATTGAAAAAAAAAATTACTATTGACAACGCAAACATGAAACGCAAAAAGTGATTCAGCCTGGCGAGTCTGGTAGGCCTGGTCAGCCTGGAAAGCCATGTTTTTGTCCGTCTGCCAACACCTACAAAGTTCCCGTCGAGTCATCCTACGCTTCCGCATATCAGCGAATGTTGGTCAATTAAAAAAAAAAAATGATAAGAACATTTTTTGAAGTTACATCCAAGTGACTCCCGCATACGTCGAGCCGACGACCACGACAAGTCCGCCCAACATCTACAGGTTCTTATCGCGAACAATACCAAAAATCTCAGAACATAATAGGTACTACGTGAAATCGCCGGCTGATCCTATCAATAACGTTGCCCCGCCGACCATAACCGGGTACACGCAAAGTGAATACAAATACGCAGAAAAAAAACCTGAAATCGTACCAAACAAGCCGGAAACTATCGATGTAAGTTTTAAGATGATAACATTTAATTCAACTCTAAAAAGGGTCCGCCGGTCATCGACACCGTCTACGAGAGTGTTCATCCTCCCGCAACACCAGTCGACTTCGCAGCTGAATAAAAAATTGATGAAATCGAGTGTAATGAAAGCAAAACAAGCATTTGGTGTTGAAATCTGGTTTGCCACGTTCTCATAGTCTGTTTTTATCGATGAGGGTGAAGCCCAAGCCGTGAGAGAAACTGGTCAGATTTTAAAGATGAGAAGTCAAAAAGAAAACCGAGAATAGCCATTCCTTCATACGAGTCGGACCATTTAGCCGTGAGTAGGCGTGAACAGAACATACATGAACAAATCAATACGAAATACATAGAAAAAAAAAACAGTACTTGGTTAACTTAAACTCAATAAAACAACCCGTCCCTATTATACAGGAGGCACTTACAGACATATTCACAGAAGAAAAGACTAAATTTTGAATATTATGAAAGATACATTATTTCAGGAGATTTCTACAGCCATAGAATCACTTTAATATCGACAGGAAATGGAGAGACGACTACTGATATAGTCAATTTTTTTCATTCGCCTTTCAAGTCGGGAAAAAAATTGATTATAATATAATCTTAATAGAAAAATATTATGAAAGGAAAAATCTCTGTTTTGAAAAACTGTAAATAGAGTAGTTTTGGTTCTGTGAAATAAGCTATAAGGAGGGGTTGCTTCTGTCTCAGTCCTTAAGAAACGAAGTTCATCGCGAGACGTGAAGCCTTCTTTCTCGGTCTTTTCGACTTCGCAGAAACTTCTTCGCTCGTTTTGCTTTTCCCGGACTCATCCTGGAAGTTCGTGAATTTATTTCTACTTCTAGCAGGTTAGAAATTCAAATCAGATAATAATAAAACTTTCAAGCATCTCTCGGGGATACTTCAGAGATGGAATGGAAAAAAAGAAACGTAACTTTTGCAGTAGTTAAGACTGTCGTCTAACATTGCGCCGTCCTCGCAAAACAGCAGACCTACAGACTGTCAGGCGTATTAGAGCTCTTTGTGCATATGTTCGATATGTCACATTATGACAACAAGACTGACTAACCAAGAGAACAGTAAAAGCCGAACAAAAAAAAAGAAGTCAGTAAAAAAACTGATAATTCTCTTTCTTTTAAAACTTACTAACATTAAATCCGTCTTTAGAACGCGAAATGATTTACGACAGTTTTGTGGCAACCAATTTTCTCTGAATAAACTCAAAAAATGTAGATGAATAACCTGCTGATTGTGTGGAATGGGATGATTTTCCTTGGCTGCTGGAGGGCGATGCTGGGAGCCTTTTTTCAGTTTCAAAGGCTTAGTCAACTAAAAATCAAGTCGAAAATTTGAATAAGTTCCTGCAATGATCTTACAGCTCTAGGTTTGAAGTCCGTGAGTCGAGGGTCACCTTGGTGCGGATTGTTGAGCTGCGGCGGGAAGGCGCTGAAAGAATGGGTAACGCAAGTCTTCAACTGAGAGACCACTTTAGGGGCAAAGAGCCGAAGTGACTTCCTAAGGGAGGAGGAGGCCCCATGGGCATCATGAACGGCGGCGGAGGCATGCCGAGTGGCGGAGGGCGGTTTTGCATGAAGAACTGCGGAGGAGGCACTGAGGGCATGAAAGGCAGCACTTCCTCTGGAAATTCGCTCTTCAAACAAGATTTTTGTGGACGACTGGTCGTGAATCGTGTTTCTGATAGAAACAATTTGACTGAATCTGTTGGAGTGAACTTTTTTTCATTAATATTTTCTTCAATAATGAAAAAGTGTTCTGCATAGTGTTCAAAAAACTGACGCCTTATCTGGTTTTTCTGACTTTCAGATGCATTGGATGCGTTATTACGAGAAGAATAAACGCGTTCGAAGTTCTCGGCAAGTTGACCGACGGGATCTTCCTTCTTCTCCGGAGTCACTAGAAAATAATAAAAATCTGAGAAAAAGATTTGAACTCAACGCGAAAGATATTTAAATTGAATGCGTGGAAAAGAATCTAAACTTTCTACGGACTACGAGCGAGAGTATCCGAAAATGAAATTCAGCGCTTTTTTCAAGGGCCAAACTTTTTGTTGTTGTTAGGAATTCTGCTACAGTGGAAAATAAAAATAAAAAATTGTTTCATTTTGTCAGGATTCTTATGAGAAGCTACAAATTCCTCTCCTGAGATTATCGAAAACGGTTTGAAAAACTTCCTTTTTGGAAATCAGTAAAAATATAAAATTATGAAAAGAAACCTTCTTTTTTCGAACCAGTCGCGGCTGGCTCCGGTTGGTCTTCTTCAGACTTAAAAGAAACAATTAAAAAAACACTTTAAGACATTAATTCACTTCGGAAGATGAAGGAAACAGTCGCTGCAGAGTGAAAGGTCCAGCTGATCTTGGCGGAGGCTCCATCGCTCCCAGCAAATCCAACACGTTCCCCTGAAAATTGATCCACTTGAAGAGACCGCCTGAAGATTCCGTGCAAAAATTGCTCTTCAAATGAAGAATTTCTTTTGAAGGTTTTAGAGTCCCACTGAAATTGAAATCTTACATTTTTCGGCATTTTCACTCGCTTGGGCTTCCATGGCACTACAGGCGGATCTTCCGATTTCGGCTTCTCTTTGATCTGAAAATATATTCAAAAACTAATTTTTGAACAAAAAAAAAACAGTGTATTGTGGGGGATCGTTTCTCTGCTCCTTCTTCGACACGTTGATTCCCAGCGCCTTGAGCGCATCGGCCGTATTTCTAGAGGCAGAAGATCCTTGCGCAGTCTGATCGTTTCTCGATTCTGAAAGATTTTTCTCCAGCAGAATTCACAACTTCTCTAGTCACCTTTCAGATCTCCATTATTCTTTTCGTACTTCTTCTTCGGCTTCCACTCCACATAAGGTCCCGTCGGCTTCGGATCCATTTTTTGGTCAGCCTTGCCATTTTTCGAGGTTTCCTTAAGAAATTATGAATCTTTATTGAAAAACCGAATTGAGAGACCCTTTCTTTGATGTTTTTCGCCTTAGTTTGTTTAGCCTTTTTCGGTTTCTTGTTCTTCCTTTCCAAAGCGAACGTTAGGTTCAAAAGGCTGGTGATCGGCAAACGGAAGCCGCTCTTTTGCGAGCTTCTGGAAATTTTACTTTTCGTGACCAAGTTTTGATGCTCACCTGATGCTAACTCCGCCTGTGCACTCTTTGTCGAAAATGACGTCCACTTTACTTTCATACAGTCCGATCACAGTTCCAGGAATCGCCCCTTTGATGTTCTTTAAACCGAAAAGTTTTAATGTCCAAAATGAATCGCCTTACGAATTTAGAATCGATGCAGACGACGCGATCAAGCAGCTGGAAGTCGGCCTCGGCGTCTGGTTTTGTTTTCCCATCGCTCAGACGATCCTGAAAAATAACAGAGTATAGAGAGCACTAAGAATGAGTAATTTCGAGATTAATATCTCAAAAACTGACGGTGTACAGATTTGCAGGATCAACTTCGACTTGCTTCATGAACGCCTTTGGGGAGTAGTTGCTCACTTTCTTCGTAACTTGTTCTGTGAGCAATGATAAATAGAATATTCCTCGAATGCAGAACGAACCGACGATGAATCTGTCAGCATATTTGGTGCCACAAGGGATCAAGTCGACATCGGGAAGATTGTTGAGAAAATCTTCGAGTTTCTCACATCGAGACTACATAACAAATCCTTTTGGAGAGTTGAAGAATTGAGAAAACCTGAGCCTTGACGCCATGCCAAATGTCTTCAGCATAGTAGACGTCGTTTTCATCGTTGGAGTTTTGTAGGAAACTGAACAGATCCGGGAAACTGTAAAAAGAGAAATAGCCGATGTCAGGACGAATTTCCCCACAGCTCCCTATAATTGCGCATGATTTTCACAACGAGATTCGAATACTGCCAGCTGAAGGACCCTTCCTCTCGCTTCGTCATATCTGCTACCTACAAGAGACCGAGAATTATCTCGATCGAAATATTCTCCCTTTCCACCTCGAGGTTTCGCCTGCTGAACTTCATCCCGAGGCCGATGTTGATCTTTGATTCCCTCGATTGCTGAGCGCCTTTCTCGACCTTTTCTCGCGACTCTTTCCATAGGAAGACGGTGCCAGTGATTCGGGAGAAAACACCAGGCTTCACTGAAAAACTCACGGCACTTACAGATGACTAAATAGTATTTCCTACAGTTACACAGCTGCGCCGCTTGCCAGGCTGTGTACCAAGACACAGACAATTGTTCGTACTTCCGAAGCAGATCTTCGTGGTCCAACATTGGCTGCATCACATTTGCTATGAGCTTCACACGGCCTGCAAAAAAAGATTTTTCTTTGAAAAGAAAAATCGACAGACAATTTGGTTTTCCAAGGTTGATGTAGTCAACTACCATCGATGGCGACCCAAACGCTGGACTTTTTTCGTCCAAAACCCAAGCCTGAAGAATGAAACAAGAACATAGATTGATGCCTCAAGATGTACGAAAGATTTGCGCGGATAGGCGACGTCGACAGGAAGATCTGCCAGCTGAGTTCCGCCCTCGAGCAGCACATTCTACAGACACACTATTCAGATATTCATTAGAGAGAGCTGTGGGAACCCTGGCGATCATTGGCAGGAGAACTGGCACGGCTTCGGAGCGCGACGCGTACTGTCGCGAGCACCGTAGGACGTGGAAGCCCTGCTCGTCCAGCTGCACGCTGCGCGTCAATCCTATCAGTCGCCGCACCCACACGACGACGTTAGCCGATGGTGCCTCGATCGCGTACCGCGACATCAGCCTGATTTTTAAATTTCTTTCAAAAGGAAATATATGAATGGCTGAGCAGAAATAATATAATATTCAATTTCAGCCCTCCTCCATGTTAGAGGGACATTGAGCAGTCGATTGAAAAATTCAAAGTCCTCTACATTTTTTTATCCGTCGAGACTTTCTTTTCTATTTCAAATGATGACGTTTTCATAGATACACACTTCTCACGAATCGCCGACGCGAATCTGTTTGTCGCTTCAACTTCTTCGAGCTTCTGGTCACTTTGAACAACTGTATCGGCCTCTTCTCCCCGCTCGTAGCGCTTTCCATCCCCACAAATCGCATCAACTTTACCTATCTGAAAAGCTGATGTTTCTTTTGAAATTAAAAATGTTTTCAACCTTCAGAATGGGCCAGTCGATGCAAACTTCCTCGCTGAGCATCTCCGAAGCCAAGACGAGTAAGTCCTAAATAAGAAATCTTCGTCAAGCACGGCTGAGAGTATTTATTCGGGTAAGAGCAGATTGCAAGGTTAAAAAACTAGTTTGTTAGATAAATATTTTGAGAGCTGTCCTTGGTTTCTCTCCACATTCATTTCCTCGGAAAATTTTCTTTTTCTTTCATAAAAGAAAAAATGTTCAAAATGTCTTAATATTAAATCGATTATAAAAGATGAAAATCTCCTATAATAAAAGATAATGGTAACCATACATTTGCGACATCTTCTTCCTGGACAACCGTCAAGACCATCGACTCTTTCCTCGAAGGCATGCCGAAGACGCTGACGTCGACACGTTTGAGCGCTCCTCGATGTCTCAAATGCTTCATAGTCGGGAAGCCAGGGAAGTAGACGTCGAGCTTTACGTTGGGCAACAAGCCCCAGACGACGCGGCTTCGCTCCAGACAAAAGGTTCCTTTGTCGAGAACAGTGTGTCTGAAATTGCATTTCAACTTCTGAAACCGCGTTTTCCGGACTTGACAAGCTTCCCGGAGTCGCTCTGTTCGAGAGTCTCGAACAGTTGGTGACCACCGTGTTCGTTTCGGGAGAGCTCCTCCGCCGTCAGTCTTCTCATCTGAAACTTCCTCTGATCAATAAAAGAAAGATACAATAACACTTTTTGGCAAAAGTAAAGAGGTGAAACTGAGAAAAGACGAACCCGAAAGCCTGGCATTCCTAAAGTTATAAGCAAAAGTTTCAAGCTGATGCTGGGATTACTCCAAATTTCAAGAAATTTTTAATTTTCAGACTTTCAATGCCTAAATCAAAGTTAATAAATGAGAATAAAAAAACAGAATAAAAATAAAAAAACCTTTTGTACAAATCTTGAGCAAACTTCAAACTTTAAATAGAAGCCAGAAGTTGAATAAAAATTATTTCTCAGCCATTCTAGTGGTTAGAAAAGTACTTATCGAAAAACTCGAGTGAATTCGCGTCTTTGCTAGAACCTTTGTTTGCATTGCATCGAGTAATCGTTTCTCGTCGATGAAAGGAATCAAAACGACGGCTTCCCAGTCGTTACGCTTTCCGTTGAGGTCCGTCTGGAAGTCGGTCGGGTAGAAGTCGGAAATCGGCGATCCCGAATCACACATCAGCTCCTGCAGGATTCAGTCAATCTGATTGAGGGAAAACAAAAAAATTGCCGAAGAACAGTGAAAAAATGTATTTTGATTTCCGGTGAAGATTTTTAATGCAGTAAGAGGTTTTTCGAAAATTAACTCTTGAGAGAGCCTTTTTAACAATGAAAAACGTACCCGAAGAGGTGGCGGAAGACAGTCGGCGCTCGCCGCAGGCAAAACGGCCAATAATTGCTCAAAAGGATGGAAAGGTTTGGAAAGATCGAAAGTGAGGTCCATATCACAGAAGTCGATGACATCGGATATGTAGGGAGCGTAGTGGTGAGGGTAGAACCTGGAGATCGCAGGATTGGCCGACAAACAGCCTTCCGAAAACACTAACCAACTCCAAGAAGCACATCCGTGGTAGTAGTAGTGGAGGTTCCATTGAATCGCCCTGATATAACCTTCAGCCTGATCTTTCAGCTGATCCTTGCTTATGTTCTTGTACCTCAAAACGGAAAAAATTCGTAAAATTCATCCAGTCCCCTTGTACTGCGGAAGTCCTTGAAACTGCATTACCTTACGGTCGATACAGAACATGTCTATTAAAAACTCTTCAATACTTAGATGCGCAGGTGCCCACCTGCCTAGCATAACCCGGCTACAGTAAGAGGAAATGGCTTAAAAAGCTGTCTCCGCATTTCTGATGATGGGCTATCACACTGGATGTAGTTTCATCAAAACCAAAATTTTTTTTGAAAATTTCTTTTTTCTAACTTTTTTATGAAGTTCAACTTCTACAGAAATGCCTAGATTAACTGACTTGAGCTTCTCGGCGTAGTAAAGCTTCTTGTGTCTCTTGAAGGAGTTGTTTATCGCCTTGGTCCAGCAAGCCTCGGCGTTGTTCTCAAAGGCCTTGTCATCCATAGCGGCAAACTCAGAAAGCGCCAAGGCTTCGGCGAATTCGTCTTCTATAGGGTCATAGAGCCCTGGAGCATCAAATCTAGTGAAACTACAGACTCTCGTCCAACCTTGCATATTTCTCAGCTCTTCGGAGGATATATCGTCGCTCTAGGCAAGATAACATTTTTTTCTCTTTCTCAACTCCGTTCTGAACCTGTTTGGAAGGGCCGTCATTCTCCTCGTCGCTGCTCACGAAAGCCGCATCTGAGCATTCTTCGTCATCCAGCTCATCCGACGGCTCTTCTGAAGGTTCCAAAGCCTCGCCGTCTTCCTCCACCTCGGCAAAAGGTATTAAATCTGAGTCGTCACTCTGAAACTTGGAAAAACCATCCAATACGTGGAAAAGAGTTTGAACCTTGGGTGTTTTCTTTGATTTCATAAAATTTTCGTCTTCCATCGTGTTCAAGAAACTGTTCTTATCGTTAGTTGCAAGTTGCTGTAGAAAAAAACAAAATGTAAGGAGTGAAATCTTTCGAAAGAACCTTTAAAAACTGCTGGAAACGTTTGAGATTCAAAACACCAGCTTCATTTAAGTACCCTGAAAAGAAAAAGACAGACTGAGCTGCCTCTCAACAAAAAAGAACCGTCTAAAGTAGGCAGAACTTTTTTGTACGTCGAATAAAGCAAAGGCAAAGCGTCTTCGTGGATGTGAACGTGAGGCAAATGGGGCAAAAAATCGTTTCCTACGAGGTAACCCATCAAAACCCAGTCGTCGATCACTCGCTCCATGTCGTATTCGAACGGAATCGACTCCTAAGATTTCTGAGTTTAGGGAGATCCGTTGATCTCATACTTTTATCGTTTCTTTAAACATTCGATCCTTTTTTAGTAGTTATATTTATTTGAAATGAAAAACGGCTAATTATTTTTTTAATGAACTTATTCGATGAATCGAGTCAAAAAAATTTGCATCGACTTAGCGGTATACCGATAACCTTGACTGAATGGAATTCCCAGGAAAGATATTCCCGTAGAAGTGACAAATGGAGTAAGTGGAAAGTTGTCTCCGAGGAGTCCGGCCTGAAGAGGTATGTTGAAAGTGCATCATTATGTATTATCGAAATTGAAACATTTGGACGTAAAAAAGTGAATCAAAAAACTTTAAAAGAGAAGATGATAGGCCGACGCTTGGACAGTCTATCTATTGTCTCAAGGTTCTCTAGAAAGAAAAAACTTTGAATGAGAATAAATTTTTTTTTTTCTGATTACTTCTCCCCTAATAATATCGAAAAGTGAAAATCCTGAACTAAATTCCTACTTGGGTATATTTTTTTTCTTCTGCTCCTGGCCCTTGCGAGGCGGCCGATTGAACTTTACTTCTTCGCGGAGCAGGGAAAAATGAGGTTCATGGGAGCACATTCCCAACATGATCTGAGCGAACTATTCATTAAAGGTTTTCGCTGGGATCATACCAAGTCTGCGTCGAGACCGTACATACAATGTCGTGTGTTGGGGTCGTAGCTGTTCAAGGCGCGTTCAGAGCGGATGAAATCCATTATTTTGTGCTCACCTTCTCCAGGACACTGAATGAGAAATTGGAATGTATCATTTCAAAGGTCGAAACGAACGTCGTGACCAGAGAGGTAAATTCTGCGGCCTTGCCACATGGGATCTTCGTTGATCTTGTTCTCGACCCATTGGATCAGTTTTTTGTGTAACTTGGTCATGAAATAAGTACCTGAAGTCGGGATTGGACTGAGCCCGGCTGTACACCTACCTGGCGTGATACAATTCGAATCAAAACGTTTTTCGGTCGGAATTGGAGCTCCTTCGCGAACTGCTTTTGCCATCTGTTCAGTTGCTGTCCTCGCAGACCTGGAAACAAATTTCAAAGCAAACATTTTTTCATTACACGAAAAAATTTTTAAAATTTCGCTATTTAAACACCGACATAAAACGACGTGCTCGCTGTTGGTTCATCTTTGCGCGAGGTGCGACTCCGTCAATAGCCATGAAAAACACTTTTTTCGGCTTAATTATTCGATACAATTTCTAAATTCAGATATATTACCAGTTTCATTCCCATCAGTACCTCTATGTACTTGAAAATATCAAGAAAAATTTGTTCCTCGGTGATTCTGAAAGTGATGTCGTCGTCATTCGGATGCGAACAATTATGGATAATCCCGTTCATATCCAAGTAAAGATTGTCGAATTCAGGAATCTGAAAGTTTCAAAAACGTCCAGCAAATATTTAAAAAATTGACCTGTTGCTCGCTTATAACCTCGCTCAAACATGGATATCTTTCTGATATCCATCGATAAAACTTAGGGACGCCCATCGTAGCGTCTGCAAAAAGCTCCAATAGAGCATATAGTCCGATGATTCAACGGAAAAAAACTTGACAATGCGCAAATGGTGTAACGTGCGGCAGAGGAGAATTAGAGTTTTTTCAATGGAACTGAGAGAATACTCGGGCAAAGCCCGAAAGGCTAGAGAAAGGCTGAAAAAAAGGTAGAGGCAGTGAAAAGGGTGGGAAAAGGGTGAAGGAATGATGGAAAAAGGGTGAAGGAATAATGGAAAATGCTGGAAAAAGGGAGAGACTGGAAAAAGGGTGCCAAAGGGTCAATTGTTAAAAACTCTCTTTTTAAAATTCTTTCAGGTTTTTAATTTCTTTTTCTATTAGTGGATTCCCTCGTGCCGAAGACGTTGCGGGCTCTCTACAAAAGGAAAATGAAGAAGACGCAACGAAGTCCTTTTTTTTTCGATGGATGACGAGCCACGGGAAAGCTACACTGGACTACCAGGTTTGTGTATTATTTTCAGTGCGGAAGAAGCTGATCTGGGAAAAGCACAAGAACAAGGTGCTGGCGATGTCAACGGAACAACTATTGATGGATGAAATATTTATTGATGTTTTCTTTAAGGTGTTTAATTGTCATAGACATTTGTGATCTAGATGAGCGCGTGTATGCAGATAAACTGTTGCTGATAAACTTTATAGGTAAATTTTATCAATTTTACAGCAAGGTTAATATCTAATTCACTTCACTTAAATTACTGACCATGCGCTTATATCTTTTTTTTACTGGTGTTTCTGCACATACACGCTCTTGCGAGATCTGAAAAAAAAAACCAAATATGATATCCTTTTGCTATGCAACATTTTTCCAAACACATTTTACCAATTCTGTTTTTCAACTTCGCCCATCAAGCCTTCTTGGATGAGCTTTTTGCAAATCTTTTCTTAGTATAGTCAATGTTTCCCGACTTGAAAGGCGAGGGAGGCGTGGCAAGGGGCGGGGCGCGTAGCGTGTGCGTACGCGGTTCTTGGCACGTGTTCAATTCAAGCGCTAGCGAGCATTCAGAGAGCTTTTTTTATCGCTCTTTTCACTTCTTTTTTAATTATTTATTGATTATGTTCATGTGTGCTTCAAAAAATAGAAGAAAATAAAAAAAAGAGCGGTTGCCGAGCTTTTTAAATAGTCGGCGGCGATTGAATTGAACTGGCGCCAAGAACCGCGTACGCACACGCTACGCGTCCCGCCCCTTGCCCCGCCTCCCTCGCCTTTCAAGTCGGGAAACATTGACTATACTTCTTGACTTTTTATTTGTTTTCTTTTGTTTCTTCTGTTTTTATATTCCTGTTGTTGTTCAAGTTTGCTGCTTCTATCAATTCATTTCCAAACGTTGGCCGAATAAAATGATATAGTCTATAGTCTATTCAGATTTTTAATGTCAACCAGCTAACTCCGCCCCCGCTGAGAAGGTACCTTTTCGCGTCGATGTTTTATCGCGCGGGACTAATTTTGATCTTTTTTGATCTAAAAGATAGAAAAAGAAGTCAAAAATGCAATCTATCAAAGGGACATCGTCATCTGTAGATAAAAAATTGACGCGAAAGATATTGTAGCCTTGGGAGTGGAGTTAGCTGCTTGACATTAAAAATCTGAACAGACTATATCAGCATCAGCATTTCTCAAATCTAAAAGAGCACGTGTATGCAGATAAAATGCGGCTGATAAACTTAATAGGTAAATTTTGAGATATTAACCTCGCTGTAAAATTGATAAAAAGATTCTAACGTTCGGACGAACGAGCAAACGGAAGAAAACAATGAATATGTGAGGAAATTATGAAGTTTTTCTATAAACGGGAGAATAGAAGGCATGAGAACGAAAGTTTCTAAACAGTGCGAGTGAACTTCTGCAGAAATTCACCCGCAGACAGAACTCTGTTGAAGAATACTACTTGAATGTTTTGCAACCAAGAATGGATCCGATCTTTAACAACATAAGGCGCGTAGATTTCGATGTGTACGCAAACAACACCACGAGGAAACGCATGATTGATAAAATTTATAAATTTTGAATTGTAAAATTTCCACAATATATTCCGGCAACTCGTTAAAACACACATAATTTTGTTGACTGCGTGAAAGTTTAATAAGAGAAATAATTTTATTATACGTTAAGACTCAAGTATCTATTTCCCTTTATTTCACAACAAGGGAAGCTATTGCAGAAAATTGCGCAATCTCCAACTTCAATCAACTTATTTTTACTGATACTGTGAAAGTTCCAGTAACAATAATATCCACAAAGTTGCTTCGAGAAAAAAGCCAAAGAATTAGAAGACAAAAGTTTACTCCGAACTGTAAAGAAAAACGTGAAAAATAGTTTGAAATGTGAGAATAATTAACGAATCAAATTCAGAAAATGTGATCAACTTACGAAAAAAAAAAATGCATACAACCTTATTGCAAACACAACAATTGTGGACAAAAAAGGGAAAAATTATAATAGTGTGGATATTAGTTCAGAAACGTCTGCCAATCCACTTCCAGACGGCGCACTCGTGACCGTTAGGCAGAACTCGCACCTCCGTCGCCACACGCGACTCGTTCGTGTCGATGAATGCGACGGCCTTCTCCCAACGGGCCAACTCGGTCTTTCTTCTAAATGGAAGTTTTCTAGGTTATCTATATGTAATCAAAGCAGTACTCAATCGAATTGATAAATAAATTCACCTCCTCGAAGGCGGAAAAAGAACGTCTCGAACATGTGGCTGCGAAATGTAAGAGACTCCTTCCTTGGAGGAATCTTCAATCATTTCTGAACTTCATTTTCATCAATGAAATTTATCTGGAAACAAACTCAGAATTCGGTCGATCAACTCGAACCTTGCATCTTCCTCTTTATCGCACTCCTCTTTGTATTTTTTGTATCCGAAGAAAGCCCCGCAGGCCAACAGAACAGCTAGAATCAATTACGATGTTAAACAGTTTTTTCTTACTCACCAAAAAGCGATACGAGAGCTGGCAGAACAGTATAACGGTAGAAAAGGTTAAAGGTATCTCGAAAAGCACCTGAAAACTTTCTTCCTCGAATAGGAAATGAAAAGTAAGTTAATTCGAGAAAAATTTATTCATCGGCGAAGCGTGAAAAAACAAAAAAAAACTCACTTTTAAGGGATTCAAAAAATCCTTTGACAGATTCCCGTTGGTTCGTGATTGCATAGGCCACAACTAGGACGCCGAAAAGTACACATAAAGTGATTAAACAGATGCGTAGTGCGTCAGAGAAACTGTAAAAACGAAAAGTTATGTCTAGTCTATTATGCCTCGAGTTAACCAAGAACTGAATATAAATTATCTCTCTTTTTCGCGTAGAAGCAAGTTTTATAATTGGGGTGATATGAATGACGCTTTGCAGTCGTATTTCTAAAAATGGCTTCGCTAAACCGCCAAAATTTTTGTAGATCATGATGTTCACGACTAAAAATATTATTTGAACACTTGAACTATTTGATATTCACAAAAACTTACCTGCGCACTTTTTAAAATCAAACTCACGAGAAAGCTTTCGTCTGCTTAACGATGTATTTGCCAGTTCTAGGATCTTTAATTACACTGGTACGAGAACCGCCGACACGAAAGTCGTACCGCTCGCCAGGCTTCGACGAGGTTTTGAACTGTAATCGACGAATTCTAATAAAGAATGAGAAAGTAACCGACGTCATATCCCAAGACTCTGTCCCAAGTGCGGCCGAGAAAATTCTGACGATCCGAGGCATCGCTGGTGTAGATGACACGATTGCTCTCGATACCGTCCTCCTCGTCATCGTCTTCTTCTGCCGTCGTTGAACCGAGGTCATGCATGGTCCTGATTCCCGGGGCTGAAACCTTGCCTATGAGTATATGATGAAAGTTCGTCACATACTTGATAAAATCTTTCGGCTCGAAACAGGGTGTTTGGGTGACGTGTAGGACGCAATGACCGAAGTTCGAACCCTGCTCTCTCCGGCGTGCTTGCTTTTTGGAGAGCCGTTAGCCACAAACGGCGTTCTGGAAGGAGATATGCCCATGACCGTCATTAGATCAAGTTTTTCAAAACCGAAGAGTTTTGTTCCGAGGAGGTGTCGCTCCTGGGCGGTCGATGCGTTGACGCGACTCTAAAACTTCTTGTCGAGCTGTTGAACTCGACACGTTTCCTCTTTTCTCAGAAATCCTGAAATTGAGCTCAATCATGTAACGCTTTCCAAATAAAATGAAAAACAAGTTCAAAAAACTTGCGCTGTGTGTCTGTATGAAGAAGTGGCGTTCGAGTTATCGCTGCTGTCAGGAGTGCTGAAACTTTCCGGAGTAGATGTGACTGGTTTGTTAGTAGTATTGGGTGTGAATGAAGGAGACACGATCGGCTCGTCGTCTTCATCAGATTCTTCTTCTAAAAATTCAAAGAGTTTCTCTCTCCGACGAATCTGAAATATTACAAACCCTCACTAACAACTTTACGGGGAACGGATGAAGATTGACTCGACGCAGAGCTACTAGAGGCTTTCTGTCGGACTGACGTTGGTTTGGAACTCTCAGAACTATTCGAACTCACAGGCTTCAAGATTCTATGTTCGTTACTTCATTTGCAAAAATACACCTTATTATTTGGTTTCACTTTTCCGCTGAGAATGTCTCTCAGCTTTTTCTCGAAAATACTTCTCGTTGTCCCGACAATCGGTCCGACGTTGACGCCATGAGACTTTAGCTGTTCTTTCAGCTCCGCGTCTGACAAGTTTTCAACGTCGACTCCCATTGGATCTCAAACAAATTAATTTCTATTCACAAAAAAGTCGATGTGAAATGACCAAGAGACCGGCAAAATATGAAACAAAAACTAAAAAAGACGAAGAAACTATGAAAAAAATCTTCTCGAAAACTGGCAATTCGAAAGAGAAAGAGAAACGCCAAAAAACACACAAAAAGAGAGAGGTTGCATAGAAATTCCAACAAGAATTCGAAAAGAGGAAATGGCGCGAAACGTCAGTGGTCCGCATATTACCATTGACTCGAAATATTTTAGTTTTCTCAAACAAATTAAAAAGAAAATCCAATTCATAGCGAATTTATATCGTTGAAACTTTTATTCAAACGCAGAAATATGACGAAAAGAAGAAGTTACAAAAAAGGCACAACTTAACATTTCGAGAGCAATGTACAGCGCAAAATGATAAAATTGAGCAATAATGGTTATAAATAAACCTCAAATTGAACATGCCTTTGGATTTTCATTCACAATCATAATAATTAGTAATTAAATAGGAGCGATTTATTTACAAAAGAAGGATGAAAAATCACGCTTTTTCCTTTTCGACAGCTGCTTCTTCGAAAAGCCCTTTCGTGTACATCAAGTAGCAAACCTTCAAATATTTTTTTCCGTTAAGAAAGTTAGGAAAAGAGGGTACCTGCTCGAAAAAGTTCTGTCGTCCAGAAGGGGTTCTGTGGTCAATACCTTCGAGTGGAATCATCTTCGGCTTAGAAGGAACTGGAGACTTTTTCTTCCCGGCGAGAGTGGCTGGAAATTTAAACTTATCAGCAGGAAATGTATTTTGAAAAAGACGATAAAGCGCATCAGTAATTTAATTTATAAAGTTTGAATAATTTGATTCAGAAACCTTTTATGTGAGGAGAATTATCATCAGTATTCATCACAGCTCCAGATACTGTCATGAATGCCATTGATTCGTTCGTAGGATCAACTAAAAATAATTGATGTGATTGAATCGTGGGTATGAGAAAAAGTAGTTTTGTTTCAAATTTGAATACGATTTCGAAGGCAGGAAAGTCAAGTTTTTGAAACATTTGCATTCCAAGATTTTCACCTGGAGCCACACGTCGGTAGCCGAAAATTCGCCCAACTGTTCTCTGAGCCTTGTCGAACCTACTTTCCGGCTGAAATTGAAACAAAGTATAGGGTTACATCGATATTTCTACTTTTAATCATGTTTAGAATTGTCATGTGAGCACGAAAATCGAAAGTCATAAGAAAAAAAGCTATTATGAAAAAAAAATTGAAAAAAGTCATTGCTTCAAAAATAAGCAAAACAAAACTTTCAAAACTTACTTGTTTTTCACCTGACCTGAGTCTTTTAGCCGAACTTGCGACAGTGTCCTTCAGATACCTCTTAGTGGAACCATCGGGAGAACCTTCCTGTTGCATTTTCGACGGCTGAGTTCAATTTATTTCATTGAAATATACTCATCGATCAAACGCGGGTGAAAGAAAATTATAGAGAACATTTGAAAAAGCATGAACTAAACTTTTTTCATTAGAAAAGATTACTATCGATTTAGAAATAAGTATGATATTCTTTTGTTAGTCAGTTTCCGTTTTCTATGTCAGATCGAAGCGATTCAGTGAACCTCTAACATTTTTTCTACAAACACCTGAAAAGAGGTGAGCCACGTATGGATATCATGTTCTAGCGGGTCTATGATTAAAAAATTGTTAGCCAACTCAGTTTTGATTTATCCCAGATATGTATAGATTTTTTTCATGCTTCAAGAAAAACTTGATTAACGCAAAAGAAATTGATTATCTATAATTATAGAAGAAATTTAACAGTTATAGTTTCTTCCACAAGAAAAAGAAGTAAATAGAGGTGAACAGAGCAAAAAAATGTGTCGTGAAACTCGGAAAAGAGATCGAATACTGATGTTCAACTTAATTTCCCCAAAAATGCAAAATGTTTTCTGACTCTTCGAAATTTAATTATAGTTTTCTTTTTTTCTGACTGCAATTTTGCATTTCGCGGGATAACTTTAAGCGCTTAAAGTGATCCCGCGAAAGCACGACATGATGCCGTGTTCAAAGTGAGTCCGCGAAATTCAAAATAGCCGTCAGAGAAAGAGAAAGATAACTAAATTTTGGAGGGTCAGACACCATTTTGCATTTCGCGGAAATTACTTTGAACACGGCATGAGAAAACAAAATCCACGTAAGTTAAAATGTTTTCAGTGCAAGCCTCGGAAGTTGCGGCACGTAGTACTACAGTAAAATCAAAAATTATGCCAGGCGGTTCTATCGGTACAAACTCGGTTCATAAAAGTTCTATGGACCGAGTTTGTACCGCAATACCACAGCAGTGACTGAAAAAGACGAAACGAAAAAGCTAACTTATGAAAAAACAGTTTGAAGCATATTCTCCAGTACAGACTCACTAAAACCTCGAAACCTTTAAAAAATATTCAACTTTTGTTGCGCGAAAACCGAAAATTACAACCAAAGATTCGATGATATCCTTGGAAGCCCCACCACTTCACTTTCCCTAAATGAGGTTTTATGAAATGTTTCAATGGAAACCAGGAAGCATGGGCATCACCAATTAACCAGAGAAGAAAAAAAGCAGATGACTCGGGCAAAACTGAAAAGCTCCCCAAAAGCTTTTCTCAAAAAAAGGCCTTGAAAGGGTCCCCAGCAGATCTTTTTTTACATAATTTCAATTCTTTTTTGCATCTTTTTCATATCCTCTGACAAAAAGGATGCTGGAAAGCAACTAAAAAGATTCGAGAGGATTCAAAAAGGATCCTCTGAGGCTATGAAAAAGGTGCTCAAAAGCTTTTTTACACCTTTAGGAGCTTTTAGAGGAAGCTTTTTATCTCCCTCTCAGGATGTTTTAAGGATCCTCAGAGGAACTTTTCAGTTTTACCTATGTTTAACCTTCAAACAAAGATAAAAATCTAGTGAAAAACGGCATATTCTAGTTGGTTCAGCTTTCGATACTATCAAATGAATATAATGGCTTGGTCATTGGAGAAACAAAATAACAAGTTCACTCCGAAATTGCATTTTTTTTTCTTTTTGATGAACATGGCAATTATTAAACCGATAAAAACACATATAAGAAATAGTAAGCAAAATATGTTTGACAAAAAAATTTATCCTGGTTGATATAATAAACTTTTCGAAAAAAAAAAGGAATTCGTCACTTGTTAACGAACATGCAAAAGTAATGAAAATTCATTGATCTCGACAGCCAGCACTGTTTGAAAAGTTGGGGTTAGTTGGAGGATTTCCTGAAATAGACTCTATCGTTTCGTTGCCTCCATTCACTTCTGTTTCGTCTTTCAAAAACCTGAAAATAAAACTAGCTGCATATTCGCTCTTTTCCGAAACCTGAATATACGAGTGAATGTTTGTGAATATCGACCACTCAAAATCGTTTGATGATTAGCCCCGTGAATTATGGAAACCGTAACCTGAAAACAGCAAAAATTATATAACAATACCATACCTCCAATGGATGCTCACTGGGTTTTTCAGACGTTGATGAAGTGCCATTCCATGTTCTATGGGTATAACCTCGTCTTTGTCCCCATGGCAAATCAAAACGCGGGCATTAATCTTGTTCACTTTGTCGTAGCTAGACTCTTTCGTTTTGTGAAAAAAGAAGAAAATCAGCCATGAAGCTTTTTAAAGCTTACAAAAACGAACCTGCGGAAGGAATCTACGCACCAAGATTTTTTCTTGGTCGGCTTGGAGGACATCAGTCGAAGTCCGCTGGTGAAAGGAGCGACCAAAATCACGCCAGCGAGTCCTGAAGTATCATAGCCTCATTTTGTAGCTTTTCAAACAACTCGAAACCAACCGTCCGGATTAGATGAAGCTAAGTCGACAGCAGCCGTCGTTCCTATACTGAACCCCATCAACACGATCTGAAGATTCTCCATTACATGACTTCTAACTTTTTTTCCGCTGAACTTTCATCTCCGGTCTTTTTTCTCTGATGTGCTGATAAACAGCTCGCACATCCGCGTAAATGTTCTTCTCACAAGGACTCCCAGTAGAATAGCCGTATCTGTAGATCCAAGCTTCATGAGATCTCGTGCTTGCTCACTTACCCCGAATAATCAAAGGCGTAAACGTCCATTTCGAAAACCTGTGCAAAGTTGACAAGATTCATGAGAACCGGCTGCAGAAAGCCTCCGACATCCGAAGAATTGGGTTGACAAAAAAGAAGAACCTGTGAAAATCATTTGCATCATAGACATTCGAGATGTAGGACCTGCTGAGCCAAAATCGCATCTTTGGTCTTTTTCAAAGGCCGACTTCGTACGCACACAAGATGGTTTTTGAATGCAGTTGTCACAGTGAACGCATGAAAAATCCCAGGTGAATTTTTTTTGTTTAAGTTCCTTCAACTTTTCCTATCATGATTGTTCGAGTCCAGATATGGTTGCTAAGAATAATTATAGAACAGTATTTTCAATGTGGTAATAATTAATTTTGGAAACTATCGAATTCCCCATTATGATTAAAATTCGGTTTCTCATTGCATACACTACTTCCTCGACAAAAGTTTCAAAGATCGAAAAGACTATACGTTTTGCAGCTTTTTCTCCGTTCTCCAACCTCAATATTTTCAGAAGGAGTCTGAAACTCTGTGTGGTGAGAAGCGTGCAAGCTGTGGACGACGATCTCGAAGTTCTCGTCGTTGACCTCGACGGCGCTGTTGATCGTCTTCTCAGGTTCCTCCTTCGACCTCAGATGGTACGTAACTCCCTCAACTCGTCAATGACCAATGCCAGGAAAAAGAGAACTTTTTTGGGCGGATGAAAGGCCAATTTATTAGTGATGATCGATGGGACCGGCGGACACGATATGTAGCAAAAGACACCGCAAAGCTGCGCCAGCGCGCAGAAAACGTCACAACAGCCCCGACTTTCCTGCTTGAAGGAGTATCTTTTCTCAAAGCTAATTAGTAATTTCGAAAGTCGGACTTTTTTTTTATAATGAATCTTTTTTTGTTTAAAAAAGGCCCAACCTCTTCATCGTCGACGACCACCATTCAGTATTAGAAAATGAGAAACTCATATTTGTCTTCACGCTTATATAACTTTATTTTCTTCACTTTTCAAATTCACAACAAAGTTTACCCGTTTTATTATATTTTGGGAACGGAAGAGCATCAGGTAAATTAATGATGTATAAAGGCGAGAAAAGAAAAATTTCCCTTTGCCTTCGATTTTTACAAGGAAAGGGCAGGACATTGGCCTGAGGTTGAAGACAAAATGTGGTTACGGTACTTGTTGAAAAGTGGCATGATGACGTCATTCTTTGCTGATTCCCACGCTCTGAAAATGTTGAAGAATGAAACAGTCTTTCCTAGTGGATACCTCTGGCGGACGCCCGGCACGGCTTTATTCCCTTCCACTTGCTCTTCGATTGTGTTGTAGCGACTGTCAGAGATCAACTTCAGCGATAAACCCATCGCTTCTATAAATTTTCTAGGTTTTGCCCATCCACCGATAACTTCGAATACATTCAAAGCCCCTGTAGAGAATAATGAACTCTTTTTGGAAGTTTTTCTTCCCATTTATCGAACTTTTTTGGCTTTCGAGATCGTGCTCTACTATCATGAACAAAGAGCTGTTCGAAAGTTGAATTCTTAGACTGCTCAAAAAAGAACATTCGGGAAGAGGCTTTTCTAGTTCAGTAAACGGCTGCCAATACAGCATAATATTTTGTTCATTCTCCATTCTTTTTTCTAGGCATTCTTAATATCAGGGACTCAAAAGACAAGATGGATAACCATCTCATTTCTAAAAAAAGTAACCTTCAACAACAGCGCGCACATGCTTGGGAAGCTCCTCGACGTTGGCTCCGCAGCGAGCGACGGCCTGCTGGAGAACGGAGACCCAGACCTGCAGGACCCCTTGAAAAGACACCAGAATCGTCGAAAACAACCTTGTCGTCTTCCTCGATCTCGAGCGACTCGATGCCGTTGAAGTGCTTCTTGGCAGGCTGCACACTGTTGGGTAATCCTGCGGCTCGGAACGACGATTCTGGCGCCGGCGCCACGAATTCAGAAGGCCGGAAGATTTCTGGCGTTGGAACTTGAACTATGTGAGCGTTCGAGTAGGCTGCCACAATCACTTCGATCATGCCTTCCAGTCCCAGAGCGTACCTCCCCGATTTGAAGTGGCCTGGAAGCAAATTTGGTTTCAGATCTTGCAAAATTGTTTTTTTTTTTTGAAACCGTAACCGCTGTCATAAGACTGAAAATATTTTCTACTTTCAATTTATCTCAGAAACTTATCTTATTTTTTAAATATATAAATTCTTTCACGAACGGGGAAAAAACTCATAGTAACTTTTCCAAATCTTTCAAAAAAAAATCTGTCTTGTCGATTTGCTTCCGAAATCTATCAAATCAAGCAGCTTGTTCGCTCTAATTTTGAAAAAGCTTTCTAAAGAAATTAACACTAGTTTCACACCATTTTTATGTAGATTGACAAAATCCAAACCAATATTGCGTTCAAAGGCGGATTTCAATGTCTCTTTAGATATTCTAGCGTCTCTGCCGGCAACTGTGAACACCTTGAACAGTTGAAATCGAGATTTTACTAATTTCGAGAAGAAAAAACCTGTCGGTCTTGTCTTGAGTTTACGATAAGAACTGTCGTGTCACACATGCCGACGTCCTGAAAATCCTTCTTTGAAAAGTACTCATTTGAAAGTCACCTGGAAGTTTTGGTAACGACGTTTCAAATTGTTTGCAAACTTTTCAATATCCACTGGAGCAGATGGAATATTGCCAATTTTGTCGATGATTGCGACAATTATCTGTAAGTTTCAAATTGAAGTGTTTTGGGGAACAAAAGTCGGAGAACCTCGAGGTTTTTGTCTGGATTAAGAGCACACGCCGGCGCCGTGTTCCGAATACCAGAAGTCACCGTCAGAAGCTAAAAAAAGATTTCACGGTGAAAAACACTTTTATACAAAGAGTCGATAAAAGTAGTTGTATCCAAATTAGTCAAAGTTCATTCATAACTTAATTAAAAATTTCTTTCATGAAAATAAAAATCTTTGTGATGCCATCTTCACGTTTTTTTCACCAGATATGCAAATATTCGATTTTTGAACCGTTTCAGGACTGTTTTTTTCAAAACAAACAGTGGAAACCGTGCCTGTCCTAAACGCTGTACAAGTCGGGACCTCTCCTCGTCCGAAACCACAGCCGAAGGGTCGCAGACCTGAGCTCATCACAATGTTTTGGTCGTTGCCGGCTGCAGAACTGACCTGGGACGGCAGTGCCAGTCGACAGGACAGCGGATCGAGCCGAGGGTCTGGGTAAGTCTGCGAGGAGAACTGAGCCTTCGCCGTCCACAACAACGATGCCGCAAACCACAAAAACTTCATCTGGGAAAATATAAAGTATACAATCGATCTCCAGGTTTTCACATTCCTTAGTCATCAATTCTGGAGTCAAAAAATCAAAGAGAAAAAAAAACTAACATAATTAAAATCAGTTTTTCGTCTTTAAGTTGTACTTTGGTTTCCCACCTACACATCAACTAGCAGCTCTCCTTTGAAGGTTTCTACCTATTCTTGAAAATCTAAACTTTTATTTCATTATCCTCAAGACAAACGGAAGCCTTTCAAACCCTACTAGTGTAATTACTAGCAGGAAAAAGGATTGTACTTCCGACTTTCTGAGATCGTCGAAGAAAATTGCTATAACAGTTAAGAAGCTTCTCGCCCCCGCCTGGTTGATAAAATCTATGACTGAAACTGAAGAATATTATTTTATGTTGATAAAATTGACAGAAGCAGGATTGGATGTTCTCATATGTTGAGTCTAACCTCTAAAAGTCGTAACAATATTACTTCCGTTTCATTGAAGTACACAAAATGTTGCAAAAAGCTGTACGAAGATAATTACAAAGAGACGAGATAAAGCCATAAAAGACGACGGCGAAACAGACAGACTTCGGACAAGCCGCGTCGAAAGCGAAAGCTGGGAGTTTCTCCCTTCGGATGGGCTGGTAATAGCCGCTCGACAAAACCGGGGATCACGGCGGCTTTGGTCGGTGAAAGGCCGCCGCGGGTCACTCCACTTTCTCTGAAACCAGAACGGCGGCCGAATGCTGTCCGCAAAGGCGTGCCGAGCCAAAATGCATTGATAAGCGAGTTGAAGTTGTAATGGAACAACAGCTAGCCTTGAAAACGTGGCGGTATATCTTTATAACAGTCCCAGGATCAACAAGAGAGGTCATTCGATTCAGAAATCGAAAATTTTCTGTGAATAGGCCTGCCAAACTTCTTATTGCTGGTATCTTTTCAAGCACTGTGCAAGAAACATGAACTGAACCTTAGCTTAACAAAAAAAAATGTTGTTCAGGATAAGGCTTTCAGATCTTCTCAAGCTCGTCTTAAAAATTGTTTCGTCGAGTTTTCCGGAAGTTTTTTTTTAGTTTTGATTCAAATTATTCTCCTTTTGACGGGACCAGCAGAAAAAGTTTCTTCCAAAAGGTGTAATCAGCGAGTTCAAAACTGAAAAACTTAAAAGCGATCTCTGTGCAGATAAAACTTCGTAGAAGTTCGTTCTTAAAAGATTGTAATCCTTGTAAAGGCATTCCGAAAGAAGTTCTTCTCCACTCTCGCGCGCGCATCTGATCGGAGGATCGCTATTAGCAAAGTGACCAAAGCATCCTGATCTTATCACTCTTCCGTTTTTGTTAAAGCTTCGAATCGGAATTTGATGGATGCAATTTTCATCAAGAATCAATCAAAATGTTTCTCAAAAATCCGCATCCGTTCAGCAAACACCAACTATGAATTTTCTATTTAAACTTGAATCGGACCTTGGAATTTTTGTATCAGATTGCAAAAATAGCGTTCGAGGTTTGTTTATATACATCAACTCGTAATACCTCCCATATACGTGAGACTTATTCAAAGTACGGTTTTGTTTTTGTTTTTTTTTTTGCTTTGTGCTTTCATAGGAAAAAAATATAATATCGTACTAAGAGGCGAAAGATACTACAAAAAAAATTTATACCGTGTTCAAACTAATTTCCGCGAAATGCAAAATTATCTCTGACTCTCCAAAATTTACTTACCTTTTTCTTTCTCGGGCTGCTATTTTGGATTGCGCGGAATCACTTTGAACACGGCATTACTATTTCGTAGCAGCTTTAGCACACGAATAAATAAACTTTCCGTTTTGGAACAATCTTTTTTGTTTTGTTAAATGGATATGCCATTATTCATAACGTTCATGCATTATTATGGCGATCTTTATGCACCGCATGTCAGAGGCAATGGGCAAATGCAAAAGAGCAAGTCTGCGCTATCAGATTTCAGTACGACACTCCAGTTTGCGACTTCTCTAGAATTTTTGCTTCGAGAATCCTCCAATTTTTTTCTAACTCGCGGCTATTCTGAAACTTTCAGCTGTTTAAAAACTACTTATTTAGTTTTTCGCTGAATTGTTATTCAAAAATAACTCGAAAGTTGTTTAGTACGTTTTTTTGGTCAGCAACTTTCATCGATTTTTTTATCTCTAAAATTAAATATTTCACTTCAAAAAGATTTATAAGGTGTGTTTTTGTTTGATTTTTTGAAGAAAGTTGTATACGAACAAAAATTTCTTAGAACTGACCTTTCAACGACGCAAGTATTTTTTTTCATTCAGTTTCGACTCATTCTTCGCGTTTAATTTATATTAAGAAAGTTGACAGGTTACGTTTTGCAGGATTAACCATGCTCCCCGTCCAAATTCTCAAGGACAGTGCCCAAGAAGAACGAGGAGAGAGCGCTCGACTGAGCTCTTTCGTTGGGGCGATCGCAATTGGAGATCTCGTTAAGTCCACACTTGGCCCCAAAGGAATGGTCAGTGAGAAACTTTTCTTGTTTTTTCATGTCTAATTTTCAATAGGACAAGATCCTGATCAGTGGAAACGCTGACCATCAAGGCATAAAGGTTACGAACGACGGTGCTACAATTTTGAAGTCGATTGGAGTTGACAATCCAGCCGCAAAAGTTCTTGTTGGTGAGTTTTTTGGTAGTAAAGCTCATTTGATTGGCTTCTTAAGAAATGTCGATGACTCAAGATAGTGAAGTTGGTGATGGAACGACATCAGTTACTGTTTTAGCTGCTGAACTCTTGAAAGAGGTGATCTTCACCCTTTTGAAGAATATTTTTTGTGGTTTAAGGCCGAAAAGCTCGTCAATCAGCGTGTTCACCCACAGACCATCATTTCCGGATACAGAAAAGCTTTGATCATCGCTCAAGGAGCTCTGAAGAACTCTTGCGCGGAGTCTGGGTAACTGTCATATGAAAACCTTTGGTTACTCTTTTTTCATAAAGATCAAAAATGCGCGAGGATTTGTTGAAAATCGCGAGAACTACTCTCGGATCAAAAATTCTTGGACAACACAAGGAACATTTCGCTCAACTCGCAGTTGATGCCGTTCTACGTTTGAAGGTTTTTTCCATTTGTAATTAGAGGCAATTTCCTACTTCCATGATTTCAATATTAACGTATGTTTTTTCCAGGGTTCTGGTAATCTTGACGCTATTCAAGTTATCAAAAAGCTTGGCGGCTCTATGAACGAATCGTATTTGGATGAAGGTTTTTTGCTCGAAAAGCTGCCTGGAATGTACCAGCCCCGACGCGTGGAAAAGGCTAAGATCCTTATTGCGAACACGCCTATGGACACTGACAAGGTATAGAGAATCATTTAATGTCGCGTTTCTCGAATTTTTTTTTCTCATTTCTGTCTTTAGGTGAAAGTTTTCGGCTCGCGTGTCCGTGTTGATGGCGTCGCAAAAGTCGCCGAGCTTGAAAGCGCCGAAAAAAGCAAAATGAAAGAGAAAGTTTGTTTTTGTATTTTTTCTTCCTATGATCTATTATTTGCCATGTTTCACGACTATTAAAAAAAAGATATAGGGGGATTCACTTCATTGAATTTAGGTCGATAAGATTTTGGCGCATAAGTGCAACGTTTTCATCAATCGCCAGCTCATCTACAACTATCCTGAGCAGTTGTTCGCCGACGCCAACGTCATGGGCATCGAACATGCTGATTTCGAAGGGATCGAACGACTCGCTCTTGTTTTAGGTGAGCTTTTCACAAATATTTGAGTTCAATCGGCAAAATTTTTAGTGTTTCAAGTATGCTAGTCTTTCTAGGAAGAGGTCATGTCATTCAATGAAATTTTTTAGGGAGTTTGTGAACGATTTTCAGAAAAAAACTAAGGAAGCAATTGTTTTAAATAATATCAGAATTTCGAAAGTAAGCCTTCGCGAGCGAAATGGACGATTTCAGAGAAATTTGCCAAGAGTTTTAAAGGTAGAAAAATTTTTCAAATGCTTTCTCATCCATTTTTTCAATGTTATGAAAAAAAAATCCAGCGAATTTTCGAACGGCGACTTCTCTGATTTTTTCGTATCGCTAGGGAACTTTCCGACGGAGAAGCTTTTCGACTCTTTTTCCCTTACTTTTTTCGGTTTATAAAACATCTACTAATATTTTTTTTTCTATTTCTTTGTTTTTTAATCACGAATCATCTACCAACTTTATATAGGTATATTCAAAGCGAAGATTTTATCGAGAAAAAAAAGTCAGAAATGGATTAGTCGGAAAGTTCCCGAGCGATATGAAAAAAATCAAAAAAGTCGACGTTCGAATTTTTGCTGGTCCTTTTTTCATACCAACTTTTTATGAATAATTGTTTACTGTGTCTTGAGGCCAAGACTATCTGATACATATTTAGTATTCTGATACGCTCATTTTCGTGAAAATCATTCTCGGGAAATATAATTTGATTTTGAAGGAGGCGAGATTGTTTCAACTTTTGATTCCCCGGAAACGGCAAAGTTTGGTCACTGCGATTTGATCGAAGAGGTCATGATTGGCGAAGATCGTCTTCTTCGGTTCTCCGGCGTCCCAGTCGGTTTGGTTTACTCAGTTTTTCATGGAGTTTAATGTTAATAATAATTAATCTTTTGATAATATTGGTTTCGAGTGATTTCAGTTTATAGCATTTTTTTGCGTAGAGGATCAACAAAACCATTTGATATCAAAGGAATTTTACTCCAATAAAAGCAATGAATTGTAATCAGTGATGAAAAAATAACAAAGTTTTCAGTGTGCTGAGTTGTGCTGAGTTTTCAGGAGAGGCCTGCTCAGTAGTTTTGCGCGGAGCGACGCAGCAAATTCTGGAAGAAGCTGAACGTTCACTTCACGACGCACTTTGCGTTTTGGTCACTCACGTGAAGGTTTGAAAGATAAAACTTTACAACTTTATTTAAGTATTAGTTAAAGAATCTGTCTCTCTTTCTTAGCTGAATCAAATGATCATCAAAAATACACGTAAGTTGAAGACAGTGCTACGACTACCGGTAAATATTGCGCCGTCAGTTTCGGAGCCAGAAAAATCAAAAAAATTTTTCCTATTTGCAATCTGTCAAGGACCTATTTCTCGAGGTCACAAAATAAGTTACGTTACACAACGTACAAAAGTTTAAATTTTATTACTGATAAATTTATCTGAACTACCGTAACACGACCAACCGCTTTAAAGAGGCGTGAATAACTTTTTTTGTTTTTTTCGTCAATATGAAAAACACGCCGTTTAAAAAGCAAATTTATATAGTTTAGTTTTTTTCAGATACCAAAAATAGTGCGCTCTTTTTTCTTGCTCTATTAGTAAAAAAATCTCTACTCTAATCCAAGTTGATGAAAGTTTGAAAACACTTGAATACATTTTTTCGTTTTCAGGAAGCAAAGACGGTGGCTGGTGCAGGTGCCAGTGAGATTCTGATGAGTACGGCGATCGTAGTTGAGGCGCAGAAAATCGCAGGAAAAGAAGCTCTGGCGGTGGAGGCTTTCGGCCGCGCCTTGGCACAGCTGCCCACCATCATCTGCGACAACGCCGGTCTCGACTCGGCAGAACTCGTGACGCGTCTGCGAGCTGAGCACGCCAATGGCCATCACAACATGGGGATTGGTGATTTGTCAACTTTTTTCTTTTTTTTTTTTCAAATCAAACTTTTTCATTTCTCACACACAATCACTAAAGTTTTTCAAATAGATTCATGATATCGGTAGAACTAGAATCATTCGTCGGCTGGATCCCACCCCGGGGTGCGGCCTACCCCCCTCAAACTCCAGCCAATATATGATTAGAATTCTTTCATAGAGATTCGGAGGTTTCTCAGCTCTTCGGGTCTTTTTTCAAATTTTCGGGACTGCCTAATCAAATGTCTTTTTCTGTATGGTGCTGTGAAAGTACAAATTAAGGAAAACATTTTCTGAACCTCTAATTGAAAATCAGAACGAAGAAAAACGAGATTGCCAGTAAATATTTTTATAAAAAGTATTGGCTGATGATGATTACCTGTCATTTTTGCACTTCGATTTATTTTTCATTGAAAAGTTTTTTGACTGAAAAAGATTTAATTTCTCGTAGAGAGCTTTTAGAACTGACCCGTTCAGGCTGTCCGGTTTATCACGAAACTAATTTCACACTGTAGGTTAAAATTGTGCATATGCACACCGACCACGGTTTTTTTGGGCGATATATTTTTTTTCAGAAAGGAATTTTTTTATAATAGAAGTAGTGGGAAAAAAACACAAAACTAATTAAAAATCTCCAGATATGACAATTTCGTTTTTAAAAAGAGAAATCACAAAGTGAGTCTTGAAATATGTGGAATGAGATAAACCTGCTTTTTCAAAGAAAGAACTCGTATTTTTCGGAGTTTTGAACGCAACGAAAACTTTCATACGAGTTCGTAGAACAACTGACAAAACCGCTTTTTATAAAAGATTCTATTTAATTTTGTCAAAACCCAAGGTGTAACTCTTCTTTTTAAGATATCGAAAAGGGAGAAATCGCTGACGTCGTCGCTCTCGGCGTTATCGAGTCTTACAACGTGAAACTGTGCATGGTTTCGTCGGCGGCCGAAGCGACGGAGCAGATTCTGCGTGTCGATGACATCATCAAATGCGCACCACGCCAACGTGCCCCGGACAACCGTCCCTGCTAATCAGTCCTTTTCGGCGTTTCTGCCGTATTTATCCACATTTCGTTTGCCGTTTAAATTTTTCTTTTTTTTTTTTAGCTTCCCATCCAATTCTCAAGTTCTCATTCAAGCTTTCGATCTTCACGCGTTACCCGTTGTTTGTTTTCCCCGTTTCAATTTATTTTCATTTTTATTATTTTGAGTGTTAATTTTCTCACTTTTTTGCACCGTTTGGCTTTGTTTTTTAAGCTTGTTGTTTTCTTGTTATTAAATGAATGAAGTGTCCGAAAATCTATGGTCGTTCAGAAACCTGGAGTGGCTTTATTAAGAAAGTTATCGTCCCAGATTTGCCAGGTTTAAAAAAAAACGCAGTAAGCGCTCGGATGAAAGTTTTTACACAAGTTACAGTAAAATTGCAAGAAAAAATTCAGAATTTATTGAGTTCCAAAAAAGATGAACCTAATATTGTAAGTGTCTTGAAAGCTTTAGTCAAAAAATTTCTGAACAAAGACGAGGAAATGCTACGATTCTAGAAACGAAGACACGGGTCACTAGGCTTTTCGATTCCATATGTTATAGTATGTTCAGTTTTTGAATGTCAAGCAGCAAACTACGCCCCCAACATCGCTCTGATTGGTTTGATCTACGCATAAGGGGCGGAGTTTAAACGATAACTTGACATTCAAAGTCTAAACAGACTATAATTGTAATGAAACAAGCGAAATGTAGAAAATGGCCAGTCGGCGTCTGCTTCGCGACTTTCTGAGAAGGAGGTCCTTCGATCTCGAGGTTCAAGGTGCCGAACAGGAAGGGCAGTGCGTGAAGTCCTCCGCTGCCGGTGCAGCAGCAGAAGAAGCTGAGGGACTTTTCTGACCGGCGCAGTCCAGTTGGCCGCGCTGTTTGCTCACTGGCGGTTGTGTACAGGGCGGTGGCTCGCGCCCACTTGCAGTCGATGACGGTGCTTTTCTCGTTTGTCTAGCTCTTCCTGCACCTCCCTCCGCTTGTCTTTCCGTCGTCGCGTGTCGCCCTGAGGGCAACTTCCAGAAACTCCTTCTGCCGTCGTCGTCGCCATGTCGGTGCCGCCGTCGCGTGCACATTCCGAGGTGAGCAACTCCGGATTTACTTTGGAGCAAGCCTCGCAAAAATTTCTGTTCATGGTTTAGATCTACATCAGATTTCCTGTTCATATAATTTATTTCCGATAAAATATGGCTATGTTTGAGTTCATCTTCTTGTATTCGCATTTTTTTGAAGTTTATCTCTTCATTTTTATTTTCTGCTTGAATATACTTTCGAGAAACTGAAAAAATAACGTCGGAAAATCTATTATATAATAAATACGTATAACGAATATATATCAAAATTTTTTCATTTAAATATCCGAATATTTCTTCTAAGTTTTTTGTTCAGATTATGTTTGATGAATGAATCTCATCTTTTAAGAACGATTTCCGAACTCGTAGTTTCCTTCACGTTTCTTTTCATGTTATGAACTTTTTTTTCCCTTCTCGAACGGGAAATTGCTTCTTTTTTTTCGCTGTCTTAGAACCTTTCAGAACTCTTGGGACGAGTATTATAAAGTTTTCCATAAACATAATCCTGAAGTTATTCGATATCGATAGTAGTTGAGAATATTTATGACTTCTTCGATTTTTGACAAATTCAGGTGTTTTCGGCGAGTCAGTATGGCGGTGTGGCTGTGACGACGCGTCCCAGACCTCAGATCAACTATTTTATTCTGCCGGCGGCCATCCTCCACGTCGTTGGATTGGCCTGTCTTTGGGCTCTTTGGTACTATCTGAGGTCGGCTTCTGCTTTTTTTCGTTAGAGAGTTGGGTTGATTGAGTGGGAGACTTCCGTTGATTCCTCACTCTCGAGCATTTTCTGAATCATAGAGCAAACATTTTGGACTTCTTTTTTTGCTCTGATGGGAATATTTACTTGAAAAGTCTTTTTATTTTTCTCATGCTCATGTGTAACTATTTTGTGATCCATCAGTCGCAATTTAACATTTCTCTTGACATTGCGCTACCATCAAATAAAATACACTTCCTCGTATTCTTTACTTATGTTTTTTTTTTATATTTGATTTGCTTAATAGCGTTCACATGAAGTTCTTTCTATCTTTTTTGGATTCTCAGAACTTTGAATCCGAAAAAAAGATTATTTTTCTTGTTAGTTGAATATTCTTTCCTCGCTGGCCTTTTTTTTGAAATTGAGAGTCTTCTTCATCACCGGAAAATTTTCAGATTTATTTTTTTGCGTTGTATTTCGTAACGAAGTTGAAAGGCAACCATGTCAGCTGCTATTTTAGACTGAAAATAGTATTTTTGTTCGAGTCCATTCTAATCCAGTCATGTTTCTGGAAGAACTAAAAGCTTGCGACAAAAAGCTCTCGCGTTTTTTCGGCCCACGCCTGTTCCATTGAGTTGACTTTTGACCACTCCAAGCCTTATTGTCTTTGCTTCCAAACCGATTTTTTCGTGCACCTTGTTCAACAGCCCTTTTTGTCCTCGCGTGAGTTTTTTTCCCGCGTTGTTTAGCGTCGATTGAGTTGCCGCCAGCGGATATTTGAGCTAAGGACTGTTTGCGCGGTCCAATAGTGACATTTACTATTTGTCGGGGTTAATCGGAAACGTCCGGCTTCTCACTTGTCACATACCGTTATCCGCCACCGCTCAATCGAATATTATTTTTGAGCGTATGGGCAAACAAAGGCTTTTTTAAGCTTTTGAACATCCTACTGTACTCTTTCAGGACGATTCGTGACACCAAAGTCACATTTTCGTAGTTTATGTACCTTGTTGACTTTTTCTCGGCATAGTTGTCATGAATTGAAATTATGGCTTTATCACGACCTAAGATAGTGAACAGAGTAGTTTTCATAAAATTTGAAAGTTTAGGGCTTGCCCATAATCTCTCTTTATGTAATGTGTTATTTGTTTAAAAGTCCTTGCTGCGTTGTTCTAATGAGCACAGATTTCATCAAAGTTTCGATGAGAAGTCCGTTTTCAGTGTATTTTAGAATGTAGAAAAAGGATTTCACATGAAAAACTTTTGAGCAGACTTTTGCTGACAAGGGAAGTGTTTTTGGTGGCCGGTTGAACTTTTGTTGAAACTTTGCTGAAAGGTACTATAAGACCTCCTCTTTCCAGAACACGAATAAAATTTCTCGCAATAGATCTCGTTTTCGAGTTATGAAGCTTCAAAGTTTGCACGCTGAACAAGTGCTGCAAGGCAAGAGGAAATGTGGCTCGCGTACGATCCCTCTACTCCAGTTGGCAGCGTGGTGTAGTGGCTAGCGTCCTTGAACTGCGGTGTCTATGATCAGGGTTCGAAATTTTTTGAAGAATTTAGTTTTTGCCAAAGCTTTCCTGGGAGGAACTTATAGACATCGTTAAAATCAATCAAACAATTTTTTTCCGAAATACCATAGTTTCTCATTTTACTCGACTTTAACGAAAATTTTGACAAACATTTTCCTTCGGCGGCTCATAGGCATGACCAATGGATCGCTTTCTGTTTTTTTTTTCAATAATCTGGAGGAGACTTATTCATCTTCCTGTGGCGTAAGTTTTTATATTTGATTCCTTTCAAATTATCAACTGGACTGAAACGCTGAATAAAAGGCAATTAGAACTTTTTCCCCCAAAAAAGGGACTATTAATATATTTTATAAGCGGAAGAAAAAATTTTAATCGGTATACCGAATCAAAATAAGAAACTATGTTATTTTGGAAAGAAATTTTTGGTCCGTTTCTCCAATGTCGATAAGTTCCTCCCAGGAAAGCTTTGGCAAAAACTAAATTCTTCAAAAAGTTTCGAACCCTGGTCATAGATACCGCAGTTCAAGGACGCTAGCCACTACACCACGCTGCCAACTGGAGTAGAAGGATCGTACGCGAGCCACATTCCCTCTTGCCGTGCAGCACTTATTCAGCGTGCAAACTTTGAAGCTTCATAACTAGAAAACGGGATCTATTGCGAGAAATTTTATTTGTATTCTAAAAAGAGGAGGTCTTATAGTACCTTTCAGCAAAGTTTCAACAAAAGTTCAACCGGCCACCAAAAACACTTCCCTTGTGAGAAAATTATGTGTTTTTGCTGTAAGAATTTTTTTTTTGATTTAATTCTTTTCTGGTAGAAACTATCGCAAGCCTAACATTCAATTTGATTTGAATAGTTTTTGATGTCACTGGTAATTTGGCCAAGGTTTTCAATTTTTAAAAAATCGGCCTCAGAGATAGTGACAATAGCAAAGATCACTGGACATCACGTAAGCTTGCGAAGTTCAAATCATGGGCCGCAAGCTCTGCAACGCCATGTCACCCCCTTCTCTAACTGCGTCCGACGCACACCGGTTCTCGCGGCCACGTATTCGCCAATGTGTGTGTTCGCATTGTTCTCATGTTTGCCATGGCAGATTACGCATTATCAACTTTTCTCTCGCAAAAAACGTTCAGAACATTTTTTTTTTCGCAGCATATAAGGACTAAGAAAACTGGATTTAACGCGAGCAAATAAGAAAATTCTTGGTTTGATGCAAGCTTCAAGACTTTTTTTAAACAATTCACACAAGTCTGAAAAATTTGAACTTGTTTTAGAGAGAAAAAACCGGTCAAAGTCGGACTATTATTTATTTACAGGTAGTATTTCAGAAGAGCAAGAAAGTCAGGAATTTTTGGAAATAACATAGTTTTTGCATGTTGGAAGGTGACCTTAATCAGAATTAAAGATCCATCGCACAATTTTTTTTTTCTATCATTTCACCCGTTCTCCTTTTAATTTCTCAGAAATATGTTGTCCCTCGAACGAACGAAAAAAAGTGGCTGACGTCTTCGGTTTCAGGTTCACGACAGTGTTCCCGTATCACCAACGGGTGTTCTACTGCCGCGATGTCGACCTGTACAAGCCGAACTTTGAGCCGGAAGACTTCAACGTCTACGTCTCTTACCCACTACTCTACACGCTGGGCTTCGTCCTTCCAGCGTTGGTGGTCAGTTTAGACGACTGTTTGGGTTGCGGCTCAGCGCGAATTCGTCACGGCTCTCAGCCGCTCCCACTGCTTCATTTTCGAGAGGCTCAAAATGCTTTGCGAACGACTGCGACATGAGTCTTTCCTCGCGGATTATCCTGATTTTCCGTTGGTACATACAAGGCCAAGTCTTGGACCGTCGAGTCTTTTCGTCCAACGGAACTTGAAAAGAAGAGGAAAATGCAATTAAATAATTGTTTTTGAATACTTTTCAGAAAATGCAATTAAATAATTGTTTTTGAATACATGGTGAAGCAGTTTATTCGCTGGTACTACCAACGGGCCCACATTATTTCTCAACTGTCACGCCGGGACTTATTGGACAACGATTGTGGACCGAAACCCGCGCCGACGACTAACTCTTCGATTATACCATGATTCAGCAGAGATTTTTCTTCATCTTACTCTGAAGACTGAATAAATTGACTTTTTCAGTACAATATATCTTGCTGAATGATCGCAATTTTTTTGTAAATGAAAAGATCAAAAATTAAAAAAAAAACAATGAAAAAGCTCCTGGAAGATAATTTACAGGAGTTTATACCGAAACGGCCTGCTTGTGTTTGCGTCGAAAGAAGTTTTGAATAGAAGTGGGAAAGTCTAGTTGATGTGAAATAAAAAGAAGAAGGGAAAAAGGTTTATCGCCGAGAATTTCAGATGGCTATCGGCGAGGTGATGTTCTGGCTGTTCAGCACCAAACCCCGGAAAACGGTCTACGCCAACTGCGGCGAGTGCAAAGTTCATCTCTTCACTCGACGTCTTCTTAGATTCATCGGTTAGTCGGAAAATCTCCGGAGTGGTGAACATCGAAAACAGATAACTGGATAAAAATGAATTTCTCTTCACTCATTCGGGTTCAAGAATTCATTCCACCTTTCAAGGAATGTCTTTAATAATTCGAATCGTTCCAAGTCAAAATTGCCTGGAAAACCTAGTGAATATATTTGGTTTTATGTGTAAAAATTGGTTAATTGAAGGCTAAAGGATTTCAGTGGTTTTCCTGTGCGGCGCATTGATCACCCAGATTTTCGTGGACACGATCAAACTGATGACCGGCTACCAAAGACCCTACTTTCTGTCCCTCTGCAACGTCTCCATCACGTTTGTCGAGTTCTGGATGCTAAGTCGACTGTTTTCTCTTGAGGGCCTGCACAGCGCCTCTGGAACACTCGCCGTCGCCGTCTCCGAATCTCGCCTGCAACTTCCGCGGAGCCAACGAACTCCGCTACGCCTGGCTCACGTTCCCTTCGCTCCATTCGGCATTCTCCTTCTACTCGGCGACGTTCGCAGCGGTTAGTTCAGTTCTGCACTAAGATAATTCTTTTTTTTTGAATCTCCGATTATTTCAGTTCTTCCATTCTATACTAAACTTTTCTCGGCTTTCGTTTTCAGAACAAATAAAATATAACCATTGCAGTGCTACATTTACTACATGGTCAATCTTCGCGGTGCTCCTCTCCTCCGTCCTTTCCTCATTTTCGGGTTCTACGGCCTCGCTATCGTTTCAGCCTTCTCCAGAATAAATGGGCGAGTTTGTTTGTTGTTATAAAAGCAATGGTATAGAACCATTCAGAATCCTAAAAGTCATTTAAGAGTATTTTTATTCAATTATTTTTTGGATGCTATCTTTTTTTATAGGTACAAAAATCACTGGCGCGACATCTGGGTGGGTGCCCTGATTGGTTTCCTCATCGCCTTCTTCCTGGTGAGATTGACCTCAAGATGAGTTCTTACGAAAGAGTACTGTAGTGCTACTGTGTCCTGTGCTTCCAAGAGGTCTACCATCTGGTTGTTGAAAAGGCTCCGGTGGTCGAAGAACGCGTCTCGCCGTTCTTCAGTTGGTTCCGTCTTCCGCGCGTTCAGGCGCCTTCTGTCAAGGAGGAATACGTGTAAGTTCGAAGATAGTTTTATTCAAGTGGTATCAGAAATGCTTACTGAATGAGATCTTTGAAGGAACGGAGAGTCTTTTTCAAAAAGTTCAAAGTTCTAAAAAAACTTGTTTAAAAGAGAGGATTCTGTAGTTGGACTTCTTGTCACAAAACTTTGCAAATAATTGAAAAAAAATGGTTGTGCGTAGGCTTTTTCGCGTAAAAAATTTTTACGTTTTTTATGCATACGGAAAGTTACGTGTTCGATAAATATTTCCCAAAATTCTACCTTTTTTTGTATTGTCCATTATAGTTATCAAATCGCTGGCTTAAGACGATTTTTGAGTCTTCACATGATTAGAAAAAAAAAAATAAGAAAAGAAGAGATCCTGGCATCTTTAGCGTTTCTTTCGCAAGCTAACTGAAAATTCGCGGCAATTAGAAAAAAAAAGTACTCATCCGAGAAAATGAGAGATTGCAGGGTCTACGAAGAAGACGTGCAGCAGCCCGAAGGAACGATGCCACGGCACCGAAGGAACCGCGACCGCCAGTACGAGGTCACCACCACTACCGAGTCCTTCCACAGGACCATCAGTCCTCCTCAGCAGAACAACGGATATCAGTACTAAGTCTGAAGTCATCATCTCGAATTCGAAGTCGACTTGCGAAGCTCATTATCATGCCTATCGGTGCATCTTACTGCGACTGTTCTAGCCCTAAAACGCTCACTTTCTCCGAAACGAAACGCTGTTATTTTAAAAATATACTCACGTTTTACGCGTAATTGCCTGTTTCTGTTTTTTTTTTCTCGCTTTAGAATGCATAATTATTTCCCATGAACTGCCATAAAATATATTTAAATATATCTTTATTGTACATAATTATGCTTGTAATGCTAAAGTTTTTCCGCTTCCAACGAGTTTTCGTTGATTTTTTGTCAGCAGTTCCTGTTGCTTCTATAAAAATAAATTTTCACCTTCTCGGAAGATAAATGATGTCGGAGCACGTCAATGTTAACATCTCAACGATAGAAAATGAAGAAACGAAGAAATGGATTGGTGGGCAAAACATTACAACCAGGCCGAGCGGGGTCACGGCAGTTAACGATGGTCCGACTCCCGTGGCTTCTCCTCATCGCTTTCGGACCTTTCTTGTGTCTGGCCGTCCGCTATGGCGTCGCCGACAAGTGTCCGTCAATTCCACCATCCTTGTGGTGCAGCAGCGACAAGATCATCAAGCAGTGCGGCTTCGAGGAACATTGCCAAAGGTTAGGCTAAGTTCAGAAAGCTCTCATAAAAACAAATATTGAAAAATATTTCCGAGTTGTCTCTTTTTTTTTTAAACGATCATGTTTTTTTTGAAGCGCAAGCTCAGAAAGATTCGAAATTTGAGAAATTGAATCTCTTCTAAAATGAACGCTGATGCATATATTATTTCTCAGTTAGCCTTAAAACTTTGACAACATTTTTGCACAGATTCAAATCTGCAACGTGGAACCAGAGAGTGAACATCACGGTGCTGGTGGAAGCGCTGTGTCCGGACTGCCAGCAGTTCATCGCCAACCAGCTTTATCCGGTCATCTACAAGAACTTCCGGGATGTCGTAAACATCCAGCTTGTTCCCTTCGGCAACGCCAAGATCCAGCCGGTGTCGCATCTCGACGGTTATCTTATTTCTAAACGTCTTTCAGGATGGCTCCATCGTGTGTCAGCACGGCGAAGAAGAATGCGAAATAAACAAGTTTGAGTCTTGTCTTATCAACTCTTTCGAGTCCCAAGACGAGTATGTGCCAGTCATTTTCTGTATCGAAAGCCAGTTGAAGGTCAGTAGACGGTTTGATTCATCTCAAAAGTTTTATAGAACAAACTCGGGCGAAGTCTGAAAGGCGGATAGCGCCCGCTAAAATTTAAAGGCACCAAAAAGAGTCCCTTTAGCGAGCCTTCCATTTTTTCTAAAACTTTGTAGGTCCGAATGGTGGGAAAAAGGAGAGGCAGCAAAATTAGAGCATAAAAGCCGATGAAATAGGGCAAAAATGCAGCAAAAAAGAAGCCTTCGTCATCCTAAAAAGAACATACCAATGAAGATTTTTCCACCCTTTCGACCTTGTCTATGAAGTCTAACAAATCAATTGTCTAATTGTTAGAAAATTAGAAACAGCGATTATAATAACCTTCTTTGTGATCAATAAATATTTTTAAAAGAGAAATATCTAAAAATATCAACTTAAAATTTTAAAAAAAGCAGACCAAGTTACTTGTTATATTATTGATGAATTTCTGAAACTTTTTTTTAAGGATAAAGTCGCGTTCGCCACGGCCACGGAGAAATGCTTCCAAAAATTCAACGTAACCGAAGATGTCCAACGTATGACACAGTGAGCTTTTCCTTCACTGCCAAAACGATATGAAGTTACAGATCTTGCCTAGTCTCCAACATAGGCGCTCGCCTTCAAAAGAAAGCGGCTGATCTGACCAACTCAGTTTGGCCCGATCAGGTAGCCAAAATGAAACTGAAGAGAAGAATCATTATCAGTTTTTGAGCACAAATTTGTTCCATGGGTCGTTTTCAACGGCGTCTCGCTGACCAACTTGCAGGTCTACCAGAACCAAATTCCTCTCCTCATTTGTCAATGGTATGACCACCAGTCTTCCCATCTCAACATGTTCTTTGAAGGTACAACGGCGACCAGAAGATTTCCTACTGCGAGTCTGCTCTGAAGGAAAGGTTCCGCGCTGGAAGCACCAACTTCTTTTATTAAAACCCGTCGACATAACTATTTACAAGATCAATTTTTTGTTCACATTTCGTCGAAACTGTCGCAGTCATCCGAGTCTTCAATAACCACATTTTCCTCATCTTCGCTTTCCGTAGAAATTTGCTTCTTCTTGAATTTATTTTGAGACCGCTGAAAAGATAATATCGAAATTCAAAAAACTGATTTTGAAAAATTCCATGACCCATCATTTCAATGTAATTCATAAAAAGACTGACCGATTTTAAATTCGATGTTTTCGTCCACTCATCGAATCCTTGAGTCCATGAGTGAGAAAAGTTCCGAGCCAAGTACTGGAGAGGCAGGGGCTGCGCGTCTTTCCTGATCACTCGAGTGAACGGGACGCTTCTTAATGAATAAAACTGATAAGTTATTTTTAGCAACTATGAATCTTTCGATAGGGATGTATACGATGTGTGAAAGGCGGTCAGTTGAGGGGAAACTTTCCCTCTTCTTGAGTCTTTTCTTTTTTGAGCCACGAAGAAGTATTCTCGGCGTTTCATATGAACTGAACTATTTTGAGTACCGAAACAGTTTTCGCTTCAAAATGATCTCACACAGTAGCCATCTGAGAATCGCCAATAACAGAATCCTTGAGCAGTTCTTTCTGGAAAACTTCCACCTCCTTGACCAAATCCATGTTTTTTGGCCGCGTCAGAGCGAACATCCGACACTTTTCTGAAAAGCCAAAAAGCTCTGAAGAAACGTTTCGCACCCTACTTTCCGTTCTGAAGTTGTGATACATGATGGAGCGAGCGACGAACTGCGAAAAACATTCGATTGGAAGGCGACCGCGCACCTCCCAACGAGCTCCCAAAGCGTCGCACAGAGACAGGTCGTCGAAAACTCTTCGCACGGATTTCAGGTTGTCGCAGAAGCTCAACTCGTGCTCGTGGAGGTACGAAAGAAGCTGAAAATATGATTTTATCCTATCCAAGGTTGATTAATTTTCTGATGAAAAAATTTGCATATTTTTTTGAGTTGAAAGAAAGTACATTATAGCTGTGGTCTCTCTATTGATTCAAAACTGAGAAAAACCTTTTTTTAATTTGATATTTTTTTCAGCTTGCATTGCAAACAAGGAACATAATTTTACTCAACTTATACTTCGATTATTGAAAATTTGAAAGCAAGCCTCACACGTTTTTGATCAGAATCTAGTACTTTCTTAATTGAATATCAAAAGAAAAATTGCACAGCTGAAACAATAAAAAAAACACACCGTGGAAGTTGTGACGTTGGACATGTCAACGACTTCGTTCACATCCCGTTCCAAAGGGGGACGAGAGTCCGAAGACTGATTTTTCTCAGTAGGAAGTCTCTTGGCGTGCAGAATCCGGCCAAGCATGTGCAGCATCTGCAAACACAAATGAAATTTCTGAAAAGAATGGAAATTGGCCAAACCTCGTCGCGATTGGTTCGATACATACAGCCGTCGACTCCTTTACTAGTGGTCGTCGAAGCCATCTGAAGCATGTTGACGGCGTTCCGAATGTCTCCGTTCGCGGATTCGATCAGATTATTCAGAAGACCGTCGGCTTGCTGAATTCAATTCAACTTTGAAAAATTCTCAGAGTTACCTCTCGGTTTAAAATGCGCTCAGCTCTTTGTAACGCCTTTTTCATGTATGTTGGAGCAACTGGATTGAAATGAATCGAGTTAATGTTGTTTTCCTGAAAGAGGCACTCATACCACCCCATAGATTATACCACATACTAGAATGTAAGTAGACGAAAAAAGCTTGCGATAAGATATGTCCCAACATGAATCTATTTCGCTCAAGCAGAAGACGATAGGAATTGAAGACGAACAAAAGATAGAAGACAGCTCGTCTCGAACATGAGTGACGTTTCTGGAAGAAAAAGTGATCGATTAAGAATGAAACCTTACTTATAAACGTCTTCGGGAAGTGATTCGATCAATAGTAGCCGACTTCTTCGTTTTTGGAAACTTTTGGAAGAGTTTCTCAAGAATCGATACAATGAGATGACGCCTGATGTAGACTAGAATAGATGCATTAGAAAAAATTATGAATGACATACACATGTTTGAACATCTTCAAATTCATACGTGATTTCTTGCTCAAACTGTAAAACTTCAATTCTCAACTCTCGGCAAAGTATAGTCAAAGCTGTCGATTTCCCTTTAAAAAAAAATAGGAGCGTTATGAAATAGCAATTTAAAAAAACCTGTACCAGAGTTCCCCGTGAGTAACAAAACGCTTCCCAACTTTCGATGGAAACAAGTTGAAAGAAGATAATTACGTAACTAAATAAATATCTTGTATAAATTTAGGAGTGCCAATAGACACAGTTTTGCGTTCTGAATCATGTTCTGTTTTCCAACGAACACACCAAAACATAGGCAAAGTCGGAAGGACCCTTCACGGGCCCTTTGGGAGTCCGTTACGGATCCGTCTGTTTCCATTAATTGTTCCTAAACGGGTGGCAAAGGTTTCCTTTTTACTGCCTTTTTGCGTCCTTTCATCGGCCTTCATCCGCCCTTTTTGGACCCTTTTTGTTAAATAAATAAATCAAGACTAGTCTTTAAAAAGTGACTGTATATGAACCAAAAATATGCTACAGTAATAAAATCGTAAAAAAATCAATAGCAGAAACTTTCAGAACCCTTTTTGCACCCTCACCCTTTCTTCACCCTTTTTGCGGCCTCACCCTTTTTTTCGCCCTTTTATGACTCTTTTTAGCCCACCAAAAATGAAAGGCTCAATAAAGGCCGTAAAAAGGGACCCTTTTAGCGGTCATTTTGCAGTCACTCCCTTTTTGCACCCGTTTTCCGCACTTCCGACTTTGGCAGTGAATATTAATAAAACGTAATTACGCGTAACCTCTGTAAGTTTTTTCGCATGTACGGCTAACTCCGTCGAAGATCTCGGGGCAAGTCGATCTGCATATAAAGTGCTCGGTGGTTCGGATATTTTCATCTATCAAGCCTGAAAATTGGATGTATAAATTTAAAAACTTGATATATATTGAAAAATTGAAAAAAGTAGCTTCGCGCGTAAATATTTACGCATGCCCAAGGTTTGCGCCAATGCTGGTGTCTTGACACATATTCATGATGCGCGACATTTTTTGTTTATTTCTTTTTTTTTGCTCAATTTCTTCAAAGTAAGAAGTGAAATGAATGTTATCTTTGACTCTTCAAAGTTATTTTCTCTCTCTCGGTCGGTGATTTTGCGGTTTGCGGAACTAGTTTGAACATGGCGAAGTCGATTTTTTATTTTTTTTTTAAAATTAGTATGCCCATTTTATTAGAGTTTGATCGATCAAACATTACCCATTCCTATGGTTCTCAATTACGATCTTTTTTATCACAAAGTATGAAAAAAAAAACTGTGAAAAGTTTTTCAAACTGGGCTTCATGGCTGGGCTTTTATCTGTTATTAAAAACATATTTGCGTAAAATATTATCATTTTTTTATAAAAAAATTTTTCTATTGTCTCGATATTTATGTAATTCTTCTTTCATTTTTGATTAAAAGACCATTTATGTTCTCTTCTTGTTTTTGCTTTGCCCATTTTGTATTGGAAGTTCAGGGTAATGTCTGACGTGGGAGCGGCGGTTGTGGCTCTCGAGGCCACGCCACCGCCAGTGGTCGCCGTTCCGGTCGCAGAAAGTCCGAAGAACTCAACGTCGGCTGTTGTAGTTCCGGCAAAAGCCGTTGACCCTGTAGATAGATATACAGCTCTCGCTGTACGTGTAAGTTTTTTTTTATTTTCTGACATTCAACGTTTGTTATAAATATAGGGAGCGATCGTTGGTGTCGGAGTCGCTGGTGTTGTTATATTTTTGAAAAACTCCAGAATTGTAAGTTTTTTTTTCCATGTTAGCTTGGTTTTTTTCAAAGTATCTTTTATTGATGTAGAAAAAATCCGTTGACATTGTTTACAGTTTTCTAAGTTCGAGCATGTCAGCCAGATTCCAAAGGACTTTGTTCGCAAAGAATTAGAACTGAAAGGCCGTGTTAGAGAGGTGAAATAAGTAGTGAAATGAATTTTTGTTGATTTTTGAAAATTACAGGTCTTGCCGTCCGGCGAACTTCGCGTGGAGCATGAGCCAATAATGAAAGTCCCTTTTTTCTCTTCAAAAAAAGCTAAAGTTTATTGATACTAAAAAGCCCAAGAAAAGTAATGGATTCTCAGCCCGGACTTCTAAACATTCGGTTAGCGGGTGTTGATCTTTCACAAGCAGGGCAGCAGTTTCTGACCAAGGATTTGCGTCTGCTCAATAAACCTGTCACGTTCACCGTCATAAAGGTGTTATATCCAATCTATAATTTTTATGACCCTGTTATCAATTTCATCTTCAGATATGTGATATTTTGTTTTATTCAGAGCTCGGAAGGAGCTCCTGAAAGCGTCGATGCCGACGTCACTCTTAAAAAAGTGAGTTAAAAAAAAAGTCGATTGATTCTTCATTTCCCGGTTGTTTTTGTTGATCGCAATACCTAATATTATAAATATATGGTTTTTTTAATAGTGGAGCCATCTCAAAAAGTTTATTCTATATATGATATTGAGCGAAAATTAATTCAATTTAACAGGAACTTCACTTTCTACTCTTCTTCAAAGTGATTCGGCTTCTAATTTTTGCTCTAAAAATTTCGATCTGAAAAATTGACAGTTATGGATTTTTTGAATTAACTATCTTTTCTGGCAAGCTTTGCTGTTGTGGAATATTTTAGAAGCTTCCATTCACTTTAAATACGATGAACTTTAACGCTTAGAAAGATTCAATGAATAGGATTTATTCTCTTCAGGCCGCTTTTGGTCGTACCAATCTGAACATCGAAGTGGTCCGCCGTGGCTATGCCCGCGTGCCTTCGCCCGATCAGACGAGGCATCTCAATTATTTGCAGACTATTCCGGCCTATTCTCGGTTGATCAGCCGACTATTGATGAGTGAGAAGGTAATCTTTTTTTCAGTAAAAGTCAGAAATCGACCTTTGATTTAAAACTTTACATATATTTTGATCAGCCAAAGACTTTAGTAAAATCTTCAAAATCTACAAACTCTTTCTCTCTTATTTCAGTGTTTCAGATAGCCGATCGAAGAGGTGTCGGCGTTTGGGAACGCGATACCTGGGTAGAGTCGGTACAGTCCTATCCGTCGCAAGTCTCTGGAATCGTCAAGTCTGCCGCCATCACAAAAGCTCTAGTTTGTTTTTTATATTTTTGAGAACTGCTGATATTAAAAGCTGCGCTTTAGTTGATATATTTAAAGTTTTGCTTCGAATAAGTTAGTTCATTCCTTATACGCACATAAACTCCAATTTTTGCAGTTAATTGATAATTTTGTTCAATTTTAGGAAAAAAATTTCTACACACTTTTTCTATTTTTTGGTTTTTTTATCTTTGGATTGTTGTTACATGTATTTTCAAACTTGAAGAAATCTTGTTTGGAAATTCAAAAAAGATGCTCCTTTTTTTTCATCGTTTGCTGAAACGAACGATTAAAAAAATCAATTTCGATCTTCTAAAAAGATTATTTTTGGTTTTTTTCAAATCTAAAAGAGAGATTGCAGTACGTCAAACGACGTTAGTTTGAAAAAGGCATTTACGGCCTACTCGTTTGAAATTTTTTTTTCAGAGTATTAGGTTTTTTTTCAAACAAAATGAACGAAAAATTTCAACTTTTTTCTTTTTTGTAGACTCCATATTTTTTATAGGATGTTTTTTCCCGAGGAAATTTTGCTTTTACTCTTTCTCATGTTACTTGAACTTTTTCTATATTTTCTATGAGAAGCCCGGTCCCGCTTTCTGCCTGTCGTCAGTTCCAGAACTGTGCGTTTGACCGAGGTTGATGGCCGAATCGGCCCACAATCGTTGCAATCGCGATCTTTATTATCTCGTTTCATAATTTGCATCACATCATTTTCTCAAATAACACATTTTCGATCACTTACTACCCATTCACACACTCTGTGAAAATTTCGAGACGAGAATGTTCGAAAAGTGACAAATTTTCGACCGCGTTGCAACACTATTGCCAGTCCGGCTGGCCCAGAGCTCAGCTCTGGTCAGTTCTTTTGAAAACTCCTTCAAACTTTCTAGAATAAATTACACTTTCATCTTAGACTAAATCATGTTATTATGATAATTCGACAGGTGTTGCTGTTCAACGTGACGCGTGACGTCGTGCTCTACGGAGTGAAGCTGACGCAGCAGCTGTACACGCTGACCTTGTTGGTGTTCAGCTACATTTCCCGCGGCTACCGTTCTTTCTCGCGTGGCGTCGACACTCTCTCAGACAAGTACAGTCGTGTGAGGCAACGATTGAAGTAAGCCAATAAAAATCCCGGTATTGTTTTAGCTCATTTTTCATTGTTTTCTTTCTCCGTTTGAGTTTACCTTTTCCTGTTAGTAGAAATAAGGTGTTTTGCTAGCGTTTGTACATTCATGTTTTCTTTTTCGAATAAATAGGATTCATTGTTTTCTATGCCTGAGGGAAAACTATTTATTTACGTTAGAACGAATTGCATTACACGCTTTACAAGCATTATGTTTCTCACAGGCAATACAATTTCTTACCAGTTTAGTTAACATAACATACTAAAAAATAATCGACATACGCTACCACTGGGTATATAGATGTATTCTTTTTGTTTTGCACAGATCGTCAAATCAACAGAGCATTATTATTCTAAGGTCCGTCGGTGAACGGCGAATATACATTATTACAATGAAGTAAAGAGGGGCCTTGGAGTCGGACATTGGTATTACCACAGATCATTAGTTGAGCATTGAAACAAGAAAGAATGGAACGAAGAAAGACGGTCACCCGGATGGTGGATGCGTTTTTGAGGGGGGTTAGTAGGTTTTATAAATACATAGTAGGTGAGTAAAGTGGGGAATGGATATTACCAAAGTTCGAGATGTCTGGCAAGGTCTTCAGCCAAGTGATCGAAGCCTGGCGCGAGGGAGAAACTGTCTTCGTTGGGATGTTCGCGAAGCGAGTGATTGGCCAGCGAAGACTGGTGCGCAAATGGCGAGTCCACGTCAAACGGAGTCGAGCCCCCAGAAATGTAGCCGGAGCCCATGCTTGGAGTTGAGGCTTTGTCTGTAGAGGGCAATTGAAAGTTTAGTGTAGTACCGTTAATAATCTTCTTTTGAATGTTTTTTTTGTCGAAAATATATGTCGATGGTTTTCCAGAGAGTGAGATATTAGTCCACACCATCGCTTCAAAAGCTATCAAATTTGAAAACTTAATCCTTCGAAAATTAATGAATCGGCGCCTTCTAAATCCCAGCTAGCGTTACTCAATGAACTCTAGCTTGGAAGTAGATTAACTTTGATGAAATTTGGTCAGTTTTAGTATTCTTTAATATAGAAGGACAGATCGAAGTTCTCATATATTATTTAATTGATGGAAAAACATAAAAATGTTGCACATTTTAATGTAATGAAGCTTGAAAAGCAACCTTTTGGTGTACCGAGAAGTTGATTATGGCGAAGGAATGGCTCGAGAGGACTCGGCGGCCGGCTTCCGATCGTCCTCTCCGTGAAGAAATTCGCCGGCTCGAGAGGCCAACTCGGATGGGGCCGCGTCGGAATCGCGACGCGGCCGCGCATCGGCGTCAGCCCGATCGGCACGGGTTGCTGATGGAGCATCAACGGCTCGATGGGCGAGCTGGGACGTATCTGCGTCACTTGCTGTATCATCTGTTCGCGGAGGTCTGCAAGCGCATGTCGCTGTGACACCTGAAGAACGTCCAAGCTAAGTCTGTCTTGCATCATTCTTTGAAAATGGAAGTTGCTTTCCAAAAAAGCCAAATGAAAATTCTTATTTCATTGCGCTTTTCCTTTCTATGCTTTACAAGAGAACTCAAAGCACTCGAAACTTTGAACTTTTCAATGTGTTACATGAGAATCTACTCATCCTGTAGAAGTTTTGATCCTCAAAAAAGAATAACTTCGAAATCGCTCGTCTGGATGCAGCGGATTGTTTTTTCTTAAATTTTCGAAGGATTTACAATCTTTGTGTGAAATGAACCCTTGGCTAATCCCTGTTCAAAGTAATTTCCTTATTTTCGACTTACAAAATTTAGTTACATTTTTATTTCTCTGATGGCTATTCTGCGTTTCGCGGAATCAATTTGAACACGGCAAAATTTTTCTCATAATCCATTAAAAAAAGAGAACAGAGAAAGATGACGAACTTTTGGCTTTCCTATTTCATTCATTCATGATATATGAACATATATTTTTTTGATACGTTCCATCTTGTACGACAGAAAAAACCGCACGCAAAGTTTATCAGCAATGTTGATAATTTCTCAAAATCGGCGGTTTTTATATAGCTGATTCACGGCTAGCTTGGGACTCTGAGGGGGGCGTGGCCTGTCTGCACTCTTCACAAGACAGGCATTATCTTGTGCATTATCCTGTCAGGGCCATTTTTGATTGCTCAAGCCAGCCGAGAATCAGATATATAATCAAAACCAGGCCCTCCAGAATCACAGAGAAAAAAGAAACCTCGATCAACTTGTCTGAGCGAATGTAGGCGTTGGGCCCGTTTTCTGGATGTATGAACAAGCATCGTTTTCCATAAGGACAAAGTCCGTTTGTCGTATATTTATCGCAAAGCTTCGTCTTGTATTTGTTGTTTTGTCTAGGCTGTATCCTAAATATTCTCGTGGAGAAGGATAAAACACGAATTCAACTTGGACGGCCTCAGTTCTTCCTCGCCGTGGGCGAAGCGGCAATTCTCGGCAAAAGAACAAGTCTTGGACTCGAGCCAAGCCTGGCAAATCACTGTTTTGTAAGACTCTGGTTTGGGTATCCGTCTCTCGGCGTTCCGTCGGCCGCTGAAGTATTCATTTTTATGGATAAGTCTAAAGGAATAATGATAACTTTTAAAATTGAGCTCATCGAAAAAAGTAAAACCATTTGCTATGTTTACTTTTCTCTGCAAAGCGTTGATCAGAAGATAATCTTACATTTGTTGATTTTGTGGTAGCGTATCAAAGGGCGCGTTTTCGAAACTGGAGAATTTATTGACTTGAGAGGGGGAAAAGGCGAACGGCTGACGCGATTGGCTCCTGAGACTTGCTTTCCATCAGAAAATCCTCTTTTTCTCACTCTTCCAGCTGTTTTCGTAGCTGCTCGTTGACCGCCATCAGATTCGTTGCATGCATTAAATTGGCCTGGAATATCTTTAGTTGAAAAAAGAAAATAAAAAGGTTGCTCAATCGAAGAAAGGTTTTTCAAAAATCTTTTTGCTTGATTTAGTGCCCTTCATTTACGAAAAAAATGCAGAAGTTCAGCATAACACATTAAATTTGTTAGATTTTTTTAGACGGAATGATTATAGAAAAATTGATAAACTGGTTAATTAGATGAATGAAACTCAAATGTTCATCTCAAAATTTGTCATTATCTGAATGATCCGCAGATATCAGAGTCAACTTTTTTTCTCATTGGAGAGACAAGATAAATAAGTTTTGAAAAATGGTGCGAAAAAAATCGGGTTTTTTTAGACCACTACCATTGAAACATGCTTGAAAGTGCAATTAAGAAGTTTTTAACGACTTCTAAGTGCGCCGAGAGCAAGTAAACATTCTGATTTTCACATTGCAAAAATAGTTTTTTTTATAAAATAAAATGATTGCTGAAGAAAACCGAAAGTTATGAGACATGAGTTTAAATCAACTTTTTTAAAAGTGGTTACCGTCACGGCAGGACTCGGAGGACCGGTGTGCGTGGCCGACGACGGCAAACTGGGCTGTCGACTGTTGGCCAGGGCCGAGGAGAAGACGCCGCTGTCCGTGGAGCCCGTCGACATGGACGACGTCGGCCGCTTCTCCTGCTGCATACGTTGCCTGCAAAAATCTTTCGAAAGGTGACCAAGGAGAACTGCTGATTGCTGTTTGAGAATGTAGAAAAGAACTTGCCTGTACAGAAAAAAAATCTTGCTGAGGTCTCTGAGTTCGAAAAATATTTTTAAATGCAAACAGGTAGAAACGGCACTTGAGCTCATTATTCATATGATCCTTTGGGAAAACCAAGAATTTTTTAAAACACAACATACCTAATCGGATGAGCTTAAAGCGCCTTAAAAAGAACTAGAGCTCCCTAATTTCACCAATGACCTCACTCACCCTGAAAGAGCCGATTCAGCGAATAACATCGATGCGAGTTCAACTACTGGTCCGGGGCAACTTCCGCCTCAAATATGGTAAAGCAGCCAAATAACGCTCCGTCGCCCCTGAGATGTAGATTATTAAAAAATGATAAAAATAAATTAAAGAAAGTTCTAAGAGAAGGATTGTCACCACACATAATAAAAACGCATGAGCGGTAAAAAAAAATAGTCAAAAAAAAAGAAGATCAAAAATAGGTAGTCGTGGATTTTTTTTGAGATCGAGTGAAGAGATGAGTCTGAAATAAAATCAGGATGGTTCGAAAACTGCCTCCCGTCCAGACTGAAGCAAAGATTGATATAAGAAAGTCCCTGAAGTCCTGAAAGTCCGACGAACAGCTGAGCTGTCACATGCGGAGGTCAAGGTGCACATTTTTTGCTCTGCCGTCGCACAAGATTTGGAGGGTCATTACGAAAGCAAACTTTGCTGGGTCTTGCAATTATTGTGATAAAATGATGCAATTACTTCAATTCAATGGAAAAACTCATTTTTGTAAAGTTTGAACAGAGCAAATTTGTAAAATTAGAGAGGCCAAATATTATAAGTGTGAAAATTTATGAAGGAAAGACGGTGATTTTCACAAAAAAGTGCAAGAGACTCTGGACTCGGCAAATGCTTTTTTTTTTCGAATATATACTCTCTTCGGCTTGAAACTTGAAAGGAAAAGTGGTACTATTCAAGAAAATCTTGAAAGATGAAAAAAAAAACGAGTAGATCAAATTTTCCGGGGAAAAAACTCTTTGGTGAAGTTCATGTTCGCGAAAATAAGCTTTCCAATGAAAATATCGCTATATGAAGCAAAAACGAGGAAAAAAAAAGCGAGAAACGCGGGGGTGGAGATCCGGATTAGACGGTAAAACGGAGAAGAAGAGATATGTAGCTGAGGCATGACGAATACAGACGCAACAGGCGGCTAAGCCGGTGGCGGAAAAAGGCGCGAGAAGCCGAGAAGAACAGGTTGTGGTCGGGTGCAGTGGATGTTCTCCTCGCGACGTTGCCAATTGCGTCGGGAGACGAGGCGAATGGCGTCGAGAGAAAAATGGCGCCAAAATCTGGCGTCCGCTGTCCTTCAATTTTTGATCGCACGCCCTGCTCTGATCACTTCGGATGGCGCCAGCCGGCCCTGGAGTCCATCTTTGGTAGACTTGCCAGTAAAAACCTCTTTCAAGTTTTTTTTATTTTTTTTGTCTGGAAATAAGTGCTATGTATCAACTTAAATCTCTTTCTCGAGCTTCATTCAAATAATTATAGTTTTTCAGAGAGAAAAAAAACAAATTCTCTTGCTCGGGACTTAAAAACCTTAGACGTGAACGTAGATCACGTTTTAAATCAACGAGCTTTGACCTTACGGATGTCAAAAAAAAAGACGATAAAGATCTTTCTTGAGACTGTAAGAATTGGCGCCAAAGTTTTGCGTCCAGGCGCGTCTATGAAGAGCCAACAAGTACTTTTGATAAGGCAATTCTCAGACCTCAGTAACCCGAACGGACGCGAATCGAATCTGTCGCGGCATTTTTTTTAGTGATCACTTGAGTAGCGTCACACTCTTGATTGGTCCCTGACTATCTGTTATTTTGAAAAGAGTGTCTTCTACACATACTCGAGACAACTGCGGAGAGAAAAAAACGGAAAACAAAAAAAAAGTTTATTTTTTGAAAGGACAAGGTTGGAAGAAAACTTTGAAGAACCATCTCTGTAATCCTATTTGATCTGAAAGACTCTTCTCCAACACTAAACTAAAAACTTTAACTTGGAAAGGTTGTGATCCCTCTTGGTCAAACTATAATATTAAGTTTAGTTTGACCGCCCAAAACACGAAGACACCGTCGCCTTCAAAAACAAGCCTTGTCCATCTGAAGCGAAGTCCCTAGCACGCTAGAGATTTCATTTGACGCAGCCAAAAAAAAAGAAGAAGAGGCGGCGAGAAGAAGAGAGAGAGAGGAAGATGCCTCGGCGGATCCAGTATTTCAACTGGCCAATGCCCAAGCCAAACATCCAGTATCTGGTCGACCGGTCCTCCAACCCCCAAATGGACCGAGAGCGTAAACGGGATGAGCCACCGCGTCTGCATCTTCCCATTACTACAAGACAAGCTAAGTTGTTTCGAAAGATAATACGATGGTTCGAGCAAAAAATGAGCTCTACAGCTTAAAAAGAACTCACAACTAAACCCCATCTTTGAATAACTCGGACATAAGCAAAAAAGGAAGCTTTTTTATAAATCGAGTTTTCTCGTATTTTACAAAAAAATCTTCTCAGTTACCCAGTCAAATTTCCACAAGATATATACCGACTTATCTCCTGTTCATGAAGCAATAGAACGAGGAGACACGTTAGTCGACTGATTTCAAAAATATAATACAGAGATGAAAAGGATCACAAAGACTGAGATTTCGAAAAATAATAATAATGAGGTAAGTAATGGGAAACTAGCGCCGTTCTTATCGGTCAACATAGGTCATTCCGATAAAAGCCGTGAAAGTGGGTGTCGATAAAAGCGGCACTGGAAAACAGACGCGCGGCTATTCGAAATATAAACAATTTATAACAAGCGAAAACAAGTGAAAACAACTAAAAACGAGTGAGAAAGAGCGGTATTCCTGACTATTTTGGTAGCCTTCGAAGTTCGTGGCTTAGCCAAAGGACGGAAGAAAGAAGCGCCATCGAACCTGATTGGTGGCACGCCGCTAGCCACACCGGCACGTAATTCACCTTAATACGATGTGTTCGCTTCGCTTTTTTGAAGGGCAGGAGAGGCGAAAGCAGAGAAGACGTTGGTGAAGCGAAGAGGGCGTCTGCCGAAAACTCACCAACGTCAGGACGCCGAGCGTTGCTTGGGAGAAGACCGCCGCCACGGTCAGGTTGAGCGCGATCCGCGTTCTTCTCGGCAAAGGCGCTCTTCGACCGACTAGCCAGCTCGCCACCACCGACGTCACCGTCAGGTACGCCTGCAACATCGGCCATCCTTCAGCAGTCTTCTTCATCGATAAGTGGCTATTGGAGGAAAATCTCGCCAGAGGAGAAGAAACTTTCCGAAGATTTCGTTGACGTTCTCCAATATCAGAGTTTTGTTTCCTGGTTTGTCTATTAATTGAAGTTCCTCTGACACATCACTTTAACTACACCTTTTTTTTAAAGAAATGACAAACCAAACAAACCAAAACTCAGCCGATCAGGTCGGTGTCACGCGGAAATCTGACTAACAGACTATTTTCAGTTTTTTCAGCTTTTTTTGTAAATGCGCAGCTGTAATAATTTTTTTGGAGTCTGAAAAGCTTATCAGAATAATAATCGGACTTCTGACCCCATCCATAGACACAACACTGCCACACTTTCAAGAGGCGCCATTTATTCGGAAAAAGTACGTTATGCGTTGCTGTACGTCTTTTTGAAAAAAAAAAAGTCGAAGAAGCAGTAAATAGTATTCGACTAGACACTCGCAAGAAAATTCAACTTTTTTTTCGGCGTTTTCAATAGATGCGTATTTCTCAAAATGAACTCCTATCGTTAGGCAGCCATAAATTATAAGCGACTAGCTTCTTTTTCATCTCTTTTTTCAAAGGCGAAACGCGGAGAAGAAGGAAATCGCGCAAAAAAAAAAACTAGAGATTTCACTAGATCTGTGTCAAAACTGACGAAAGCTCAAATTTTAAAATAGCTCCAATGAAGATGTGGAGAGCTGAACTCAAACAATAGATAAAAAATTTTAAATCGATTTCTTCGTAGCAAAAAATAGTATTATTTATTATTTCAGTCACTTTTTATGCTCCTGATTTCTCCAGGTGCAATCACATCTAGAAATTTAGTTCAACGGAAACAAAGCTTGTTCTTTAAATGACGCTTGAGAGACCCACCAAGTTCCTATGAATGAACTGGACAGTGACATCATTCTCGAAGAAGTTCTTCCAGGTCGGGCTCCTCGCCATCAAATTCTCCGGGATCCATTTGTCGGCGAACTTGGGCCAGGAATTGTAGACAAGGCCAGCGTCCAAACCAGCCACAAAAGCTCCTGAGACAGAAACAACGGAGATGAGATAGACGAGAGTCCGCACCCATAATAGCGGTGACAAAGACCAACAACTTGGAGCCGTGGGTCATCCCTCGAAGGGGAGCCAACTTTGTCCGGACCGCTGAGAGCTGAAAAGAGGGATAATGAAGTAGCTTTCTCATCAAGGACAACTCACATCGTGAGGTCTCAACAAATGGCTCAAACCATTCCAGAAAAATATCGCATATAGACCAAAGGCCAAAGTTAGATGAGTAGCCAATCTGAAAATAAGCGAGAGATGAAAAAAAAAAGATTCTAAATTCAAAAACCTATACTGAGAGACCCGTGGAACGTCCGAGGAGTTGTTTGTGGGGTCGAGTCCGGATTTTACCATCCACCAACCGACTCCGCCCTGAAATTCAAGAAAATCTCCAATCGTACCATTGAGAATCGCACAGGGGCTGATTGTTATTCTCTAGAGGAAAGGTAGGCTCAATATTACGAAAAAACTCGAACAATTTTTAGGAAAATTTCTAAGAGTTCAAAATTGTAGACAGTCCTTTTTGAGCTTCACCAACGCAAGTTCTTTCTACCTTACTACATACCTGAGTTAGGAGAAGCGCTGTGGCGACGGCCATCCGTTTCTTCATGGCCGAGTCGAAGCGGCCGCGTGCCCAGAAGTAGGCGCACGGAATCAAGAAAACCAAGCCGATGGCTCTTCCCCACATCCGATGACCGTACTCCATCGACCAGATGAACTTGAACTCGTTCAGCGTCATGTCCTTGTGCGGCGATTTGCTAGAAGTTACTCTCTGTACGAATATTGAAAACTTCCAGTTTTCGGAAAAAAAATTCAAAAATACTTGAAATGAACGTATGCGGCTAGAAATTGATCCGCTGAAAGAATGGATCGGCGAATTTCTCAAGAGAATGCTAAATTATAGTCTGTTCGCAATACCTTTACTCGGGCATGAAAAGACTTGATCCAAAAAGATTTGAAAAAGGCCCGTTCAGTGTTATAAGACAATGCTAGACTTCTGCGCCTTGAAAGTCCTATTCTCCAAAAGTTTTCTAGCTTCTCTGCACATTTTTCAGCTTCCATTATTAAATTTCAAAAGAAAAAAAGGTTGATTTTTCGAAACACTTCCAATTATTGAAACATATTAAAAATTTTCAGCCTCCTTTTCTAACCGAAGGACTCAAAAGCGTCAAAAAAAATTTCTGCGATCGTTCATCAATTATTGATAATTAAAAAGAAAATATGATAGAATTCACTATTGATATTCTGGATATTGCTTGTACTTCTCGAACTCGGCCTCCCATTCCTTGTTGCTGAACGGCGGCTTCATCGTCTTGAACAGATCCCAGTTCACCATGCTCAGACCCGATTCCGTTAGCCTAAAGCTAGTTTTGTGATCAGAAATCAACTCAAAGATACCAAAAATATAGGTAAAGTTGAAAAACATTAACCAGTGTAAATTCTTGGTTCGTTTTCAAGTTTTGAGAATAATAAAGTTCTTCGCTAGCAAAGCTTTTCAATCTTTTTTTTTTCAGTTTTTTGGTTTTTTTTTGTGTGTGTGTATGAACAGCCTTTTTCGTGAGTAATTAGGAGATTTGCTTCCTCCACAGAATGATCTTTAGAAAAAGCAAACAAATCGCCTGGAGTCGTGAAAAACTGCTAGATTCACTAAACTAGAATCGCCGGAAACCTGGTGACACCACCGATTGCGACGGCGCCATAGCACATTCCAGCACAGCCCATCAGCCACCAGCCGATCCGCCGCCTCGACTTTTCTTCCACAGGCCTCGCCGACTGTCCAAAACTCCTCAGAGGCCGCCATCTGAAGCCCTTTGTTTCTCTTTCTTGCACATCTGCCGAAAATCCCTAACAATTCGCGCATAGACGACGACAGCGGCTTGGAAAATTTGCTCACATTCGCCGCCAACCACATTAATCTGTCTGAAAAAAATTCCTCCTAAAACTCTTTTCATTCTAAAAATAGTTCTGGTTCAAATTCGTCCCAAAAAACAGAAAAAAAAGAGATTAGAAACTGAAAGGCTTTTATAGGAATCGCAATAAACAAGAAAACAACGAACGAGTAACAAAACGGGGCTATCTATTCTAAAAAAAGAAACGTTTTAACAACTTCAATAGGTTGGAAGTAGCTAATAAGTGGCTCTACACAATTGCAAATATTAGGAAGACACTCAGCTGAAAGAATACTCAATGGATTAATGGTTCTCATCTTCGACGGGAGGAATGGGAAGTTTTGGCGTCATTCCGAGATACTCAAACTTGAACCGCCAGTAACCGACAACCTGGAAATCGATGATGAGAACAATGTCTTCATGGAAAACGAAAAACCATTCGATCCCAGATGTTTCCGATATCGTTCATGGCCGGTCGAACGTCGAGGATAGTGAAAAGCTTCGACTTAGGGTCCACAGCACCACCGTCGTAGTAGTCAATGATGTATTGAACCTGAAAAACGAGGTTTTAGAAAATGCCGGATGAAATCGGTGACCTCCTTCTTGCCACATCTGTCGATGACCCAGTCGTGACGATCAAACGGAGGATCGTACCCCAGTACAGTGGAGCGGAATCGCGCGCGCGGGGACACATTCTTCGCGTCTCCTTTGAAACTCTTCAGTTTCGGAGAGGCGCATTCGCTGAAAAAAAAAAATTAATCGAACAGAACGATAAAACGAACGGATGAAGAAGATTTTCCCATTTGAGCACTTCATTCCATGCTTCTTCGTTGTTGGCGTTATGGATGCGAATAATGTTCTTCATGTCGGATTGAGAAAGCTGGTCGTCTTCCCATCGCCACCCTTTCCTAAAATTAACTCGATTTTTATGAACTCCTATAAGATATCCTAAAAAAGGTTTTTTAAAACTGAGAAATTGAAAATCAGAACAAATCCACACAAATTCCGCAGAAAAACCTACTTCAACATGGCGTTCCAGAACATTTGGGGACTTGGATACGTCCACGTTTCGTTTTCAGTTCCTGCCTTGGGAATCGTAGACTTTTGCCTTTCGGTGGGCAAAGTGAAAGGCTGATCTGGTGCCGGTTTTTGGTTAGGATGCTCCATTTCCTGTTTTGGGTGGTCATTGAGTACTAATTGTGAATTGAAACAGTACATTATTGAGTGGGTTGACCTTGTCAGCGCCTACTGGACATCCGCCACATCCATCGTTGCTACTCTGCGCTTGTGGACATTCGCTTCCACCTTTGGCTAAATATAACCATTATAAAAATTTAGAATCTCTACATTTGAAAAAAATAAAAATACTACTTTAATAATTTTTTTGCTTTAAAATTTAACAGAAATTTCAAAAAGAAATCATCTGACACTAAATCAAATAATATATGAGAAAAAAACTTTCGCTCAATACTACTACCAAGGAAAATTTTTATATTCAGCTTTCATAAAAACAGTGAACGTATATTACTGAGAAAGTTTTACCTGCAGCCATATGACGTCGCGCATTCTTTAACTTTTTCCGGATCACTATGAGCATCTTGAATCTGAAAAAAGCATAAATAGAAAGTAAAAACTGAAGATGTTGTATATACAAAGAATATAATTATTAGTAAATCATACACTGCTCGTTGTAGGTGGCGCAGACGGGTTAGATTGTGAGCTTCCCATATAAACCTTTTTCCGTTAATTTCACTTCCAATGTTTGAATGCTGAAAAAAATTACATGACACTTATACGATTTAATAAAAATAAAAAAATAAATAAAAAAACGAGCGAGATTTTTCGGCGGCCGATAGAAATGATGCAAGTTCGGAATTCACGGTCATGTTTGCAAATTTGGATTTCTCGGCCATCAGTTACAAACTGTAATTGCAAGTACTTTGAAGAAAATTGCTTGAAAAAGTTGTAGGCTGGGAATGTTGGATGAAACTAGAGATAATATTCATTTGCAAACTCATTTGCGCCTTCGAATTTAGGCCCATGTCAGAGAAAAAAAGAAAGTATAATTTTCAAAGTTCTTGAAAGTAAGGACGAGAGTCAACATTCTCAAAGAATAAATACTAAATTTAATTAAAGAATTTTTTTAAGAAAAAAAGAAATTTCGATTAGTAGAAAAAAACATTTTCTCAGATTAGTATCAATTATATATTATTGATTTTCGACATTTTCTATTTAAACTTTTTTTAAAGCTTCATCTACAGTTAGCTTCAGACCAAACATTTTTACAGATTTTTTTGAAACTCTTCCTTCTCAAAAAGTTTCGCTAACAGTTGATGACTTATTAAAATGTGTCTCAAGCTGGCTTTGAGTGAGTTGTATCTGTTGTTTGGTCAAACTTTGTCGAAAGTGTGATGAGAAAAAAAAAAGATATTAGCAGCAGTTGCGGACTTCAATCGTTCTATTGAAGCACGGCTTACTCCGAAAAACTTCTCCGACGACGATGGTACCTCGAAACGAGTCACTAGCGATATAGCGCATAATGGAATGATGGGAGTTGCTACATAATATTTGGATGAGGTGGAGCGAGTCCCTGGGGCGTTGACCCGTCGACGCGACGCCGCCCATCCGACATTCGAATTCTCCCCCAGATGTCTCCGCTCATGCTCCTCCTGGCTCTTCTTATCATCGGTATCACTGACGGAGATGTTCACGTCAACCTCTGCGTTTTGCGCTGCAAGGACAATCACATGTTGGAGGTACCTTTCTCCGGCAGACCCGTCTCCTCTTTCAAAAGGATATTTGAGAATAAAATGAGCTCAGATTGGCAATAAAGGAATTCTTCGATAACAAATTAACTTCCATCTTTTTGCAGATGGAGAACGAGTGGTCTTCTGATTTCACGTTGCCTCTTCTAAGCCTTCTGAGAACCACGCGCAACGAGACGGCCGCTTACATAAAAGCTCAAGCTATCTGCACGTGAGAAGTAGAAAAATAAAATGGAAAACTCAAGTTTGACAAACGAGTTCAAGTTTAAAGATTACTCATCTCTGACAAGACGCTCGAATCCAATTTTTTGAACCATCCTTGAGCGATTAATTTCAGTTTCAGAAAATTCTTTTCATTTTCTCTTTTCAAGATCATTCTGAAAATTCTTGATAAATCGAGCCTGAAACTAGATAAATCGAGCCCGAAAGGAGTCGCCGAAGTTTCTTCGGGACGAAAAAGATAGTTGTTTTTTTTTCGGCGCGTTTTGGTAATGCATTTCTCTGTGCAAGAAGCCCATAAAAGACGGCTAATGCGAAGTGACATAATAATTCAATCCGTGTCACCCTGCACGCCTGTTTCTTTGGCTCTTTAGGGCATATCATAAAACAACCTCGGAAAGAGACTGAAAAAAAATATTCAACACAGGCAAAGCCCTGAACTTCTCTCAGACCTCCGCAAATTACTAAATAAGAGTGGTTACAAGGCTCATCGAAACGGTATTATGAGAAAAGAGTTGTTAATAGCTACTTATCAGTTTTGAAAATTTTTGAAAAAGTATAATCAAGTTTTCGCTCGCATTAAAGAATTTTTTTTAATTTTTAAAATCAAAACTTGCAGGTCTAAGTATTTTCTAAAAACTAACAGCGGGAAAAAAATTTACTGAACCATGCAGAACTTGCCACTTTTCCAGAAGCAATGCAATGCTGGAGAACTGCGTCAATGGCTGTAACAAGTCACAGGAGGCGTCGATCATTCTGGCCGGCGTCAAGGCCTGGCAGGACGCCTGCTCCAATTTAGAAGGTACATGATAACTTATGATATAGAAAAAAGAAACATTCAGTTCTCGGTTTCATCTAATGGAAAGTAAAATTTGTATTTCTCCTCTTTCCATAGTTTCAAGCTTTCAGAAGTGCGAGCACAGTTCCCGTGTTGGAGAGAGAATGGCGAAGAGCTTTCCAAGGTCTGCCGGTCCAACACCGTACGACTGGCAAAATCCATGCAAATTTTCGCGAAAAACCAGACACAGGAAAACATCGGCACGATTTGCTCGTTCGTTAATTGTTTCAAAGAAACCAAAGAATCGTGAGATTTACGCCTAATTTCTTTCTTGAAATGCAGAGAATACGAGGAATTCACCACCTGCTTCACTCAAGAACATGGCAAATATTGTGGATACCGAAGTGAAGTGGCAAGTAAGGTTTTTAATTTCATAGTTATTTGTAGAATTTGAGATAACGAGACGGATGTTCGACAACAACCGAGAAGCAATGCTCAAAATGCTGAAAATTCGATGGAGTACGCTCCCACAGGCCTGCAAGTACTCCCAACTACGCAGGGACACTTATTCAGCCGAGCGATTTTTTGATAACTCTGCATCAATTTTTTTCAAAGTTTTAAAACTTTATTTTTTTCTGTTACTTTTTTTGTCCAGATTTCATGACTTATAAATAATTTTTTTAATAATTTTTTTCACATCTGTACTAAAAAGTTAACAGCAATACTCGAAATATTTTCTTTAAAAAAACACCGCAATGATTTAAGAAACCGTTTGTGTACGGTGGTGGGGGAAAAAGTTTGCGGCAGACTGAAGTACGCAAACACGCCCAATGTCGCCGTAAAACAAATTAATTTTTCAATTCGGGTTTCTCTGAATTGAAGCGCCAAATGGGCGCCACAACTCTTTCACTGACATACACTATTTCGTCGTTTTCTCGCAGCTAGATAACGAGGAAATAGTGTGTGTCAGAGAAAGAGTTGTGGCGCCCATTTGCGCTCAATTCAGAGTTTCTTATTAATATTATTATCCATAGTTTTTCTTGAACTGAAACTTCGATAGGAATTCTTTAGTCTTTTGTTTCTTGTTTCTCAAAAAGTTGAAAGTTATAGAATTTAACAGTTTTTTTCGTAATAATTTTTTTGTTTAATCAGGTTATATCTTTTTTTCTATTAAATATTTATGTAAGATAAACATTTAGAGATGGAAAAATTTTTGGGACTTACGAAATAAATTTTTTTCAGTATTGCTTCAGTGATCAGAACGTTTTCTGTCATAATCATAAAAAATGGGCAAAAAACAACATCAGAAAGATAAACTGTAAGTTCAACTTTTTTTTCCCCGAGTTTTGGTGATTTGATAAATAAAACAGATACTTAACAACAACCGAATGGAAATCAATTGGAGGACACAAAGATGGTATTTATATTTTAAAAATTTTCGAAGCTTTTATTTTAATTCAGATACCGGAACTCGATTGCAGCGTGCGCAGTTCAAAAGATTGCCGATCAACCACTGTTCTTTGTCGTTACTGCCGTTTGAAGATCCTGTGTGTGCCCCCAGTGGCGAAATTTTCGACTTAGGGTGAATAAGAAATGTATGAAACATCAACTCGTTTGCTTTTTAAGTCACATCATGCCGTACGTCAAGAAAAAAGGGATCAATCCTTGCACCGGGAAGAAAATGACAGTTAAAGATCTCATTCACTTGAAGTTCGATAAAGATCCTGAAGGTTGGTGATGAATCTATGATTCAGGATGTGAGCAGACGTTCGAATATTGCAGGAAACTTCCGATGTCCTGTCACTTTCCGTGTTTTCACCGACCACAGTCACATCGTGGCCATTGCTACCACAGGCAACGTCTTTTCACATGAAGCGGTCAATGTGAGAATTTCAATTCTCAATTTTCAATATTCTCCATTTTCCACTGATAAAATCTCAATTTCCAGGAGTTGAACCTGAAGAGAAACCATTTGAAAGATTTGCTCACGGATGAACCTTTCACAAGATCGCAAATCATTGATTTGCAGGTAATCAAATAACTTCGAAGAGCTAGAACTTACTGTGTCTCTCTTTATTCTGAGCTTTTGAGGATCCCAACAATCTGGAAAAGTTCAACATGGAACAGTTTCTTCACGTTAAACTCGATCATAAAACGAAAGAAGAAATAAAAAAAGAAAAGGCGGCGATGAAGGTCGACTTATCTTTTAATATGAAACGAATCTTGGTTTCAGGATCCGAAATTCTTCATCAGGCGTATGAACAACGAATGCAAAGAGGCGCTCGACCAGCTCAGCCGCGAATACGTTCCGAAAAAGGTCTTTTAATAACTTTTTTTTTTAAATGTTGATGCATATAATTTTTACCGTCATTCTTGATTTGAATGTAGAAAAATAGGAGATGATTTTGAGAGTGACGTCGAGGAAGATCAGACTGCGGACGCCGTGAATCAAGCACACTACAGGTGATTCTGTGAAACGGCTTAAAGTTTTTTTTTCAAAAAATTAGAATTTAACAAACAGAAGGCAAGTTTTGAAAACACTAACTTTTGGTTGATAGGGCTACGTCTATCTCGTACAATTTAGTTCAATAGGATATATTGACTTTTTTGAGACTAAACCTTCACTTTCGACGTTCTTTGGGAACCAAGGCCTAAAGTTTCATCAACTCTGCAAACTTGCACATTCCTGAAAGTATTGATTGAAAAGCTATTACTTTTTTTTGCGAAAGTCTCAAATCTCAGGAAAGCATTAGAAATAAAACAATTCCATTTCCAGTCAAGGAAAAGTCGCCGCCGGCTTCACGTCGACCGTCATGGCGCCCGTCACTTCCAACAAGGCCGCCGTTCTGGCAGAAGACGTCGTCAGGTGAGTTTCTTCTATCTTCTTTTCCAACAACTAACTAACTCAGGTACAAACACGTCAAGAAGAATGGCTTCGTTCGAATTGTCACCAACTTCGGACCTCTGAATCTGGAGCTGTGAGGATTCTTCGTCATTTCTTCCTGAGATCAAAAGTTTCCTCAAGAACTCAAGTACTGCATTCAGATATTGCATGAAGGCGCCGAAAACTTGTGAGAATTTCATTACGCTCTGCTCCCGTGGCTACTACAATAACACAAAGTTTCATCGCATCATCAAAAATTTCATGGTGAGTTTCTTATATTTTTTTTTCATTTCAGCTTGATATTTTGAAAAAAAGTTTTTAGTGTTTAATTTGGAAGCTTTTTGAAACGTTAGTTGTAAATTTGCAATGTTGGATTTGCAGGTTCAAGGCGGAGATCCGACGGGAACTGGCCATGGCGGCGAATCCATGTGGGGCAAACCGTTTGAAGACGAATTCATAACGGTGCGTCGAGAACTGATCTTTTTGCACTGGTAGGGACCCTTAACATTCTCAGGGATTTTCGCATGACACGCGAGGAGTTTTATCCATGGCTAACAAGGGTTCTAACACGAACGGCTCACAATTGTCAGTTTTGCCCTCCATTTTTGTGTGAGAATCTTCAATCTTTTAGTTTTATCACGTTCCGACCTTGCAAATACTTGGACAGAAAACATTCGATATTTGGCAGACTTGTGGGAGGGCAGGACACTTTGACAGCGATTGAGAAAGTGGAAACGGATCAGCCTGGAGATGTTCCAAAAATTGTACGTCTATGATAAGCAATATCCTAAATCGTGTTTTACTTGGAGCCGGTAATGTTCATGCGAGCTGAGGTTTTCGTCGATCCGTTTGAAGAGGCCGAGCAAGAAGTTCAGAAAGAACGAGCAGAAATCATGAAAGAAAGTTAGGTTATTAATTTCAGACCATAGCTCAGAAAAACTCTTCCAGCTTCGAAAGATACTGCGGAGGAAGCCCAGAAAAAAGCGACGGCAGCAGCGAAACCGAAGGCCGTTGGAACCGGCGTCGGTAAATATATAAACCAAAAAGCCGCGAGACCTGCAGCACAACTAGAAGTTCGTTCGTAACCGATACTTCGGTGGAAAAAGGATTGAGTGAAAAAATTGTTCATAAATCAAAAAGAGTGAAAATAGGAACACTCGTCATAAAATGGGAAACATTTTTCCCTCAAGAAAGATATTTAAAATAAAATTTTGAAAAAATTCTTCGAATATTTTTTTGATTCAGGTGGACCCCGATGTCCCAAAGAAAAGAAAAATCATCAAATCTTCACTCAACGACTTTTCTTCTTGGTAAACTTCGAAATAAATTGTATTCATTTTACAACGTTCACAATATTTATTCAAGCGTTTACACACTGAAACATTAAAGCGCGCATACAAATGGAGCTATTCAAGGCAATGATTGTGAGTGAGCTACAAATTACATGCTAAAGAGAGAGAGAGAGAGAGGAATGAAGAGCAATGCAAATCGAATATTCATTTGAAATTTACACAAGAAATCGGAATAAAACAGTTTTGACGCTGCAGACAGATTACATTATGCAGAAAACGGAAAAAAAATGATTGTTAAAAAGCTAATATTTGGAAAGTATCTGTAATTGCAAAACCCAAAAAATTCGCAGCGAAATAAAAATTGCAAGAACTAATTTGTGATGAATAGTTTTGGAATAATAAATATATTTTTGGAATAGTTCAAAATCAGAAAATAGCTTAGCTGGAGGTGCGGCCAGCGACGGCGGTGCGGATTTCGCGAACGATTTCTTCCTGCTTCTCTAACTCGCTCTGTTTCTCGATGGAGCGCAGATCGGTCATCACCTGCACAAAAAAACTGGTTGGAAATAGGATTCAAATTTTTAAATCAAATTATTTTTTTATTCTCGCAAATAAATTTTCTTTCATACCCATGAGTCTTTTCAACTAAACTTAATACTTCTTGATTTTTACTTATTATTTCAATGCTTTCAGGGAGTGAAACTTCTTTCAGAGATCAAATAAAAGTATTTTCATTGAGATTAATGGAGCGCTGTATACTTTTTGAAAGGAACATCTGAAGTCTAAAAAAAAAACAAACACAAACTCAGTTTTTAACATAATTTAAAAAGCAGTTCGGAGCAAAAAAATTACTTGAAGAAGCAAGAATAATAACCTTTTTAGTTTTTTTCCGAAGTAAATTTCGTTGATCGTTGAACGCATCTTTGATTCTTGGTCCTGAAGAAATAGCAAAAATAAAAACTAATTAAAAAAACTTTACGAAAACATTGAAAACGAAAAGGAATCAACGTACCTCAATCATTTTTCCAATGTTCACAAGATGAGGATTCTGATCATTGATAGGGGCGTCCATCTCGTTCTGAAACAGATTTATGGATGTATTTGTTTCCAGGACAAAAAAAACGAAGAGATTCTACTAAAAAAAAGGACCTGGCGCGTCAGCGATCCACCAAGATTCATGATTCCGCTCGATGATTTGTTTGTTTGAAGCCACAACATTATCGTGCTCGTCAACTTGTAATGAGCTTGGCGGGAAGACTAAAAAATTTGGAATGCGGTTTTATCAAAACCAAAAGGAGGAGATCGATTCGATGAAAATTGATCGAAAAAAGCTCACCCTTTCGTTGATTTCGATAACATGAATAGAGTCCCAGCAACCTTGAATGTTCTTTGCTCCATCTCCTTCCTAAAAAAGAAAAATTAAGAACGAAGGTAACGAAAAGAGTATATCTAGAGAAGAGTCGAGTGTCTGTTTTCAGGTTTTCTTTTTTAATTTGAAATCTCTCGATCGAGATTCCCAGTTTCTACGCCATAAACGAAAAATGGTATCAAAATAATATTTTGATACCACTTTATCATCCCTTTGTTGGATCAAAATGTAGCTCTGAGAAGCAAAAACTCATCGTGAAAAACTTTGTAAACAATTTAATTGAGGTTGACTGATCTTTGAACTTGAATGCCTTATTTGAAACTATCAAGTGAAAGTAGAAAAATCTCCAAAGTGTGTGAAGGTCGAAAAAAACCTCACCTTTTTGATGAGAACAACACCAGCAAAACCGTTTCCATGCTCGAGATCCCAGAAATAAACGGAGGAAACACCGCCCTCAAAATACCTGGAAACGAAGAAATTTTTGATCCCCAGCAAAAATTCTAAACATGTCACGATAGCTTTCGAAAGCGGCATTGACTTCGATTTCCAGCTTGCGCATCCGTTCTGATGGATATTGAGCGTCTTCAAGCGGCGGATCGTAGGTATTGCTCCATGGAGATCTTCAAAAATTCATTTTTTTATAAAACATTAAGAGGATTCATATAAATATAGTTAGTTATAAATTATTTTAGGTGTTGAAAGGAAAATTCAAATTTCTCCCTGCACTCCTTCTCAGTACTTTTGAGAGCCTAACAAAAATACGCCGACTTCGGATGAGTTTATAAATATCTTATTCTTAGGGAATGGTTCTAACTTGACATTCTTTCACAAGAAGCATATTTTCTCTTATTTAATCTCAAACCTGTAGCTGTCTCCATCACGATTGTAATCACAAACTAGATATTGCTTCTTTGTTTCGCGATCAGCAGCGACCTTCAGAGGCTGATCAACAGTTCCTGTTAGAAGTAACGAAATGAAAATTGCACTCATAAAACTGCAGACCTAGCAAATCGTCAAGAAGATGAGGGCAAAGATCTACAAGATCAGTGAAATTTTTCCCACAGTGTTGAGGAGGGAGACGGCGCATCAAGTCGAGAGCGCAGTCTAGTTGTTGTTCACCCTGAAAACATGAATATATATAAACACTTTTTTTGAAATTAAGCTTTAAAATATTTCTACCATTTTTTTTATGGCAATATTTTAAAGTTTTATTTCAAAGATTAAAAAAACGTACCATTTCTTACGCCTCTTGAACGAGTGATTACACCTGTGACAAACGAATCAATAAATATTTACAACAACTTGAGAGGCAAAAAAATTAATTAATTTTAAAGTTGAAAAAAACAGTCTTTGCCCTTTTTAATGAGCTGCAAATTGATTTGAAAAACAATGAAAAATATATAATGGCGTGTTCATCGAAGAAACGGAACATGCTTCAAAACAAAAATCGTGTTCATCGGCGCGTTGCTCCAAAATAGTAGCTCCAAAGTTGCTCCAAAACAGTACAAAACTATACTAAATTTTTGTTTTGGAGCAATTTTCTTGCGTTTCGAAGCATATTTCGTTTTGTCCAATTAACACGCCATAATAAGCTGCCTGTTGAACGTATAAAGAAAA